AAAAAAAAAAAAAAAAAGAAAAAACTCCCGAGCAAAATTACTGAAGCGCAGTGCAGGCACCGCTCCCTCGGCTCCCTCAATCTTCCAAGCCAAATGAAAATCTGCAGAACCAAAACATACAAAATATCCTAGTCTAGCCGTATGTAAACTATAAAGAAGCGAGATATGAGCAAAACAGAAACACAGAAACAAAACAATGTCGTAAACAATGTCATAAGTCATCAGCCGTGTCGTGTCACTCATCACCGAACGAGCTCCCTCTCCCTCTCCCACGGATACTCCCTCCTCCGTCTCCTGCGTTTCCTGTCCTCCTCATAGCCGTCATCAAACCCACCATCGTAGTAATCATAGTTGTCCCTCTCTCGCCCACGCGTGCGTCTGCTGTCCCCTTCGTACTCCTCCCTACGCCTGCGGCTGGCACTGCTGCTTTCAACTCTCTCATCATCATCATCATCCTCCAACTCCACCCCCTTCCTCCGTCTCCTCTTGTTATCCTTATCAGAAATCCGCCTACTACCACCACTACTAGGCCCCTCATCATCATCATCGTCATCGTCATGACCACTAGGAAGACCTTGCAACAGCTCCCCGCTCAGCAGCCCGCCAAGCAGGCCCATCCAGCTGCCCCTCCCCTCGAGCACGCCCGTAACGTTGCGCACGATCCGCTCCACCGCCTCCCCGTCCGTGCCGGCCACCCCCCACTGCCCGCGCATGTTGAGGCCTCCGCCTCGTCCCCGACCGCTCCCGCCGCGGTATTCAAACTCGCCGCGGCGCGTATGCCATTGCGACCGTGCGGTTAAGGGGGAGGAGCCGTCGAGTGGTCGGCCCTCGGCGTCGAACCGGTCCGGGAGGAGCTCGATTACGTCTTCTTCATCGTCGTCCTCGTCGGTCTGGGTCTTGTTGTTGCGGCGAGTGGAGATCAGCGGTCGGTCAGAAGACGGGTCTGAATTGCGGCGGCGACGAGATGATGATGGTGGTGGCTTGAATTTGCTCGCGTCGTCGTCGATGCTGATGCTGTCGATATCATCGCCGTCATCGCTGGCGCGATCGTCGTTCTCAGACTTGTTGGCTGCTTCCTGCTCCTCGCGGTGCCGGCGGAGGGTGGCGGCGGACTTAGGGGACAGGGGGATAAAGGTGACGGATTTGGCGGTGCGCGGGGTTCCTGGTGAGTCAAGCTCCGGCGACGTGCTTGGGGTGAGAACCCCCGGAGGGGAGGAGGAAGCCGAACGGCTTACACCATCTGCAGCAGATCGCAAGTCAGCTTGGACTACCCTGTGGACGACAGCATCGGGCGAAAGGAATGGTCTCTCAAGGGGTACTACTACCAAGAGCAGACGCACCCTTCGTGTCGCCAGCTACGGGGCGAGCTGCGGTGCCTTCTGGCTCTGGGGTTGAGCGACCAACACGAAGAGCTTCACTCACATGCTCAGGACCCGCTGGAGTTGCCGGTGGAGCCGCGTATGGAGGCACCTGGGGAGCTGGCGGCACCTGTGGCGGCACCTGTGGGATGTGTGGAGAGGCGCCGCCCATCATTGTCGCCGAATTTGGCGGCGGACCCGGCGGGGGTGGTGGGTAGGTCATGTCTGGTGGGTATGGTTGATATTGCTGGTTGAGGCCCGTGATGGGGATGTTTGGGTGCTGCGTGAAGCCGTTGGCTGGAGCGGGAGGTGGAGGATTGTAGAAGCCACCGGAAGCATGAGGGGGTGAAGGTGCCCGATGGCGGTAGTCGTCATAGCCGTCCGTCGACGCCTCGTCCTCATAGCCTACACGACGCATCAGCAGGTCATTCCGCGGATCTGTTGAACCTGGTAGGAAAGGATTCACTCACGGCGCCGGTCCCGCTCCTTGCCCTTGTCCCTCTCCCTCTCCCTTTCCCTTTCCCTGTCTCTCCGGTCGCGATCCCGATCCCTCGCCGCCCGTTCCCGCTCCTCACGTTCACGTTCTTCCTTCTCCTTGTCCTTTTCCCTCTTGTCTTTAAATTTCTTGATTCCAATGGCCGCTGCGCCAGCCGCCGCGGCGCCAGTAGCAAGATCCCGCAGCCTGCTCGTACTCCGCTTCTTGTCCGTCTTCCTGTCACGGTCCGTCTCAGTCTCGTTATCCGCAGAATAGTCGTCACCCCTGGGTCCGAAGCTCTGGCTCCTCCGACGCCTGCGGCTCCTGCCCTCCTCCACCGCAGAGTCATACCCCGCTGCCGGTTCCTCTCCGTACGTCGGGTACGGGGGTTGCGCGTACAGGGGGTGAGCCCCGTACTCAACCATGCCTAGCTCAGGATCAGCTGTGGAAGAGTCACCGTCGGGGTAGAAGTGTCCGGACCGTGATAAACTCCTGCTCCTGCTGCGTCGATGATAGTCGCGCTCGTCACGTGAGTAGTCTTCGTCATCGCTGTACGCACGGTCACGCCTGCCTCGCTCACGTTCTTCATCTTCCTTCTTATCCTTGTGGCGGTCGTACAGCTTTTTGGCTCCCGCGCCCGCAAGGCCTGCCGCGAGAATCTCGGCGCCGCTGCGCAGGCGGGATCGGGAGCGGCTCTTACCGTCGCGCGACTTGCTCTTGTGGCGGTAGTGCTGGACCAGTCCGACTGCGGCTGCCGTGCCCAGTCCGGCCTTGGCCAGTGAGGCGGCCCGGCTGCTGGACCGCTTACGGCTGGGCGACCGGTCACTGTAGTCGCTATCGCTGTCTCGGTGGAGGGCACGTCCTCGGCTCATCTCCTCCTTCTCGATTTTGCTGCTCTGGTAGTACTTTGCGGCGCCGGCAGCGGCCAGGGCCACGGCTGCAATACCCAGGCCGGTCTTGAGCCTGGAATGGGCCGGACGGGAACGTGATCGCGAGCGCTCCTTTTTGTCTTCATCCCCGAATCGCTCCTGATAGGCGCTATGCGCGCGCCTGGCGACCTCAGTGCCGAGGGCGCCTAGAGCAGCGCCAGCGAGGACTTTGCGGTCTCGGTGTTGCTTGAACTCACCGTTGGAATCACGGCGGGAAGCGAGAATGCCGGCGATGCCGGCACCGGCTAGAGCGCCTTCGGCGAGATGGCGCTTCCGGTGAGGACTGGTCGATGCACTACGGTCCCGCCGTATCACGGTAGTCCGCTTGGCGTAATAGCCATCATCGGATTCGGCGTCGCTATATGCACCACTGTGATAGCGGCGGTGATGATGATGGCGGTGGTGGTGATGATGGTGATGCCCGCCGTCATAGCGTCCAACCGCCACCTCCTCTTCACGACGCTCTCCTCGGTAAGGGCCTACCTCACGAGACTCGTGGCGGTAGTAGTACTCCTCGTCACGGGACGGGTGGCGCGCAAGGGCAACTTCCCTGGTGTCAGCTGCCTGCTCCCGGATGACGACGGTCGGCGCAGGAGCCTCTTGGAGGATGATCTTTTGCTCGGGAGCGCGCTGGCGGATGACGATGGGGACTGGCGCAGGCGCGGGTTCGTAGTACTCCGTCTCCTTGCGCCAGCGCTCAACATCCGCGCCGTCATCGCGGCGCTCTTCGACGCGGCGTTCGATGCGGACTTCGGCGCCATCCCGGTGCTCGACTCTCTTCTCGATGCGCACATCAGTTTCCCTGTCGTCAACGTCCCAATAGCGACGATCGTAGTCCCGTGGTGTCCTTGGCGTGTGCACGTCCACTTCCTTGGTTGATTCATACACAACCCTTCCGCGGTCTCTGTCGTCGATGCGGTAGTAGTCATCGTCGCGCTCCCGCTCCACGACCTGCCTCTCAACCACAGTGCGCGTCCGTTCGGGGTAAGGATCCCGGTCATCGCGCTCGATGATGCGCTCCTTTTCGACTACGGTCCCGCGGTCCCCGCGATACTCAACCCGATCAACCCGGGTGTAGTGTTCATCCTTGGGCTCGCGCTCTCGCTCAATGACCTGGCGCTCCACATAGGTTGCGCTGTGGGGAGACGGATCGACGGTAGACCGGGGCCTCTCAGGTATGTACAGGCGCTCGACGCGGCGATCAACCTCGAGCACGTCGTCTTTGCTGGAATGGCGAACAGGCGCATACCGGCTGCGGCGCTCCTCTTCGACAATATCAACCTCACGCTCGACCCTCTCGACGCGATCGGGCGTCACCTTGTAACGGCGCACTGTGGACCTCCTGTAACCCTCGTTGTCCGAGGGGGACGTGTCCCGCTCCCGGGTGTAGGACCGGGACTCGCGGTACACCTCAGGCATAGTAAACTCGGTCGGTGTCGTCACACCACGTAGAGATTTCGAAAAGATGCTACTGTATTCGAGTTTGGCTAGTTAAATGGAGAACGGCACTTCGAGATTCTGGGTATCACGAAAAACTAAATGAACAACGATGCATAGCAAGAGCCGAAGAGTGAAGAAGGTGCAGGCAGGAAGGGCTTCCAAGGCGGGGGAAATGGGCGAGGGAAGGCTGTGAGCCGTTGGTTGGCTGTATGTATGTATGTATATGAGGGAAGGAGGGGGACGGAGGGGACGGAAGGAGGAGGGGGCTGGGGCGGGAGCGAAGAAGCCTTGGGATTCTTCGGGTTGCTGACAGGACCTTGATGCAACAGGGTGCATTACGTTATTACTCGCAGAGTCGCAGCACCAGATGTGTGCATTTTCCTAGCGGGAACCAACTGGGGCGCAGTTGGTGCCTTCCATTCCCTTCTCATTCCCCTTCCCATTCAGGGTACCAGGGTACTTACACCAGCCTACGTAGGGTACAAAGTTGCCCGGCTGCGCTTGTGTGGGTTCTCTCGATGTTGGCCAACTTTGAAGGGCATGGCATGGGCGGCGCGAACCGACAGATCCATTTCAACTGGACTCCTAATTTGGTGAAACGAAACACTGCTCGAGCCAACCTTGCCGCTGAGACCATATGCCGCGCGCGTCAGGGCCTTGAGAAGCGGCCTTTTGGGATGATGCCAAAAGTGGGCGCTGGTGTCTGGGTTCACGCCGTTTTCAAGTCTGGTAGATTACAAGGTGATCCCCGACAAGAAGGAAGGCACCGTCTCTGACTGTTCTGACAGAGCCCAACCAAAACTTAGCCACCGTTCCCATACTCCGTATACAAGTTTGCAATTGAGGTTCTGTTAAGAGCGGTAGTCAAGAGGATAATTTTTACATCTAAAATATCGACCTTCACTAACAGATGTCGCGCCCACCCGAGGTACCGGGACTGGTGATAATGCTCCTCAGGAGCCTTACCGCGATAACAGTGCAACCTACCATAACACTACACTGCTAGCAGTTGAGCAACCAGACTATAAGCCGTCCATTACCCGACTGTCGACTGTCGAACATACAAGTAACAGCATAGGTTTAACGCCTCGTTTTGACAGAATGGACTTGCAAGACATCCAAGCAGGTCCTGGATCGTTGTTATACAAGAAGAAATTGACAATATGAAGAGCAAATCTTGACACAAGGCCCCTCAAGTCATTAGTTACAAGAATGAAGGCCACTAGGCTCGCAGATTTTTGACCAAACTTTGGAACCTTCTCGTCCACGCGTGTTCCTCGACATGCGACCGGTGACCCACCCACAGCCTGAGTGATTCCATCGGCGCCGCTGCGGTGGGTGGGAGTCGGGAGCCATCTCGTACACAGCCCTGTGACCCGGTCATCAGCCTCCATGGTGGAGCCGCAAACCTCGTGGTAAACTCGCTGGGCTCCTCTTGCCATGATGATGTCGGGTGTCAGCCGATGCTAAGCAAAAGACAGGCCGCTTGGCTTCCGTCGCATGCCTCGGGAGTTGTATCACACCATAACTCATCAGGTAACTCATTCAGAACGTGTTGATGTGAAGAAACCCAAAGTGTGCATGTACTTGTATCGTTGTATGTACAAGTCTTCGTACTAGACATGCACATGCAGCGTAAATCGAATCAATCGGATCGTGGCCGAGTTTCCTGCCGTCAAAGCCCGCCCCGAGAACCTTCGTCACTAACCTAAGCTTTATAGCTGCCTGACTGCCTATACTCTAGAGCACCTGGTCTGAGGCGTGAATTGGACGCTCAATATATAAAAGACACCATTCATCCAGGATACTGCTGACGGATGTCGAGTATGACAACGGTTTTAACAGCCCGGTGAGTAGCGAAAGCCGGGAGCTGTGAAGCTGGACTGGACCCCGCCGTGCCCGCCAAAACCTGAGTGAGAGCCAAAGGAAGATTTCGTCATTTCAAGTTCGCTGGAGCCGCCAAGACAAGTGGCGTTAGCGTGCCAAGATTCTCAATGTTCCATCTGCAATTCGTATTGTCGAAATGGGCTTGGAGTTGAAAGCTGCAAGTTGTAAAAGTGATAAATGCGATCAGGAGCAGCCAGCCAGACCCAGACCCAGACCCAGACCAATATTGTAGTATATGTTCAAGTAACTATCAAAGACGAAGGCCTTTAAGGGACAGAAATGATGCCCCAGCCCTGGACTTATCACAGCAAAGCCCAGGGGTAACGCTGCTGCGACTGAGCAGCAACCTCACTAATTTGACCGCCGCCACAGACTGTACAGTACTTCTCATATTACTTGTCATTGAGCGTAGGCCAGACGCTACACCAAGGCATTTCCTCCAAGACAACTTAACGCGAGCTTGGGTTCGGTAAGGAGGAGAGGTAGGAACATGGTTACGCACCTTTACCTGTCTGACCTCGCACGCATGTAGCCACCGGTGTCCCTCAACGATTCCCTGACCGACTGAGCAACCGCAGCCTCGAAGAGAAACGGTGGGATACTAGATGGGATCACCAGGCAAGTCACTCTCTTTAAATCACTCTCGTTCGGTCACTCGTGAATTGTCGAGTCTTCCTTCGCATTGCCTTGGCTTCGGAATTTGCGGGAGCCGCCTGACGCAGCGCATCAAGACTCTGTAGGGTCGGCCTTGAGTGCACCATCGCTACCATCCCACAGAAGTCTTTGCCGACTGCGGATGAGCCGTAGCTTAAGCCGCATTTGCTCAAAAGCGCATCTTCAAATTCCGTGTAAAGCTACGCCGATGAACCGGGACCCCAGATACCAGAACCTCCATCCCTCGTGTTTGTGCGATATGCCGTCGCGAATCCATGCAAGCGTTGCAATTACAAAGGGAACCCGAGGAGTCAGAAGCACACCCTGCCCATATGGACACCTTAGTCGAAGAGACCGAAACCCATGTCCTCGTCCGACTCCTCCTTCTCTGCAGCAGATTGTTAGTACCGTAGTCACTGTGTTGGCTCCCAGGCTTGCGGAAGCAAAACTGACCCTCTTCCTTTGCCTCCTCTTTGGTTTCCTCGGCAGCAGCGCCGCCAGCAGCAGCCGCACCGCCAGCCGCAGGGGCAGCAGCGGCACCACCACCAGAGCCGACAGCGGAGAGGAGGTCCTTCACGTCCTTGCCCTCGAGAGCCTGCAAAGCAGCAACATCCCAGTCAGCCACAATTGTCAAATCGAGCCCACTCCGCCCGTCTCGAGTCGCATATTTTCGGCTGTTCGTACCTTGGCGAATAATGAGGCCCAGATGGGCTCAACTTCGGTAATGTTGGCGGCCTTGATGAGGGTCGAGATCTTGTCGGCCTAAATTGGAAGATTAGCTTCTGGGCTTCAATCGTCCGGCCCCGCGCGAATGCTGCTGGGACCCTTGATAGAGCTTTCTCACAGTGATCTCAACACCATCGTCGGCGAGGATCAGCGCCGCGTAGGACGTCGCGAGCTCAGCGGTAGACATTGTGAATGTGGTCTGTCGAGGCGCAAGGTGCTGAGACTCGAGAGGACTTTTGTCGTTGGGATGTCAAGACCGAGCTTGAAATTCGGAGCAGTGGAAAAATAATTAGTTGTGGGCTATCGAAAAGAGCATAGCGTGGCCCTACGGCTGACGGTTGAAAATGGGAAGAGGGCAGCTGGCTGCCGTCTGCCCAGTTCCTCCGCTCATGAACAATGCGCCACGCCTCTGATTGGTGCGATTCGATCGAGCTTATCAATCCCTGCTGCGCTTACTGAGGTTGACCCCACCATCAAGGTGACCTCCCCGCCATTACTGACGTCGCAAGACCGAACTCTTGAGAGAGCTAGAAAGACCTTCAGCGCATTTCCCAACGTCACAAAGATCGAGGCAGAAAATATACCAATTCACACTGACTAACTCCCTAGCTACTTGCCAACTCGTTTCGTACAAACCTTGAAAGCCCTGATCCATCAATCCAAAGGCGCTGGCCTTGTGATTACAGTACTCTGTAACACTTCTTGAGTGGCGCAAAGACGGCCCATTACGGATCGGCCTCGCAGATCCCATCCAACTGGGAGGCGGAGCAAACTTTGAATTATCAGCCTAAGGGGCCTTTAAAGGCTGCGTCCCCATCAATGCCTGTGCAAGATATCATAACCCTTCCGTGAACAACAAAGCCACCGCTCTGTCTAAGACAATCTGACATCTACGCCACGATGGAGACACCGGCTGTCCCAATGCCCAAGGACGCCCGGGAGCGGCAGATCCTGGACAAGCTCGTACTCATCCGTGATGAGCTGCTGCTTCTCAAGAGGGACCGTACAAAGTACATCCGGACGCAGGATGTCATGGTGCACTACGATCAGCTCGTGGAGCAGGTCATGCACCTCAACGAAATCCGAAAGGGCGAGCACAAGGGAGAAAACAGATGTGGGTGGGCAAATGGGCTTGGACTGCTTCCAGATCAGCCATGAACTGACCTCCTGTGGCAGTGGATAAGGTCCTCGAAAGCTGTTTTCAGCTCATCTCGCTCTTCTTCATGACGATCGGGCGGACAACCGAGGCTCCAGCTGCCTATGCGCTGACGTCGACGATCAAGAGGCTACTGGACCACCTCACCGAATCGAGGCTTTTCTCGGCCAAGGACCTTAACAGCATAGCTGACACGCTCGGCAAGCTCGACGGCATCCTGAAGAACACAAATTCAGAGCACTCGCCGTACCTCGTGGAGCTGTTGGCCAACAGGGAGGAGTTGTGCAAGAAGATGCTGGTCGACCTGCGAAAGCAACTAGACGAGTTGGAGGAGCCATTGCAGGCCGTCTATGAGAGGCTCATCTCCATCTTGAGATCCATGTCGCTTGCGAATACCAAGGCCAAGGTAACCCATTCCTACATCTGCCGAAAACCCCGTACAAAATGTTGCTGACGTGGAGGGCAGTTCTCGACAACAGAAGTCCAAAAGCTAAGGGCGAATCTTCAAGAGATCGACGAGTCGAGAGTGAACGGTAAGTTTGTGGACAAAGAAGGCAGGGAGCTCCGCGGAAGCGACGTCGTGTCGGACCTCCTGCAGCGCTGTTTATTGTGGTCGGATATTGTTCTGGAAAGGTAAATCGCCGTCTTCTCACCCTTGTATCTCTTTCGTTCCCTGACACCTCCCTTCAGGAAAGGCGTAATCCCCGAGGCTTTCAAGTCCACATACGACACCCTTATCGGCATCCGCAACGAGCTCGAGAAGCTGTCCCTCACGCAAGCCTGGTCCCTGCGCGAGACCGACCTATACGATTTCCAGCGGGAGCTCGACAAGATCGACGAGGCCAGGGTTGATGGGAACTGGCTCGATCAGGACGGCAAGCCCGCCGAGCTGTACGTCCAACGGACGCTGCTCTATCTCATCCGCCGCAGCTACGGGTACATTTACTACCTGATGATCTCCTCCGAGCCGGTGTCAGAGGCGTTACTGCCCATCTATAACCAGCTTCAAACGCTGAAGCGGTGTTTGATTGAGGTGAAGAACTCCGGGGGTGTGAGTTCAGTTAGAGAGTTGTATCCATATAGCATGAAGGTCCGTCTTGCTCAGCCACATTGGCAGAACCCCCAGCGGTGATAACTGACTTGCCCTCCAGCTGAATTCGATCGACAACATGAGGGTGGACGGCAAGTTCATGGTCGGTGACGATATCCCCGAAGGCCAGGGCAGTGTCAGCGAGCTTCTGGCGGAGTGCTTTGACCTCAATTATGAACTGAGGTTGGCCGCGGAGGAACTGGAGAATGGGGGCAGTGATTCCCCTGCTTCTACCACTGCACAAACAACAACCACCTAGGAAAGCCATGAGACGGAAGATGGACGTTCTATTTTACAATCGTGTAGTAACAATTCTCCTCACGGCTCAGGCAGCAAGTAGCACGGCGTTTGCGAGGGGAGGCCATGTCATGTATAGGCGGCGGGGCATACGGGGATACGGGGCGGCAGCATCACTTCTCGGCTCAGGTTATGTACCAGAGAAAACGGCCAAGGGAGGCACTCTCAGTAGTTTTCTATTCGTATTGAGCATCATGACCCCATCATCCCGTACCTTCACCCCCATCCCATCCCAACCCAACTGCATTCGCATTTCCAGTGCAAGCCTCTCATTGCCCCTGGGCCGGTTCCTTTTGCCCCTTGACCGGGTACCGAAAGGCGCACAACAGCGGCCACATCTGAGTCTGGTTCCCGCATCAGAAAATCAAAGCAGACAAAACCATCCATGTACACTTCATACTAGCAATGCAGTCCAACCCTTTGGAAAGGGGCAGATGTAGGTGTGTGTGTAGGTAGGGTAAGAGAAAAGAGGAAAAGGAAATCAAACTCACATTCTCAACATCCCACACGCCAGACTGGGCATAAATGTCTCTCCGCAGAATCTCCTTGACCTCCTCCCTGCTCGCCGCCTGCACCACAATGGTGCTGCCCGCGAAGCTGTACTTGGACGGGTCGGTTCCCTCGGGCACCTCGTTGAGCACGGCGCCGCCCATTTGGAAGAGGCCTGAGTCGATGGACGGTTGGAGGCCGGCAAAGTGTTGGCTGGTTTTATGGCATTATGTGCATGTTAGTCAAGTCCCTTGTTTTCGTCTCAATGCTCTTTTTATAGTGCCGTGATGCTTCCCGGTTCCGGTTGGGGGTAAAGTATATAGCATGACGAGGGACTGTTATTCAGGGGAAATAGGAAATCTACTCACGGGCGCACGTCCATCCGCTTCTGGTGCACGCCGGGAAAGTCGGGCACGACGACAAGCCATTCGTATTTCTTGGGCGTCGTGTCGGTCGCCATTGTGCGGCGCTGGGTGGTGCTGGTGGTGGTGAGGGTGAGGGGTGAAATGTGTGAGCGGGGGTTGGTGGTGTTGGTGTTGTAGATCTTGCTACAGCTGGTGCCAAAGGCGGAAGTGATGAAACTGCAGTTGTGAGATCGCGTCGATATTCTACGAGGGAGACTGCGCAGGACTGAAGCCATGAGATAGAAGGATCCAAGCCAAGTGATATTTTTAAGAATGTCAAGTTGAGCTCCGTGGCCGGGCTATTTTTGTATCGCCGATCGGACCTCCTTAGCGAGCGCTAACCGACGGGTGATTGTAAGCCGGATACGGAGACGGAGAACCGCAACGGTGTCACAGGGTTCGTTCCCGGCTTCAATGCAGGAGTAGTGGAGATGGGATGCGGGGGTTACTAGCGTAGGGATACCAGCTATGCAGTGTGTGAAGAACTGGCTCATCTGCTTCGTAACCACTCGTGTTGTTCTTGTGATGGGGCGTGCCCGCAAGTTGTCAAGGGAAAGGCGCACAAGTGCCCAGTCCCTCCCCACTGCGGACAAGCACCGCAGCGGAGAGAGTGAACTGAACTTGTTGTACTTGTGATTCATGGATTCTGGAGGGTCACTGCAATTTCCTGCAATACCCGATACCAATGCTACTACTTGAGTCCCATCCCACATGGAAAGCCCATGGTGATGCAAGTAGTTAATGTTGGGCTCACTTCACCGTCCCCGCTCTTCCGTTCCCATCCCGGCCTCCGCGTCCTAGTTCACTATCAATACCGCGCTAGGAGCCAGTCCAGCTTCTGCCAGAGTCTGCCCAAAGTCGATGCCAGCCTCAAACGTCTTCTTGGGAAATGTCATTGAGAACTTCTGGACCGGTGCCCCAACCTCCTCCTCGATCTGCTGCGCAACCTCAAACAGCGTTGTCTCGCTGGGGAACGACTTGACAAGGTTTCCTTTCTTGGTCTGTAGCCTCAAGCGTGCGACAGCGGCGTTCGATCCAGATGCCGAAGCTGCTGCAGGGGTGGGCCGAGCGGCGGCGGGAGCCGGTTCAGCTTGGGCGGGCGGCGCTCTGCCCTCTCGCAGAGCCTTGGCCTCTTCGTCCTTGCGCTTGCGCTCCGCCCGGTCGGCCTCGATCTTGGCCTTGATGCGCTTCTTCGCCTCCAGGTCCGCGAGCTTCTCCTGGCGCTTCCTCGCCGCCTCCTTGATTTGCTCCTTGCGCTGGAGCTCCTCCTTGATATCTTGGGATTCCTTAGTAGACTTCATGCGGATTTGCTAGAGAAACTGGTGAGTGCATGTTCTGCAGCGCGCAGCATATGGATTAGCCAGTCGCACCTCGTTCCGTTTGGCTTCCTCCTTTGCTTGGGCCTCCTGATTCGCCCGCTTCTCCTTGAGTTTCTGTCGGAGCTCTTCCAGTTTGGCCTTCTTCTCCTCCTCAGTCAGGGGGGCAATCTCCTCGGTTGATTCTGAGAAGTCTGTGTGATCGCTGCGACGGCAAGTTAGCTCGAAAACAGGCCCAGACAACGCCCGGATACCCACGTCTTGGATGCATGGAAGCTGGCCAGATCGCGGGTCCTAAACTTCTTGCCGCACTCGTTGCAGACGAGCGACATGGCATTTTCGCCTGTAGGGATATTTGGACCAGTCTGCTCCTCATCATCATCGCCAGCGGCTGCCTGACCAGCCTGGCCAGCCTGCAGCTCCTCCAAAGGCTTGTCTTGGTTCTCCTCAAGCCAGTTCAGAGCCTGCTGCACTGTATCTGCTATCAGCATCGGGGACGAGTGGTGGGCCAAAACGGGTGCGTCACTGACATCCTCCGGTTTTCTTCACAGCGAGCTCGGCACGGGCCCGCTCAAAGCCCATCTCGAGCAGAAGATCGAGATCCGACGTTGTCATTTTGAAATGTACCACAAGTGTGAGGAGTGTGATAAGTGGTAAAGGTGGGATGGATTTGGGTTGAATCGACTGGCTGGCAGATGGTATGGTAAGTCTAACTAAGTAGGCAACAAGGGCTTCGTGGCACTGTTTGTTGCCTTGAGATCAAGTAAAATGGTGGATTTGAGTTCAGGTCCGTTTGCTGGGTCGTCGTTGTGTAGCTACCCGCCGACTCACGCTAAATATGACAATGTAATCACAGGAGGAGCCGGACCCGGGCGTCGTGTTGGTGTTTTTCAGGGTTGGCGACTGTTCACTATCCGGACGGGTAACGATTCAAGGTATCAGTTCCAAAACTTCCAATGCGCTCTGTCACAGGCTCACTGGCTGTTGAACGGAGGTCCAGTTCAGGCTAGCAGTTGCCCCTCCTTAACACTGCGGCAGGTTTGCAGTGCTCAGTCAGCCCTTCGGACCCATGATTGGCCTCCAGGTTTCAAGCCCGGTTGCTCTGTTCAACCGGGACGGACATTCATCAGCTCGTCATTCTTCGGGTCGGCACGGGAGGGCAAGCCCCACAGCCCAGGGTTAGGTGCGCTGTAGGTAGGATCAGCACGGGCCCACGAGCCCGGGTCACCTATGTAATCATAGTAACTTTGGCCAGCTTTGCCGTCAGTGGTGACCCTTTCCTGCATGTCGTAAGACCTGACAACTCGACCTCGTGCCAGCTGTGGGATCTTACATGCGACAAGTTTAGCTGCTTAGCCGCTCTGAGCCCTTTTCCTCATCGCCAACATCGAAAACCAACACGCCGTTTTCAAAGACGACCTACTCCTAGCATTACCTGTTAATTCTCAAAGTTGTTTCCACTACAACTGTCTCCAGCTGCGCCTTCCCTTTCTCGCTTGCTCCCCGGCACCTCGAGGTTGCGATCTTCCCTCTATTTGGTATCTACTAAAATAGTCCTCGACTGCGAATCCCAACCGCCATCATGTCTGTTGAAATCGACCCATTAGAGCTAGGCTTCCGCAGTAGGTTGCCCTCCATCGCTCGTGCTGCCCGAAGCCAAGTCCACCGTCGTCTAACCCGTCAGGGCCTTTCACTGTGGAGGTTGCGCAGATCCTCAAAATCAAGAACCCCAACACGGCGCCCGTCGCTTTCAAGGTACTGCCCGGGAGCATCCAGTCAACCATGTTGTTTTTGCGCTCTTCTGACGGATATCCATTGCAGGTCAAAACCACAGCCCCTAAGCAGTACGTTTTTTCCGCGAAACGAACGAGCGCCCCGTTGTGCTTTGCTAAAACACTAGTCCAGGTACTGCGTCCGCCCAAATTCGGGTCGCATCGAGCCCGGACATGAAGTCGAGGTGTCAGGTGGGCTGCCAGAACAACCCCGTCCATTGCTACTGGGGCCGGCGCTAATAATCCGCCAGTTTTACTACAGGCCATGAAGCAGGAGCCGCCGCTCGACGCCCGCTGCCGCGACAAGTTCCTCGTCCAGTCCGTCACCATTACCGGAGATAAAGAGTTCACAAATGTGTCGCAGATTGTGGGTTTACCACGATCCTCACCCCAGCCACTAGTTGGATGCTGATCTGTTGTGTTTGCTGTGCAGTGGGATTCAGTAGAGAAGTCGGCAATCCAGGAAAAGAAGATCCGCGTGTCTTGGCTGCCGCCCTTGGAAGACCATGCCCGCTCAGAGCCCGTCGCCACGCCGGTCCGGCGATCGCTTGCCAACGGGGTTTGTGGCCCTCTTTGTGCATTTCTGCAGCTAACCCGCTTGCGCTAATCCAACCGCGTCCCAGACACAGTCCGATGCCACCCCCGACACCGCGCCCCCGGCGTACTCGTCCCCCGGCGACGACGGAGCCGCCGACCAAACCGCCTTCATGTCGCAGCCCGAGCCGAAGGAGCTGAAAGAAGAGCCCGCCGAGACCTCCCACGGAGCAGCAGCGGCATTCTCAGCCGCCGCGGCAACCGCGGCGACCGCGGGGGCGGCGGTCAAGTCAACAGCAACGGCGACATACGACGAACTCAAGGACCAGCTGGCCAAGGCGGAGGCCATGATCGCATCACTCAAGAACGAGGCCACGAGCGGCCTGCGCCAGCGGAAGCCGGCGGCGGCAACGACGACGTCCGAGGAGAGCGGAGCTGTGCAAAATGGGGAGCTCGCCCAAGCAGAGAGGCAAGGCACAGAAGGGGTTCCCGTGCAGGTTGTGGCTATACTCTGCCTCATCAGCTTCCTCTTGGCATACTTCTTTTTCTAAAGGGGCAAGGGCAGGGGGTAAACGTGCTCCTCTCGTTCTACGGTTGCTCTACGATTTCACCCCCCGTTACTACAATTGCCGAGGGGTGTCCGGAACTCCATCACTCCCCGCAGCAGCAGCAGACAAGTTGTTCATTTGTGTTATGGATAGAACGTCCCTAATGCGTTTGGCTCGTGGGGGTTCGGCTGGTGTCTTACTCTGAAGCGGGAAAGGTACGGATTGGAATGGAATGGGAAAAAGAATACCATGTTCAGCGGGGAAGGGGAAGAAAGGGGTTGGGGGTGGGAGTGAGGGAGGCGGCTTACGATATATACGACATATACGTAATTCCCCCTGTATTCTGAGACGGAGGAATACGCGTACACTGCTCTTCCCTTTGTTTATCTTCCCCCCTTTTTCTCCCACAATGTCCTCTATTTTCTCTGCTTCCCTGGATCGAGTCTGATGTTTTTCTCTTTGTTGGGACGGGGGAGTTTAGCTTTCGGTACAGTACTTAGGGTATATGCTGCCAACGCAGCTCGTGCCCAGCGAAATTATGAGCCACATCACAAAACTCCAGTGCTCATAATCGCATTGATTCGCTTGAGCCACGTGTTCGACGAAGCGGCCAAGGCATCGTGGAACTCACTGCTTTGAGGGGGGTCAACTTCCATTTCCCCCCCTGCAGCGATCTTTGCCACTAACCCCTTGGCATTCTTTACACATTTTGTAGGTACTCCTGAGGAAAGTTGACCGTGGCCTTTGACATGGCCTAAGGATGGTACGCAATTCATTCGCTAGTATATCTTCATCTCATATGTACTACCATAGAACAGTCTGACTGTCTGTACAATCAAGTCGTGAAAAACGTAGTACTGCCCAAAAAGCGACTACAGCTTTGCCCTGGTTTCCTGCTTCTGCATAGTCTCGGCAACGATGCGCCGCTGAATCTTGCCAGTGGCCGTCTTGGGCATGACATCGGTAAAGTAGACCTAAAACAGAGCTTTGGTTAATCTCCTGGCACCTGACACCGGGACGGAAATGAACTCAAAAGGAGAACGCACCTTCTTCGGCACCTTGAACTTGGCCAATTTCTCGCCCACCCATCCCTTCAGCTCCGCCTCACCCAGCTTCTGTCCGGGCTTCAACACCACCGCCACACCGACGTCCTGGCCGTACATGTCGTCCGGAATGGCAAAGCTCACGGCCTCGGACACGGCCGGGTGCCGCGTGAGCACATTGTCCAGCTCGATGGGCGAGATCTTCTCGCCGCCCTTGTTGATCAGCTCCTTGATGCGGCCCGTGATGACCACGTACCCGTCCTCGTCCTTCTTGCCCTGGTCGCCGGTGCGGAAGTAGCCGTCCTTGGTGAAGGAGGTCCTGTTGGCCTCCGGGTTGTTGAGGTAGCCCCGCGTGACGTTCTCCCCGCGGATGCAGATCTCCCCTTCCTTGCCCTGCGGCACGGGGTTGCCCGCGTCGTCCAGAATGACCACCTCGACACCCTGGCCGATGCCGACGGTGCCGGGCTTGCGCTTCGCGGGCGGGAGAGGGTTGGACGTCATTTGGTGGGCGGCTTCGGTCATGGCGTATGCCTCCAGGACTGGGGCGTTGTACGCCTTTTCAAGAGCGTGAAAGACGGTTGGGGAGAGAGGCGAGGAGCAGGAGCGGATGAAGCGGATTTTGGGAAGGGGGTTCGGGGCTGGGTTCTTGAGCAGGATTTGGTGGATCGTGGGGACAGCCGTGTACCAGTTTGCTTTGTGGGCGATGAAGTCTTGCCAGAAGTCGGAAGCTGAGAACTTGGTAGGGACGACCATGGAGCCGCCTGAGAGCAGAGGAGCGAGGAGGCCGCAGAGGAGACCGTGGACATGGAATAGGGGCATAACGAGCATGGTCCGGTCGGCGGCAGTGAGCTGATAGGTCTGCTGGATGTTCCTCATGGTCCTTGTCAAGTTCCGATGGGAGAGGGGCACCACCTTGGGCCTCGAAGTGGTGCCGCTGGTGTGCAGGACCAAAGCAATGTCTTCGGGGTCGGGCTTCAGCTGGGGCTGTGCGGGCTTGCCCTGGAGCTGGCCAAGTTCCTTGACATCAAGGGCTACCTCCCTGCTCGCAGCGTCCCAGTAGCACTCGGCGATGGCGGCATTAAACTTCTTTGCCGCGCGCACTGCCGGGCTGCCGCTCTCGTAGGCGCCTTTGGGCACAAGGACAATGGCCGACTTGACATCCTCAATGTAGAACTCGAACTCCTCCTGCTTGTAGGCGGGATTCAACGGGGCGGCGATCCCACGCTGCCATGATGCTGCCAAGAACGAGACAATGAATTCATACGAGTTGACAATGGCAATTGAGACGGGTGATCCTTTCGCGATGCCGATAGCGGCGAGCTTCCGTTGGAACGAAGAGACTTCGGATATGAGGTCCCCGTAGGTGATTGTCAAGGCTTGGCCTCGCGAAGGCACAATAACGGCCACCGAATTGCTTGCGCCTTGAATGGCTGTTTGAAGTGTCAAGCTGCCAGCAGCCATAGCGTCTGTGAATAAGTGCCGTGCTTCCCGTGCCAAGTCGTACAGCTCGAAGGGAAAGTGGGTTGGCAAAGTAGTGCGACTTTGTAGCAAATGTAAATTGACGGGACAACGCGCAGTCACTCAGCAATAAGATGCTAATGTCATATAGGGTAATGGCGACCTGCGTATCTATCTAGATTGATACACAGACGTGGGATTTTACAAGCAGAGGGAGAACTTAAATGATTCAACGGAGTTTAGGAAATACCGGCGGGACTTGCCTCGGATACTGCGATTGTGTCATCCAAGTCGCATTGAGACAGGTGGGTCCGGCAGTCTCAACAACGCATTGTCGTAGCCATATGCTGGTTGGGCTTGACAGGTTGTTACTGTAGTGGCTCGATTCTGGGTATGATGATATGAGGTTTTGGACAGTTTCCTCTCAGCGATCAAAACCTGGCTTCACCGGTGACTTGGTAGTTGTGAATTGCCTCCGCTTTGCAATTCATTATCCTGAAGCTGAGAACATCTTCCACCGTTGAGCCTACATAACCAGGACGCAATCAGGGACTCAAGATTCAATTTTGTTAACCTTCGCTTTCATAGAATGCCATCACTTCACACAATGTCATGAATGGCGAATCCTTTCTATTCGTCCTCGCCCGGCTGACAAAAGAGGCCTAGAGCTGGTGTTGTGATGTTGGCCAACCACCGACCTATGTTTCTCTCAGACACATATGTCTACCTAGGTTAGCCCCTAAGGTAGTACGAATGCGGTTCAGGTCAATTCTGCCAACCTCCAAACCTGCCTACTATCACCTATGCGCGACGACGTATACAGGAGTAAAAGTCATGTAGCACAGGACTACCGTTCCCCAAATCCACAACGTTGTAGAAACTCTGAAAGATAAAAAACCAAATATTGGAAAGAGGATATAGATGATGGCATAAAAGACTTCGAGCAAAACCGAGAAAATTTCGGGGAGTTTCCGGTACCATGTCGACTTGTTCCTGGGGTAGAGCAAAACATAGGGAACTGAAGCTGTAGGCCCAAACAAGAAGATCCAAGGGAGCATGGCTATGGTGGCGAACATGGGGGACTGACCTCCATTGTACCCTGAGATGAACCAAGCATTGCTGTCGGGAAGGACCAGCCGACCGAACCAAAGGCGAAGAGGATTGGTAACTCCGTGAAGAAGAAAATGAAGAATGTGAAGAAAGAAAATCCAAGTGCATAGTTGAAGGGTCAGGTACGGAAAGCAAGGCAGATATTCGGGGAAGCCGAGGAATGGCTGTCGTGGGTCCTTGATGGATACAGCCAGCGGTCGGAAGCTGACAATGGAGAACAAACCAGACTCTATATTCTGGATATGATCCAGTAGGCTACCTGGAGTCGGTGGGGATGCTGGCAAACCTCCATCTGCCCCAGACCCTGGCACTGATGACAGTGGTGATGCGTCGTTTTCGACCTGTGATTGATGCTGATCCGGTGCAGGGGCTCCAAGGCCTGATCAAGTATGACAAGTGTAAGTATGCATATATTCCCGGATCACGACTTTCTCGAGATGTTGTGGGATCTAAGTAGATGACTCATGCGATGGTACTACTGGTACCTGGCTTACCTGTGGACCTGGGTGCGGGAAGGTCTTCTTCCCTTATCGGCTTGGCTATTGTGTCGATTAACACAAGTAAAGGCCCTAGGAACAACACAACGGGCATAATCTGACTGAATCCCCAACTGTTGACCTGGGGCCGAGCCATTCTGAGATCGAAGAGCCTTAGAGATCCCCAAGAGGCTGACACCAGAAGCCAATAGACCTGCCCGGGGATATTATCTCAGTGCCTGGTTCGTACCGATCGCTGTTGATATGCTTTGAAAAGGACACCTGAACTTACCTCGGCTACCGTTGAAGTATATATCAAATAGTATGTCTCCCCGAGGATAAGGGCCGAGACAAGAGGTTGAATATTGAGAATGTAATACACCCTCTTTCGTGTCAAGGGAATCCCGGACGAGGTAGTACGGACGATGGCTTTGACGGCTGGCATGCATAGCCGCACCACAATCTCGCGAAACGTTCGGTCCCATACTTTAGACACCGTTTTGTGGAGCTTCAAGACGCGGAGGAGAATGTTATAAAGAAGGAGCACGACCGCGGAGAGGACATCGATGTTCTGTAGGTCCACTCCCGAGCGAGGAAGCTGAAGAAAGCAAATCGCCGGTAGATCGTCGTCAAAGTCGGTGTCTGCTGCTGCTAGTGTTGCCGTGATTACCATTACCGCGAGGATGCCCATCAAGATTAGTCTTAGCAATCGTTTAACCTGGGTTTGATGGAGATAAGTGCGGAGACACGATACTGCCGCTAGGTGCGTGATGGTGGAAAACCAAGCCACTCGTACTATCATCTTCCAGTGGTATCCAGACAAGCCACGGGTGGCTTCGTAATAACCGCTGGTGAGGATGGCGATTCCGCTCACAATCTGGAGGTCGCTAAGTGACATAACGACCTATTCATGCATTTCCGGTCAGTAACTCTCAAACTACCGTAAGGCCAAATCGTGGAAAGGTATCACCTCATTGACGGAGTCGCGGGTACCGCAGCTCTGCAGCTTGCGCCAGAAACTGCGCGTAGTCTGGCTGCCACTAGCCAGCAAGAGCCGGCGGAGGATGGCATTTCTGGTGTTATAGAATAACATGTCGATTGAATTCGGTCTTTCAAGCTTTTCAGTCGGGTCGTCACTAAACGGGTCTATGGTTGGGTTGTAGAAAAGCACGTAGTAAATGACAAGGATGAACACCACGAGCCACGCTGGTCCGAGGAACCCTATAATGACCTAATGGGCACCTTATTTAGCACCGTACACTCCAAAGGCCAATGGAAATCGGTAGGAAGGATACGCCTAGAACATACCCCTATTCCAGCAATATCAGGGTCGGGATGGTGGTCTGCGTAAGTCGAGCAATTGAGACCCCGAGCTTCCATTTCTTCCCGATGTACTGAAAGACGACTTCTGTTGTGTCACTGCGAGTTTCGCGTGGGAAGACCAGGGATGGAGCCTCAGGTAGGTTATAAAATATAAAGGCACCGCAAGTGCCTGGGGCGGTACTCATATCCCTCATCCGCCGCAACCCTAATCACAGCCTCTCCCTCACATGCATACAGCCACCACCGATAGTCACACCGGATAGAGCCTGCTGTAAGTAAACTGCAAGACCTCGACTTACTCAACTTCCTTGCACATAGATTGAGGTCCTACGGTGAGTTCATGGTGTGTATCCCGCACCGAATAATCCTTCTACTCCAGACCCCGACGAACCCCTCCATGGGTCGGTTAATGATTTGGCAGTATAGAGAGTCATAGTGACAATGGCGAGCCCGAGTATGTAGGCTGTTTTCGTTAATAGAGCGTGTATCCAATTAAGCATCCAAACTGGGCGCCTGTGAGATAATTCGCGTCTAATCGTAGGTTCAGCGCAGGGTAGCCAGGGTAGAGCAAAGGACCCAAAAGAGAGAAGTTGATGGTGATTAAGTATGAAAGCCAGCTGTAGTTAAACGTTCTGACAGGTTGTATTGTACAGTAGGTAGTGTACGAAGTACGGATAGCTCCGTTTATTAGGTAACCAGGAGCTTAAGGCTGAGTCCACTTACCATCACCCGTAGGGTTCTTAACCAGCGCCAGTTCTTAAGCAGACCCACACTTTGCCAGCTGTGCCAAGACTTGACGGATGCAGGGCCAATTCCCATTGGCCCTGGTTAAGAACTGACGGTGGTTAAGAACCCTAAGTTAACGTTACGTATGATGGTAAGCACCGCAGCGAAGTGACCGAACTGCTGATCTAAGCAGCCTCATCGGTGGGGCCAGCTCAGACTGTTGCCAAGCTCGAGCCAAGTTACCCACCAATTTGGGTCGATAAGATAAGCTTTCCTTGGTCGACACTTGAAGGCGACGGCGGGCCAGGAAGCATACACACCATCGACCGACAAGAACCTATCGCCGGAGACATGTCGTCGAAGAGGTATGCCCTCGTCCCAATGGACGATGAGCCCTCACCGGCCCAAGATGATCGGAGGAACAGAGAAGACAGGAAGCATCGCAAACGGGACCGGTCTCACGATCGATCGAGGTCACCACGACGACACAAGAGCAGACGCCACGATGGGGACGATTCGCCTCGCCATCGGTCCCGGTCACCTCGCAACAGCGGAGATGGCAGCTCAAGGACAAGTCGTACCGATTCCAAGCGTGAGGATCCCAGGATGGCCGATCTGAGATTGAAATCACGCCAGGAGTATCTTAAAAAGCGGGAGGCCGAGAAGCTTGCCTTGTTGCGGAAGCAGGTCGCAGAGGAAACAGCCGAGTTGAGGTCCGGCGCGCGCTTGACTGAGCGGGAAAAGGCCGAGTTCGCCAAGAACCGCGAGATTCTGCGCCTTGCTGAGGAACGGGCCCGCATCGACGACTACCAGGACGGCTACCGGCTACCGGACCAGTACGGCGCTGACAGCAAGAAGAAGCAAGATGCGCTCTACAAACGACACGTTGAGAGGGACGAGTTTGGCAACGAGAAACACGTTACCGAGTATGAGGAATGGGAGCGGGAGCAGACAGTCAAAGCCAAGGCGCAGATCCAAAGCCGCGAGCGCGAGGACGAAGGCGAATACGACTTCCTGCTGGACGAGGATGCCATTACATTCGTTCGTGATGCGGCAAAATATGCACAGCCAAACGACGGCCTCACGCAGGAGCAACGGATTTTGAAGGAGAAGATTGAGGCTGCCGAGAAAGCACACAAGACCATTCAGGAGGTCAGAAAGAGTCTGCCTGTCTACGCATACCGCGACGCCTTTTTAGACGCCATCAAAGAGTACCAGGTTCTGATTCTGGTGGGTGAGACTGGCTCAGGCAAAACGACTCAAATCCCCCAGTACCTACACGAAGCTGGTTTCACCCAGGATGGCATGAAAATTGCCTGCACGCAGCCACGCCGTGTTGCAGCCATGAGCGTTGCCGCCCGTGTCGCCGATGAAATGGGCGTGAGGGTTGGCCACGAGGTTGGCTACTCAATCCGGTTCGAGGACTGTACCAGCGACAAGACCATCCTCAAATACATGACAGACGGTATGCTTCTCAGGGAAATGGTCACATCGCCAACGCTAGAAGACTACTCGGCCATCATGATCGACGAGGCCCACGAACGGACGGTGCATACCGACATCCTTCTGGCACTAATTAAGGACCTCACCCGTGCCAGGCCCGAGTTGAAGTTGATCATCTCGTCTGCGACACTAAATGCCGAGAAATTCAGCGCCTATTTTGATGACGCGCCAATCTTCAACGTTCCCGGCCGGGTACACCCGGTCGAAGTCTACTATACCTCTGCTCCAGAGAGTAACTATCTAGAAGCCAGTCTAGTGACTGTCTTTCAAATCCACGCAACACAGCCAGAAGGTGGTATCCTCGTTTTCTTGACTGGCCAGGAGGAAATTGATAAGGCATGCGAGAGAGTAGAGGAGATTAAGCGGAAACTAGGGAGCCGAGTGCCCGAGATTATCGCCCTTCCCATCTACGCAAACATGCCGTCCGAGTTGCAGGCAAAGATCTTTGAACCAACACCCCCAAAAGCGAGAAAAGTCGTCTTTTCTACAAATATTGCCGAGACGTCACTGACAATTGACGGGATTGTCTATGTTATCGACTGCGGCTATGTGAAGGAGAACACATTCAGCCCCGTAGGGACCACGGGCCAGTCGACACTCGCCGTAGTGCCTTGCTCAAGGGCTGCAGCAAATCAACGGATGGGCCGAGCCGGCCGTGTACGACCCGGCAAGTGCTTCCGCCTCTACACCAAGTTCGCCTACCTCTCCGAGATGGACGAGTCGCCGACGCCCGAGATCCAGAGGACATCGCTTTCCAGCGTGGTTCTGCAGCTCAAGGCTCTCGGGATTGACGACCTCCTGGGCTTCGACTTTCTCGACCCGCCGCCCACCGAGCTCTTGATCAAGTCGCTCAACATGCTCTACGCGCTAGGCGCGCTGAACAGCGCCGGTGCCCTGACACGCGTGGGGCGGCAGATGGGCGAGTTTCCAGCAGAGCCCATGCTGGCCAAGGCACTCATCGCCGCAACGCAGGAGGGCTGCGTGGATGAGATGCTTACGATCGTCTCGATGCTGGGTGAGGTGGCAACGCTCTTCTTCCGGCCCAAGGACAAGAAGGTGCACGCCGACAGCGCGCGGGCCCGGTTCACGGTCAAGGACGGCGGCGACCACATCACGCTGCTCAACGTCTACAACCAGTGGGTCGACGCCGACTACTCGCCCATCTGGGCCAAAGAGAATTTCCTGACGCAGCGGTCGCTGACGCGGGCGCGCGACGTCCGTGACCAGCTGGCCAAACTGTGCGACCGCGTGCTGGAAGGATCGACGTCGTCGTGCGGCGGTATTTCGAATATGCAGCCCATCCTGCGGGCGCTGACGTCGGCCTTCTTTTTGAACGCGGCGCGCCTCAACCGCGGCGGCGACGGCTACCGCACGCTCAAGAATAACATCACCGTCTACGTGCACCCCAGCAGCGTGGTCAAGGCCATGGACCCGCCGCCCAAGGTGATTATATACCATGAGTTGGTGGTGACGTCGCGCGAGTATGTGCGGTCCGTCATACCCATCGAGGCGAAGTGGCTGTCGGAGTTTGGCGGGCATTACTATGACAAGAAGGATGTTGAGTTGCTCGAGGCGAAGAAGTTGCCCAAGGAGAGGAAGTACTAGTGTTGTGCTGTCTGTATATACCCAGCGGAGAAAAGGAGAAGGTCCAGTGGATGGGAGTTTTGGGGTGGGTTTTTGGCTTGAATAAAAGGAAGGGGACGTTCAAGGCGTGGAAGGACAGGCACCGGACTGCATACAATGAAACCCATGACCTGCATTTCGGTCAAAAGCTTGCTACATCTCCTGATATAGTCTGTGTAAGGTGATGCTTCACTGTGATGGGAATAGCTACCTTATTCGCCTTGCCTATTAGTCACCCTGTTCACCTGATGTAACCTGGATGAAGGCACGAAGTATAGCCCAAAGTCAACTGAAAGTGCGCTGAATTGGCAGCCTTGGCCGCTAACTAAGGCTCAGCTTCAGCCTTAGGCGCGGCTGAGCCCCGCTAATCTTTCAGCGGCTTTCAGTGGTTCCGGTAGCTACCGGAGCACTCATTCACTCCTGCAAGGCTGCATTTCTCACCTCAACCATCCCCTTTTCTCACCCTGGCTGCTCCGTGTTGATTACGGCTAAAGCGTTGGAGAGAAAGAGACTCTCTACGACTCTGCTTGGCGCAGACTAGGTCTCAACATGGCGGCACCACAATCGCAACCAGCTGCGCGCAGCGGCATGTCGCTATATGCAAACCTGCTTGATTCAGGCGAGAATGACGACTCTGCCTCGCGCGATTCGTCGCTGCTTAAAGATGAGGGCAAGGACGACGGGCCAGCGAAGAAGCCCATAGATCCTGGTATGCAATATCTATGACTCCGAGGACTAAATGCAACATTGCTAAATACCGTCCAGCTCTCCGGTTCCAACCCATCCGGCGGCCGCAAGCCAAGCAACCCAACAAGCCGAAGCCAACCTTCCCCAAGGCGCCTCCCGCTATCCCTGCCCCGGCACCCGCACAACCTCGCAGCACTCTCGCCGACTGGGCCGCTACCGAAGAGGATGAGTATCTCTACGCTGCAGGCGAGAAGCGGCAGCGCGGCGGGCGCAGGAAGAAAAAGAAGAAGGGCAAAGACGACCCTATTGAGACCAACTGGGACGAGATATACGACCCGGCACGGCCCACGAACGTGGAAGAGTACCTTCACAGCGAGGAGCGCATACAGGAGGTGCAGGAGTGGAAAGCAGCCCTGTACGCCCACCGCCGGCAGCGGAGGAGATCTAGCTACGGCAGCGACACACGCAGCGACGAGGAAGAGGAGAGAGGGCGGCCAAGGAGTAAGCCACAAGCCATTCGCAACAGCTACCATGTAGTATCTGACGCTAATGGTGAAATCGCAGACCAATTCGCCCATCCAGCGTCCCTCAATTTCGCGCCGCCGCCTCTCTCACCACCACCCCGCGCGCCGGCCGTGCCTGTCCCAGACGACGCAACCGGCGACGATGCATATGCCCGCCGCATGGCATTGTCAGGCATGGCACCAGCTCCAGCACCAGAACCAGCAGCATCACCCAGCCCGCCACCCCCGCCTCCACCCCCGCCGCCGCCCCCTCCCCCTGACTCCGGACCAGCACCTCGCCCCACACAAGGAGACACCCCAGGCGTGACCATCTCCCGCGCACCGGTCCGCTACGAACAGCAACAACCCGCAGAACCACCCGGCCCAATGGATCTCGACAACAACGTCGAGGCCGACGACGATGAAGACGACGACGACGACGACGAAGTAGATTACTCCTCCATCCCGCTCGCCCCGGCCTCTTCCACCACCAACAACCCCTCCGAAGGAGGCCCTCCACAGCAAGACGAAGACGGCAACGGCAACAGACGACCCGGCAAACCGGGCTTCGCTGCACGTCTTATGGCCAAGTACGGATGGACCAAAGGCTCTGGGCTCGGCGCATCCTCGTCCGGGATTACCTCCGCTCTCCGTGTTCAGGTTGACAAAACCAAAAAACGCCGTCGCCGGCCCGACGCCGAGGGCGGGGGGTTCGTGGACCCGCCGCCGCCGGCCGGCGGGCGCGTCGGGCGCATCATTGCACCCAAGCAGCTGACCAAGGGGTCCGCAACGGGTGGTGGAGGGGATGGGGAAGAGAATAATAATGAGGGGTTTGGCAAGACCAGCCAGGTGATTGTTCTCCGCCACATGCTGGATAACATGCCCGACCTGGAGGCTGAGATCGAGGCTGGCCTGGGCCAGGAGATTGGCGAGGAGTGCGGGGACCGGTATGGGCGGGTTGAGAGGCTGTTTATTGATGTTGCGGGAAGAAGGGTGTTTATCAAGTTTACTGACGGGGTTTCGGCTTTACGGGTGAGTTTCTCTCTTTCCCCCCTCTTCCCAATACCTTACCTTTCAGTTTTGGATTGGTGTTCTACTCTGACACGCAAGGTTTAACCATTCATTGTATACAGGCCGTGAACGCGCTGGAAGGGAGGATCTTCAACGGCAACGCCATCGCGGCGAGGTTCTATGACGCCGACAAGTTTGAGGAGGGGATCTATGATGCGTGATCCGACATGACGGCGGAGGCTGGGTTATGATCAGTGATAGGCCTTAGTATGAGATCTGAGCACCGGCTGGTATTCCACTACAATCAGAACAAAGCAGACGGGAGCTGCGCCGGGAGCCGGGTAATGCTGCGGATCGATGCGGATATGTATGTACGTATAATATCATGACTTCGGCGCAAAAGCTACCTAGGCAAACTAGCCACCGATGCTGAGGCCTACTGTAGATGAACATTACCTGCAAACCGCAAAGTTCAAACGGACACGAAGTCAAATCCCCCCTTCACACCACATGTGGGCTCGACTCTGAGCATCACACAACCCGATTTACAAGCCCTTCCTCATTATCGCTATTATAACGGTTCTAAGAAATCTTCATACAGGAAAAAACAAGAGAAAAAAAGGGAGTACAGCAGATGGCTGCTAGTTAGGAACAAGCAACTCCCCGAAACTCCCTTACGCTCGTCGACCTAAACTGTCCGTACTAGTCAACTACTCCGTATCTTATTTGACTTCTTCCCCGACCGGTCACCCTTGCGGCATGAACACCAGGCCAACTTGCAATTCCACAGCCTCCCCCCTCATATCCCTCTGCCTGGCGCTTAACGTATGCGAGACAGTTTAACGGAGATTTGAATCACACAAAGCCCACAAGCGGACCAAGAAACCAGTTGCTCAGCAAATTCGGCCAATCTTGAAATGAGAGATTATTAAGTCTAACAGGCGGGTTCCAATATGTAGTTATGGCTGGCAATCGGTATGTGCGGGCGGCTCCAACAGCCGGTGACAGAGAAGCCCAGACAGTTCCTCAAATGTAAGGGGGAAAGGTCTCGAGTGGTGTGATCTGAGCTGACGCAACGGCATCCGCGAGAGGGTGCCATAGACAACAGCCATCTTGCATTATCCCGACCTAATTTGTAGAAACCCTCCAGGGCCGCAATTCCTCTTTCCATCATCAGAGGGCCGAGGCAACGGCAGCAACGGCAACGAGGCCGAAGAGAGCTGTGTTGAGTACCAGACCGGCAGCACCGTTGTCGTTGTTTCCACCATCGCTGCTGTCGCTGCCGCTGCCACCAGAAGATGAGCCACCAGAGCTGGTATCATCGTTGGCATCCGCGACCTTGCTAGTGCACGCGTAAGTACCCTTGACCTTGCCTTCACCACCCTGGGAGCTGGGGGCCAGCTTTCCAAGAGTGTCACAAGACGAGTTGATATCTTCGGTACTCGCGACATCGAAAGCGCCCTCGACAATATCCAGCTTGGGGAAAGCAACCCTGAAGGAAAGTGTTTGTCAGCAGGCGACGACTAAAATCACGAACGGATGACTCACTCTTTGAAGCTGCCCCTGAGCTTGACAGCGCCGCCTACTGATTCGAGCTCGGGGAAGGCCGTCATCTTCTCCAAGGCCGTGTTGTTTGCGATCAGCAAGCCGCCCCCGATCTTGGTCAAAACGGGGAAGGTAAGGTTATCCAGGTTGCTGTTGCCGACGAACGAGATATCGCCCGATGAAGTTTCGGTCAGGTTCGGTGCGCTGAAGGTGGAGAAGTAGTTGCTGTCAAACCGAGCCGAGCCGTTGACAATTTCCAGCGAAGGCACCTGGAAGTCAGTGACGTTGGCAATGGTCATGTTGGCGATCCAGATAAGGTTCGGCAGGGAGACATTGAGTGAAAGACCGTTGGCCTGAATATTGAGGTTCTCGCTGAGGCTGCCGAGCTTGCTGGTAAACGTGCTGAGAAGTCGATTGTTGTTGATGTCAAGCAGCCTCACGGTAGACAGATCAATGCCTTCCAAGGTGTTAAGGAACGTGTCACTGATGATGACTTGATCTGCCTTGGTCAGGGGTCCGAAGGTCGCAGTCTGCAGGTTGGTGACGGATGTCCAAGAGAGCGACCCGACCGATTCGAGTTCCGAGAAGTCGAGGCTAATGAGCTTCGTCACGTTGTTCATCTTGAACTCGCCGCCAATTGTCTCCAGCGAGCTGCTTTGCAAGGTCTCGAGAGCGCCATTGTTGAGAATCTGCAGATCGCCTGTAATCTCCTCCGGGCCAGAGAGACTGATGGCCCCGGCAGCATCTTCGGCGAGAACAATGCTACCGCTAACCGTACGGCAGCCACTGAGCCCAGTGGCATCGGCCTGACTGTGAATAGTCGTCGTGGATACGGTGCAAGTCCTAGATTGGGCTAAGCAATCAAGTTAGTCATGCATTTTCTCAGTGCCTGTCGGAAATAGCGGTTGACTTGGACATACCTGCGGCCGACCCGATTGCCGCGAGGGCGGGAATAACACGCTTGACCAGCATTATTACCACTTCTACTGTTCAATCACCGTGATTAGCAATCCGAGTCTGCAATGATTGAGAATCAAGATGGCGGAGGTCCCGGGAAAGGATTCGTAGTGATGCCAGGAATCTGAAAATCAGATTCCACAGACTTTCCAGTGACGGTCTAGGCAAGGCCGAGCAGGATGGGCAAATCACTAATCCAAAGCGACAATTCTGCCTTCTGATTGCCGTCGACTGTGTTGGTCCAGGCTCCGAAGGTTGGTAGAGTTTCGGACGTACCTCTAGTGGAGAGACAAGCTGGTGGAATGGCTCGCAGCGATGGTTGTCAACCCGGAAATGAGAAGAGTCGATGGAGGTTCAGTTCGGACAAGTTTGGCAAGAAATAGAGAAAGAGCGAGGTGACGAGCTTCGTTGAACCTCTTGCTCGCTTCCTCCAAAGTATCACAGTAACGAGTGAACGAATTGAAACCTAACGAGAGGAGGGAGAAAGAGGTGATGTAAATCAGAAAGGAGAGAAGCGCGGTTTGAGCAGTGGTCCAAGGGGCAGGAAACACGCAGAAAACCTGCAAGGAAGGGGGTGATTGAAGAAATTACTGCAGGAGGGCCGTTCTTGATAAGCACACACCCCGGTCTGTTACGCCCCTGACACTGACGGTTTGAAATCTTTGGATGAACAGCAGCTGTTACTTGCGAACTCTCCCCGCCGTTGTCAATTGTCGGTCATCAGTTACTCAATTAATGGCTTGTCTAAGCATAGAAATGTACAATACCAGAATCCAGTTGGAATGTGTTTCCCTTCGTCAGGACTCACAGGACAAAAATCAACGATGGGTTCTCGTATTGTGCAACGTCTTTGAACAGAAGAATACGAATCCCTTTTCCTGCGATTCACCCGATCTTGGCGAAATGAAGGTGTGGATCTAACATCCAGCCAAACGACTCAATCCTTGTCACCCCCGTCCAACTTCCAAGCTCGGCCGACGATGCCTGTTTTGGCGGCCGTCTTGGCTGGCAAGGGGCTCATCTTGATTCCTGTGGCGAGATTGCGTTCCTCAGTCCAAGCAACTCGAACAAGCCACACAGAGTCGATGAAGAAGGCATAATTACTGGGATTTGGTTATCATATAAGTTATGTGCTATCCAACCTCAAATATTACTTCGTACTGGCGCTTTTTGGTTCCCGTTGGTTCTTGAGCTTCGCCGTTGCTCTTTGGCGACGGCATCCGGCGCCCAAACACAGGATCTTCGCATGACGCAGCAGCTTTTTGCAGGTTGCAAGTGATAGAAAGGTGTTGATCCTAAGAGTGTTTTGTTTATTGTGTATTGTACACAACCCAACACATGTACTGTAGTCTTATGACGTCGGTGCCTTGGTTACAAGAGCAGCGTGTCTATAAACATCCCCTTAAGAGCCCGGCATCATATGTAGTGCATAACAATGTGTACCGGTAACTTCGTAGCTAATATCTGATATACAGTACAATCTAGCCCCTGAGAAAGTGAGAATGTCTCTATGAAGCCTACAAAAAGAGGGACATGCAGGTTGGAACTCCTGGAACCAACCTAAGGTACGGATACTACACCATTCCTCGGAATAGTACTGCATTGCCCATAAGTGATCAAGAACCTGAGTGATCTGGTTTGCAATTGCTGATTATGGACACTACAGTATACCGGTAGTCCCGTCCACACCGAGATCAGGCACTAGAACGCAGATTCCCATCTTGGGCGGCGGGTGGCTTGCTGCCAGCTGCACTGTTTCCTTATCTTGCCGCGATTGATGTTACAACCCATACCCCCATTGTTGTTCGACAGAGCCTGACTTTAAGGCCAGGCCAGCTGTAAGATTCTAGTTCCAACCTTACCACGACCCATTTGTTTCATGGAAGGGTATTGAGAAGAACATTCCTTTCGAGTAATGCTAGATACGTAGTCTCTTTCCACACTGGACCCGTGTCAGATGTTATATGACCCGTCGAAGAATATTGGATGAACTGAGAGTAAGGTACTGTATCAGAGAGTGGGGTGTGGCTTGCTGCAGGGCATTACCGGTAGCATAAAGTAGTGACGTCGACCTCCCCACTATAGCTGCATGTCTTAGGTACTTTGTATCATGGTGATACAGAACGCGGAAGGCGGACACCGAGCAGCAGGTTTGCTTCGTGCCCTCATTTGAACACTCGACAATTGAATACTTCGCCGGGCATTGCAGCTGTATCCAATTCATGCTTGCGCAAGCTCGGGCAGATGTATTGATCCGCAACAACAAAACATCTGTCCCTAAGTTCCTTGGCGTTTCTCATTGTGGCGCAGGTGTCCCCGCAGCCGCATCGGGCGTTCACCGTGCAGGTCACTTCTCGTGTCCAGACCTTGTGTGCCTTCCTTGGTTTGACGAAGAAGACTTGAATTCATGACATGGCGCCGGCAAGGAACGGCATCTTGTCCTGTTGTTGCACTGCGGAGAACTGAAACATGGTTTACAGCGTCTAGCAATCAGGACCAATCTGTCTCCGAGGCTGGTTGCCCGGCTTACGTATGCCGACCATGACAGAGTACAGGCCGAAACAGACAAGCTTCCACGTGTCGATCGGCAGGGCAAGGGATCGTTGGCATCGAAGAGAGCTACTACACTGTACATGTCAACGACAGGCTGGTTTGCCAATGACACCGCCATTCATACCCGTGCTACCGATTACTTTCCCACGAGCCACGAGGCGCAGAGGGGGTGGCACAAGTGGCATCCATCCGTTGGGAAGATAAGATGAGACAAGGAGACAAGATGACGAAAAGCAACATTCCGCCGCTTACTCGAGCGTGCTAATATCCGTCTCTTCAACCCTCCACATATACCACATGAACAGGCTCCGATAGGGCGCAAACCTACCGCTAATCTCCTCCATCTCCTTCTCGCTCATATATTTCCACTTGCCGCCCTTGGCCTTCAGCTTAGCCACGTCCCGCCCGACAAAGGCAGCCATGCCGCGCTGGACCCCCAGGTCCCCGAGCGAGAAGACATCCATGCGCTTGAGCGCGAAGCACGCAAACATCTCGACGCTCCACCTCCCGAGCCCGCGCACCGCCGTCAGCTTCTCGAGGATCTCTTCGTAGGGCGCGTCGGCGAGCATCTGCGCCGTCAACTCCCCGGACGCGAACTTCTCGCCCAGTCCCTTCAGGTACTCGGCCTTGCGCTGCGAGAGCCCCGCCGTGCGCAGCTTCTCGATCGAGGTCGCGGCTACCTGTGAAGGATGCGGGAAGCGCCTCGCGGCCGTGGGAGTTGTACTGCCATTGTCATTGCCGCTGCCACTATCGCCCTCACCGCTATCAAACAAGGCTATGAATCGCGCCTTGATTGACTTTGCCGCTGCACCGCTGACTTGCTGCGAGATTATGCTGCTGGCCAACGCCTCGAAGGGATCCACCTGTTCTGCCAGCCCCTCGGGCGAGAAGATGCGGCAGTGGTGCTTTTCGATCAGCGGCTTCATGCGCGGGTCGACCTTGATGAGATGTGCGCAGGCCTCTTCGAGGATGTTGGTCGTTGTTGTAGGAGTCGTTCGCGTGAGACCCTCACGGAGCTTGGACGGCGACACGGTGTCGACCGGCTTTGAGGCAATGATCCGCGACGTCTGGGGCGAGCGGAGAAGGGCGTTCGTGCGGCTTGGGTCTGCCAGGCGGTTGATTGCTGCCGCACGAGGCTTCTGCGGAGTTGTGCTGCCATTTTGCGCTCCCTCAACGATGAGCTTCACTGCGTCCGGCGTTGGTGTTGCTGGCTGTTCTGCATCCTCCTTCACCGTTCGTCGCCGCCGTGGGGTTGACGGTATTATGTTCGCTCCATCAGCTGCTGGAACCGGCGCTTCTGCTTTCCTCTTGCGAGCTGCGACGGTACGGATTGGCGTAGGAGCTAGGTCAGTGCTTTTGATGCCATTTGCCATAGCACTGAGGCGAGCTGATCTTCGCGATGCCATGCCGCCGGCTTTGGTCGAGACAGCTACGTAGAGGAGCGGGCTCGGAGAAGCGGGTTGTAAGTGTTTCCAGTTACCACCGCTTCGTGAAGATCATATGATAAAATTCGCAAGTCAAAAACGTATTGCTTGCGCAAGGGACTGAGAACCAGCGGCAAAAGCGATACGGCAATTCGCCTGGCGCCTCCTATGAGCTTCCAACTGGAGAAAGGTAAGGTAGGTCCGGGAGGTTATGTAAAGTTAGGTAGCCACTAATAATGGTGCCCGGCAAAATATCGGAGACGATCAAGGGCTTCGAGAGGGACAAGCCACTGTCGGAGTTGTAGGGGGAACAATGGTCAAAGGGCTATTGCCGAAATGTCGTTGGTGACACGCACTTGACATTTAAGGGGATGAGACGCGCCCTTTGATATGTAATCACGCTCTAGGCGCCTGCTCACGTGGCAGTGGGACTTCAGGGGGTTGTCAATTTGGAACGACACCCAGCCTGCCGTCATCCGATGTATCCATATCGAGACCGAAATTCGATATTCATCGTCATGAAAAAGCATAAAAGTTGGAACCAAGCCGATATGTGGATTGGTATGGTAGGTAGTTACATGATCATCCATCCGACCGGCATCTTCAGGTAAGCCGTCATTAGTGGCAGTAGTTTGAATTACATGTCACCTCGTCCATCATTTAGTGATGAGCCCGATCTTACTTGTGACTCGGGGCTGCTCGATGCTCGTCAGCCCCTTCCTTGCCCCTCAACCTGTACGAGCATCGCCGACTGTGAATGGATAGACTGTTATGCCTGCTTCTTCCCTAGTGGCCCTCCGCCGGGGTGGTGTTTCCGGTATTAAAAATTCGGGATGGAGTTGCTGCGATATCCCAGCCTCAATTAACCAAAGTCAGCAATCAACGGCAAACGGTTTGGCCGTTGACAGGAAATCGGGTTCGTCCGACGGTCATTCTGAGTCTTGACTTCTCTTCTCCATACATCTTATCCAGAGACTTCCGAGGCCTCACGTACCTAGTCAGGTATGCTGATACTTATTCACCAGCCACTCATCAACTCAACACAGCTCGTTTGTCACGACCCGGCCAGCATTCATTTATTGTCTGATATATCCACCGCCTATTCCTCCTTCCCGTGTTTACTCCCCACTCCCCGGGGCCATCGACGGACTACGTCGGTAGACACCTCACTACTACCCACCCACCATATCCCCCCAGCCCGTAAACTCTGCCCAGTCAGACCCCTTGATCCTGGATCACCCTCAACAGGGCGAGTTCCTCTCAGTATCACCTCCCGTCAGTAGGTAGCCAATGCATTGATACAGTACAACGAACGCAGCAAATGCAGCACGGTAACCAACACCCAAAACTGGAGAGAAGAGAGAGCCCAAAAAGGTAAAATGAATAAATGGATAAAGATGCCTATCGCCAGCCATGTACCATGTGCCTTGTAGATGCAGCCCAGTGTAGAGACCCGAACCGAACCGAGTAGAGCAGAAACAACAAAAAAAGCTGGCAAGGTTGCTAACCTAATAGTTGGTAGTAATATAGAGAAAGCCTCCTAGAAGCACACAACGTTGCGTGCCCAGTCAATCATGTGCCGTGGTGGTAAACCGTAGATGCCGCATGCCGCCTGTCTGCCTGCCTGGCCCCCTGTCCAGGACATCATAGGAGGCAAAAGGACAAAACACCGCCCTCGCTGAGATGAATGGATCAACCGTTCCCATCAATAACCACCATGAGAAGATGGGCAGGAAAAAGTCTGCTACCGCCCTAGACGCCCTTCGCCGCCTTCTTGGATCGCCGTGCCCCAGTAGCTGTGTGCAGAACTAACCAGGGCGAAATATGGATACATACGTGCTCGCACCGGTCTGCCTTTTCGGATTTGGGTATCGCATCAAGAAAAGAGGAGGAATGAGTCTCGGTAACTCCCGTATTGCTATCCCCCTTTCTTCCAGAGTCTCTACCTCTGTCACGATTGCCGGTCACAGTTCTGTTTTGGGTTTCCTGGACCGGCAATCAAGAGATGAGCGATTCGCATCAGCTTGGTCTAGAATCCGGCCACATGCTCTGAACGGAAAAAAGGTAAGAATATCCGCCGTGATCTCCAGCGTTTATGAACCCGAGAACTCGGGCCGTCCAAAATCATGCAGCTTATGCTTTCCGCTGGCGCGCGCCTGGTTGAGGTGGCTCATGACCGACTCGTACGTGAGCATCGTGACCGTGGCGGCAGGCACGGCGCGCATCATGTTGGTGCCCATGCCGGCGTAGAAGGCCCTCCACCCTTCCTCGCGCAGCATGGTGCGGAAGGTCGAGACGATGCCCTTGTACTTGGGCCCTGCTGGTCGCTGCTGCTGCGCGTCCCCGTTTCCAGCCCCTTGCGCGGCCACGCCCCCCAGGCCCTCCATGTACTCGCGGCCCGGCGTCGGCCGCCGCTGCGTTTGCAGCCTTGTGCGGATGACTTCGTGCGGATATGTCGCGCTGCTGGCGACGATTTTGGACAATATTGACGCCGAGAGGATGCCGAACCAATGCTCCTTGTCGTCCTGGCCTTCTTGCCGCGCAGCTCCCATGGCCCGGCCCGTAAACTTCATCCGGAGATACTCATATGTCGGAATGTGGACAGCAACGTGGGTCAGGCCGAGGAGCGCCGGCGTGAGCCCGGAGTAAAAGGAGAGGATGCCTTCTGTGCTGTACATCTTGCGGGCGGCATCCCACGAGGACCTATAGTGCCATGGTTGGTGGAGCGTTGGGCGTGACGTCGGTGTGTTGGGACTCCTGGGGCCTAGGGAGAAGCCGGCCCTGTCGTGACTGGCTGTTTGAGACATGAGACGCGTTTTTATGACCCATATCGGGTTGGTGACGATGGTGCTGCTGGCCCCGGCGATGATGGAGGACCAGAAATTGACTATTAGAACATTTTCTGTAGGGTCCGTGTTAGCAATCAGCGCCCCTTTGCCTCCGGGTTCCCGTGAGCTCACTTTGGTACTGGCCTACGGCCTCCTTGCTCTTGTTGTAAACTGTGAACCACACAGCCCAGGTTGGTAGGTAGCCCATTATGATAGGACCCAAACCCCTGTACAAGCCCCTGATACCCTCTTCCTTCCATATTACGCTTGCTGTGCCAACTAAGCCCTTATACACCCTCGTCGGCCGGGAATTCTCTGCTCCCGGGACTGCGAAACCTCCCTGCGCCTGGAGCTTGGTCTTTATAACGTCCAATGGACATGTTACAACGCCTGATGTGAAGCCCCCTATTGCGCCAGCCAGCGCATTGAATTGCGAATTCGAAGCGTCGATGGCCCATCGCTCCGTAAATGTGAGCTCGTCGAGACCCGACATTGTCTTGCCGGCCGTCGTCTTCACCGAATCCGCCCTTATCCTTCTGGGTGCCGCCGATGTGGCCTGCGATACCTGGTCTGCTGGCAGAGCTACCCCATATTCTGCCGGAGATGCGGGTGCGGGTTGTCCGTGTGGAGATAAGTGGTGTTCCTTGTGAGACATGCCGCCTTTGACGGGGAGCACACGCCGTGTTGCTGCGGGCGCGGCAAGAGGCTTCTGTCTCCGGAGTGACCTAGCGTTTTGTGATGTCTAATCTCGGTTTTCCGTGTAGGCGTTTCGCTCTCGTGTGGTGATGTCTGCGATTCCCTATGATGCCGGTGCGCGGGGAAGGCGCCCGCACTGGCAGGGGATCGTGACAACGACTAGCACTTCCCACTATTCATCGAGTTAGATACGAAGTTCGACTGCTGATACAAGGCCGTGTTTCGGCTTCGTACGATTCGGGCGAAAGCGGTCCGAAAAAATCCCAAGCAAAATGGTTGAGAGTTGGCGGGGAGAATGGCGGAGGGGCTTGAAAGGTGAATGTTCTTGGCAACGGGAGTGGACTGGACGTCGAGGTACCGGTGACCGCCGACGGACGGGCCGCACGCGAGCAAGTGTCAGATTCCGGTCGGGAATAAAGGTGCTGGAAGGTGTATGCGCTCCACTGTTGGGCCGGATATTCGTGTTGGCTCTTTACGAGTCAGAAGTGCTCATAAATGCAACGCACGAGGGCTGGCGGAAAAGGTACGGATACTGTACAATACATACATACCGAGGTGGCCGCGATTGCGACAGTTAAAGCCGTCTGAAATGCGAAGTGCTGGAGATCGGATGCAAAATTGTCGCAAGAGATTCGAAAGTGTAAGATGCTGCCCCAATTGAAGCCTATATCTCTTGCTTAGGGACCGGCTGCTAATCGAAGGAACCTAAGTTGATATAACTCCTTTCTCGGGCCTCTTACGTAGGTAGAGGCTGGAACTCTTTCTGATATTCGACGTTATCAATTGGGGTCCGCGGTGACAGCGACCAATCCAGGTTTCTGAGCAATTACCTCATCATCCCTGCTGATAATTTAGTGACCGATTGGCGGTCGTGTGCTGAGAAACTGAACTTCCTCACCCTTCAGGCACCCACTCAGGCAGCAACGGCTTTTCCCGGGGACAGCTTCACAAGTCGCAACACCGTCTGATTTTCGCGGCAATTCGGTACCTTACCCTTTAACGGGCCAACAACTTCAGAGCTTACCACGACCCTCAACAAGCAACTCTCACAACAACCGCCACCATGGTGATGCCCGCGCCTTCCCTGGTGAGCGCCGTCGTCAAGCGGCCCTGGCTCACCAAGCTCTTGACTCCGTTGGCCGGCTGGTACGCCAATGCCGCCGGCTATCGCCAGATGGGCCTGCGGTAAGTTTCCCGCCCGCAGTTCCCTCTTTGTGCCGCCAATTGGTTTCTGGCGCCACGAATTCGGGACGAAGACGGAAAAAGAAAGCACAACCTAATTCAGTTCTGACACCACGTTGCATACTGACAGCGCCGACGACCTGATTGTCGAGGAGAACGAGACGGTGCTCAAGGCGCTGCACCGCCTGTCACCCAAGGAGAGCTACGACCGCATCTACCGGATCCGCCGCGCCACCCAGCTCAGCTTGCAACACAAACTCCTGCCAAAGTCGGAGTGGACAAAGCCCGAGGAGGATGTCCCGTACCTGACGCCGATCATCGAGCAGCTCCACGCCGAAGACAAGGAGAGGAAGGAGCTCGACACTGTGGTTGTCCTCAAGAAACACTAGCGGAAGGGACTCTTGCAGTTGTCGGAGGTGGCAATGGGGGTTGTCGTATGCTGGGCACTGTATTTTAGGAAGGGCGCTTCGCAGTGGCAGGACGGCTGGGTCTTTAGATGGGTGAGGACGGCCAGTCACAGAAGGAGTCGGCCTGTATATGTATAGACTGAGGATGTTCATGCAATCAGCAACTGCTCGCCAATTTTACCACCAACCTTTCTTTAAGGAGTACTCTCTATCTATTCATCGGCTGTAGCTCTCGGTCCCTATCGTCCGACATGCTCGCAGAAGTCCTTCAGAAACACGTATGCACGGATAGCAGGGCTAGGCGAGAGATGCCTGGATTTTAGACGCCTCGCCATTTCCTTTCACGAAAGTACAACAAATCTTGCTTGACGGGAAATAGGTAAGGTATATATTACTCATGCTCGTTCCAGCGCCAGTACATCAAGTATTCCAAGCGCCATGTTTGACGCCTGCATAGAAATACAGGCCAAATGTAAACAACCGACACTTACACGCCCGAATACCTCGCGGCAAAGAACCTCAAACACCCATGCCATGAAGTCGTCGTCATAACTGGGTCTCCCAATATGCCACCCACTGCTCGGATATCCAAAATCGGGACGGCAATGTCGCCATAAAGCCCGACAGAGACGACCACTCTAGCCAACACATCGAATGCAATATACCCTAAGGCGCTGCCTCTGCTCGCCCCGGGTGCTGCCTGCCACAGGTGACGGCGGTGAAACAAAATCTCTGCCTCTTAGCAGAAAGTCGAGGATTTTGGGAACGCGTCGAAGTAGGATGTGTAACAGGTCCCCGCGGTTGCAAGGCCAAAGGAGGCGATATGCTCAGTAGCGAAGCCCGTGCTCGATCCCCATTCCAATCCGAATCTGATAGAACAGTAATAAAAAGATCCATTATCGTCTCGGGCCCCTTAACGACCATATCCCCGTTCAACATCACCAATGTCGATGATCCGGTATGCGTGTCGTGGGCTGTCGTACAAATAACTGCTTTACCTGGGGGGATGGGATTTCCTGCCACAGTGTAAACTCGCCGAGGTGGATGAGAATGAGTATGACTCTATGCGTTGCCGGGCTTTTCTTCCGTGTCGATGTGCCAAACTACGTAGTTAGGAAGGCCATAAACACCATACCCGGCTCGCTTTGCCATTTTTGCGAAGCCTTCAGTTTCGGCTTGGTTCTCGAAGGCGTAGCAGGGGAAGTTGATTCCTGTATTGTGTGAGTTACGGCTCACAGACAGAACCGGTCCCGTACTCACCTGATCTGTGAACGTCAGCCTTGACAATGATGTTTACGCCGCCAATGCCGTCCAGCTCTATCTCTTCGTCCTTGTTGTTGCGCCAATCACCCATTCTGGCCATATGTTGTCGTCCGGTGTCGTATTGTTTGTAGCCTGAAGCAATGATCAGCCGAAATATACTGTTATAATCGGTGGCGGAGGCCGGACTTACCCTCAGCAAGCACAACATCCTTGTCCAAGCTCGCAGCAAGTTTGCGGCCTTTGTCAGACTCGACCCAAGAGTTGTAGTCGACTACCAGCTAGTCAGCGATGCATCGAATACAACATAACGAAGCCAAGAGCCTACATCTGCCTTCAATATCGCGCCCGTCCCGGTACCGATGAAACCAAATATCTGCACTCAGTCAGCTCTACCCGCGCATACCTCCATTGGCCGAATCATACTTGGAACAAGAATATCCCGATCATGCGCAATGAAGTCCTCAATGATCTTGTCGGGGCTGTCCACGATATCCACGTCTCTCCAGTACACCCATGAGTGCTCGGGCTTCAGGGCCGTAGCCAGCAGGTAGTTCCGAGCCCTGCCCATAGCCTTCCGTCGTGGGCCTTGGGCCTCGAAGGAATGCCGCTCGCCCACGTCTTGGCTCAGCTTGAAACCGAAATCCTTCTTCACTATCATGGCGCTTCTAAAGGGGACGTCGTCTGGGCGGTTCTGGATCCGTTTAAGTTCGGCAGCGAGAACGGCAAGTGTGTCATCGGTAGAATCGCCAACCAAGAAAGCAAGGTCGATGAGCTTGTGGGGATATGTGAGCTTGGCAAGCAGTTCAAAGTATTTCGAGAGGTACGGAGCAGCGTCCTTGAGGGGAGTGAGGATAAGAATCTTTTCTTCGTTCTGAACGGCCTTGGTTGTGGATTTAATTTGGTTCAGGTCGACATGGGTGATGGTGGTCGAGTTCACTTCTATCGGTGCGTGATTGTTGAAGATTACCGGTGTTTCGAGATGGGCTAGCCATCTTGCTTGCTCGGCCATTGTCATATCCATGGGAGGTTTGGACGGACCCCAGCAATAGAAACTATATGTTTGAGGGGACGAGTTAGCCATCCAAGGGTCCCAACTAGTCGCTTGCGACAACGCGGAAGGATTCTCACCTTTTTAACTCGGGCGCGGTGGAACTAAGGCCGCGCCATAGTAAAAGTATGGTGCCAGTGACGGCAAGGAGGAGAAGGAATCGCGTCCTGGTCAACAGCACCCATAGCGCCCTCGTCGGAGGCAGACTCGCCCTAGCAGCTTTCCAGCTGACGCCTCCTTTGGGAAGAAGCATGCTGAAGTCTGGCCGTGGCCCTCAGCACCACCCCGAAGAGTTGAAGGGCCAACCGGCACGATGCAGGAACGTGCTTCAATATCCGACTCTCCTTTCGTCTGAAATGCGATGCGCCAATCGACCAGACGTGCAGGCGGACGCAAAGGATTTTTGGGGGCCAACGGTATGCTCAGCGGGACACGTAAGAAAATTAATGACGACGCTAATCCAACAGCCGGTCCTAAAGAATCGCCTCCGACTATATAACGAAGTGGTTTCTCGGTGTAAACGAATGGATAGGACCGCTGGTTGTTGTCGCTCTCCTTTGCGAACGTGTTCGTCCGTGAGCTCGGATGGAGGTGGGCAAGAGAATGAGGTAAGCCGCCCCAGAGTCAAGCGAAGCAACGAATCTCAGGCGCGATCATTATTAGCCCACCCCTGTTCGGGAGGTGAGCACTGAGCAGCCGCCGGGAAGGCCCGCTTTTCTCGCTGCCACCTCAGTGGGCCATAAATCCCGGGTCCCGTCGTCTTAGATAGCAGGTCTCCAGCGTTTTCCAGAACTGACCTTCAAGCACGCAATTATTGGCTAAACAGTTCGGATAGATTGATTCTCTTGGGTACTTCCGCAAGCTTCGTACGCTCGGCTTGGACAAGTGAACACCTTCATATGTTTCTGCACTTAGCCACCGATTAGCGATACGAGATTGCAGCCAGCGCCACATTCCTGCTGGGAAGGGTCTTCCGCAAAAACGGTTCCCTTTCCGAATGCGCAACAGCCGGCCACATTACACATGTGCATGGGGGTGCTCACTGTATAGGTTAGGTAGTGTCTGCGGCTATAAAGAGAGAAGTCACAAACCTCCATGTCTAACCAAACTGATAAGAAAACTAAGTTAAAGGTCCTCCGGGTCTAGAGGTAGGTACTCTGTACGCCGGTATGCCTTGATGTATAAATACCGTGATCATTACCGGAGCCATACTACAGGGTAAGATAATTACCTAACTAAGAGAATGTCATTACCGGAGTAGCCACCGACGCCTTCCTGGCAACCCAACACACCAAGACCAACAACGCAACAACGCCCATGCGCCATCACCCAGTGACCTAAACCTGCGCTTATACAGCCTAGGTACTCCGGACAGAGGCATGAGTTAGCCTGGACAAATTGAAATGTTTAAGGGAAGGATCAATGCGCGGGTATGTACGTGCTGCACCGAGTACACACTACACACCTTACACCATTCTACTACAGGTATAAGCAAAAGTGCACTGGCTGACACTATTTTCCTTTTCCTCAAGACGGCCATGGCGCCCATGGCGGCGTTTACCATGGCCTGTTTGCTGTTCATGTGAGAGGCGGCGTTGTTTTTTTGGCCATCTCAGCTGCGAGTGTGCTCATTGATGGATGATGACGGATTGTCTTATTTGCCCGCAGGTATACACGATCATCGATACGTGCCGCCAAAGCGAATGCAGTGAGTTCCTTTATTCTTTATCGAGGCAAATTGTCATATTCTCTCGACGACGTCGTGAGGCCCGGGATTGACACCGGTTCTGTGAGCGGCACCTGTTACTGATTGACCCCACAGAAAATTACACATGAATACCGGCAGTGATCTCGAGACGCTGAGAGGAGAGAATAACAATCTTGTTGGGGGGTGGGTTATTCGGCCGTTGAAGGGGCATCGCGTGCTGCGATACATGGCGGAAGCTACAGGCAGAAAGAATGATTGCTGGCGGTTTTATGAACGGGCCATCGCATTAGATGAAGATTCCGTGTCCGATAGTGTCTCCCAAGGAAACAAATACCAATCCGATTGTTCGCAGCCAACATAAGAAGAACTAAACCGAAAAGACCTAGTATATCTACACATTCCCCAGACCGAGCCGTTGAAGACAAGTTGCTCAGCCACTCATCACAGCAAAACATCCCTTCCTCCCAATACCCCCCGCTGCATCACTCCTTCTTCTCCTCAACCTTCTCCTCCCCGTTCGTCGGTGCGGGTGCCGGTGCCGTCGTCTCAGCGGGCTTTTCCTCGCCCTTCTCCGCCGCCTCCTGCTCCCTAGCCTGCTCAACCCCCTTGGCCTCCTCGACCTTCTCCTCAACCTTCTCAGCGGCCGCCTCGCTCCCGCTCAGGCTCTTGACGAGCTCCTTGACGACATTGACGGTCCCCTCAGGGCTTCCCGGTTCGGCAGCGAGCACTTTACCGGCCTTGTCGACGGCAAAGACGCCGCGCGTGGTGCCCTTGGGCGCCTTCTTCAGGCCAATGGCGCCAATCAGCGACGCCGAAGGATCGCACAGCAGCGGGTAGGGCAGCTTCTGCTTCTCCTTGAAGGTCGTGTTGGCCTTGGGCGAGTCGGAAGACAGCCCGTAGACGGCGAGGCCGCTCGCGGCTATCAGCTCGTCGTAGGCGTCGCGGAAAAGGCAGGCTTGTCTGGTGCCTTTTGTTTTTGTAGAGGATGAAGTTAGGTTGGTTGGTTGGTTGAGTGGATGGGTGGGGGAAGCTGTATATGCATGAAATGTATGAAAGACGGTCACTTACACCCCGGAGTCGAGGCCTTGGGGTAGGTAAACAGGACCACCCCGGCCTTGCTCTCGTCGACGAGGGTCTTGAGGGTCGTCTTGGCACCGTCGTTGGTCTCAATCTCGCCGCCGAAGCCGTCAAGCGTGATGATGTCGCCGACTGTGGGCTTGGCAGCGGCAGCGGCGGCACCGTTGCCATTGGCGCTAGCAGCCGTCTCGGGTACCTTCCCCTTGACCGTCTCCTTGACTTTGGAGGCGGCCTTGGCGACCCTGGACTGCTTCTTTGCCGGCGGAGGAGGCGGGGGCGGCGCCTTGCGCTTGCGGAGCTCAACAGGCATGGCGGGCTGGAGCTGGAGCTGGAGCTTTGCGCGCGGCGTAAACTTACAGATTGGGGATGAAAAAGGTGAGGGTGTTGTTGTTTTGAGGGCTTGAAGATGTGAAAATAGAGTCGCCAACAGAAGGCGATCACGCTAAGGCGCAAATGGATGGGGTCCAATGAGATATGGGTGGAAAAGACGAGAAGAGGTGAGGTTGAGAGGCTCGGGGTTGATGCGCAAAGGTAAACAGGACGTTGAATGTGGTTGCGCAAGGAGCCAGCCAATCACATCATGCGGCGGCCTCGCGAGAAAGACGGGCCAGGGGGAGGGAGGGGAGCGTTGGGAGACTCGGGAAGAGTTGGGATGGAGCTCCGCTGCGGCAGAGCAGGGCAGAGCACGAGCGTAACGTAAGAAAACATAGAGTTAAGTCCGTGGAATGCTGCTAGGGGCGACTTAGGCTCACTCGGCTGTCTCGACCTGCAGTCGGGTAACTTCCAAACAGACACAAGCTCGCCTAAGAAACAGACGGCAGTGTGAGCTTGTTCCGCGGCGAGCAACCAGTACCGTGAGTACTGTACTAGTGTACTGTACTGACATAATGAGCTGCCATAACTTAGCCGTACCTGTGCTACCTGTACCTTAGCGAATTGGGCCATCAGCCGCGGATGGCATTCCATGAGATATCAGGCAATGAATGGAAACCCCTCGACCACCCGCTTTCCTCAGCTGCCGCGCTCTCCCCCCTCCTGCAACTGCGAGCCTGGCGCAGCCCGATGAGCGCTAATGTCTGTGGCCATAGCAGGTTGCGGCCATAAGGTATTTATTATCAATTCTTTCTTGAGCAGCTAGGAAGAGCAGAATACAGCCTGTGCAAGTCATGTGAGGTGGTGTAATTTCGGTGTTGCGAAGAGAGAGCGAGGGGAAAGCTCTTCGGAGGCAGAACATGTTCCCTTCTTCTTTCGGAGATGTGGTCCATGCCATCCCTGTTTGGCTGAGTTCGCCAACTGGGCCAATGCGTTCTTCTATCGGCTAAACCCCGGCTTCAGGCTTAGTCATGTTACAGCGCCTCTGGGCATTTGGATGTCGACAGTCTCATTGATGTTCCGACATCGAAACCGAACCGTCCCGTCACTCGCCATTGCGACCAACAGCCACCATGGCTTCCAAAGCAGCAGCGAAAGCTGCGAGCGATGTCAGCATTAGCATTACCAAGGTGTGTATTCATCCATGCCTATTCCCGCTTGAAATATCTCACCCAACCCACCTCACCCGCTCCGCTAATTGCCTGCTCAACCACCCGTCCACCCCCCTCCACAGAAATACACCGTTCAATCAGTCGGCATCTGGGAGCGCCTCCGCCGCGCAACAGCAATCGACCCGAACCGCTCCAACGGCGTGCCGCTGAACCCATACAACCGCAACCCTGCCCCCGGCAGCAACGACCCGCTCAAGTACGACGACCCGGTCTCGCTGCCCGCGGGGGACATTGCCGACAACCCCTACTGGAAGCGCGACGCGCGCCGCAACTACCCGCGCCTGAGCGTCATCGGCCAGGCCCAGCAGGTCGCGCTGCTGACGGTGGGCAGCGCCGCCGAGCCCCGCGTTGAGCTGATTGGCGAGGAGGGCTCCAAGGCCCTGGTCAAGGCCGAGGAGGACGGCAAGCCCGAGGCCGGCGGCTTGGCTGCGTACCTGGAGGATAAGGGTGTTGAGGCCGCGAATAGGGTGCTCCAGATGACGGGTGGCTTACCGCCGCTGCCGAGCGGGCAGAGTCTGGCTACGGGGAAGTGGGATGTGCATAAGTATGACTTGGTGGAGGAGCAGTCGTATGGCGAGGGGTGAGTTTATCATTGGTGGCTGTCTGGCGTGAGTGCGATAGTTGGTGATGCTAATGAGAATTGCAGCTACCCGTGTAGGTCCTTCTCATGAGAGGCCGGGGGGCGCAGAGAGATGGGGGCAACGGGACGGTGTACATATAGCGGGCAAGAAGACGGATGCATAGAAGTGTGCATTCATTACAAGCTTTGACAAGTTTTCTTGGTGTCGATTCATGCCTTTGTCTCTTCCGCTCAACAACCGGAAGAAGTTCGCCTGAATCTCCAACCCAGCCGTTACAGCTATATCCAGTATACAAAACTCCCTTCATCAAACGCCCGCGCCGTCATACTCCCGCCACCCCTGCCTTCAGTTGCGCCCCAGGATCAGGATCGTGATCAGCGGTATGGGGCCCATCCCCATTCCCATTCGCATCCCCCTCTCCCCTCTGCCATTCCCCCAGCATCCGCTCAATAATCTTGGCCCTCCCCAGCGCCCTGCGTAACCTGTCATCAAAGTCATTGACCGCCTCGTCCGTGTTCTCAGTCGACAGGCTCTCCGTCTCGGCCAGCGCGTACAGCGCAGCAACATGTTTTTCCAGCCGGGCGTTGTACGGCAGCGGCGGGAGACCCCTTTTCCCAACCCCATCACTCCCGCTCCCGCAGTCACTACTCCTACCACCACCGCCTTCGGAATCCGACTTAGCGGTATTTACAGCGGCGGCAGCAGCAGGTTTGTTGCTACCCATACCCAGCCTCAGCCGGTTGGCCCACACTATGGCCCGCCCCTGCAGCCGCCCGCTCTCGACAAACTTCTGGAACCCCCGCTCCAGCCCGAGCTGTCGCCCCTCGCTGCGCCCGGCCACGAGCCCGTCGGCGTGGCCCTGTTCGTAGCCTTGTGTGTAGAAATCGTCTTCGAGCGTGAGCAGGCTGTCAAAGGGGTCTGGGTCTGGTCCTGTTGATGTTGCTGCTGGGGTCGGCCGTTGTTGGGGGTTGGAGGTGGCCATTCTGTTGTTTCCTTTTTCTTTGTGACCAGGCGCAGGGAGATGTGCAGAATGGATTGGCTGGGATGGCGTCCCAGAATAAGGGCGGATTGCGCGATTGCTGAGCTATTTGAAGATGGAAGTGAGGATGGGATCGAGATTGGTTTTGGGCGGGGTTGAGGTGCAGTGATAAGAACGGAGGCGAGCGCGGGGTCGGGTTTTTGGACCCCGCATCGGCGCCGGTGGCGGAACTTTGTTGCTCGATCGGACCGGCCGGCGCCGGCTCACGGGAGGCATCAATCGTACTCTGGAGAGGGCAAAATCATGGTCCTAACCTTGAAATTTGGTCACATCATCGGTATTGTATCACCCTCATGCGGTATGGATTTTACTCCCTTAACCACTCCCCTCGACCCAAGCAGAAAACACTGGGAAAGGAAACAAAAAATTCACCACCAACCCCTGAACCATTTCTCGGATACGGGGAGTCGAACCCCGGGCTGTTGAGGGCACTCAGACAGAAGCCATGAGAGTCAACGATGTTACCGCTACACCATACCCGATCTGTGTCGTGTGTGGCTCCGACAGGGATTACTGGTTGGAGGTGTGCGATGTGAATAGGGCCTATTAAACTAGTCTCGCAGATGGTGTCCACAACCAGTGGAAACATCCAAGCCCAAATACAATCCTCAGAGCAGCCTCAAGTCAAAATTGCCCCCTTTAGTTTACCGATTAATGCAGCATCACCATCCCGCCATTAGCACACACCACCTGGCCCGTACACCACCCAGCCTCATCAGAGCACAACATGCCCACCACTCCAGCAATCTCCGCCGTCCTGGCCATCCTACCTCCATGCTCCCTAGCCTCCTGCACCACCTCCTCAGAATCCACCCCCTCCCTGGCCTTCATAAGCGGGGTGTGCATGATCCACCCTCTGATCCCCTCCAGAAATTCAGGCGAGTTGCTCGCGTACATGGGCCCCTCGACGGGGCCCGGGTTGACGGCGTTTACCGTGGCGCGCTCGGCCAGCTCGCGGGCCCAGGTGCGTGTCATGGCCTCGAGGGCGGCCTTGGTCCCACCGTAGACGGACTGCGTCACGAACCCCGTTGAAGACGACACGGACGAGATGTTGACGATGCGCCCGGAGCGGTCGGTCGGGAGGTACCGCTGCGCGGCTTGGACTAGCAAGAGGGGCCCCAAAACGTTGACTCGGTAGGTTTCTTCGAAGTCGGCGACTGTCACGTTCTCGAGCAGTGCGTTGCGGGCGACGCCGGCGTTGTTGATCAGGATGTCGATTTGGAATGGTTTGTCTGTTGGTGATGATGATGAGAAGTGATCCCGTGCCGCGGCGATGAGAGCGCTGGGCCCGTTCGGCGTCCCGATGTCTGCTTGCACTGCAACGGCTTGGATGTTGTACGCCTTGGAGAAGTCTTCGGCGAGGGAGTTGGCGAGCTCGGTGGAGGAGGAGGAGGTGTAGTTGATGACGAGGTTGCAGCCCTTGGAGGCGAGGTTCTTGGCTATGGCCGCGCCGATGCCTGGAGGGTTGGGTCAGGAACGCTGTGTAAATTGGGATGAGGTAGGAGGGTCAGACCTCGTGAGGCACCGGTTACGATGGCCAGTTTGCCTTGGAGAGGTCGGGACATGGTATGGTAAGTTTCTGTAGTTGTGTTCTCACGTGAGTTTGGCAATCGCAATCCCGTGTGCCTGATCTAGACAGTATAAATCGCGTAGAGATGGGTTGAAGGGAACAGCGAATGACTCAATTGAGACGAATAGCTAGATGTAAATATATACACACAATTACACCACTTTCCCTAAAAAATGAGCCCCGCGCTGGTGTAGACGTGATAATAACTCGGCCGACTTGGAGAAGAGGATGCCCCGCATCTCCCGCGATGTCGGCATGCGCTGCCCCTCCATTTGTGCGGCTACAGGTGACCCCACATGGCGGCCCCATGCCGAAGTTTCGCTGAACAATCCCGCTGAAATTCATCCCGGCCCCACAACAGCTCACTGCAGCGACGGGAACATCTGCACCCTGCAAAGCATCCGTACTGTAACAGGGCAGTACGCAACGCAGCCCAGCATCACCAACCCAAGCTCGGCTCAAACAAAGCGCAATCCGTCCGTTGAGACCGACCCCACCAAGAAATCAAAACAGAATAGAAAAGCAACCATGGATATCCGCCTGCTCCGTCCGTCCGACATACCGCTGATCCAGCACGCCAACATCGAGAACCTGCCCGAGAACTACTTCCTCAAGTACTACCTCTACCACGCCCTGTCGTGGCCGCAGCTGTCGTTTGTGGCCGTCGACGTCTCCCGCCCGCCCAAGACGCCCTACGACTACCCCAAGATCGTGGGCTATGTGCTGGCCAAGATGGAGGAGGAGCCCGCCGACGGCGTGCAGCACGGCCACATCACGTCGCTGTCCGTCATGCGCACCCACCGCCGGCTGGGCATTGCCGAGAAGCTGATGAGGCAGAGCCGTATGTTTCCTTACATCTCCTTCTCCCTCCCCTCTCCTCTTCTCTCCTTTCACATCCTCTGACCGTTCAAAAAAAAAAAAAAAAAAAAAAAAACAAAAAAACTTACACAACATTACGTACGTACATACAGAACTGGCCATGGTCGAAACCTTCGGCGCGCACTACGTCTCCCTGCACGTGCGCGTCTCCAACAAGGCCGCCATCCACCTGTACCGGGACACGCTGGGCTTCAAGACCGAAAAGACCGAGGCTAAGTACTACGCCGACGGCGAGGACGCATACTGCATGCGCCTGGACCTGTCCTTTATCCGGGAGCAGCTGCGCGAGGCAGAGGAGGAGGAGGAGGCGGACGAGATTCCAAAGGAGAAGCAGCAGGAGGACAGCAGCGCAGAGGGGAGAAAACCCAGGACCAACAACGGCGAGCAAGGAAGAAGGGCAGGGGCAAATGGCAGCGAGGAGGCTGCTGCTGACGAGGGTGACGCGGTCGGTGATGTTGGTAGGGATCCTGCTGCTGGTGGTGGTTCTGGTTCTGCTACCAGCAAGGGAAAGGGTGGCGGGGAGAGCAAAATCAAGGTCAAGGTTGGGAGGGCTTTGGGAGTGGGCGAGCTGGTGGAGAGGGTTGAGAGTAAACCTGCCTCATGAAAAAGGGGTTCTATGTATGAGCAAGTGGAACGGCGTTTAAATAAAGGCGGTCGGTCAGGCGGGTGGAAATAAAAGTGGTTATGCGCTTGTCATGCTTTCGAGTTTCTGTACTGTTTTTGGTCGTGGATAGAAGGCCAAAAAGGGTACCGGTGAGACATAGATTTGGGAGTTTGTCAGTGTATGTACCAAGGCGTTCGTGCGAACACAGCACAATGATCATGAAGAGAATGAAGCGATTCACGTGGCAAGAAGAACATGGATAAACTCGTTACTATATTTTGTATTTCTTGTCTGATAAATAAGGTAAGCGGAGAGTAAACTTTAAGCCATCGCATCACCATGTTGCTTGCCCCTGACAATATGTATCATCAAACTCGCTCAAATTGGATTACCTGCACTCGGGTGCAAAACGACCGTTAGTACTCCCCATAAGAACCCTTCATACAGTACATTCAATCATAACTCATAACTCAAACCGCCACCCGGCGAGCTTCCTCCTCCGCCAGTTCCCTCGCGAACTCCTCGTCGGCCTCGGTACGCAACATCTCGAGCGTCTCAGCCAGCTGTTCAATCTCCCTTTCCATCTCGAGCGCCTCTCTCTCTCTCTTGGAGAGCTTCTTCTCACTCTCCCCGTCATCATGACTAGAAGGCGGCTGGCCGGCGCCACTGCCTGGAGTTCGTGCTCGTGCCGTCTCCTCATGCTCCAACGCGATCGTTTCGTGCAGCTTGAGCAGCTCCGCCTCTTTCATGGCAATCTCGTTTCCGAGATCCAAGACGGCTTTGTACTTCTCCGCTGATGCTGCATGGGCATTGTCTTCTACGCCCTCGGCATCAGCGGGCCACGCCCCAGGGGCTGCCGAACCCGCTCCCGCTCCCGCTTCCGCTCCAGAATGGGCATGGGTATGATGAGGCCCGCCGTGGGGCCAGCCCCATGGGTTATTGCGGAACGCGTTGGCAAAGTCCATCATTCCCGGCGGGAACATCGGTGGCGGCGGCGGTCCATGCGGTCCATGCGGTCCATGCGGTCCATGATGTGGTGGCGGTGGTGGTGGCGGCGGGTGGGCGCCGAAAGCATGAGGCACCGGCGGGATACCAGGGAAGGGGAATGGACCGCTGCGGCGCTCCCGCCGCATGTCCCTGGCGGCCTGTCGCATCTCGCGCCGGACCTGCCTGCGCTCGCGCTTCTCCTGCTTGCGGCGCTGCCTCCTCTCTCGCCGGAGTTGCTTGCGCTGGCGCTTCTGCTCCTTCTTGAGGCTCTTCCATTGCCGCAGAAGCTCTTTAACTTCCTTGCGAAGCGTGGCTTGGTCAGTGGTGGCATTAGCAGGGTTGTTGTTCGATCCGGATTTCCGCGCCTGCTTGATCTGCTCTTTCACGCTCTTCACCTTCTCCTTAGTGATGCGTTGCTCGGGATGACGGAGGCATTCCTCGACGTATTTCTTCGTAATGTCCAGCTGCGAACCGCGCAAATCGTCATAATCTGGCAGAGAACCAACCGTCGATTCAGAGCAGGAGGACGATCGGGACGAGGTACTCGACGCGGAGCTCGATCGCGACCGGGGGCGTCCATGGGGAGGATGATGGGGATGAGGATGATGGTGTCCCCAGGGTCCACGGCCGCGTTCTGGCGGAGGAGGGCCTGAATCGCCCTCTGGCGGCGGCGGTGGCCCTTCACCCGGCGGTGGGGGAGTCCACCAGCGTCCTCTTCCCCACCCTGGATGGCCACCACGACCGCGTCCAGGCCCGCCCCAACCCCCACGGGGCCCGCAATGACCGGGGCCAAACGGCCATCCGCCAGGACCCCCGGGGCCAAAGCCCGCCCCGCAGCCGCCTCTGCGGCCGTGCATGGCAGAAAGGCCCCCGCCGCGGTGTCCCGGGTTGAACATGGGCATCCCATTGATACTGATCCCATTACTGTCCGCCACGATGCCGCCAATCCGAACTGACCCGGTGCGGCCGTCAGCGACAAAGCTATTCCCAATCGACACGCGGTCGTTCTCGACATTGATGCCGCCCCAGCGGAACCCACCGCGGCCCTCACCGCCCCGGCCTGCATGGGCGCCACGAGCGCCAGCGAGCCGTTCGAAGAAGCCGAACCGAGGACGGGAATTAGAGGGGCCGAGACCCGGCTCGGCCGCGTTCTGCTGGTCGAACGACTGGTCCCACGCACCAGGCATGTGTGGCTGTGGCTGTGGCTGTGGTTGCGGTTCCCGCTCGTCGAGGACGACGGGTGGGGGCGAGTTGACACGGATGGTGATGCTGCGCGGGGCGAAAAAGCCTTCGTTCCATTCGCGCACGGTGGCGTCGATATTCTGGCGTTGACGGGCAGCATCAGCATCGATGCCGGAGCGAATCTGGTCCAGCTGGGCTGCGGCATGGCTCCGGCTTGAAGCCTGCGAGCGGGCGTCATCGTTATTGTTGTTGTTGCTGTTATTGCCGCTCGGGACCGAGAGGCCCTCGGCGCGGAGCTTGCGGTCAATCACCTGCTCATTGCTGGCGGCCGAGTAGTGCGGCATTAGGTAGTTCACAAAGGTCTGCCAATCCTCCAGGCGGACATCACGCGCTGCTAGCTCGCCGGGATATGGTAGGCTTTCAGGTGTTGAGTCTTCTCGGAGGGTGATGGAGTGGATGATATGGGGCTGGTTGAGGATGAGAGGCGCTGAACGGCTCTCAAAGTATGCGGCAGCCGCCGAGCTGGCAGTCTCAACCTCACCGGCAAAGTTGGAGTGGTGGGAGCTTCGAGGAGTGAGAGGGGGCGTATATATCACATCGCCGTTTGTAGACGAGGTCGACTGGGTATCGATGGTATACGAGTCTCTGCGGGCAGGCGATGCAGCTCTGCCAGAGGTGGAATAGATGTCCGTCTCCGAGTAAGGCGGAGGCGGCACATCCTCAGGATGTGAGGGCATCGTGGGTGAAGTGTACTATACCGTACTGTACGGGGTTCTGAGACCTTGTGTGCCAAGTCTCGATATGAGAATGAGAGATAGTTGCGACGGAATTAATAGACGATGAAATGTCTGAAAGAACCACAGCACAAAGCACGGTGGATAGATGAGATGAGGGGCAAATGACATGGAAACTTGGGTGACACAGGTCTATTGAATGCGTGTGCATATAAGAGTCACAGGGACAGTGGCAGCCTAGCCTGGTGAAAGTGTAAGGCTTTCGTTCGCTCTAGCGGCCTCACATTTGACCCGAGCGTTGCTGGCGGCTCGGGAAGTCTGAAGATGCGCAGACGGCCAGAAGCTTAGCAACGACCCATGACAGGAGGTGGGCCTCCATTTGCAAACCACTGATCAAGCTACTTTAGCGAGTTCTTGTAGCGAATGCGATGGTACGGCTTGGCTGACATAGCCCCCCTTCTCTGGGCCCAACCCATTTGTTCCCACATCTTTGTTCTACGCAAGCCCCAGCTTGGCTTACGCGGCCTGATGAGGCTTGTATGGGGCACTGAGGGTTATCGAGTCCGCCCGTCGTCGCATGGCCGCGAACGAGTCTGCTGTTATTTCGAAGCCCGCGCAATGGCCACGACAGACTGTCTCGATCTTGGTCAGGCCCAGGAAAAGCGTGCTGGTATTCTCGAGCCCTTCAAATTGAGTTATCACTAATCAAGCTGCATCGAGAAGGCCAGATCCTCGGTTTTATAGTGGTCCGCCAGAATGCTGGCAATATGGTGCCGGGTTTGAGGCCCGCTGCAGCAGGTGTGAGCAAAACTTGCAACAATGCGGGGGATCATCAAAGACTCACAGATTGGTCAGGTAGACGTCGACAAGCTCAGGCGGGATATAGTCTGTAACCGTGTTCTCGACGACGATCGCGTCTACTTCGGGGCCATTGCCATAGCTCACGTATGTAGAAGGGTTCCCAAGCCATCCCCTCGAGACGTCGTATGAGGGATCCTCTGGGCAGAACTTGTACACTGGACTCAAAGCAATGACGGGTTTCAGGTATTCGTGCGCAACTTGAGCAGCGATGCAGCAGCCGCTATCCACGAGTAACCCGCCATTTTGATACACAGCTTTGGCACCAAGTATGACCTTGTTCACCCTGGGTATATAAGCCATCAGACCGTTACTCGAGAGACTTATGGTGTTTACTCCGGCCGCGCTGAGCTTCTTTCGTAGTGTGGCATAGGGGGCGTCACTGGTCCCGTTGGTGAAAGGCTCGAGGCCGGCGATAAACAGGGTAAAACGTCGTCTGGATGCTGCCTTGATCAGGAACCTCTCCACAGTTTTGGAAGGTTGATACGCCAGGACAAAGTCGCCTGGATGGATCTGAATGTCGGCAAAACTGGCGATCTGGTCATCGGCCTGGCCAATCTCGTCCATGATTTCCTCGATTCCGTCCATGACCTCGGAACGTAGCGTATGAACGCTGGTGGGCTGCGTTGCCTGAGACAGCGGGGTGGAGCCTCCCGTCATGGGTGAGCCGTCTGGCTCTGCCACCGACAGCAGGTTGAACATGGACTTGGAGACTTGCAAACCCGCGGTTGACGTGAGAACTGCGGGAGAGGGCCGGATGGGGATTGTCGCTTGTCTCTGTAGGGGTGGCGCAGGTGGTGCGCTCGGAGTTAGGCTCTGGATGTCGGAGGCGGCTTCGCTTGCCAAATCGTCCACATTGTTCCTGTCTTCACTCGCCTCATCCCGAATGAGGCCCAATACCCGCCTCACAATGTTGCCAATCACAGGCTCATGGGGGGCAGCCCGAGCCAGCCTTGACCCCGCACTTTGGATTTGTGAAAGGAGCTGGTCAACATCCTGCCATCTTGCCTTTGCGACAACCTGGCGGAGGATATGTGCAGTTGCCTGAGCGCACTCGTCGCCTTTGACCTGTCTCCTTTTAAGAAGGCTGACATAGAGGCGAGGTTAGCTTGCTGTAAGACACAGGTGGATTATGAGTGAGACCTACAAGATCAATGCTTCGATCGAGGCCTCTAGGGATTGTCCCTTGAGCGACTTTACCAGCTTCTCCAAACTTGGTGTGTGCGTTGCTTGTGAAGGCGCCATGGCTTCGCTTTGTTGTCTTATGATCGTGACGAGAAACGGAGGGAAGTGTCGGAAGCCGGTCTGAAGGACCCCGCCTCAAGAGCGATGATGGCAAACGTCGGGAGTTGCTCTCAGTTTTAGAGAGGTCACTAGGAAGGAGAACACTTCGTGTTTCTTTGTCAGGCTGGTACAAGGCAGTATCTTCGAATTGGCTTGATTTGGTTGACAATGAGTCAACGACCAATTGGAGCCCTTCCACACGGAAAATAATTGTACTGTGTACGTTACGTTTCGAGTAGGTACCGGACGTGTAGAACTGCAGACACATGCAAAGTGGGGCATGATGATTGCCCCGCAGCGCGCACCCCACGACCCGGCTGGCCGGCTAAACTCCGGGACTGAGGTTGTAGCGGGTCCAGAGCCTTGTTCTGGATGCGATTAGCCGATAAATTTTGGGTTTACTGATTTCAGAAAATCCCAGGAAGAGGTGCGATTTGATAAAACAACAAGAGAACCGGCGATTGTTCTTGTGAGGTGCTTGATTTTACTCCAAGCCTCTCTTTCAAGTCGAATCATTACCGAGTACCCCCTACAAATTCATCGTATCCCACAATTCATCCATCAGCCACGCCGCAAAAACAATGGTGGCCGACGACAATGTCGACATTGTCGACAAGAAGTTGAAGAAGGAAAAGAAGAGCAAGGATAAATTAGAAAAGAAGGATAAGAAAGATAAAAAAGATAAAAAGCGCAGCGAGAACGACGGTATCCACAAGGAGAAAAAGGATAAGAAGAAGGAAAAGGCAAAGCAAGAAAAGCTTGCGCGGGTGCTCGATGCCCACCTCCAAGCCGATGCCGCCAAATCCGAGGTGAAGGACGAGGATATCAAGGTTGAGGACCAAAAGATCAAGGCTAAGAACCAGGATATCAAGGTTACAGACCTGGATATTAAGGACGAGAAGAAGATCAAAATCGACCCGGAAGACTTGATCAAGCCCGCCGAGGAGCTTGTTCCCTTTGCGCTGCCGCTTGCCGACGAAAAGACTCACAAAAAGATCTACAAGTTGATCAAGAAAGGTACGGCAGCCTCGCCCAACTTTTCGACTTGTTCGCAAGCCAGAGCTAACTGATCGTCTCTCATCCACAGGCGCCAAGCTCAAGTCGATCCACCGCGGCGTCAAAGAATGCGAAAAGGCCATCAAGAAGTGCCCGCCCAAGACGGCCGCGTCGGCCGCCACCAGCGACGCGCCGGGCCTGGTCATCATCGCCGGCGACATCTCCCCGATGGACGTCATCATGCACTTCCCCATCCTGTGCGAGGAGCACGGCGTGCCCTACCTGTACGTGCGCTCACGCGCGGACCTGGGCGTGGCGGCGTGCACCAAGCGCGCCACCAGCGTCGTCATGCTCAAACCCGAGGGCAAGAAGACCAACAACAACAACAATAACGACGACAAAAAAAAGAAGGACAAGAAGAAGAGCGATGATGCCGTGATGGAGGTGGACGCGGACAACGAGGACGGCGGCGACAAAAAGGTCAGCGCCGAGGAATACCTCGAGTCCTGGAAGGAGCTGGTCAAGGTGGCCGAGAAGCAGTGGAAGATCCAGGTACAGCCGTGGGTCAAGGGCGTGCACCCGCTGCAGATTGCCGAGAGGGAGAAGTCGAGACAGCAGAGCAGCCGCTACTGAAGGAGGAGTGAGGCGGAACGTGTGCTGGGGACAGTTTCTCCGGCTACAGGTTACAGGGCAGACAAAGACCATCCACGAGTTGCGTGGGATGTCGATGGGGTTGTTCGCCCTAAGTCGTCGAAGAATTTCCTCCCTTCTTATAGCGCTGCCATATCTCTCCCGGTTTGGCCTGGGACACGTGCTCGTCAACCATTCGGAGGTTGTCACTCGACAAGCGTTTGTTAATTCGGTGAGCTGGGATTCTACTCCTGGTTGGCTTAGGGTTCCTCTTGTGTAGACGGATGGCGTTGAGAGGGGTTTGGCTCTTTGCATGGAACCAGGGATGTGGTAAAAATGGGTCTTCCCGTTTGTATGTATTCAAATTGAGAGTTTTGCTACGTGTCTCATTGGGAACGCGCTTCGTCTTTGCGTCTTCCTCGCTGCCGTATGCTACCAAGCACTGGACAGGACACCCGTAAGTCAAATGAAGAAACGTGGTATTAACCTCTTTAGATTCACATGCTAACGTCGAGATAGGATACAGCTAAGGAAAGAATAAGGATCGACACCGCCCACTCTGGCCCGAGTTTCCTCTCTTCAGGAGCGAGTCGACGCAGTCAGAAGTTCGTTCCCCCCAATTCCCATTCCCAATCTCTCAGATTCACTCCGACCGGAATGCACTCCGGCTCAGTGGTGTGCCCGAGCTGGTGCTAGTGCTGTAATACTTGTTAGCACAAAGGTCTAGAGATTCCTGAGGCAGGAGCACGAAGTCTCAACTCACAATTCAAACGGGTTGGTGCGAGTTCCCCACCAAGTCATAAACATGGAAAGGCCGACAGTCTCGAACAGCTTCGCCAGCAGGTTGACACCGACCGTCTCAAAGGGGCGCTTCTCGATAAGGAGCTGGCTGATGAACTGTTACAAAGATTCAGCGTCAGCAACGCGCTCCACAGTTTAAGTCTCAAGGGGCAAATCACATACAGTAGGAGCGCTGGTGGCCGCAAAGATCAGACCGCCGAGGTAGGCGGCGCCCTTGTAGCTGAGGGTTCCGGTGGCGTTGATGAGGGCGCCGACACCGTATGACTGGAGCGCCGAGCCCAGGAAGGCGGTGCCCCACGCCACCGCGGCGCCGGTGGCTTCCCGCGACCTGATGAACTCCTCCTTGCTGTCGGCGGTCTTTGCGCGCTGGTATGTCTGACCAAAGAGAGGCGAGAGGACGGCGAGCTCGGCCGTGTGGTTGAAGATGGTGCCGAGGGCGATAGCCGAGGGCTTGACGGCGGGGAGGTCTGTGAGGTAGATGTTAGTTGCGTGCCTTGTGTAGCTCCGGCAATGGAGTTTGTGAATTGGTTCTCTGGCAGTTCCCATTCCCAGGTGCGCGCGGCTCGAATTCTCAAGGCTCTCAGGCTCAGCTTCAGACTGGAACTTCCTGCGCTCTGAGATGCCGCCATTGGTGCTTTGATCCCAATTGCGTCGGGTAAGATCCCGTGTAGCCAAGTTGCCTCAAATCTAGCTCAAAGCCATGAGATCCGAAGAGGAATGAACCTCGAGGAGATGAGAATTGCGCTTCTCTGGAAGGGCAACGCTAGGAAACCGGAGGGGGGAACATTGGGGATATATGATTCATGCTGGGAAAGGGTTCACTGACATTGCAGAGACATGTTGCTGGGCGGTTTACTGAAACTAAAAATCGGTTCGGATGTGAGATTGGAGTGATTTGGGTTGATTCCGCGATGAAGTGATTCGTCGTAGTTTTTCTGGCGTGAGATCTGCAGATTGAGGAAAGGCAAGTGGCATGCGAGAGGGAGGTGGCGGGCTTATAACAGAATGGGTGGTCCCCTGGACTGCCGTTGTGCGTCACCAATTCCTTAGCAAGAGAGACGGGCGACACCTCAAAACCTCCACTTTACATGCCCACCTGAGCAGTAAGCCTATGGAAGCTGTCCACTTTGCGCTGCCCCTATACATCATCACATCGTAGCTTCCCCAGGCCGACGCCTTTGAGGAGCCTGCACCATGACGTCACCACATTGATTTGCCTGGCAGTGGATGCCCCACTTGAGGATCAAGCGTGGTTTACCGTTTGGGGGCTTGTTGGCGGGGGCCTCGCTGGAAGTACCTACCCGTGCTACCTAAACTTGCACTCTGGACCGACAGATGCCGCTGTTAGAGAGCATGGCGGCTTTGGAGTAGTGTAGATTGGAGTCTAAACGCTTCCTAGAGTCGTTATGTTTCTGTCCCAATGGCTGGTGGCATCTAACGGAGCCAGGACTGTATGTAGCTTGACGGTTGGGGCCCACACTGCCCCAACCGTTACATCCATCTGTGTCCCTCTACACAGAATGCCTTGATTAGGAACAAGAGTCTCTTTGGCAATTCACCATTCATATCCATTCGAACTTGCTTGTAATTTCAAACTTTCCAATCCTTGACCAGTTTAGTGTAAGCCGTTGAGGAGCAGCAACAAGTAAGGTGACTGACTGACAGGCAAAACGGCATGGGGGAATTGAACTGGGTTAGGGTTAGCAATGCGGCGCCCACCGCGGTGACGTATTGGTAGCCCGCCCTGGAAAGCCCTGCAGAGGCAGAAGCTCGATCGAGCCCCTGAACACAACAACAATCTCACAGGGACGGATGCGGAGTATATTACGACAATGATATAGTGTATGTAGTGTGCCAACACCTCGCGCCCTGTCTCTCCTTTGTCCATCCCCAAGCTAAGATCTAAAACGACATGGAAGAATGGCCCTGAAAACAGACAGCGCTCCAAAAGAACTCCCTCGCAATAATACTCGTCGCTTCCCACGCGCGTCGTTAATTCGCTATGTAAACAGTTGCACCTTTTATAATGCTGCTCCCCCAAGAAACAGACGAACAAAACAACGTTCGACGCGGATAACACTACCTCGCCGCAAAGCTCCTTCAAGCCATATGCTGACCGTCCTCGCCCCCGCGCAGGGCCAGGAGCGCGCGGACATCAGAGACGTACTGAAGCCCTTCTAGGAAGGGTATCAAATACATCAGGTCACTATCGGTTGGGTCGCTAATCCAACCCTGTATGGGAATCGCATTATCTAGGTAGCCAAGCAATATTAGCAAAGGTGGAGCGGCCGAGAGCCTCTCGAGGAGTGACTGACCTTGGTGGAACATGTAGCTCAGCGGGCTATTATCCAGTATCATGACCTTGCTCAGGTCAGGTTCAACCGAGCTAAGGTCCTTGATGAAAGCGCCATGGCGGAAGGTGCAGTGCTGGCGGTAGTACCTCGCCGAGAAGTACTTCCGGTCGGCCTCGAGCCAGTCAATGACCGGGTCGGCGTATTCCTGAACCGACGCCGTAAAGACGACGAGATTGTACCACTTGCTAACTCGACGCAGAAACTCGTCACAGTGCGGCCGCTTGTGCACGTAGTAGAGGATCGGGTGCTGTGGCCCGATACTGGCCTGCCCGCCAACACCGACGTATGTCGTGTTGAGTCGTACCTCGACCATGTGGCCCGAGCTCATCCGTCCACCTTTGGACATGCTGTGTATTAGCGTCTCGTCTAGGTCTAGGATCAGTGTCTTTTGGTGTTTGATGCCGGCCACGTCAGGAGTGTTGATGTAGGACGGCTGGCGTCGGGGGATGAGGGGCCGTGGCGGAGCCGGTGTCTTGGGGTACTTTGTAAGCGCAGCGACAGGAGAAGTTGGAGACTTCAACTGCGCCGAAATATCCTTTGTGCCGTCACCGGAACCCCCATTCCCTCGAGCACCCGTCGATTTTGCTTTTCTGTGTTTTCGTTCTCGCAGGGCCTCGTCAGAGTGGAGTTTTATTTTTATCGACCGCCGCGCCGGCGCAATCTCATCGGTATCTCGGAGCGACTTTGAGCGCGAGTGCTTTCCACTAGCGTCTGGTCCGCTACCCTGACCTTTACGGTCTGGGTCCGACTCGGATTCAGAGGACAACCCAGACGACGACGACCCGCTGGAGCGAGCCAATCGAGCTGCCTTACTCCCGCTGCGATTTCCCTTGCCGGCCGCGCCATCCAAGCCTCGGCGGTGTTTCTCGGACGAAGCCAGGTGTTCGTGGTAATCCAGAGCCATCCGCTTAGGGTTGCCTCCATAAAAACCGAAGAGTCTCCTCAGTTGGAGCAATGGCGCAAAATTACCGTTCGTGTCGCAGAGGCAGGCGAAGAGATAGACGCCTGGCGCCGCTAATGTGGACAGCACCCACCGTATCGAGTCGACAAAGGCGTTTGCGATGCGTTTGGGGTAGAGCACCCACGCAGCACCCCGCGGGCTGGGATCCTTGGCCTCGGGCTGAGCTATCAGCGGTGTCGACTCGCCTATCGCATAATCGTCGCCGTGGTTGTCGGTGGGTGCGGCATCGAGAGGAAAATTGTCGGGCTCTGCCGTCAATCCTTCTTTCTCGCTAGTGTCTGGCAGGGCATTGTCAACCTGGCTCCCTCGCGATCCGTCCGTTTCTGAGCTGACCGCCAAGCCTATGGCGCTAAGAGAGTTTGTTCTCGTTGGTGCTGGACTTGGCGGAGGGGACACTCTGGCCGAGATGATGTTGAGAGAGTTCATCTTGCCGCGGGCACCGAGAGAGCCATGAAGGACGAATGCGACAGCGTCCAGGGGCAAGCTCGAGTTTGTTTGAGACGGTCGGCTTGGGCCTACCAGGGAGCAAGATGTCAGATTTGGCCAGACAGAGGCCACGCGGCCAAGAAGCAAGTGCTATGCGCCCAGCACACTGGACTCTGTTGTTGTTGGACAATTGTTTGTGTATGTGTGTTTATGCGTGTGCTTTGCGCAGGACCACTCGGGGCAGTGATACTCGGGCGAAGACGGCAGTGCCGAGAAAATGGTGAGGTCCAGAAGCGCGGATGTCGGTAATAGCCACAGCAGGGTCGTGTTAAAGGTCAGATGAGACGGTCGATGTCATTGGGCCTTGGTGCCGTTTGGATTTGTTTGAAAGCTGCGTTTTGACCTTCGTCTACGAGGTAAGGCAACAACGATGAGGGAGGGGCGGAAAAAAGGCATTCGACAAGAGAGGGCCAAGTCGCAATGCCGTGGTCTCCTCACATTGCTCTGCTAAAGAATGAGAGGAACGACCGATGAACCCAACCCGTCAATTGTGCCGGTGCGGCCACTGCGAAGAAAAACGCGGCGCTAGTGGAGAGGTTCATCAACTGTCCCCAGCTTTGCCCAACGAAAAGAACCCTGTCGCAGCGCCCATCGCCTTCACGTGCCGCTCCCAACGCAGTGACAACCAGATCCGGGCCGGGAGCCACTGCGTCTCCGCACAGCCCCACCAGTGCCTTGGCGCTTTCCTCACAGCAGCTTCAACCCACGACGCTCGCCAACCCGGGACATCACTCTGAGAAAGGAAAGCTCCGACCGGGTTAGAGCAACTGCACATCCATCTCGTGCATCCAAATGCTCCCAACCTTGGTTCTGTGAGACGCCATCTCCGATCATGCCTGGGAACTTGTTTATAGGACTGTTGATTACTTGCTTGGCTGCGACTCTGCGAGTGATCAACTTACACACCTCCTGGATTTGATTCACTCGCTGTTACCTGGAAAGCTACTCTGGGATACCAAAAGGGAGGACAATATTGGAGAAGCCACTAGGTACTTCATGTCTTCCTGGCGAAATGTTGATAGGCTGTGGTTCACAAGGCAGGCTTAGGTAAACCAGAATTTCGAACTCAAGAATGTCATGCTCGTACATGGTGCCGGGTACTTGACTTAGCTAATTAGAGAGTGTACAATACGTCGGTACGACCCTCGCTATGTCGGACATAGATGCCTTCTAGCCGTCTTTTAACACACCGTAGTCCTTCAAGTACAAACTTCGGCCAAGCAAGCAAGGCCAGAGTTTCAAATGGCTTTCTCATGGAACTCTTGAAGCTCGGATCATATCAGTAATTGTTAGGCCGCGACTACCAGGTGCGGTCTCAGGGCATCCGCGAAGTATGGCGAGAAGAACATAAGGGGCCTACCAGATTCTGCGAGGCGCTGACTTGTGGCTGTCTCTTTGGCAGACGTATTTTCAATGGGGTTGAGAAGAGGAGGCCCCCCTGTGAGGTTCCCTCGGCCTCAGGGCCGGGTGCTGCTTGGTTGGCGTCTTGTACCCTTTGCTCGTAGCCCTGAGCTTCACCTTGACCAGTTCATGTCAGCCTTAGTTCCTGCCTGGCTAGTATGATAACAGACACAAGCTCTCCCAATGCCGTCCGGGAACAACGGTCAACTGCAGACAAATCGAAGAGGTCTATCGTCTTCGGTCAGTGGTCGATTGTACAGGTTCGTCTATTGATCACACATTGCCGTTCCGGGCTCCTCATCATAAATACACGCCCCTTACTCCTCTCCGCCACCCAGCTCAGCCCGACCCGCCTTCGAATTGAGGTACTCGTTCCTGCAATTTGTTAACTTTGCTCTTTGCGGTTCAACGGAAAGCGGCTTACCGTTCGATAGCCCACTTCATCACATAGTAGCCGGCGATCATGGGAGGGGCCCAGTAGAGGACTTGTTGGCTAAAGCGCCTCCACGTGTTGAAAATGGCATCGTGCGCAGCGCCGGCAAGGGGGTACTGGCGGTTCGGGGCAAGGCCGTACGAGATGATGCCCCTCTGCTTCATGCCACCTGTTGGACGATATCCCAAGTTAGCAAGAGTTTCTTTCAAATATCATGACCCAATGCCGCCGCCATCATGCCCGTTCTTCCGTGCTGGGTATTCCACCTCTTGCTCCCGGCTCAATAGGCTTATGTCGACTGTTCCCTTCCCCTTTGATTGGGTTCGTAGGTCACTCACCAAAGTTGCCCCAGTTGCCGAGGAAGCTGTAGAACCGTTAACGAGGATCTCTACGAGGATTGGGAAGCGCAATGGGCGCCGAACGGGCTGGCATTCTGAGGCCCGGGAAAACCCGCATCTGGGGAGAGGGACTGACTTGTTATGCTTGCCGATGGGCGCGCCGCCGCCGCCGCCCCTGAGAACCTGAGTCGGGCGCATCTTGAAGGTTCGAGGCAGACACGTGAGATTGGTCGGTCAATTGTTGCAGCAAGGTTGGAAGGTTGGACTAGCTCACGGCCGGTTTGCAGTCGGAACTCGAAAATGGGTCGGGCAAGTCGTGAGAGCAACACTCAATGCGGTTTAGTGCACGGTTAGTAACTCAGCGGTTAGCGTCGTAGAAAACGCTTCTGCGCCCGGACCTCTTCGTGGCCCGATCTCTTGGTGGCTGCAGCCCCACTTTGGAAAGAGCTCCATCATTCTGCAATACATGGGCAGTACACCAGGTCGGCGCGCATCTTAATCGACCGTTGCGAGCTCAGCCCATCCGGATACCACGATTCGACTCCCAACATCTCGCAGCGCATCTGTTGAGCGGGCCAAGATGGCGTCGAGGGGTCTCCAGTTTATCTCGTCGGCAGCGATTCCGGCGGCCGTGGCTGTCGGACTAATCCAGTCGTCCATGTACGATGTCAAGGGTGGCTCCCGAGCAGTTATTTTCGACAGGTTGAAGGGTGTCAAGGAGGAGGTGGTCAGCGAGGGCACGCATTTCCTGATTCCCTGGCTTCAGAAGGCCATTATCTTCGATGTCCGGACAAAGCCGCGAATCATCCCGACAACGACGGGGAGCAAGGATCTACAGATGGTCAGCTTGACGCTGAGAGTGCTACACCGGCCGGAAGTGCAAGCACTGCCCAAGATCTACCAGGTTCGCTATGATTCTCCTCGTTTTGATGTTAGGTATCCATATTGCTAAACTCTGCACCACAGAACCTCGGCCAAGACTACGACGAACGTGTGCTGCCATCGATTGGCAACGAAGTGCTCAAGTCGATCGTGGCGCAGTTCGACGCGGCGGAGCTCATCACCCAGCGCGAGGCGGTGTCCCAGCGGATCCGGCACGATCTTTTGAAGCGGGCGAGCGAGTTCAACATTGCCCTTGAGGACGTGTCCATCACACACATGACGTTCGGCAAGGAGTTCACCAAGGCGGTCGAGCAGAAGCAGATTGCCCAGCAGGATGCGGAGCGGGCGCGCTTCATTGTTGAGCGGGCCGAGCAGGAGCGGCAGGCCAACGTTATCCGTGCCGAGGGTGAAGCAGAGAGTGCCGAGACCATCAGCAGGGCAATTGCCAAGAATGGTGATGGCCTGATCCAGATTCGAAAGATTGAGGCCAGCAGAGAGATCGCGCAGACACTGGCGAGCAACCCCAACGTGGCCTATCTACCTGGTGGGAGCAAGGGGACGAATCTGTTGATGAACGTTGGAAGAGCATAGGCGGGGAAAGGAGGCTGTTGGCAGGGGCAAGCATGAAGGCACAGGTGATGATCGGGATGGTCCTGTATTACTACTCAATGACTACTGTATTCTCCGCTTCGGGACCGGTATAAATGCGAGCATTGGCTTTTCGCTTCACGGCATAGTGAACTTGGGTTTGAAAGGAGGAGATGATACCGTTGGGATCGTCATCATTTTCCGGCCACAGACGTCCAAACTATACCCACAGGTTTCACACTTGCAGTAACGTACACAGCCTTTTCAATATCATGACTCTCAAATCTAGATACTTTCATATGAGGATGTTTTGTGGCAATTGGAGTGCTGTTGTGGCTTGACATTGTGGTAGGTAGCAGGCCCAATGATGTAGCTGCGCTTGGCCATCTTAGGTCTTAGGTAATGCACGTTGAAATGCCCTGCAAGACGACTGCATTCAACAGATCTGGGTTTAACAAAGAGAACGTGTAGCAGAAGCATTCATGAAACATTATTCATAGACGACTCTGCCGAAGCTAAAAATATCATACTCCTTCTACCTCGCCTCTCCCCATTTGCAAATGCTGCCCTCCGTTCTGATTCTTGAGTAAGTCAATTGCCAGTGCAAGTTGCCTTCGACCATCGCAACCGGCTCCAACCCATCAATCCTTCATCAACCCGACTCCCGGCAGGAGATCAAGAAACAAAAGGCGTTAACAAAGGAACAAAAGAGGTCGAGTCGCCAACTGCATGGTCTGCACGAGAGAAGTTCCAAGAAGAGTGGTTTCCCTTTTGGCCTATTATCCTTGGACTCGCTCTCGTCGACAAGGAGATTGTCTCCAAGACTTGGTTTCAAAATTACCACACGACCAGGCTGCCATATCTCAAAATCACCGTTGGACCACCTTCTCTCTGTTCAGTCGATCTCGAGGTTGGACTACCCGTTGGCGGTTCCGGGCTATCAGGCCGCGCGCTTTCGTGGGAACAGGGTAAGACACCAGACCTACAGGCATTCTGGAATCTGGACTGGGATGCGTGCTCGGATATTCTATACCATCGCCGCAAAACGCTCCGTTCCACCGTCACTGGCCAAGTTGGCTCCTTCCGCTATTTGTTCGCTGACATATCCGTTTCTTCTCATCAAGACTTCGCCTGAGGTTGCACATAACTCACCCAAGACACCGGACTCGTCTTGTCACAGTGAACGCGATGGAGGCCGTTCTGCGAAACTTCAAGATGATCCCCTGTCCCACAGGGGACAGCTGTACAAAGCCTAAATGCCCGTTTGAGCACACCTGGGACAGGAAGCCTCCCCCAGCTCCCGCAGCTCCCGCAACCCCCAACCAGGAGAATCAGGGAGAGGGGCCACGAAAACGTCGAAAGGTCTCATCGGAGCCTGCGCAAGCCCCGGCAAAGCCCAGTCTCTCGTCTGTAAAGGAGCCTGTCTCGCCGCCAGCCCTGAAGCGTAAGGTTGCTTCACCGGCCGTTACACCTGTTGCAAGCCCAGCATTGCCTAAACCTTCACCGGTCTCCGTTGTGTCAACGCCGGCCAAGCCTGAGCAGGACATCACGCCCCAAAAGGCCACAGGTTCTGGAATCACTCCTCATAAGGATGCACCTAAGGCTACGCCCCGGAAACCAGAAGGGCTGAATCCTCGGCATCTGAAGATGGCAGCGCCGGCCGCCCATGACTTCCGATACAAAGCCTTGAAGCTTCTCCACGAGCAATTCCAGCGTCTCAACAATGAGCTAAAAAAGGACGCAAAGGACGATGAGCAGAAACTCGTGCTCTCGGATCAGGAGCTGATCTGGATGGCCCTCGATAAAGAACAGCATGCAGCAACCGATAAGCCGACCATCTATCAGAACGTCATCAAGAACCAGATTATGGTGTACAAGCGCATGACGCCTGGCCAATGGAAGGATGAGCGGGTCGCTGCACTTAAGAAAGAAAAGGCTCGCGCAGCCACCAGCTCGGGGAAAAAGCTAACTACAAAACCGATACTTGGCCCTCCCAAGGTGATCGAGACTGGCCTCACCGCTCAGCAAGAAGTCCACTTCCTCTCCCATCTCTATACCCCTATAGACAAACTTGCCCAGTATGGCTATGTCCACACCCCTCCGAGCGACGAGGAGATTGCGAAGGCCCGTGAGGGAGAGAAGGCGTCATTGGGATGGGAGGTCTGCGATCGGTGCTCAACCCGCTTCCAAGTATTCCCCGGCCGGCGCGAGGAAGATGGAGCCCTGGCTTCAGGCGGCCAATGCGTCCATCACCCGGGGCGCATGTACTATCCGGAGCGGGCGCCTGGCGAGACGGACAAGCCGGCAAGACGGTACCGGTGTTGCCAGCAGGCGGTGGGCGACTCACCAGGCTGCGCCACGGCCCCGACACATGTCTTCAAGACTACGTCCCCGGCACGCTTGGCCACCGTAATACCGTTTGAGCGGACGCCTCCGAATCCGCTGGCGCCAAAGGACCGTGCCGTGTGCTTTGACTGCGAGATGGGTTACACGGTCCGCGGCATGGAGCTGATCCGGCTGACGGCCACGAGCTGGCCAGATGCCAAGGAACTGCTGGACGTGCTGGTCCAGCCAGTCGGGGAGATTTTGGATCTCAATTCGCGGTACTCGGGCGTGTGGCCCGAGGACATCCGCAATGCCGTGCCCTGGTCGGCCAAGGGCTTGAGCAGCGCCCAGGACGAACCAGACGGGCAGGGAGAGAAAAAGGAAGAAGAACAGGCAAAGGAGCCGCAGCCGGGGCGGAAGAAGATGCAAATCGTCTCCTCACCCATCGTAGCTCGCGACCTTCTCTTCTCGCTCATCTCTCCCGAGACTCCCCTGATCGGCCACGGGCTGGAGAACGACCTGAACGCGGTGCGCATTGTGCACCCGACCCTGATCGACACGATTCTGCTTTACCCGCATCGCCGGGGCCTGCCGATGCGCTACGGCCTCAAGATGCTCATGGAAACGCACCTGAACAAGGCCATCCAGGTTGAGGGCGACCCCGAGGCGGCCATGGGCCACGACAGCGCCGAGGATGCGCGCGCAGCCGGAGAGCTGGTGCGGCTCAGGGTGCAGGAAAAGTGGGCCGAGATGAAGAGCCAGGGGTGGAGGCTTGTTGACGGGGCGTTTGTGCCCCCTGGCTGGGGAGAGAAGAAGGGTGGCTCGCTGAGTGAGGCGTTTCTTGAGGAGGGTGAGGTGGGTAGTGGGGATGAGGCTGTGGAACTTAGCGGTTGATGGTGGTTACAAGGGGAGGGGTGTCATCCGACTGGATGGGATGCGTATACCAGTGGAATGGCCCGGGCAGCTATGACGGCCATTGATGCCCGGATCATGGGAGCCTCCTCTTGATGAAGGGCAATGTTTCCGCCGGTCATGGTTCTCGCATATAGGCACGCAAGAGCAATGAGTTAACTCAGCGAACGGTACAGCCGCGTCGCCCAGGTGCGTGTTTGTTGGTATGACGGACACGACCGCTGGCAAGTGCTTAGCAGACCTGGCTCAACTAAATTCTTAACCTTCCATCACCGTCATTTGAACCTGTATCAAAACGATACGACCCTCCACCCATCACCACCCGTCGCTTGGAACCCCATTCTCCCTCTCCCATCTCCTCCTCTCCAAGTCCACGTCCATCCACCACTGATGCGTCGTCTCCCTTTTCTTCTTTGGCAACGCCAGTATCATTGGCTCTCCACTACTACTTTCAGCCTCTGCTGCCACCCTTGAATCCCCTACATCATCATGATTTTCCTCCTGCCATGGCTTGGGCGTGAGGATGTAGTGCACGCACTTGACCTTGCCGTCATTCTCGCCGCGCCAGAGCCGGTCGTGCACACCGGGCCAGCGCATCGTCTTGAGCGCGTTGTACACCCACGGCAAAACCCGCCACCGGCCCCGGAACAGGTCGCTCAGCAGCGACTGGTCGGCGAAGGGCAGTTTGCTGCTGATCTTGGTGGTGGTGGTCTGGTTGGGAGAGGTGGAGGTGGAGGCGGAGGTGGAGGTGTTGGTGAGGTAGGTGCAGATGGCGGACCATGTCCTCTCCGATGGGCGCAGCACGAGTAATCCACCGTTCAGCTCGCCCTCTCCTCTGCCTCCTCGTTCAAGTTTGTCAACATCACGCTCCAGATTTGTGCTGCTGCTCTCAGCTTGTCCATCATCCAGCAGCTGCTGCAACTCCTTCTCCAAGCGGGTATACGCGCACGTCTCGCGGGTCCAGTCGCGCGGGTAGTGTGCAAAGCCGCGCGGGTTGCAGGTGCACGCGTGGGCCGCGGCGAGGGCAATTTCATCTTCATCTTCATCACCCTTCCCCTCCCCGCCTTTCTCACCACCCCTGTGAAGGAGCAGGGCATCATTGTCGAGCAGCTCGTCCATGTTCCCCAGTACGAGCATGTCGGCGTCGAGGTGCGCGAGCCGCGAGTACTGTGTCAGGGAAAAAACCACCAGCTTGGTCCAGTTGAGCGCGAACCGCGGGTCCACGCCGCCGCCGCTGCCGATAACTGGTTGGAGTGGCGTGACGGCTTGGTACGGGATCCCTCGTGCGCGGAGGGGGGCGAGCCCGGATTCAGGGAAGGTCGAGGGCGTGTAGAGGGCGACGAGCGGGTGTTTGGATCGGTGCTTGATCTGGAGCGAGTAGTGCAGCGTGAGGAGACCGGGGAGGTAGGAGAGGGTTGTTATGAGGACGGCCCAGACTGTAGAGCGGTTTAACCGTTGAAAAGGGGGTTAGTTAGTTGGTTGACTAAGGGGGAAAGGGAAACGGGAAGGTAGGTGGGGAACGACGGGGGACGGACTCCTGTCTGAGTCGACGGCCTTCTTGCCGTCGGACATGTTGAGCGGGAGGGAAGACATTTTGGACTGACTGCTGGACTGCAGGATGGGGGGGAAAACAAACTGGACTGCTACTTCTGAGAGACTATGATCAGACCAGGGGAGTGGATATGATCTTATACCGGTAGAACATCCATCATGGGGAACACCCGACCCCGACCAACCCAACCCCCTTTCCCTCCTTACGGTTCGGTTCACTTGCGTCGCGTAACATGGTACTGCCGCTCGTATATCCCCCCGAGGACAAGGGAAACTGCATTGTATGCAGAGCAGCACTAGTACTAGGGTTCAGGTCTACCCTAGCCTGGTGGTGCCAACACCGTGACCATGACAGCCCGGGCATGAGCAGGAAGTCGAGCCCAGCCATGAGTAAGCCGCTTGCATCAACTACACACTACTACATAGATTCCAAGTAACCGTCCCTGGCATGACAAGCCGTTAGCCGTTTATCATAACCGGCCACAAAAAGCAACACAAAACACCAAACCCGGCGCATGCCTGTCGGCTAGTACATTGTGTGCATGTCCCTGTGTGTGATCTCTGACTTTGTAGCAACTTAGCTGCTCACCCATGATCCATCCCTACGCCCCCGTCGGCACAGCACAGGGAACATTCAACATAGCCCGGTCGGGTGAAACCTTACCTGAAGGAAGAACTAATCCGTTCTGGGCTTCATATCACCGAGGTCCCAAAATTGCTTGCTTGGACTTGCCCCCTCAACCGTTGATATCGGCGGTATTGACCTTATGCCTATTCCTGTTCACCGCCAACAACCTTCACAGCCTGTCTGCTTTCCTTAGGTACTGTATTGTACATACACAACACCTAGACGCAAAGATGTAAGGAGTTAAGTACCTAGCCCTCACACCAGGACCTCGTTGATAAAGAGAAAGTACATACATCGAGAATATAAACTTTTTATTTCTACACCGCTACACCACACTATCTCCCTAATATATCCATCTACCCAGCTAGATAGATATCTCATGTCTCATGTCTCCTTCCGCCTATCCATCCACCCCTCCGTTCGTCACAGGCCTCCCGCCTAGCTGCCTAGCTGCCGTCCCTTCTCACAAGTCCAGTAGTGACACACACGGACCATGTCACGTCGTGCCGTGTCGTGTCGTGTCATATTCATGTACAGTACATGGTCGTACTGCTCCGCCCGCCGGCCAGGCATGAAAAAAAAAAGAACGATGCCCAGCAATTGCATCTCCGCCATCCGTCAGTCCGTAATCTGCCTTCCCTGTCCAACCATGCCCCCCGTTCCACCCCCCTCGGGTCAAGGAATCCGTCACCGCCAACCCTTGCTTGACCCTTGACCGCCAACAGTAAACAAGAGGGACAGGCCCACCCACACGTGCAAAGGGAACGGGGCAAGCTGAAAAGAGGTATACAGCTTGGGAGGTAGGGGGATGGTAAGGGCGTAGTAGTAGTAAAGGTAGTGGCAAAGGCGGAGGAAGAGAGGGGGAGCTGGAAAAGAAGATCGGTTGGGCAGGTAAATAAGGTGGCGGATGTTGTCATGTTCCTCCTCCTCCTCACTTTGCTTATCTATCCCAGGGACCAAGAGCGCCGCCAAAGCCCCTTACCCCTGAAACAGCTATCCATCACAGCCACCAACGATCGCCTGCGGCCTGGAAAGAGGGAGAGCGCCCAAACCAATCACGCCGGAACCCGCACCACAGCCCTCGTGAGCCGGGATTGCGGCATGCTCATTCCGCAACGCCTACCATACCCCCCTGCCCACGCCCACGCCCACGCCCACGCCGTGCCGTTTTCATTACTCCTGATTTGGACGCCTTCGATCTCCCATTCAAACTATGCTTTTGTACGCCGAGTGCAGGGAAAAGCCGCAGGACAACTACCGGCAAACGCAGCCTTGGACTCATCATCAGATTCGCTGGTAGAACAGCAGGTACGCGACCTTGTTCTCCTTCATGCTCTCCTTGTGTTGCTTTGCGGCGGCTTTCTGTCCGTTGCTGCTGCTGGCTGGCGAGGCTCCGCCGTTGACAACGCTGCTCCACTTCTTGCCTGGGGTCGCTTGCTTCCAGCCACCGTCGTCGCCGGCATCCTCGTCGTTGATCCCAACAAACCTATTGCTAGTCCCGGGGTTGCCAACCTCCCTCCGGCCGTGGTCGCCAGAACCCACTTTGGGCGCGTCCTCCTCTGCGCCACCCTCGGCAACGTCCTCGTCCCGGACGCGTCTGATGACTGTATCGTCAATGCGGATCCACTCGCGGCCATCTTGACGACGGACATCCACCGTGTAGTGCCCGCCGCTGGCGTTCTTCCCGTGGTGGTAGACGACGGCAATCAGCCGGTACCGCGGGGCGCCAGAGTTCTCGGCGAGGATGCTGTTGCGCTTCTGTCGCGACAGAACCTCTCGGGGGAACTCAAACTCCAACGGGTAGCCAATCTTCTTCCAAATCTTCACGGTGCCGCCGAGGCCCTCGGCATCGAACTGGAACCGCTTCAGGTGGAGAATAAGAACCGGAGGCACCGACTCGATAAACACTTGCTTGGTGGCCCGGACGTCTTTGCCGTGCGGGGAGTTGAAGTCGCCGTGAAGGACCTCTGGCCGCGTTAGCCCTTTCAAGGCATCAATGATATTCCGGATTTCGGGCGAGCCGATGTCCAGCTGGAGAGGCTGGTACGGCTCGAGAGTGACCGAGTTTTTGTTGCCTGGGACGCGCAGCTCAGAGCGAAGCTGCCCACCAAAGATCTTGGTGATTGGCGATAACGTATGCGAGTGGCCAGAGGACCGGGTGACGGCCGAGCGCTGACGCGGCCCTACCTCGAGCCAGTCATCCCCGCCCTCGGATGGAACATTGGAGGTGGGAGATGGGAGCGACGAGCTTGGGGCGGTCGAGCTGATCGACGTGGACGCGGCACGCATCACCTGGGAGCATTCATCATGCAGGCCTTCGAGAAGGAATCCAAGAAACTCTTGAGCATCCTGCTGGTGACCACGCTGCAGGCTTGTCAATGATCGTGTTGGGAACAACAGAGTGCGATTATGTACTTACTCTCATGCTTGCAAAGCGCGGCAGCTTGCGGATGGCATCGTAAACAAACTCGGGGGTAAAGGGCTCGCCATATTGCTCGTATTCTTCGCTCTTCAGTCTTTTCTTGAGCTGCTCGGCCGAGGCCGCAGAGTCAATTACCTTGAACTCGCGCATGAACATGATCCTAATTGCCATGGATTAACACAAGTTCGACGCTGTATTGGTTCCGGCGCAACTCACATGGCATCCAGCAGTGGGGTGTCGCTCTTGAAGCTGTGGGCAGCCTTCTTGCCCACTTGATCCAAGAAGTCAAAGAAAGGAATGCAGAAGATGAGAACTTGTAAAACCTGAGGTATCCGTTAGACGCACATATGACTCGACTTGCGGGACCAGGCTCTTACAGAATTCATATAGCACATATTTCCCGTATTCACTAATCCCCTGGGCTCTACAAAGACCAGCTTGTCTTGGGCACCTGGTCGGTATGCTTCCAGGGCTTCGGCCAGTGAGCTTGCATTAGCCTTTGCAAAACCGCTCCCTGCGCCCGACGTGCTGCTGGTCCCAGCGGCTGCGTCACCGTTGGTTTTGAACGCAATAGTGGCCGAGCTCTGGCTGGCAGCCGGCGCAGGCTTTGCAAAAAGACCTGTCCACAACTTTGGCTTCGGCGGAGCAGGTGCGGACGGGACAGCGTCTGTTGTCGCCTCTGCTGTGTCGGCCGAACTATCTGCTGGCGTTTCGCCCGACACACTGCCAGCGGCATCAGCGCTAACCTTGGCATCGCCAGAGCTGTTCTCGGCACCGCCAGCAGGCTTGGGTTCCTTGGGGCCAGCTTTAGGCAAAGCAGGGATCACTGGGACTGCGGGAACTGCAGAGACGGTCGATTGCGCAACCGGTTTCACGGCGATTGTTGGCGTTGATTGGGGTTGCTGCACTGAGCTCGGCGTGGTAGGAGAGGTTGATACGGTATCCTCAGATGGCTGGTCTTGTGTAGAAGGGGTCTCGGATCGGGCGGGGAGGGTCTCATTGGTAGTATTAGACTCTGGTTGCGGGGTGCTGACAGCCTGTTGCCGGGTTTCCGACTTGTGATCCTGCTTCTCATCGGCGGCAACGTCTTTACGGGGTGCAGAAGAAGCCTCTGCAACCGGATTGTGTTGGTTAGGCAGCTCTAGTCGCTCAGCATCGGCACCTAGCAGTTTCCTTCTCCTTAGCTTGGATGCTCGAGAGGGAAATGGGGCATCAGGAACTGATAGCCAAGGCAACTGGAGAAAAATCAGCGTTAGGCACTCAACATGTCCGAGAGCAAATAAGAGACGTACCGGCGGTCGAAAGGGTTCGTTGTGGAGTGGCAGGGATCGTGTCGGGGACTGTTGAGCTTGGGGTACGGAGTGTTGTTGAGAGGGCTCCTGTTCTGGCTGGGCTACCGGCTGAGACTCGGGGTGAGGCTGCGGCTCACGCTCAGGCTCGGGATGTTGCAACGTTTGTGCTGACTCTGGACGTTGAACCATCTCATGTACCTGCTGGACGGAAGGGGTCATAGGGGGAGGCACAACGTGGGAGTGTGTTGAAGACGGCGTGTGTGGCAGAGGAATTGTGGTCGGTACGGGCGGCGGCGGAACATGGTAGGGCGAGGACACGATCGGGGAGTGTTGGGCTAGCCGGGGGTAAGTCTGCGGCAGTGGCACATGGTAGTGCTGCATGGACGGCGGCGACCGAGCGTAGCCGGTGGATGGAGGGTATGGCATGTAGGCCGGACTGGGCATTGCGCCGTTTGAATAGGGCTGGTGGTGTACATAATAAGGAGCAGCTGTATAGGCGTTGGCCATGGGCGCCATATAGCCGGGATACATGGACTGGCCCACGACGGCAGGCTGTTGATGATAGTGGTGGTGGTGATGGTGGTGGGGAGGGACATAGTGCTGTGGCCGGCCTCCACGGCCCGATCCAGGGCCTCCGGCGGCGGGCACGGGACCCATGTCGGCACCGCTTTGCACCTGCTGCCCAGCCGGCAGATGCCCGCGGGTGTTCATCATGCCGGCCTGGGGTGCTTGGTGTCGTTGCGGTAGCTGCTCACTTTGATGTGAGGGCCACCGCGGCGAGATAGGGTGTGGCGGAAACCCAGCAGAGAGGCCAGGCTGATCTTATCTTGGACGGCGTCGATGGAGCGGGTCGGCGCGTTGAGGCAGAGGCGTCGGCGATGACGACGCTGATGTCAGGGCGCCTTCTCTTTTTCCCTTTTTATTACGATTATTATTGTTCGTCCTTTGGTCGGTCGGCCACTGCGTGCTGGATAATTACCGCGACAGTGGCTGCTGCTGTTTGCCGGCTACCCTAACCGGTGCACCTTTGTGTCGTGCGTCGATCGGATCGAATCGAATCGGCAAAACACAATGCTTCGTCCCTTGCTACCTCGTTGAACTCGGCCCTTCCTGTCGGTCAGCCGCGGACGCATGAAAAGCGACAATGTCGAAATACAAACGCATTGAGCGGGCCTCGCCAAGCAACGCGCAATGCTATGCCCAAGTGAAGGCGATGGTTGGACCGGGTGGCTTGCTGCTCTCTTGTGACAAAATTTATGTCGGCTGCTCTCTGTTTCTAAAAACACCCAAGACGATAATCTACCTTACATAACCTTGCAAGGCTAGGGAGTTAGGCGGCAAATGCCTATTGCCGCTAGGCGCTTGGACCATACCTTCGCACCGGCAATGCCAAGTCCTTTACAGGCTTACAAATACTGTATTATGCTGTACGGTACAATATAAATCAGATGAATTGTCAGCCCCTGACCCGGGTGGTCAAGACTCAAGAGCAACCTTGCTAGCCAAAAACAATCCACCAAGCATCGGTCATGGTGCGAAGCGCTGCCAATGCCCATACATTGGCTTTTTAAACCTCCCTTTCCACATTCATCTGTCCTCAATACGCTTACTCGTCCCGAAAGAGCCATCTCCCTCCCCCGCGCATTGCTTCTCGCCATCTCTCCTCAACCACACTCCTCTCAATCTTCTCTGCTTCCTCCTTGCTTTTCGCAATCTCCTGTGTGCTGGGGAAATCGGGGTTCCAGAAGCCTGGCGGGGAGGGCCTCCGCGCGTATCTCTGCCGGTGCCGCCCATATCGGTTCGCCAAGTCCTGGGTTTTAGCTTTGAGCCATACCTCTTGCTGCTGATCCAGCGTCATACTAAGGTAGGACTTGTTGCCGAGATAGTCCTCTACCATTTTGATGTCCGCCTCTCGCGACAGTACCCCGGGGCCACCAGCGCCCAGTTCTGATTCCGCCAGAGCTCGGAACTGTTTTCCGCAGCACGCTGGGTCAATACACCCAGAGAGTTCGGCGCGCTCCCCTTTGTTTCGTACCACCTCGGTAAACGCGTGCTTGTAGCCATCGTTGAACTTCGGATTTACCTTGAACTCTTCGGCCCTGAGTTCTGCCAGCGGTCGGTCCCGGAGTCTACTGCCCTTTGTCGGGCCGCTTTTGTCCTGAGCATGTTTAGGAACCGGAGTGACTGTCTTAGCTCTGAGATCCGGGCACGCTTTGGTGCTGGATTCGGGGCTGTCACGGTGGTACCGAGCCGTCCGAAGAACGGAAGCAACCTGTTCCGGCGAGTTGCGATTCAAGAGTGAATGCAAGCGGCCGCGTTCCAATGGCAGATGCGTTGGCAGATCTCCTCCTCCTTGCAGTGGTCGCGGGGACAAGAACGATTCGAAGGCCTCCTCAGCAACATCGGCAATCGCGCCATCTAACGTCCAATTGAGGCCAATCGATGGCTTGCTGCCTGCGGATGCTCTTGCCGGTTTGCGTGGAGACAGCAATGATGCCGGAGAATGGTCTCTGTGCGTACCTAAAGGAGGTGCTGGTGTCTCAGCTGCGCTGTTTGCAGCGGGTGCTCTACTGCGATGTAGAGCAGTGGAGTTCCCGTTCACTCCTTGTACAGGCGCCTCTTCATCCCCAGAAGCCCGGCGCTCTGAGGGGCGCTGCTTCCTGGGTGTGGGCATGTACTCCCGGTCCCCGTCAAGGTCGATGCTCTCATGGGGAGAGAAAGTGACAGCTTCGCCAGTAATGACTGGGTCTGAACTGAGGTTGCCCTCGCGCTTTATTTTGCGAGAAGGGGTCCGTGTCTCAGGTTCGTCACCATTGTGCTTCCGTTTGCGTAGAGTTCGTTCCGAGACAATGATGGGCCCATCGGAAGAAGGTTCTTGTTTTATTACCACCGCACGCCCCGCATCCATGCATGGGGGCAGCGGCGGAAGATCATACTCTCTTTTCATATCGCTCAGCGTCCCTTCGTCAACTGCGACCCCGTCCTCTCTATGGCCCGTTTCTGGCCCGGTCGCTGCCGGTGTTGATGCTGCGCTTCTAATATCCACTGGCCTCGGCTCAGGGGTTGGTTCCGCGTTGGGCACCAAACCCAAGGTAGGAGCTATCCTGTTAGAACGAGGCCCGTCAGAGGCAATATCTGTTGGCTGATCCCTGAGTAACTTCCGTGCCGAGCTAGCAGCTTGCAGTCGGCCCTCGTCGCCTTCATCGTGCTGGAGCTTCTTCTCCAGTCTCTTGATCTTGGCTTCGAGTGAATCAGCATACTTGACCCATTTCAGCTGTGAATCCCGATACTTTCTCGCTGCCCGTTGGGTTTTCTCGTATTGCTCCCTTAGCGCTGTGTAACGCTTACTGAGACTGGAGTACATTTCACCCAAGTCTGGCTTCTCAGCGCGTGATGAAGAGGAAGCAGTTGAAACGCCCGCCTTCCTATTGGCGGATACCTCCGCAAGAACAGGTCGTGCGGCCTGTTGTGCATTATGCCCCGTCTGAGCCGACTTGGCGTTCTGTTGAGGGTTCTTATCTCGAAGCTGCGCGAGTTCCCGCACTAGTGATTGATTCTCCCGCTCGAGTTGGTCATTTCTGGCAGCAACTGCTCTCAATTGGCGAATCTCTTCCAAGAGAGACGCGTGGCGGCTTTGATATGTTTCTCGGATCACTATCATAGGTCAGTTGACTGTGCTAACTAGGACTCAATGGTCGAGGGACTGGAGATGCACGAACCGGTAGCTAGGTCTTTCTCAACCGTGTCGCAGACTGCTTCCAAAGCTGTCAAGATCTTTGACCTCCCCTCGAGAGCCCAATAATCCATTTTGGCGGGTGCGCAGAAGATGGAAGGAGAGGTTAGAATCTGGAAGAGATCGATGCCTCAGCCTAGCGTCATGTCGCGTCGCGTCATGACTTCCGAGACATTGTCGCAGAGGCCTGACAGATTGGCGCGCCAAGTCACATGACAGCCCTCTTTCGTCTAATTAGGTAACGTCCAGAATTTCAGCGATGTTTGCCCCTCCACGATTCAGACCATTTTCTAGATGTCCGAAGTACAGTCCCCCCCTTGTTTGTTCGTTAGCGCCTGACTTCAAGACCAGGGTCAGCCCTAAAATTTCCATTTTAACATCAAAACGGCCAAATTTGTAACGGAAAGAAGGCTCGAAAGAAAATAGTCTCATTGAGGAATTCTAGACACTCCTTTTTCTTGTATTGAATCAATTGTTCTGGCTGTTGAGAAGCGTTTCTCTGATTTCTGGACAAGGACCCTTGTCGAGAGTTCTGCGCTAACAAACAAACAAGGGGTGAACTGTAGGTAAGGTAGGTACGCACCAGTTGGACAGCCACAAACGTGGTATTTGGACCTCAAAATGCGAGCGAGCAGGCGAGGTAGACATTCTCCCTTCAGTTATTGACTTCCCTATGTGTGTAGGTCACATCACTTCATTGTCGGATGATCTCGCTCGGGCTTTCAGGGAATCTCCTTCCGTGCCTAGACCTGCAGTTCGCCCTTCTTTCCAAATTCATACGAAGTACCCTCGAGCCTATCATGATGCACGCCGAGTGAATACACTCAACAAGAACACTTGATCACGCTTTAGATGATCGTCTGCTTGAATAACGAAGGGGGAAGCAGGTCGCGGGGGCGACTAGCTTCCAGGTTGTAGAGCAACGCGAGCCCCTACAGATTGGCGTTTTGCCCTTCGGCTTCTATATCTGCCACCAATCTGTGGTTGTTGCCATTCTGCTCCGCTAACTTGCGACAGGGCTGTTAACTGGACCAGCTGCATCAGACTGCGATGTTGCGATCGGTCCACCCGGCCCGATGGACACTGATGCGAGGGAGGACTTGGAATCTGCAGAGATCCTGCCAATCTGGAGTAATACGCAGCAGATACTCCTTTCTAAAAGCCCGCCGAGCCGTGATTTCCCTCGCCCAAATGAGCCGGTTTACCTCCCGCCCGGATAACCCCTCCCCGGGTCACGGACAATCACCCAGGAGCTGCGCCTTGGTCTGCTTGACGTTCCGGTCAACTTGGCTTGGACTACTGCGCGGTTAGCTTGCGATTGTGTGATAAGCTGCATCTGAGAGAAAATGGTTCCGGTCAGGCAGCAGCCGAAGGCAGTTGTGTGGTGAGTCTTGACAAGGGCGGCTCATCGTCTTGAGCGATTGATAATGATATACTCCAGACGGCAACGTCAAGAGGATTGACGGGTGGCGTTAAGTGCGGCACATCGGGCAATCAAACAAGCAGGCCAAGAAATCATCTGCGAACATGCTTCCAACGGGGTTCCAGAAGACATCCCAAAAGGGCTGTCACAGCTACCGAACTGCACCCCAGGATAAAAAGCCCGGCACAGGAGTAGAAAATCAGTCCGGCTCGGCTCTAGACCGGCGCCAGGAGTTGCCCGTTCGCCCGGCAAAGAACCTGCAACGGCAGGGAAGGCTATCCGTACACCACATAGTCAAGCTCGGTTCCATTCTTTGACCGAGTTTCTTCCTACGCTAGTTGCAGATGGATCTGATACATCATGTATCTGATGAGTTGCCGAATCTTATACATGCCTAGTAGATCCCAGAGCACCGGGGCAAAACCGGAGGTCCAATAGCTGCTTACATACTTGAGCGGCCAACGCAGGCCACGTATCGGGTCAGCATTGGCCCACTAACTATAGTTGACATGTATAGTGAAGGGAAGAGACAGGCTGGGGCAAAAGATGTGAACTCTGCAGCATCTCAACCTCCTGAGCACTCAGGGGGCGATAAGACACTAGGTAGGAGCCCTTATATCACAAGCTCCTTACTACTAGCAGTTGCCTACCTAGGTAGTCAGGTAGTCATGTTCCGCATCCAAATGTTACACCAGTGTATCCCTAGGTGAAAACGGAAACCTGAAATCTAGGCAATGGAGAGATAACGCTGAACCGAAAAGGCATCCAAAATCTTTGGTTCAAGGTACCTCGGCGTAAGGGCATGCAGGGGCGATGCAACTGCCCCAAGTTTTCTCAAGCAGTCAAGCTTCACACTGCCAAAGCTGCATACAACCGAGAACACTCGCATCTGGCCGGCGTCTTTCTCCGAGCTCGACCTTCAAAGAAGTCTCGCCCAAACCTGAGGCTGTCAGAAACCCTCGACAGCTAAATTCAGGCGAAAGGGCTAAGGGGCAGGGGTGCCCCACATCCACCCGTCACGCAGAAAATTTCAACAGCAATTCCTTCATTTCGTTCGTCTCTTTTTTCCATACCTTCCTTATCCAGGATCTAGAAACAGTACTTAGTCCTGCCTTGCCCCTCCTGCTCAGCTGGTGTCTCGTTCCCCGACAAACTCTTCTCAACCAGTCTACCTTAACTTATCCCCAACATTTTCGAAAGAAAACCAGATCACGGACAGTTTGTGCCGCACACTCGCACAAACCGCTTCAATAATCAAGTTGTGGTCAGTACATCACCTCGAGTTGGATTGTATATGTGCTTTACCCCACACACCAAAGCCTCCCCCACCATTGCACTTTGCGCCCTCCTTCTTGAGCCCTCCAATACCAAAACCCAATTCAATCCTCAACCAGGAATTTGGAAACTTTCATCCTCTAGCAAAAAACTTACTGACCCTTTGATCGCCTCGCCCAGACTCTCCTGAATTCTGAGAGCTCTTACCTTTACCGACTACATATCCACGATGGATTACAGCAATCAGGGCCGGGCCTGCTTCACCTGTGAGTTTTCGTCGCACTTCGCTCGCTCTGGCTTCTGTTTGCCCCGCCGCCGTGATCGCTGTCCCGCCACCCACCCTTTTTGGGCGGGGGGGCTCGCGCGCATGGTGTGAGTGGTATCGTTCCCTAGCGGATTGTTTCCTTTTTTGATCTGCCGCCGAAAAACCGTACCGACGAGTCGCAAGCTCGCGCGCGTATATGGAAATATCATGAGCACATCATCCATCTGCCGGTCCTGGACATCGCAAATTCACCCCCGTCGCAGCAACACTAATCTCTGCTTGGCCTTGGAGCATGCCCGTCCATGCACTGGAGGATTGGTTATCCCCGGGCGCAATAGCTGGAACAAAAAGAGTTGGCCTCTGCCATGGCTTCTTGGAAATTCCCTTGCACTGTTCAGAACAATACGACCCCCAGAAGCTAAGTTGGGGAGAGACCATCTGACCGAGAGATAATAGGCGGCCAAACCACGCATCAGGTATGCCATCGCTGGCGATAGAGAGAGACAAGAGAGAATACGAGTTTCGGAGAGGTATTGCTCTGTGTGTTTCTAAGCGACTAACAAACTTGCTTCTAGGCCCGCGACTGCCCCAGCAAAGGCGCCCCGAAATGGTAGGTTACAGTTTTCTTCAGGCGCACCCATTGCTCCATGATGCTGACGAACTTGTCATTACAGTTACAGCTGCGGTGGCGAGGGCCACATGAGTGAGTGAACAGTTCTGAGGTTGCCCTCAAGGACAAACCCTGACTTGTTCGCAGGCCGTGATTGCCCCCAGGGCCCCAAAGACACAAAATCCTGCTACAGATGTGGCGAGGCAGGCCACATCTCTCGTGACTGCCCGTCGTCCGCCAGCGCTGGCGGCGGCGGTGGCCAGGCCGGTGCCGAGTGCTATAAGGTAAGCGCTGCGGTCAATCGAGAGAGAAAGCTGCTAACCGGGCGATCCAGTGCGGCGAGATCGGCCACATTGCCCGCAACTGCAGCAAGGGAGGCTCTTCCTTCGGCGGCGGCTACAACTCCGGCGGCTACGGCGGTGGCGGCGGCTATGGCGGCGGCCAGAGGACCTGCTACTCGTGCGGCGGCATCGGTCATATGTCCCGTAAGTCATTGTGAAACAGCCGACTCCCCAAGGCTCGTCTAACCCTTTCCCAGGTGACTGCGTCAGCGGCAACAAGTGCTACAACTGCGGTGTTTCCGGCCACTTGTCGCGTGAATGCCCCAAGGAGTCCACCGGCGGCGAGAAGATCTGCTACAAGTGCCAGCAACCTGGCCATGTCCAATCTCAGTGCCCGAACAACTAAGGTGTCGACATGTCGTCGAGCGCTTTCTTCTTACCCGCCCAGTTCTTCCGCCGCTTCATTGACCTATTGCATTGCTCCTGTTCGACGATCGGGTAGAAAGGGAGACAAGGAAGTTGACGACACGGGGTTGCGCCATAAACTGCCTTTCTAGTGGACAGATCTAGCGCTCGCGCGCCGGAGTTCCACGAGTTGTCTTGCTGGGTATCTCGGTGGCCATCTGGATACCCTCTCAGTTGGCATGTCCCTCGCCCAAAATTTATCGCATTCTGCGTTGGAACCATGAGGTTCCCGGGTCTTTCTATTTTCTGCTTTTTTCCCCTTTTCAATTTTCCCTACCTCATTTGTCACACTCAAAAAGCACGCATTCATGACGAGGGATCACACACCAGGCAATGGAAAAGTTTTGAACCATCTCGGCGTCTGGGGAAGGCTAAAGGCTACCTCACACAGGTTTCCAGGTCATTCATCATGCCGTGGAGCGCTGTTTTTGCTGCCGCTTCACTTTAGGGAACATGATGCGGCATCTGGTTTCTGGGGTTCATGTCACGGTTTACGGCTAGATCATCGGACTGGGATGGGGGTTTGTGTTGAGGTCCCATAGAAATCATAATGGTCCGGCTCAATAAGGTGTGAACTGAGCTTCAACAGTGATTGATATATGCAACCCGCAATGCGCCCTTGCTATGGATCGTCCCTGACGTAGCAACTATCCAGACCCCGCAAGATCAATGGGAAAGACATCTACCCTAGAATATCCAAACCAGATTTCCGCCCGCCATGAATACACCTCGTACAAATTTTATTCCAAATCTACAACACGGCCTTGGGCATGAACTTCATGGCTTGCCTCACACCCAGATCGCCTAGCACCTCCTCGGCGCCGCCCAAGATGGCGTCGAACTTGTAGGTGCGGTTGAAGTTCTCAATGACGCGGCCCATGCCCGTTTGCGTCAGGCCACGACCGCCCCAGATCTGTACCGCCTCGTCGGCGACCTCGTGCGCCGCCCGCGTCGCGCTCATCTTGAGCAGCGCGATGGGGCCTCCCAGATGCTTAGCCTGCTCTGAGTAGGGCATGTGGCACATTTGGTAGCTGGATGATAATGAATTAGCACTTTGGTGGAATAGGGTGGGGAGCGAACTGAGAGAGTATAGAATCTTACGTGATGGTCTCAAGCCACGACTGGTGCGACTCGCACAGGGCGATCATCTTGGCCAGCTTTTGCCGGATCACGGGCTGGTCGATGAGGCGCTTCTTGAAGACGAGGCGCTGGTGCGCCCACTTGAGCGACTCCTCCACCACGAGGCGCATGTACCGGATGGTGCCGCACGCCATGGTCCAGCGCTCATGGTTGAAGTTGGACAGAATCACGTAGATGCCCTTGTGCTCCTCCCCGAGCAGGTTCTCGACGGGCACCTTGACATTGTCAAACGTGATGTACGTCGTCCCCGCCGTCGGCGAGTACGACGTCTTGATGGGCTTGGTCTCGACGCCCTCGCCGCGCGGGATCAGTAGCACGCTCAGGCCCTTGCCCGTGTTGACGCCCGTCACAAAGTAGTCGGAGAAGACGCCGTTGGTGATCCACTTCTTGGTGCCGTTGACAATGTAGTGCTTGCCGTCGGGCGTCTTGACGGCCGTGGTGCGCAGGCCCGCCACGTCGGACCCGGCAAAGGCCTCGGTGATGGCCAGGCAGATCTTCTTCTTGCCGCTGAACACCTCGTCGCAGACGCGCTTCTTCATGGCCGGGTCCTTGCAGAAATTGAGCACGCATGTCAACCCAATCACCATGCCGGCCATGTTGCCGTCCTGGAACCCGCGGCAGCCCGGGCGCACCCCTTCCTGCGACATGACCAGGTCGTGGAAGTAGTCAAACTCCCTGCCGTCGACGGCGCCGTCCAGCAGGTTGACGCCGTGCAGGTGCTTGCCGGGCCCCATGCGCATGTGCAGCACGCCGGCCTTGGCCATGCGGTCGATCAGCTCCTGGTTGATGTACTCGCCCGAGCGCTCGCAGTCGAGGGCCACGGGCGTGATATACTTATCGGTGAACTCGCGCATGGCCCGCTGCAGCCGCCGGTGGCTCTCCTTGTAGTAGGGCGACTTGAACTGCGGGCGCAGCCAGAGCGGCTCGGCGTAGGGCACGGGCGACAGCCCGCCGACCTCGGGCGTGAGAATGGATTGCTTCTCGCCCTCGATGGTGCCGATGGCCAGGTCAGAGTACTTTTGGAGTACCTCGTGCCTGTGCAGGTTGTAGAAGGCCACGGTTGCGTCTGTCCCCGCTACCTGCCGCAGAACAGCCTCGCCGCCGGGATGCGCGTCGAGGAACTCGGAGACATCGTAGACGACTGTGTCGATGATGAACCACACGCTGTCCTCGGTTTTGCGTTTCGCGACCTCGGCGCGGGTAAAGGTCTTGGAGGGTACTTGGAGAGTCATGGCTGCGGTTTACGACAGGAAACGAGACAGAAGGAAAAGACAGAAAAATGCTGGGTGTTGTAGAAGGGCGATGGTAGCACTTTATTGATCCTCGGCATGTCCGGGGCCTGACCCGAACAAAGCAGGGGTGTCCGGCCTTGTCCCCGGACATTGGATGGCTTCCTTCGGCTCCTGCCCCTGGAACGACCTCGGCTCTGGAATCTGGGGTCATCGACTGTGGGGAACTTCTCGGCGGGCGTAATGTGTTGTTTGTGATTGGCTAGCGCCGCAGCCTTTCCGTCAGCGGAGCATGTGATGCTCGGTGCGGCGGGGACCTGACCGGTCGACGGGTGACAGATCTCCCAGTTGCACTGATCATTCGGGTTTTCTATACAACTCTTTACGGGATACAATTGAGGACTACAGTAGTATTATTTGATAGGTAAGGCGGATTATAGCGAGCATCATTGTCCATGGTTCAGGAACATCGTCCTGTATCGCAGCAGTTGCTCTAGCTCAAGGCTGCTGCCTGCTGTCAGCAGCTGCTAGATGCGGTCAGCCATCATTCAAAGAGTCAAAATCCCGTCCAGTGTCTGCGAGTGTTGAGGCTTCCAGTTACTGTTACTCCGTACTTCACAAATGCGGCTTGGATGCCATACCAGGGACGCAAAGCAACTCAAGAGCAGTTGATCAATTTTCTTGGTTTATATCATTGAAGGGAACTGCTCAGTTGCAAGCTTCATCTTGCAGGGCTGTTGCGAACTCACGTTCCACGCTTTGTCCCAATTGGGCAACCCCTCGCTCAACGTTCACCCCGCCTCGTCAATGACGAGATTCGAGACCTCAGCTTACTAGGCGGGGCTTTGATGCTGTCGGTAACGTACCGCCGGGAAATCTGAAAGCAGACAGCCTGGGAACCAATAGGAAACTTACTGCTTCCCCCGTGTGGTTTATCAACTGGCTCAACGCTCCCTGGACTCAAGTTACTGGTATTTCCTGTATCTCGGGCTGACTCCAGCTGGCCTATCTTGGCCCCTTTGTTGTACAGTACACTCGGTACAGTACATCATCATTCGTCCTCTCCCGAAAGGGCGGTAGCGTGGCTTCACGACAGCACCTACCCTATGCATCCAGGTTGTAATGTCCGACTTAGACTGATCTGGTACGTACATGCATACACCCATTCCGATGAGTGTGTTCCTCGAGCGGGAACAAATTGCATGTCCAGCGGATGGAGCGGGTTTAATGCCCCAACTGTTAAGCAGAACCAAGGGCTGGAGGTCAAGAGCATAGCTACTACCTTGTCCCTTGCCACCCCAGCCACGCACTCAAAGCCGTATCTCGATCACCAGACTTATCCGGTCTGATGATCGAGTACTGTCTTATCCAAATCCCGGGAGGTATCCGGAGGTCACCCAAATGAAGCCCCCGCTCCTTCCGCACTGGCATGCTGTTCTAAATTCGACTTGATCCGCTCCTGCATTCCATGCCCCCAGAGGCATATCGCGGCTGGACTCTTTCCTGATTATCGCCCTGGCTCGGCCCGCCAGGAACCCACACCACCATGACTTGATTCGCCCGATTATATACCCCTTTCCAGCTTACAGACAGCATCGCTGCCTTATATCAGCGTGCCCGTCTTTCCCTCTGCCTATCATTGTCTGCCGCAAAGCTGCTCCACCCCAACCGCCGACATGGATGCTTACTCAATGTCCGTCACTAGCGCTGCGCGCAAACACACGTCAAGGATATATCAAGACTTGAAGACAGCGAGAATACACACCAGCGCCGCACCGAGGAAACTGACCATCATGGATAGAGTCCTGAAGGTAGCAGCTCAAACCACGACGCGCAGAGGAAATAAAAGGCGGTGCTTACACTTTGACACTGCAGCTCGAGACCCTCGATCCCCCGACCAGGAGATCGCATATCGCCGTCATCGGCGCCGGATTTGCTGGGCTTAGATGCGCTGACGTACTGCTCCGACATGGGTTCCGTGTGACCATCTTGGAAGCCAGAAATCGTCTCGGCGGCCGAATATACCAGGAGAGGCTCCCCAATGGCCACCTGGTAGATGTTGGCGCCAACTGGATCCATGGCACCACCGAAAATCCTATTATGGACCTGGTCAGGGAGACCAACACGGCAGTTGGCGTCTGGGACTCTCGCACGTACGTCTTTGATGAAGATGGTCAACTCCTTTCTCTCGAGGAGGGGGAGAAATATTCTACCTTGATGTGGAGTATTATTGAGGATGCTTTTGAGTACTCAAACAAACATGGGTCTGAAATTGACCCAAACCAGACGCTCTTGGATTTCTTTCAGGAACAGGCCACCATGAGGATACCGGAAACCGAGGAGGGCTATGAGAGGCGAAGACGCATACTACTCCAGATGGCTGAGTTGTGGGGAAGCTTTGTGGGAAGTCCTCTTAGTACGCAGAGCTTGAAGTTCTTTTGGCTGGAGGAGTGCATCGAGGGTGGTAAGACCGAGTCTCCGTTTTGGAATTGATTGAATCATAAATATACTAAGAAATTTCACAGAAAACCTCTTTTGCGCCGGGACATATCACAAGGTTCTAGAAAAGGTTGCCCAGCCAGCTATTGACGGGGCTGACATCCGGTATCAAACCCGTATCTCCGAGATCCACGGCAAGTCAACGTCACAGAACGGCATGGTCCGGGTCAAGATCACAGATGGTCAGGTCATGGAGTTTGACCAGGTAGTGGTCACATGCCCTCTGGGATGGCTGAAGCAAAACTTGGACGCCTTCTTTCCTCCCCTTCCCGACCGCATGTGCCAGGCGATCCAAAATATCGGTTACGGGAACCTGGAGAAGGTCAGTCTCTCAGATCAAAAGCCACTACCCATATCCACACTGACACCACTGGCATATCCAGGTGTACATCTCCTTTCCTAGCGCCTTCTGGCTTACTTCTTCTAAAGAAGGCGGCAGGACCATACAAGGCTTTTGCCAATGGCTCGCCCCGACCTACGCCCCTGAATCCAACCCCGACCGCTGGCTTAACGAAATCGTCGAGCTCGGCTCCCTCGCTGGCACCGTCGGACACCCCACCCTACTGTTCTACACTTACGGCGACCAGTCTCGGCACATCACGTCCAAAGTGCGCTCCTTACCCACCGCCAAGGAACAGTCTGAGTTCCTGTTCGCCTACTTTAAGCCCTACTATTCCCGCCTGCCGTCGTACGAGGAAGGGCACCCGGACTGTCAGCCTGTGGCGTGCTTCGCCACAGATTGGGAGGGGGATGAGTTGGCCGGGAATGGGAGTTACGCTAATTTCCAGAAGGGCCTAATGGAGGGCGATAAGGATATCGAGACGATGAGGGCGGGGTTGCCGGCCGAGGGCGTCTGGCTCGCCGGAGAGCACACCGCGCCATTTGTCGCACTGGGGACGGTGACGGGGGCGTATTGGAGCGGGGAGCAGGTTGCGAGGAGGATCGCGGGGGTGTTGTAATCTATTCATGGTGATGACCTAGCGGGTTAGAAGGGTACCGGGTAGTTCTATGGTTAGAGGTGGCATCGGGTTTCCAGGGTTTCCAACCACTGAAGGGTTGAATGGAGTTGTGTTAGAGCTCAGCCGGGCTTATACACTGCCCATTGCCTTTGCATTTTTTGCATACCTACCTTGCCTTGATAGGCAGACTAGATTTACCTGTCCTTGCCCGGGGCAGCGTTGTGCTCAGCTCATTGTGCAACAAGGCAGCAACAGCATGTGTATGCATTGCAGCTCATAAAGCTGAGACGCGAATACGGTAGTGAGTCGGGCAAAGCCCCAATGACGGGTTTAGCGTTAGCGCATAGGTACGGTAGGCATCATTTCTCTGTTGACTTGCCACGTCGTGAATGAGGCTCACAGAGAGGCTCCAATGGCTCGTGGATACTTCATACATATGCTCAGGATCAGCCAATGGCTAGGTACATACCTGGTCGGCTGGTTATGACCTACTCTGCAGATTCCAGGCTGTTTTGAACGAGATGATGTGAGAGTCATCGGCAAAGTATGTACGGACAATTCAGTAACTTACAGTACAATACCAAACTTACACCACGCTTGTGGTGAGTGGGGATCAGAGGCAGTCACTGTGACTGGCCCAGGCTGCGTCCAAGTCGCCCTGAAAGTGGGGTTTAGGCCCCATGCCTCACGCTCCGACAATGCTGTCACGGGTTGTCCGACCTCCACCCACTTTGCATCCCTGCACTCGACATGGGGTCGCGCTCAAGTGGTTCACCACGTCAACCACTGCACCACCGACGAGCCTAGCTACTTTCACTTTTCCTTTCTTCATCACACAACAGCTTCCAGGCTCCAGCTTTTGTTGTTGTGGTGCACCCTGTCTCTGTGTTTCAGGATCAAAGTAGCTCAAAGATTTTATTTTCTTTTGCACCTCTTGGAAACCGTCTGGACGGCGCACCTCGATTCCCACCATGGTGCACCCTTCAACATGACCTTCCCCGCAATTCCTCGCCGTCCTCCGTGCCTAATCCCCTAGACTATTGATTACCGGACGCCGCGTTCCGCCCGCCTCGTACTCTTCCGCTGCTCAGGCCCCTTGGCTGCCCCGGTGTCGTGTGTCTCGTCCCCCATCTGGGTGACCGATCCCGCAACTCGGAACAGCCGATACGCGATCACCCAACACCGCTCACCATGGCCTACTTCTTCAAGTCCTTCCGCAGCTCGCTGATGCCCAAGCAGCTGCTGCGGTTCGCCTTGTCCCGTCTGGAGATCCTCGATGCCGGCGCCCTCGATCTGGAGAACCTTGACTTTGCCTTAGGCCGGAATACTGTCCTGGAGTTTCGAGATGTCGGCCTTGTGCTTCAGGTACTGCCATACTCTCTAACTATCCGTGTCCAGTTGGACACCTATCCGTTCGCAACGCTAATGCTGCTCTATGCAGAAACTCGAAAGGCTCTTGGAGCTTCCCGCAGCCTTCTCGCTCCAGAAGGCCAGGGTGCTGGTCCTACGAGTCACGATTCCCATGGACTTTTACACCAGTCCGATCACGGCCGAGGTAGATGGCGTGGATATCAGCTTGAAGGTGGCCTCCAAGCCTGAGAACGATCAGCAGCACTCTCGGAAACGCAGGAAAGGAGCTGGCGCCGACGATGCTGTGCCGACAGCTGCAGACCTCGCCCAGTCGTTCTTGCAAACACAACCGGTAGAAGAGACTAAGGAACTCGAGGAGGCGCTGATGGCAGAAACCCAAGACCTCGGGGCTTCCGTGGCTATCAGCGAACCAGAGAGCGACGATGGCTCAACATTCGGTACCGGTCAGGCGCTGTCGCTACCCGCCTTCTTGACCGACTTCCTGCAGGGTATCGTGGATAGGATGCAGGTCAAGATTCGCGGGGTGACATTCCAGGTCAACTTGGAGGTGCCGGTAGCCGCCAATGCACCTACGCCCGAGCTGGTAACGTTCCAGCTAGCAATGGACAACATTAGTGTGGAAGGTGTGACGACTCCGGGCCAGGCGGCGGAGGGAGGTCCCACCATCGTACCCAAAGACGGCAAGCGGCATATTCTGTTAGACAACATTCGAGCATTTTTGATCTCCGAGGCAAACGTGCTCTCGTCTTTGGCACCGTCTCCGTCGATGCCCGCTTCTGTGGCCTCGCAATCGCCTTCGACAGCTGAAGCGCCCACCTTCCCAGACCTGGGTACGGGGTTTAAAGGGGACGCTGCTTCTGATCCAATGGCCGACTCAGATTACCTTGCTCAGAGCACATATCCGCTGCAGGACAGCGAAGACGCTTTCAACATTCCCTACGATGTAGAGGAGGACAAAGACGAGCGGAAGACCGGAGACGCGGTGGAACCATCATCATCTCTATCCACTCCCAGGGCTTCAGTCTATCAGGATTCGATTCATCAAGACTTTGTCCAGGGCTCCGTACATGATGAGGGGTTCGAGGGGTCCGTCCCTCACGGCTCAGTTGATGGCTCAACTTGCCATGGCTTTTCCCCGCCCGCCGTTCGGCAACAGGCAAAATCCACAGTCGTAGAGGCCGCGCCCTTGCCCTGGTCTACGCTTGGGAGGGAGGCACAATCAGAGCCCTTCCTTCGCCCACCGCTTGATTTCTCCCCGCCGAAAACGCCATCTCCACAAGCTTCAGTCCACTCCGCGTCCGCGAGCAGTAGCTCTAGCGGTGTCGGAGCAGAGGACTTAACACAGACGCATCTGTACAGTCACGAGGAAGCTGAAAGCATGTACATGAGCGCTTTTTCACAAGCTGAGTCCGACAAGCTTCGAGGCTCCATGCCCGGGTCGTGGGATGCCGACGAAGTGGCCCCCAGCGCCAAATCCTCGCCAGAGAGAACCGTTGCTGATTCGACCACATCGTCTGGCGCAACTTCTAGCTCGCCTGAACATGATGACTCTAACTCGGACGGCGAGGATAGTAGTAATCTTGTTGGACGCTCCCCACAGCATCCTACAACGGATCGGCTTGCGACACTTGAGAACTCGAACCACCTAGACGCTGACGACGATGCAGTCTACCAGCACACACAGCATCCTGCTACTCAAGACGAGCCCGAGGCTCCGCAGGAAGACATCCCAACGCCGCGTGGACCGACTCGCTTAGTCAAAGAAATCCTGTCCTTGAGCTCCGTTTCCATCTACCTCCCCTCAACCCACGGACATATCCAGGTCACCGCCGATCTTGGGAAGTCAATACCGCAGAATCTTCCCGGGGCATTCTCGATTCATTCCGCAACTGCTACGAGTCCCAGCTTCCTTCCTATTGGCGATCATGGGACAGAGAAGGCGCCCCTTGACAAGTCCATCGAGATTATACTCAAGCCCTTGGATGTCCGCTTTGATGCATCAATCGGGTTTCTCCTGACCATGGTAATCACTCGCCTTTTGGAAGCTGTGCAAGGCCAGCCAAGCGAGTCCTCTGCTTCAGCACCTTCTAAGCCCAGTTCAACTGCTTCGGAGATCAAACTTTCCGCCGAGCAGCTATCGATACACTTCCTGGAGACACTTGCAGGCGTTGCGGACACCGCCGAGAGACTACTAGACAAGCGGACGGCCGACTTCAGCTCTGATGTGCTGCTTCAGGCACAGATCGTGGATCTACAAGGTTCAATATCTATCTCAGACTCTCAGACGGACGCCAGCATCGGCGTCGAGAGGTTCCGATTTGGGTACGCTAATGACGATATCATCTCGTTTGACCGCTCAGTTCAATTGTTTGAATCGGTAGTGCGCACGGTACCCTCATCCGGGCAGGACATTTCAGTAAAGGTCACGTCCGGCCCGGAGATATCGCGAGTCGAGATTAGCACATTGCCTCTCCACGTCAAGCTGGATCTCCCGCGGCTGGACGAGACATTTAGTTGGTTCGGGGGGCTCAGCAGCTTTCTTAATATGGGTTCCTCAGTCACCTCAAGCACTCCGAAAGTAGCTAAGTCTGCTGCCAAGTCTGCTCAAAAGCCGAGAGGCGTTCGATTTGAAGCACTCGTCGAGTCGGATGATCGGACCGCGTCCAAGGAGAATAAAACTGATTTGCGAATCAACGGCATTCTCTTGGACGTCGTCGGAAAGGACTGCAGTCTCACACTAAATTCCAGTGCTCTTAAGCTTGTTAGCAGAGAAAAGGGAATTGGCATCCATTTGAGCAGGATACGGCTGTCTGGTCCACACATCAGGAACTCCAGAGCTGATGCTCCTATCGTCGCCGAGATCGTCGATACTCGGCTTGACTATGCCATGCCTCGAACCCAGGACCTGGAGAGGCTACTCGAGTTAATCACTCCATCAAAGATCAAGTTTGATGAGAATGAGGATGAGATCATGGTGGATACGCTCCTCAGGCAGCGCAAGAAAGGGCCGGTGCTATCCTTGACGGTTGGGAAAGTTAGAGTCGACGCTAGCAGCCTCCAGCAACTCAGCTGCCTCCCCAGTCTAGCTGATGATCTCGCCAAGCTTGGGACTGTTGCCAAGTATCTCCCTGAAGATGACCGGCCAGGCTTGCTGACGCTGTGCCATGTCAAAGACATCGAGAGCAGTATTGAGCTGGGTGGCCGGTTAGGTGTTATTCAAGTATCTCTCATCGACCTCGTGGTAGCACATATCACGGTGCCTGCCTTGGTTGCGGTCGCCGTCGGCGGCGCTGCAGTCACACGCAACAAGATCGAGGAGCTCGTGGGAACGGCGCCGGTACCTGCAACCGCGTCATCTCAGAAACCGCCTGTCGTTATGATGCGCTTGATTGATGATATTGAGCCGGTCCTCAAAGTCAACCTGATCGGACTGAGCTTGGAGTATCGAGTACCCACCATCATGGACGTGCTTGATCTCGCCGAGGATGCCACCCCGCAAGATTTTGAGGCCAGCCTTGCCGCCTCGGTTGCCAACCTGGGTGACCAGGCGCATGCTGCAATCAAACGAGTCCCTTCAGCGCCGCTCTCCTCAGTGGAGCAGGTTAAAGCCTCCAAGGCGATTAAGGTGGACGTCGCCTTCCGCGATTGCCTCATCGGTCTCAACCCCCTCGGAATACCGTCGAAGCTCACCGTTGTACTCACCGAGTCCCACCTCGAGGTTACGCCTGGGAAATGTGACAGGCTCGATGCAGCCGCAACCATGAATAAAGCGTCTGTCCTTCTGGTCGATGATATCTCGATCCTCGAGTCGACTGGGGCGCCGTTTGCGTCAACACGGCGCCCACAGATAGCTCCGTCCCCGCAAGTTACCGAGCTTTGCTCCAAGGGATACGTCAATATCTGCCAAATCTCTTCAGCGAGAGCGGCGGTGAGAGTCTTCAGACACGAGGATGAGGGGACGCAGTTGGAGGTTGAAGTACGCGATGATCTACTGGTTCTTGAGACATGCGCGGATTCTACGCAAACACTCATTGCTTTGGCCAATGCGCTGAAGCCGCCTACACCACCGAGCAAAGAGATCAAGTACAGAACTTCAGTGGTTCCCGTTCAGGACCTCTTGGCGTCGATTACCGCAGATGCGTTCGGTCGGGCCGAAGGGGATTACGACTTTGATAATGACTTTGCAATTGCTGACGAACTAGCTGGGCCTGTGCCCGAAGATGCCGGCAGCGAGGACGACTTCTACGGTGGGCAGAGTGACAGCCCGCTTGACCTTCATTCGCAGTACTACGAGGAAGCGGCAGTGCAGGAGGAGTTGTTTGACGCCACCAACCAGTCGGTCGTAGCGGAAGGGCCCAAGATTGAGGATACCAGTGACGGTGTCCTTCTCAGCACCGCCAGCCTTGGTACAGGGAGCAGCATCTCTATCCACGACGACTATTTCGAGCAAAGGCTCGCCGTCCAGGGCACAGCGCACCGGTGGAATTCGAAGAAAAACACGTACGACAATTCCAACGATTCCAAGGTTCAACGCAGCCCATTGAAGGTTTCCGTTCGCGACGTCCATGTCATCTGGCACTTGTTTGATGGCTATGACTGGGCTCGCACCCGCGAAGTCATTGCCAAGGCGGTTCAAGATGTAGAGGCAAAAGCATACGAGCGACGGGCTCGCGCAGGGCGCAGGGGCGATTATGAGCAGGATCCCGATGAAGACGAAACCGTGATTGGTGACTTCCTTTTTAATTCTATTTACATCGGTATTCCGGCAAATCGCGACCCGAAAGAGCTGGCGCAGGCCATCAACCAGGACTTGCAGGACGTGGAGACGGCTTCGGTTGCTACCACGGCCGTGACCACCACGACAGTCCGGGCGCCAGGCCAGCACCGCCGATCGAAGAGCCTCAAGCTGAACAGAAGCAAGCGCCACAAGATTACATTCGAACTCACAGGGGTGAATGTGGACCTGGTGATCTTCCCACCCGACTCGGGAGAAACGGTGAGCTCTATCGATCTCAAAGTTCGCGACCTCGATATCTTCGACCACGTTCCGGAATCGACCTGGAAGAAATTTGCCATGTATGACTTTGACGCTGGGGAGCGAGAACTCGGCGCGAGCATGGTCCATATCGAGCTTCTTAACACCAAGCCGGTGCCATCCATGCCAGCCTCGGAGATTGTCATGAACGTCAACATCCTTCCCCTACGACTGCATGTCGACCAAGACGCGCTCGACTTTATCACGAGGTTCTTTGAATTCAAGGATGAATCCGTACCAATCCATGCATCCCAAAGCGACGTGCCTTTCATACAGCGAGTCGAGGTCAAGGATATCCCTGTCAAGCTCGACTTCAAGCCGAAGCGGGTTGACTACGCCGGGCTGCGCTCGGGCCACACGACGGAGTTTATGAACTTCATGATCCTCGAGGACGCCCGAATGGTGCTCCGGCGCGTCATCTTGTACGGCGTGTCCGGATTTGACCGGCTCGGCAAGCAGCTCAACGACGTTTGGATGGACGATGTCAAGCGGACGCAGTTGCCCGGCATCCTTGCCGGCCTGGCGCCGGTGCGGTCCCTAGTCAACGCCGGCAGTGGCTTCAGGGACTTGATTGAGATACCGATCAGGGAGTATCGCAAGGACGGCCGAATTGTGCGAAGCGTCAGGAAGGGCGCGACGGCGTTTGCCAAGACGACGGGAACCGAGGTGGTCAAGCTGGGGGCCAAGCTGGCGATTGGGACGCAGAACGTTTTGCAAGGCGCCGAGGGCCTGTTTGTGGCGAACCCGTCTGGAGAGGGCAGCAGCTCGGCGGCGGGCGAGGAATGGGAAGACACCGAGTACGACGAGGAGCGCCACAGAAAGATCAGCCCGTACGCGCACCAGCCCCTGGGCATCTTCCAGGGCGTCAGGGGCGCGTATGCGAGTCTTGCAAGGGACCTGTCCATGGCCAGGGACGCCATCATTGCTGTGCCGGCCGAGGTCATGGAGAGCCAGAGCGCTCAGGGGGCGGCGAAGGCGGTGCTGAAAAAGGCACCCACCATCATCTTCCGGCCGGCGATTGGCGCTACTAAGGCCATCGGGCAGACGCTGCTGGGTGCTACCAACTCGCTGGACCCGCAGAACAGGAGGCGTGCGGAGGCGGTAAGTCATGACAGTCGATTGTTGATCTTGGTTTCCTTGAAGGTGGTGCTGACCGCGCGGCAGAAATACAAGAAGTACTGAGTGCCACGACACGAGCTGCATGCGCAGAAAGGTATCGCAACTGCTAGTGCAGGAGTTGAGTGATAGGACGAGCATGACCAAGATACCATCAAGCATACTGGATCAGGTCAAATCAGATGCCACGACTTCTTCTCATGATATTACTATCCATCCAGATTCGAACATACGAGAGAGGAGTTTTTGCTTTCTTTTTACTATGTTTTTGCCTCAGGCCAATGGACATCAACATCATTAGGAACGGCGCTGTCGCATTATTCTTCATTCTTGATTCATGATGGTACGCCTGCATTGCATTCAATTTCTGCATTTTGTTCCCTTTTAGATCGGGGCCGGCGCCGGGAGGGGCGGGGCGGGGGCATATGGCATGACAGGGGGCATATCACAGTGATTCATTGTTGGTTTATTGTTTGGTTTGTTAAGTTGTTAGTGCCTGGCTATACAAGGTGCTGTAGGTATCGTACAGGACAGGACAGGCGGGATGGGTGGACACGGACAGGGACATTGAAGAGTAGCATTGGGAGATTGAGATTGACTGACTGAATTACATGCATACATACATGCGATTATTATTTCATGGCTTGGTGGCGTGCTTGGTTGGTGGGTGGACTTGTCTGTTTTGTTGTTTGGCTAAGGTAGTAAGGTAGTAGTGGTTAATGAAGATGCTGGCGAGGTAGGATACCTAGGTGTTTAGGAGTAGTAATGAAAGAGTTGAACTGAACTGAACTGAACTGAAGTGGGCGAACTTGGTGCTTTGCTTGAAAGAAAGAGGTGATGTACTGTACATACATATTGCGTTGGGCACATTTGCTGTTTGCATTGCTTTGCTTTCCTTACAGGAGGTCGGTGTCCGTGTTCAAAAAGAGTCTGGCGAGGTAAGGTATGTACCTAGGTCACTGGCTGATTGTGCTGCCCTGTTTGTGTGTGTGCGCGTATTCGGGAGAAGGGGTAGGTGGAAGGAGTGGAAAGGGGCTTGCTATCCGTAATGCTTTGGATGATCCAGGCTGTTGTCATGTTCTCCCCACGTCTCCATCCTGCCGTTGTTCCTCCAACTCCAAGTCTCCAACTCTTACTCTCCTCGCCTCGGCCTTACCCTTACCACCCTTCCCCTTCCTCTTCCGGCCCTGACCCTGCAAAATATCCTCCCGACGCCGCCACCACCCCTCAATGGTACTATGCGGGATCTTGAAGAACTCGCTGGCCTCTTTGAGGGTCACGTCACGGTATGTGAGTGAAGGGTTCAGCCCAAGCTCGGCGGGATCGGCATCGGTTTCAGCGGCACCCTGGCGACGGCGAGGTGCTGGGCCTTCACGTGTGCGTGGGAGCTTGGTTTGGGCTAGGAAGGTGATGACTTGGAGCTTTTTGTCTCGGGAGTAGCTTCGCTCTTGGCGGAGGGTGGGTTTTAGGTTGATGGTGCGTGGTGCGGGTGGTTTGCGAGCGGATAAGGGCTTGGGTGGGCGGCCGCGGCGTTTTTTGGCTGGGACTGGCTGTGGTGGTGGTGTGATTGGGGATGGGTTTGGGGCGGGTGTTGGATTAGTGTTCGGCAGCGGCTGGGGGCTTGAGTTCAAGTTTGGTGAGACTTGTTGAGGTTGAAGTGGTGCCCTTGGATTTGGCGATGTCTCGGCGGTGGTGGAGGTGAATGATTGTGATGGTTGGAGAGGCATCTTGGAAACTGATACATGGAGATGAGGGCAATCAAGGAGGTAGTAGTACTGGTAAAAGCAACGACGTTTCTGAAGGAGAAAGATCACAAGCTGTGGCCAGTGGGTGGCTGGAATAAGGTTGGATGGGCTGTCCGGGAACAGGCCACCCAAGCATATGACCACTGGTCCTGCAGTAGGTTTGGCCAGGTGCCGAATATATCGTATTTGTCTCGGTTTAGGTTTCGGTATGCGGGAGCAGACCACGGAGTTGACCGGCCCAGAATCCCAAGACGTGTTTATAAAGATGAGTTGAGTTGTTGAGGAGGTAATAGGTAGGCTAGCTGAAGAAGACGGACGGAACAAGAAGAGTTTATAAGGACAACGGCAATATAACGATGTATTACTCTACTGTACATACGCCTATTCGATGCCCGTTCACTTCTCTTCCAGTCCCAGTGCGAGACCTGCTCTCATGGACGGGCATCCATCCATGCATGGAGTATATGTGGTAGGCCATGTTGTGTCTGTCCATCCATTCACTAACTGTGTACTGTACTATACCTACCTTACGTTGCTGCATCTATGTTGTCTTCTCTCACAGCGGAGGAACCCTACCCTCGCTCGCACCGAGTCACAAACCACTGAGACGGCCGGACAGAGCGTGAGAGAACTAGAGACCCCTGACGACAGTCCTCACGTATGTATTCACAATACAGAGTATAGCAACTCATCAACGACAGCCGCTGCATCCAAGTCGAATAGGATTGGGATATCGATGTAATACATGAGTGTTTCCCATGTTCCAATTAGCGTTACAATGTGATAATGTACCTACTGTGTAGGTAAGGCATGTCTCTGCTCCTTCACCCCCTTATCCTCAACACCGAATTGATTTAAAGAATCTACATCAAGTTGAATAGAGCCTGTCAGCATGAACCCCCTTTACTGCTCCCCTTTCCCTTCTTCCAGACATGGCCCTAAAAGATGCCAAAGAAAAAGCCACCTTGGCCAAGCAAGCAAGCAAGCAAGCAAACCCCCAAACGCCCCTTTCCTTCAGGGTATGTGTATGTATGTATGTATGTATGTATGTTACGCGCGTATGTACTGTACAATCACATACCGTACCAAGTTATGTTAAGTTGCGAGTAAGTCAAACCTCCAAGCTTGCTGCTGCGTGTTCTTCAACCCAGCCACAAGCTGTCTGTCCTCAACACCCATCACCCTCCTAGGTAGGTATAATCCCCCCAGCTCTCTCTCTTGATATGTATACCCAGCACTGGAAAAGCAGCCCCATACCTTTCCATTCCCAACCACACTCACACCCACACCCTCCTCATCAACTACCACCTTCCCCCACACTCTCTACAATCCCCCCCTTTTTTTCCTCCTCACTGGAAGACCGCCCAGCCGTCCCCGTCCCAATCCCCGGACGCGGCAAAACAGTACTAGTAACATTCTTCCTCGCCATCTCCTGGCTCTCCACAAACCGATCCCAATACACCGGATCCGCCTCCCTCAACTTCCCCAAAATCTCCTGCCGATACTCATGAAACACCCTAACCACCCCCTTCTCGCGCGCCTCCGCACTCAACCGTTCATCACCCAACTCCTCGAGCAGCTCGTGGAGCACGCGCACGTGGTTCGGGTCGGCGCCGACCATGTCGACGCCCTCGGCCGCCAGCTGCAGCGCGGCAGCATAGTCGTGCTGGCGGCCCCCCGAAAGCCCCCCCACGATGCCCGCGCGGAACTTGTGGCCCGCGCGCAGCACGCGGCCTTCCTCGTCGGCTAGTGCCTTGGAGGATAAGGAGAGCATCGAGTTGGAGCGGGAGAGGGAGGTGGAGGGGGATTTGATGGCCGTGGCTGTGTTGTCGTCTTCTGCGGCAGGGGGTAGGTCTTCGTGTTCGGAGGACGAGGGGTGGGTGGTGGTTATGGTTGGCCGGTTCTTTTCGTCGGTGCTCGGGTCCGTGGGCAGGCCCACGTCGATGGCGCTGTCGACTGACGTGGAGAGGCGCGTGTCCGGGAACTCGTCCTCGAAGCGCTTGATGATGTTGTTCAGCGTGTTGTCCAGGAACATTAGTCGGTCTGGAAGTCAACAGTCAGCAACGGCAGTAAAAGGGAATGGGGAACAGAAACATACGGTAGGTATGAGGGTCATTTGGCGCCGCCTTGGCCTTGACGATCGCCGGCTGCAGCCGTAGCCTGATCTTCCTGGCACTAAGCAGCAGGTGTTTGGACGTCTCTTTTGCCTTGCCGCCGCTCGGCACCGGAGGCCGGGGGTGCGACACACCATTCTCGACGTCCTTGATGAACTCCTGCGACTGGCGCCTCGACTCGTCGCCGCGGTTGTTCAAGCAGCAGGCAAGCGCCCTGACTACGGCTGTGCCGCCAATGACGTAGTCATTATCCGGCGCAGCATCCACGTCGGCATCCAGGTCCGACACCATGACGTCGTGTCCGATCAGTCGCTGGAGCGCGTCGGGGTACACGGGGTCGGGCTTGGCCACCACTTCGCCTTGTGCCTGCGTCGCCGACACGGCGGCTAGCTCCATGTTGCGCAGGCAGTAGGCGACAACCTGCTTGGCCATGGCCTTGACCAGGTCGCTTGACTGCACGCTGGGCACCTCGATTTCGATCGAGACCAGGCTGGTAGACACCCTCGCCGCGGCCAGTAGCGAGGCAAACAGTGCGCACGCCTCCTCCTGCGACTCTTCTGTCTTGGCATTCGTTGCCAGTTCGACCAGCCGCGGGTTCTCGGAGAAGGTGATGTGCGCGAGACCCGTAACCTCGGGCAGAATCTCGGCGAGAGCGATGACCTGCTCGGGACTGAGCGCACAATCAGCCAGATGGATACGCTTTAAACATGGCATCTTGGGTAGATATCTGAAAGAAATGATGGGTTAGCACGGGACAATAACGGTTTTGTTCGGTTCAGGCGGGTTGACTGACCTCCGCAACATGCTCACGGCACTCGGATCTGAGCTGAACAGCTCGTGGTTATGCGATAGATCCAAGAATCTGAACTGACTCAATTTGGCCAATGTCGGCAGCAATCTGCACAGGGAGGACGGTGTGAGGTTGCAGTCAGCTAGGCTTAGCGCCCATAACGGACAGCTTTGCACAGAAAGCGCGTCAGACAGTGTACCGAGCCCGTCTCGCAAATTGTTGCCGCCCAGGTCGAGACCCTCGCAGAGGGGACTCTTCAGGAATCGGGCAACATGGTCCAGGCCGTCGGCGGTAATGTCGTTGTGCGCAAGACCCAATCGCTTGATGCCACACTTGATGACCCCATCAATGATGGTCCCTAACTGCTCAGTACTCATGCCCGTCCGGCCAAGGCTCAGCAGGCTGAGCGTTGAGCCTCCCAGCCTTTCCGCGAGAGATTTGGCCAACAGGTGACAGACCCCCTGCGGCTGGCGTGCAGCCGGAGTAGGGCTGTTGGGAGCGGCGGTCGGCTGGGGGTCCCGGGGCAGCTGTATCCCTGACAGATCTAGGCTCTTCAGGGTCCGGCAGAGGTAGATAAACAGGCAGATGTGCCTCCATCCCTCGGGTCCGATCTTGTTGTCCTTGAGAACCAGCCGCTCAACCACACCACCTTGGTCGGTCAGGCCGTCCGGCTCCGTCACCGGCCTACGCCTTCGGCCTTTGACCCTTTTTGCCGCAAGCAGCCCGGCTAGAACCACTCGGAGGCCCTCGTCCGTCAGGCCGCAGTTTTCCAGTATTACTTCCCTCACCGGGACGACGGCGAGGTAGTCGCCCAGCGTGATGAGATCTGTCAACTGCATCCAATACCCTCCAAGGTCGAGCTTCTCCACCATGCCAGGCTCTGTCGAGCAATTTGCTGGGTCCATGAGCTGCTCCGTAATCTTCTTAAGGATCGGAGTCTCCCTGAGCTGGCAGCAGCGTCGGTATATCCTGACGGGGTTTGTGGTAGGTGCAGTTTGCGTTCTGGGCGTCCCAGGACGGGGAGTGACACCGCTAGACGACGAGTCGCTGTCGTAGTGCAGTTCCATTGGGATGGTGCCGTTAGCCTCGGCTTGTCTCCGTCGCTTCTCCTTCCTGGCTTTCCTCTCTTCCTCGCTCTTCTTCTTCTTCTCTCGTTTTCTCGCATCGGCCGCCGTGGCTTTCTCAGAGGAGAGGTTCTCAACACTAGCCCTCGGCTCGCTTCCGGATTCGCTCCCTTCCCTTGGAGGCTCCTTGGGCACTTCTTCCCCTGTGGCTTCGATTTCGCCGTTGGCCTCCTTTTGAGCTTCTACCTTTTTGGGATGCTTCAGCGCCTCGCCTTCACCCTTTTCCTTCATCTTCTTCTTCCGGTCCTTGCTTGCCTTACCGCCCTTCCTGTCTTTGTCGTCCGTCTCCTCGGCGTATTTGGGCATAGGCGCAATCTCGACGTCGACGCAAAAGGCCACCCTCCGAAGCTTGGCCTGGTTTAACCCGGAGATAGAACAACGCTCCCTGTGCCGGTCGACATTCAAGACGCGCCGTGCGACCAAGCCGTGATTATGCGGCTTCGTACTGGGCCCAAGGGTGCCGTTGGACGATGAGAGTCTCCGAAAGACTTGTAGAATGCCCGCTTGCGAAGACCGCGGGGGCGCTGGAGTGTAAGGGCCCTCTCCTTCGGGCTTTGAGGCATGTTGAAGGACGGCGTTCTTGGCCGGGCTGGTCTTGGGTATTGAAAACTCGGCCGGCTTCGGCGAGGCGGTGCTGGCTTGTGGTGGACTCTGAGCGGCGCCGCCCCCAGACGTGAACTTGGATGAGATGTTGGAGAACCAAGAACCCCGCCGCTGCGGGGTGGTCTGTGGCCTTTTCTCGTCGGGGCTTGACCTCGTGGAGTTGGATCGGACCAACGCGGGCTGTTTTCCCGGTTCCGTCTGACTGGCATTGGCGGCCGGTGGAGAGGTAGGGTTTGGCGTCTGGTTGGGGGCCGAAGGAGAATCGCAGCCGGGATTTGATAGCGTCGTGGCCGTGGGCCTAGCAGGCGAGCTCTTTGTAGGTTTTTCTGAACAGAGTCAAAGCTGCATTAGCGAGGCATCCCACAGACTTCTGCATCCTCAACTTCCTTGTCAGGAGGCGCTGCGAAATCATGCAAGCACAAGCAACTATTCGGACGAGGTCCGGGAAGGGGATGCGAACCTCTTGGATTCCCGTGCGTCATCCAGCTCACATCGACGCCGTGTATGCTCTCCATCATGTCTCGTGTCTCGTTGTCGCGCCGAACTCGGCGTGCGCTCGCAAAACGATTGGGTGAACCTAACACATATGAATACCAACTCCGCTCTTGTACACGGAGAGGGCTAAGTTCTGCTCCTCGGCACGGCTGAGAAAAGAGAAGAGGTTGATGTTCGGCCAAAACTCTAATCGACAGCTCCGAGCTGTGGTTCAAAGCCGAGTGGTGAGTGATTGTGCTCTTTGTCGTGGATCCTCCGTCACTGATGCCATCGGATGGCACTAGAGACTGCCATGGTCGCAGACAAGCTCTATGTAGGTAACCCGAAGCTCATGCAAACGCCGTCGGCTGCGAACAGTCTGGAGGGAGAAGGTAGTCGGGGACGACCCGAGCCCTGTGACCGTAAATGCTTGTGAATCCCAGGTACTTCGTAACTAGGTAGGGCCGACCTCCTCCTGCGATCGACGCTGCGAGCTGTATTTTCCCGGGGGCTGAGTGTTATCGCACAGATAATTACAACAGAAGGTCGGCGGTTTTCGAAGGCGCACACGGCTGGGCTGAGCCAATCTGTTTCACCGCTAAAAAGGCAAGACAGAACCCTCCGATACTTATTAAAGCTCAGCAACCAATGGTTGTAGGGGACTAACGTCCTGAAGGGAGGTGCTCACTAAGGGCAGATGATCTTCACCACGATAGCACTGTACTCGGGGTTTGCGAATATAAGCGCAGAGATAAAGTGACCAACCTCAGCAGGAGCCGATGCGAGAGGCGTAATCATTCCAACATCAACCAGACATGGAACAACATTGGATCATTACCATCCAGGAACTGGCAAAAGGCAAGTCTACATATTTAGTGATGGAGACAAATGACCAGGCGGACCGGATCGGAGCCCGGTGGACGGTGGCAAGGTCCCCGCAATGGAGCCCGCACTTTTGAATCCCATTCATTGGGCCCTTGTTTGGCCCAGCTGCAGGACATTTCTGGTTTGCATGGCATGATGATGCTGCGATAGGACGAAACCTCTGCCTACACCAGCCAAGTTCGAGTGGTGTATAAGCGAAGGGGACCATAATCTGCTGATGGCCGCTTATTGTTCAAAAAGATTCGACATCGACATGATCATATCCATATCTTAGCTAAAATCCAAAGCAAGCAAGGTCAAGACATGCCTTCATTGCTGACAGGAAGCAAATAAGGAGCGGTGGCCCAATGTTCACTCTTAACGAACCATCTGTCAACCTCCAGATTTGGTAATCCTGCACGCTGGCAGCCTCCCCCATGACCTCATCATCAGGTTGTACGCTCTGGAACAAGCACATAACGTCGGGTTACATGTATACACGGATATCTCATGAATTACCAACTGCCTGTCGATATTCTGCCCTCTTCTAAACCACGCATTGTGCGCAACATCCATAGGAAGCGTCCCCGACAGGCGAAGAATTCATTGTTCAAGCCCTGGAACCGGAAACCCGCTTAAAGTGTCACGTGCCGAGTCTCGCCACCGCTTGCCGGCGCCCACCATAGGTTGGCCAAGTTCTGTGCATGGCAAGGTGTGTCGTGTAGTGTAAGCAGCCTCGGCAGCCTCGAGGCAGCGTGATCCCATCTCAGTAGCGCTTTCCAGCGGCTTTTGCAGTGGCTGCACTCCGATCATACGTCACGAATTGGCGCCATCAACTCCGACAAACCTGCACAAACTCGGAAAGTTGATTGGCTTTTGATAAACCCTGGTCATTACCCCCCGTGTGTGCCCCCTCCCAATGTGCATGAGAACTCCTAAAGAATAAGCAGTCATGAGCCCAGACGACGACGAGACCAGTCCCTAGCAAAAACCATTTTACTCCTCCCGAAGCTCGGCAATCTTCTCCTGCACCCGCTTCTGGCGCTCCTCGCGCGTGAGCTTGGCCTTCTTGTACTTGAGCGACTCCTGCTTCCACTCCTCCTTGCTCTTCTTGGGCGCATCGCTCTCGTACTTCTTGAAGGGGTCTTCCCGGATGGCCTTGTGGGCCTCCTGGTACATCTCCTCAAGCCCGTCAGCCTCGATGTCGTCCTCAATGTACTTGACGAACTGGCTCTTGTAGCGCTCCTCATCGTCGTCGGCAAGGGTCTCCATGTACTCGGCGACGTGGCCGCCATAGATGTACTTCTTGAGCGTCTCGGCGTCGAGCTCCTCCGTCTCCATGTCGAAGCCGGGGAACCGGTTCTCGGAGTGGGGGACCAGGATACCGCCGTCCGAAGCGCCCTTCATGACGCCAAAGACGCGCGCACCGGTCGAGGTGCGGGAAAGGCCAACGTCGAGGTAGGCCTTGAAGGGGCGGCGCTCCCCGTCGTCGGTCTCGGCAGCCTCGGTGAGAGTGTACTCTCCATCGGGCTCCTCAACACCGGTGAAGTCCTCGTCCAGACCCAGCTTCTTGAGGACACGGCGGGCGAGCAGGAGACCGGTGGCGTAGGCAGCGGCCCAGTTGGTCAGACCGTGCTCAATGCCGTAGGCGCGGAGCTCGTGCGAGTAGGCAGCCGCGAAGACCTTGTCGCCGTTGATCTCCGAGGTCACGATCTGGGTGATGATGTCGCGGTTGGTGAAGCGGACGACGAGGCGGTACTTGGGCGCATTGTACTTGTTCTTGGCCTGGGTGATCAGGCGCTTGCGGGCATAGTAGTCGGTCTTGCCCTGTCTCCTGCGCTTGTACTTGGTCTGGAAGCGGCTGCAACGCGAGTCAACACCCACATTCCCTTCTTTGCGAACTGATCCAGGCCATTTTACTCACCTGTAGTACGCGCTGTTCTTGACCAGCTTGTGGAAGGCCTGGTGTCCAATATCCCCGAGTCAGCAATTTGCGCTTCAGAATAATTCCCCCTTCCGAAGCATCTTGCATTGACTCTCGATTATCTATTCGGGCAATGCCTCGATTGCGAGGCGGCAGCTGTTAACTCACCATTTTGACTGATTGTCGCTGGGCGGTGCGTACTCAGCTGGGTCGGTTCACGGGTTGCAGATTGGAAGCGAAATTCGCGGGCACGAATATTTCGTGGGCCGAATTTCACCCCACAGCCCTAAAAGGCGATTGCGCTGCGGTGGGGGACGAGGGCGGTGAGAGTCTGAGAGAGCTTGGTTGGCGACGAGTGCTTACGTAAGACAGTACGAAGGTACCTGGGGGTCCTAGCTCAAGATTCATTCTTGCCGAGCCGAGGTTCCAAATCCCCGCTCCGCCCAGCAACTCGGCTCCGGATGGCCATGCATGTCTTTAATAACATTCACTACCATACTGTATGTACGAGGCCACGAAGCATTGTTCACGATGGTGCTTTACTTGCCATTGCTGTATCATAGCCGTGGAATCTCATGATCAGTTGAGTTTCAGCAGTTGAAAACATGTCGCAATCAAGCCCCGCGAAGCAACCGAAAGTAATCCTCTTCGACATTGGCGGCGTCTGTGTAAGTGGTGAAACATATACCCTGACTCTTGCTGTTCAGCAGTACTAACACACACAAACAGGTCGCGTCTCCCTTCCAGGCCATCCTCGACTACGAGCTCAGCCTCGGCATCCCTCCCGGATGGATCAACTACTCCATCTCCAAAACAGCCCCAAACGGCTTCTGGCACCGCCTCGAGACAGGCAGCATACCCATGGACGCCGACTTCTTCACCGGGTTCAACCGGGACCTTCACGACCCAGCGCGCTGGAAGGCCTTTTACGAGGCCCAGCAGCGCGCCCCGAACCCATCATCCGCACTACTGCCCAAGCAAACCCCGCCGGTCCCCCAAATCGACGGGGAACGGCTGTTCTACGACATGATGGCCGCCGCGCGGCATCCGGACCCCTGGATGTATCCGGCGCTGAAGGCGCTCAAGGCGAGCGGCAGGTACATTGTGGCCGCGCTCAGCAACACGGTCATATTCCCGCCCGATCACGAGTACTCGCAGAAGGACTTCCTTGACGACCCCGTGCGGAGCCTGTTTGACGTGTTTGTATCTTCGGCCCATGTCGGCTTGAGGAAACCGGATCCGAAGATCTACAGGCTTGCGCTGGAAAAGGTGAATGAGTTTGCTCGAGCGAATGCGGGCACGGATAGGGGCAAGGCCCTTGGCTGGGCTCAGGGCATTGCTGCCGGAGACATTGTGTTTTTGGATGACATTGGGGAGAACCTGAAGGCGGCCAGGGCTGCTGGCTTTCAGACGATCAGGGTGCCGCTTGGGAGGGCGTATGAAGCAGTGGAGGCGCTTGAGAAGATAACCGGTCTTGCCTTGGCGGGCGATCACCCCAAAGTCCCCATCAAGCCAAACTATCGGGGTGCGAAGGCGAAGATTTGACGATGCCAATCTGATATATTCTTACCATCGAGCAAGAGCACCTGATGATGTATGATTACTGACCGATACCCGGGATACAAACGCCTGTTAATAAATCTTCTCCTGTATGAGTCCCAAGGCCTCGCAATAAACAGCCTTGTATTACCCACACCATAACGTACAGTACGTTGCCCAGCCAGCACTGCTTAGCCCTTACAGTACCTGTTCACCCAACCCCTTCTCACAACTCACAATAAAAGACACCATACTCCGTCAAACGCCGCGGCAAACAACCCAAGTCAAACCAACAAATAACAGCGAACCAACCACACTGCACTAACCACCAACCCTGACTGAGGGTACATCACGCCGAAACAGCAGCCTGCCTCCGGCCCGCCGCTTGGCCCTGGCCCTGGCTCCGGCGCTGCTGCGAATGGAAATCGGGCCGCGCCAGCGTGTATTTGGCAAAGGCGCGGGCGAGCGCCTTCTTGCAGCTGACCTTTTGGCTGCCGACAAAGCTCTCGACCGTGACGGCGATGGCCCGGTCAATGTCGTGCGACGAGCAGTACTCGGAGAGGCGCATCCGGCAAAACGCCTCGCTGATGCGGATGATGGCTTCCAAGTGGCGGACCTAAGGGTCGGTCGGTTAGTTATCAACGATCAAGGGCGAAAGAAGTGGACAAGAAAACATACCGTAATTGGATACGCCCCTGTCGCCAGACTCTCCCTCCGCATGTCGGCAAACAGCCGCGCCACCTTGTCCTCGTCCATGTGGTACAGCTTGGGGTGGCACCGCTCGCGCGCATAGAGGATATACTTGCGCAGGAGTTCCTGCGGGATCTCGCCCTCCTTGTTGTTGTTGTTGCTGCCGTTTCGATCAGCAGTGGCCGCAGTAACCTGCGTGTCGTGCTCCACTTCCATCGAGTCGCCGCCGTCGACGCCCCCAGAAGTCGCCTGCGTGTTGTTGTTTGTCAGCGGATGGCTGCGGCTGTGGGAACCGACAATGAAGCGTGCCAGGCGCTCGTCCTCCTCGGGCTCGACCGTGTCGCGGACCACGCAGAGGATGTCGAAACGCGACAGAATGGGCTCGGTCAGCTCCACGTTGGCCGAGAAGGGGATGGTCGAGTTGTACCGCCCGCCGATGGGGTTGGCGGCGGCAATGATGCCGCACCGGGCCTGGAGGGTGGTGACGATGCCGGCTTTGGAGATGGAAATGGTCTGCTGCTCCATGGCCTCGTGGATCGAGGTCCGGTCTTGGTCGTTCATCTTGTCAAACTCATCGATCAGGCAGGTTCCCTTGTCGGCGAGCACCAGCGCGCCGCCTTCCAGAGTCCACTCGCTCGTCAGCGGGTCTCGACGGACACTAGCCGTGAGACCTACAGCGCTGGCTCCTTGACCAGTCGCGAAGACGGCCCTGTGTGCTGTCTTCTCGACGTATTTGAGGAATTGGGACTTGGCAGTGCCTGGATCCCCGAGAAGAAGCACGTTGATGTCTCCTCTGACGTGATGGGCGCCCTTTGTTGTCTTGGGAACGCCCCCAAAAAGAGAAAGGGCGATCGCCGTCTTGATGTCGGTGTGGCCGTAGATGCTGGGTGCTATGGAGTTAATGATCTTGTCGACAATACGAGGATCTTTGGAGAGTCGGCGGATCTCGTGCTCGTCCTCTTCCGTCATGCGGAAACCGGCGAGCTGGTCATGCGACTTGACAATGTTGTTGGCCTCGAGAATTGTAGCAAAGACGGGGAAGCCGTTGCGGTTGTTGAGCTGAGCATCATAGCTGTTCCGGTAGATGCCGGTGACTTCGATCTCTTCACCAGGCTTGGCCTTGTCGATAAGATCCCAGAGCAAAATCACCTCTCTGTGCCGGGGAAGGCGGCCGGCAGGGACAGTGCCCGGCGACTCCTGAAGGGTGAGCTTCTGGTAGTTCCTGTAAACGGTCTTCTCCGAGTTGAGCGTGAATGGGCCTCGAGACTGGCAGCTTTGGCAAAATGTAATCTTGACTTCGACGTGCGACTCCTGTTGGAAAGGGCCGAGGGTGACACCGCACTTGCCGCAGTCAAATTTGACATACTTGAGCTGAGGGAAGACGCCCGACCTCCTGGTCACAACGCCGCTAACCCGCACAAGGCAGTTGAGATGCGACTGGCGGAGCTGGCGGAGAGTATAGTGAACCGGAAGGTCAAAGATGCGAACATGAATTTCCGAGTGGATGCGCTCATAGTCGGGGTAGTGCAACAAAACGACATCCATTGCTACCTCGTCGAACAGCTTGAGCATCTCGGCCGGGACATTGGCAAGGAAGTATGCCAAGATAGCCTTGGATGTGGAGAGGTGCTCATATGAAACCTCAAGAGACTCGGCGTTGATCTCACCAAGCGTGCGGATGCGGTTCCCGTAGACTGAAGAGCCACTGTCGTCTGTGTACTCTGTCAGGAACGCCTTGAATTCTCTCTTGATAGTACGCTGCACAGCCGGTTGCGAGACCCAGTCGGTCAGACTGGAAGCCTTGACATCGTGCAGCGCTTCAAGCGACAGCTCCTCGTCCATTATGTCGGCGTCCATGTCCTCATCTGGGTCCTCGTCGTACCGATGCCTGCGGCGACGGGGCTGTGCAGTAAGGTCGATGTCGCGGTCATCGTCTTCGCCAGGCAGGAATGCACCGGGAACACGCTGCCTCCGGGCAACTTCCCGGTCTCTGCGATTTAGCTGGGCTTCGAGGCGCCGCCTCTCGCCCAAGTTCATGGCTTCATAATCGCCCTCATCATCAATGTCAATGCCTTCATACTCATCGTCGGGTTTCTCGCGGTAGTCCCGCTCAAAGCCCTCTCGGAACAGATCGACATCATCCTCGGCCATCTCGTCCAGGTCATCAATGTCATCTTGAATCTCGACGTCCTCCTCAATGTCGTCGTCATCATCGCCGCCGTGTGCGATATTGAAGGCGGGCGGGGAAGAGGGCATGATGGGGCTCGAGGCGTGCCCGGCCGAGGACGCAGCATCGTCACCATTAGTGCGCGCACGCTTGCGGCCTGCCCTGCTGGGGGTCACGCCTCGGTTTGCTGAAGAAGGGTGGTCTCGAAGCGGGGAACTAAGAGATGGGTGTTAGGACTCCCAGAGTGCGGGCGATCATGTCTATTGGCGCCCAACCAAACATACCTCATTTTTGATATGCAGTCTTCAGATGTGAATGAAAGGAGAATGGACTTTCAGTGGTGGTGATGTTGTACCTTCATAGGGGTGAAGACACTGCAGGGAGGATTGTGGAGGGGGAAAATGCGAAATGGCGAACGAACTGGCAACTCCGCCTGCTGGTTTCCCCTTGCTTTTCGCGTTGCAGATTGAATATCGACGCGTCTACGCGACAACGCTAAACCCAATTTGGGGGTCGCGTAAAGTGGTTTCGTGGGGCTGCAGCGAGATAAGATAACCCGTCGCCTGTCATCTCGCTGAGGTGATCTCAGGGACTCAGGTAGCTCCCACTTACACCTCAGGAACCTACATTTCACCACCGCAAGCTGATTCCGCCCGCTCTTTCCATCCCCAGGTACGAATTGGATGCTTTCTCTCTGAACCTGAACAATAATTCCATCTCTTCTGTGCGCTGCGATGGACTCCGCCTCAGCTTCTCAGGCCTCTGCCACCGAAAGCGCCGACGCGCCTGTCGCGCCAACCAAGGCGCGCAGCGACAGCATCTCGCAACAGTCGGACGACTCGCAAACCGCCGCCGAGTGTGTTTCCCCAGCCATGCATTGACTGCGCAATTGGAAAGATGCTCAATGTTCCTCTCTAGGTTCATTCGTAGTCAAATGCAGCTCGAAGCCGATGCGCGCGAAGCCCTGCCATATGTGAGACATCTCAAACCGACATGACGACTCCTGCTAAGTCCTACTTTAGAGCATTGAGAACTGCACAAAACCCCTGGGCCCTCTTCGCCAGAGTGTTTTTGCATGCCTAACCTGCAAACCGCCACCCGCGAACCCTTCAGAACCGTATGATGGCGCCGGCGTGTGCTATGCGTGCTCGATCCAGTGCCATGGCGACCACACGCTCGTCGAGATCTTCACCAAGCGAAACTTCACGTGCGATTGCGGCACCACGCGCTACCCCGAGTCCAGCCCCTGCAACCTGCGCATCAACCCAAAGACGAATACCAAAGGAGGCGTTCACTCGGAAGAGCCCGATCCGAATAACAAGTACAACCAGAATTTCCGGAATCGGTTCTGTGGTTGCGAATGCGATTACGATCCCTTCCAACAAAAGGGGACCATGTTCCAGTGTCTTGGCTTGGGAACGCATGAGACGGGCGGTTGTGGCGAGGATTGGTGGCATCCTGGGTGTGTCGTTGGCCTAGGTCCAGGGTGGTACGAGAAGATGGGATGGGGGACAACAAAAGTCAAAGCCGAAGACAAGGGTATCGAGACCAATGGAACTCTCGAGACCATCGCAGAGGACGACGAGGCGCCGTCAAGGGACGGCGATGCCGAGGCCGGCGAGTATGAAGATGACATTCCACTTCCACCATGCTTCCCGGCCGAAGACGCCTTTGAAGGCTTTCTCTGTTACAAGTGCGTAGATGCACACCCTTGGATCAAGAGATACGCCAACACCCCGGGGTTCTTGGCGCCCGTCTTTCATAAGCTAAGCGATCATGTCACTTATATTTTTGACGGGACTACTCCTCCGGCCGCCAATGGAGAGGTCAAGAAACGCAAGGCTGAGGACGACGACGAAGCGGACTCACAGGAGGCAAAACGCCAAAAGACTGAAACCGAAACTTCCGGCACTACCGGCACGCCGGTCGAGCATGGTCCCGATGAAAATAAGCCGGCCTCCTGCAAGCTTTTGTCCCTTCCTCCCGCGCCCAGGTACCAGTTCTCCCTCTTCTTTAAAGACAACTTCCGTGAGCACCTCTGCCGTTGCTCGTCATGCTTCCCGCTTCTCGCCCCGCACCCGCAGCTCCTCGAAGAGGAAGAAACGTACGAGCCGCCCGTCTCTGAGGACGGCGGGTCCGAGAACGGGGGCGGGTCGACAGCCGGAAGCGGCGGCAGTCTCTACGACCGGGGCGAGAGCGCCCTGCGCAACGTCGACCGTGTCCGGGCCATCGAGGGCGTCATGGCGTACCAGCATCTCAAGGACAAGCTCATGCCGTTCTTCCAGCAGTTTGCCGAGAGCAAGAAGGCCATCAGCGCCGAGGACATCAAGGAGTACTTTGCTAAGCTGAGGGGTGATGACCAGGCTATTAAAGAGGCTGGGGAGGCGGCGGGTAGGGAGGATCATAGGAAGGAGCAGAGTGGGTACTGAATTTGAGGGTGGTCGATTCTATAACAGTGGAGTTCGGGGCATGGTTGCTGGTGAGGGTCTTCCTGGGTTATGATGACGATACTGGGTTGGGTGTGTATAATAGGGTTCTATGGTCATTCGATTGGGTGCCTCGACGGCTTGGGCGTAATGGATCTCGGAAATGGAAACGGCTTGGGTTTGTGTGCGAGAGACACGGGCCTTGATTTCAAAACCAAGACATGTTCAAATTGGTGCCTACTTTGTCCATCTCGCCCATGTGCCAGCTTGTCTGATAGGTTTAGTAATTATTTGTGATATCAGAGTCCCCAGCTGGAAGCTCTAGTGAAACGTTTGTGAAGTCCGGATTAAGATGACAATACTTCAGTAGCACCATATCCTTGAACCACAAGCCATGGTGTCGCCTTGATGGATCTCAGTCCAATCTTTCCTTGCCATTATCTTTGGATAAGTACGTCCAGTCCAGCGAGGAGGACATGTTGCTAGTCTTCGCTACTACGAAGCGTATCCTCATTCACTGGATCCCATATCATTGCCCCAGTGAATCCCGAGATGTCAATGGCCATATGCTTTGAGTGAAGTCAAGAGGATGGGATGGCAGGTAAGCAAGTATGGTTACGGGTAGGAGTCGGACCGCATGAGGAGTTATGGCGGGAGGAGCCGGAGAACATGGCTTCCGAGGAAAGGAGGGTAGGTATATAGTCAAAGTCTTGCGCAAGGTAAAGCAAGTTAGACTCACCACAGGATTACGGTCCTGTGGCCGAGTGGATATTTCAGCTAACTATGAAATCGTTCTGCACGGTTTCGTAGGGCGGGAGGCCATCGCTTTCGAGTTCTGTTTCGAGGTTCTTTCTAGGACACCTTCAAGTTGCAGCTTGACAAACCCTAGAGGGAAGGCGCCCCTTGAACAGTTTAAGACGATGGCTTTCCCGCCCAGTTTTATGCCACTTTCATTCTTTCTCTTTTTGCCAAGTTGCCCTTGAGGTTTTCTCATGAATCTCATTAGAGATCAACTCAAATCTGCCACGTATACATATACAGATTTCTGCCTGGCATGTACTTCTCATCTACGCTCGCTAGACCCAAGCTGGTTCATCGGATCAGGATAAGACTCAAAGCAAATCAGTCAATCAGCCACTTATTACTTCGGCAAGTAGCAATCATTCATCTAGGTATAGTGACAACGGAAGATTCAATTCGACCCTGCGTCTAGAAGCCATTGACGAGAGCAGCGTGAGAAGAGCAGCAAAAGCATATATGACGGGCGGCTACACACATCACAGGTCACAACTGAATGTAGGACGTCATGGCTTTGGTTTAAAACCTCAACTCTTGATGGTTTACACGGATATCATGGAACATAAATCTACAGCCAATTTCTCTCTGTATCAACGCCATGCCCTAAAAACACCTTAGACTCCAACGTCATGCATCATGCACGCATAAACCCGTAGAGACCCTCATTAATAAAACAGTGTCAACCAGAAACCCAACCCGACATGAGAGAATCCTTCAAAGGCCAGACGACCCGGTGCTGCTCGCAGCGCTCGACGGTCTCGGCGGCGGAACAGGCACGTGAACTGGCAACATGACGTTCCCGCTATCCTCCCTCTGCATAGGCAGCCCGCCCATCATTACGCTCTGCGAAAGCCCCGGCGCAGACGGTACCTCGGGCGGCACCTTCCCGTCCTCTCCCACAGCAGCGGCAGCACCATCCCCACCACCACCACCACCACCGCCGCCGGCCGTCACAAGCTCCCTCAACTCAGCAGCCTCCGCCGCCTCCGCCGCCGCAGCCGCAGCCGCAGCAATCTGCTGTTCCGCAGCGAGCTGCTGCAGCTCCTCAAGCCTTTTCTTCTCCGCCACATCCACCAAATCATCATCATCACTCCAATACGGATCATCGTCAGGCAGATGTGGCATAGCAAGGCGCTTCCAGAATCTTAGCTCCTGGCGCACCGCCCTTGACCGGACGCGGCGGTCCCATCTATCAGGGTCGGCGTCGTAGTTGGCACGGAACCGGCGCAAGAGCTCGTTGGCTGTACCCGCGCGCGCCTGCATCTCCCAGATCTGCTCGCGCAGCCGGCAGTTCTCGGCCCGCGCCTCAGCCAGCTGCGCCCGGTAGCTGCGGTGCCATGCTGATACGTCGGCTACGTGGCGGGACTTGTACTCGTGGAATTGCTTCAGCATGGTGGAGAGCACCGAGGCGTATTGGGAGAGCAGGGCGGCGTTGGCGTCGCGGCTGAATTTGGCTTTTTCGAGGGACTCGGAGAGGACGGAGATCAGTGTGTCGAGGTTGGCGTCTTGGGCTGTGGGTTTGTGGGAATATGTTAGGGTAGGGTTTTTACTATTTATTGTTTTTTCTTGTGAGGAATAGGGGCCGTGGACAAACCCTTGAGCTCGTCGGCGGCCGAATTGATCAGCTCCTCGTTACCGAGTGCATGCGTCCTCGCGAGGCTGCGCACTCGGCCGACGCCGGAAATGACCTCCTCTAGGGTGCGCTGGTTTTCGGCAAGCTGTCGGCTCAGCTCCTCCACCATGCCATAGATGTAGTTGAGCTCGGCTTGGTGGGCGGCCGGGGTGGGCAAGCCGACCATGCCCGGCACGGTGCCGCCGTTGATGCCATTCATGGCGCGAGCTGCGACTGCAGCGTTGGCTGCTGCTGATGTGGGTGTCAAAGCTTTTGTAGTTGCTGTTTGTAGCTGTTGCTGCTGTGGTGTCGATAGCAGCGGATGCGACGAAGACGACGTTGATGACGGGACTGGGTTGCAGTTGCAGCTGTGGGTCGCGACTCGCGAGTGGATGACGGAAAGTTTAAAACAGAAACGGAGCCCCACAAAGTCCAAGGCCCAGAGCTCGAGTCGACTTACACTACAAAGGCCGGGGCCAAAAGTCTTTCCACACTCAAGATAGCGCACAAGCTACACAGTAGATCTTTTCGATTCGTGACGCGAAATCGCACGGTGTTTCAGATGTAGTTGGCTCGCTGAACATAGCTGCAACGCTAAGCTTATCGTGGCACTCAAGAACGCTGAGACCACTCGCAGTGACCTGTAGGGGTTCTATAAGTGTTCAAGTAGTTAAAGAACGGAGCACTGTGTAATCCGTGCGCGCGCATTATCTGGAGTGCGGAAAGACTTCAATTGGCCCGGGCCTTCGTACAAATGCTTCAAAAGTTGCGAACAATTTTGTGGCTCTGTTTCAGGTCGTTCCCCTACATATTTCTCGTCCTAGTCTTGCGCTCTCAGAACTATCTCGGAGCCAAGTTCAGTCGCTAAGTTAGTTTGCCTTTCCTCGTCCAAAGAACCGCGATTTGGATTTTTTGGAGAAATCAACAATACGGAGTACCGGGGTTAGGGTTGGAATATAATAGGATCCATTGGCATTCTTTCAGCGGTCCAAGCTCTCGCTTCATTCACATCTCGACTCCATTGAGGGCAGGACTTATCGATGGAGTCCGCCTGGAAGAGCACAGTACATGACCGAGACGACTTTACATTCAGGTTCTTTTCATGGTTGCGCCCGAATGGTGAAATTCCTTAGATACTTTGGAGGAGCTCCTGCGTGCGCTCACTCAACCTCCACTGTACCTACTCGGTACCTGCCCGTTTGTACATGGGTAACTTTCCCGCCCTAGCTTTAAAGAAGTTCAGAGCTAGCAGAGACTAAACTTAAGGGACAGACAACTCGGGCCTCGTCATTTGGCACCAAGTTCAACTCAACCATTAGGATTACAGGGCCATCATGTCGACGCCAACACCCGGCAAGCACCCTCTGTCGCAGCAGGGTAGGACGCCGTCACAAGCTCAGCATGGCGCCGCAGCGACTCCCCCAGTCTCAACACCCTTCTCGGTAGCCCAGGCTGCCATATCTCCCCATGGCCCACGGTCCTCGCCGCAGCAAGTTAAGAAATCACCCGCTACCGCGACCGTAGGCGGCCATCCGTCAAGCGCTGCTGTAAACTTCGACACGCCCTCTGTTGACGCCGCTCTAAACGCCCTGCACATGGGCCCGGGCTTGGACTTGGGCATCCGGGCGCTGGGGACTCTCGGTAGGGCCAGTGAAGACGAGAGGGCGAAGCGCCTGGACGATGTTATCAGCATCCTCAGTGTATGACCACGTTGAAAACCTAATGTCTCGGGCACTAGCTAACATCCGTCAGCGGAGCAAGGGCTTGATCAGCGAGGCCGGTTTGGAGAGACTGGCAAAGCGACTTGAACTCGAGTTTATCTGGGAAAGGTCTATGGACAACAGCAACAACAGAACCCTCATTGTAGCGGGTTCGGCTCTCGAGCTTCTTATCGAATTCTCCAGCGATATCGTGCAATCCGTCTCTCTAAACTTTCCGGACTCAGCCGAAATCGTAAACAAGCACGCTAAAGCAGCCGCTGAGATATTGTTCAACGACCTCCGGCTAGGCGAACACCAAAGTCCTCTGACCAAATCACTCGAGAGTTTCACGGCCAACTTCGAGCGACTCGCTGCGCTAGACAAGCTGAGCATCAATCCCGGACTTAACCTGTACGAGGCTGTAGCCGGCGTCTACGAGAGCTTGAATCGCCTTTATGCGTGGGAGCTCCAAAAGGCTCGCGAGGACCCTTCTCTGGCCGGGATGGATGATGGGGATCTCGAGAATTTTGTCACCTGTCTGAAGAGCGGGAAGCCCTTAATGAACGCCCGTGGCCGGGTGGGCATGAGCTTCGAATACTGGAAAGAGAAGAGACGCTACCCAGCACAGAGCACAGATCCGGCTGGAGGCGAGCAGATGAGGACTTGGAACATGATGATCGACTGTGCACCTCTCGTTGATGTCTCCGTTGGCCCGGTCCGCATTTCGGACAAGTGGATCGGCGCAGATGTTGAGAAACCGGCTCTCCCCGACGAGCTGCGCACAGGTGACCCCATCATCGACTGGCTTGAGCCGGAGAGTACATTCATTCCTGCACCAGACCAGCCAAAGGTTGATCCGATGGATTCCGGGGCACCACTCCTCGGACCCCGGCTCCCAGAGGTCGTATTTCGCGCCACATTCGATCCTCCAGTCCCCCTTCCTATAACCGTCTGGGATCAGATTCAGCAGTTAGGGTGCGGGCTAGGCGGTGCGTTCAACGGGAATTCCTTCGACGGGCTTCTGGTGCCTCACCCGCCAGGCAAATTCCATGATGCTACCGAACCGAGGGTTATCAGGTGCACCAAGAAGACGGCATTCGTCCCGATTGGCGACACGAAAGTGTTGCTGAAGGACCAGACCAACACGCTCCAAGTCGACAAGGCCTCCTGGAGTAGGACTCTAGCTGAGGTGACCTTTTCGCACCCGCAGCAGCTGGTCGCCATGCTGCCCTACCTGCGACAGTACGTATTCCTTGCCACGGTGCTGGAGAACAGCTTCACGGACCGGTCGGATCCGGGTGCCCAAAACGGCGGCGGTGGGAAGCAGCCGTCATCATCATCAGTCCAAACGGCTAGTACGGAAACCACCCAGACGGCGTATGAAGCCTTTATGGGAGGCGGCGCTGCCACGGACAAGGAGCCGCCGCTGAAGCTCGACGTGACCTTGTCGGGCCTCGAAGTGCCCCGCCTGTCGGCGAGCTTCCCGTTTCGGGACCGTGTTGCCAATATTGTGGTGGAGATCCGCGAGGGCGGCCGCGTCCATGTGGAGGATCAGAACGTGCTGGACGAGAGCAACCTGGTGGCGCCCAAGGGACGGCAGAGGCGGGTGGAGGACATTGCCATGGTCTTGGAGCACTTCGAGGACCTGGGCAAGATGGCCGAGTTTATTAGGACGAGATGGGCGTGACCCACGAGTCGACGACTGAAGTTGTTGGATAGCTGTTCAAAGGTATGTATCGTTCAATTGATTGGTTGTGGCCCAGTCAAAGTCACTGGTAGGAAGCTAGTAAGCTAAAAGGGTTGCGAAGCAACCACTGCGGCAACACCCATTGGTCTGAGTTACGAGATACATCCACACTCATGTAAGGTTTTCTAGACAATTCAGGCGCCAAACACGGCCCCTCACTCCAACCCAAACTTGAGCTTCACCAAGAACGCGACATACAGACATAGTGGTTTGAAAAACTCCCACCACCAGCCCACCCAAACATCCCAAGCAGCCTACTAGCCAGCCACATTCTCTTCCCATATACCCTCGCCTCCCTCGCCCACTGATCCAGGCTCTTCTCTCCCTCCTGCACCTTGGCTAAGGCCAAGCAATGACGGGCCGCCTGCTCGGTGGCGAGAGCGAAATGGGGCCTAAAGGCCGCGAGCGTCTCACCGACCAGGATCACCTTGCCGTCGCACAAGACAGGCGCCTGGCAGAGCGCGTCGTGGACCTTAGTGACGAAGACGGCCGTCTGGTGCGTCGCCGAGATGAGCTCGGCGAGCGGGCCGGCCATGTGCGGGAGGGTGTTGGCGACCTGCCGGTTCCATACCTCCGGGCGGACCAGGCCGGCGGGCATGGTATTGCCATGCAGGCGGTTGTGGATATCGGTTAGGATTTCGGCCATGGCTGGCGAGGCTTCGTCCACGTTGCTGTACCATACCCAGTTGATCAGGCGGGTACCGGGGGTGAAGGAGGGCGTGTCAGGGGGGATGTTGTAGCTTTTTGTTGGTTAGTATCATCACCATGGCTGGGAGAGAGCTAGCTAGGGGGTGGCGTACCTACCTAACTATGTAGCTCTTTTTGAGGAAGCTAAGGGTAAATTGGTTTTCAAAGTATGTATTCTCCAGCAGGGTCCTGACGGTTGAACGTCCACCATAGGCACCGATCACCAAATCGGCCGTCATTGTATCCTCCTTTCCATCACCCTGGTCGACAAACGTGGCCGACACGACCTGTTTATCGCGGTCATACTCCAGCCTCGTAACCCGCTGCCCAGTGTAGTACTGCACTCGGCCCTCGCCCTCCTCCCTGGCCGAAGGCGGGTTGGGAACGGCATCGGATGCCATGCCGTCAAAGTTGGCCCGGAGAATACGGTACAGCAGACCCCAGCTCGTCTGGTTACGGCCGGCGCTTTTGAGGAGCCGCTTAGTCTCGGGTTGCTTACGGAACGCAAGGCGAACCGTCATGGGCGGCGTACAGCTCTGTACGCCCGTCTTGTCGTACTTGGTCAGGAATTCCTCGACAGCGGGTCCGATGGCGATGCCCGCTTGGTGGCTGCCACGGATCGGGTTGGGATCCTGTTCGAGAATGACAACGTCGGTGCCGCGTCTTTTGAAATATACACCGTGCATCAGGCCAGCGAGAGAGCCACCGACCTGGCGTGGATGACGGATCAGCAACTGTGAGTGAGCGGTAGAGTCTAGGGTACCAAGGTAGGTAGTAATTCCGGTCGGTTTCAAACTTACAATGATGACAGATTTTGGGCCGATGGTCATTCTAGTCTTGGATACAAGGAAAACAACTTGAAGGAAGATGGTAGATGGGCTCACAGACTAAGCCCGAGGTACTACTAGGAGTGTGGCTGATGGGAATGGAAGTCACCAGAGCAGTGAGGCTGAAGACATGACAATGTGAAAGGGGGAAAGGGGTCACGGTAGGGAACTTGCAAGCGTTCATGTTGACTTTGTTGAGACTTCAGAACTGGGCGCTGACTCAGAGTGTCTACATACATGATATACGTGTACTGCACATGACCCTGGCTTGCTCGGTCAGCAAGATGAAGTCAGGTCCAAGACTATCTCCTGCAGCCTTCAGTCCCGTCACCAACTGACAGTGCCTCTCGTTGGCTGCGCTTATGATGTACGGCAAGTGAATATGGCCTGAGATATGGCGACGTTGGCAGGGGCCTTGCCACTTTGCAGAGCAACTTGGAATACCTTAAGGGGGTGTTCGACGTAGGTAGATAATATACTACCAACCAACCTTACCTACCTACCTTATCTTTGATATCGAATGTATGTTAGATTTTGCCTTGGCTTGTTGGCCTCTGTGTTTCCATCCTGTTTATCCTTCTTATATCCGGAAGGGTAATATGGGATGGACCAGTGAAGAGGAAGCGCGTTGGTCCTTGCCTGGGCACCTGCCGGAATTTATCATGAGTTGGTCGAACTGAACGCAACTCTCCCGTCCCTATCTGAATCTCACATGTACTAGATTATCCGCGGACGACGCCTCAAACCACCGGTCCACAGCTGCATTGACTAGTGTGTTGGCCCTTGGATTTCAATGAAGTCGACCAACCACGCAAGTTCGCCGCTAGAACGGAGTTTGACACGCCGGCGGCGTTGACGCCACGAACAAGCATGGCCGTTCAGGACTTGATGGCAGCGACTAGCAGTTAATACATCAATGTGGCGCATTGCTGTAGATGCTGTATTGTACATACAGGTGCAGTTGAAAGCTCGATATTGTATGTGGGTACTCAAGGTGAGGCAGCTCGCATAAGGTAGGCACTTTCTCTTGCGAATACTAGGTACATCATGATTCCATGTAAGGTACTGTAAGGATTCCGGTATTTCGAATGCCACAGGGAGGCTATCATGATCCTCATGGGCCACTACTAGTATACCTTAAGCAGAAAGGTGGTTCCAAGTTCCAACCTTGAGAACCAGGTTGTAAATGCAATCCAAAAAGTTTACCTGCCTATACTCCTAGCTGAGGAACTCCACGAGTCCACTTGATTCGTCTTCTCTAAGCCAACTTGAACTTATCGATCGATCCCTATGAGATCATTTACCATTCACCATGGTTGGCCGTCTGAATGAGGCAGGTAATCACTATCTGGCGACTCTTGTGGCTTGCAATTCCATGAATTGCAATCATCATGATTGTTATCATTCTACGTGTCTAGTGCAAAGTGGTCACCATGAAGAATGGGTTCCATTCCCTCTACGCCGGGGACTTGCTTCTACACGTTGACTCTTGCTTTATATACATTTGAGCGGCACTATCAACATACCTAGTTGGGCGCAAAATCCAGGGACATCTAGATCGCATAATGTATCGGATTCCCCTACAAAGACTGCTAGTCGTCCTATAAGAGTCGCTTACCTAACTTTAAGATGTAAGCTGGGAGAGAGTAGTGCACGGATATCAGGCGCACCCCGAGACCACTGCACTGCATGGCTTGATAGGTTCATATGATTGGGGTGTGAGGGAACTATCACAGCTGAGATCGTGGTGCTTGTTGCTTCTGCCTTCACTTCGTATCCCGATTCCCGACTGGTTCGGAGCACAGCCCGAAATGGGTTTCCTTCGTGGTGTACGGCAGTAGCTGACTTAGGATAGGTACTGTACAGAGTACAAACAGACGTTACTTTCCATTGTGTTGGCTATTAATCTTTACAGAGCGCTGGTTACCCTACCATGCGGTGCAATGCAATGCAGTGCTCGGGCAATGGAATAGCATGCATTTTCCGGGGCGTAGCAACATAAGGTAGTCGCCCTACTGCCGGAGACTAGAAAGTACATACATAGTGTACATGATTACAGTACTGGACTCCATACATTCAGGATCGCCGGCTTGCTGATGCCGAGATAATAGTGTACTATAGCGTAAAACTCATGGAGGTCGAAGGACCATTTGGAGTGCTTTCTGGCAAGGAAACCCAGAGAAGGCTGAGGGCGCGCGTGCCACTATCGTGAACAATACAGTACACTGTATGGTCTAACTTCTTGCGGGGAAGCGGGGCACACTGCAAGTATCGTGAAGAACTCGGTTTGCTTGGATGCTTGGTGTCCAGTCAGTTCAGGACGGAGAAGGCTTCATGTAACAAACGTGAGGGTATGCGTGCGCGGTGCGCAAAGCTTGACCACAACACAAAGAAAGACGCGTGCAGTCTGAAGTGGGGGACTTGATAAGACCGGTTTCTTTGACGCGTGGTGTAGCAAAAAGAAAAAAGATTTCGATTCTTTTGAGCCGATCTCTTCCCGATTTTCTCCACCATAGCGGCTCTGTCAACACGGGAGAGTCAAGGTTCAGGGGATCAGAGGCGAAGACCCAAGGGTTTAGGACGTGGTTAGTGTGCGCGGAAGGTCGCGTCTTCACTGGTCGTCCTGTGAGTCCTAGTCCTGTGCCGGATCGTCGAGATCTGCTAGCCCCGTAGTGGCGCCGTGGAGGAGGGGAAGAAGGACCTGCGACGCCTTGTTGAAGAGAGGGGTTGGCGGGTCCGCGGAGGGTGGAAAAAGCCGATGGGTGGAGTGTTGACGAGGCCAGGCGGAAAAGGGGAAAGCGGAATGGAGCATGAAATTGTAATTTTCTTTCTGATTTTTGCATTGCGCGTATTTCCCAAATTTCGGCGCGATCATGTATTTGCTTTCCCGATTTGTGCGGCAGAAAGGGAAAGGGTCCCGATGCCCTGCTATTCTTTTTAGTCCGCATTGTTGTTTGTTTTGACGGGTTTGGTCCAAAGTAAACAAAACAAACGCTGGGGGATCGAATTTGACTTGCAGCCTGCTGCTATAGCAAGCTCTATTTCAGCATCTGAAGACAGCTGGGCCGCGACCTTAGGCCAGTTTCGCCTTTTGGCCAAGCGGCGTTGACGGGCGTTTTGTGTCAGCACCTGGAGTCTTTTATTTTTGGGCTCTTTGTGGTTTGGCATGTGGAATGAACAAAGGCACAATGGAGGTAAAACAACGTTCCAACCCCAACCCCGACGGAGCGGTGTGAATCTAGCACATCTTGCATATCCCCATGCCCCCAACGCCTGCCACTGACCCCTGCAATTTATTGGTTCGGGATTTGGCTCGAGGATTCACTTGACCCGGCTCCATGGATGCTTCCAAGTTTCTTTGGCTACCACTGGCATCTTGAAGGCACAAATTCACCGCTCCGGCCTCATGAACCCACTCTAGGCGAGCGATTGTGTCTGAACTTCTGAAGCGGTGAGACAGGTGTGTATTGTAATTACTAGAAGATATAATTCGTTACAGTCGGACCATCCATCATCTACGGAGTATACATCCATACAATACCCATATTGTACTGCTGGACAAGCAGAGAAAGTTCGCTCAATGAGTTAGCATAATAAACAGATCGCAGTGCTCATCTACCATGTATTAATAGCATCCATGATGGCATTATCCCCCAGATTAAAGACAATTACAGTGCTGATGGTGGCCGTGGTTCATGTCTCATCCGTTCTGGGGAACATGGATGAACGGACGGAGGATCGAGAGATGCAGGATGAGCCGCACAAGCCACCCTGGTCCGACCGGTGGGGAGGCCTGTTACGCTAACGCCAGGCACGACAGGGACCCCTTTCAACGCGTCCCTGGACGCGCAGTGTAACGCGTGAAATGCGACCAAGTAAACAAGGAACGTCCCATCTCTTATGTGTCTTGCCACTTGATCGCCTCGTTGAACACCCCTTCTAGCCTGTATGCTGAACATCAACATCTGCATCTTGTTCAAACACTCAGCAACAGCTCTCTTCTGAGTGCTCACAAGCCAAACAGTCCCTTAGGCCTCAGCGCATAGCTAGGCTCATCATTGCGTCAATCCCTGCTGATCGCGTCGCAAACCGGCATCCTGGTTATCGCACTTTTCCCCGCGCCTTGCCGCAAGACGCTTGGTCCGATATCACTGTCATCGTTGTCAACCTCAGACCTTCAACACAATCGTCTCTTATCCATCTTTGCAACACCGCCAACTGCCAGTTGGATCTGCTTGCATGGCGACAGTCGGCTAATAAAGGAGGAGAAGGAGTGCTGGAGAGCAGGCAGTCGCGATCCAGCTGCAGGATGCCTTACCCGCACCTGACCTGATTTGACGAGAACCTGACCTGACGTGTCCACGCGCCCATCGAATCTTGAAGAATCTGTCCAAGGCAAGAGCGAGCTTCTGCCAGCAAAACGCCCTCTTTCAACCTCGGATCTCACGCACATGCTCTCATCTTGGGGCATCGGCTGTCTTCGTCTTTCGAACACGGACCGCAACACTCTTGACAGTGCACGGTACGCTTTGCTGTTGCACTAGCCAGCATTTTGACTTTGCGCTTGGCCCGTTGCCGCTCCGAGAGCTGCACTGTTTGGATCCATCAGTTTCCGATAAACTGTCGTTCGGGTCCTGACTTTCAATCACTTACTCTGTTCTGGACGCCACGACGGTACCGGCTTTCATACGCCTCCCGACTGCGCTGCCGTACTGGTACCCGGAGCATCATCGGACTCTCTTTGCTCAGTAGACGTTGAGGACGGAAACGTTAGAGGGATAACCTCGTTGAGTTTTTTCTGGTTGCAGAGGTTGCGGGTCTGGGAGTGAGTCGAAGTCGCACTCTTGCGGCTGTGAACGGGTGTCGGCGATGTCATACTCATCCGGAAGCGGGGGCACACTTACCCTGCCCTCGCCCACACACGTCCACCATGTCGATGTTAGCTCGGCTGTTCGATCGTTGCGACGCTCTCTTTCACGTTCGCCTTCTAAATTCAGGTTATCTGGCGCCGCATCTCCCACTCCGGCTACCTCTTCCATCTTCCGCCTCTCGCCTACCCCGTCATCAACGGTGCAGTTTGAGCGGCCAGCTTCCACTCCAATCCCGGTGACACCGGCGGCTCCGCCGGCAGCTATTTCCCTTTCCCAAGCTTCTTTTTCGGCACCGCAGCTTCCCGCAAACACTGTCACTCCATCTCTCAGGCCAAACATCAAGCTTTCAGTGCGTTCCACACGGTCGAAGCCATTGACCAGGCCGCTCTCGCGCTCGCGCTTATCTCCAAAGAGCCCGCTGAAGCGCGTCTTTGGCCCTGCGCCTGATTCTGGTAACCCTATTCCCCAATCTATCCCCGATTTCGAGGCGCGTGGACAAGAAAACGCGAGCTTCGAGGACCACCCCATCGCGCTAAGCCCCTCGTCGCGTCGCAATCTCGAGAGGCCAGCGCGTCACTCTGTGCACCTCGACATATCAGGATCCTCTAAAAACGGCATCGCCAAATTTTTCGAGACTAACGACCCATTTCCGGCAATGTCCGTAAGCCCGCTCAAGCGGAGCGACGTAACCATGACCTTGGGTCAGTCAAACCGCGGCAGCCCGGTCGCGAAGCGTCGGAGCCTGCACGGGATCTCCAGTCTCGGGGGTGACTCAGATTCTCTCGATCAAGATCCTGCGTCTACCCAGGGATTTGACATTCATGAGGACTCGATTCACGAGTACCAATTGACGGGCTCAGACCCATCCAGCTCTGAGGACCAGCTTGCATCTCCTACTCCATCTGCCCTGCCAAAGCGGTCGTCGTCGCTGAGGAAGAGTACCTTGCAGCAGCGACATGTCGAAAATCGATCATCTTTGGGCCGCCGCACCGGCGAGAAGCAGCTGGCACAACTTACCAACGAGGCTTCTACGCCTGCCCGGAACAGGCCCCGTTTGGCGCTGGATCAATATCTCCCGCCCGAGGAGCGTGGAAGCCCCTTTGTGCAAGCCCCGTTGGCGAAACCGGCGGCTCAGCCAGTGCAGCGCCCTCATCCGCTGTCGCGGTCACTGACCCAGGCCTCATTGACCCTGTCCTCGTCGGGATCGAGCGTGATGGACGAGTCTCCAACCCATGTTCCTGTTCAGAGGCCGCGGGTTCCGCCCATCTTTGCCAAATCGTTGCCCCATGGACCTCGTCCCGCCCTAGCTGGCGAGTTCGTGGAGACACCAGAATACAAGCAAGCAAAGCCGTTTCAGGCCGCCTTCATGTCGACGGGCCTAGTGTCCAAGATGAACCGCAATCCAGATCTCGGTCCGTCCAATCACCCTGGTGTTAGCGCTGTTGCCATGCCGGACACGCCCTGCAAAAAGCAATCCTACAACGCCAGCACTTACCCGCCCAAGCATACCAGTGGTGGACGGCATTCGCGGGTTTCTTTGGGGAGCCCTTCGTCGCCTTTCAGTTCCGTAGCTGCTCCCGCGGCTGAGAAATTGTTTGGGACTCAGAACAAATCCGGCGGTCTTTTCTTCCAGCAGATCCGCTCCGGCCACACCCGGAAGGCTAGTGTGCTGAGCATCGATGGGGATGAACTCGTCGGATCCCAGGACGATCTCCCTCCGACTCCTACCAAGAATCTGTTCTTCAAATCGATTCCGGCGTCTTCTCAGGGCGGCCAGGCAACCAATGGCTCGCGTGCCTTTGTATTGGGCAGCGAAGCTGCTGCAACTGATCCTCAGTCTGGACCCGTGCAGGGTTCCTCGACCAACGATGAGCAGGGAGGGGCTCAGCAGCTCAGCGATGCTGCCGCTCGTCCTTCTACTCCCTACTCCACCGGCTCGCCGTCCCTGGGCTTTTCAATTTCTTCCCTGGCTGGCAACCGTCCACACAATGCGGCATTTGCCACTCCTGCCCCGACCAGAGTTTCGCCCGCTTTCTGCGCTACGGTCAGCAATGTAGGCAAGCAGTATGTCGAGACCGACTCCGCCGCCGTAGCGAGTCCTTTGAAGAATGAGAATCTGTCGCCTCACACGCCTCAAGATGCGGCCGACGAGCCGATGGGCCCGCCCAACCCCGGCTCCCTGTCGTTTTCCAACGCGCAGGTAGCGAGTGCCAAACAAAGCCGGCCGCCTGCGACTCCTACCACATCCCATGCCCGGCATTCGTTTCTTAGCTTCGCCGAGCGCCGGCTGAGCATCACGCCTCAGAATGGACATGGTCCAGGCGATGTTGACGAGTCATTGTTGAACCGGTTTGACAAGGCGGAAGCCATTGGCAAAGGAGAGTTCTCTCAGGTGTATCGCGTTGTCAAGTCGTCGGAGCCTAGCTCGCTCATGACAGTCTTCTCGATGACCCCACGGACCCCTTCAAGCCCGGAAAATACCGGAGCAGTGTATGCCGTCAAGAAGCTCAAGGTGCCCTTCCACAGCGCCAAGGCGCGTGAGGCGAAGCTTCAGGAGGTGGCGATTTTGCAAGCGCTCAGCAATTCTAGCAAGGTTGTGCAGTTCATTGACGCCTGGGAGTACCACGGCCATCTCTACATTCAGACGGAGTACTGCGCCGAGGGCAGCCTTGACCGATTTCTGGGGAAAGTTGGACAGACCGGCCGCTTGGACGACTTCAGAATCTGGAAAATACTCTTGGAGACGGCTCAGGTGAGTTTGAACAATCGAGATTCCATAGGTCGTTCCGGCGTTTGCTAACTTGCTCGGTAGGGATTGGCCGCGATTCACAGTGCCGGCTTCATCCACCTTGACCTCAAGCCCGCCAATATTTTCATCACCTCTGATGGTTATCTCAAGATTGGTGACTTTGGTATGGCGACTCGCTGGCCAGCCGCCAAGGGCATCGAAGGCGAGGGAGACCGTGAATACATCGGCCCGGAGATTCTCCTTGGACAGTACGACAAGCCTGCCGACATTTTCGCTCTTGGCTTGATCATTCTCGAGATTGCCTGCAACGTGTTCCTCCCGGACAACGGTCCGGTTTGGCAGGCGCTGCGGAACGCTGACATGAGCATCGTTCCCACCCTCACCTGCGGCGAAGCCGGTGCTCTCGTCCGCGATGCCAACGGCGTACCCATTGGACACGAGGCCAACATCTCTGCTGCATCGGATGACCACGAAATTGACGTTGCAATGGATGCAAAGCGTTGCAGCTCGTCTCCCTTCGAAGCGAAGACGCACGATGCCAGCAACCTCTTTGGTGCGCAGAAACGAGCCGAGTTGCAACACCCTCCGTCCTTCATGCTGGACCCTAAGGATCCTCATTCTCTGGACAACATTGTCATGTGGATGATCCAGCCGAATCCTGCAAATCGTCCTACCGCCGAGCAGCTGCTGGCATCGGAGCCAGTGACGTGGATCTCGAGCCGCCGGGTTGCTGGCGCTGTCACGTATGAGGGGAACTGGGGTCCGCAGAGTGGTCCATCCGAGTTCGACACCGAAATGACGGATGCTTGAGTCTCGAGCTCCTCATCCTCAGCAATCTGGGAGCATCAATCTCTGCTCTTGTATGTCTATATGGCTCATAGTGCTGGATATGTCGCAACTTCGTGGAGCGACATGACCAGGAGCATATGTCTGTTTACAATGTTGTATTGGTCAGCTATTGTGGCTGGATATCCGCTAAGGATGGTATATCGGGGCCATATGGGATCCACTGGTGGGAAGGCGGATACGTGGGCTGGGCGGCTCATGAGCTTGGGTGACGCGCCGTTCTGGTTCTCGGGCTCCATGACAAGGTTTCCGGGCATGACGGCATGCTCGACTCGGCGAGACTATAGAATGATCCCTACGCGCCTGAACGGTGCTGCATTTTATGCACAGTTATGGGTTACATTCCAGTGTCCTCTGACCTAGGGACGCATTCCAGCTTAGGCTGACAGCGTTTGGCCCCGACTCTACAAAGGATTTCGGGCAACAGCATCTCTTTTGTGTTTTTTTTTCTTTTGTCAAAAAGGCGGCGGACTGAAAAAAGTGAGACTCGGGCTTTGCCGAGTCGCAACATATCACCACCCCACAGCGGGGTTGGCAGACGTTTGTTCGGGGCTGAATGGAAAACGGCGTTGGCGGGCTTCTCGTGCGTTCCAAACGAGGATATGCTCCGGTTTACGAGACGGTTGGGTCGTAGGACCGGTCTTGCTTCGGCAAGGACTCTACGGACCCTGACTGGTCTCAGTTGGAACATTTGTATTACCTGAGCGGGGGCAGCGGTTTCGCATCCATCATGTGTATAGACTATTGCAAGGGACTCATGGGTTGGTTGGCATTGCTGGCAGGCTTTCACGGGATCGGATCAGTCTTGTCTTGTCCTTTTTCGGGGACGGCGGCGGCGGTACTATTCGGCGCTCTGCATCGTCAACAAAAACATCATTCGAACTTGGGTGACGAGGGAATGGTGGTGACGGGCAGGCTATCACGACGATCACGACGGCTATGACACGACTTAGAAGGACCACGAGACCTTGTGTGTATTGTACAACGTTGTACGGAGTACTGGACTCTTAAAGATAATTAGCTTTTCCTTTGTCGATGGAGATGGGGGGCGGTGTTTGTAGGAGTGGAAGGAAGGAGGGGTGTATTACATTGCAGAGCTTGAGGTAGTCAGCTCAACATCAGCACAATATAACTAGCTTTACTTGCTATGTCTATTTGTCCGAAATGAGTTTGTGACTGTATAGGTCGCAATTGTGTTATGATTCAATTTTTAGAGGGAACAACGCTGGGCCGGTGAATCGCAAACAAGTAGTGTAGCTACCCAGTACCCAGTACTACCTAGGCATACACGGTCAAAACATAACTGACCTTCAGCCATGCCTGAGATTCAGGACTTCCCTCAATCAATCCATCCGTCTATCCCTATCCCATAGCACCGGAGCGAACCTAACCCAAGATACATACATACAAACCACAGACCACTAACAGATAGATAGTTACAATGGAGAAAGGGAAAACAAATCACTCAAACCGACCCGCACCAAACAGGCCCCCGACAGCGCGCACCCGGCCCTCGGCGCCCTTGAACTTGCGCTCTTCTCTTCGGCGCTCCTTTTCGGCCACGGCCGCGCGCCGCTCGCTCTCGCGCGCGAGGTAGCTGATCCCGGAGCGCTTGCCGGCCGGTTTCTTGACAACACTAACACTGTTGGTGTTACCGGTGGAAGTGCTGGAAGTGCTGGAGGTGGAGAGCAACGAGTTTGTTGTTGCGCGGCGGAGGAGGGCGGGGACTTTGAATCCACTGTTGCTGCCCGTGCTTGTGGTGGTGCTGGTGGTGCTGGTGGTGGCGAAGGCGAGTTTGGTTGAGGAAGAGGTGGAGGAGGATGAGGAGTTGCGTTTGAGTGTTATTCTGTCGACGATGGGTCCTGTTGGACGACGCCTTGCACCATGCGCATGCTGAAAGGAGGGGTTGTGGTTCTCTTTGTTGCTTGAGATGATGTTGTGGCCCTCGTCCTCGTCTTCGTCCTCGCTGGAAGTGGCCAGGTCGGTCGCCGGGATGATGGAGGACGAGTTGAGCGGCTCGTCGAGCAGGTTGGACAGCGATTCCCGGATCTCGCTGAGGTTGGACGGCTTCTTCTTGCCTTCCTTGGCAGCGGTGCGGCGCGGATTACTGGCCGGCTGGCTGGCGGGAACGATGCTGTCCTTGCCAGTGGCGGCTGCTGGTGGAGGTTGCGTGTTCTGGCTCTCTGCGCTGGCGGGTACCGGTGCCGGCGGGGCAAGGATAAAATCCATGTCGTCGTCACTGCCGTGGTCCTCAATGGTCCGGAGGAAGGCCTGGTTGCGCGGGTTCTCGGCAACCTTGCTGATGCGCTCGTCGGCTAGCAAGGCGCGCTGCATCTTGGCGAACTGGCGTCGCTTCATGCGGCGGCGGGCTTCGCCGCCGTCGTCCGAGTCGGAGAGGTCATCCCAGTTTCCAGCGCGCTTGCGGCGGAGCATGCCCGTCGTGATGTCGTGGAAAAGCTTCTCGACTTGCTTTTCGTCCGCGGCGCGTTCCCGATCGCTATGGGGGATTAGCAAATGTAGGCGCAACATTAGCAAGGCGCTGAACTTACGCGTAAAAGGCAGCGAGTTTTCTCTCATCGACTTCATTGTTCCTCGTCTCGTCATCAATTATCTCCTTTATTGAATGATCGTCGTCATCACTGCTGTCTTCGCCGTCCGCACCACCCAGTCCGGCATATTCATCCTCCGACTCCTCGGCTTGCTCCTCGATCATCTCACGGGCCTTGCTCTTCTTCTTGTCAAACGCCTTGTTTTGCTTCTTCTCCTTCAGCGCAGCCTCTCTCATGGCGGCGAAAGCATTGCTAGTAACGGTGCCGAAACCAAACTCGTCGGTCTCGAGATCCTCCATGTCGTCATCTTCATAACCGGGAGCGACGCGGTGACTGGGCGATGCGGGGACTAAATCAGCCTTGCGCTTTAGCTTGCCGGTCCGCCGCAACAACGGAGACTCGGTCTGGTCTGCATCAGCTTGGGTCTGGGCGACCGGGACGGTGGCGACGGTGGAAACTGGAGCTTCAACGAAGCGCTGACGAAGAGGGGAAAAGTTCTGGAACCCGGGATCTTGAGTTGGCTCGATGAGCTCAGACGTTTGAGTGGCGTTCTGCTTCTCCTCGAGGAACGTGTCAAACCCATGCATTTGGGATTGCGAGAAGCGGAGTTGGACGCCCTGAGTCTCAGGTTCTTGTGTTTCCCGTGCTGCTGACGGCTGGCTGTCAAGAATCATGTCCTCGGCGGCCTCCTGAGCAGTCTGCGAGAAATTGGAATCAGGGAAGGAGTTCACGTCGAAAGTAGGCCTCGGGTGCAGGGGAGAATCTGCAGGCGCCGTTCCCATCTGACTGTCATCCATGGTTCCGGCGAAGATCTGGGTGAGCCCGAGACCAGCAGGACCTGCAACAGGGAGGCCTGGAATAAAAGTCTTCGTGGCAGATCGCAGAATGGAGGTAGGAACGCTGGGAGACTCGGGATTGCGGACTGATGGCGATTTGGGGTGATTGCCTTTCGGTTGAGGAGTGGCCTTGACTAAGGGCCCAACCTCATCTTCTTCGTCGTCAGAGAGAATGATGGCCTGCTTCCGGACTATGCGCCGTGCTTGTTTCGAGGCAATTATCTCGTCTTCATCCGACTCCTGCTCACCGGCTTGTTCCTCGGTATCCTCTGTCTGGGATTCGTTTGCGCTCTCGGCAGCATCATCGATCATGACGCCGGCTGCATCAGCCTCTCCTTCCTCCCCCTCCTCGCCTTCAACCTCACCTTCATCCTCCTCTTCAGAACCAGACAACTCAATGTCCGCTGCCTCTTCCTGATCCCCACCAAGATACTCCTCGTCATCACTATCATCATCCCAGGCCAACGGATCAGCCTCCTCCCCGGCCTCCTTCCTCGCCTTCCGATCTTTCTTCGCGTCCTCGCGCTCCTTGCGCATAATCTCCTCGGCCTCCTTGCGTGCCCGCTCGACAATGTCTTCGACCTGCTGCATTTCCTTTTCCCGCTCCTCGGCAGTCTGCACGTGGATGCCCTTGGCGCGGAGCATTTCCAGGTGCCTGTCCCTCTCGAGCTTCGCCTGCGCGCGGGCGCGCTGCAGAAGGTTGGCCTGCAGCTCTCCAACCGTCATGACGCGCTCTTGATGCTGCTTCTTTTGCTTGCTGCTCGGGGCTGTGGCCTTCTTCTCCGGATCGTCCAGCTGGGCCAGCTTGCGGAGCGCTTGCAGCGGGCGAGGTTCCTGGGCCTGCTTGATTGGGACGCGCTCGAAAATGGCGTCGAGTTTGCTCCTTCGGGTGGGCTGGATCTGAAGGTCTTCGTCGTCATCGTCTAGTGAAAGGGATAGTGTGGCTGTGTTGGCTTGGACGGGAGGTAGTTTCACGCGGAGGTTTCGCTTTACGCGTGGGAGCTGTTCTTTTGGCTTGGGCTCCTCAAGGTCGGCGGCAGTTGCTTTGCCCTTGCCCTTGTCGAGCTTCTTGCGGCTGACAGCTGATCTAAATGCCTCTTCCAAGGTGGGAAAGTCGTCTTCATCCTCTTCCAGAGTCGTGCTGATCGGTGCATGGGGAGCAACTGCAGTGGATTCTACATCCTTTCCAAAAAGCGGCGGCGAGCTAGGCGGAGTCTCGGCCTCCTTCATCCCGGCATCGCTATGATGAGCAGACCCCGGTGTTGGCGGCCGACTTGAGCTCGTAGGCGCCGGCTTGTCGGCTGGCGCCGCTGAACCCTCTGGCTTAAAGTTGAAGCGCTCGAAAAGCGTGGCCTTGGTAATCTTCTTCTTGACCTTTGCTTCATGTGCAAGCTGCAAACTTCGGGTCAACCGCTGTGTCTCGCGGTTCATCTCCTCGAGAGCCCGCTTGCTGGCCTTGCGGGCGGGACGCGTCGCCCCAACCTCCTGTGTGAGCTTCCGTCCCCCCTCGTCGTCCGTGATGTCGTCGTCATCTTCATCACTGATATTGAGACCATCGCCGCGGTGACAGGCGGCTTTCTGGCGCTCGGCGTTCTTGCGAGCCTCTTCTGCTTCCCTAGCGAGGCGCTCCTGGCGCTTCTTCGCAACAAGGGCAAGGAACCGTGGATTTCTTGTCAACGCGGCCGGGCTAGTCTGCGCGTCCTCCTCAGACGGGAATTGAGGCTTTGATGGCGAGACAAATAGTCCGGGAGACTGTGGCGTGTTCTTTTCTGGCGAGACAAAAAGATCAGGTGAAGACGGTGCCTCCCGGGGTTGGGTCTCAGGGGTTGAACTGCGTCGGTTGCGAGGCATTAGTTTCCTCGGCCTAGCCGTCACCACCTCCTCGTCCTCGTCGTTGTCGTTATCGTCCTTCCGGTTGTCAACCGAAGGCAAGTCATGGCCGTTCCTTGGCGGGCTCTTTCGGGGTGAGTTCACGTCATGCTCTTCTTCAGACTCTGATTCTTGCATTGGGTTGCCCCGTACTCGCATTCTAGACGCGATTTTCCCGCGCGGCCGGAGGATCTCATCGTCTTCGGAGCTGCTGGCAGAGAGGCCATCAAATGGGTTATGAGTTGAGGTGCGTGTCGCGGTGGGCGTCGCGCTGCCGGAGCGGCGCGAAGCGGGAGAGGAACCTCGTGATGAGGCCATTGTGCTCTCAAATCAAGAGCTTCTGACTAGAAATTGCTTATGTAGAATTTTGTGCTAAAAACATGTTAACAAAGCTCCCGAACTTGTTTTCTTGTCTAAGAAAATGGGTTGAAGCTGGAGGGTAATGTGGTGCCATGTGTATGTACAGTAAGTGCCAGGGTTACGGGTTGTATTAGTGGAGAAAACGCGCTGAGCGACGCGTTTTACTTTTGGCTGATAATTGGAGCTCTGCCCCACGCGCGACACCCCTGTCCCGCGTCACTCATCTTGACTCTTGAGCAATGATCAGAACGTCGGGTCGATCGATACCTAACGTGATCCAGAAAGTCACTTACAGTAGATTGGCCGCTAGACACTACCTTAGGTCCTAAGATACAGCTGCGCATCCAACGAGAAACAGTATCGAAGCTCCGTCCTCGCGAGGGCTTCTCGGGTATCGCTCGTAGAATTACACTTCAATCAACCCACAAAACCAGGTGTGCCAGTTCGACGCCAAGAATGTGCCCGCCGCCCCTTTTTGTGAGTCCATCCAACAGTTATACAGGGCACTTTGCGAACAAGAAGCCGTCCAAGCAAATGCTAGTGCCGATGCAATGCGCCAGTATAAGCAACTCCATGGCCGCCCGTCCCTTTGATAAAACGCCGTTCTCCCAATCCTGTGAAAACTCCTGCGAGACAAGAAGAAAACATGGTGAAAGATGATCGCTTGTAAACCGCCCCGCCATGTCAGCCAACCGCCAGACATGAGTCGAGAACTCCGTTGAGAAAGTCACCGTCGCCCGGGTCGGCGCCTTCCCACCACATGTCGTTGTCAATGTCCATCTGGTCGCCATGGCCGACGCCATTGGGCAAGGGCTCGTGTCCGTTCCCGGCTCCATTCATTCCGCCCATCTCGACATCGTCTTCCTCCTCGACCACTCTTTGTCGGCCATCCAGATAAGTGTAGTCGTCCCAATTCTCCAGCTCGCCTTCCCGGTAAGCGTAGATGACTGATTTGGTGATGATGGGGAAATTCGCCAGCCCGCAGTCGCCCATCTCCAGCGCAAGCCGTACATCGGCCATGCCCAGGGGGCCGCGCTCACTGGCGGCTTTCGCCTCGACGGGTAAAAGCCCGCTTTTGTCGCGTGTAAGCTCGCCTCGCTGGGCTGCTTCCTCCTCCCTCATGAGCTGCCGCCGGTACCTGTGCGTCATGATCCAGTTGCTACTGGGTCCAAAACCGGCGTTGCCCCCGTCACCCGGCCCGTTGCTCCTCGTACGGCCAAATACTGAAGACAAGAACTCCTTGACAAACGTCTCGGTCGCAATGGACATGAACTGGGCCGCATCCGGTGCATGGCCGGACGCGAGGCCTGCCTCGTAGCAAAACGGCAGCATCCGCGCCTCGATGTTACTGACATCCGGGAATTCTCCCGACTCCACCGCCAATGGTTGCGCAAACCGTTTGCGAATCTCAAGGTCAAAGTCTGGGTTGTTGCATGTCAGCGAGGGGCCTCAAAGTCAAGGGGTGCTGCTGGTGCAACCGTACTCATTCGGCTTAGGCCGCCCGCACTTGCCGGCACCTCGGCCGTCTTGGCAGGCTTCATCCGGCCAGGGTCCGCAAATAAATTGGCCATAGACTCGTAGGGGTCGAACTATCGTTGAGCGCATGATTAGCACGACGGCAAAAGCTGATGCGCGGTATTCCCACTCACATCGTTGTGCACCAGGTCCTTGATCCGCCTCCGGTCCCGCGCTGGAAGCTGCATGACTTCCCCCTTTAACCTCCTCTCGGTGGCATCCCCCGACACGGGCTTGCTCCCCGTTGTTGTCGACGGCTTGTCATTAGCGCTGACCCAGGGCGCAAGGCCCTGGTCGGGCATCTCGCGTGTTACATTGCCGTATATTGCCGCGATGAGCTGGTTGTGGAGATGTTCTTTGTAGCCGTCGGGCGAGGCGAGTATTGGCTCGATGCGCTCGCTGAACTCGGCCTGGTTGAGTCGCCCTGCGTCTAGCATTAGCATTGTTGCCCCAATTGACCAAGCATGCAGTGATCCGGGCACTATGTACCGATCAGGAAGTTGGTGATAGAGTCTTTGTAGGTGGTCCATTGTTCTGCGCCAATGCTCGCCTTAAGCTTGGTGTAGATGGGCTCAAGATCGATGCGGGGGGGTATAAGCTGGCTGGTTTTAGGGGTCTTGTGTATTGAAGGAACCGACACATTGATGGACTTGTTAGAGAGCACGGGGGTTGAGAGGCTGATAGATGGCCGGCTCAGGGCGGCGGGGTTGATGTCGACCATGGTGCGGGCTCGCGATAATGGCCGAACGCGGATGTAGCGATCGATGCGCGAACCTTCAGGCGTCGGGACACTTGTGCGCAGAATGCAGCACCGTCGCGGAGGAAACCTGCATTGATTTGCGCATCAAAAGATAGCCTGAAATCTCGCGATCACAACTCCGGATTCAAAACGATGGATCGGGCATGGTGGCTTAGCCGAATGGATGATATTGTCGTCGGCTGTCTAAACTGAGGTGGTCGGTCTTGGGTTTCGGTTGCCGTTGAATTTTGCGGAGCCTTCCAGCAACAACGGACAGCGAGCAGCGGCCTGAGTGAATGGAATGAAGTTGGGCTGCAGGGCGGGGTACCTTGTTACACACCAAAGTCAGGTGAGTCAAGAAGTATACCTGTAGTGCTATAGGTACAATACAGTGCAGTACATCCCAAATCCCTGTATCTTCAGCCTAAGTTTTGGCCGTTAGGTACCTTCCGGTAGCTAACGTTAGTGGACGATTTAGCGGCTTCCTCCAAGGCGACACTGCACTTTGATCCAGACGGGACCCCCTCGTCGCGTCGCGTCTCCCGTCCATTCGTCGAGTTGGTCCAGTCGAGTAGCACACACCAGCAGTGCATTCCCAAAGAACAGAACATGATGCGGTAGAAACTAGCGCAGAGCAAGACTATTACTGGCAACCAACTCCAAGTCTCATTCGGCACAATGCAACCATGGCTCACAGCAGTCAGCGTAATCGAATCTCGAATGCCATCGACAGCCTGATTGCTCACTTGGTGCCCAGCAATGCAAACGAGGACGAGCAGGTAGCCCAGGCGAGGCACGACGCATGCTTTGAGCTCGTCCGGTCCATACTCCAGCAGTGAGCAGTCCCCATACCATACCATACCATACCATACGTGTCTCTCAACGGCCAAAAAAAAAAGAAACAGTAATAGCTGACCATTTTCTCCTCAAATCCAGGCCTGTCTCCCCAGCCATCTCGTCAGATGTGAATCATGCTTCCGACCTCATCAAGAGGAAGCTCATCCACAGCAACCCCAGCCAGGCGCTGCGGTACTCGAACCTGTACACACGGCTGCTTTCGCTGCCTGTTCTCAACCAAAAATGGGCCATCCTGTATCTGCTCTATCAGCTCTCTGACTCCCCTGACCCGAACGAGCCGCTGCCGTTGAGCCCGTCGACCACGGTGCACGAGCCTCCGCAGCAGCCGCAGCAGCAGCAGCAAAACGAAAGAGGGCCCTCTCGACCCGTTGAGAAAGCGAGGCCATCGAGACCACCGACAGCTGTCCCCACGCAGGACGAAGAGGTTCTCAATGACGCTTTTGCCCCAGGTGGCTTGAAGAAGCTGTCGGGGGGGAAGCAGAAGCGCACACTGACTGAAGAGACACCGCCAACCGAAGTGAGCGAAAGTTCACCCAAAAAGGCCGCAAGGGATGTCTCGCTGAAGTCAACCCTACTTGCCGATAACTCAGATGACTATGAACCTTCTGAGACAGTTCTCTTGCGGGATCTTCCCTTTACTCTCCAGGGGCTGTCTTCCACCACACTTCCCTTTTCCAAGGACACAGTACTAAAACTCCCCGTTACTCTGCCTCCACCTATTGTATCCCTACTACATAGCCTTGCCGAGCCTTCCTTGTTATACAAGGGCCTAGCATCTTTCGTCAAGTCGACTGCGAAGGGTTTACTAGGCCAGAGCCTGCGTGCCGCCATTAGCAATGAATTACGATCATATCTCACTCTCGTTGCAACGCTCGAAGGGCAGATCCGGCGGGCCCTCTCCTCGCTGAACGAGTCTGCGCCTCGTCACGGCATAGGGAAGGCCGGCGTGACCCTCAAGCGTTGCGTGGTGTGGACTCGTGAAGCGACCATGGGGTTAAGGCTCATGTCTCTGATCGCGGAGGAGAGCAAGGCCAAACATGGCGGGCAGCTGATCAGTTTGATCCATGGCTTCTCCATTTCCCACGGCGACCCGGTCGTGGCAGCGTTCGCGGAGCGCCTGCTCAGAGACGTGACGCGGCCATTCTACGACATACTCCGGCGCTGGATCTACGACGGGGAGCTGTCGGACCCCCACCTGGAATTCTTCGTCAGGGAGCAGAGCCACTCTGACGAGGACCGGGAAAAGGCCAAAGCTAAAGGACACGCCAGCGTCTGGAACTCAAAGTACGAGCTCATCGATGCCATGGTGCCGAGCATCATCACCGCCGATTTCGCGCAGAAGGTCTTTCTGATTGGGAAATCACTGAACTTTATCCGCCACAGCTGCGGAGATAGCCAATGGGTCGACGCCTATAGTAAGACGTCGTCCAAGGAGCTGAGATACGGTGACACTGCAACGCTTGAGAAATGGATTGACGAGGCGTACAAGACGACAATGCAGCGTCTAATGCACCTCATGAACACCCGTTTCCACGTATTTGACCACCTGCAAGCTCTAAAGAACTACATCCTCTTGGGACAGGGCGACTTCATCGCTCTCCTAATGGAGTCCCTTGCGGCAAACCTGGACCGTCCTGCTGGGGCGCAGTACCGCCACACGCTGACGGCCCAGCTGGAACATGCCATCCGGGGTTCCAATGCACAGTACGACAGCGATGAAGTCATAAGGAGGTTAGACGCTCGCATGCTGCAGCTCAGCCACGGGGACCTAGGATGGGACTGCTTCACGCTCGAGTACAAGATCGACGCTCCCGTCGACGTGGTAGTCACCGAGTGGGGCAACCGGCAGTATCTCAAAGTTTTCAACTTCCTCTGGCGCATCAAACGCGTCGAATTCGCCCTGGCATCAACCTGGCGCAAGTGCATGACGGGCTCGCGGGGCGTCCTACAGACGTCCGACGAAAGGGTGCTCCAAACATGGAAAAGCACCCGCGGCGTGCTCGCCGAGATGGTTCACTTTGTCGGCCAGCTGCAGTACTACATTCTCTTTGAGGTGATTGAGAGCAGTTGGGCCGAGCTGCAGAAGAACATCCGCAAGGACGACTGCACCCTCGACGACCTCATCACGGCCCACACCAACTACCTCACGTCCATCACCCACAAGGGTCTGCTCGGCGCCCGTCGCAGGCAATATCACGACTCGCTCAAAGAATCCGGGCGCGACCCTGCCGAAGTCGAAGACCGCAACTCGTACATGGTGCAGCTCGGCGAGCTCCTGCGGATCATGCTTGCCTTCCGCGACTGCGTCGACGGGCTGTACAGCTGGTCGCTGTCCGACTTTACCCGCCGGCAGGAGGCGGATGCTGTAGGGCTCATGCGCCAGCACAGCAGGAACCAACCCAGCGGCGGCGGCGACTTTGCCGACGACCCCTTCACCCCCACGACCACCGGCAACCCAACGAACTCCGATAGTGTCCAGTCCGAACTGCCCGCCTTGCAGGGCCGCCTCAAACTCCTCGGCACCAGCTTCCGCACCCGCCTGCAGGTCCTGCTGGGCGACTTGGCGTACCAGCCGGACATGGACATGCGCTTCCTCGGAGTGTCCATGAACTTTAACGACGTCTATCAGCCCGTGAAGAAGAAGTCGAAGCAGCAGCAGCAGGCGCAAACAACCCAGTCACAGTCTCAGACCCAGAATCAGACCCAGAGCCAGACGCAGACACAAACCCCGGCGCCTACAGCCGCGGTCAATCCGTCTCGGGGCTAGGAGGCTCGGCAACACGCCACCTGGTACGTCGGCTGGGTTTGTGCTTTGTTGATTAGTGTGCTTTTGGCAGGAGTTGCTGTTGGGCGGGTGTGGTTGGTTATGATGGTTTATAGAGCGGGAATGGGAAGTTATGGGAATGTTATGTGGGATGGAGGAGGGTTTGATATGATACCCTGAGCTGTCAAGAAGGTACCCATGTTTAGGGGGGAATGGAATATGACTAACGGCGGTATCGGAAGGATGAGAAGCATAGCCTCTGGAAGCATCTAGTTCACTGGCCTGGCCTGGCCTTTCCATGCCGAATGATTGCATGGAACTGAGTTTATCATACCTCGGTCCATTGTACAGTCCACTTTTTGATCCCCAAGGCTTTTGAAGACCACCGTTCTCCTTTTGTCTCGTCTTTCCATTCGTCTTCAAAGCCTGCAGCGAGCGAGGCCTAAGCACAGATATATATGTGAGGTACATACTACAGCCACTCAACCCCCCACGTCTGCTCCCCAGCCCGGAAGGGCACAACCTCAACTCCCTCCTCCCCCTTCAGCGACTCGGCCACCGTCGCCGTGCCCCGCATCAGGCGGATTTGCCGTGTCGCGGGCGGCAGGCCGTAGAATCTGCGCCCGTACTCGGACAGGAAACCCCGGAGCACGGCCTCGTCTCGACTGTCGGCGCTGCTCAGCGACGACTCGGGAATGTCGCCCCTTTCGAGGGCCTCTTCTAGCGCCGTGAGGACCTAATTTATTTGTACGGCGGGCGGGGAGGAGTGCGGGTGAGCCAGAGTGGTAACATGGAAATAAAAAGGAAAGAATGGGGCGGGAACATACATAGCCTAGGGCATAGGGCTGGGTGAAGACGCCCGCGGCCGTGTTGCCCTTGCCTTTCTTGGCGGTTATGTCGTGGGCTGGTGTGTTGTGTGTGTGTGTTGTTAGTGATGATGAGCAAGCTGGTGGAGAGAGAGATGAATGTGAGAACGTACGAGCGCTGTCAGTGCCGAGGAAGAATTTGCCGTTGCTGGTTACCACGGCGTTGAGCAGGGCGCGGCGGTCTTCAGGGGTCTTGGCTGAGGGTTTGCAGTAGTGATGCTCGGGAAGTGTTAGTGGGGAATGCAAGAATAAGTTCAAGGAGAGGATACATACCACGTTGGCGGACCAGTCATCTACCAGCAGGGAGAGGTGGTGCGCTGTCTTTTGCGGTTCCCCGTCAGCAGGCTCCTTTCAGAAAGATCAATGCCTAGGAGGGGAACAGCCTACGATGGTGCCGACAACGTTCTCGCCCAGCGAGCGGACGGCCTCAACGGCGTCCGCCGTGGTGCAGTGCTCAAGGACAATCTTCAGCCGGGGGTACTTGTCGACCAAGCCCCTGAGCACGGGCAGGAAGCGGGCCTCGGCGTTCATGACGGTCACGCCGTCGGCGGCGCTGCTTGGCACCTCGCCGTGGAGGTTCAGCACGATCCCTTCCTCTTCCATCGCCCGCAGCACCTCGTCAAAGGGCTCAAACGAGACCACGCCCCACTGCGAGTTGGTGGTCGCTCCGCGGGGGTATGCCTAGAAAAAGAAATTTACAAGTTCGTTCTCAATCATCCCCAACAAAAGAACGGTCCTAATTTACATACAATACAGGCTAGAAACCCACCTTGACGCCGGCGATGCCCGCGGCTTTGGCCTTGCGGATCTCGTCCGGGGTGATGCTCTCGTGGAGGTACAGCGACATGAGGTAGGTGACGTCCGGGTCGAGGGCCTGCAGGCTGCGCTGGTAGGCGAGGGCCTCGGCAACCGACACGACGGGCCGCGGGGCCAGGTTCGGCATGACAAAGACCGTGTCGATGCCGGCCTTGCGGATCGTCGGCGTCACCAGCGCCGCGATGGGTCCCGGTGCGTTGCGCAGATGCACGTGCATGTCCGCCGCAGCGGGGAGTGTGTATGAGTCTTTTAAGCGCATGGCCGGGCTGGCTGTTCGGAATTGTGCAGGGGAGTTCGAGCAAAACCTTTGATTATTTGTTGGATAACCAAAAATCGTATCAAATGGGAGCTTCTTAGTGCTGGTGGAAGTGGTGGAGTTGGGCTGAGAAATGGGCAGTCGAGACTCGAGAACTAAGAATGAGTGGATAGGGTTAGGGGATGTATCTATTCGGTTAGGGTTATATATGCCCTATTACCCCCTATTTACCAGCCAAGGGAATAGGGGCGCGCCGCGCGCTCATATTTCTTCAAACTTCCAGTCGTCAAGCCCACTTGATACCTTTGCCTTCAGTAAATTCTTCCCTTCAACTAACAAACACAAAATTTTAAGCTGAACGAGCATCAAACAGATGTCCGAATCAATCGATCTATCGGGATAGTTTCTCAATAGTATCATGTCCATTGTCCAACACATCATCCACCGTCCTAGTTGAGGGCTTTTGGACTTGAAATCTTTCTTTACGACAAGTCCAATAATCCAATGATCTCTTTGGAGACTCAGGGCTCATGGCTCGCGGCCAACGGGTCTGACTGGCTTACGAAAAACGAACTCAGTTAATTCCAAGCAGCATCAATACATCGCATTCCAATCATCAACGCCGTCGCCATATCCGCCGTCATCCGGAGCAACCCCGGGTCCAGCCAAGACAGGCTCAGGACTCCTGTTCCTCACTGACACAGCAGGCGACGGCCGCCTGGAATATCCAAACGGACTACGAGACGGCGTCCTCCGTCCCGCAGCAGGCAAGTAGTCGCCTACCGCCCGCTCAGAGATCTCTCCCGGCACTAGATTATACCTGCTCAGCGTTACCAGCCGAGTGGGATCTTCCTGCAAGAAGTTCATGCTCGTGATGGCCCGCGTGCTCCGCCCCGGATTGGTGAGCAGGACTTTGAAAACAGCTCTCAGCTTCGTGTCATTGACCATGATGCGAAACCTTTCCAAGACCGTGTCGAGATCCCTGTGCACCCGGCGGACGTCAAAGCATGAGATCGAATCCACGATGCAGTAGACGTGCGTGTCGAGCGGGAACTGGTACAGCAGCTTGTGCAGCACGAGACCCAGATCGGTAAGGGAGTGCTCCTCCAAGTTCTGCAGGAATTCGCGGTCATTAATGAAATCGAGGTTCCAGGTTTCCATGTCGGGATCGCTTGCGTCCAGCTTCGTGAGCAGCTGCACGATGAGGGAGCGCACGAGGCCCGAGGGCCCGTACCAGGTGTCGTTGAGCGATGAGTGCAAGCCACAGAAAAAGTGGGTGACGACGGCGGTTTCTGGGTACGCCTGCATTAGGCTGGTCACCAAGGTGCTGCTGAAGACTGATATGGCCGAGAGCCGGTCGAGTGACGACTCCTCAAGATTTGCGTCAACCAGCACAAGGGATGGGCGGGATTGGGACAGCCAATCTCGGAACTGTGGCTGGGTGAGTAGACTCTGAACTTGGCCTTGAGTCTCAAGAGCACATCTGCTTTGTTCGGCAGTGGCATGGAGCAGATCGGTGCTGGGGTGCTGGAACATGCGTTCGAGATCCGGAAGATCGTCCAAGTAAGAGGCGCAGGCGGACAGCGGCCCGGGCTGGGCCAGGATCTGGCAAAGGCGCGAAAGGCTCACGACAGCGGTGTGTCTTGAGCTGTTGGAAACTTTACGTCGCAGACCGGCTACCTCGGCCTGGAGCGCTATTTTGCGCGTTGTCTAAGTCAGCCTCGTGATAAGGCGGAGTGGCGGTCTCAATCTTCTTGCAGAACGGCCCGAGGTTGTGGGAAACCAACTCACCTTTCGACTCCAGTATAGATTGTAGCAGCATGGTCCTTAATAGCGCTTGGTTCTCGCTCTGTCTCTCTTGGATCTTGATCTGCTCCTCGGCAATGACATTCAATTGCTTGCCCCCTTCACGCAAGGCTTTGAGCACGTCTACTTGGTGCTTCTCGTCCCGGCGACGTTGTTCCTTTCTAGCAGCCGCATCCTTCGCTGCCATTCTCTTGAGATGGGAAGCGTCTTCTCGTAGATGGGCCATGTCTTGATGGATAAGAATGGACCTCGCCGCCGTCATACGGCTGTACACTTCTGTTCGCTCGGTGGTGTGATCCCGGGCTAGGCTGACTGCTTCCTTGTACTCCTGTATGTGCTTTTCGGCACTCTGAAGGACCTCGTCCAGTGTCGGACGAGATTCGTCCGTCTCATTTTCGCGCTTCAGCTTAGCCGCAAACGTAGTGACTACGCGATAGAATTTAGCCAAGTCTCATCCCTTGCCTTATGCAGCGAGACTTACAGAGAGACCTCGACCTGGTGCTTGACAACACCAGGACCATGTCTTCTATTCCTTTGACAATTGATTTGTATAGATCATCCACAGCCTGCTTGACCCCTGAGTCGTCCCTAAACCGGGCCCGATCTGGATGTAAATCAACTAGAGCTTCTTGGAGTGTCCTGAACGTGTTGAAAACCTTTTCTCTTTTTTCTCTTGAGTTGTCTGCGAGCTAGAGTAAGCTCACAAGTCAGCTTCAATATACACTTTGACAGGGGAGAGCAGGCAACCTTGAATACGACGGCCATTCCAGCCTTGATCACAGACACGCCGTACTCGTTGGGTATCAAGTCCAGCCATGCCTCAGCAATGTCTTTGGCGTTACCAATGCCGTACCATAGACGGTACCAGAAGCCTTCCTTGGATTTACCGTAAGCCTTTTCCATGGCGGCAATCCTATCGCAGAGATCATGGTCAAAGGTAGTGGTTTGGGTACCCAGAAGTTCCGTGATGTAGTCCCTCAATGCATGTTCCAGCTGTCTGACTTGGCATCAGTTTTGCCATGCTCTTAGTAGGTAGTAGGTCAATGCCTGCTTACATATATGGCTCGGAGTTTGGGACGACAAACTTGACTTGCTCCACCTTAAGCTACAGAATGAGCGGATGCTCGCAAGTCAGTTTGGCAAAGACATCATGAATGCTTGATGACCACTCCTGACCTCAGAGGAACCCCCGAATCCGATGTGGATTTTGGGTGCTTGTTCGGCGACATAGCTGCCTACCACGGAAACCTCCTCTTTGCCAGGCCGTATCCAGTTGAGCCGGGGACGCGCATTCTGCGATGCCATCTTGCTGCTCGGTTGGCTTTGTTCGATTGGTGAGGACTTGTTCACAGGAGACTCGGAGGGCAAGAATACAGGGCCGGACCCTCCAGTTTCGGAAAGCGCGTGTAAGCAAAGCTAGCGTGGCTGCGTGGGCACGATAGTAAGAAACGCCCACGCGTCATTTCCTCTTATAGGATCGAGGTTGCATCCAGTTTGCACAGCTGGGCATCGCTGCATGAGGCTAAAGCTGTGCAGCTGCGGCGCGCCTTCCAAACGACAGAGAGATGAATCGAATGATGACACTTTGGGCCCAGGCAGCGACGGGAGCTAGTAAGGCCAGGATTTCTGATTGGAAAAGGAAAAGGCGACAACGACCCGGGCGGCCCGGCCAGAGCCCGAATCACCTACCTTACGGGCTTACATACTACATAAAAGAAGGTGAAACCTAACCACCCTCAGCCCCTACATATTCGTACTCGCGACAAGGGACTGCTACTACCGTGCTTGGCCCCCACCTACTTGATCTGTATTCGGCTCCGTTTGTCATACACACCGCCATCGTCTTCATGCGCTAGACAAATCCCCAAGTCTTGTCCTCTGACGGCGCTGTGAGCATTGATAAGGATACATAAATTGGTAGCTCACCTCCATTGTCCCTGATCATTGATGCGCTGACCAAGGTGCTCTGGTGCTGGACTGCTGGTAACTCAGTCTCTCAGAGCCCCGTCTCTCACTTCCTGTTGTTGCACACGACCTGTCTCGTCGTTTTCAGATCGGATCGTCGCCAAGATACTTCACCTTCAACTCCAAGCCATGGCTCAAGAGGACACTGTTAAGCCACAGCCACCGCCAGCAAAAAAGCCCGAAGAAGATCGTGCTGAGAAACCCAAAGACAATGCTAAGAAACCCGAAGAACCTCGTGCTGAGAAACCCGAAGACAACGCTAAGAAATCCGAAAAAGACCATGCTGGAAACCCCGAAGAAGATAATTCGAAAAAACGCGAGGAAGGCAACGCCAAGCAACCCGAAAAAGACAGTGCTGAGAAACCAGAAGGAAACCTAAAGTATCTAGACCTTAGTGATGAGGCTGCTGCCGAAATGCTCCAGAAGACGGGCGTTGTGGAGCCTGTGGTCTGGCCCGAGCCTGAGGAAACTGAGGAAGAAAAGTGGCATGCTCAACGTCGGAAGGTTCCGCTCAAAGTCGATGTGGAATGGCTTGATTTTGAGCACTTCAAAAACCGCTACTCGGAGAAGGAGGGTCTAGCAATCATCGAAGTCCTTTGTGGCCACTCTAAAATCTTGCAGGAGATCTTCCATGAGACCACGAGACGGTCGCGTGGCATTAAGAAGGACGTTCGGGTCGCAAGACCTGTACCCAACTTGAAGCCAGCCGTAGACGGGAACTCGGACTCGTATCGATACTGGATCCAGCGCGTGCGGATCCAGTCGCCGCAGCTCATTCTCTTGCTTTCGCGTCTGACCGGGCATCGCAATTCATGGTCAACGGACCAGCCACGAACATTCTTTTCGCCCTTTCGCGCCTTTTACTACTACTTACCAGAGCTGACGAAGTGTCTCGACATCCTCAGAAAAAGGTTCGGTCATGTCGATGGCCCCGACGACTCTACTCTTCCGAACTCAGCAACCACCGTTACCACCCTGACGCAAGCGGGGAGCAAGCCGGAGCAGGCGGCGTCTGTTGATACCGCGGACCGTGGTAGCCCCCTGGGCGACGAGGACGACGATGCTGTGGAGTGGGACAATCCAGATTTTCGGCCCCTACACCCCAATATGGCTCTTTCGGATGAACTCGCCTCTGCTGTCACTTTGGCTCACCTTGAAACATTCGTTAACTTCATCGAGGACCACATCGCGTCTGATTGGCGGCGTGCTGCTGGTACCAGTCAACGCAAGTTCCGCTTTCCTGAGCTCTTGATGGCATTTCAGCCTGGAGAGTTGCTTTACTCCCCCGTGTTGTCCGATTCGGTGCAGAACTCAGTCGCTGAGGCAGACTCGAACCCCAAGTTGTACCAAATTGCATGGCGGCTTTACGCTATGTCGCCAGATGAGATCAAGGATGACAAGCCGGATGACACACAAAAGGCGAAGCATGCGCTCTACCTCTATGCTTACCACATGGACTACAACGGCAACTCTTATGTTCCCGTCCGCTACTGCTTCAATATCAAGGGCTATGAGGGCGAGCGCGATATTACAAGCCTGAAAGTTTATCCACTCCGTTTCGTCAAGACTGCCGATAAGATCAAAGATACACTTCGCAAGCAGGGCACTCGATTCCGTGAATTCATCACACAAAGGCATCTCTCTTACGACGGGTGGACCCTCCCTTATGGACCAGTTGCTGAGTCTGCCAGCTCGCCGCTCCCCGTCGAACACATCGATGGCGACGTCATGATCGACTTTGTTGAAGGCTACAAGTCAGAAGCGCTAGCCACCATGGAAAAACCGACAGAAGGCCTTTTGCAGTTTGATGACAGCGAGTGGGGTGAAGGAGACGACGATCTATCCATTACGCATTGGAGGCCAGTCAAAGATGACGGGGATCAGCTCGAAAAGTTTGCCTACTTCTCAGAAAAAACGCAGCGGGCAGAATGGTACGAAACAGAAATACCAGTCGCTTCTGGAAAGTTGGCATTGCAGCTGATGTAGCGGAACAGGCTTGCTGAGCGGGATACAATGGAACAACGAAACAGCCGAAGGGCACTCAAGGCTTACAGTGATGGAAAGCGCGTAACGGAATCGGACCTGGAGGAAGACGATCTCTTGCTGCTGCCTCGCAGAGTCGTTGCATACACCTTCCGAGAACGCCGATTCGTCTTGCTCGATACCGATTCGCTCACGCCGCTCCCAAAGTCGAGCAACGTCTTCGATGATCTGAGAATCAATCCAAGACACAAGCAAATGGTCAGATCACTGGTTCAGTCGCATTTCGACAAGGAAGCTACCCAGAGACTGAGACCCAATCTTAGTCTAAGCCAGGACATTTTCCGTGGTAAAGGATCCGGACTGGTGATCCTCCTCCATGGCGTTCCCGGTGTAGGCAAGACTGCTACGGCCGAAGCCGTCGCCCAAGCTAATAACAAGCCCCTGTTCGTCATTACCTGTGGCGACCTCGGCTTTGCCCCGGCAGATGTTGAAGATTCCCTCAAGAACATTTTCCGGCTCGCCCAACTCTGGAACTGCGTTCTTCTGCTTGACGAGGCAGATATTTTTCTATCACGCCGCCAGCTGAACGATCTCAAGCGCAATGCCCTAGTCTCTGGTACGTCTCTCGTTCTGCAGTGTGTTTAACCCCGCATATCAAGGTTCTGCTAAGACAATTTCTTCCTGTTCTTTAGTATTTCTTCGGGTTCTCGAGTACTATAGTGGCGTTCTCTTCCTCACGACCAATCGGGTAGGCACCCTCGATGAGGCGTTCAAATCCCGGATTCACCTCAGCCTATACTACCCTCCGCTCGACTGGCAACAAACAATGGATATTTTTAAACTCAATATTCGGAAATTGCAGGAGAATGTGAACAAGAAGCACAAGCTGCTTGATGAGGAGCTAGGGTCCAACACACCCAAGCCGCCTAAGATTGTCATCGACGGTAAGAGCATCCTCAGCTTTGCGAACGACCATTGGAATAGAAACGAGGCCGCTCGAGAGCAAAGATGGAATGGAAGACAGATCCGGAATGCATTTCAAATTGCCTACTCGCTCGCCGAGTTTGATATGAACAATACCGTCTCGGATCAGGGGGAAAACAACACCGTAGAGAGGGGCACTCCGCGCCGCGTGGCTGGCAACGGCCGGCTAGACCGCCGTCAATTCGAAATGGTGGCCGAGGCCATCCAAAAATTCGAGGATTATCTCTACTCGGCTACAAACGGAACAGACAGTGACCGAGCCCGCAAGGAGTTTATTCGCGAAGACGACTACTATGAGGAGCAGCAATGGCCGCGAGACTCATGGGGTAATTCCATGGCCTATCGGCCACCGGCGCCAAGCCGGCAGATAACACCCTCGGATCGTCGTCAGGGTCAGGGCAATGCTTACATTTCTCCTCGCGGCTACAACCGACCCATGCCAGCAGGACGGCCCGACTTGTCCCGACCGGCTCCGGTGCCAGGAGAGGAGCAATTTGCCCCCGTAAGCAATATGAATTGGCCCAAGCTCCAAGGGGGCATGCCCCAGCAGGCTCAACAGCGGCGGCTCAATGTCCCCAGCGGTGCCCCGCCTGGGCCGGCCCAAAGGCAAGCCAAACCACCGGCGAGACCAGGGGGAACACGCCGGGTCGTCGGCCAAGTAAACACGCCTGGCGAGCAGTACATGGCGTCTCGAGGGAACAATCATAGCATGAGGCCGGCGAAGTCTCCCCGACCCGCCGCTAGCCAGCGCAACGACTCGAGATATCATTCAGGACTGAGCACCTCCACTCCGCAAGATGAAGCTGACATGGATGATGTGCCGCAAGACTGGGAAGACAAGGAGGACCAAGGCGGCGCTGCAGATGGTGGTGATGATGATGTTGCCTATCAGCACCACGGAGACGGCGATGGACTGGATGACGAGAATGATCTGTATGGACATGGTGGCGAGGAGCAGCTTGATGATGCTGACATGGATCAGTACGGTGTTGAGGGCCAGGACGAAGGGTACCTTGAATATGGGAACGACGATGATGAGTGGCGTGAGTATTAAACCGGCTTTCAGCTTTCAAGGGATGCTTGCGCTGGTTGTGCTTGCGGGATTGTCGATTTTGGAATGCGAGATGAAAGGCTCGGGGGCTGTAGGTAAACAAACCAACTTCTGATCTAGTTTGTAAGTAGAGTTACCGTTGAAAACTCTCCTGGATTATATGCGCAAGGGGACCATACTTGGAATTAGGCGTTGCTAGTCGTACGTGTAGCCTCAGTACAGCCCCGGACTCTCGAGCTCATAGCTGCAGAGATGCTAACAGAAAACTATGTGACTAAGTGCAATTAGCTTAGTAGGTTTGTGACATACCGTGACATGATCAAGAACTGAAAAGGTTACCCATGATGGTCTTGACGGTAGCTTCTACCTTGATAGGTATCAGGCTGCGTCGAGCATCCGCAGCTATGTGCAACAGTGCAAGGAATGTAGTGAAGGTGTCACAGCAGAGGACTAGAAGATAGGAACAATGATGGGTTAATGTTTGTACTTGAGCACCCGACATCAAACAGGTGGAAGTACGGTATCTCATCATCAGTGATCAAAAACGTAGGTTTCTCAATCATAATCATCAGACGCGTAGTCGTCATCATGATACATGCTCTGCCCTGCCATCTTATTTTTCTCCAGGAGTTGCAGCCTCCGTGCCACCAACATCTGCTCCGAGCCAGAAACCAGGCTGCGCTCGGCTTCTCCTACAGCCTGGCTCATGTTTGCCGGTTTCACAAGCAGGCGCTTCTCGGCAGGCAAGCCCATCATATCATGCACATAGCGAACTCTGTGGGGACCCGTCAGCAGCAACTTGAAGCAGGGCTTCAGCTTGGTGTCGGTCACGATATCCCTGAACATTCGGGCAACAAAGGCTAGCTCGCCCCGCCACTCCTCCGTCTCGTAGTGCGCGATACCGTCGACGACGCAGTAGATGGGCAGATCTAGTGCCAGCTCGGATTGCATTTCCTGCAATATCTTATAGAAGGCGTCGCACAGATACTCGATCCGCTGCTCCTTGAGCCCGTCGCGATAGGTACGGTCGTCGATAAAGTCTAGACGCAGTAAATGGCGACGGTGTGCCTGCGTGGCCAGGTGACAGAGAAGACGGCGCATCAGACCCCGGGGCCCGCCAGCACCTAGCTCAAGCTCGTCGTTCTCGAACGCATGCAACCCACAGAAATGATAGAGTCGGAAACTTTCCGGTTGGCTGCTTCCCAGCTGCGAAAGGAGAGAGGCACAGAGGATCGAACTGGCCGAGACGCGCTCGACGTGGCCCGCGAAGTGTGATGTTGCGCTGGTTCCGTCGATGAGAACGACGTCCGAGCGGTTGGGAACAAGCCAGGTGCGAAACCCGGAGGACTGGACCACTGACATAACCTCGGCCTCAGCCACCCGATGAATGCTGCTGCGGAGGCCAAAGATTCTTTCAATGTCCGTTGTCGATTGCCCAATGTGATCGTCTGCACCGATGGCGATGAGGAACTGGGGTACTGTCATCAAACCCTGGAGCGGAGTAAGGGCGCGTTCTCTCTCATCTAAATGGATCTGAAGCAGCTGTAATTTCCTATTTTGTGCTTGGAATTTGTCAGCGCATGCATAAGGACTCTTCTCGGTGTCTCAGGGGTTTGGCTGTGTAGCACGGTGTAGCACGTTGTAGGCAGGTTTGCATAAGGTACCTTCCAATTCCAGAGTGTTGGCAACAACGACGTCCTTAAGCATGAGTTCTAGAGCGTGCTTGGCCTTGTTTGACTCGATCAACATTTGCTGACATCGTAGTACTTCCACTTCTCTTCTGCGCTCTGCTTCGATCTTCGTGAGCAACTCCTCCTGTCGGGCAGCGGCCTGCATTTCAGCTTGTGCTGCTTGTTTTCTCACGTCGTCTCCGACCTCTTTCAGAAGGGCATTATTACTGAATCCTTGGGTTGAGAGAGTACCCATCTGAGTCAATAGAGTGCTCGTGTCCCCTTTGATTTCTCTCACCAGTTTTTGTGTCTCAACAACCGCGTCGTCCAAAAGATCCTGGACCAAGGTTTTGAGCTCGTTGGCATCCTTTCGTAATCCCTCCAATATGCTATCGATAGCGCTTTCGTTGAAACGCCTCGCCGAAAAGTAGTGGATTTTCGATGCTGAGTTCAAGAGGTTGGTATATTCATTCATGAAGCCTAGACAAGGTAAATAGGGAGTCAACGTACCTTGACGTTCCGGCAATAAGGAGCCTATGAGATTCGAAACCGTCTTGAGGATCGTTAGATTAAGCTTCTCGCCGCATCTCTTGAGTTCTTGGTCCTCTGGGAAGCGCCTAAGCTTCACTGCTGCCGATGCCACCATCATTGGGATCTCTTGAAAGGCTTCGAAGATCTTGAGCCGATTCTGACTCGCCGTTTTGGCAAGCTACAATGGAGTCATTATCGAGTTCATTCGAGCCGTTCCATGATAGAATAGCTGCGGCCTACCATCAATACAAGCGAAATACCAGCGGCTAAGACACCGATGCCATAGTCTTCCGGCATCAGTTGGAGAATGGGGTCAACTTGATCTGCGACGTCGCCGGCTTTTCGGAAAAGCCAGCGGAGACTCAGACGGCCTCGCCAGGTTTTTTCCTTTTCCTCGTACTGGTCTTGTGCTTCAGCCATGCACTTAAAGACGTCTTCCCAGGTGCACCTGTCAACGTCGAGATCAAGCTTTGGCACGATTCCGAGTTTGTTGTATTCTATGAGGGCAGTCCTCAGTGCGTCGGACTCAGCGGATCTTGGGTGTGGCTTGTTGCTATCCACAACCTGGGCTGATATTGGAAGGGTCTGACCCCAGACCGGGAGATTTGGACGGAGCTCTGCCCGCATTGGCGCGTAGGGGGGTTGCGGCTGCCTTCCAAAAGCCTTGTCGATCTTGGTTCCTGCTACGTTTTCCACCCACATGCGAATGTTCGGCATTTCAGGATGTTTGGCACCAGAGCGACTCATTTTTGTGGTAGTTCTGGACCTTTTTTATGTTTTCACGAAAGGAAGCAGTCTAGCATGTCGTTGAGATGATGACGAGATCAGGCAGAGGCCAAAGAGAGGGAAGAATGCCCCGTGACGACCATCTTGACTTGGGCCTTCCCCTCAAAGCTGAATATGAAGCCGCGTTACACCGCATCAATATAATGCACTGTGATTGTTCGGAGCATCTGATGATTGGAAGATGCTGCTTTGGTGACTACCTTGAAGTAGAGTAGAGCTGAGCTCTGCAGCTGTCTGCAAGCTGGAGCAATGCACCATCAGACCGGGATGCGACCATAGACAGCAACTCGCCATGTAAAAAACCAATCCCATTGCATTCTGCTCTTGCTGATCTACCACACGATTCAAGCCTTGGGTTCTTCTTTCGCATTCTGCATGTCTGCCTAGTACTCATACTATCGATCTGCCTTATGCCGCATGCGCATATGTACCGCCGACCACTGTTGGCTACATGTAGGCGTTCTCTTCTCGCTCCTTATCTCTAACACATCTTCCCAATTCCGAGTTATTGAACTAAAAAGAGCCTGCCTCTGTCTCCTGAAGTTTCTCAAGTTCTTACTTCTTAGTCTCGCCATCGTTTCGCGACTCATAACTCATCGCGAGTCCTCCACATCTGAATTCCAAGACCACTGCAGGCAAGAATGAGCGGAAATATGGTGGTTGAATGTGTGGTGTGTTGAGCAAAAATCTCAAACAATTTGGGGTCCGCTAACTGTTCAGGATGCGGTTAACAATCCGATGTCAGGGCTCGAGAGAGTTGAGACGAAAGCGGCAGACGTATCGACCATTGTTGAGCTTGGACAAACTTCTCCCTGTGTTAATAACGCATCCACTGTCGGCGTGGAACACGTTGAAGGTGACTTGGTACGATTTGATATTCCTGAGGATGTGAAGGCACAGGAGACGAAGGTTGAAACCGCCGTCGCCGACACCGAAGCGCACCAGGATGGCATCACAAAGCCGCACTTTGAAAAGCGCCCCAATCAAACCTCCGAGAAGGAAGATGAAGACCTGCACAATGAATCGGAAGTAAATAGGAAATCCAAAGCAAGGATGCTTGTCTCTTCTCCAAGAATGGTCAATTTTGAGGGCTTCAAGAATCGCTTCTCCGAAGACGAGGGTATCCACGTACTGGATGTGCTCTATGCGGACAGCAACCTCATGGGTGAAGTTCGGCGGGAGCGAGAAATCCGCCGGATTTGCCAGAATGACCCGGTCTTCAAGCGAGGAACACGGGCTGCAAGAACCCAGGTCTCAGCAGTTCCAAAGGCCTCCATCCAGCCCAAGGAAGGCTCTTGGATTCAGCTGGTGCGCATCCGGTCGCAGCCCGTGCTAACGCATCTTGCCAATGTTATGGGTGAGGCATGGGGAAAGTCCTCACCGATAGTGTTCAAAAGACCTTTCAAAGTGTTGATCTACTTCCATGACAAGATGAAGGAGCGTCTGGCCGGGTTGGAATCCGAATGGGGGAACCAGGAGCGCCGTAGGAGCGCTGGGAATGAGATTGATTCTAGCAAGAGCCTTGAACACGAGGCAACCGAGAACGGAAATGATGCTCAGGGTAGCGATGATGAGAACGACGACGACGACCACCCTGAGGACGAGGACGAGGACACGGACGAGGAGTTCATATCTAGCAGCGTCACGGCGCTCAGAGACATGCAATGTTACGTCAACTTCGTCAATGACCATATCCTACCCTTATCCAATATGTTTGCCGGCACAACGCGGCGAATGGTTCGCTTTGACGATCTCTGGTTGCTGTTCAAACCAGGGGAGCTGGTCTGGGCGTCGGAGGCTGCTGTATCCGGTAAACCTGGGACGAGTAAGTCAAACCCGACCCTTGTTGCCCTGCTCGGTAGTCACCTAAATCGATCACCCAAAGCGCTGACAGTTTATCATTACCGTAGGAGCTACCCGCATGTACCAACGTCTGTGGAGGGTCTACACGCTCAGGACGCCCGGAACGCCTACTGAGTATTCAAAACTAGGGCCCACGTCTAATGAGTCACAACCCAACAATCTTCGCTTCTCGAATGACAATGAGGAGGTCGAAAATGACGAAGAGCCTGTGTCTGCGGATACGTACAAGGGCGCTTCCAGGGTATGGGCGTACTACATTGACCACGACGGCGTCTCATACGGGCCTGTTAAGCATCAGTTTATGATCCGCCCTTATCGTGGTGAGCGGGAAATCACCAGCTTACCGTGCTATCCGATCCGATATGTCGACGATTGGGAGAGCCACCTGGACCAACTCAAAGAGCAGGGTCACAAGTTTGAGCAATGTATCAAAGTTGATAAGTACCTGACTTATGTTGGCTGGACCCTCGTTTCAGACCCGAAAGGGAATTCAATGAGAGACACGTACGACAGAGACAGCGACAGCGACAGCGACAGCTCCAGAAAGCAGAAAGAGCTCAGTCCAGAGTATATAGACAGCCACGTCATCGTTGATCTTTCTGAAGCTTTCCACGACGTGCCAAGGTGGACGCCTAATTTCCATTCCACGCGAGCCTACTCAGAGGGGCTTGTTGATTCGGAGCGGTTAATTCAGGAGGACCAATTCCCCATTATCACCTGGTCTGATGAGAAGAGATCAAAAATCATCGCCAGCTCGTGCGACGAGGCCGTGGTGATAGGGGACCTCGGTGTCACCATGCGGCAGCGGCAAGACTGGCTTGAAAGGGACCAGTTTGGACGCTTCCTGAAAGGCAGTGGGCAGCTAGGGCTGGCCACTAGCATAGACAAGCAAGCGGCCACAGATATTGTACTCCAAGACGAGGACTATGCCCTCCTCCCGCGACGCCTGTTTGCCTACGTGCTCAAGGAGCGCAAGTTTGTGCGCGTCGACCTGCAGCATCTGAATCCCATCAAGACGCAGGATAGAATCTTTGATAATCTCAAGATTGACAAAGAATACAAGGATATGGTGAGAGGGCTGGTCTCATCGCATTTCGAAAAGAAAAAATTTGAACGGCAATATTCAGTCGCTACCAGCAGAGTCACCGCAAGCCAGGATATCATTCAGGGAAAGGGGAATGGCCTGGTGATTCTCCTCCACGGCGTGCCCGGCGTCGGCAAGACAGCCACTGCAGAGGCAGTAGCTCTCGAATACCGCAAGCCACTCTTCGCAATCACATGCGGTGACCTGGGCCTTACACCGAAGGAGGTAGAAGAAAGTCTGACTGAGATATTTCGGCTGGCGCACATGTGGGACTGCGTTCTATTGTTTGATGAGGCGGACGTCTTCCTCGCGCAGCGATCGCGTTACGACCTCAAAAGAAACGCTTTGGTGTCTGGTATGTACCAAGCCAATTCGTGATTCCCTTTGGTTTACCACTCTTCTCCCTACTAGCTAACCATCTTGCGCAACAGTCTTCCTTCGCATCCTCGAGTACTACAGTGGAGTTCTATTCCTCACGACCAACCGTGTCGGTTCCCTCGATGAGGCCTTCAAGTCAAGAATTCACCTGAGTCTGTACTACCCGCCGCTGAATTCAAAGCAATTCAAGCGCATCTTCGAGATGAACATTAGCAAGCTCAGGGAGATCGAACTTGAACGGAGCGTAATCGCCGGGGACCCAATGCTCGATATTCGTGACGCTGCCATTAAGAAATTTGCCGAAGAACATTGCGACAGAACGGAGCAGGTTGGTGGCAATGGACGATGGAACGGCCGGCAGATACGCAACGCTTTCCAGATCGCCGCGTCGTTGGCACGCTATAATGCGCTCCTCAATGTTGATAAGACAGGACTGGGGCAGCCGGTATTGGATAAAGAGCACTTCGAGAAAGTGGAGCGTGCGACCAGAACCTTCAATGACTATATGGAGAAAACAAGGGGCTTCAGCGACGCCGACCTCGCTTTCATCAACGCAGAGCGCCTTGACGTGTACCGACAGAAGAAGCCCATTGACCCGACAGCGGGACTCGCGGAGGCAGGTCCTTCCGGGTACAGCTCGAGCCAACAGCAGCAACATCTGTACGGGCCTCCTGAGACAGGACAGCAGCACTATTACGCTCACCAAAATCCGGCCACTGGTGTCCAATTTCCAGCGCTACAGCCAGGGCCAATCACTTACGGTCCGAGCCAGGCTGGTGAGGCCCATGGAGAAGTTGGAAGTGCATATGGGGCGCCAGCGCTTCACCACCATCCAAACCTCCGCAGCGGCAAAGCTGATAGCATCCAGCAAGCTTACAACTACCCCCAAGGAAGCGCTAGTCAAGCGGGCCGGATGGCGGATCCATTCTTCACGAATATCAACAACCCACCTTCGTCGGGACCCCCTCATGGATATCACTATCGTGATATGCCGTATGGGGGAGGAGGTGCGGCGTCGCAGCCGCCAGCGTACGGGGGATACGCGCAGAAGCCAGGACAGCAGAGGTCGGTTCAGGATGATGATGACTCTGATTGAGCTCCGGGTCCTTCTCTTGCTTTCTTGTGCTTCATTTTTTTTTCTGGTTGTACTCCATCAGTTTTCCCTTTCCCTTTTCATTTTTCTTCGTTTTTATTTTTTGTGTTGTTGATTTTGAGTAGTACTAGTAATAGTACTCAGAGCACAGAGAGTGCCCCTCTTCTCCACGCCTGCCATCTGTTTGCCCACGTCTTCGGCTGTGTTAGATTCGTAGCTAAGTACATAATGGTGACACAAGCTGGACATGGTGGCCGTTACAGCGTTGACAAGGAAGAAACGAGCCTTCCGCGAAAGTACGGATGCCTATACGGTATGCCGGTATGGACAATTGGGGAGAGATGGATGTTCTGAGTCAGGCCGCCTCTAATTCGTTGTCTCTCGATTTCAGCGAGTGAGAGACCTGACTTTGGCCCGAAGACTGGAATGAGAACTCATTGCTCATCTCAATATCAGCTGAGGTGCTTGTTTCAGGAGCCCATTGCAACACTTCGTATAGCAAATCGAAGCTTTATCTAATGCAAGAAAATAAAGATGAGTGTTGTCCTGCAAATAAATCGTCATCTCGGATGGGGCAGAGAAAGGCAGCGGCACAAGAAGTCGAACAGCGTAATGGTCCTAGTGGATTGATAAGGGGAGAAAAGGAGGAAGAGGAAGGCCAAGCCGTGCATGTTTACTGTAGCTCCGTACTCCTTACTCCAAAAGAGCCAGAAAAGGGGCAGGTGGGGCAGTCGAGGCCGGGCAGGTCTCTGGGCCGCGTCGTGCGCGTATACGAATAAACTGGGCGCACGTGCCATATCTTGAATTTACCTATTAATTACGGGTTCCCTTACAGTAATTACGAAGTAAGGCACCAAGCTCTGCAAGGCAAAGGCGCATGGCAGTACTCCGTACAGTACCTCTGTAAACTAGGTGACATGATCAAAATGAAGCACCCAGTACCAAAACTCATTGTAAATGTTAGCTTAGGAATCTGAAAAGATATACCGAAATCAAATACCAAGAATGTGGGTAATCGATGGTACTATATCCGTATTATCCAACTATTCGTTGGAAAGTCTCCGATCCGTCGGTCCCGGAAGGTGCACCCGAATGGTTACTTACAAATCAAAGACAGAGAATGACGTTCCTTCAAAGTCCACACGCCAATTTCATCGACAATCATGAATCAACTTCACATTGTGTTCCTCCAACGCATACTTGTACGAGTACTGTGACCATGATGTAACAATTTCATTATCTGCATCCATCGCCTTTCTTTTCCACTTTTTCACTCAATCACGCGGCTGCGCAATTACAGCTGCGTTTCTCATCTCACCGTGCAGCCGGAACATCCGGAAAGCGTTGAACATTCGCAAGGATGACCGACATCGACAGACGCCGGCACGGCGACAACGGAAGCTCTACGGCCTCAACTGCCGTGGCCGAAGATACACCCCTGCTCCGGTCTGAGACCGCCAGTTCCGTAACAGCCCGGGATGCGTCGCCCGATGCAAATGCGCCGTTACTTCCCGCAGACAGCCCAGACGCAACGAAGCAGCCGCTGGGCTGGAAGAGGGCGACATGCATCGTTCTGAGCATGTGGGCGCTCATCTTCCTACAGGGTAAGTCTCTATGAAAGAAGTCACCTAACCATAAGGAAGAAAATTTGGCTCATGTCATGTTTTCATACAGCCAGCAACATGAGCGGCATCACGACGACCCAGTCGACCATCGCCGCCGACCTGGACGCCTACGAGTCCGCCATGTGGTTCACCAGCGCCTACATGATCAGCGTTTCCTCGGTAGCGCCCCTGGCCGGCCGTCTTGCCATGATCTTTTCGCCCGCCACCATGATCCTCTGGTCGGCCGGCTGCTTCTCGGTGGGCGCCCTTGTCACGGCGCTCGCGCCCAACGCTGTGGTCTTCATCCTCGGCAGGGTGCTTCTGGGTGTCGGCAGCGGAGGAATCATGACGCTGTGCATGATTCTGATCATCGAGCTCACCTCTAAGAAGCGACGGGGTCTGTGGATCGGCCTGACTAATGCTGTGCGTTTGTCTGATTTCTTCTGGGAGCGTTTGGCTGGTAGCTAACGCACTTAGGGCTTCACGATTGGCGTGTCGGTGGGTGCTGTGGTGTTTGGCGCATTGCTGCCCGTGATTGGATGGGTATGTGGCCCCTTTGCCACAGTTTGTATGTCTTCTGACCCTGTACACACAGAGACTCCTTTTCGGGGCTCAAGCCCCTATGGCTGCTCTTGCCGGCCTCGGAGTCAGCCTTAGTATTAACCCGGCTATGGCCACCAGGGAGAACTCCAAGAATCGAAGCGTCTGGCAGAAGCTCGCAGGCGTGGATTACGCAGGCGCCACGACCCTCGTACGTTCGAGGGTACCTCGACATATCGAGATTAGGAACTAACATATCCCAGACCATAACCATCGTCCTCTTCCTCTACGGACTCTCGGGTACCATCCAGCTTCTACCCATCGCACTATCGTTCCTTACCCTAGCCATGTTCCTCACCGCCGAGTCGTTCGCCCGGGACCCCATCATTCCCATTCCCGTGCTCCGATCCCGCGGCGTGCTGCTTTCCTGTCTCTCGCAACTCGGCTTCATGGCGTCCCGGTGGACAGTACTCTTTTACGCTCCCATCTTTGTGCTCGCCGTGCGCGGCCTCCCGCCCGCCGTCGCCGGCGCCATTCTGCTCCCCACCAACCTTGGCTTTGGGCTGGGCAGTGTGGTCGTAGGAGCCCTCCACATCCGTCGCGCGGGGTCTTTTTGGCTCCCCGCCTGGGTGTCGCTGCTCCTTTTCAGTACCACACTCTTCACGCTTGCCTTTGTAAGCAACGCAGCGGCGCCGCCCGCCCTGTACATCGCCATCGTCTTCCTCAACGGCCTGTGCACCGGCGCTGCGCTCAACTACACCCTCTCGCACCTGCTGCACGTGTCGAGCCCGGACACGCACTACATTGTCACCTCCCTGCTGTCCACCTTCCGCGGCTTTGCCGGCAGCTTCGGCACCGCCATTGGCGGGGGCATCTTTTCGCGCACGCTGCGGGATGCCCTCACCGAGGGGTTCAAACGGCTTGATGGCGGCGGCGACGGCGGCTTGGACAGGGCTCGCCAGAAGCTGATTACCGTCCTGATCGGCAGCCCCGCCGCGGTCTATCAGGACGGGGTTCTGAACGCGGCCGAGAGGCTGGTCGCGGTGCAGGGGTATGAGCGCGCGCTCGAGGTGCTGTACAAGTCTGCGGCTGCGGCGTGTGTGTTGGTGGTGGCCTTGCAGGTGTGCACGGGGTGGACGGCGCCTCCAGGTGAACGCGAGGATGACGAGGGCGAGATTGAGGAGGCCGTTGCGGAGCATGACGGTACGATGGAGGCGTAGAGGGTCAGTGTTTGTTTGATTGAATGAAACACTACTATGTAAGAGATGGGCGCGTTATAGAAAGGAAATAGAGAGGTGGGTAGGAAATCACTGTATATTACCAAGTGTACTGTACATACATATGGTGCTCTATTAGCATCTTGGTTACGTCGAGCCCGCCTTGACCATTCAGGCGCTTCCTGAATACTTGTTTACTATGGCCTTGGTGTAACAACGAGGTTGTCCTTGACTACCCCCAAGTCATATGTGTGCCGGCCGGCAGGGAGTTCAAGGTACATATCTTGTCATAGATTACGAGAAGGCCTACTATCTACCCACCGCTGGCGAAAGAGTATCATCGATCCATACCTATATCCAAGCCTAGCAGCCAACCAATGCGCGAACTCAGAACGCGAATCGCGGTTCATACATTGAACTCGAGCAGGTATTAATTGTCTCTGTATTTTCCAATGACGGCTAGCTTTGTAAAATAGAGGTATCTAATACGTTCCCTTGTCCAAGTCCCTGCCCCTGAGCGTTTGGCCCTCCGCCTATCACTTCAGGTTTCTCACCAGTCCTACCGCTACCATCATCGCCATTGTAGCCATCACTATGACTAATAGCACGATCCGCTCCCATCTCAACATCTCGTTCCCCTGCACCAGCAGCGCCTTGATCATCACTCCTACTCCTAGCACTAGGAATAGGAGAGGTATGAACCTCAACCGTGTGTTGAAAATCAACAAGCTCCCTCGCCCCGCGCACAAGCCCGAGAAAAAGAGGGTACACCCCGGCGACCGCCATGAGGAGCACAACCAGCACAAACGAGAGACGGACCCCGTCTTGTTGCTGCTGTCGTTGTCCAGCAAGGGTGATCCCCCATGCAACAAATGGCCACACGCCCGGCGCCGACCCGCCCATGGTCAGCCAGGCGGCGGCCCGCTTGGTCCTCGCTCCTTGGCCGCGCAGGCCCAGGGAAAAGATCAGAGGCCATATGGGGCCCTCGAAAAAGAAGAAGAGGATTATTGGGATTGCGGGCAGATTCGGGTTTATGCCTGTGTTATTGTTACGAGGGGAGAGCAGGACGGTCGTTAGTGCGGCCAAGGTCGAGAGGGCAATGGAGATGGCCAGAATCCCCCGTGAAGTGGGTAGTAGGCTGTTCAACAATGCTTGAGTCGGACGGGATGATGGTTGTGGCTTCTGGGAAGAGGATCGGGAAGAAGAGGAGAGGTAGCATAGCAGCGCGGCGAGGAAGCGGGAGGCGCAGAAGGCCGTGTGCGCTATTAGCAGGTAGGATGGGATGGAAATTGTTAAGCCTTCAGACGAGGACGAGGATGCGGCCGATGCAGATGGCGGCAAGAAGGAGGCAATCAGGTCATGGAAAAAGAGTGACGTGTTTTCCTGCGCGGCGACGTACGTCCACTGGGCGAGCACAGCGAGCGCGATGGCCCACGTCCGCAGCGTAATCCTGCCGCCGAGCGGTTTCTGTCGCAGGTCGACGGGCAGGTGGGAGGCAAGCTCGGCCAGCTCGTCGTCCGACAGCTCGGGAAGGGGCATATAGTAGAACAAGAGCGCCAGAAGAACGGAGAGAAGCGTCACGGCCAAGTAGGTCCACTGCACGTCGATCAGGGTGGCGGCTTCCCCTCGACGGGCAGCGAGGTTTCGCGCGAAAAAGACATTGTTGGCCAGGAGCCCGCTTAGCACGCTGCTGGCGGCTTGGACGCCCTGCGCGAGGAGGAGCCGTGCGTCGGCGTACTCAGGAGGTCCGCACAGGGCGATAAATGGGTTGGCGGCGGTTTCTAGCACGGCGAGGCCGAACCCCACCACAAAGCTGCTGACCATGAAGCCGCCATATGCAGCCAGGACGGCGCTCGGCCAAAACATGATTGTGCCCGTGCCGTAGATCAGCAGGCCGGCGATGAAAGTTGCCTTGAAGCCACCTACCGACTCGGGCCGGCCTCGGCCTCTCGTTTTGCAGCGGTGATGCTCGTCGTGCCGAAGCAGCCATTCGCCCACCAGAAGAGGACCGAAGAAGTACCCTCCCCCAAAGTAGATGCTGGTAAGACCCAAGGTCTGGGCGGTGGTCATGTTAGCAACGTCGGCGACAACATTGTTGAGAGTGTTGAGAAGACCGTATGAGAAGCCCCAGATGAAGAACAGAATGCTGACGATGGTGCAATACTGGAAGGACTCGGATGCCGTGGTTTTGAGCATGCTCTTTGGCCGCTTTACATTGACGAATCCAAAGTAAACTGACGTGGAGTCGTGCTGCTGGGGCAGGAGTATTGACGGATTTTGCCCCGAGCTATGAGCAATCGAGGCACGAGGCTGCGGCGCGCCGGACAGGAAGTCCCTGATGGATATCTCTTCGGACAACCTGTCTTCTGGCGGGGTGAGGCGTAACGCCGGTGGGTCCGCAAGCATTTGAGTTAGACCGGCCGAGAGAACGTGGGCAGGGGACTGGCTATCATCGGCAGCATTCGGTTTCGGCCTGCCGCTCGTGTACTGGCTACTCAGGGTGCTGCTCCTGCGTGTGCCGTCCGGGTCAATGATGATGGCGGGCAGGATCCGAATCATGAGCGGCTTCAGGGTTGGGACGCAGGCACAGATGATACCGACGTTGACTTCGACGGCCGACCACATCAACGAGAACGAGGCATTCCAGGAGAAACCGGCGCTCTGGCCAAACATGGCCATTGCGTCCGAGGTCGAGCTCATTGGGACGTACTCAATGGCCTGTTGGAGATAGTAAATCCTGACGACGTCGACTATTGTCACAAAGATACCGAGCGCGAAGGTCAAGACCATGATCGTCTTTTGCTTCAGAGGCAACCGCATGCTTGTGAGAGCGGGTATCGGAAGTGCCAGGATTGCAAGGTCTGTTGTCACATTGACAGGCGCCGAGCAAATGAACTCGGTGAGGAGCGGGATACACTTGACGGGCTTGACGCTGATGTCCCATGCGGCATTGATGGGGTCGCATTGGAAGATGTTCATGAAGGTCAGAATGGTGCCGGCCACGTTGACCACCCCCAGGACGGCCCAGGAGGCCAGGCGTAAAATCTTTTGGGTATTCTTGGCCAGACGGAGATAGAAGACCAGAATAGACGTCTTGGTCGCCATGAGCGCAGGATTCTGTGTCAAAAGTCAGCGGGCCGCAGGGAAAGAACCAGGTTTTGAACACTCACATAGAGGATGGAAAAGACATATTCGCTCGTCCTCAGCCGACCCCTATCTGCCGGGTCGATGTTCTGGTCATGCCGGCCAAGTCCTCGCTGTGCTCCCAGATCAATGGCGAGACTCAAAAATAGGGCTAGGATCCAGGCAAGAATCATGATGTAGTCGTCCCAGCCGGTGCTGCGAAGGATGCCAAACCTCGAAACCATCCGAGCCGCCACGAAAAGCGTCGCTAGCGCCAGGGTGGCGGTCGTAACAGCAAAGACTGCTGGCCCGCGGTCCGGGAAATGGGCGTCCTGAGCCCCGGAAAACGACATGATGGGCTTGAGCGGATTTTGGTGCTCTGGCTCGCGAATGTTGAATATTGCGCCATGTTCCGGTTCGTTCAGGTACGGGAACGGTAGCAGCGTGGTGGACAGCTTAGGTCTCTACTGCTTGTCGGTCGGTACTTGTACAGTAGGGCCATCTCGATTTCGGGTTTATCTTCTTCACGCCGTTTTGCGAAGGCGCCAACTTTGATCTGAAGAGCCAATTTGGTTTGTAAGGCTGAAAATCCGCTAGGCCGTGCTGGTCGCTGGCCGTCTGATGTCAGTACTTGCAGGTCCCGGACAGGTTTGCTGTCAGACGAAACCAGGACATGCCATCTCAAAATCTCATGAGTCAGGAGGTGGTGCCCTCGACGCAGGGCCGTGTGGGTCTAATAGCCAGTTCGAACTTCGAAGGCCCTTCTCAAGGAAGTCACGCAGATATGTAGCGTGTATATGTAAACGAGGCAAGTGCAGTCGGTGTAAGCTCCGAGAGAGCTCAGCCACGACGAGGGCAAGCGCTCTGCAGAATTGGATGGAGGGCAGGCGATGAGAAGGAATGTATCCATATGCAGCACTTCTCTGAAATGCAATTGTAGGGTTATATCTGCATCCATGGGTCCGAAAATCTTTAATGAAGGAGACATGAGTGACGTAACGTTAAAGCCGGTGGAGCAGCAGGGTTGCCCTTGTGCTCACCGCCTTTCAAGATGTTTCTGGTGAACACCTACTCACCGTACTGTATGGTAACCATCTTTCGAGGTCTATGATGATCTCGCCGGTTTCTTGTCGGCCGATCATGGCAGTGCGCACATGTGCAGTAAGCTCCCTGCGTCCCGTGCTTGTTGTTCTTCCAGTGTATGTATGTATACGGTATATTTATGGTTTGCGCCCGAGCCGATGGTACTCTTAATCCTGCATAGAATGTACTCGCCCTCTACCGTAATTCCGGGGAGTATGGTGGAGTCGGGAACTGTCAGAATCTTTATAGAGAGGGGTTCATCCGCGGGGTTGAATAGGGGAAGGGGGCAAATTCAGCAATCTGGGTTGTGTCCAGACCGGAATCCGGAGACGTCGTGACTGGTCCTTGAGAAGGAGGCCGGAGTGTCCCCGAACCAGCGCGGGAGACGACAAACAACTAACAGCCGCCCACGGGTTAATTATTTATTTCCCTAAAGAGCTTGCCAGAAACCACCAACGCCAGGCTTCCACTCGTTAACCCCTCCTTTTCACCGCCCAATGTTTGTGTACGGGTATCATGTAAATACATCAACAAGCCGTGCTCGGCTGACAAAGTCACCGAGAGCTGTTGTCGTCGGCATTTAGAAATAGCTTGTGTATACCAATCGGAGCTTGCTCACTATCCCGTACTGGGCGCCCCGGAAAGAAAGAAATCCAGCTCGTTCCCAGCACCCAGTATCGACTCGTTCTCGGCCAGCTGCTCCAGCAGGCTGAGGAAAGGGTCTTTCTCTTCCGTCCCAGTTGTGCTTACACTCTCATTTGGACTCCTATTGTTCGGACTCGCCGCAAGACCAGCCGCTCTATTATTCCCGCTTTCATCGTGCCAGGGCGCTGGGCTGGAGAACGCATTTGTTGGGATTCCTCCAAACATAGGGTCAAAGCCCTGCGATGTCCCACTAGGGCCGGGCGTCGAGCCTCGCAATTGACTGAAACTGAATGACGCGTTGAATGAGCCGTTGGTTGTGCTGGAGAATCCCTGCGAGAGACTGCTCGCGTGACCGTGCGAGCCATTACCAAGGGAGAAGCCGCCAGCTGCGTCAGCTGACGACCCCCCGCTCATCGACCCAGCGGGCATGCCAACCTGCCGATCCTGCTGGTGAACTCCATGAACTCCATGCGGCGACACAAGAGAGGTAGGCGTATGGAGCACTCCTGGTGAGGGTTGGGGCGGTAATGACGCTGGCGAGAACAGCGGATGCCCAGCGGCAGATGGCGTGGGCAAAGAGGGGGCCGATGCCGTATTGATGTTGAGGGACGTAATATTCTTGGGGTCTGGCCGAGGGCGGCCCGAGGGCGCCGTGTTCTTTCTCTTCAGGGTTTGCCGGGCCGGGCCAGTATTGGTGATATTAGGCCGTGGAGCATAGAGGCCCTGAGTTGGAGATGCGTCGGCAGTAAAATCAACGACGACATCGGCAAGACTCAGATTTGCCGCATCGAAACTGAATGTTTGCCCCCCAGGACCGCCAATGTTTGAGTACCGGTCAAAGAAGTCTTCCAGGTGGAATACAGGTGAGTAGCGCATCGGGCTGTGGGCAAGACTCTTGACGAGTTCCGAGTGGGCATTGTATATGCCTTGAAGCGTTTCCCGCTGGTGCTGGATGCTTGCCCATGCATAGCGCAGCTCGCTTAACTGCTGCATCTCCCTCGACAAGAAATCGGCTGAGGCGCTGAATACGTTCATCTCGCCAGCACTTCCGATCCTGCTATAGTGAGCGCCGTGGATGTGCACCGTGCCGGCTGTACAGATGCAGTAACCGACAAAGGCGGGCCATTCAACGGATGTGGTCTGTTTCCCTAGCTCCACGAGCTCCGCGATTGCGTTTGCGTGGAGGAAGCACATGTTCGTAGCTTCAATCTGCCAGGACTGATGCTGCCCAGACCCCGCCAGTTCTGCCAGATCGATAGGAAGGAATGGGCGATAGATAAGACAGTGAATGAGGTGATAAACCAGCTTGCTGAGCACGAGTACCGTAGAATCGGGTTGGCCAAACAATGACTCTAAACTAGAGAATGCGCCTTCCGTCCCAGAGGCCCAAACGTCGAGATCTTGGCGGATCTTGGAGAGGTTCGACAGCGAGTGCCACGGAAAATGAGAATCACCCTTGACACCGCCAGCCGCCAAGTACTGATTAGTCGTACCGAGAATGCGACAAATGTCAACCAGCATCCCGCTGCTCCCTTGTGACTTTTTCCCACTGCCTTGCAGGTGCTGAAGGCTCGTGTAGCTCTGGAAAAACTCCCCTTCGATCGGTAACGAGGCTGGATTGGGAGACCAGCATGGAAGCCGCAAAAGGATGGCTCGGTCTGAAATAAGAGAAGGGCGCTTTGAGCCGCATGCCAGGAATCGGTCGAGTAGATAACAGCTCCAGAATAGTCTCCGACGTGTCTCTCGCTCGATCGGTGTAACCTGGGCATTAGGGTCCAACTCTCTGTGAAGCTCCAAGGCCATGGCCATTCCAACCGCGTTCGCTAATGAGAGAGATTAGCTTTCCAGCAACGCGGGTTGGCTTATCAGCATGCCGTACTCAACATCATGTACGCTTTCTTGCCCTTGCCGGACGCGGTGTATGCGGTGGCGAGAAGTATCAGAGCCTGTATAGCATCTATGGATGGCTCATCTGTGTCAATGTCCGATCGTGCTTGGGCGGCGTAGTCTTCGCTGAGTTTCACCGCTGCCTGGTAACCGCCCGGATGTGGTGTGTATCTGGATGGTCAGACGTGAAGTCGCTGGGATTGAGTATTTGACGCTTACCTAGCTGCTACGGCGTAGACCGAGCAGACCAAGTAGCGAGGCACTTGGTTTAGCTGGAGACGTTGTCTGAGGGTGGACTCGTCGAATATGTGGAAAGGTTTTTCGTGAAAGCGGGTGAAGTAAACATCCAGTAATGCGTCAGGGTGTACTTCGGGTGATGATGCCTCGCTGAGACCATTTGATTCAGCGTGAGTTGTAGGACAATAAGGGCAAAAAGCAGCGCATGCGGCCACTCACCTTGGCTGAGGAGGGGAAAACACCGCCGAGTCCCCTGACTCCTGACCGAGGTCGATGTTTCCAGAGAAATGCGGCTGTTTCTCACTCGGCATCGAACTCGATGCTGTCTCTGTTGACGCGGACCCGTCGGGGCCTTTAGCGGACGCAGTGTCGGAGGTCGGCCTCTCTGGCTCCGTCTTTTGCTCTTTCAACCGCGCCTCAAGCCCGTCGACTCTCTTTAATAATGCTTCCAACACATCTGTTTTCGGGCCTCTCTTTTTGGGGACGGCATCTAACAAGCTTGTCAGTAAGACGGGAAACATGGCGGAAGAAGCCGAGAGATCCGCCGATTGTCCGGCCAGTAGGGCTGAGAAGGGCGCAACCTACCATATATACACGGACACTGAAAAACCTGACATGCCTCACAGGCCGGTCGAAGGCGGTTACATTTTATCTATAGCAATCACTCGAGTATCAGTTTATGCTCTTCCTAGTGTACATGCTCTGACGGAGATCGGGCTCGCGGTCCACGTACCTTACGCTTTCGGCATGATTTGCAATTCATCGACTCACGAGGCTCGTTGCTCAGACGGCGCGTAGGAAGCCTTTCAATGCTGACCTGCGGGCGCGAGATGGGCGCTGACTGCATCCGGGGCAGCGCTGAGACTGCTCCGGGCTCGTAGGCCTGGGCCATGCTACCAACTGAGTCTCGTGGACGATTAAGGGGTGTTCTTGAAGAGCTATAGAGCTTAGAAGTCACCCGTTCCTTTTGGGCATGGCTCTTCTGGACGAATGCTTTTCCTGCCAATTTCGCCTTTGGCGGTGGTGCTGGTTTACTGCGGTGTATAGCGGTAGATGCGGTCTTGCTGCCGTAGTAAGGCCCATCTGCTCAGAGATAGTACCAAGACGTTCGGAATGGAGTAATAACAGCTAGCGGTAATGCAGGAGTCAGCCGCCAAAGGCGAGTTTCGAGAATTCCTGCGTGGATGGTTTCCGCCTTGGCTGGGTGGCGGACAGGTTGAGTGAGGCCTTGGGAACTTGAACCGGCAGGCCAGCTCTAGCCGGGCCCCGCAAGCAGCGTTGCACTACCGGGCCTTCGGTGAGACGATGATACACAGCGTGGGAGATCAGCCATGGGCCGCTTGAGGAATTGGTTAAGACAGTGTGTTAGGCAAACACGATGCCGCGGCAACACACTTCAAGGACGCGGTCAGTCAATCTCGGGCATGTTTTCGCTTTTTCGTTGCGGAGGAAGCAAAGGGAGGCCCGCGGCTTGCGGGTAAGTAGCCGGGTATGAAAGGGGTGAGTAACCAGGTGGTGCCTTGTTTGGAATGGTTGGCACTCGGTCCTGGATTTAAACCGATGACTCTCAAATTCACCCTAGACCAGGGTTGGCGAGCTAGGTCAGGCGGACATTATCCACTCTGCCTCGTTCGAGAAACAGTCAGATGTGCCGCATTGGCGTTCGCAGTACCGGATGGCCAGCTGCTTTGATCAGCACAATTGAGCTTGCTGAGGATGTGAGGCCGGACAGAAATCCGAACGACGGGGATAACAAGGCGGTTAATGAATACCTAGCTAGAGGACAGGGCTGTTATCGCTGTCTTGTACTTGGTGAGGAGAAAATTTTCGGAGCAAAGGTGAAGCATTAGCTGCTAGGAGCATCTAGGTAGTTATTGCGAATGGAAATGAACTGCATCAGGTGCGTCTGCGTCCTTCTTTGATGAGTTGTATGGATAATGCGCTGGATTCAAGTCAGTAGCCATGTGGGATTGGATGATCCGAGGTGCGGGGAGAACTCAAGATCGATGCGGAGCAGGATGGTGAGCTGAAGTGTGGGGTTTTGCGGGATTGCCTCCTTCACCTTCGCTCCTACCCCAGAAGCGGTATAACACCCGACTAGCGTTGTCTCTGACATTCTTAGTCTCTTTCTCTCCTTCTCTCCTTTTCCATGAAGCTTGCATTGTATTCAAAAAATCACGAAGATCGAGGACTCCATCTCAAACCCATCAAGGTGACCTACATACCTAGTGTACGCATGAATTCCTTGGAAGCCCGGGGTAGGCCACTCGTAATGCTTGGCAACGTTGTTGGCCCTGGCCCTTCCGGACATTTAACGAGAGAAACAAACCTACATACTAATGTTCGGAGACAGAAGAGCCGCCATGGTTCCCTAAGCGCAATGTATTTGTCCCCCAAGTTCAACTCAGTCAGTGCCTTCCATGGGATACTCACTTCTAACATATCTCATCAATCTAGAATTGTCCCTCAAGCCAAAACATTTCTAGGCACTCACCGATCAGAGTCGCGCTACATAACCGCGAACCGGAAACATGAATTCGCAACGCCTTTTGGTTGGTCATCCAAACAATATCAACAGTCCTTTTCCCGTTTGAGGCTCTCGCCCTGCGCCGTTCCCGATGTGGGGTTCAATCGACTCTGTCTGGACGTTGCAATATCCAGCCGTGACTGATTAGCGCTCCAATCACAACTCTTCAACCTTCCAACGTCTCCAGCTTTGCAACGGCCGTCAATATGTTCCAGTTTTTGCCTGACAGCGTTCAATATCGAGCCTCTTTTTCGGGGTTTTATGGGCTGTCCTGAAGCTGTCCCGGGCTCCCTGCTACATGCAAGCCAGAATTTGTGAGCTAAGCCCCGTGTTAAGTGAGTGATCTTACTAATACGGAGTAGAAGACACTCATTCATGACTTGCCATTCGCATCTTCTTACCTCGGATTCTTAGACATAGCATAGCGTTAGGTGTTCACTCATGTACGCAAGATACGGTAGGGTACTCGCTTAAGCACCGCTACCAGGATTCCTTGCTGCACCCCGCAAGTCTCGGCCCCTGAAATACTACTCCAGACTGACGATCCTTGGCGCCACACGGACCGTCGATGCCGGACTCGAATGGATATTGTGTTGGTTCAGGGCCAATCTTGACTCTTCTACTTCGGACTTTGTACGCTATGTACTGACATCACGCGACTTCATCTCTGTCGCTACGGCAGACTAATAATATACAAGAAAAGGATCAGTCGTTCACATCCAGACCCAGGTCCCGGGAGTCTGGACCCAAACGACGGTGACGACTGATAGCAGAGCGGAAAGATTTAGCTAATCACTACGTGTTGTGCCTATAGCGGCATCCAAGGAATAAGAGCTGACAGTAAGATGATACCAAGATACTCCTGCATTGTGCTAACAGTGCAACTCCATGGCTTCCAACTCGCCAACTGAGGTGGTTATATAACGAAACCAGATTTGTTGATGAACAAGACCCGCTCTCCTCCAGTGCTGCTAGCCCAGGAGGAGTTGCAAGTCTAATGGCAAACCTTGAACTCCGCTTCCCAGATATCACATTTTAGGTCTAGCAGTGTTCCCGGGCTTCCAAACCGTCCTACAGCCGTAAACACACAAGATCAGTGATGCATCTTGCATAAGTAAGGTAGGTACGGACGTCCAGATGCCGAGCGCCAAGAACACACCCGGTTGTTCTAGTGTAGATTTACACGTTTATCGGTACCTTCACTCCCCTTTCATTTGCTGTAGGTATGTCTCGCGACGCCCATCTGGCCAACCATTTTCATGTCCGATGCTTCATCGTGTGGTGAGAGCCGGGGTGTCTTCGGCTCACAAGGGCCTTTTCCCGGGACTGCTCTCGGCCTCGGGCGATCTGGTTCCACACGATCATCCTTGCATCCCGCCTGCGTTATGCATTGTACTGTACCCCTGAGCATAACAATGTACATTCATTACCATGTATGTACATACATAAAATGGTAAGCAGCTTGACTGTCGTCGAGATGGTATTGTATCTCGGGACATCTCATCATTAATCCCTTCCCCGACTAAGAAACTCGGTCAGGGCCCAGGGTATGGAGGGACGATACCTTACTGTTTATGTTGACTTCTTTGAGGGAACTTCAGGATCCTCCCCGGCGTTAGCCAGCATAGTCAACCTCCGAAAAACACGGCAAAAAGATTAAGGGCATTCTGGTGATGTATATGCGCTGCCTACGTCGCGTTGAAATCCATTGAAGGAAGGAAGGAGGGATATGTGCGAGCTGGTATGAAGAGGTGGTTAGAGACTCCTTTTTTACTTTGGGTTACGCTTTAGTAATTACTTAGCAGGCAGACAACGGCACTGCTTGCAAGTGTCATCCATATTCCCGATGTTGATCCATGAGGGGTCGCCAGTGCAAAGAACTTCCTCTGTCAAGCATGTTGTAGGCCGCTGCCGGAAGGAGCGAGAGCTCTCTTCGTGTATTGCTCTAGCAAGTCCAACGCCCGCAACATTTCAACTCTTCAAGTTGAGCTCGAAGTCTGCGTCCACAGCAGCAGCAATATCCCAAAATCTAAAGTCATGTTTCACTCAGCAAAACCCATCGCTCCGTATGCAGGAAAACACCAAGGCTAGCCCCCTTTCGGTCGTGGCTTTGTATTGCATTTATTACTGATGGACACAACACCGCTGTCAAGCGTCCGCGAATGTGTCGTCCGTGGGAATGGATGCTGCACCACACCCTAAGGTCGTCTTCAACTTGAACGGTATGTTGTTGTTTACAGTCTTGTTCAGGGGCTACAGGCCCAGGCCGAATGCTTGGATACTCGGACTATCACTGGGGCGGTTATAAACTAAAGTCGCAGCGGATGTTGTTCAACCGGGAACGTTACCTTCCAGGCATATTCAGTGACAACGATAGCCGAGCCACTGGCCATCCTTCTCCGCCAGACATATCTCCTTAGCACTTTCATATGTCGATGTATATGATGATTGAGAACTTGAATCCTTCTCCCTTGGAAAGATTGACTAGTATCAGGTCTTGAGGACAAGAATCAGCTGGCGCTCCTCGACCTTGTCGCTACTACCGCAGCAGCACTTACTTACATGTAGCTCGTTTCCTCCCTAGCGGGAACCATCATGAGAATCTCGACGCTCATACTCACGTCGGCACTGGCCAGCCTTCAGGCACATGTAGCGACGGCCGACAACCCGATCGTCCAGACGCTCTACACGGCCGATCCAGCGCCGATAGTGCACAACGGGCGCGTCTATCTCTACACAGGCCACGACGAGAACGGGGCCACGACGTTTGTCATGAAGGACTGGCGCCTCTTCTCGTCCGCCGACATGGTCAACTGGCAGGACCATGGTTCGCCCATGAGCCTGGCCACGTTCCGCTGGGCAACTGCACAGGCATGGGCTGGCCAGCCCGTTCTCCGCAACGGCCAATGGTACTGGTACGTGCCCGTCCGCCACACATCCGGCAGCATGGCCATCGGCGTGGGCGTGAGCGACAGCGGCCCGACGGGCCCGTTCCGTGACGCGCTGGGCAAGCCGCTGGTCATGAACAACGAAATCGACCCGTCCGTCTTCATCGACGACGACGGCCAGGCCTACCTGTACTGGGGCAACCCGAACCTGTGGTACGTCAAACTCAACGCCGACATGGTGTCGTACAGCGGCGGCGTCAACAAGGTCGCGCTGACGGCCGCCGGCTTCGGCGCCCGCTCCGGCAACAACGCCAACGCCCAGCGTCCGACCACGTATGAGGAAGGGCCGTGGCTCTACAAGCGCGCGGGCAAGTACTACATGGTGTTCGCAGCCAACTGCTGCTCCGAACACCTTGGCTGGTCGACGGGTCCCAGCGCGACGGGGCCCTGGACCTACGGCGGCGTCATGATGCCCACCCAGGGCTCCAGCTTCACCAACCACCCGGGGATCATCGACTTCCAGGGCTCCTCCTACCTGTTCTACCACAATGGTGCCCTGCCTGGCGGCGGCGGTTACCAGCGGTCCGTGTGCGTCGAGCGGTTTACCTACGGCGCCAACGGCTCCATCCCCGTCATCAACATGTCCAAGGAGGGTGCGCCGCAGGTCGGCACGCTGGACCCTTACATGCGGCAGGAGGCCGAGACCATCGCCTGGTCGTCGGGCGTGCAGACCGAGATTTGCAGCGAAGGGGGCATGGACGTGCTGTCCATCAACAACAACGACTACATCAAGGTCAAGGGCGTCGCCTTCGGTAGCGCGGGGGCCAAATCCTTCACCGCACGCGTGTCGTCGGCCACGTCCGGCGGCAAGATCGAGCTGCGCCTCGGCAGTACCAGCGGCACACTCCTCGGAACCTGCAGCGTGCCCGGCACGGGCGGTTGGCAGAGGTGGAGCAGCGCGAACTGCACCGTCAGCGGCGCTACGGGGACCCATGATCTCTTCTTCCGCTTCACCGGCGGCAGTGGAGAGCTGTTTCGCTTCAATTGGTGGCAGTTTGCTCAGTAAACGTCTGCTGCTGCAATGGCTTGGCCTGCCTGTGTGCCCTGGAGTGGTGCATCTCAGAACAACACATTTGGACAGTTAGTGCTCTTTGATATCCGGGTTTTGCAGTCTCGTATTGTCGCGTTGCACCCGGGGCCTAGGCTGTTAACGGTATCTAGACTTTGGTACAGGAACAATGCGCCTTCGTTCTAGCAAGAAATCAAGTGCATGATCTCAGATCGCAACATAAATGCAACATGCTCTTCCATGCCCCCTGCCGGTATTTCCAATCATGAGTAATCCTGGACCCCTTCCTGAACCGGGCCAGCCTGCGTCAACTGTTCTCCTCTCTCAGCATCAATCCGGGTGGGGTGCCGCTCTGAGCTTCCCTGAAGATGCTGACGCTCGCGGCCTCTCTCTGTGTAGCGCCGGGTTAGCCTGCCGTACCAACATATGCTGAATAGTCTCAAATGGGTGCCCACCAGTAACTCCTGGAACGAAAAACACTCCTCAGCTCATCATCAGCGTCAACCCGCTCATCATGCAATTGCTCTATCCCCACTGTCGCATGACCGGAAGATATCAGAACAACCCCCGACCACTTGCCAGGCGGACAAAACTGTACGGGACATTCTGCCCGACCAAAAGCCGAAGCGTCTCCACCGTCGTGAAGGCCGTAATGTCGGCGGCACCGTATGCAGCAAATCCACTCTGCTCCGCGGCCACGCGAGGGTCTTCTTTCCGCGTGACTGAGCGGTCTGCCAGGTCCAGAAACACCTTACGAGAGTTGGCTGTGCCGCCTCGGGAGCCAAAGAGTCGAACCAGCAATGCGACCAGAGCGCTCCTCTCCGATCCCAATGCACTCACCACCAGGAATGGCGAGCCACTCCCCACGCCCACATCTGCGCCATTCGAGCTGACCGTGCGAGCTTTTTGAATACTCTCTAGGCTGGTGAATGGTTCGATGAGAAGATCCTTTCCGAATGCTGGTGGCGTCTTGAATCCAATGGTATAAACCTTGCCAACTCTGAGCGCCTTGAGCGCAAAGAGGGCACTCGCTGCGTCATCGGCGGAAGACGCGAGAACAACGGCGGCGCACCCAAAGTATGCTGAAGGTGCAAAGTCACGGGTGAGCGTACTGAGGATCCCCTTCCACGACGCGTTGTCGAACACCAGAGATGTGTTGGGCGGAAGGCCCAGTTGAGTCGAGTTGAATCCGGAGAACGATTCTCCATTCTGGTGGCGGGGCGGACTTGAGGGCATCGACGCTGGTCCCGATGCTGCGTGACTGGTGGAGTTCTGCCGAACGACAATGGTGTCAACCATGCCAATCAGCCGGGCGGCCTCGCTGAGAATGGGCCCCGTCCCATTGTTAAGGGATGCGAAGAAGGTGCTGTGAGCTACCAGGCTGGTGAAAGAGACAGCGGGATTAAGGTAGGCACCGCCAAACCCTTTCTGGTTGCACCATGCTTCGATACAACCGGGTCCCTTTGCTTGCCGTTCGACCACGGCGAACTGGTGGGGCAGGCCCAGTTCGTTGAAGCACTTTTCGTAGAACGTTGCCTGAGGCGTGGCGCTGCGAATGGACGGGCTGATAATGCCGTAAATGTTCTTCTTTGGTAACTGTCCTAGCGAAGCCAATGCCTGGTTTATCTCTGCGGCGCTCATCTGTCCTGGCGCCGCAATGATGGGCAAAAGTGGATGTGTGATTGGGGTGAAAACCTTGTTCAGTGTCCGGGAAAATTGTCCCGTCTCGCCCATGTTGACGGCCGACAAGGGCGGAGCGTCGGGATATTCAGCCTTGATTTTGGACCGGAAATACTCGAGCTCAAAGTTCTCGTTGTGGTCGTTAATAATGGCGATCATCTTCACTATATCTGCGTAGCGCCGTGATTCGAGAAAGACTTCTTCGGCCCGTCTCGACGGCCACTTGAATGTGCCCGAAAAGTCATGGAAAGCAGACATGATGCGACTGTTACCGCGCTGCTCGTATAACCTCCTCCTGATGGCCTCGGGAAGCCAGAGTTCGACGTCGATGTACTCCACACCCCACTGGATGGCGCGGTACAAGTACTGGTAGTACAAATCTGGGTTCTCCATCGGAAACCGGCCATTTTCTTTCGTACACCTTGTCGTGAATATGATGGGCAGCTCGGTCCTCTGGCGAAGAAGCATGACTTGTTCGCCAACATAGCTGAGGCTGGGTATCGTCGAGTGGCCGCCGTTGGGGAGCGGCTCTTGGAGGAGGTCGACTCGGATCTCAACCGCATCAGACCCCACGGTCAGGATGTCGATGTTGGGAAGAGCAGCGTGTACATCCGGGAATGTCGTCGAGATGAAGTAAGTCCTCGGTTTTGCCATGAGCGCCTCATGGTGGGAGAGTTGCCCTAGGACGTGCGAGACGAAGCGTGCCAGATCCCTCCGAAAAAAGGGCTCCTCGGTATACAGGAATTCGTAATCACACTGCGCCGAGAGATACACATCCGGGGGCATACCCAGAGAGGTGCAGTGGGCGTTGATGGCTATGATCGATCTTTTGTCCCGAGCTGCAATGCCAAGTTTCGCGCTTTCTGCCGAAAGTCCAATGACCACGTCTTGATCCTCCGGGGTGATGTCTTCAAAGGACTTCTTCAAGTGAGATGGGGCACCCAGAACCTCGGCGAAAACGGAAACAATCTTCTCCTGGCCACAACCATAGATGATGACGACAGTTCTGGTGTCTCCTCTCTGCGGACTGCTGCATAGCGTCGTCCCATGCGGAAGTGGCGGCGTTGTCATGGCCATATCGATGTCCTTCACAAGAACATTGTCATTGATGCTCTGCGGACGTGGCGGCGGCCGCATTGGCTCCAACTGTTGTACTGTTGCCATACTGGCCGTCATGAATCGCTGATCAAGTCGCTGTTAGGACCAAGAGAATGCTTGTAATAGAGGAATCTCAAACTGCTCACGCAGTCAGTCCGTCTCCCAGCAGGCGCGGCGGATTCTTATATCGCCGTCGATCCTCAAAGCCCAGCCAGGAATGATGAGAATGGTGTTGATGAGGCGTAATGTGCATGGCATTTGTCTCCCAGCACGAGAAGTCGTTCGCATTCCGTGCGAATCCTTGCTAGGGTCAATGGGCGGTGGCCGTGAGGGCCGTTCTGTGTCGAGGGAGGCAGCAGGTGGTCCAGACTGCTATTCCGTATCTGGAGGCTATGGCTTGCCTAGACTACAACGGGCGCATGAGTGATGGAAATCCCAGTCCTTAGCTTTCGTCGGCGCTTCTCGCGTGCTCTCTCTTTGGTTGCGGCCCTCATTCGGTCTTGACAGGTGGTCGCCGGAAATCCAGGCCCTTCGTCAAGAGTAGCTTCGAAATCGAAATTGCAGAAGAACCTTATGCTCTAACGGTCAAGCAATAAATGTAACTGATCGTAGTTGCCGCTCAAGGTCGTTAAGGAAGTCGATTTTGACTCTAGAGATGCACCCGGGATGCATCCAACGGTCAATGGAGGTGTTTCGGTAAGTCAACCCGGGAGCCTCACAAAACAGCCGGAAAAGTCCGCCGGAAAAACAGGCTCAAAACGGAGCGGGTCTGGGAAGCAAACGAGAATGGTGAGGCGATAACAACGTGTATATCACCAAACCGAGGCTCGCCGCGTCATAGTGTTGGGGGTTAAGATCCCGGAAATCAGGAGCAAGAAGCCCTGTGCAGAGATAGCGGATATTGAGCTCTCCAGCTGCGCCAAGGGCAAACCACAATTTCGCCGAATGTTCGTTTCACCGTTCTTCACAGACGGCTCGAGTAATGGAAAGCCGGAAGCCGACCCAGACGAGGAAACACCTATGTACTTGCTGTTGGATAATGGACGGAAGGACGGGCGCTGTCAGCTCGGATTGACAGGGGGCGGGAACCTGGAACGGCGCGGGAGTGGCCCGCTGTTTGGAGCTTGAACGTCCAACTCCACTGTCAAGATAGGTACCCTCCAAGCTCCAAGTTAACAAGAGAGATGCTGCGGAGTTGCAAAGCAACCTGCAAATACCGAGGTGGCAAGCCGTGGTCCGCTAGCCTGATGGTTATGGATCATGGGTGTAGGCAACGTACGGTGATACATGCGATGCGCCTCACTGCCAAACTCCAGCGACATACACTCATATCTCCCCAAAGACACGAGACTGGCAGTGGGAGAAATGTTCAGACGTGAGAATATCCCAAAGTCTGATCAGCCCAAGCCAAGAAGGGTTGTCGAGTGTTGCAGTCTGCGAATTGGAGAAACAAGGATCCACAGATCCCCCATGGGAAAGTGCTAAGCAAGAAGGGGAGAGGTGCAATTACCCCGCACTATCTCCACAATTCCTCCATTAGGGTACCTACTGGAGAATTTATCTGCAAAAGTCCGCCAATAACGATTGCTCCCGTTGTGGGCTCTATCAGCATAGAATCGGCAAGGCACAATGCAGCATCCCTCAGCTGGAGCCTCAGGAGGAGATCGAGAACTTTGAGGAGGCCTGCCTCCCTAAAGTCTCTGTGATTTGAGCGTCCTTCGCCGGACAGGGCCGACAGGCAGCTCTCAGGCAGGCCCTCACTCAGCTGCTACCGAGGCCGAACGGCATCCCGGGCCACAACCTTTGACATTCCCATTCCGGGCCGTACGGTGGTGTAGCACCCTTGACCATAATTCCTCCACCAACCCATCAACTACACTAATCCCATGCCACGGGATTGCCACTTTCCATCCACACCCCGAACTTGAAAAAGATCGTCTGTTTTAGTGCACCTTTAGAGCTACGTTCCATACCATGGCTCACATGGGTTCTCCGTTCTGGTTATGAAACGGTAACGCCACCCGCCCGTTTCATCCTTGTGCCCGCGTTGAATCGCTTTTCGCTTTCAGGCTGAATTGGATCGAAACTTCCGTCCGATTGGAGCCGTCAAAGTGGGGTGCGCCGTTGCTTCCATCACGGAAAGCGATACGGGTACGCGATATAGGGAGAGTCCTATGTACCCCGGGTGGTTATGACTGTCATCCTTTGCATTAACTGTCCCATTGGCCCCATAGTTTGATTCCTTGGGGCCGCTAAGAATATCCAGCGTAGCAACGACAGCCGTGGGACGAGATGGACTCATCTGCTGATGTTGGGGTCAGGTACAATACGTATCAGCTAAAGATTAAGCATTTCCTACTGCTGGAAAATTCATCAGTGTCCCCGTTCGCTACCATCCTCGCGTTTCTCTAACCCCCGGACAAAGTCCTGGACGAAGATAAGGGGATCAAGGACGGCAAGGGAAACAATGGCTCGAGACAGCGCCAGTCCGCGTGTTGGCGTGATCTGAGCCGAGTGGCACACGAATCCATTGCCCTATCATTAGGCCATCAACATCCCCTCAACAGTCCGGCCACACAGGAAGGTGAACAAAGGACATCAAGCCCTTCCCTCCGCGCTACCAGCGCCCTCCCAAACCGTCTTGAATCTCCCCAAAAACACCCACCCCTTTCAACCCCAACCCAGTCGCAACACCCACCACGTCGGCCCCCACGGCCCTCATCCTGCGATAGGCCTGGGCATCGAGCACTCCGCCGACGCCAACCAGCTGCACATGGCAGCCCAACTTCTCCCCGCGCTGATCCAGCATGCGGCGGAGGGTGCACACGTTGCCCAGGGCGAGGGGATGCAGCGGCGCGCCCGCCATGCCGCCGAGCCCGGGACCTGGCAGCGCGAACGCCTTGTGCCCCAGCGTACTTAGCCGCTCCTCCTCCTCCTCTTCCCCAGCGTCGCACTTCGGCTGCCGCGATTCGGTAACCTTGGCCTTAGCCTTGGCCTCGTCCCCCGCTAATACGAGACATGACCCGAGCGTGTTGGTCGCGGTGAGAAAGCTAACGGGGCACGCGCCCCCATTAGCTGCCGCGGCCGCCTCCAGCGCGTCCATCAGCGCCTCGTACTCGGTGGCGTGGGTGTAAGGCGGCGTCTTCAGCCCGACGGGGATGCGCGGCAGGCTGTTTCTGTCCCTGTCTTTGTTTGCTGACTCCGAATCGCCTCTCGGCTCTACCGTAGTAGTATCAGTTGTGGGAGCAGTAGTAACAAGCGTGTGTTGTAGCGCCGCAAGGTACGTAGCCAGGGCATCCCGCGAGTAGGCTGGGGGCGGGCGGCCCGGGATGTTGGGGCAGCTGAGGTTGATCTCCATGGCCAACGGCAGGTGGGTGTGCCGTGCGGCAGAGGCGATGAGTTTGTAACTCGCCGCGATGTCGTCCGGGCTGCCGGTGACGGAGACGATGAAGCCTTTGCTGCTGAATTTGTCTGTGCCTGTTGGGGGTTCCTGTTCGGCTGAGATGGTACTTATGAAAGAAAGGTAGGTCTCTAGAGGGAGCGGACTGTAGCCAAGCGAGTTGAGGCTGGCGGTGGGTGGGGTGGAGGAGCCAGGAGTGGTACAGTCCGTTGATGCCGTGTGGGTGGATGGCTCGAAGAAGATGTACTGATGTTTGGATGTGTCGTGGTCAAAGCCTTGGATAAGTGACGTCCGTGTGGTAACTGCGCCTGTAGAGGGGCTGAACGACTTATCAGGGTCAGTTATCCTCTCTCTGCGTGGGCGATTAAAGAAGTCCGGGTGTATGGCTCTATTTTCACATAAAGCTTCCCCCGAGATATCTAAATGAGCTAAGCAGCAGCTGATGGACATACCACGCGTAGAGGCGCCTCAGGTCATCAAGCGTTGTGGCCCAGGGGCTGGCTGAGTTGATCAAAGGTGGGTGGATCTTTAGCTTGGGGGGTAGTTCCGCCATGGTAAATCAAGCTTCCTTGACGGATGTCGTTGACCACAATGACAGAATTGCCCGTGTGTGGATTTCCAGACGAGCTAAAGACTCATGTCTCTGCGGTGTCTCTGATGGTGATAGGGAGAGAGACGTTTGAACTGACTGCCTTGGGGTTGGGAGATAAGATAAGCACACGGTTTGCCCCGCACACACTGGCAATGGGGGTGACAGGGACACAATCACGGAGTCAACAAAACTCGAAACTGCTGCCAAGTCATTGTGTTGGGCTCCTAGAGGCTTGATCAAAACAGATCATCAATTGCTTTGTCGGAATCCTTCCTAATCAGATCTATCATACCCTAATCCCGTATCGTGAGCCCGAGGACATCATCAGTGACATGTGAAATCAAGGTATGCTCACCTCAGGCATGACGGGCTTTCCGTCGTCTCCTTTGACGTAGCGAAAAGGCATCTGGGTGCTCTCGTGCTCGTTGAACTTGAGTTCTGGGTGATCGAGGTAGGGGATGTCGTGGAGGGGCGCTACCATCAATTAGCCAGGGGCTCGTCTTATGTGTGTAGGGGATACAGACTTTTGCCCTGAACGACAAGGCGGGTGACTCTCACCGCAGTGTCGGTGGTCATTTGCACTGGGCCAAGTCGGCGACCCTCGAATCCTTTCTTGCGCAGCTCCGAGGTTCTATCTGCTTGGCGGTTAGGATGAAGCTATCCCGATACTGCATTGCCCGGCTTACCTCTTGGAGGGTCGTCTCCTGAGGTAATGTCAGTGAATAAGTCCATGTTTATCAGGCGAGTTACTGACCCAGAATTCCACCAAATAGAAACACATCGAACTTGTCTCCATCCTCCGGAGAGAGATCGCTTGCGGCAGCCGGATCAAGCAGGCACACGCGTGCCTTGTCGTTCGCGTACAGCTCTTCGACGCCTCTAGTCTCTGCTGTAAAGGAGGGCAATGCTTGCAAGCTGTCCGGTACCTTGAATGTGGGCGGGAGAGAAGAGAGACAGAATTTCGCACCGGCCGCTTGAGACTCACGAGCAATGGCCATGTATTCCAGTTCTGACCATGGACCGAGCTCTGGGTCGAGGTGTTCGACAATGTACGTTTTGGTCTGTGAAGCCATCTTGGTTCAGTTTATGTATTCCTTATTCCTTAATCTAGAGTGTACAGAGGACATCGTCGCTATGGCCTTGAAAAATTAGCTCCCTTCGATCAACAAATTGCATCGAGACAGGATTGGCACCCGATGCCAAGACCGCCTAGCGAACGGAGCCGGCAGATCAGCGCCCCACTTCATCTGGCCGAACACACGGAGGCATCGGTCGGGCTGGACTTTGTCATCTCCGGCGCGCAGTGCAATGCCAGGGTCAGGAGTTCACAAGACTCGATATATCGAGTAAGGCCTAGGTGTGACGCCGGGCGATGTGGTCCCAACAAGCCCAGGCCGAGACAATGGAGCTTGCGGCGTTTCTATTCAGTCCCTATTCCGGGAATGTGGCACTGGCCAGCTTTGTCGGAGGAATCGGCACAGTGAAACAACACAGACGCTCTTATCGATTGCTACTAGTAGAAAACTACAACGGCTTCAGTCTAGTAGTCAACCTTCGTTGTTTCCACGATGGGTTCAGTCATAACAAAGGCACGTTTGAATGAACCAAAAACCACGACAGAGAAGTTCGAATTGCCCTTATAGCAATACACAGAAATTGCACGCGACGTGGAGTTATCGAGTATCGCTATCCCCGGGCCCTGGCAGTACCTGTACTTCCGAGAGGTGGTAAGGTGAACCCTGGACGCCAAGCAGCGGCACTCGTCAGCCGCCTCTTCAGCCATCGTTGTACACTAACGGTGGAGGAGCGATCTGTCCGTTGCACCAACTTCCAGGAGCTCCCGTCCAACAACTGTATCGCCTTTGTTGCGTTTGCCTTCTCTCACCCTTCTTTTTTTGCCCGCAGTGCAATTTCCATGATTGCGGACGACACTATTAGATAGCCAGCAATTGCCATTGCTCTCTTGGATTCGAGTTCATATTTCGCCGAGAACCGCAATCGGCGAACATGGCCCTCCGTGGTCCGTCGCTGGCGGGCTGGATGCGCCTGCCCGCCATCGTCAGCGTCCTCGCGTTGTCATGTTTGACATCTTTCGCCGCGGCCGACGGCGCGGCTGGCGACTATTTTGTCCATTCGCTGCCGGGCGCACCCGAGGGTAGTCCTCTGGTGAAGATGCACGCAGGGTAAGCATTAGTCCCGTGCTCAGGGCAGTCTCCTGTGCGCAAGGTTGGGATGGGGCTGACGTGGTCCGTTTCGTCTCTAGGCACATCGAAATCACCCCAGAACACAACGGCAACATCTTTTTCTGGCATTTCCAGAACAAGCACATCGCAAATAAGCAGCGGACAGTCATCTGGTTGAACGGCGGGCCCGGATGCAGCTCAGAGGATGGCGCATTGATGGAAATTGGTCCCTACCGGTTGAAGGACGACCATACGCTGGTCTACAACGAAGGAGCCTGGAACGAGTTCGCAAACGTGCTCTTCGTCGACAATCCGGTCGGCACCGGCTATAGCTATGCCGATACAAACGCTTATGTGCACGAATTGGACGAGATGGCTGACCAGTTTGTAACCTTCCTGGAGAAGTGGTATGCTCTGTTCCCAGAGTACGAACATGACGATGTAGGTCCCCATATGCATTCCCGTTGTCTTGAGCCGTCTAACGTCCCTTTTCCAGCTGTACATCGCCGGAGAATCCTACGCCGGCCAGCACATTCCCTACATCGCCAAGCACATCCTCGCTCGGAACAAACTTCCTCAGACGAAACACAAGTGGAACTTGATGGGCCTCCTCATTGGCAACGGATGGATTTCGCCGCCCGAGCAGTATGACGCCTACCTTCAATACGCATACAAAAAGGGTCTGGTGGAGAAGGGCAGCGACATTGCCAACAAGCTCGAAGTTCAGCAGCGCATCTGCCAGAAACAGCTCGCCGTCGGCAATGTCTTCGTCGACAATCAAGACTGCGAGAAGATCCTTCAGGATATCTTGGAGCTGACCGCCACGCCTGGCAAGAACAATCAGAAAGAATGCTACAACATGTACGACGTGCGCCTCAAAGACACCTTCCCCTCGTGCGGCATGAATTGGCCGCCTGATCTGGCATCGGTCACACCGTACCTGCGCCGCAAGGACGTCGTCGAAGCCTTGCACGTCAACCCGAACAAGGTGACGGGCTGGGTCGAATGCAACGGCCAGGTCGGCCGCGCCTTCCACCCGTCCAAGTCCAAACCCTCCATCGACCTCCTCCCCGACATCCTGTCCGAAGTGCCCATCATGCTCTTCTCGGGCGCCGAAGATCTCATCTGCAACCACCTCGGCACCGAAGCGCTGATCAGCAACATGGCGTGGAACGGCGGGCGCGGGTTCGAGCTCTCGCCCGGCACGTGGGCGCCGCGCCGCGACTGGACCTTTGAGGGCGAGGCCGCAGGGTTCTGGCAGGAGGCGCGCAACCTGACCTACGTCGTCTTCTACAATGCCAGCCACATGGTGCCCTTCGACTTCCCCCGCCGCACGCGTGACATGCTCGACCGCTTCATGGGCGTCGACATCAGCTCCATCGGCGGCAAACCCACTGACAGCCGCCTCGATGGCGAAAAAGGCCCCGAGACCACCGTCGGCGGCGCCGCCGGCAACGGCACCGCTGCCCAGCAGGCTGAGAAGGAAAAGCTGGACCAGGCAAAGTGGGAGGCCTATCGCAAGTCCGGCGAGGTGGTGCTCGCCATTGTCGCCGTCGCCGCTGCCCTGTGGGGGTTCTTTGTCTGGCGCGACCGCCGGCGGAGGCGCGGCTACCAGGGCTTGCCTGGCGGCGGGCCCGGTGACGGTGGGAACGGTACCGCTTCGAGCGGCGAACGGCGCAGGGGGTTGAGGGGGCTAGAAGGGTTCAGGAGTAAGAGGAGGGGCAATAACCAGGATATAGAGGCGGGCGATTTTGATGAGAGTCAGTTAGACGACTTGACCGTGCCTACGCCGACGACAGCGGGTCACACGGCCGAGGAGAACCACGAAGAGGGCGTGGCGAGATATAGTCTGGGAGGGGTGAGCGATGATGATGAGGAGGAGGAGGGTAAGAAGAGGAACGGGGCGGTAAAATCATCATAACATTGGGTTGATTGGAATGGGCCGTGGGTGCGGCTTTGGTCCAAAGGAAAAGACATATACTACATCTGCCCATACATACATAAACATTGGTCTCTAAGGGATCGGTTGGCAAGGCGCAAGCGGGTTGGGAGGGTTCTTTTGTGTATTTGAGTCTTTCCTAACATTGCATTCCATTCTGCTTTCACTCTTTGCTGCTAATGGAGTACGGAGGGTCCCTGGGAGGTTACGTGTCCCAGATCTTGGTGTAGCAGTAAAGTTGTTGTACCAGATAGACTGGTGTAAGATGTAGGTAACAACCCCCCGTACTGTATCGATCTTCAGACGCCAAAACTTCCCCAGAGATCTCGGGCCATCCGGTACAGTACACCTGCTAGAGAGAGCTGCGTGGGCAGATCAGCTAGGTGCCTCCCCTGCACTGAAGGGAACAGTCGTCCACCTTCCCGACACAGCGTACTCTGTTGCTATCGTCTGACTGGTATTCGTCGGTGTTGTTGGGTATCATTAGAGCTGCTCTACAATTGGACAGCGTTGTTAAGGATCTTGACTTCTTCGCCGGGTTTCTGTTGCGTCTTGTCAGCACTTGTTTTGATACAGGCGGCAGCTTGAGGACACGTACGAATGCAGGTAGACCAATATAAGGACACTAGTGGCATGTTAGCAATCTGGGAAGTACAAACATCGAGGCCGGGTTACATACGTCAGAGCATCTAAAAGCATCGCCCAGGTAACAGCTGCCGCAAGAGCCAGTCTTGCCTTGAACGGTGAAATCCAGCTCGTTCAGGTCCTCCGACTTCAGCTTCAGTGAACCCAGATCCTTATCCGCCTTGGTGCGCCGCGCCTTGTCCTCGGCTTCGAGCCTCGCGGCCAGACCGCATGTGCTGTCTAGGATTAGCTACGTGATGGCAGGCGGTCAAGTTGGTGTAACACCTACCAGTCCTTGCACGCCCGCCTCTTCTTCCCCGGCTGCGGTTGGCACTCCGGGGGCTGCTGGATCGGCCGCCGCAGATCCTCCTCAGTGAGAAGCGTATCCTCGTCAATGAGGGCGTCGTCATCGTCGTCGTCGACATCCAGATCGAGATCGTCACTGAAATCCACGAACCCAACCCCAGCCGTGGCCTTCGCAGCAGCGGACGCCGCTGGCGGAGCCATCCCCATCGTCTCCGTCTTCCCGCCCACATTCACCGTGACGGCGTCGACCGCGGGGCCGGCCGAGCTCCTCGCCGCCCCGTTCACCTCCCCGTTGGTCTTCTTGCCCCTCTCAAACCGCAGCGGCACAACCTCCTCCTCGGCATACTCGGGCTTGGTGAACCCGTCGCCGCCGGGAACAGCGACCAGACCCGCAAGCACCGCCTCGCGCGCCTCCACCCCACCAGCAGAAGGACCCCCGCCGCCAAGACTCCCGTCCTCACTCCTCAGCTTGCCGCCGGGCTTGATGGCGGGCACGAGGCGCGCCCACACGGCGCGGTCGGCGAGCAGCGCGCCCGCCTCGGCGCGCCGGCTGCCGTCTGGGTCGGTCAGCACAAGCACCAGGTCGTACGTCGCGGCGGGGAGCGTGACCAGCCCCGCGGCGAGGCGGTCCAGCATCTGCAGATCCGTGGCGGCGCGGCTGTAGACGGAGAAGAGCGCGCTGAGGCGGTCTTCGCGGGCGGCGAGGGAGGGCGGGGCGAGGAGGAGGGTTCGTTGGGTCGTGCTCGTGGCGGTTGTGGTGTTGGACATGGCGGCGGGGCTGGAATCGAAATCGGGGGTCGTGTCTAGGAAGATTGGCGCCATTTTTGGCGGGGTAATTCGGTAGAGGAATACGGGCGTGTTCTCCTTAATTCTCGTTTTTTTGGAATGTGAAGAGAGGCAAGATTCGTAAATGGGAGAGATAGACAAGAGGGGATGCTCAGAGGTCGAGTGCGCAAACCGGAGAGGCTGTTTGTTGGGTTATGACGATGGGGAGGAGTGGAATGTTGATTGCTAATGGCAAGACTTTCCGTGGAGTTGCTTACTTTTTTTCCAATACAGCGGAGATAGCGCTAACGGCCCTCCCGCAGCGGTAACTGACTGCATTACAAAGTGTGGCCACCCACTGCTTCGCTGTGGTGGGGTTGCTGGGACTGTCCGACACCGATTCCACCGGGCCCCTTTGTGGCGAGTTGCCGTTTACACCTCCATATTCTAACTGGGAACTGGAAGTAAAGGCCTTGTCAGTCAGTATACATGTATACACTAGATTTGTCATACGAGTAACAAATTTGCTATCAACTTCATACCTATACATTGCTACTCCCACAGTAGTTGTAAAGCCATGGTCTTACAGTATACTCCGTAGAGTCTGTTGAGGTGGCTGTTCTTATCGATAGGCTACCTCGCTCTTATGAGGTTTCGTGGATGAAGAGCGCCGATATCGGCCACTTACGGATGCTCTTCCTACCTTACTTGATGACCACTGCCTCTTGATGACTGGTCTACCTATAACCTCAACTTATAATCACTTTCCTCAACCAACATACATCTTTGCTTACAATTAAAGTAGCCCGCTTCATTTCAAGTTAGTTAATGATATATCAAGAACATTCTTTCTTGTGGGCCGGCTTTTCATGACGCGGAGACGGTTCCTTAAGGTACAATACAAATACCTGTCTGTCCAGTCAGAGACGATCGCCGTTATTGCATTTGCACAGCCGAGTCTCAGAGTCGACAATCATTGAAGCTTTGGGAGGGGTTCTGATGCAATACATTCATGTATCAGGGATGTTCGGCTTAATTGTCACATCTTATCACGCCTGGCCTTAGAGCAGCAAGCGCATGCGCACAATCAACTTGCTGGTTTCGCTCTTCTACATAGCGGAATAGCTTACCTAGCAGGTTGAATAGGACAGTGGAGACAGCCAGCCGCAGCACATTCGTAGTATGTTGTTACATTAGGGGATAGCGTAAATCCCAGAAAACATTGTGCCATGGACTCGGATCGTGTAGCGATGGAGATTTCTAGGAACACCTCTTTTACAGGTAAAAGGAAGTTGCTCAAGGTTTGTCCTTAGAGTGAGCAAGTCAAAAGGTAGGTACCTGAGATATTCTGAAGTTCTCAACAGACTATCAGACTATCAGGCACCAGATGGAAGTTCTCTGTTGAGAAGCTCCAGGTCGATGGGAACGGAAGTCGGCTGCATGCGATGGTCTGGGCGCTACGCTAGCTCCGGGGAGCATGGTATTGGACCCGTACCGCATACCCCGCAGACGCCAGGCAACCCGAGGGACCAGGAGTCCCTGAACTTGATGTGGGGAAGGCTGATGTCACACGCACCCAGGCGCGCCTCTCCCCAAAGTGGCCGAATTGGCAGAACCATCGAGAACTCCCCAAGAGCTCACAAAGAGATGGCACCCAGTGCAATTGAGTCGCAGGTGAGCGTCAATCGGCAGCATATTGGATGCGCAAATCTCATTATAGGTGAATTAAATGCCGGAACCACCGAAATCTGCATGTTTTCAAGCTAGGCGGTTCCTCAAGGGGCATGCAGATCACGGAATGGAACGGTCAAAAGTGCGCTGCTGGGAAGGTCAGCCCAGTCCCAGATGCACTCTGGGGGTGAATCACGCGACTCCCTCCAGCGCCTCATTGATGCTCCACAGAACTGCAGCGACCCGTAGTAGGGCCCCTGTTCTTTCCCTTTAGAGCTGCTCGCCTGATCAAAGTCGAGCCGTGACTGGCTGAATGCATCTCTAGGCCCTTGGAAGCTTGGAACCTGCCGATGCTTTATAAGGACGGGGGCTCCCATCCTCTGCTTCATCACCACTTCCTTTCGATGCAGAACCAACATCAGCCATCAATCGTCTGCCACTCATCGTCCCGTTCCATCCCAATCCATCACTGCGGACCACGCCGTACTTAAACAACATACTCCCCTACACCAACTCGGTCCACTCTCAGCTTCTACTATCTCGGTGACTCCTAGAGAACCAACTGCATCAGACATACGCAGCTTCAGCACAGGTAGTTTTAACCCCTCCTCCCTCCCTCCCTCAAGCTTATCATCGACACCAACCCCGCACGCTCGTGTTACGCTGACCACTCTTGCCTCAACAGTCCACTCAAGCACTCTCTTCTCCTCTACTCTCCTGCTTCCATTACAGACCATCCAAGAGTAAGTACCATGTTTATGAATTCGTCTATATGACATCATGATCAGCTAACGGGGTATTTGTCGTCCGCAGTGACTCGCTCCCACAAGTTCAACGATAAGGACCACGCCGGTCTGGCTGAAGGCACGGTGCCTCCTCAAGAGCATATCCCCAAGTACTTCGCCAAGCACGGCTTTCCTGACGCCGATCCCAAGAAGACCAAGAAGAACGGCGCCGGCCGGGCCAACTGGTACGATGAATCGTCCTTTGGGCAGCATACTTTGAGATCTACGATTTCGACGACATCACATGCTAACCTGGCGTTATAGGGGCAACGTCGGCGATGAAGTAGTCGACGAGGGCTTCAATTTCGCCAACGCCCGTCGCCGGTCGAACAGTAGCAGCATCTCGGGACTCGAAAATCTCAAGACCAAGTTTGAAATCAACGAGCCTGAGCCCGTGTTTGAGGAGAGCATGCACGGGCCCGAGGACCAGGAAGAGAAGACGGAGAGCTCGTCGAACGGAAGCATTGACGAGGACAAGGCCCACAAGGACATGTAGATGAGGATGTGGCGAGTTCCATGAGTGAGGCAGTTACCTGCGAATGTATTGCGGGATTCCATGCTCTTGGCGGAAGGCGTTTCTGGCTGGACATCTGGCACGGCGAAAGCCTTCTATCTGACTACCTCACATGATTTGGACGACGGGAATTGTGGTCTTTCTGACAGCACTCTATGATGCGATGGGCATAAGGTCCTTCCTGTACAGTATCATGAACGCAGAACTTCGATGACAGTTCTCTGTAGTTGAATCACTTTCAAATGGTGACGCATGGTGTAGGTGAACAATAGAGCCCCTATTTGTGACAAAACACGTGGGTTTGCTCTGTTACACTTATCCTACAACCTACACGCCGTACTCTGATATTGGCTTACTTGGAGCCAATACTCTCCAGAACGTGCCTGGCAGGCTTAGACGTCGACCCCTCGACCTTAATCTTCCCAATCCTCAGCAGTGAGCCATCACTCAAGTGCACCACAACCCCCGTCCCATCGAGTTGGTACTCGGCCTTGATTTCCTGGTCTCCACGTTGCCCGTCCTCCTTGCCAGACTTTTGTACCCACGTTACAGTACCTCGTGGTAACCGACCGTTGGTCAACATTTCCCCTGCCGCCCCCTGTGTCTCTACCACGGACAAATCCTCCAAAATAGCCCGCTTCACAAGCCTTTCCCCTTCCACCGACCCGCCCCCTTCCGATTCCGAGTGACGCCGGCCAGAGCCGGACCGCAAAACGATGTGTGTCCACAGCGGACCTAGCACCCTCCCGCGCAGCGCCACATTCCTTGCCCGCACACTACCACCGCCACCAATCCAAAGGACCTGCCTATCCCAAGGGGTGATCTTGGGCGCGTGCCGCAGCACCCTCGTCTCCCCGCCCCTTTCTTCTTCCGCAAGCTCTCGCCCAGCAGTGCCACCAACATGACCATCCGGGAGAGGCCCGCTCAGAGTGGGAGGATGCGGAGGGACGTGCAGGCCCTTCCTGAGGGCGTCGACCAGCATGGCGGCGCCGCGCGGCGCAAGCATGTCGTGCAGCTGCGCGACGGTGCAGGAGGGGGGGATGGGAATCCCCGGCGGCGGTGTTTGGAGCAGGATGGCGCCGGCATCAAAATTTTGCGGAGAGAGCGTCTGGATCGTCACCCCCGTGTGCGTGTAGCTGTTTAGGAGAGCGTGGTGGAGTGGAGCAGGGCCGCGGAGGCTTTTTTACACCCAAAGAGGAGAGGAAGCGGTTGGTTAGCTGAGACGGGGCTGGGATATGAACGGATAGGGGGCAAGGGCTGAATAGAGCAAGCTTACTCGGGTAGAAGCGAGGGGTGGACGTTGAGGCCCCCGTATTTGGCCGCGCTGAGGAGGCGAGGGGGGACAAAGAGGCCGAAGGAGACGGCAATGATCAGGTTGATGGGGTGGCCATCCGGTTGGGGCATCTAAGTGGTGATTATGTTAGAGGAAGGCAAAAGTGGAAAGGGGTATTAAATCAAGAGGTGATCGAACTTACATCCCAACCGGTGAACGTGTCTCTTACATGGACCGGGAGGCTGAGCTTGTCTGCAAGTGTCCGTAGGGGAACTGTGACATAAAGACACTGGTTTAGCTTTTGTATATAAGGTAGGGAGAGAGATCGTTTAAGCTACCCTCGCTAAGAACCTTGTATCCTCTCCCCGTTGGCTTGCTAGGCCTGACGATCACGTCGATGGATCGGATGAGATTGGCATTTTGTTTGTGTTCCTCGTGCAGAGCCTGCAATGAGAAGCAACTGAACTCGTCTGAGCCGCAGAATAATATTCTCAAAGGGTCGGATGTCTTGGGTGCCGCGCTATATGATACCGAACGTAGAATGGGTCTTGCCCTTGTCCGTTGGACGAAATGCGTGAATGTACGTAGATTCATCTCATTCGCAACTCATAGCTGACAGTCACCAGGCTTAGATGGTGCTTCACCGCTTCATATCGTGCTTAGGAAAATAGGTCAAAAAGGATAACATGTCATAATACTGAGTAAGATACACCAAGGTTGACAAGCTCATCAAAGAATTCTTGTATGAGTTGTGAGCGGTGACAATTGGACCCTGAGCTACAAAATACCTTCTGGAGTGCGATCAGTGGATCGCCTTCCGGTACCAGGGAGTGCAACCCTGGTCCGATCGGCCCCACTTATCCGCATGCAGGTTGCATCTGCATAAGTTTGCATTGGCGGACCCTCACAGCTGAGCCAAGCCAGGGCGGTGGAAGCTTCGACGGACGGAAAAGTTGCAGTAATAAGTCGCTGCCATGTGCTGACGGATGAACGAAGGAGCTGGTGCTCCAAGGCATCTCAGCCGCCAGCATGGCTCAAATTCTGACAGAACGACAAGCTGAAGAGCTGTATGTTTTTTTGTTTTTTTTTCGAAACGATGTTCCTTCAAGTTGAGTCGCTTGAAGCTGATTTGCTTACACGACAGACACAAGTCTATCATTGCCTACCTTGCGTCGCAGAGCTTATCCAACAGCGCTGCTACCCTCAAAGCCGAGCTCGGACTCGACCAAGATGCCTTTGACGCCGAAAAGTCCAGGAAGTATGAGGGCCTGCTGGCAAAGAAGTGGACGAGTGTCATGAGACTGCAGAAGAAGGTCCGTCGCAACCTCCCACAGCTTGTCCTCCACTTGTCGGCAGCCCCTGACGCGCATTGCAGATCCTAGACCTGGAGAACAAGAATTTGGCTCTTCAAACCGAGCTCGAGAGCTGCACATCAACTTCTCTCTCTCGCCGTAACCAGGACCCGGTCAATTGGCTACCCAAGGCCCCGCCCCGTTATGTTCTCGAGGGTCACCGCTCGCCTGTAGCCTGTGTCGCCTTCCACCCCGTCTTCAGTTCCCTTGCCTCCGGTTCCGAAGATTATACCATAAAGATATGGGATTGGGAGCTTGGCGAGCTCGAGCATACGATCAAGGGCCACACGAAGGCAGTGCTGGATCTCGATTTCGGTGGCTCTCGTGGCAACACGTTGCTGGCCTCGTGCAGCTCCGATCTGACCATCAAGTTGTGGGATCCAGCCAACGGGTACAAAAACACCAGGACGCTGCCTGGTCACGACCACATTGTGAGCTCGGTGCGCTTCATACCGCCTGGCCCATCTGGGACCGGGAATTTGCTGGTCAGCGCTAGCAAGGATAACACGCTCAAGATATGGGACGTTACGACGGGGTTTTGTGTCAAGACAATTGAGGGCCATACAGACTGGCCTCGGGCAGTGTGCCCCTCCACAGACGGGCGTTATCTGCTCTCAACCGGGTCCGACAAGACCGCCAGGCTGTGGGACATTTCTGCTCGTGAACCTGAATGCAAGGTGGTGCTGGTTGGACATGAAAACTTCAATGTGCGTTTACCTCCACTCCCCTATTCCGCCATGTCATTCACTGACATATCCTTCAGACATGCTGCGCATTCGCCCCTCCCGCTTCATATCCATTCTTGGCCCGCTTAGCCGGAATCGAGAAGGTGCCAGCAGCCAGCAACCCGGCTGCATTCATGGCCACAGGCTCCCGAGACAAGCAGATTAGGCTTTGGGACGAACGTGGCAACTGCATCAAGGTTCTGCCTGGACACGACAACTGGGTGCGAGGCCTTGTTTTCCATCCAGGCGGCAAATTCCTCATATCCGTGGCCGACGACAGGACACTCCGCTGCTGGGACTTGAGCCAGGACGCTAGATGCGTGCAGGTGCTTAGTGGTGTGTTCGAGGGCTTCGTCACTTGCATCCGGTGGGCGCCTGGCGTTGCGAAAGATGGGCCCGCCAACGGTGTGGCACTGACTAATGGCGAGGAAGTCACGCCAAAGAAGAAGGCCTCTGATACGAATGCTGCCGCCAACCTCCATATTCGCTGTGTTGTTGCCACGGGGAGTGTGGATGGGAGCGAGGGGAAAGTCAGGATATTCGCCAATTGAGGATCCTCGTGAGCCGCCACCTCTTGAGCTTCGGTACGAAAGGAACCCCGAAACTCGCTCTTTAAAGCCACCGGGCCGATGGATTTCACAGGCTGGCCTCCGATCAAGAGGAGCAGTTCGCAGGGCCTGCATAAGAGGCGACAGCTACATTTCCAGCACCCTTCTATAGGAATGACAGTGAGGCTGGCCCATGAACAGGCGGGATCACTGCGGACGAGGTCTCCACATAGAAGGTTCTGATGCTTGAGCCTTGCATTATCCCTGGACAGCGATAGAGATATTCATTCGTGATAATCTAATGTTTATTGATCCAGGAGGCATCGTTGTCTCGCTGTCTGATATGACGCTGGTTTGTTGGAGTCTTAGGATCCAAATTCTTGAAAGGGTGTTCACAGGAGCGTAATCGATACCTGTAGAAGTGGCGACGAAATATTGAGCATGCACCAATCTGATGGGAATCCCGAGCGCATGGATATAGGGGACAAGCATGTCTCTTGTCGCTGCTTGGCGGAAAAGGTTCATCCGGTAAGATTTCAGACATTTGTTGTTTCTGGGCAGATTTGTTTACAGTTCCCTGGTACGGATAGCTGGCCGCGACTTCAGGAGTGAAGGGAGTAAGGTAGCGAATTGACGGTTCTGCAGAGATGCATGTTGACTTGGCGCGAACGGCTCATGATTCCAGATCCGGCAGTGTCGAACTCCAAAGAGGTAATATGGCGGATGGAGAGAAGCTCCGTCAGGGGCCTGAGCATAACGGAGGTTTTCAACCAGAAGGCAGTTATTTCTGCCATTGCCGCCCGGCTTCGCTCAACCACCTCCCTCCCTGACAACCTCCCAGCGGTACGCAACTGCCCACCGCCCATCGGCCCCAAGTTCAACTTCCCACGTGGGCGGTGCAACAGCCACCACCGCACCAGGCACAACCCTCCCCAGATTCCCCCCACTATCACCGCCACCCAGCCCCTGAACCATCCCCTCACCCGCAAGCATCACCCTCAGCTCCACCGCATCCCTTTCCCCTTCCCGCCCCCGCCCCTGGCTGTCCCCATCAGGCCCGACCCGACCCGGCCCAGACCCAACCTGTCGCCCAGCAACAAGTGTCATCCCCACCCCGCCACGGCGAACTGCCTCAACCCGCACCCTCATCATCGTCATCACCACCGCGGAGGGAGCCGCACGAGGATGTTCCGACATCGGTGGCTGCCCGCTGTCAAGGTCGGCCACGACATCGGCGCCCTCTTTTACCTCGACCAGCCAGTCCCGTAGCTCGGCGGCCAGTCCTCCGGGGAGGTACTTTGGCCCGCCGCGGCGTTGCGGGGAGAACAAGAGATCCGGCAGCTGCTGCAGCTGAGGCAGATAGTCTGGGTCGGTGGTCTGGTGCGGGTGGGGTTTGAAGCGCCGGGCCGGGTCCTGTTGTTCTTTGCTGGTGGTTGTGTGAGGATGGTTGGGCTGCGGTGGTCGTCGTGGGCGAGAGGGGTCCAGGTCTGGGGATGAAGGAGGCGGGGAAGAAGAAGACAGGACTGAGGAGGAGGACACTGGGCTAGGAGGCCGGGGGGTTTCGTCGTCGCTGACTGTTTGTACCCTTTCTTCTTCCTCTTCCTCTTCCTCTTCCTCTTCAGAGAATGGTCTGGAGTGGGAGGAGGAGGGCCGGTGGTCATTGTCCTCGTCTGGCGCGTCCGGGAGCGACTCTATGTCGCTGCCGCTGTTGAGATCCGGGCTGGTCACTGGATAGGTTTCGGGCGAGGATGAGGCGATGGAAATGCGCCTGCGCTTAGAGGCGCGGTAGGTCTCGGGTTCCTCGGGCAAGGAGGACTCCAGCAGGAGGGACGAGTCGATCTCAATTGGCTCTGGGAGTGTGTCACTGGTAGTAGGAGACAGAGGTGGAGACTGTGCGTTGTCGGAGACAGGTGAGCTAACATCGATGATATCCTGTGTCGAACGGGTTCGGGGCCCTCGCGTCTTGATGGCCAAGGCTGGGGTTGCGAATACCGCGCCAGAGTGGGCTGAGGATGGCCTAGGTGTTGAGGCGAACCTTGGTGTGATATAAAGCAGCTGCGGTATAATTCCATGCTGCTGATTTAATGTTTGACTAGTATGAGACTGTGTAGTTTGTCTCTTGGAAAGGAGAAATCGAGAAGTCACCGGCGTCTGACTAAAATGGTCAGGAGATGGCCTGAATTTGGTCAACTCGAGCACTTACCGCAGGTAGCGGGGCCATCTGAATCCAAAAGTATACATCTACCGTTCACTTATTCTTCACACTCATAAAAACGATGTTTTGATGTCGACGTGGAAGTGAGCAGGCAACAACCATGGCTGTACCGTAGAGACCCTAACCCTTACGCTATGTTCTGGAGTTTTCCGCCAACGGCAGCTGTCGTCCGCCGTAGCGTCACCGGTATGGTATTGAAATGCTGCCTGGTAATACAGCAGGTTCGTGCCCCAAAGTTTCGATTAAACAATCACAGCAGTGCGTGACCGCGTCACCATTAGCGCGGCGCGTCCCCAGTAGGCGCGTCCCTCCGTAATTGACTTTCGCCGCCGAGCACATTAGCGAACGCTTACACTCAGGTGATGGTAGCCGTCTCCGTCACACCATTTGCATTCTCCACCTGCTCTCAGCAAAGGCCCCCATATACCTTCCCGCAACCCCTCGCTTCAACTCCAAACATCCACAACAATGTTCACAATAATGACACCCGCCCCGCCAACGCCGACTCGGCCATTCTCCTTCGCCCATACCCCGGGACGCGCTCGCCTCGACAATTACCGTCCGCAAGTTTCTTCGCCCCTCTCCTCCTCACCGGTCCGCGCCGCCTCGTCACCGGGGATACCGGGCCTACAGTCACCACCCCACTCCCCCCGCGGCCGCCGCCACGGGACACAGTCCTCGCCGCTTTTCCCCAGCATTAGCACCAGCACCAACACGGGCAGCGGCAGTGGCAGCGGTAACGACAAGAAGTTCCGCTTCGCGACACGCAACCCGCGGCCTAACCCCGTCGTCAAGCGGCGCGAGGATGCGCAGGAGGGAAGGCGGAGGCTGTTTCTCCAGAACGTGCGGCACCGGGCCGACGAGAAGAAGTGGGAGCGGCGCGGCGGCGAGGATGAGGTACGCCAGTCTAACATCTCCTTTTTAACGCAAGAACCACAGGATCGCTGACGAGATTCGCCAGGTTCTCAAACTTGAGTGGTGGCGTCTAAACAGGGAGAGGCAGCTGGCCAGGGAACGGGAGGCGCGTTTCCTGGCCGCCGAACAAGGCGAGGAGGAGGACGACGCGGAAGCGCTCGATGTGGATGCCTTGATGGTGGATCAGATTGAACAACAAGAGCAGGCGGAGGTGGAGGCGCTTGTTTCGGTGCTGGAAGAGGCTGGCCCGGCGCCGCCGCACTTTTCGGATGACGAAGAGTACGACGGCCTGTTTATGGATCTCGTTTCGCAACAGCAATTACAGCAACAGCGGCAGCAGCAGCAGCAACCGCCGCCGCCAACGCGGGGTGAGTGGACAGCAGGCGATTGCCAAGATGTGGAGATGTCTTGATGGAGGCGCTTCAGCTTGCTTCGTTGAGCGAGGTGTACACTAAGGTATCTAGACCGGTCGGAGTTCTGGCGTCATCACCAGTATTTCCGGGTGTGGTGGTTTAACAGGTTCTGAGGTATCACTGTTGGCCGGTATTAAACATGCAGAAGGTATCTAAACTAATCCCGCAAAGCGTTCGCTTTTCCCGAAGCCAGCCGGTAGCAGTTATTGCGGGTTACAGGAATCCTCCGGCAAACTGAGCGCATCCTGTGCAGAGGGAATGTCCCCTACCAGGTCTGACGGAGGCGACCCCGAGTCTTGCATCTGTCATGGCAGTTAGAGATTTGAGTAGCGGCTCGGATCAAGGGCGAAACACACCTTCTGCATCCGGTCGACAATGTATTCGCGGTCTGCCGGGTTCGAATCCGAATATGTCGCTTCCTCAAATTTGGAGACGATCTCCCTGACCAAAACCTGCTGCTCCTCATACCTTTTCAAGTCGTCCTTGGACACTGTGTCCTTGTTTTTGTCCATCCATCCAGGGAACTTCTCGTGGAGCTCTTTCATGGGTTCGTACAGGATCTCCTTGTTGGTTAGCTGCTCCATCATGCCCATCAGCATCTTGGAGAATTCTTCTTCGTTGCCTTCGCCGTCAAGGCCGCCGCTCTGCATTTGCTTGAGCAATTCCGCCATGAAGTCGTCCGTCCCTTCCGCTGCGGCGGCCGCTGTTGCCTGCTCCCCTGACGCCTGCATGCGCTCCATCGTCCGTCGGATCGTCTCCTGAAAGGAAGCCTCGGCACTGGTAGCAGCAGCGCCTGCGGAAGTGTTGGCGCCTGCGGAAGTGTTGGCGCCTGCGGAAGTGTTGGCGCCTGCGGAAGTGTTGGCGCCTGCGGAAGTGTTGGTGCCTGCGGAAGTGTTGGTGCCTGCGGAAGTCCTGGTGTCGGGTCCTGGCGGGGTAGGCCCCTTTGAGTCTTGGTCTGCGCTCGCTGTTGCGATGGCACCAATTTGCTTGAAGAAGTCGTCGAACTGCGCCTGCAACTCCGGCTGTGCCAAGGTTAACGGCAGACGGCTGAGACGAATGACGGGTTCCACTTACTGATTTTTCATACTCCGCCCGCAAGTCAGCAAAGGTCTCATGAACGTGTTTCAAGAAGTCATCCTCGGGGAAGGCTTCGTCATCCGCTCCCGCAGTAGCAGCGGGCTGGGTCTGGCCGGAGGGTGCCGGTTCTGGCTTTTTGGGATCTATCTTGACGGCCGAGAATTCATTGAGCATATCTAAGCCCCCAGGATTAGCTACGGCAACTCGCGTCGCATTGGTCCCTTCGAAACTCACCGTCTAGATCGTCCAGGTCATCCTCATCCGGGTCGGGGAAGTCGCCCACGTCTTCCACGTCTTCCACCGTCGCAGTCCTCTTCTCTTCAATCGGCACCGAACTATCTACATCTTTTTTCACTGAAGCGCCGGCATCGCCGGCATTGGATTCCATCGTAGTACAGCCAAAGCCCGAAACCGCGTTGTCCACCGAAGGTAGAGAAAGAGGGCGTGAACCGAGGTAGAACCCCACGTTGTACAGTATGTACAAGAGTCCAGGGAAATGGATAGACAAGAGCTAATGCAAGTTGATGGCAAACAACGTCGTCGTCAATGTTGGGGGTTGAGGTGCCCGTGGGGTGAGTGAGGACCACTGGCCTGGACCGTCAGATGCGCATGCGAATCCCGTGGAGGCGAGAATCTGTCCGGCGTTTCGGCCAGTGAGGTCACTCTCTTTAGAGCTGGACGAACCCGAATCAGCGATGTATCGGGATTTGCATGTGCAAAAAGCCTCGGGCCCAATTCCCCAATCCAGTACCGTATGTACTATGTAGAAGGTTGAGCCGTAACCCCACCTCCAATACCAATTCCAGTTCCTAGCCTTCATCTGCGGCATCCCGCGTTGGGTCAACGAGCCCTGCACTGAAGATCAACAACTGTAGGATAACGTTGTAGTATTTGGATTACAACTGAGCCTCTTGTCCATTGATCAATGCAAGTCCCTTCCTCTCAAGATGCATGCCGCACTTGCTGAGTTGAGGCGGGACCCAGATACTTCGTACATAGGTTCCTTATTTAGCTCTGGGGCTACCTTCGTAGTTACAAGGTGTTTCTCGTTGTGATCCAAATTCAACGTCTTATCAAGCGCCGAGTTTCAATTCTTGCCAATTCGCGCCTGCACCAGTATGGATCAGAGAAACTGACGTCTTTTGAGGGTTCAACAATGAAACACAGCAACCTTGGAACTTCTGGCGTTCACTCATGTACTCCGTAAGTTCGTAACTTGCATATGTATTGTATGTACCTCTCCGCCTTCTCTTTTGAGACGAATTGGTCTGTGCGCCGGTCAGAATTTCGAACTTCGGCAACTTCACATCCACGCCTAGGCAGCCTCCCACCTTCTGCAAGCCTCTTCATCAGCCTCAAACCGATCTTCCGCCAACCCACCCCATTCCGTTCTTCTGTGATTCTTCCTGCATATTCGAATCTTATCGCGGCGCCCACCCTTTACTTCCCACTCCTCTCTCCCCGGCGCTTCCTCCGTGATCTTTCCGGACCGACGTTCCCCACGTCATACAGTCTATTCCCGGTTGATCGCCGCGGCCGGCGTAAAGACTTCAAACCGTCATCGCTTTGACCCAGGAAATTACAGGTCAAGGTCAATTCGGAAATTTCCTAGCACCATGTCACTCTGTCAGAATCGTCTGCAGGAGGAGCGGTATGTTGGCTGTTTGCTGCGAGTCGCTATCCCCGCATCTCGATTGTAGCTTTACTCTTACGCGCCCTCACTAACTCAGGCGTTGCACCAGAAAGCAGTGGCGGAAGGATCACCCCTTCGGCTTTTATGCTCGGCCTCAGAAGAACGCCCAAGGAGTGCTCGACTTGAAGGTGTGGGAATGTGGTATTCCCGGTAAGGAGAAGACTATATGGGAGGGCGGTCTGTTCAAGCTGACCGTGACGTTTCCCGACGGTACGTCTATGTAACCCGGGCCGAAAGGTGACGCGGACCATGTTTATTAACTGCTTCTCCGCGTGTAGAGTACCCGACGAAACCCCCAAAGTGTAAGCCAGCCCACCTGCGCGGTGCGCATGTCTTCGGTTACGACTAACACTCGGCTCTGAGTGTAGGCAAATTCGTGCCCCCTCTCTTTCACCCCAATGTTTACCCGTCAGGCACAGTCTGCCTGTCTATCCTAAACGAGGAGGAGGCTTGGAAGCCCGCAATCACCATCAAGCAAATCCTTCTCGGTGTCCAGGACCTTCTAAATGACCCCAACCCGGAGTCACCGGCACAGGCAGAAGCGTATAACATGTACAAGAAAGACCGGGCGCAGTACGAGAGACGAGTTAAGCAGATCGTGCGGGAGAATGCCGCGCCCTAGGATTCCCGTACCTTTCGAGAAGATATTGAACGTCTGCATGGTGGGATGGAACCTGGGATTCGGATTACGGAGTTTACGGAATACCAATGGCGGCACAGCATATGGAGTTATCGGGATGGTCTTTCATGGCAAGCTGCAAACTGGTTGGTCTTGGGTGGGATGGACCGCTATCCGTGACATGGGACGTGGCAGACAGCTCTTGACGGCAACTCTCGGCTTACGGCAGCTGCCCTTGCAGAGTTCACTCTCCAGAGACTGGAAATAAAATGCCATGTCGCGCGTGACCTGCGCCTCTGCTATGTGGATGCAACAGCGTTGATGCGTGCTTTCTTATCGGGAAATTTCCCCCCCCCTTTCCCCCGCGCAGCAGTGTCTCGGTTCACCGGCTGGTCTAGGTGACAATTGGTCAATGGTCTAGGTGACGTAGGTGGGTGAAACTGGGACCTACACCTACTACGGAGTAGCGTACGTGGAGTGCGTGGTGCGCGGTCACGAACCAAGGGCTCTCTGCATCTCTTGCAGCAGTGTGGTCCCCTCCAAGGCGGCAGCGCCTGTCGTGGGTTCACCTTGCTGGTTCCCGGCTGAGTGTGGTGTAAGCCTCGCTCATACCCCTTAGCAGCCCAGTTTAGGTAATGGACAGGGCGGAGCTTGATTCGATTGACAAACCAATCACAAGAGAGCCCGACATCGGCTTGAGAACGGTGGCTGTTAGGAGCCCCTGCTTTTTGCTGCTGGAGCTCCGTTCCCCAGCTCGGCGGGCCAACTATGTAGCTCATAATTCATATCGATTGACAATGTAGTTCTGTCATTGCCGGGAGGCCTGGTTCTCGAACAGGACCAGGCCCCTTCTTAGTCAAATCTCTAAAAATTCTGGACGGGGGGCGAGACATGGGGTGCATCGATCCCCCTTTGGCCGGGTTTGTGACTATCACACACAATTTTCCGAGGCGTGTGACTCTTTTCTCCTTTCAACACACCTTCCTGCTCATCTCATCCCACTCGATCGTCTGTAACATCCCACCGTGGTCAACAGACACCCGCGCGTCGTCGACATCCAGATCGTCACGTCGAAGCAGCTGCAGCAACCTGCCGTGCAGGGCCAGAAGCTAAGTATAAAGACCCGTCGTCTTGTCGCTGACAGTGGAAGTAGGCTCCGCTCTTCAACGCCGCATCTCCTGCTCAGGTCCCATCCATAAATCGCCTCCAAGAGAACACAGAAAATCCGAGATTCAAAATGTGTGGCATTTTCGCCTGCCACAGGTAAGTCGCACAATTGGTGTTGCGCCCTGCCCTGCCTTTGTGCTGGTCCCTAGATGAATGGAGGGGCAACATTTACTTGCCCCACCATCACCATGATGCCCCTCTTATCAGGATTCTTCTTTATAAGCGGCATGCGCAGTTTGGGGCTAACCCGTCGCCAACAGTCACCCCGACGTCCTCAAGTTCAAGCCGACTGCCCTCAAGCTTGCAAAGGCGTATGTGCCCCCAATTGACTCTATATTTGGTGTGGGAGTGGCCAATTGACTCGCTTATCTTGCAGAGTGCGACATCGGGGACCTGATTGGAGTGCGTTGCCCCTTCCCCTGAGTCACACAAGATAAACACAAGATAGGGTTATAGACACTGGTATCGCTAACTGATTGTGACACTACAGGCGGCAGCGTTATTTCTCACAACACGAGTATGGAATTTTCCAGGACCACCAAAATCTCCTTTCCCAAGAACGAGACCAAAAAGGAAGCATTCACTGACACAACGTCGCAGTTCTGTGCCATGAACGGCTCAGCATCGTCGGCGTTGGTGGGTCCCGGTCTGTGTATCTCGCCTCTCAGACGACGTCTCACACAAAAGCAGAGAGCGGAGCTCAGCCACTCACCAATGCCGATGAGAGCATTGTCCTCGCCGTCAATGGCGAGATTTACAACCACCGTCTGATTCGGAAGAACTTGAAGACGCCGTATCACTTCAAGACCACGTCGGACTGCGAGGTCATTATTCCTCTGGTAAGTGCCTGCAGGAGGGGACCGAAGGTGGCGGGCTCGGTTCTGACCGTTGCGCAGTACATGGAACACGGCCTCGACGCGCCGAAATATCTCGATGGCATGTTCTCGTTTGTCCTCTACGACAAGAAGCTGGACCGCACGATAGCCGCACGCGATCCGATCGGCATTACAACGTTTTACCAGGGCTGGTCGTCAGAGCAGCCAAGCGCCACATACTTCGCCTCGGAACTGAAGTGCTTGCACCCCGTCTGCGACAAGATCGAGTCTTTCCCGCCCGGACATGTTTACGACAGCTTGACCGGCGAGCGGACCAGGTATTTCCAACCGACATGGTGGGATGGGTCCCGGATCCCCGAGAAGCCGCTCGACCTCAAGCTTCTGCGCGAGACACTCGAAAAGTCTGTCAGGAAACGCCTCATGGCCGAGGTTCCCTATGGTGTCCTGCTTTCGGGTGGCCTTGACTCGAGTCTGGTTGCGTCTATCGCCCAGCGGGAAACCCTGAGGCTGAAGAAACTGGCCGAGGCAACCAACGGCACCGCTGAACAGGAGGTCGATCTCAACAAGGGCGAGGGCTTGGTCGGCATTGATGACGATAACAAGCTGTCAACAATGACTTTCCTTCCACAGCTCAACTCCTTCTCGATTGGCCTCCCCGGGTCTCCCGACAACGAGGCGGCATTGAAGGTGGCCAAGTTCCTTGGCACAAAGCATCACGTCATGACCTTCACGATTGAGGATGGCCTCAACGCGCTCTCGGATGTCATTTACCACCTTGAGACGTACGATGTCACGACCATCCGCGCCTCGACGCCCATGTACTTGCTTTCGCGCAAGATCAAGGCGATGGGTATCAAGATGGTTCTCAGTGGCGAAGGTAGTGACGAGATCTTTGGCGGATACCTGTACTTCCATGGGGCTCCTGACAAGGCCGCATTCCATGAAGAGTGTGTTCGTCGCGTGAAGAACCTGCATTTGGCCGACTGCCTGCGGGCCAACAAGTCCACCTCGGCCTGGGGTCTTGAGGCTCGTGTGCCATTCCTGGACAAGGAGGTAAGCGGACGAGCCAGGCAATGATTGGTTACAGTGCTGACAGTCCTCTTTAGTTCCTCGAGGTCGCCATGAACATTGACCCCAAGGAGAAGATGATCACGAACGAAAGGATTGAGAAATACATCCTGCGGAAGGCGTTTGACACCTCGGACGAACCTGGCGCCGAGCCGTACCTGCCAGAGAACATCCTCTGGCGGCAAAAGGAGCAGTTCTCGGACGGCGTCGGCTACGGGTGGATCGACGCCCTCAAAGACAACGCCGAGTTGCACGTTACTGACGAGATGATGAAGAACCCCAAGCCCGAGTGGGGTGACGACATTCCGGACACCAAGGAGGCGTACGTTGAGCCCGACTTAGGACCCGTCCTTGAGAGACTAACTCTGTCCTAGATACTGGTACCGGTTGATGTTCGACGAGCACTTCCCGCCTTCGTGCGCCTCGACCGTCATGAGGTGGACTCCCAAGTGGTCGAAGCAGACTGACCCCAGCGGCAGGTAAGTTGGCTGTGTGCCGTCCCATCGACTATGAAGAGAGCTGACAAATCCTGCAGAGCTATCGCAATCCATAAGGCAAAGTACCAGGATGCTTAAGCAGTTCAGTTGCTCGTTCCAGTACATAGCAACCTTGTGGTGTTTGGCTTGTCGTAGTTGGGGTCTAACGCGTTTGGGATATTGTCCTGTACCTCGCAAAACAAATGAAAAGCATGCGTATGGGTTCTTTCGTCGGAAGCGGGCCATGGTCCAGTGCAACGCTTGCCTTTGTGATATCGCCTCTCTTTGTAACAGCTTGCATCCCAGCTGCTTGAAGCGCTTTGTAGGAGCAGCACTGGCGCTTCAAGCAGCACTGGTCGTTTTCTGGGGAATGGCTCACGTGTAGTAAAGTCATAAGGACATCCCCTGAGATAAAGGCGTAATAATAGGAGAGATATAAGAACTGGCGTAGCGCAAACACAATGGTCATGCAATGTGTTGTTCCACCTGTCACGGAATATGATGTTGCACGACCCATGTCGGCCAGAACTATGAATATAAGAGCATATGATGAAACATGGCAAGGCGTTTCCAACCCTCACCTCCAAGACCGAATTGCACCAAACCAAACTGCGCAATCCTGTCGCAGGTGCTGTTATCCAGTTGCAGAACGTTTTTAAACCATCTACAATCTACAGAGCCGAAGCGGCTGGACAGAATTCAATAATTCATTCATGAAGCGGCTCACAAAAGGTCTGAAAAGGTTAAGTTTTGATAGGGGCTCTCCGCTAGAGGCCACGGGGCTTCGGGGTCCCACCACGTGGTGTCAGAACCAGACGACAACGAGTGAGCTGGCGGGACTCGGGAGCTGCTGCATTGACAAGCTTGCCGATCCACCAATCAGCGAGCTGCAGACAAATTTCTCGTAACATCGCGGGCCAATTCCGACAACTTCCTTCTCAACAATTCCCCACGAGACTGTAGCTGCATCACAGTCCATATCCCCTATACCATATCCCATCACTCGCGTCCACGCTTGCTCGCCAACCCATTTTCCATCCGCTAGACACAACAGCCAATATGTCTGTCCCGGCTTTCTCAGATATCGCCAAGGCGGCGAACGACGTAGGTTTGATCCCAAGCGCGAGCGCGGCTTCTGCCCTCGGAAGCGGCATTTCTCGCGAGCTCTCTGCGCCGTCGCCAGCCACATATCGCTAACCCTGCGCGTCCAGCTCCTCAACAAGGACTTCTACCATCTCTCTGCGGGCACCCTCGAGGTCAAGAGCAACACCCCCAACAATGTCGCCTTCAAGGTCACTGGCAAGAGCAGCCACGACAATGTGACCAGCGGCACGGTATGTCCATCGTTGTCTGAGAGGCTCCGAGTGCAGTGCTAATGGTCCGTTTCTGCAACAGCTCGAGGGCAAATACACTGACAAGCCCAATGGTAAATTCATCTCTATCCCGCCCAAACATGCGCGAAGCCATCACCGCCGCGTTGACCTTCGGGGCCCCCAAACGGCATCGGCACGGCTGAAGTGCGAGATGAGGCTGCAGGGCACCCAAGCATTGTGGTTTCATGGCGCGCCCGTCTAGTGGGCGGTCGCGCTGCGCCCCTTTCGACCCGCGCAGCTGCTAATCTATTGGAGGTGCACAGGCTTGACCCTCACTCAGACCTGGAATACCGCCAACTCGCTCGAGACCAAGGTCGAGATGGCCGACAACCTGGCCAAGGGTCTCAAGGCCGAGGGTATCTTCAGCTTCCTCCCCGCCACCCAGCAGCGCGGCGCCAAGTTCAACCTGCACTTCAAGCAGTCCAACTTCCACGGCCGCGCCTTCTTCGACCTCCTCAAGGGCCCCACTGCTAGCATTGACGCCCTCGTCGGCCATGAGGGCTTCCTCGCCGGCGCCTCGGCCGGCTACGACGTCCAGAAGGCCAAGATCACCGGCTACAGCGCCGCCGTCGGCTACCAGGCCCCGGCCTACAGCGCTGCCATCACGGCCACCGACAACCTGAGCGTCTTCGCTGCCAGCTACTACCACAAGGTCAACAGCCAGGTCGAGGCCGGCTCCAAGGCCACCTGGAACTCCAAGAGCGGCAACACGGTCGGCCTCGAGGTCGCTGCCAAGTACCGCCTGGACCCTGTCTCCTTCGTCAAGGTGAGCTCAGTTGTTTTGCAGGGTTGTCGTCAGAGACGCGATATTAATACCGTGAAACAGGCCAAGATCAACGACCGTGGTGTCGCTGCCGTTGCCTACAACGTGCTCCTCCGCGAGGGTGTCACCCTTGGCGTTGGTGCCTCGTTCGATACCCAGAAGCTTGACCAGGCCACCCACAAGGTCGGCACCAGCTTCACCTTCGAGTCGTAAGATGGTGTTGGCGTTCATGGTGGATGCGCAGGGTCCTGCGTCGTGGTTTGGACCGAGCGAATGGACAACTGCGTCGGTCAGTCATGAGAGCAGGATGTAGATATGGGTCTAGAGTTTACGTCCAGGACATGTTACACTGTACAGTAGACTCCCAAGCAGCCGCAATATGCTAATTTCTGACATTGTTGTTGCGCGATTCGGTGCGAGCCAGGCGTAGTCTAGAGGACGCTCAATGTATGTATGGAAATCAATATACGAGTCCTGCAGGATTTTATCATATCGTTTTTTGTTCAAACTCGACCAATAACCCAGTAACGCCAGTGTCATTTCCCAGAGATTATACATCCATCACCCATTTGCTTCCAACTCCATGATATCCAGTTTCACCTCACCTCCCCCTCCTCTCTCTCTCCCGTTCTCCTCCTTCCTTTGGCACCTGACCCGGCCCGGGCCGCTTGGGCCCCGACACCCAGCCAGCGATAGCGTGTACCCCGACAGTACCGGCGATCACGGCCCCCAAGACACCCAACACCAGCCAAAAGCTCGTTACCGGGGACGGCTCGGGCTCCAGACGCACCCCCATGCGCTCCGCCATGCGCTGCGCCCGCCGCTCCTCACCCCGCCGCTGCGCCCGCTCGTGCGCCTCCCGATCAAAGTGCGGCACGTCCCCGCCGTGCCCAAACGGGTCCTGCCCCGGCCCCATCCCGCCCGTGCCACCGGAACCCGAAGCGGAGGAAGAAGAGGAGGAACCGGGATGCTGGCGATGCGGGGAGTGGCTGTCAGTCCCGTACCCGGCGCCGGCCCCGGCCCCGGCGAAGCTGTGGCTGGCGCCCGTGCTCTCCTCGTGCGCGGCGCGCCGCTTGGCACCGTGCGCGCCCCACCCGCCGGAGCGGAAGAAACTCGGCGGCGGGCCTTGGAATGAGGAGCTACGGCGCCGGCTGCTCAGGCCTGAGGCCGGGCGGCCGCCCGCCGGGCCGCTGCTGCTGCTGCTGCGACTGCTGCCGTGCGGAACGGGGTGTGCGTGGTGGCGGCGCCGCATCACGTCGCGGTCGTACCGCGCGCGCTTGTCGGCGTGGCCTAGGACTGAGTAGGCCTCGGAGATGCGCATGAAGCGGGATGGGGAGGTGGGGTCGGTGGGGTTGTGGTCCGGGTGGTGGCGCTTGGAGAGGAGATAGAAGGATCTGTGTGTGTGGGAATGATGTTGGTTAGCTGGGGAATGGGTTGATAGGGATTGAGGTGGGAAGGTGGAGGGACGGACTTTTTGATCTCCGCCGGGGAGGCATCCGGGTGCACGTTGAGGGTTTCATAGTGGTTGGAGGAGGTGTCGTCGAGACGGAGGGCGCGTGGAGAGGAGTGGAAGGGGAGACGTTGATGTCGAGGTTGTCGTCGGCTGAGAAGAGAGACGGGAATGGTGGAAGGGCGCAGCGCCGCACCCGTGTGAGCGTAGCGGAGCGGCATGCCTCATCCCGAAGGTTGGCTACATGTCCTAGAGAGGTTATGGTGGATGGATGGCATCGAGACCGAAATTAGACACTCGCCGTTTGTCCGTTCGTACCTCGAAGCCGTTGTTGGAAAGGAAGGCGAGAACGGGCCCCACCGGAAATCGGCAGTGACGAAATCAATGAGTGAGAATGAACACGAGCGCTGAATTGAGCAATGTGGCGCATGCCCCTGGCGTCAAAGGCGCTGAAGCCGCACGTGGAGCACGCCTGCTGTGGCACGTTACCTCTCCATCAACGGCCTGTCGGGTAGTACTTCGTATCTGATACGCAAACTGTGCATTACCTCTTGGGTGGTCATCGACCATGACTCCGAGTCTGCTGAACCACAGCTTTACAAACTTCGTACTTTTGCACCTCTTCCGCTGTAGCAGTAGGATGTGCTTGTTTCAGACAGTTTCCAACTGGACCAGAAGTGGTACTTGTGACGAGTGTAGGACAACTCAGGAACAAACGTTGGTCATAGACAGTCGCCTGGAATGGTTAGACACGGTTACAACATTTGATATGTACTGTGGTAGCACCGTGTCTTTACCAACGCTTATCGTCCATCCGCCCCGCAGCTAAAAAGTGCTAGGCAGGACTGCAGATTTGGACGACTAAAACATTTAACCATCCAGTTTCCTCGCAGTTTTTCACCTCACATCTAGAGCATCCAACATGGCAGCTCAAGCTCCCAGTGGTGAGCTCAGCAATCTGAGTGGTAAGGTGGCAAAACCAACCCACGCGGTGCCGGAACCAGCTTTCTAACACCCGGGTAGTGACAGAGAGTGAGGGCAGTAAGCCGAAGCCTAACTCGTCTGTTGCGACCAATGGCAATTTAAATCGCGACAGCGACGACTCGGACGAGGATGCAGAAGGACCTGCTGCTGCCGCTGCTGCAACAGGGGCGGCCAAGAAAAAGAAGAAGAGAAAGCCCAAGAAGAAGAAGAGCCCCGTGCAGCAATCAGACCCGCCCCGTGTTCCACTTTCGCAGCTCTTCCCCAATAAGCAGTACCCCAAGGGCGAGGAGGTTGAGTATGTGAACGAGAACAGGTACCGTACCACCGACGAAGAGAAGCGCCACCTCGACAACCTCAACAGCGACTTCCTCACCGACTACCGCCACGGTGCAGAGGCGCATCGCCAGGTTCGCCAGTGGGCGCAGAAGAATATTAAGCCTGGCCAGACTCTGACCGAGATTGCCAACGGGATCGAGGATGCCGTTCGCGCTCTCGTCGGCCACCAAGGCCTTGAGGAGGGAGATGCCTTGATCGCAGGCATGGGATTCCCAACCGGTCTAAGCATCAACCACTGCGCTGCCCACTACACGCCCAACGCAGGTGACAAGATGGTCCTGCAGCAGGACGACGTGATGAAGGTCGACTTTGGCGTCCACGTGAACGGTAGAATTGTCGACAGCGCCTTTACCCTAGCCTTCAACCCCCGGTACGATAACCTACTTGAGGCCGTGAAGGCGGCCACGAATGAGGGCGTCAAGCAGGCCGGGATCGACGCCAGGCTTGGAGAAATTGGTGGCGCCATCCAGGAGGTTATGGAGAGCTACGAGGTCGAGATCGACGGCACAACCTACCCGATTAAGCCGATCAAAAACTTGAACGGACACACCATCCTGCCGTACAGCATCCACGGAACCAAGAGCGTTCCCATTGTAAAGACCAACGATCAGACCAAGATGGAGGAGGGAGACGTGTTTGCCATTGAGACGTTCGGCACCACAGGCAAGGGCGTCGTCCACGAGGAAGGCCAAGTGTCCCACTACGCCAAGCGCCGCGACGCGCCTAACGTCGACCTGCGTATAAGCTCGGCCAAGTCTTTGTTGAAGGTGATTGACAAGAATTTTGGCACTCTGCCGTTCTGCAGACGGTACCTGGACCGCCTGGGACAGGAGAAATACCTGCTTGGGGTAAGCTTTGCTACTGTAGATTGGGAAAGGGATAGCTTGTGCTGACAACCTGGCAGCTGAACAATCTCGTCCAAAGCGGCATCGTCGAGGACTATCCGCCGCTGGTGGATAGAAAGGGCTCATACACGGCCCAGTTCGAGCACGTGAGTGGTCTCAAAGTTGAGATGACGAGGTATGAGTTGTGACTGACTGATCCCACCAGACGATCCTGATCCGGCCTACCGTAAAGGAGGTCATCAGCCGTGGAGACGACTATTAGTTCTTCTGCTGCCAGCTTGAAGTTGTCAACACGTGCATGTCTTTAGTATGCACGTGTAATTCATCAATTTCAGGAACGCACCGCAGCGAGCAGTTGCATGCTCACGTGCGTGCCGAATCCGGAGCCCCGGATGATGGAGCCGAGGTACCGGTGTACCGGCGTGGGGCCGGAGCCAGGACATAAGGTTACTACATCGGAACAGAAATGGAGTGCCAGACAAAGGAGATGTATACTGTAGTGTCATGTGGCGATGTAGAATCTCTTCTCTGGAAAACGATGGTGATCCGTCCCAATTTTAACATTCCATAGTTGTCAAATGGGGTTTGGAAGGAATAGGCCGATGATGCACGACCAAAGTCTGCGACAAAGATGAAGTCAATGAAAACTAGCGTTACGACATGACATTGCGGGTTGGTTCTCCAGTTTTCGGCCAGTCTGGACGACCCGAAGAATTTTCATCATTGCCCCACGCGGGGGCTGGATCCGGCTAATTTAGCGAGGTCTTAGCGACAGGGGGTTGCCACTCCCGTTCCGATAAGACTTCGCGTGTGAGCACCTCCAATAAGTTCTTTTCAGCCATAAAAAAGACGCAAAAGGGGCCTTTGGTCTGCCGGCTGTTGGAAGCTGCCTTTCGTGCATGCCGCAGGGCTTTTACACTCACTTTCGTACGGTTCTTGGATTCTATATCGACAACGCGAAGGTCGATTGTCGAATTGCGCCCTGCGTTTTCGCGACCCATTCCAAGTGCAGGAATAGAAAAAAAAAGTTCTGATCGCTCATCCCTGCGAAGCACGCGACCGCACACCGGAGATCCGGTCGCGCGGCCGACATTCTCTCCCTGAATCTCGACACCGCCCGGCAAAGGCCTCGAAGATGAAGGTCTTTTCTAATTCCGAGACATTCAACTACTCGTGGGAGGAGGTATCAACCGCCAACTGGCGGAAATACTGCCCATGGAACCAGAAATCGACGCACGTGGTCGCCGTCGACACCTTAAGTCGGAGCGTCGACCCTGAGACGGGCATCCTGCGGACAGAGCGGCTCATCACGTGTCGGCAGAGCGCGCCCGACTGGCTCAAGAGCCTGATGGGCGGCTGCATGGACGAGTCGCAGGTGCTTGAGACGTCGTACGTGGACCCGCGGCAGAAGACGGTCACGATGGTGTCGGCCAACCTCACGTGGAGCAACCTCATCAACGTGCAGGAGACGGTCGTGTACCGCCCGCTCAACGAGCACCAGACGCGCTTCGAGCAGTCGGCCAAGATCACGGCCCTCTGCGGCGGCTGGCAGCGCATCAGGAACAGCATCGAGGACACGCTCGTCAAGCGCTTCCGCGAGAACGCTGTCAAGGGTAAAGAGGGCTTTGAGGCGGTGCTGGCCATGAGCAGGAGGGCCTTTGCCGAGGAGCGCGAGCGCGAGCGCATGACGCTACCCCGGACGACCGGAGATATTAGGATGGCATCCGCGTCATAGGATCGGCTGGTTATGTTCTTGTGCGCCCGGCTTCTCGTTGCAGCTCCATGACTACGGCAACGGCGAGCAAGCAACATGCGACAACGACATGCATACACTGATATCACGGTTGAGGCGCCGGAAAGCGCGACAAAAGGGGCGACAAAGACTCGTGCTCCCGGTGCAATCAAGAGGAGGAATTTAATCCACGAGCAACGACGGAAGGAGACCCATCAAACGAGCGACTACTTTTTAGAGCATCTTGGGCGGCGTCTGCCTATGCATTTGCCCCTTGCCGGGGCGGGTACGGGATAAAAGGGGTCATCAAAACGGCTAGAGGCAATGTCTTTCATGGGTGGCAGCGGATGGAGCTAAGGCGTCACGGTCGATTTTAGGTCTATAATTCGTCCTTACTATCTGTACAATACCCAGTTAAGGACTGATTCATTCATTCTCACGGAGTCCTGGAACAATACCCCTTTTGTTGTGCAACTGTGAGGGGATTCCATTCCAGGTCAGAGCGTGGCTGCTACCACATTCTGTGTCCTCACTACCACGGGGACAATTACTACCACGAGGTCACAACAGTATAGACTGGGCTCGGAAGCAGATGTGTCAATCTTGTCATGCTGACAATAACTCTAGAGCATTACTTAGAGGGGAAGCATGTAAAGTAAAGTGGTATCAAGTGTGAAGAGCCAGAATACGCTCTCTACTCTTTGCCACACACTCATCCGGATTGCACTGGGCATGACTTGTCGCCGTAGACTTGCAATGCATTCGATACATGACGATTAGTACCCTTGCTTCACGATACTCCGTACCTCGCTACATATTATAAACAGATCAAGCAAATCTACCCCACGGGCTGTCCGTCCAACTCCCCAAGCCTCGCCAAACACCTCCCTTCATAGTACCGCAACAGCCGCTTCGTCTCTTCGTCGACCCGAGCCTCGCCGTCGCGCAACACGTCCCGGACAAACGCCGCTGCCTCGCGGTAGCGCCGGAAGAAGTACAGCTCCTCGACCGCGTGCAGAAGCTCTTGGGCTTCGGGTTTAGGGAGGAGCGGTTCAGCGCTGGAGAGCGGGAGCTGGATTGTTGCGTGGATCTTTTGTCATGTAGGTGTGTGGCTGTTGTGTTAGCCATGCCATTGCAATGAGATGTATGTATTAAGTATTGTGATACTGGGTGATGATGAGGGAGGAAAGGGAGGGAGGGGTTCATGGGATTTACGTTGCCGTTTTCGAGTTTGGGACGGTAGCTTTGCTTCAGCGCTCGGAAGTCTTCGTCGGACAGAGCGGTGCGTTCGGCACGGGTTGGTTGGTTCTGTTGTTGGTGGTCGGGGTGATTGTTATCAGCAGTGCTTGTGCTTGCAGAGGGTCCAGAGGCTTCGTCGGGCTCTGAGTCGGAGAGATTGAGTGAAAGGAGGAGTAAGGGCGAGTCGGTGTTGTCCATGGGCCTTTTTTGCAGGGGCTGCACTCGATAACGGTCTTTCTGTTTCGATGGAGTGAATAAGAATGAAATTTCTCTAGGCCGAGTTTGTTAATCTTTTCATTTGTCTTTGTGATACTTTGCAGTCCAGTCACAATATTCTGTAGATGGAGGAAATTGAGTAAATGAAAGATGCGCCGGCTCGAGCCAAGAGGAAATGAATGAGTGGTGATGCCGTTTTGGTTCCGGCGTTGCAATGCGGAGCCCGAACTCAGAGCTTGGCCCGGGTATGATCGGCAAACTTCCGTGTCCGGCACTGCCCCGACCTCCGCACACAGCTAACGGCACCACTTGTTGCCTGCCTGCACCTGCCAAATCCTCTAGAGAAGAAAGAAAAGGAAAAGGAAAAAGAACATGCATCTCTAATTGCGACCGAAGGTAAGCACATCAACGCCTCAGAAACGGCCGCTAATTTTAAAGCTAATCGTGTATGTACTTGACCTGCAGCTTGCCGACCTCGGCCCGGCTTCAGAATAGGGGTATCAACCCGTTGACCCGTTCCAACTCCCAAGCCGCCAACCAACCTCCTCATGCGAACATCTTCTTTCTGGTCCGCTAGTTAGAACCGGTCTACATCTCGGATTCGCAAATCCTTAACTATCCAGCATACTTCTACAATTTTACAATATATACCAATTGTCTCCTGCCATGGAGGAGCAACTGGACCGGCTGGTGGAGAAGGCATGGAAAGGGTTCCTCGAGACACCTGAGAACGAGCGCTTCTGTACACAATCACTTCCCTTCATATCTTGAAACTCACCACGCTTGCAACTAACCACCGGCACTCTCACAGTAATTGCCATTGGCGGCATCCCCGGCTCAGGTATACCACCACCTCCTCATCCCTTCCCAAACCCTGTTCAGAACCCAGGCCACCACTAACTCAAACCCCCATACTCCAGGCAAAACCACTCTTTCCAAGCGCCTCACCGCCGCCCTCAACGCGCGCTACGCCTCCGAGCATCCCTCCCATCCCCCAATCGCCGCCTTTGTGCCCATGGACGGCTTCCACCTCACGCGCGCACAGCTGGACGCCATGCCCGACCCGGTCACGGCACACGCCCGGCGTGGCGCGGCCTTTACCTTTGACGGCGAAGGGTTTCTGAGGCTGGTCCAGCGCCTGCGGGAGCCCCTGACGGACGCGACCACGACCGTCTTCGCGCCCTCCTTTGACCATGCCGTCAAGGACCCCAAGGAAAACGACATTGCCGTGGGGAGGACTCATCGGATTGTTGTGCTGGAGGGGAACTGTGAGTCTTGATCATTTGAAATGCTGCTTACTTTGTGCTCGATTTGGTTTTCTACACTCGCAGCTGCCGGCGTCACATACCCCTATTCTCTCTACTTTCTTTGCCCCTGCCGCCCCGATGTTTCCAGCTCGGACTCCTAACTACCACCCCGTTATGGGCCTTGCCAATACCAGATATATTACTATCTACCCCACCCTGGGTTAAAGCAAGCCAACTGGCCAACCTGAGAGTTTTCATCAACACGTCAGAGGCAACAGCGCGCGCGCGGCTCGCTGCGCGGCATCTCGCAGCAGGGATCGCGGCAACGGCGGCCGAGGCGGACCGCCGTGCCGTCGAGAACGATCTGGTTAACGGGGCCGAAATCATTCGCCTGCGGGTTCCCGACGTACATGTCAACATCGAGAGCGTGGACGATGATTCCTGGTTTTGATCTTTAGCGTTTCTGATCAGGCTACCTTGTGTGATACTGACAGCAGTTTTTGTCCCTAAGCTCAGCCTGCTGGAATGCCAACAATTCCCCTACTCAAACACGTTATTCTACAATACATTGCTAAAAGTCTTCCCTATCCCGATGCGCGCTGCTGCGAAGCGCTCCCATTGACCACCAGACCCTCGAGACCGGCAGGACATCTTCCTGTTAAGGATAGCCATAATGATAGCTTTCCATCCTGAACGAGACGGCCTGTAGTCCAGACGCCCAAACTCCTAGCATGCAAGCTAGGGCCACCGAGACTGGAAGAAACTAGAACAACAACCAAACAAACAGACAAACAACTAGAGGCCCATCCTCCAGGCAAATGCTGATCGTATCTCCTGCCGATTCCGCTGTGGTATCTTGGATGCGAAGTCGCTCAACGCAGCTTCAACTATATGACTTCTCAAATGCGTTAAGCTTTTATGAATCGCTTCCTGGTGGATAGGAATAGAGACGGTGTCCATGCGAGCGAAAGCAGAGGCCTATAAGGAAAATCCCCGGCACCGTTACTTGGGGATGTGGAACTTGAACTGCCCAGAGCTGGCCGGCACGAGTGCAGCGCTGTGGCGCGATGCACCAAGTCCACGAACCGCAGGCTGGATGGCAGGCTGGACGACAGGCGTGGCCTGCGGATTTGCCGAGCTCGACGGTAAAGATTTCGTGACCGCCTCAATGGACGCCTGAGACGAGTCTGGTTCGAGTGACAGGCGGGAGATCTTCTGTCTCAAGGCTTCAACATCCTCCAGCTCTGGCATAGATTGACCGGCGCCGTGACCTTTGTCCGAGGCGACAGCAGGGTTATCCGCCAACTTCGCACCCCGATCGATGCCAACCTCTGGGTGAGGAAAGTAGTAATCGATCAGGTCCTCGGTGCCAGCTGTCACTTGTTTCTGGGGATCGAGCCGCGCAAGTTCGGACAGCTCGCTCCGTTTGGGCCACTTCTTCTCGTACGCGGGCCCGGTGAAACAACTCTCATGTTTGAAATCTGTTCCTGCGGACGCCCATCTGGACGTTTTGAGTCCGGAATCTGGGCAGGCGTCACTCTTTGAGGGATTGTTCAATGGCAGCTGGATGCTAGTTAAATGGGCCGGGGGGGTTGTGGCTGATGGCTGCAAGGCAAGCAGCTCGTCAACGGTGTATTGGATGCGTGCTTGTTTGTTGTTTGTGCAATCGGTTTCGGGCAATCGTTGTACCTCGAGCGAATCGAACACGTCGTTGACCATTTTCTCCAGAGCCTGCTGTTTCTGGACACTCAGTTCACGATCCTTGGCGGACTGAGCCACGAACTCCATTATCCCTGCTTTGATCCCCTCTACCGTCTGGGAGAGCTCGTCCATGGTCTCTCCGCCGACGCTGGAAAGCAAGAATACGCCCAGAATCTTGCGCGCAGTGGTGACAATCTGCTCTTGGAATAGCTGAGCTTCTGAAGTGCTGCTGCTCACGTCGTTACTGTCATCATACAGATCAAGCGTGGATAGAATTTCCATGGCTTCCGACGGCGCCTGACTGGGGGCAGAGACAGCCCCGTCTGCTTCCAGGTCTATGAGGGTACCGATCGGAGTCTTGCCATGTTCCTCATCGGAAGCATGATCTATTTTGACGGCACTAATAAGCGGGCTTGGGGGCTTGGTCATCGTGCTAGCGGCGACAGCGGCAGCGGCTTCGTTAACAGCAGGAACATTGGGATAGCCTGCTGCGATGTTGGGCTGCTGGACCTCAGGAGCAGCGAGTAGCATGAGGTGTTCCGTAGGCTTAGGCGATTGCGCCGCTACCGGGCCCGGATGAGCAACCGGTGCCGCAGCTCCTGGGCTTTTCAGAGTCGCGATGCCTTTCTTCTCAGACTCCCGAAGAGAATGCACGGAGTTCAAGAACTCTACCATCTGTTCCTTCTCTTTGAAGAATAGCTCATAACCCTGGGAGACGCTCGTGCTATCCATGAAGAAGACACCGAGCTGCAACGTGTCTCCCGAGGTATAGTCCTGCCAAGCCGAGATTGGCCATTGGCGATACACTTGACTGTATGCCACGATTCTAAACCATCCCAACATTGGGGCAGGAGCGGCGGAAAGAAAAACCATCGCGGGTATTGCCGGGTTGATATCTCTGCTCAGGAACGTAATAGTGGCCTTGAATATGACGTTTTCGAGCTCAAAAGCAAGACCAGATGGTGAGGCGTTCTCGCCAACAGGAATGACGGGGCCCGGCAGGGGAATGGCCGGGGCCGGTGGCGGAATGGCCGGGGCCGACGCAGACACCAAGGCAGGCCTCGAGCTTGCTGCCACCTGTGTGTTGTTGAATTTGGCAGTGCGCTGATTGGGTCTGCTCAGAGGAGTCAAGACCGCAGGCCGGGACATAGCCTTGTTGATCTCCGAAAGGAAGTTGGGCCTGGCCCGTGGTCCATTATACTGGTCGCTCACCCGCTTTCTCTTATTGGATTGAATCGTATCATTCGGCAGCTGGCCTTGATTAGCAGGCTGGCGAGTGAACCTGTTCGATGGTCAGCATATATACTTGTCGACGTATCTGGGAGGGAAAACCAACTTCTCATTGCTGCGACTCAGGAGCGATTTGGTTTGGTTCTTGGCCGCTTCTTTCCTGTTAAGGAGTTGCTTCTGAGACTGAGCGGTGTCGTACAGTCTTCCACCACCCAGGTCACTGAGACCTTCGACAGCAGCAGCATCCTCGTCCTTGAAAGTACCAGACGATATAGCATCTAAAGATTGTCAGCATGGTTTCAGTCTAATATAGTGTTCCTTGGCCAGTGGATAAAACTTACTGGACCATCTTGGATCTAGTGTAACGCGATCCCGGGGTCTACGGTCACGCAACTCAAAGCCGCCTCCAGGGTGGTGGCGGCGATGGTCACGATCATGTTTATCATCTTCCAAGGGAAGCTCTTCCAAACGCGCGAGGCCAAGGTCGTCCTAGCGAGCAACATCTGTCAGTCATGGTTGTGGTATGTAGTAGGGAGGCGGCGGGGGAATGAGCGAAGCAAACATGCCCGGGTCCCGACTAGAAACCAACTCCTTCCAAAGCTCCAGAAGAGAGTACGTGCGCACTGGAGATTGAAAGCATTTACCATCATGGCTTGCTGAATAGACCACTCGGACATTCCCGTCTTCTCTTTTTCCTCCGCAGCTGCCTTGTTGGCAGACCCTTCAGGGAGCGGCTGGCTAGGAGGCCCAGCCATGGTGCCGAAGTGTCGAGGGTCGGTTCTCGGGATTGTTCGCCTTCTGGTCTAGGGCAACTTTGACTCGCAGGCGCAGACAGACAGGATCAAGGCAGACCAAGTCAATGGATTTAGACGGTGTCGCTTGATTTCTGAATGACTGGAGATAACCCAGACTAGAATTTCGGAGGATGGGCGTCGAGGGACTAAGATAGACTGCATGCAACTTCTTAGTATCCGCCTGTAGAATGAATCCCTGTAACAAGAAACAGAATGTCTGACAGAGGTGGAAGAGAAGAGGTTAAGGAATAAGGAAGGATCCACCAACGAGTGGATGGTAAAGAAGGAAAGAAGGAGCGATCATGGAAAGACACTACTAGTAGCTTGAAAAGAAACAAGACAGTCGCTCCTGTCGTGTTCATCGGGGAACTTACCAGGCAACAATGCCTTGCAGATGAGCCTAGCAACCAAGGGAATACTTGAGAGCTAGTCAGTTCTGATGATGAGGAAGGCTGGATAGACCGTGGTTTCCTACCTTAGATGTCGCTTCTGGTACGAAAGAGCGACCTGGTATTGGCGCGACCACTTGCAGTCGACCAGACAAAGAAGGTAAATAAACCCAGGTTAAAGAGTAGCAGCCTGCAAGAACTGCAAGAGAAAGAAAAGAAAATGCCTTGAAACGGAGAGTCAAAGGGGATAGAGAGTAGGCCTCGATATGCCTGAGTTCTGAGGGCGACCTTTGGGAAGCTGCAAAGAAAACTCTCGTAGGTGTGGTGAGGGAAGGGAAGAATTTTCTTCTGGGTTTGAATTCTCGCAATGTGTACCTCATATACCCGCATATGTCGTCGACGGGAGCAGGATCTTGTCGAGCAGGATCTGGGTCAGACCCGCCTTGAGGTTTGAAATTACCTGCGAGATGCTGAAGGTTCCGGTTCGTTTATCTCGACGACGAGGAGCATAACATATGTTGTGGTATATCTGGCTGCCGCGGATAACGCGAGCTCGGCGGCCATGGACAAGATCGTAGATGTCTCCCGCTTGTTTACTTGGGGATAACAGTTAGAGTCTTAGAGTTATGCGTTGCTCGGTGTAAGTTCAAATCAAATGGCGAAAAAGGGCATGGCAAGGAGCGAGGGCATGCCACTCAAAGTTGAACAGGTTGCATGTGGCTCTCAGGTTCCTTTCTCAGTCGGGTCCTTAGAGTAATGAGCTCAGGGGAAGGGAGCTGTTTATCAGGGGCAGACAAACAATGTACCATCCATACATCGTGAGACGTATGGCAATGGAACTTATACCTGTAATGTAAATTCTACATTATATACCCTGAATTAAGTCTCCTGTCTGTACTTTACTGTCGCTGGCTTGAATGGGGCTGGCTTTGGGATGACTTGATATGGCTCGTGCACCTCTTATACTGATGATATACTTCCACATGGCTTTTGGGTCTCAGGCAGTCTATAGCTCTGTATTGTACTGTTATACAAGGTATCATTAAAATTGATTTAGGTACCACTTTGGATTTCAGACTGTTGCATCTAGTCAGAATGGCATTGTCACTGAGGCCAAGTCATGACCTGGACTCCTAGAGCACGAAGCTATTTCCCCGTGGTGCTTACCACTTTACCTTGGTTCACCCAAACCACAATGCAGACCAAGGAAGGCAGTCACTGCTGTGAGTATGGTTTACAGAAGGTACCTGAGTCTCGGGCTTTGCCTGCAATTGCCAGTTGCCTTAGGTTGGTGTTACTCCATGGCCCATTTTCTCATCAGTTGAGAGTCAGAGCAACACACAATTAGAAGGACACTATTAGATGAAAGTAAATCTACATTCCGCAATGCCTACCTTACTCACGTCTCGAGAATAAAGAGGCTTTCAACACTGTCTCACCGTCAAGCAAAGCATAGGTGGCACGAAATATGACTGGACAAGATAAGGTGTGTTCATAATTGCTCTGATAGTAACTGATACGGTTTGTTCATAGGTGCTTTGATAGTAACTGAAGTCACTGAACATACGCAATGACATTTGCAACAAAATGTTGCTAATAATGGGTTTCCAATCCGACCATGAATGCATTTGATTCACCCCAACCGGGGCCCCAAAACGCCGTTTGAAAATTGAAATTCCCATCAGTTATCACATAGTACACGCGTTGCGTCACGCAGTGCAATCATCCCTTGCTTCTTTGACTCTCCTCCCATTCATTCTTGAAAAGTCCTTCACTTGAGCGGCTCCTCCAGACCCTACTTTACTTGCCCTGGCGACCAATACCGCTCATGTCAACGTCCCCGGATGCCTTGGTAGCGGGCTCACGCAGGCCGGAAGAAATGCCGTCGCCCTTGGATACGTCGCCCGCGGGGACGCCGGTGCTGGCTGTGGTGCGCATGTCGGCCGACTTCATGTCTGATGCGGCGGGCGGCTGGTCGGGGAGAGGCAGATTCGCCTTGACGCGGTCAATCTTCTCAGCCTTGGACTCGGGCATTTCTGTTTTTTGATGCGAAATGTGATGGTTAGCTTCTGCTCACTCCGAGTGCTGGTACAAGAACGAAGCTGATGCACAGAGTGAGGGGCCGTACTGGATGTAGATTTTAGTTTCGTTCCGTCGATGTTTCGGATGTGATTGTGCTCTTGATAGGTGACAAAGGAATGGTATAGAAGTTCTAGGTAATGCGAGTTGACTGATTGAAACCTTAAATACCCGTTATTCTCCCCTGAAGCGTTTGGAAAGCTGGTGTGCATATGATGTCATAGCCCGACGTCATCAACCCGAAGGCACAACCATCACCCAGGCGACCCATAACAATACCTACACTTAAACGGTTGGAATTGTGCAATTAGATCCACTTGGCCTAAATCCCCTTTGTTTTGTTCAGGAGTTCTGGCAATGACTTGGTGATTGGAGTAAGGGACCCTTCAATTCATCTATGCAGCTTTGGGAGCTTTATGCGACTTGCTACGAATCTACGATGGTCTAACTGCAATGTGTATGCATGTTCCTTCAACTTTGCTACAATGTGGCTATAGGATTATTTGCAGATGGTGAGCTCTGGCTTAATTAACGTTTAGGGAGCTCCGGAAATAGAATGGCCGCCTGCAAGGCCCTACATTTCCGCCTCGCCCATTTCCACTTTGATGGTGGTTGGAAGCAGCACTTTCCATTCCGGCTCCGCCTTGGGAACGATCTCAACCTCGATCGGCTCGATCGGCTTCGGCAAAGCGTCGGTAAGCTGGAGTCCCACCCCGGGCTCCCTCCACACCCCCTTTACCGGTCTTATGTCAAACCGGCTGATCAGCAAAGCGGCGAAACACAAAATCTCGTTGGTGACGAAGTGCCGACCGGGACACAGCGTCGAGCCGCCGCCAAAGCCGCGGAAGGCAGCCGGGCTGGGTCGCTTCATGGCACCGGTGTGACCCTCCCGGTCGCGGAGGAAGCGTCGGTGGTCGAACTTGGTCGAGTCCGGGCCCCAGACCGAGGCCTCGCTGTGGAGAGCCGGGGTGACGACCATGACTGTCGCGCCCTTTTTGAGCAGATACCGTCCGTCAAACAGGTGGTCTTCCATGACGACGCGTGCCTGGAGGCCGGTGTGTCGGTACCGGAGCGTCTCCTGCCACGTTGACAGCAGGACGGGACACGACGACTTGACCTGGCCGAGGTCGAGCGTGCAGATACCGGTGGAGGCATCGCGCGTCACCAGCTGCTCCACTTCGCGGCAGCAGTCCCGCAAGACGGCCGGATCGGAAAATATGTGCCACACGAACCAGAATGAGGCGGGAATGGTGTTGGTTATGGCCGCGGATGTTTGGCCGATCTCGCCCCGAGCCATGTCCTCAAGGCCCAGCCCGTGCTGCGTATTGTAAGCGAACCGGCACTTAACCAGGGGGGAGCCTTCCTCGTGGTAGCCCTTCACGAAGTACTCCATCATGTCCGGGACGAGGGACTCCCGTGCCTGGAAGCTCGCGCGGGCCGTGATAGATGGCCATGGCCATGCCATGAGCTGCATAAAGCCTGGTTCGAATGTCCTGGGAACTGTTATTACTAGGAGCCTCAAAAAGAGACAATAAGCAACGGAGGGAGCTTAGAATCTACTCACCACCAAGCCGCCTCATGCTTGGGATTCTTAAAGATGTTGTGTGGACCATAGATTGCGTTGGTAGTAGCCAGCATCATTTCGTGTCTGATCCACTGAAACAGGTCAACCCTGGTAGTAGTCTTGCGCGTATCGAATGACGCTCTGAGTAGCTGCACCGAGGCTCTAGTGATCTCGTCCAGTCCAGCCCCGGGAGAGAGGGCTGGATGAAGAGCTTTAACGAAGGACCCCAGGTACGAGTCTTCATGGTTCATATTGGCCCCTAGAATATCGCAACCTTGGGGTGTAAGCCCCATAATTTTTTCAGCGGCGCGATGCTCAATGGGGTGGAAGGATAGAACGCGAGGCTGGCGCTGGAGTGGTGGAATGAGAGACAACGAGTCGATGACATATGTACGCGCGCCGGGCATGCGTAGCGTGTAGATAGGAAGGCCATATTGGTCTCTGAGTAAGGTAGGGCAACAAATCGTCAGTTGAGGCTGCAGAAGATGTCACGTATGCCTAACCTCAGCTTAAGGAAGAACTTCGTTTTCCCGATACCCAGGCCGAACAAGGGGCCGATGAAGGGTATTGAAGTTGCCAGTGCCTTCGGCTCCTTCTCGTCCTGGGTCAGTCGCAACAGGAGACGGAGAAAGGTGTAAGCGACCGCCAGGCCGGCAATCAAGCTCCAAGCAGTTTGATCTATCATTGCTAGGCCCATCGCGGTGTGTGCAGTGTGGAAAAGGACCGAAGAGTGAGCTCGACCAAAGCCGTATTTGACGGGGGCCGGATTTGTCCATATGTATTTGACAGTCCTCCCGGCCGTTGTCTGTTTCTGGTTTATCGCCGGATTCTCGGCTTGAACATGGGAGCTCCGCACCAACTGATGGGCTACCTACCTCCATACCGAATCAGGAATTCAGGGGTACGTTATTGAATCTACCAGGGAGTAGGAAGGAATGTCAGCCCTCTAGGCATCCAATGTAGCTCGACCAACTTACCCTTACCTGGTCCCCAGGGCCGAAAAGGCCGGTCAAATAACAGGGGAGTCGGGGCCTATGACAGCTGATTGAGAGTATTTGACCGGGAGTCGGGGACCATGCTAGCCGATTAGCTGTCTTACACGCACCGTGATGATGCACGTCCTGGCATCCAGCCATCAACATCACCAACAGCCCGCACTAATAAAAACACTTGGCATACCTTGGTGGTACGTACTCTGCCTGAGGCCGCCTTTCGCTGCCTCTTTTGGCTGGCAACAGTGTGGGCTGTCCAATCAGCTCTCGCACCAGATATATTCCGTTGGTTGACCCGGGGTTGGGGGCGATGGAGGATTCTGCAATCTGGATCCTACCTCTGCTTACCGTACCTCCCACTTCACGTACACCGCAGGATTGCCATGTGCATGTGCAGAGGTCAGAGCTGTCGGCCAAGTGTGGCCCCTTGCGGCGGGTGGTGTGCGAGTACTTTGTATGTACTTGGATATGACAAGGTTAAGTACCTAAGGTAGGTTGCCGGCACGGAAGAGTTCAATATTGGGGCTTTACCTAGATCTGGAAACTGCTAGCTTGGGTGAGATTCCCTGCCCTGTCTGCGATCGAGGAAGGAGACGACCAAAGCAGGCACCAACAAGTTCAACATAGAGCACATAGAGCGTCTCGCTCTTGCTGTCCCAGCCTGTCCTCTGGATGGGCACAAAAGGAGCAAAGTCCACCTGTCACCTGCTTGCTACTTCGCGCGAGTATAAACGCCCCCCCTCCCCGCGGAAGTTTTCATTGCCCACGCTCTTCACTGGCAGCCGCGCAGCGGGAATCAGAGAGGTCCACATCCGCAAAGTTGTACTCTTGTCCTCCGCTGTGCCGTAAACGTCGCTATGCATCACAATCTCATCATCTGTGGTGAAGCGCTCCATGAGTAAGTTGGCGTCGAATTGTCCCATATGTATTTGATGGCAGGTTACCTTACGTTGTTCCCGAAATTCCGATGAGCCATGTCCTCCAGAAGGTGCAGTTAATGGGCCAAGCTATAACCCTAACCCAGCACCAACGATCGAACTCCGAAGTCACCCGACGCGCCACGCCGTGCCGAGGCCAGTTGAAAAATCTTGGATGCGACGATGCTTCTCGAATTTGCGCATGATTCTGCGCTGAGATTCGACGCTGTCCTTCCAAGCTGTACAAAAATGCCCATGACACTCGTTTCTCTAGGATGTATGGACAGATAGTTGGAACACCCTGCCTCGACCGAAAAGGATGCTGAAACAGAGCTTTTCTTCGCTTTTCAGAAAACCCCTGACCGCAGGCTGGACTTGCGCAAGTTGTCGCAAACAACTAGTACTTCCTGGACCCAACGTCTTCCGTAAGCCCATTCCCCGGCAATATGGCAGCGCAGCAGGACCCTCGCCTACCGCCCCAAAGGTGAAATCGCGGCGACGGACAGCAGTGCTCTTGGCGACTAGCGGCGGAGCGGCAACGGCCCTGTACCTATCGTTCGGGGACGACATCAAGAGCGGATGCCAAGCGGCTGTGCGGACCGGGAGGGTGGCCTCAACACTTGTTCTTTGCATTAATGATTACCGGACCACACTGAATCAGCGAGATGGGATCCAAGACGCAGAGGAGAGGGAGATCGTTCTCAAGGCTTGCCATAAGCGATGCGCCTTGAGGACGCTAAGGGTGCTTGAGAAAAATGGCGGAATATTCATCAAGCTCGGGCAACACCTGGTAAGCCCTTCTTGGAAGCTGTGTGCCTAGTTTGAGTACTGACCCGGCTTCGCAGAGTGCCATGAACTACCTCCTTCCCGCGGAATGGACGACGACCTTCATACCCCTTCAAGACAAGTGCCCGGTGTCTTCGTTCGAGTCGATTGAGGAAATGTTCAAGAGGGATACCGGCGAGGAGTTATGGGACTACTTCTCCGAGTTCTCGCGAGAGCCTATCGGAGCTGCATCCCTTGCACAAGTCCATCTGGCGACAATCAAGGAGACAGGGCAAAAGGTGGCGGTGAAAGTTCAGCATCCGAGCCTAAAACAATTCGCAAGGTTGGACATGTCGCTCACCAGCTTCACCTTTTCGGCACTCAAGCGCTTCTTTCCCGAGTACGACCTAGAGTGGCTGTCGTCCGAGATCGAGGTCTCACTACCGCAGGAGCTGAACTTCCAATGCGAGGCGGCGAACGCCATTCGTACGAAGGACTATTTTTCCCGCATCCCTGAGATACCTCTCGTTATCCCCGACGTGATCTGGGCCAAGAAGCGCATCCTCGTCATGGCTTGCGAGACGGGGCGTCGCCTCGACGACCTCTCGTATCTCGATTCGAATGGGATTGACCGTGACGAGGTGTCCGCCACGCTGGCGCGTATATTCAACGAGATGATTTTCGGCGACGGAGCGCCGTTGCACTGCGACCCGCACGGTGGCAACATCGCGATCCGCAAGAACGAGGCACGGCGAGGAGCCAATTTTGACATCATCCTCTACGATCACGGCTTGTACAGGGACATACCGCAGGCGCTGCGGCGCTCGTACGCAAAAATGTGGCTCGCCGTGATCGACGGCGACATGGAACGGATGAAGAAGTACGTGGGCGAAGTGGCGGGCGTCGGCGAGGACAAGTTCCCGCTGTTCGCCTCGGCCATCACCGGGCGGGATTTCAGCGTGGTGAGCTCGTCCATCATGAAGCCCAGGGACCCAAGCGAGCAAAAGACTATGAGCGGGGCGCTGCAGGAGGGTCTGCTCGTGGACCTGGTGCAGATGCTGGGCCAGGTGCCGCGCATCATCCTCCTCATCCTCAAAACCAACGATCTCACTCGCAGCCTGGACGAGAACCTGCAGACGCGGCAGGGTCCCGTGCGGCAGTTCCTCATCCTGGCGCAGTACTGCATGCGGACCGTGTACCACGAGCAACTCGATGAGATCCGCCACCGCGGGTCGCTGTACTGGCCGCCCAACGCGCTCCGCGTGTTTGCGGCCTGGTTGGGGCTCGTGAGGGTGCGCTTGAAGCTGGAGGCGTTTGAGCTGTGGATCAGCATCAAGCGCATGTGTGGTTATCAGAACGGGATATACTTGGGTGGGATGGCATAGAGAGATACCTCGGGTTGACAACTAAGCGGGCGCATTGTTCCAACATTGCATATATATCGCTGTTAATCTACACCCTCTCGTCATGAGGACACGGTTTCCGATGGTACGAGTGGCAGGATTGAGTGGATGATCCGAGCTCTTTCTTTTATGCTTCCACCGTTCTGGGTTGTGTAAGTGCTTCCCACACCTGTGGTTCCCAAACACCAGGACAACTTCTTTGAGTGAAGTGTACCCAGCTGTCATTGCTTTCACCAGCTGATTGCTGTGACCCTGCTTCGTCCATCACGAAGGACTGGATAAGACGGATCAAGTAAATAGAGGTTGTACTTGGCCAAGTGGCCACTCCAGGTCGCGAAGTACATATGCTGCTTAGGAACCCTCGCTTGTTGCTGCAGCTTTTGGCCAGGAAACGAACACTCGACGCCCAACGATATACAAGGCTAGCAGACAACGGTACAATACCCTACGATACAAGGTCAAGCAGTAGTCCACAAAGACCCTATCTCGATTCCCTACCAAGTTCTGAGAATATCTCAACCTCATTCCTCCACTCGCTGGGAAGTAATAGCGACAATTACATGCTGGTACCACCACCACTATAACCCAAACGCTTGTGATCAGCCATGTGCGAGTGGGAGCCCGTGATATACCGTTGTGGGTGCGGACACCCGGATTCGCCACGGCGAAGACATTTGTGCCGCGGATGGAAGAGGCATAGGCGATGCTCATACAGATACAACTCAGCAAGCACACTGCAGGTGGGCGGCAGATGTCCATACCACGCGCGGGAAGAACGACGAAACGATCGACGTAGGCAGCCCAGATCGAGCGTCTGGGACTGGGATGGCTTCTGGGATGGCTTCTTGCATGAGCTGTCGCGGTGAGACGCGACTGGCCGTGGGTACGCCGACTAATTCAATGCCGGTTTGATACCACGAGGAGCATCTTGATTTTTACCAGGTAGATCGTAGATCAAGGGGGTTAGTTCCCTTCTTCATGCGCAAGAGCATAGGATATATTGGGTGGTATCGTCGACTTCCAGTGTGCTGCTGGCTGCACCTCATGGTGCCGCGCACACTGGGGAGTAATGTGAAGATCAAGCCTTGAGTTGGATCTAGTTTGTTTGGATTCCTGTTGTCGAAATGCCAGTGCTCTTCCACATGCGCGTAAATCCAGGATTCATATACCGGACTATGGGTTCGATTTCAGCTCCCCAACCTGAGTTGTGCTGTTCTCCAGGTGTCACCAGCATTTTGAACGCCGTTGCCTGGCTCGTTGTCTAGGAAGGGAGTGCATTGCGTCCAAGCCTCGAATACTGTGTAACTTGAAGTGAGTGAGTGGTGCCAAGGACAGGGGCTAGGCATCAGCAATAGGACTCAGCCACGGCCCACAACAAGTCAGTCAGACCTTCCATATATCCCGTCCCTACTCTCTCGCCTTTCCTCCAACTCTTCACCGTCCCAACCACCTTCATCACCACCACGGGTTGTCAACAAAAAAGGCCAAGGCCAGGGACAGAGAAAGATGTGGTCCTCCCTCAAAGCCGAACTCCTCAACAAAACCTCCCATCGCCGCCCTGAACCCACTCCCCCTCCCCCTCCACCCCCTGCACAGCTTCCCTCAAACCGCCCAATCAAAACAACCTACCGCTCCAACCTCGTCCCCATCCCGCCAGATTTCCTCACCTCCCCAGCGACTGACTCCCCGGGCCCCGTGACCACGACCCAGATCCACTGGCCAAGCACTCCGCTGGCCCAGTACGGCGACGCGTATGCCGTCGTGCTCGACAACGTGCTCTCGCCGAGCGAGTGCGCCACGCTCCTCGCGCTAGCTGAGGCCAGCGTGCCCAGGAATGAGGATGGTGGTGGTGGTGACGACGGTGGTGGTGGTAACGACCCGTGGCAGCCCGCGCTGGTCAATGTCGGCGGCGGCTACGAGGTCCTGACGCGCGAGTACCGGAACAGTGACCGCATCGTGTGGGACTGCCAGGAGGTGGTTGACCGCATCTGGCGGCGGTGTGTGCTGGGCGGTGCGGAGGGGTTGGTGAGGAAGAGGTTGGCGGAAGTTGGAGGCGGGGAGACGGCCATCACGGGCGGATCGAGGAGGCGCTGGGAGGAGGGAGATGCGGGGCGGTGGAAGTTTTTGAGGGTGAATGAACGGATGAGGTTTTTACGGTATAAGAAGGGCCAGTTTTTCAAGCGTGAGTTTACCTAAAAAGAGTTGTCAGGGGGTTGGACTGATGGACTGATTTACCTGCAGCACACTGTGACGCGCCCTATTTTGACACCAGTGATCCGGAGAGGACCATCAGGACGCTCTTCACCATACATGTCTACTTGAACGACAGCAAGGCCGAGGCAGGTGAGGATGCGGAGCTGGTGGGCGGGGCGACCAGCTTCTTTTCCTCCGATGAGAAGACGAAGCTGGATGTCAACCCCAAGGCCGGACGGGTGCTCATTTTCCAGCACCACCGGCTTCTGCACTCGGGAGACGATGTGCTTACTGGCATTAAATACAGCATGCGGACGGACATAATGTACGAGTATGTCAAGGATATTAAGGATAAGGAGGACGAGGGGAAGGGAAAAGTGTAAACAGAAGGGTTTATAAGCCCCTTTGATACCCCTGTAGCAAACTGAAAGTCGCTAAGCTTCTCAATCCTCCTCCAAAGTCCAGACTACTTTCTGATCTGTTTATACAAATAATCCAACCCCTGGCCTGGTACCGTACCCCGTCAACACGCCGAGGAGATCCGTTGCCAAGAGCAGGTGGGGCGCCCCCTGTTTCACGTTCACTCAGTTGATCCTCGACTCCTCGAAGCTGAGGATCACCCACATCTGAACCTGACAATTCTCCAACTTGCACTTGAAAACGTCAGACTCATAGCCGTCAAGCACCTCATAATCCCTGTATGACCTAGGAACTCCAGATCAGTCACCATGCCCACCCCAGATTTGACCTCGCCAGCCCTCTTCCCCGCCTTCTCCGCCCTTCCCCTAACCACCCCTTCCCCATCCCCGTCCCCATCTCAACCCGAACCCACCGAAGCCCCGAGAGAAGACAAGCGTCAAGAATGGTACCTCCTCGCGCAAATCAAAGAGGACATGACGCTGACCAAACCCACCCTCATCCTCTCCGACGTCCAATCAAACTCCTTTGCCTTGGTCTTCGACATGCCCCAAGACGCACTTAACCTGTCCGCGCTGGGGCTCAAAAAGGGTGCGACGGTGGTCATACCGCGCGCTACAAAGACGTTACCGCCGGACGGCGAGGGCGGCAAGAAGCAAGGCTTTGTGCGACTGGGCATGGACCAGGTTAGCAGCGTGCGCGCCATCCCCGCGGGGCTTGAGAGGACTGTGCAGGTAGCCCGGTGGTTGAGGGAGCGGGAATCCGAGACGGAGAAAGAGGGAGAAGAACGGGGCGGAGGGGGTGAGACGGGGTGCGAGAGCTGTGGGAGGCAATTTGGAGGTCAAGGAGAAGGGTTAGTGAAGGGTATGAGATGTACCGGGTGTGGCGAGGTCAAGTACTGCAGCAAGGTGAGTGGTTGGCTTTGTCGATTTACCGCAGCGAGGCGGTTCATATCTGCGTGTCTATGAGGTGAGGACTGACGTGGACCGGTTCTAACGGGAGCAGGAGTGTCAGGTCAGGGGATGGAACGAGGGTGGGCATAAGGGGGATTGTAAGATCATCAAAGCGATTCGCTCCATCTGGCCGTGACTGGAATAAGGTGTGCTGAAGACACGCATCTTTCATTATTCAGCCTGCTGCCATCAACATGCCGGCCCGGTAACCACTGATACCCAAGAACCATTCATTGCCTCGCCACTCCACGGGAAAGTCGCCTTGAACAAAAGAACACCACGTCGAACGCCAAAACTGCAGGGGAATAAAACGCCAACACAAAGACAGCCCTCACCCACCTCCGAAACCAGTTCTCGAAGAAGAAGAGGAGGAAAGAAACAGCGTCTATGATTTACGACAGTGGACTCTTAATCCCCTATACTCATCCACCCAAACGTCCCGATCGCCGACACCAGTATCAAAACCGTCAATATCCCCGCCCCAGCTTTGTCCCCGGTCGTTGGAGGATCCGACTTCTCCTGGAACGTGTCCGAATTGGTACCCGCATTATAATCTCCTTGACTCGTCCCGCCGGTGGAATTCGTGTAAGGCGGCGCGGCCTGTCCGATGAGAAGCGTCGACACGGCGGCGAGGACGTTCATCTGCTGTCCGGCCCCGTGGCTCCCGTCGTATGCCTTGGTGCTCCACTTGAAGCCGCACGTGCGTCCGTTGGCTTCGCCCGTGCACGTCGAGACGGCGGCTTCTGTGGAAGTCTTCAGCACGGGAAGGATCGTGTCGGCGAGGATGGGCGCGACTTGGGTCGACTGTGCGAGCCAGCGGTGAAGGTATCCCTTGAAACTGAGCATGTCGGTGGTGCACGTCATGTGCTCCTCGCAGGCGATTTCGTAGGCGATGTTGTCGGGGAAAAAGAGCCTGATTGTCGCGTTGGTCAAGCCTACGAGTCGCTGCTTCCATATTTCGCTCCCGTCGGTCTGTTGGATAGCATGTTAGCCTATTTCAGCGGATCAGCTGAGGGGTGAGACGCACGTAATTGTACATGAAGGCAGCCCCTTGCAGGAAGACGGCATTGTTGTACGAGAACTGAGCGCGGTTGATGTCGGTGCAGTTATGCTCGACGTGAGCGCCGTCGTAGATATTGTAGTCGTCGTCCATGAAGCCGACGGCCCTCATCCAGTCCCAGGTTTTCTCGGCCCAGTCGGCATACGTCTGGTTTCCAGTGTAACGAGCAAGTCTCGCGCCGAGGTTGAAGAAGCAGCCGTTCGCGATGCCTGCTGTTGGTCAGCGGTGCTTCTACGTACAAGGGTGACGGAGTTCCTACTGTTCTTGTAGTTGTAACCGTTGTTCGACAACGGAATCTGCCACCTAAGCCCACCGTTGCAAGTAGTGTCGTGGCGATCCGCGCCCGCCTGCGTGTGGAAGACAGCCTGGGCCAACGCGAGCCATTGTGCTTGGTCACTTGGAGGATTGGGAAAGCCGTTTTCGGCCGCTAGCATGGCCGACATGCCCCAGAAACCTTGGTCGTCGTTGCCCAAGGATGCCGTCACATTGGGTGGCATGTAGTCCTTGTTAGGCCCAACCTGCCAGAGCATTGCCTGCATAATCACATCGTTATACGAGGCGTCGCCCGTCAGTTTCCAGTAGTCGATCAAGGTCCCCCACATGGCACCCGCCTCCCACCAGTAGTAGTCTCCTGCCGGGGGCGGGCCGGGGAGGATGCCCGGTGTTTGTCCTGATTCATTGCCATGATAGTATTGCATGAGATCCCAGGCAATGTTTGCTGCTGTTGTTTTTATGTCGGCTGTGCGTATTCGTCAGCGCGGACACTGGTTCGGCTGGCTCTCAGCAAAGCTTACCGGTGGTTGCGATGCTGTACACGGCGTTTACGGCGCGGGCCCCGAAGAGGGCGGCAGTCGCCAGTTCCACCAAGAAAACCATGGCTACGAATATGAGCGAGCGACAAAAGTTGGCGAGAGGGGGGAAAAAAAAGGAAAAGAACGCCTTCCCAGAAAGAATGATAATGATCAGGTCACAACCATCAGCCGAGTGTTCGAGGGTTCGGCCTCTCTGGTGATGGCTGATTTCAAGCTGGACTTTGTATTCCCTGGCAAACGGCAAAGGAGGAGGGAAAACTTGGAACGGGAGGGCGTCGCAGTGATGCGCGTCCTTCCCGTTTCGTATTACCCGGCCACAAATGGGCCCGGTAAGTGGGCGGGGGTACATCCTCTACATTCGGATGATAACGGGAAGTAAGAGAACGTGAGCATTTTCTAAGAGAATCACGAAGTCACCCTAACACGTCAACCAGGGTCACTGTATATCTATGTAGACGCATCCCGTCATTTCCAACGACCGCGCAAGTCGGCACAAATAGTGGGGCTCCCGGCGCAAAAGGAGACGATGGAAGTTGTCCCCTATCTTCAGTGATTTGTACTGTACAATCATTTTGATCACTGAACAGAAGCAGTGGACTCGCCCATCAGTTCGACAGGAACACTTCTCAATCACTCCATTTTCTACAAACCAGTCGCTTGATGACGTGATGTTCCTGGATGCCCTCGATGTCAATCAGGCTTGGCTTCCTAGAAAACGTTCCGTACTCGACGCCAATTCATCTTGGCGGCCAGACAAGCAATGCCAAGGGCAGCCATCCCGCCAGCGCCTGAGCTCGGGGCATGGAGATCGATCTTCACACGCCGCCTTGGCGGTTGCAGAGCCATACGTCCCAAAGAAATTGAACGTCCTATTCCAGCAGAACTTACTGAATGGTTTCTGGTAGATCGGTAGTACAGCCTGGCGTTTCCGCGATGAACTATTTGACTTGCATCCATGGATGCACCTGTGTACAATACAATACAGTAGCCTGACTCTCAGTCTCTGCGCATCGCATGAGAGAAGCCTTTGTACACGGCTTCTCCATCTGAGTTCATGACCCAATTGATTGCGTGAGGCGATGATGCTCCCGACTATTTCGCATACGTAAATACACCTTTCTCTTTGTCAACGGTGTCAGCGTTCGTTTGCCAGTCTTGTCCCATGGGCTTTGGAGGAAGATGTCCTCTTAGCAGTCGGCCCGGCCGGGGAGTGCAACTCGGTGAACACAGTAGATGCCATGAGCCGGAATGGCGCAACCTCTCTGGAAAGGCGGTATGTAGAATTCAGGAGAGCAACTGCACCTGTCAATATGTAAGGCACAGTACATAGGCAACGTTACACATCCTTACTCCCATCGGCACTTCAAATTTGGGGATGCAGGTGTGAGATGACGGGTACGGATTCGGTTGCGCAGACTCCTGCATCTCACAATCCACAGACAAAATCCCCACACGTCAAAGGACAGTGCGTGGATGCTTGGGTCTTCTGCTGGCGGGCGATCACCCCACTCGGGCAGTATCCATAGATCAAGTATCCACTGGACCCTTTCACTAATCAAAGCCTACAACCAAGGACATTCAACTCCAACCGAGCACTCGAGGGCAGAATATCTCTATCGCTGCTTGAATCATGCCTTGAGCCCGGATCGCGACCAGATTGTCAAGTCCTAACGACCGGGCCGGTCGGGATTGCGCACTGCTTCTGTTGATTATTTAATGGCAGCCGTAAGGTGACACAAGCGGAGGTACAATATGTGTACCTCGTCCGGAGCGGGAAAGTGCAACGATGATGACCTCTGGCATCATCAGGCCTTGGCGTGTTTTCGCTCTTGTGAGACATTTGACCGCCAGACTACGGCCACAGGACGAATCCTCTTCAGGCATCGTCGGGCCCCTTTATTTTGTGGTCTTCTCTGTATGACCAGAGCAAGCTTAGTGTTGATTGATTGACTGCGGGCGAACTACTATCTCGCCATTGCATCGAGAGACAAAACATGGCGTCGTGGGTCGGTATGCGGGCAACGGCGACGCCGTCGCAGGTGGACGCTGTCGCGCGTGCAATCCGGAGCACGCCCATCATCGACAACCATGCCCACCCGCTCTTGAAGCCCGATGCTCTGTGCAAACACCCGCTGCTGGCCATCACCACTGAAGCAACCGGCGACGCCATCCACTCGGCCACCACGTCTCTACCCCATCTCCGCGCCGTCCGCCAGCTCGCTGCACGCTTGAATTGCGGATTCACCTGGGAGTCTGTTGTAGCTGCGATTGAGGAGAAACGACTCGGGTCGCTCGATGATTGGACGGCTGAGTGCCTCTCGGGCATCGAGACTATCCTGGTGGACGACGGCTTGGACGACGAAGAGGATGTTCATCCGTTCTCTTGGCACAGTGACTACACGCGCAGCGAGTGCAAACGCATTGTGCGCATCGAAAAGGTGGCCGCCGACATCATCCGCGAGCTCGGTAGCACATGCGACACGTCTACCAGGGACGAAGCCGCGCTCGTAAACTTATTCGGTGACTTTATCCGGGAGTTTGACAATCGCATAGTGGCGGCTATGAACGACTCGGACGTGGTCGGCTTCAAGTCGGTCATCTGCTACCGGACAGGTCTCGATATCGCCCGGACCCACGAGGGGAGTGCAATCCAGGGCGCATTCGTCAAGATCATGCGTGACTTTGCTCTCGCAGGGTTTCAAAGGCTGCAGGAGAAGAGCCTCAATGACTTTGTGGTGCTCCGTGCCGCTCTTCTGATCACCAGGCAGAGACCAGCAAAGCCGATTCAATTCCACACCGGCCTGGGCGACAACGACCTCTCTCTCGCAAAGGCTTCCCCGTCTCATCTACAGGAGTTCATCCGCGCCTGCCCGACGCTCCCTATCGTGCTCCTCCATTCTGGATACCCTTTTACTCGCGAAGCCGGATACTTGGCGTCTGTCTACGAGAATGTCTATCTCGACATTGGTGAAGTCTTCCCCTGCGTCAGCCAAGATGGACAAGAACGGATCCTGCGCGAAGTGCTCGAGCTGTGTCCCTGGTCCAAGATTCTGTGGAGTACCGACGGCCACTGGTTTGCCGAGACATACCTCCTTGCCATAATGCAAATGCGTGAAGTATTTGAGACGGTGAGTTCCATCTTTGCTTGACATGTCGTGCTGGCTAAAAATCCTTCCAGGTACTATGCGACTACGTCCGCAAGGGCCACATAGGCTGGAGGGCTGCCATTGATCTAGTACGAGATGTGCTCTTCAAGAACTCCAACAAGTTGTATCGGTTGGGCCTCGAGTTCTCAGAGCTGGAAGGAGACGCGTCGGTCCCTCTAGGCTCATACTTGAGTGATACCGAGATCCTTCACGCGTTTTTGAAGAATCAGTCTACCCCCGATTTTGTCAGGATTTGCTGGAACGACTTCACCGCCTCGCACAGGATGCGCATGATACCCTTCCGCAAGTTTATGTCTCTCTTGAACGAGGGTAAACCAACAGATATCAGCATCACCCGTGCAGTCTTTGGCCTTATCCAAAACGACCACCTCATACCCAGCACCGCTCCGGTAGGCGAATATCGTATACACCCAGACTTCTCCTCGCTCAAGAAAGGTCCCATTGATGGCCACATCAGCATGCAGGGCGAGTTTCGCGAGCCCTCCGGCGCGCCTGTCGCTCTCTGCCCGCGCACCACTCTTCAACGGGCCGTGGAACTCGGCGCCGCCAACGGACTCTCATTCCTCCTCGGCTTTGAGATCGAGTTTCTCCTCCTCGAGCGCGTCGAGAGAAAGCCAGGGGCGGTTGCGAACCGTTACACGACCCTCACCACCGACGGCCACGCCTGGTCTGTCAGCCGCTACTTTGCCGATCCCAAAGTGGCCACGCTCCTCCGCGACATGGTGGCGACCCTCGAGGACATGGGCATCTTCGTCGACCAGGTTCATGCCGAGTCCGCCACGGGCCAGTTCGAGCTCGTCCTCCCCCCTTACCCGCCCGTCGAAGCCGTCGATACCCTCCTCCACACCCGCGACGTCATGTCGGCACTTGCTACAGCCGCGGGCTTCAGGCTCACCCTGCACCCGAAACCATTTGCGCACGCCTGCGGCACCGCTTCGCACATGCACATGTCTATCACCAACTCTGCCTCGTCCGACAACGAACCCATCAACAAGCCAGACGTGTACCTGCCCTTCTATGCGGGCATCCTCAAGCACCTCCGCGCCATCGTCGCCTTCACCTACAGCAACCCGGCCAGCTTCGACCGCATGTCGGACGGCACCTGGTCGGGCGGACGGTGGGTGACGTGGGGCACGCAGAACAAGGAGACGGCGCTGCGGAAGATTGAGGGCTCTCACTGGGAGCTGAAATGCATGGACGGGTTAGCAAACCCTTTCTTTGCCGCTGCCGCTGTCCTTTTCGCGGGGATACGCGGGGTGTTGGAGGGCCAGGAGATGACGTGGGGCGACTGTGAGATGGACCCGTCCAAGCTGACGGCCAACGACCGCAAGGAGCTCGGCGTCACGCAGATGCTCCCCGCCAGCGTTGAGGAGGCGCTGGCGGCGCTCAAGGAGGACACGCAGCTCGTTGCCGATATGGGCCCCGAGTTGGTCGAGCGCTACGTGGCCATCAAGGAGTACGAGCTGGGCTTTTTGGGGCAGATGGGGGAGGAGGAGCGGAAGGAGTGGTTGATGGAGCGGTACTGAGCATGCTTCTGACTGCTCATTTCCCTGGGATCCGAAGAGAACCGAGACGAGATCGGAGAAGGAGCGGAAATTTGACAGTGAATTTTGGTTTCAAGCAACGCCTCTAATGGTAATGATGACTGTGAGATGGAAATAACCTAGAAATACAACCCAAAAACAAAACCTGTATACAACCCCAATCCATCAACCGAGGCCTGTTTATTCATTGTAATGCCCTTTCGCCCCAAGCCCAAGCATACCCTCGCTATGTCCAGCCCTCCTCCTCCTGCCCCTGACCTCGGCAATCCAGTCGCTCAGGCGGTAGCCCCAGTGCCCAGCCGCCAGAGCACCGCTCACCACGTTGACCACCCGGAGCAGCAGGACGAGGACGCTGTCGCGCGTCTCGACAATGTTGAGCAGGATGGGCTCAATGTCGTACTTGAAAAACAGGCCCGGGATCACGTTCTCAAGCACCTCCTGGCTCTGCTCCGTAACAGCGTACTGGTTGGTGAAGACAGACGTCGACCCGAACTCGTCCGGGCGGCCGACCGTGTAGGTGGTGGGCACGACCGACAAGAAGTATTGGAAGCGCATAAAGTGCGCGGGCGCCAGGTTGACGGTCCGGTCGAGCGGGTTGGTCAGAGCCGGGAGGTAAGGGCCGAAGGAGAACTCGGAGATGATGTGCGAGAAGTTGAAGGCTGGTTTTCGACGGGTTAGTCCAGTATGGGGATAGGGGAGAGTGGATGCGGGGAGGAGGGGGAGAGGGTTACCGTTATGATCCAAATGCTCCCCAAACTCCATATACCCATGGCCCCTCGCCGTGATGTGGAAATCCCCCTGGACCTTGTTCAGCTCCAGGCTGCCATAGATGCGACAGCTATCCGGCTCGGCGCCCCAGAGCCTCGGCGTGCGGCCCCACCTGGCCCTCTTCCTCCCCAGCGCGACAATGTCATGGACGTGCTCCTCGCCGAACCCTTCGTCGTGGTGGCCCCCCGTGAAGCCTTCCCCCGTGAGCAATCGGCCGTGGGCGTCGCGGCCGAGGCGATGCATGCCGCGTTCGTTGACCCACTGGGACCACAGTGTCGGATCGCGGCGGAGGGCCTCGGCGGCGAGGATGCGGTCCCCCGCGGCGTCCTGCACGTTGACGTGCAGGTCCTGGCACCGCATGCGCACCACAATGTCCAGGTTGATGTCGAGCCCGTGCGAGACGCCCTTCTCGACGGCGAACGTGTGCTGCTGGGTGCCCCGCCACCAGGCCGCCAGCTCGGTCCACATCAGCACCAGCGACACAATCACCACGGCTACCGTCCACTTGCCCCCACCCTCGGTGCGCGTGACATATTGCGGTTTGGATTTGGCTGTTGGTTTGACGAAAGACCAGCAGGGGATCGTTGATCAGCATACGCCTAGTTGTTGGAAAGGGGGAAAAGCGAAGGGTGCTCGGGGATTACATACGGAATGCGTCAAACGCGCTGACAATGTTCCCCGACTTTGGCCCAAAGGCGTCCTCGTCCAGTTTCTCGTAGCCGTTCATCATGGTTGCGGTGTTGGCGTGACCCCGCCGAGGAGGTCACTACGCTGGATCAATCGGTTCGTAGCCGCTCCTTTCCACCTCACCGTGTCTTTCCCTCTCTCTACTGTTGCTGGGATCCTTCAATTGGCGACCGGTTTTTGCTCGTCGATCGCTGGATCCGGCAGGTCTCGCGATAGTCGGACTGTATTGTACTAGAGTACTAGACCCCTCGTGCGGGTTAGCGCCTCGTGCCCTCGACGGGCGGCAGCTGTGGGATCGCCCTCTCTCGGCCAAGAAGGAAGTGATTGACGTTCAGTTCACATTTAAAACATCCATCAATATAAGATAGAGCACTGGGTGCAAAGAATTAAGGATTGCAGTCAACCCGTAAGCCGAGGCAGCATCAGAGGATACAGCAAGAGGACAGCTTGACCAAAACCCTGGGTCTGGGCAGCGCAGCGGTTTTGAACCCCTGCTCAGGTCGGGGGCCCCCATTGGATGAGGCTTCGCGCTGCGCCGGTGGAGTGGGTATTGGATCGCTCGGCAGTGATGCCGGTGCGGGTGGGGATCATGCAACGTTCATCACCCCGTACACAAGTACTGTGCAGTTGTAAATTTCTAGGGTATAAACCACAGTGTTTTATGCTTGGCTTGTTGTGTTCGCTGTTCGCTGCTATCCTAATAGGTATAGAAATGTCCGGTTATGCAGAAATGTGCAATTGTAATGATGACTACGCTCTCAGGTTAGCCCTGGCGCCACGTCCTTCTTGAGCCCGGGTTTGTAGAATCTCAATGTCTGCGCGGATCTCAACTCCGAAAGCATCTCGCTTTCCACAGACCCTTAATCCTCCTCGTCGGCAGAATCCACTATCCCAATTCCCTCATCCAGGGGCGGAGCGGAGGACACGGACGACACTGGGCTTGCTGTCGAAACACTTGATCCGGCTGAGCTTGTCCTCCGGTGCTTTCTGCTGGGCGGACCTTCTTCTAAAATTCCTGGTAAAGGAAGTCCCAGCAGTCCATGCCCGTCATCGTCAAACGTAAAGTGAATCATCCGGTTCTCTTGTGGCGGGCCTTTGCATATCGAGATCATCCTCCGCGTCAGGTTGTAAATGACAAATAACGCTGTCGTCTTGTGGCTAGTAGTGCGTTGGCATATAGTGCCCAGAGAATCCGCATGGTCCGAGAAGATGCGTACGACATCTGGCATCGTGAATTTCTGGCCCTTCCTCGGGCCAAGGAGGCTTCGCAGACGGGATAGATTCCAATAGCTGCTACGCCCCTGATAACGGTCCGCTACTTTTTGGCGCGCCAGAAATGCTTCAAATGACTGAAAGTGATTTGTGTGCAACAGGACACTCCTGTCAAACCCATCGCGGTGGAGGAAGATATTCTTGGGCGCGATCTCAAGGGATACTGGCGGCCCGTGGCGATCTGAGATAAGAAAGTGCCTAGAGCAGTGTCTGGCAAGGATCTGGCAGAGTGGATATGCCATCTTGGTAGACGAGCATGCGAGCAGGATCCTTTGCTGGCACATCGAAGGGAGGTAGGAACCCCCCGGCTCCGGGACGAAATCTGCGCTTGAGAAGAGCCTGTTGGACGTCAGTGAAATCCCGGAAGAATTCATGCCGCTTCCCGCGAGCAGACCCGCCTCGGTCACGGTAAAAATGACCGGCAACGCTTCCGATGGTTCGTGGTGTATCTCGAGATAGACGATCAGATTCTTGTCGTGAAGTGGTCTTGACGAGTTCCAGGACTGGACGGCGATCACTTCATCCTCTTGTGTGGCCCGGGCGAACGATACGCTGAATGTTTCATCCATGGCTTCTGCCTCACCTAAGACGGCGGACCGTTGGCTGGACGTGTCTTGAAGGAGATGGTTGATGGTGGCAAGATCATCCCTCGCGTTGAGCATGATCAGTTTCTCCACTCTCAAATTTGCGCCTGCAGACATGCCCATGAGTTCCTGTAGCCCGCTGGGCCATAGCCTTCTCAGAGATGGCAGGTAGACCTGCTTAACGATTCTCCAGCAGATATCCCTTGTCACAGAATTAGCTTCCCATCAGCCAAACGGCTTGGACGATCCACCAACTCACCAGGCCGGGAGGCCGCCATGTTTCAGGGTGTGGTCAACATTCAGCTTGATCTTTTTGGCGAATGTTTTCCCGTAGATTAAGCCGCGTTCATGGGGCCCGCCAACTAAGACGACTCCCGCATAGCTCTCGGGACGAGCCTTGAAGTTGATTTCGGAGATGCGTACAGGATCCTCCTACGAACCCCAGCCGCTCATTCTTGACTGGAAAGGGAGGTACTGTACTGGTCTGATTCACTTTCAGGTCCGAAGCTGTGGCGTTGGGCAGAGCACAGAGCAAGGAGAGGGCGACGGTCTTGTGCTTATTGTCACTGAGCATAGGTGAAGCCTGGCCTTAGACAAGGAAAGCTAGATTCGCACCAGAGGTTTCCAGTGTCGAGAGTCAATCTCGACAACTGACAGTAGGACGCACCAGTGTAAAATCTATCATTTAGTTAGCCCGCCCATACGTAGCATCGAAGAGTTGACAGCCGAGAAAAACAGAAGGGAGGCACGATCTGATACGAACCGGGAAACAACCCTGCCCGAACCAAGGGGAGACATTGCGCTATGGTCATTCTTGCCTCGACATCGGCAGCGCGCAGCAGCGCCTCTATGTATCTTGATCTTCCGTTTGGCAGTCCCACAGTCACATCGTCCGCTTGAGTGGTGCGACCAGCAGCGCCATCCCTATGCCGGCCAACGGAAAGTGGAAGGGAGGGCAGGCAAATATAAAGAAGGTGTAATCTGGGGGGTGCGCTTCAACTTTCGTGGTCTATTAGACTAACGTTTGACCCTTTATCTTGGCTAGCGATACCGATGTTATGGATGCGGAAGCGGTCCACATCCTGTCCCTGACCCCATGATGATCACCTACTACTACCCCGTCTCGCGTGGAATCGAGGCATCGCGATCAACTGGCGGAGGGCGGAGATGGACTCATGTGAACTTCCCCCTCTACTCTTTGTAGTTCATACCACTCCCTGTAACGCGTGTAGAGAGCAAAAGTGTGAGTACCGGTGGAACGGATCACAAATAGGACCTGAGCTTGGGAACAGCTTGAGAAGATGTATTGGAGCTCATTTACGAAGTAGAACCTGTGGATCCGACCGAAATCCACCGAATGACCAACGTCTCATCGCTCTCATGTGACCTTGAACCCAAGCGCGGGCACTATTTTCTGGAAGTCGCATTCCGGAATTCGGCGATTCGTCCCCCGGAATTTGTTGACACAGGCGCTAAACTACAAAAGGGCATAGCCGGGTCTGGTGCTCTCGTCAAGCTGACCGCCTCCAAGGAGACGGGACCACAGGTGGCCCAAGCTCCCTCAACAAAGCGAATGCAATTGACCAGGGGAAGGTCTGACTCTGGTCTGTTGGGAATCGGGGAATCGGGGAATCGGGGATGGGATGGCAGTCGTAGCCCAGCGGCAATTGCGAAAGGTATTGTACACTGTGGTACGTATAAAACATTGACGAGAGGACATTGAAAGCTGTCTGAAACGGATGCGAAGCAGACGTTGCGTGGACAATCGTATGTATGAGTTCATTGAGCCCGAAACATGCGGGGAAGGACCAGTAACTACCGACTCTTACACACCACGTTGCTGCGCAAGTCGTCTGCAAACAGCCGATGTCAGGCTCCCATCAATCAATGGCAGTCGAGTCAGAATTAGGCGGCCCACCGTAGTTGTTCGGGAAGGGGTGAGCTGCATGGTTGACGGCTGTTTGTGTGCAGTACTACAGATCCCAGTCGGACCTCCGGGAGATGACTTATACCCAACCCTCCTTGTCCCCCTCCCTTTGAATCAGCTCCCCCCATCCTTCTGCCGATTTGTGTTCATCATTGCCGCATCACCTGTGTGCTCCGTATAGGTGCCAACGGCTTGCGCCATCTCAAATTGGCCCAAACTCCATTGACAGGACTATCCAACAAGTCACCTGAAGCGCTGGATACTTTCTTATACACATATACATACCGCCATCGAGATGTCATCTAGATACACAGGCCCCGTCTCCAAACTGACGCGCTCGCTGAGCACCACGCCGTCCATTGGCCGGCCGTCCCAGCTCCTGAACAATGCGCCGAAAACAGCCTCCGGCGCAGCCAGGAAACGATCCCCGTCGCCGGTCGTAGCCGACGAGCCCGGCGCAGATGTAAGCCCATCATCCATGCATCCATCCACCCAATTCACCCCCTCATCCATTGGTCTTTCCCACCGACCAACGCTAGACCTAACCACATATTGTTCCCACTATCAGTCCCTCCGGCACCACTCAACCACCTCAACAACCAGCACCCCGCCGCACCGCCCGGCCCCTCCCCGTGCCGCGCGGACCATCCCCTTCATGCAGACGTTCCACCACTCGGCGCCGAAACCGTCCCCTTCCCTGGCGACAATGAGTGCTGCGCCCGTCATCGTCCTGCCGAACCTGTTCCAGCTGGAGCAGGAGCAGACGGGCGGGTACGACCCGTACGCGCACATCCGTGTGCCCCTGCTTCCCGACAATACTTCGCCCCCCGCGGGATTTCGCCTGCCCGAAGCCGCCGACGCGCCCCTCCCCTTACCCGAGATCGTGGTCGTCGCCCCGGACCCGGCCCAGGAGCTCCCCTCGGCCCTGACCGAGATCGAGGGCATGGGGGTTGACGGGGTGGAGTTGAAGTTTGCCCACGAGCTTGGCCGCGAAGGGGAAGCGGCTGAGAGCTTCGAGATGGGGCGGGGTATGATAAGGGATTTGTGGAAGGGAATGATGGGGAGTAGTAATAGTAGTAGTAGTGGCGCGAAATCTGCTGCTTAAGTGGGTTGAAGGAGAAGGGAAATGCAGGGACGGTGAGGTGATGATTGATGAAAACCCGCTTGGCTTTGATTACGGCCGGCTTTTCTGTTCTGTGCTTCTATCGACCTACCGTTTTCGAGGCGGATGACAAGGTTGAACGTGTAGGATGGGGACATTCAATATTTCATACATGGTTTTAATCCGCAAAGGTATCGTAGTACCGCCCGGACTCAACAGCGGGGGCGCGAGATTGTACTATTGTTTTCCCATGGATCGACAATGATGCCAGAAAAGGTGATGCTTGTCTATCTGGCCTATCTACCTGATTACCCGTCCCTCCCATGACTGGAACCCACATTGCTTGATGGCGTGAGTCCCTGGTGATGATAGTGGTTGATACTCCACATACCCTGCGCCTGTCTACACGGGCGTGGCTGGTATTCTCCGGTTGGTGTCTTTTTCACCAGTGTGGGACGGCGACAGTCTCCAGCCATACATCCAATAACCCAAACCCTCACAATCTCGCCCTCAATCCAGCTCCTTTATCTCACTTCTTCCTCACCGTCGACCTCGGCTTGCACTCTTCGCCTTGCACAGGATGCAGCATCACCTTGGTTGGGTAGGTGGCCTGGTTGCCCTGGTAGCCCTTGGACCAGTCGTAGCTGATGGCGTAGGCAAAGATGTTGCCCGTCTTGTTGAAGGTTGTCGCTGTGATGCTGCCGCCCACGTTGGGGTACCCCTTGAGTCGGTGTTTCGCGTCCTTGTCCCAGAAGTGGAAGGTGCCGTCGCTACCGGCCGTGCTGAAAGTGCCGTGCTGGGGGTGGAACGAAATGTCGTTGACGGCGTGTACATTGGTCACGTTACCTTGTGGCGCGTCGCGGTGGCATTTGAAGGAGAAGTTGAGGCTGGCTCAATTGTTAGCATCGGGTTTCAATGTAGTTTAGTCGGGGGTGAGCGGGAGAGTTATTCGTGCGGCAATGAGTGTGAATCTTACTTCGAGTCCTTGTCCTCGACGTATTGAATGGCGCATCGGCCCTCGATGCTACCGATCGCATAGCCCTGAGAATCGGTGAAGCAGCTGACGACCCGCGTCTGCCACTTGAGGGGGCTCTGGATGGTCTTGTAGATCTTGATGGGGTCCTTCAGGTTTATCACATTGATATACCTGTCAGCCGTACCAACCACAAGCAGATTATCCTTCACATCCATGGTGTAGACCCTCTCCTGGCAGTTAACTACCCCCGCCGGCGTGGCGCTCCGGAAGTCCCAGTACTTGATGGTCTTGTCCCATGACCCCGTAACCGCCATCGGCGTGCCGTTGTTTTCAAAATACCGGACGCAACGGACTGGTTGGTCATGCTGCGCTACCTGTACCGCTTGCCCGGTGGCGAGATCCAGTACCTTGGCCTGCTTGTCGGCACCGCCAGAGATAACTTTTTGGCCGTCCTATCGTGGAGTCAGAGGTCGAAGCGTCCGATGCATGTTTTGCCGCATAATCTCACCTACCTTGAAAAAGTCGACGGAGAAAACCGGAGCATCGTGCTCTATTTGTGCCTTCCCTTGGCCCTGACCATTGCTCAAGATCTCGTATACGCGGACCTTTTTGTCCCAGCTGGACACGGCAAGAAAGTCCTTCAGGTCGGCCGGGTTGGGGTTGAAAGCAAGATCGGAGATGCTATCTTCAGGCGGGCTGGCGAGCTCGACATCATTCTTCAAGTCGCCGAGGGTGTTACTGGTCGCCGACGATGTTGCTCCAAAGAGACCCGCCATACCTGCGGTAGGTGCACCACTGGATTGTTCTCGGTGATTCTGATCGCCTTTTAATGTCCTGCTGTTTTGTGGCTCCGACTATCGTGGCCAGGATAGAGTATTGTCTCGGATGTTACGTTGGCGGGTTTGCGGTGACCACCTCGCTCATTGTTCGTTGGTTGTTCATTCAGAGGCAACAAAGCTTCCATCGCTTCGACTTCACCTTGATGCTTCGAGGCGCTAAACACACCCCACCCGTGGCTTGAGTGCGGCAGCCTTTCGCTCAGTGGAGCCCAGGCCTCGAAGGGTGCCCCACATTCAGCAGCAATAAAAATCTCAGCGCTCGGTTGCAAGCTTCCCTCTTCCTCTTTTCCTTTTCAAGCCCCCCTCGCCCAACAAGTCGCTATTCGAAGCTCACAACGGAGAGAGCGCTGCTCTTTCACCATTTAAACAGCTTTGGGAGAAAGTCCCCGGACACCCACCTCCCAGTTTTTCTGGAAGGTGGCCGCGGAAACGCGCCGCCATAGAAGCACAGCGGCTGATCTCGGCCGCCAGTTCTTTGTCTGTCAGTGCCGTCCGGCCCGTCCATTCCAAAGTCGATCGCCTTCTCTGCCGCCGTGGTTCAGCACCCCCGTTCCCGGGCTAGAGACCACATGGACGAAGATATGAGTCCGCGCTCTGGCTGTCTGGGACGGGGTGTGCGGATCCCGGTGTAGGGTAAACTGGTCGGTGGTGGGCTGCTGCTGGTCCTGTCTGGACTGAGAGCGTCACGGCTGGCTCGAGAGATTTCGTCACGATGTCACAGAAATGCGATTGCTCGTTACTTCTGAAAGGAAGATTCGAGTTACTCGACGGGGCTCATTCTTGGTGCGAGGGGGGCTTCAACCTCCTGGATCATTGTTGCGCAGTGCCTCGGGACCAGCGCAAAGCAGGGGCAGACGGAAACTCTAGCTTCGCGGGAAGCCCATTGTCCCTGTTGCTGGCTGCGGCGTGCTTTGTCTCGAAGGATCCCCAACGCAGTTCAATGATGATAAGCCATTTATAGAGTCAAGCTCTGAGGTGGAGCCGGCGTAAATCGTCGCGCGACCCCGTTGATGACTTTAAATGCGTTATGGTATCTGATGGACTGTCCCTCATGTGTTTTCGTTTCAATCATCTGTATATAGCTTTCGTTTTCTTCTACCCGACATCTATCAAGGCCTCTATCCCTGTTTGGGTCCTGTTGAAGTCCGCTAATCCCCATCCGAGTCTCTGGTTTCATGCCCGTGGTTGAAGTCCTGCATCGAGCTTGTGTCGCGACACGCCATCCTATCACTGCGAGGCTTCCTTATGCCGTTGCTCTTCCTCTAAACGCTCCCGCTCCTTGTGCGCGGCTTCAATGTCTGCTTTCATCCCCTTTGCCTTCTGGCGCGCCTCGTAGAGATCTCTGCTCTTCATGATCCTCTGCACAATGGTGCCGGCATTGACATCCTCAAATTCGTGGTGGCCGATCTCTCGGTAAATGCCCAGTTCTTTGGGCGCCTTGTAAACGTCCTCCCTGGACGGCATGAAGGATGTTGGGCCGTGATACACGGCATCAGGCGTGCCCCATGGGAGCGTTGTGAGATAGCTCTTTGTAGGGGTAAAAGGAGCGCCAAAGACAACGGCGTTGATATACTGTTGGCAAGTCAGCGGATTTTGACTCAAGCCTGATTACAGCGAAGCGTACCCGGCACTGGAGAACACAGAGCCCGCGCTCATAGATGTTCATGATAGGGTAGTTAACTCCTTTCCATTGGTTAATCACATTGTCATCGTGGACACCAGCAACCACGAAGACCGGCCCATAATCGGCACCTTTGCCCCGCCTCTCGTTCACAGCCTGCTCCGAGAACCAGCCGTCCTTCCTGGCCAACTCTTCCTCGGCTTGCGTCACCAAGCGCAGAAATTGGATGTGCCCGCTCGAGAACAGATCGAACCCGCCATCCACGTACACGACTCTCTGGCCTGGCTTGGGCCCAATGCCCCCGAATAGCTCCTTGAACTCGTTTCCGGCCGTCCAGAACCACACGGCAGCGCCAGGGTTCTTGGCCGTCTCGTCGGTCGCATACAGCTTGATCCTTTCCAGCATGGCCTGGCCGTTGGCTTTTCGTTCGGCCTCGGTGCCTGGGCCCTCCTCGCCGGCGAGCATTTTCTCGAGTGATTTGATGAAGTGGCCCTTGGTGCAGAGCAGCATCCGGCCGACAAGGTCGGTGGTGGAGATGCTTGGTGTCCGCTTGACCACCTTGAACCGGTTCGCGGCCTTCACGAAACGGTAGCAGTCCTCGCCGCTGCTGTCCGAGGTGATGTCGTCTCCATGGACAACGTACTTACAACCAAAGTGGCTGATCCAGTCAAGCTGGGTCACGTAGGGCGCGTAGGGGATGGACTTGGTTACCCAGCGGCAGGCGTCTGTAGCGAGGAGCCTAGGGGTAAGAGAGTCAGTACCATGCTGCAGCTAGGGTTAGTCGACAACTTGGGCAGCTACAAACCGTTCCTGGAGGTTCATCACCGTGGGGCCCTTGTTTTCGAGGATATCCTCGTCGGAATGGACTCCCACGTAAAGTTCATCGCCCAGCTGGCGGGCTTGCACGACAGCTCCCGCATGGCCTGTAATCTAGGACTCAGTCTCGCATTACCTTGAGCATGCAAGGGCCAAGACACACCGTGGTGGAAGAAGTCGAAGCAACCGTCAACCCATAACCGTCCTTCAAGCAACTCTGGTGCCGGGTCGCCGGGCGGGAGAACCTTGTCTACCATAGCTTCCCAACTGCCGTGTGTCCTCCAAAAGGGGTGTACGCTTGAGCTCGGCTGCCCAGGAGGCCGAATGACCGGAAACCTACGCAGTGTCGGTGCTGGGGAACGTGATTTGGTCCTGGGGCGCCTGAAGCAAGTAATCCAAATTCAACCTTTGTGACCGCCGCCTATTTCTTCAGTGAGAATGGCGGTTGGATTCCAGGAATCACAGGATAATACCTAAATATTTGGAGAAAGCTTGCATATGTTGATTGTGTAGCAGTTTTGGGCAGCAGTTCCCCGCCTGCCCCTCCCCTTTACAGTACATACACACAGCGGTGAAGTGGGTTAACATGCCCTACCTAGAGCCTAGGTAGTTACACTTGAGCCATCAGCAATTTCACCTCAACAGTCAAGTTGGATGGATGCAACGGACAACTCAAGCAGTGCTCCTCTGGCCCGAACAAGAGCCACAGCGGGAACGATGATCACTGGTTTCACCTCTCAACTGGACAGCGATCCGGGATGGTTGTCCTACCGGACCCGCGTGCCGCCAAGTCTATTACTCCCCTAACCCCGGATTTCCATTCCACAGTATCGTGAGCCGGACAACTGGGTATCCGTCTCTCGCGGCTGAATCTTGCGACGGCACAGCGGGACAATATCACACAGAGTTGCAGCTCACTGTAGTGTTACTTGCTGTGATGAGCCACGGACCTCCGAGGTCTTGTATCTGGGTGTGCCGCGGTTGGACGACCCAAGTGGCGATTGAACCTGGAAAGGGCCTGCAGCATGCTCTTGGACCCCTGGATAATGGATATGGATGCAAGAATGACCGAGGTTTAAGATGGCCATTCATTGTAGCCGCCCTACTCACTCTTGTCGTATTTTCCATAACTATGTCATCTATCATCCCTCTGTGGTTCTCACTACCTACGTAATTTGCAGATTTATTACGGAGTAGCGTCCCCCTCTCTTCGCAAGAGAAGCCCAGCTGCAGCCCCGGCTCGGCGTCTTCCAGCGCCTTGGACAGGCTGTCAGCGCCGCCTACCGCATTCGGCGCGCTAACATCAGGGGCAGCAAATGAGGTTGCTGCGTTCTTCGCGCTGAACAAGGGAGACCAACTTTAAATTGCGTGAGACATGCAGCGCTCCGGAAGCACGCCGACGCAAAACGCCGCCCCTTTCTTCTCGACCCTTTTTGGCGGAGGTAGAGGTAACACCACCAATACCAACACCGACACCAACACCAACACTAGCAACGACCTTGGATCATCGCCCAGCGGCAAATCGCCCGCGAGGTCCAGGCCGCCGACCAGCGCGGGCGAAGAAAGCCCTCGGCAGAAAAACGTGCTCCGCAAGGACCGCAAACCCTCCTTCGGCCGCAAGCCTTCCTTCAGCTGGACGTCGCCCGGCAGAGGCAGCAAATCCCGCGCAAATTCCTCGTCCTCGGCCAATGGCGGCGGAGTTCCTAACTTTCGTCCCCCAGCAGTCCAGCTGTTCCCCGATCCTAACCCCGTTCCTCCGCTCCCCGACTTTGCCCTCGCCTCGGCCGCCCACATCTCCCGCGAAACCGACGCCATAGCCCCGTCCCCCGCCTCCGCCGAGAGCTTCTCTCTCAAGATGCTGAGCCGCGGCGCCCCGACGCCCATAAATGGCTATCCCGTCCAACTGCCGCCGTCAATTTCCATGGGCGGCGGCGGCGCAATGAGCGAGCTGAGCAGCGTGCATCAGCACATTCAAGAGACAGCCAACAAGAGGATATCAACACTAGACTATCTACGCAAGGTGTAAGCCATCTCTTACCCTGCCTGGTTTAGCTCGAGTCTGACCAGGTCTAAAATAGCCACGAAGGCCGCATGTACTGGTTCAACACGCTCCTCTTTGACAAGCCAGATCTGCAACGCATGCCCTACTACGACAGCCGCAAGCTCGGCCGCCGCGCGACCAACTACCTGATGCTGGGCATCTCGCTGCCAGCCGTGCTGGACCCGAACGCGCACCATCCGGTCGAGTTCCTCCGCGCGCTCAACGCCGTGCTCACCGAATTCGACAGCTTCCAACAGCTCCACTCCGAATCCGGCACCACTCCGTCTTCACTCACCCGCGCCGCCCGCATCCCGCAAATGTTCCGCCGCGCGACCGCCCCCGTGTCCAAGGGCCGCCGAAGCAGCAGCAGCGCCGCCGCTAGCGCCGTTAGCGTTGGTGGCGGCGGCGGTGTCGGCGGCGGTGGTGGTGGGGATATCGGTCTCGGCATGGGGGGATACGGCCTCGAGCAGGTAGAGAGCAACACGGCCGGCGCCCCACCCTCTCTGGCTCCGGAGCTCCAACACGCCGCCATCAGCGACGGGAGCAGCAGCAGCATCATAACCCCCGCCTCCGGCCCCGTGGTGGGGGGAGGGACGACCACAACAACAGCAACGACGACGACGACGACGACGACGACGACGACGACGACGACGACGAGCATAAACTTTGCCGCGTCCGAGGTCGATCTGCTTCCGGGGGAGGAATACACACATCTCCTGACCCCCGCGCTGCCGTTCGACCCGGACTTCTTCGAGACGTTCGCCACGCTGTGCGACGTGCTCATCGAGACGTACGCGCGCATCCTCAGCCTGTGTCCCACGCCGCGCGAGTGCGGTGGCGCCGTGGCCGAGCTCTTTTCCAAGGCCGACGCAAAAGTCCGCAAGCTGCTCCTCCAGGGCGTCATGCGCGAGTTTGAGGACGCCAGCCGCGCCGGGGTCAAGAGCGAGGTGGCGAATGTTGGGAAGGTCGTTCTCAGTGGGTTGATGTAGGACATTGAGAAATAGGGAGGGAAGGGGGGTGTGGGCATATGAGGAAGAATGTTTGGGGCGGATGGTAGGGTATGCATACACCCCTGAATGGACTGGGGGAGCCTGGCGTTTGGAAGGTCAATCTGGCTTGGAAAGATATCCTTATGTCTCGTTACGTTATCAAACTGGGTGCAGCGGGAGATGATAGTTAGACCTTATTTGTTCTTATATTGCGAGGAGACTAGGACAGCCAAGTTCTCCTCTTGGAACTACAATAATCATAACACAGCATGCAGATGCATCCGTTGAATCAAGAATAATCAGCAAAGGAAAATGAGCAAATGATGCCACGCAGCATTTCACAACCATGCAGACGGACGAGGTAAGAAGACAAATTCAATGCAAATATGCAGAGAACCAAACGGTACAGGTTGGCACAGGAAACAAAAGAAGAGACTGGCACATTAGGTAGTTTGACATCAAATGAAATGGCATGACATGACAGACCAAGCAGAAAGCCAAGCGACAACACACCCTTCCCAACTTGTAATAATGCGAAAGGACCCGAGATCTTCTCAAGCTGTTATCTCGGGCTTGTTGTGATGCTCGTCAAAACACCGCCTGCCTCCTCTGCGCCCAGACAAATGCAAATGGTTGCTGCTGCTATTAGTACTACTACTGATGCCGCCGCCTGCGCCGCCACCGTTGTCACTACCCCCGCCGGATTTGAGATTCAGCCCGGGGCAGGCTGAGGAGGTTGGCGATGCCGCTCGTTGACTTTTCACTCCGTTTTTCCCTGACGCCGCCGGTGTCGATATCTTCGTCGCCGCCGCCGCCGCCGCCGTACTGCTTGTCGGTGTCGTCGTTGGTGGTTTTGTCGTTGTGCTGCTGCTGCGGGGCGAGACGGATCGCGACCGGGAACGGGGCCGGGCGCGGCAGCTGACGAGCTGGATCGGCGAGCCGGGTCGCTTCTCTGCCGCCAGTCCTAGCGCCAATCCCTGTCCTCCTGATAGGATGGGTGATGATGTCGGTGCCGGCTTGTCTTTGTCCTTTGAGAGCGGCCCCGTCGGCAAGGAGGAGGGCGAGGAACCAGCTGCTGACAATTGGGGGTCGTTGGGCGTCTTGGATCCTGCTTCTGCCTGCCCGGGCGGGTTGTTGTTCGCGAGGCCGGGTGTCGTTGTCTGTCCTGCTCGTTCCTCGGCTGCGTGCTTTTCGGCGGCTTGAGAATCAGTTGGCTTTCCTTCTGTAACCTGCGTAAGAGTTTCTGTTCTTGTTAGACCGGCTGTCGGTGTCTGGGTGTCTCCCGCGAGTGCGACGGCCGGGGTATGGGCTCCTGTTCCCCGCGTTGCGATTTTCGCAGCAACTGTGGGTGTTGGTGTTGGGTTGAGAAGAGTAGCTTTGGGTGCTCCCTCAAAATTCTCATCGGACGCGTCAGATCCCGTCTCCTTCCCCGCCGCCATTCTAGCCGTTTCATCCGTCTCTTCTGCGCTCATTCCCGTCTTCTCTGAAACGGAACACTTCGCCCCCGCTTCTTCGTCCGTGTCGGAGTCGGACGATTCTGCTTCTTCCTCTTCCAGCTTATCCGGGTTCGGCTTGAGGTCCCTGGGAGTGACCTTGTCTATCTCGGTAACCTTGTCCGCTAGCGTGCTCCTCGTCCCTACTGCAGCTTCAACGGCCGACTCGGTAGTGGCAGCAACAACCGGCGGAGGGGGGCTGGCGGGCTCGTTGCGGTACCTCTCGGCCTCCTCCTCAGCCCTCCGCTCGGCCTCTGCTCTCCACTGCGCCTCCTCCTCCTCAGTCCGCATCCAGTACCTGCCCATGGCTGCCTGGTTCTCCTGGTGCCGTCTCATCTTGGTAGGACTCTGCAGCATGGTCTTTGGCGCGCTCTTTTGCGTGCCTGGGTCGAGGGGTGAGATGTAGGTTAGGGTGCTTTTGCTCTTGCGCTTCACAGGAAGAAAACGGCGCCCGGGCCCGACCTCGACTCTGTGGATGGTCGCTTTGGCGAATCGGACGGTTGTTCCGGGAGACATAGGCCTCTGCACGGGAGACATCGGGGGTGAACCAGGCGGAGAGTCTAGCGACAAGGTGCCGAACACCGGCGATGTGGGGGACTCTCCCGGGCTGACTGGCTCCCCCGTCTCCGGGTTAACGAACTGCCGAGGACGCTTGCAACCATCGGGGCTTGAGACGCGAAGAATTGATTTGGGCATCGGGGGCGTCGGAGACCTAGATCACATTGTGTAAGAGTACGAATACATGATATCACTTGGACCGATTTTACCTTGGCTTTTCCTGGGCGGGCTGCGCGGACTGGCCTCGGGTCATGCTCTTGGGAGCATCCAGAGGGTCGGAGACGCTCTTATGCACTTTCTCTGAAGAGCGATTCTTATCAGCCTTGGAAGCGCCAGCCTGGGGTTTTGAATCCAGGTTCGAAGGTGTCTTTGCAGGGGTTAAGTTAGTACTAATCCCTTCCTAAGTTTCAGCGGAAAGCCTCGAAATGTGGTATGACCACTACGTGCCTTCTTCTTTGTGTCTGGCCCTGCGACGCTGTGCCGCCGCGGTTTCGAGTTGCTGCCGCTAGAAGACGCCTGAGTCGAGTGTTGGCCGGTCAGGGGATGATTGCCTGGTGCCTTGGGAGCCGCGATAAATCCAGCCCACGAGAGTACGGAGGATAGGGAGTCTTTTCTGTGCGGCTGTCGTGGCCCGTCGTGCTTATGCTTCAGGTCTCTGGCGTCTTTGGACATGGCGCTGCCCGGGTCGAGGGGGGAATAAGAGGAAAGGCGGAGAATGTACGAATGACGGAATCATCAAGAACTGTTTAAAAGCAAGCACTGCTAGAATTGAATCGAGGACGGGTCGCAATTGCTCTCAAAAAGAAGGATCGAGAACGGACCAAGGAGAATGATGAATCTCAAAGTGTCGTTTAGGAACAGAGTTCGGGCATGGAGTTGGGCCACAACCACACCACACAGCGATGGGTGCGGGATCCAATCACGACGGCAGGAAGTCAATCATGCAGGAAATCTGCTCCGTGTTGCCATCTGGCATCACTCGATGACGGAGTGTAATTTACCCGTGAGAGCAGGAACCGAACCGCAGCATGGCGCATGCGAGTGTTTGTGAGGCTGCTCTCTCCAGAAACTGCGGCGATCTCTGCCGATCGAACTTCGCGGCGGCTTCCACGGAAAACACATCGCCCCTCCCTAGAGAACGGTCACGGGCAGATGGGCAAAGCTCGTCACGGATTACAAGATGTCCATGACGGCAGGCTTGTATTGAGTATAATCGATCGCTCCTGTCCAGCCGTGGAAGGGGGAAGAATGCGCAGACCACACGTCGTCGTCAACCATTCGGACGAACGATCCGAGTGTGAGCTGGTGCGTTGGCCTCGACGCGGTTCGGCCGCGTGTCAAGATTCGTGAGGACACCGGATATCCGTGCCGACCATACTGGCGACTGACCTTCGGTGGCAGTTGATTCCGACACGGCCGGGGGTGCTAAGTTGCTGGCGCCGGAGCCGGTGGACACCTGGGTTCCACGTGGAGCGCCAGTTACGGCAAGTTACGGCAGAAGCATCACGGTTGATATTCGTATTTTGTTGTTGATAACAGTTTCGCGGCAATGGCGGCTGGGTATTTGCTAGGAAGGCAAAGCAGGGAAACCATGGCGGAATTGCAGGTCCAACTCGGGGCCAGTTTATCATGAAGCTGCCGATCCCGATCTCTCGGGTTATCGGGTTACACGGGCGGTCCCGGAGTGGGGCAAGCGCTCAAACCTCTCGGCGGACGCCATCAGAGATGCGGTGTGTTGCGGTGAGTCCGGTGACCGATTTCGACCCCCTCGTTTGAGCTTTTTCGGTGTGGGGCAGTTTACGTTATCTGCGATAACGGCGCTGATAGGATACCGAACTTCCTCTTGAGTCAACGTTTATCACGCCTAGCCGCGGCTATCCACGGGCCAATTGACTTTCAACCCTGGATTCCGCTTTGCAAAGTCATAAGATTTTCTTGCTTTGACCTCCGGCTGGAGACAGCACTCGTGGCGCTTGCCATCGCGTTGTGTCGGGTCTATTGTGCGTCGTGTGCGCCATAATGAGATGCGTCAATTGGTCTGCCGGCGCTTCGTGGACAAGGAATCCACCAGTTTGGAACCTGAGACCAGATCTTTTCTTCACGGCACTTCGCGAGTCGCGACTTACTTCGCCCCTTGGCCCCGACTCCCCAATTCCACCCCTTCATGAGTCTGACCTGTTCCGGTTGGATTCGACAAACGAAAGCTACAGAAGGCTTCGATAATGATATTTTTGGCATTGAAATCCAAGATCTTGTTTGATCTTATCTAATCTACGTGGACCTTTTTGGATATCTCAGGTAGGGTCCTGCATTGTTGGTCCATGACAATGTTCCACCACTTTCCAGGTTCCTGCGCCCTCCCAACGACGAGGTGGACATTCCAGAGCCGTCCCAATTCGACTGCCTGATTGGTCACCTGCCACGACCGCGTGCCGAGTTCGCAATTCGCATTCATGAAAGGTTGACTCCATGTCTAGGGGTAGCCACATTAGTCACTTTTGAAGGACATTTATGTATTTAAGTACAGAACCAACTCGTGACCACCTTGACCCTTTCCCCTTCCTTTTCCGTCATTGTACTTCAAAGTTTGCTTCTTTTCTCCTTCGCCTTTCTTTGTAGGGTGTCTGGTGATCAATATCCGCCATCTATCTAGCCTTGACACTTCTGCAACAGACTTCAGCAGCAATGCGCTCCCTACAAGGACCCGTTGAGGACCTCGCCTCAACCGCTCTCGAGAACAAGATAGCCGAGCAGCCGGCCCTGAACAACGGCCATGCCAACGGCCACGCCAATGGCCACACCAACGGGACCACCACCACCACCACCCTCCAACCGCTCGATGCCTCCAAGCTCACCATCCGGCGCGCCGACCCCACCGCCCGCGAGGTTCCGGACGAGGACACCGCCTGCTCCGGTAACGAAACCATCTGCACCGACCACATGATCACCGTCACCTGGGACGCCTCGTCAGGGTGGTCCGCGCCCGAGCTCAAGCCCTACGGGCCCCTCAGCCTCATGCCGACGGCCTCGGTGCTGCACTACGCGACCGAATGCTTCGAAGGGCTGAAAGCGTACCGGGGCTACGACGGCAAGCTGCGGCTTTTCCGGCCCGACTGCAACGCGCGGCGGATGCTCATGTCGACGCTGCGCATCTCTCTCCCCGGGTTCGACCCGGCCGAGCTGGAGAAGCTCATCATGGCCCTCGTGGCCGTCGACGGCACAAAGTGGCTTCCCAAGTCCCGGCCCGGCAGCTACCTGTACCTACGCCCCGCCGTCATCGGCACCCAGCCCCAGCTGGGCGTGCAGGCGCCCAAGGAGGCCCTGCTCTTCATCACGGCCAGCTTCATGCCCCGCATGGACACACCTCCTGGGGGCATGAAGCTGCACACCAACCCGGAGGACATGGTCCGCGCCTGGGTGGGCGGTTTCGGCTACGCCAAAGTCGGCGCCAATTACGGGCCCAGCCTGCTCGCCACGGTGGAGGCCCGCGAGCGAGGATTCACCCAGATTCTGTGGCTTTACGGCCCCGAGGGGTACTGCACCGAGGCCGGGGCGAGTAACTTCTTTGTCGTTTGGCGGAGCAAGGAGGGCAGGCTGGAGCTGGTGACGGCGCCGTTGGATGACAAGCTCATCCTGGACGGCGTGACTAGGCGGAGCGTGGTGGAGCTGGCCAGGGAGAGGCTGGCGGGCGAGCTCGAGGTGGTGGAAAGGAGGTACACGATTGACGAGGTGCTCGAGGCGGATAGAGAGGGGAGGTTGGTGGAGGCTTTTGCGGCCGGTACAGCGGTACGTCAATCGTCTCCTTCTGTGATGGCTTTCGGGGGGAAATATTGCTGACAGTATCCGTCTCTAGTTCTTCATCTGCCCGGTCTCGCAGATCCGACATCGTGACACCGACGTGCACATCCCTATGGGTAAGGGCGAGATTGGCCAGTACACGGCCAAGATCAAGGGTTGGATATCAGACATCATGTACGGCAACGAGCAGCACCCTTGGGGCGTCGTTGTTGACGAGCAGTAAATGTTGCATTTCGAGGCGTTCTACTTGCATTGCATCGTATTTAGCGTTGTAGCGGAACGGCATCAACAAAAGTCATTTCGAGGGCATTCGGGAGGCTGGGTGGTGAGAGCATCTCGCGGATTAGCGGCGTGTTCGATTGCATAGATGCCTGTAGAGGTTGGTAGACTGTGCATATACAGCCACGAAGAGTTCTATTTGCGACATAGACCATAACCCTTATATGGCCTCGAAGAAATTCCACAATCAGGACTACGTATGCGGCCCCTCCAACCTATCTCTTACTCGGAAAAGAAAGCCAGATCTTAACAATGGAGGTAACAGATTGCATCGAAACGACTGAGCAAGCTTGCGGAGCAATGATCTCAACCACATACCCATCTCATATCCCGTCCCTGTCACGGCTCATCAATGGACTGAAAAAATGTGTGCAGATCAGGCAGCGTCGCTTTTCTGAAGTCCTGCACACCAATTAGTCGACCTGCACTCCATACACCACCCATCCAACTTACCTTTTCAATCATCTTCATCAATCCGACCGCCTCCTCTCCAAGGACAACAGCCTCCTCCTCAGCCTGGCCGATAACCCGCTCGACTACCTCCCTAAACCGCCGAATTATCTCCTCTTCCTCTCCACCTGTATCCTTCTCTCCCGAACCTCGGGCCAAGATCTCCTTCAAGGCACTCTTCACCTCCCCCTCGGCGATTGCCCACTCCTGCCAGAACACACTCAACTGCGTTTCAAACTCTTTGACCTGCGCCTCAGCGCGGGCAAGGAGTTCGCCCACGGTGTCCTGCTCGGTGCGAATGGTGCCATCTGCGCCGCGCTGCTGGGAGCGGATCGTGAACTTGTCGAGAGGCGTGGCGAGCTTCTTGACGTGGGCTTCTGTTTCGGCCAGAAAGGCCTCGTCGGGCGATGTGACGCTATCGGCTAGTTTCTTGGAAAGGAGGGAGTGCGCCCGTGACAGCTGGCTTGTGGCGTGTGTGTGCAGGGAGGAGGCGGTTTGCAGGTAGTGGTCTGTTTCTCACATGTTAGAGTGGGATGGTTTAGTTGGACAATAAAGCAGAACAGACCTTGGAGTTGGCGTATCAGTTCATCCGGGTCGGGAGAGGGCGAAAGGGTAGGCCGTTGCGTCTTGTTACTTGGTTCGCTGGTGTCGTTGGGCTTCAATGGCTTGTCCTGAAAGGCCGCTTCAATGCGTTTGAAGAAAGGGGCAACTGAGCGTTTCTTCTGATTTGGTTGTCGAGCCGGATTGCCAGGGACAGTGAATCTGGGCGACGTTCTCCTAGGTGGCTGCATGACACGGTCCCGAAAAGATTGGGTGGGCTGAGTCTTTGATTTTGAGCCGCCGGATGACGAGGAGGAACCAATGTTATCGTTACTACTGGGGTTTGTCATTCTCGGGGATGGGAGTTGCTTTGTCTTCCCACCGAGGGCAGCTTGGCCACGCAGACCACGCTGAGATCCACTGGACCGCAGCCTCTTGGACCATGGCACAGGCACCTGGTCAGAGGTATTGATGGAGTCCGGCGATGTGAAGCTCGGTTGGTATCCGTCGGGCGGCGGAGGAGGGTGGTTGGCCAGGTCACTCACGTCGTCGAGCGCCTCACGACGCTTATACGGATACCCCTTGAAGGCCTTAATTGGGTTAGCCGTGTTCATTTTGCGTTGTATGGCCAAAGCCCAGTTAATTGTAGAGCTCTGTCTTTAACAATGCCGTGGTGTAGGACTCTGCTGGGAGGCTAGGGATGGAATATGGATAAGGGGCAATGCGGATACCAGAGACTGTGTCGACTGTCGAGGGGAAACATCGTTTTCAACCATGAATCCAACTTAAGTTTGGAGCTGTGGGTATATCTGCCGACTCATTCATTTTATAAACTGGAGAAGGAAGTAACGACTGTCTAGGTAGGTAGGCAGTAGCTAACCGCTAGGTCAATTGAAACACCCGTCGGAGGGAAGGAGCGAATATACCGCCGAATATCAATAGAAATTTCTGCAAGTAATCCTTCTGACTTGACCTGCACGGTAGACGGAATGGGATATGCGAGAAGATTATGAGCAGAAGTGGAATTGCAAACGTCAGTACTGTCCTCCAAGACCTTCAGTGCCACGTTTTACCTTCGCGGTTCGTAGCTTCTATGACTTTGGTACATGTCGAGGGGCTTAGCTGAGTCCGCTTTGTTCAGCATGACCGAATATTGTCCAAGGCCCAGCCTGTCAACCCGGTCAGTAAAGAGAAACGGTTGTCGGGACATGAGCAGTGAGGACGCTGTCCATATCTCCAAAGAAGACTCCCGGCTCATGTGAGAAGACGTCAGAGTTAATGCCAGACTCCCCACGATACCGGACCAGAGCCGGCGCCCCAAGCGTCCACCGAATTTCGGCGCTGACGAAAACCTCGACCTGAGCCGACGGATCCAGCCGATTTTGGGGAAAGACTAAGCCATACTCTGTAGTCAAACATTCCGAGCTTCCTGAGAACCCGAGCTCTTGAAGACCCTCAAAAGCCGCCTGTTCAGTTTTTGCATCTGGTCTATACCCTTCAGGTCGGAAACACGAACCTTCCAGCCACCTTTGAATCCAAGCTTCAACTTCCGGCGGCATTGTCCCTAACTTTAACACAACAATATTCTCCAGAACCAGACATCCGTCCCTCACCTGCCCTCTCAACCGTTCCCCCCAACTTGACAACTTGATGATGGGTTTCAATTCGTCTTCCTCCTTGGGCCTCCATCGCATCCCCGCCCTCTCATCCCTGCCGGCGGAACTAAACACAAAGCTGTAGTCCCCTTTCCGCTCACACAGCGCCATGAACGCCTCACAAGGACTTTTCCGCTCCACCGCCCTCGCCGGCTCCGTCGAAATGGCGCCCATCATGGCATAAAAGTGATCATTCGGCCACGTCTGCGTGCGCACGTCCATGATGCTCATGACTTGCAGCGCCGACCTCTCCAGGTATCCCGCAACGGCGCAGTCGGCCATGAGATCCTCAAAGCCATTTAGCCGGGGATATCTCTTGCGGTTCTCGGGCGTGAGAAGGGAGAGGGCGTGTCCCAGACTTGAAAAGAAGCGCATGCTATCCACGAGGACGCCCGGTGGGCTGTCGGCGCAAGTGATGGCCAGCCGGTGGGCGTTGACGGCTTCTTGGTACGTCCAAGCGCGCGTGACCCAGTCCTCTGCCTCGAGGATGTCGAGATGGGCTCGAGGAAGCGGGGATGACGAGCGTCTGACTTGCTCCAGCACGGGGAGCGCTTGTGGGGTGAGTACCACGATCACCTCGGCCGCGCGTGAGTAGATGAAGCCCATGCTCTCGAGAGTTGCCGAGCGGAGGTCCGGCTGGGAGGGAGGCGGTACGCATAAGGCGTCAATCCAGATTTTGCGGCATGTCGGCCGCTGAGCGATGGTGGTGACTAGGACAGGGAGAGTTCGGTCCGAGACCACGTACGGTGGGTGGATGGGGCTTGGGGAACGACCGCGTCCCCAGGAGTACGAAACACAGATGAAGTCACTCTGTTCGCTGGATGAGAAATCAAGCGATACGTCTTGCTCCAGGAGACCCCATCCCATGCCATTGATCTGCAAGCATTGGTCCTTGGATGCACAATCCGGGCTGACGACGAATAGTTTCATCTCTAACACAATAACTGTTGTAATAAAGCAGGATAACGCTCAACGCGGAACAGTATCTTGGTCTTCTCATCACAAGGAGGTTCTAAATTCTCGACTTGCCTGCATTATATATGGGCCTTGACAGTCGCAAGGCTCGCTGCCTTGCCGACAAGAAGGGTATAGCATGGTTACACTGCGTCCGGCTCACTGCAGTTAACATGAATGGCCCCTCACGACGGTTTAAGGGAGAGTACCACGTACACATCACGACCTCTTCAAACTTGAAACCCAAGGAGCGGAAAAGGGGGAAGCAGTATCGCCGGCTATCGACAAGGGCCCTCCACATTCGAACTCTGGGCTCAGCGACTTGTCTCGGGTTAGGCATGTCCAAGGAGTCGGCGAAGCTCTAAAAGCTACCAGGTACGAAACCTGTTTTGTGGAGAACTTGGACACGATTATAAATGCTATTCAGGTTCCTCCGTCCGCTAGCAATCCTACTTACAAACTACACATGTCCAACCGTTCGGCTGGTATCATATCCGACTACCTCGATACTAATATATCCTACGAAATAAGCACCGCGCTCGTGAAGCCCTTGGGATTACCAAAAGTATCATTTCTTCCAGTACCGTTCTTCAGGTAACAGTACTCGCCCTCTGCGACATATCAGCATCCGGATCAGGGGCCTGGAAATCTTCAAAATCAGAAGAGACAAAGCCTTGCGCAACCTACCTGCTTTGACGATGGCAACGCTTTTACAAAGACCGGTTCTGGGAACGCCCTTGGCTTCATTGATTTGGTACTGGCGGTTGTAGTAGGCGCACACCGTGATGCAGTCTTCCAGGCTCGGCACGTACATTTTGAGGATGTCGTAAATGCCGGGGTTCCCGTACTCCGCGCCAGACGGGTAGTTGGTGTTGCAGAGTTGCACAAATATCTGGTCTGAAAATATACCGTCAGATTGGATGGCAATGAGCTTGCCTGATGCGTCACTTGGCGTGTAGAAGGTACCGTTGATGTTGGGGCATCCGGCATCCCGGGGCGCCGGGGAGGCGGCTCCGGCGATTGCTGTCAGCGACGATGCTGCTGTCGGTGTCGATCTTGTTACTGTTCCGGTACCCGAAGTCACTGCCGGGGTCTCTGTGGTCTCTGCGCCAGTTGTTCCCGCCGACCTGCACGACGAAGTGTCAAAGATTGCGGGCTTCTGGGCAACACTAACGGCATCAGCCTTACCTAGACGAGTCGTCTTGGTCTCTGTTTCGCCCCGAGGCTGCTAGGCCACCACCAATTCCGCCTCCGATCGCACCCGCAAGGACAAGGACCAAGGAGATGGTGATTACCCAAAATGTTCGCACGGATAGGCCCAAGATCTCCTTTCCGGGGACTCGGGACGATTCATTCTTTTCCAGCTGGCCGTACTGTTGTTGCTGCTGGTGTTGCCAGCTACTTTGGGGAGCAGGCCGATCCTTCCCAACCGGCTCGATTGCAGCATCTGGAACGATTTCAAGATTCGAATGATCGCTTGCCGTGGCAGGATACTTGAAGTAGTTGGTCTCCGATGCGGCGCCGGCCATGTTGCAAAGCCGTGAGCCAGCTGCTTCAGGGGAAAAAGGCACTTGGAGAACGGGGAGGCCTACTAGTATACTATTTACCTGGTCGTACGCCGGGGACGGGATCCTGCACGGCTTTCAAGGGGTGCAGCCGACGTAAGCTGACGCTCGTTAATAATAAGGGGCTACAAACAACCTGATACCCATTGAAATATGGTAGGGTTACCTTACCCAGCTACGCCGCCAGTATGCCCACTCAGCTCACATGCCGAGCCGCCTCGAACTTATATTTAAGTATGACAATGGCCCGGGGCGTTTCAACCTTCGCGGGGTCCGGGGGCCCAGGAACCGGGCCATGGCCTTGGGTAGCTTATACACTGCAGACGGCATCTATGCGAAGGTTCAAAAACCACATGTATCCTACCATTAATCTTAACGTAGAAGCATTAGATCCCTCACGATGCCGCCTTACCCCTTGACTCAAAGGGTAATGCCAGAACCAGACTCAGGCAGCAATGATCAATGCGCCGCTGGTATACATAGGCGCAGCGGGACAACACGGTGGGCAAGGCTGGACTGGCCAAGACAGGGGGGGTGATCAACCGGCTGGTGTTGGGCGCTTAAAGCGGGATATTAGTACTGATCGAGCGGCTACAGGCCAAGGAGCCGGTATGGCACTTGCTGCATTCTGGACCCTGTCAGGGGGGATCTCTCTTTTGTATATAAGGTATGTAGTCTCTTGGTCTCCTGAGCCCCTTTTCTTCCCGGCGTTTTGTCACCTCGAGGCACAACATCACTACTTAATGTACTTACTATATTTTTGATGATCCCGTTCCTCCCTGTGTTTCAAACATGAATGGTACTCAATACTGGATTTACTTAGGTACAGTACAGTACCTGAGTACCATAGGAACTCTCCTGTGCGGCCTGGTCTAGAATTCGTCTCATGATCTCCACACAGACATGCGGTGGACTTATAGTTTGTCACCAAAGTCCATGCGCTGTCTTTTCAGGTCCAACTCGGGTATCCACGCGCCAAAAAAACGTACAGGTGATGTTCGCGATACTGAGCGATGCTGAGATGGTGTTGTCACTCCATTTCTGATACGCGGAGCAGATACTCATCAGCATCAAAGAGGTGTGTGTATGATGGCATCTGTTCAAATATGTAGAACATCTCAAGGGAAGTCAAGAATCACATAAGTAAACGTCGCGTCATAAGTACCTTACTAAAAGCTACGCCCAGAACTGGTCACGATATCATTAGTCAAGCATCTACTGAGCCGATAACAGCCTCGTCCCTCCAACTTACTTCTGCTGGAGGACGCCGAGGACATCCCCAGATATATATAGGAACGAAGTGATGTCCCAGAGTTCAAGCGGTTGCAGAAAGTCTCCCACCCGCTCCAGTCACACATCGGTACCACTACTAGAAACTACTTTCCAAGCTCACATCTTCATATCCTTCAGTGCAGCCGATTATCATGTCACTACCACCAATCTCTCATAGTATTGAAGTCCACGGCTCCGCGGCACGAACCGAAGAAGGAACGCTGAAGGCCACGCCAAAGGGCTTTGGGACTGTGCTTACACCAGAAGGCGACCCCCCTACAAGGGAGGAACGCTGGGACTGGGTGCATCTTCCCCTTACTCTGAACACGCGAGCCTCCAACCATGCCACCAAGAAAATCATCCCAGTGGATTTCACAGTTCGATTCGCAAAGGGCGCAAAGGCGCAAATCGATGGGGTGCATTTGTACCAGGCCAACGACCTCTTTCACCGACACCTTACTCCCTTCTCTGGAACAAGTATCCATGACGACCGCGGTTCCATCATACCCGAGGACAAAAGGGTAGATGTGAACAATGGAATGGGGATCACGTTGAAAGTGACTATACAGGGTGGCAGTGCCAACGATCCGGACCGCTGGCTTACAGTCTCCTCAGCAGCTATGAAGTTTGCCGAGGTTGATCGCCGTCCGAGCCCTCCGAGCCCATGAACATGGTGCCGACAGTGATTTTGAGGTTGGCCTGTTGTCTTTCAAACATCACCGAGTATTCAAGTATTGAGGTGATACGTGGTTTGTGGATGCGGGATCGGATAAGATTGGGGCCTACTGTATTCATGTGAATATGGACTTAGTGACCTAGCTAGCTCCAAGTTGGGAAATACTACTAAATGTCTTTGTTGGCTTATGGGTTACTACTTTAGTAGCAATGTTCTACTGAAGGTCTAGTCTCCTTGAACCAGCTTATGCCTCTCAGATAGTCAGAGGGAATCAGCCATCAGGCCACACCAGACAGAGGATGCTCAGGGATTTCCATAAAATGGTATCATTCAAGGCTAGGAAATGCTAACATTGCCCGAGTTCTGCGTGCCAGGAATCCCTGACAAGCTCAAATGATCAACGCCATAAACCCAATAACCCTAGCCTGCTCCCCGTCGGTCCCCGCCCCAGACTCAAGCCCCCTTCATACGGCCCTCAGCTGAAAACAGCCCTCTGACCTTCTCCCGGAGCGCCTCCCAACGCGCGCCCTACGCCGTCGTCGTGGCTGTTGCGTCAGCCTTTTGTTTCCCAGGCAGGCTCAAGCCAGTACCCTTCCTCTCCTTCAAGGCTTTCTCCCACCTCTCCTTGTCACCAACTGGCAACCCGTGCCCATCCAGCCCCAGCACCTCCATAATTTCGGGAATCTCGGCATGGTCCCGCGTGTTCTTCATGCGGTGGCACCAGGTAACAATCTTGTCCTCGCCCTCGTCGTCCTCAAACTTGCCGTCCAGACTGGACTGGCTACCCCTCTGCCGGTCCTCCTCGCCCTTACCCATCAAGGTCATGCTAACCACCTGCTTCCTCATGCTCTCCACAGCCGTCGGGCTAATAGCGCCGCCATCCCCGTCCCCATCCCCCTCCCGCTCATTCCCATTCCCTTTACGACGAGCCGCTGCGCCGAGTTTCGGTGGCGGCTCAAACAAAAACTCACCACCAATCTGCCTCTGATCGCCGCCCTTGAGCGCCAAGCCGCGCGGGGTCTGCTTGAGCACCTGCACGACCGAGTGCAGGCTGCTGACGAGCAGGTGCTGCTTGGTGTAGGCCGGGCGGGAGCCCAGCGCCAGGGTGCGCACCATGCCCAGCTCGTCGTACAGGCGCCGGGTCGGGTCCGCGTAGATGGGGAAGGGACACCCCGTGGCGGCCGCGTACATGTCGATCAGCGCCGGGTCGCCGCACCCGACCACGGCGATGAAGGTTGGGTTGGGCAGGGCGAGCAGTGAAGATGGGGTTATTGAGGAGCTTGACAGGGCGCGCAGGTATTCTTGGCAGTTCTAACACAACACGGCACCGGGTTGGGGATTTATTTAGCAGGGGTAGAAAGCGGAAGGGAGCGGGGAAAGACTTACGCCGCAGTAGAAATGCCGGACAAAGATGATTAGCACTCGGCGGGCGACGTGCCTACCGGTGTAGAGACTGCGGAAGGTATGGGATTTGCCGTGGCGGTCGAGAACGAGGTATTTGTCGATCCTGCGGAGGGTTTCGGGGGTGGGAAGCTCGTGGTTGCTGTCGACTGAGCCGTCAAAGTCGACGGGGTTGAAGTCCTCGTCATCGGGCTGAATGGTAGAGCCATCTGTCACTGATACTGGGGCCGAAGCTGAGGCGCTAGGCTGCGTCGTTGTCGTCGTCGCCGTCGGCTGCTCGGCGGAGTTGGTGGTGGACTCTGTTGTCCCCGACCGAGGCGGGGCTGTCTCCGGCGCCGGCTTGGCGTCCGGGCTGATTCCATCCTGGGGATTGCTAGTCTCTGGTAATGCCATTGCTGTCGATATAAAGACAACGTGGAAATGAAATACCGGCCACCAATAAGTCGAAAATACTGAGGAAATTGGGAATAACGTGCAGAGGGCAAAATCGAGCTGAAGAGCGAGTTGCTCAATGTTCAGCTCCCTGGTCTCGGCAACTGCGGATGGCTGCGGTAACTGCAGGTGCAGTAGTGCGTTTGCACGTCTGTGGCAGTGCGAATGATGTCAGTTTCAGGTACAGTATCGTAGCGATAGTCCACCGCTTTGGGAAGTCAAGGTGAACTACGATGTACGTAAGGTATGTGCCTGCTCAAGATTTGGCAGGCAAAGACGAGGTAAGAGGTATGGGACGTTTTTGAATGCTCAATTCAGAACCCACAGAATCCAAATACCCATTCACATGGCTCGCAACTCCAGATGATTCCGCATGACGTTAAATAAGCGCTGCAACTTTTGCCGCGCGTTCGAGAACGACGCCAAGAAACGGCCATAGACGTTTCACCTTACCCACGCAACCATCCATATCTGGATCACAGTGGTCGTTCCAACTTCGAAGCGCCTAGGTGGGTATCGTAGCTTTCTAACTACCTAGCCAACAGGCCTTTCACGATTGTGATTGCTCTACAAAAGAGGCAGTGTTCACACTCGATCATGAATGAATACCTGGCACTTTGAATGAATGATAATAAATGAATGAATGTCTTCGCTGTCTCTCTCTGGGCTACCTACAATTTTCTTGTCAAGCAACTCCCTCAGGAACGAGTGGCTTGAGAGCGGCTGCAGACACGGGAGCCACGAAGTTGGCTAGTCTTGACTCCCGGTCAATCGAATAGAAAGATCTGCTCGTTCTAGAATGAGTGACTTCCGTGGCATCATCCCCCCATCTCGGCCGCTAAAACCGCCGTTGGACGAATTAAGCGCGGGGTGGAGGCCCCCTCCAATCGAACCAAAGGCGGTCCACCGGCCTTCTACACTGCCCTCCTCACCTCCTCCGCATTCCCTTCCTCCTCCCCGTAACACTGCCATGTTGAACAAAACACCTTAATAATTCTGCGCAACATTTACGGTCCCCAACCCCTGCCCAGCGGGCCGAGAGAGCACTAGGCCGCTGCCGGAACGACAGGAGGGATGACCGGACAAGAGTGCGGTATGTACATACCGGTATGCGGAGGATAACGCAGGAGGGAGTAGTCTGCTGGTTGACCGGGTGGCGCTACTGGCGAGCAGCTCCCCAGGTCTTCTAGGCCTGTGAATCCTCCTCCCGAGGCCGCAAGGCCAAGAGATTGCAGCCATCGACTGAATCGTGGGCTCGACGTATGTCCGGGGCGCAAGGGCAGGCAGGTAACGGCCGCACCGTGTTTGGATACTGGATACAATGCCAGTTCCCACCCTTGAAGGTTTGCAGGGAAACAAAGCGAACAGAGAATTTTCGCTGCTCTTCGGATTCTCAGTCGAAGCCTGATCCAATTTGACTAGCAAAAGCAGTGCTAACGCTCTTCTCATCGTCGTCAAACCGTCGTCCGTATCCGTTGCCGACACCCATACGACCGCCGCTCTCGACATACTGCTTGAGGCGGTCGCTCTGGCTGTAAGATGTCGGCCGAACTGAGCCGACCGCCTCGCTAAGGCCGGCTCCGAGACTAGCGCCTCCTTGGCCTACGCCCTTGCCGCCAATGACGCTAGCACTCGCGTCCGTAAACTCGCTGTTGGCGACGCTCTCGCCCGCGATGCTCTCGGTGGCACGGCTACGGCCTTTTGTGCCGGGGCGACCGCCCACATTCGTGCCAGGCAAGCCGGGCCACTGATCAGGGTTGAAGTTGGAGAACATGTGCGGGTAGGCCGAGCTCAATCCGGCCCCGCCCAAGGCGGAACTGTGGATGGATGAAACGTCGTCAGGGATATACGAGACCATCGAGCCCGTCTCGTAGTCCCGTACCGAGCCGTTCATGTTGCCATAACGGTTGCTGGGGTAGCCGGCGGCGACATGTTGATTCTGCTGAGAGTAGCGCGGGGGGCGAAAGCTCGTTTTGGGCTTGCTGAATTGCAAGAGTGACGTCTGCAGGTTTGTCAGAGGGCCTTCAACGAGGCAGTTTCGATCCTTGAAGTGAACAAGAAGGTGGTGCCAGAGCTCGTGCTTGGAGAGGACCTTGGGGTTCCCAATAATCACCAAGCCGTACTTCGCTCGGGTAAGCGCGACGTTGAGACGGCGAGGGTCCGACAAGAAGCCGATGCCTTGGTTATCGTTCGAGCGGACGCAGGAGAGAACAATGAAATCCTTCTCCCGTCCCTGGAACGCATCCACGGAAGCTACCTCGACTTCCTTGTAGCTTTCCTTCTTGAACGTTCCAGTGTTTTGCATCGTGCTAACAATGTAGCTACGCTGGCCTTCGTACGGTGTAATGACACCGATATCGCTTGGCTTCACGCCCGCTTTGAAGAAGCGCGTAACAATCTTTTCGACGTTGGAGGCCTCGGTGCGGTTGAGGTAGGATGTACCAGATGCCGAGATCTCCTCAGTGCCTAGATTCGACCAGAACATCATGGGCATCTCAGCTACCGGCCAAGGAAAGTCCACATCTTTTCGGAGCCGCTCGCTCACGGTTACGCCGTTCTGCAGCGATCCTTCGTAGAACATGTTCGATGGGAACTGCGAGAGGCATGGGTGCATACGGTATTGCACATTGAGCCGGATCGGTGTCAAGTTCAGCTTGACCAACCTCTCAAAGAGAGATTGATTCAAGCCCGCCTTGGCTGCTTTCTTGTTCATGATGACAGGACCGAGCTGCTTGTGGTCGCCAACCAGGACCACCTGTTTACATCCGAGAACAAGAGGTATCATGCACTCTGGCTCGGCCGACTGCGTAGACTCGTCGATCAACACGTTCCGGAACTTCATTTTGGAAAGCCTCGGGTCGCCGGCTCCGACGCAGGTGCAGCACACGACATCGGCGTTGTTGAGGATTTCACGCTCAGCAGCACGCGTCAGCTGCTTGAACTTTTTCTCATCCTGTGACGACAGCTCGCCCTGGTCTGCCTTGAGTTGAGCAAGCTTGTTGAGCTCGGTATTGCTATCGTTCATGCGGACCTGCTCATGCAGAGCCAGGAAGCTAACTGAGGATTCGACATCCTCGCGCGACTTGGCCGTCAAACGGACGACCTTCAAGCCGGTGCGGTGAACCCGCTCGCACAGCTGGTCTACAGCAACGTTGGACGGGGCACAGACTAGTACCTGACTGTTATTCATCTTGGCGAGATGGTATATGATGGTGGCAGAAGTGACCGTCTTGCCGGTGCCTGGCGGCCCCTGAATCAGGCTGAGCGGAGTCGATAGCACTGTCTTGATGGCTGTGATCTGGCTATGGTTCAATTCTGGCAGACCCGGGACGTGAAACTTCTTAGGCATCTGCGTCTTCATCGGGGCAACCGCCACTTCGTGGCCGAGGAGCTTGTGGAAAATGTAACCCGAGACGCTGAGCTCGTCAACCGCAAACGTCTTCATGGCGAACTGCATACGGTCGTACGAGGTGGCCTTCCAAACGTAGTCGGCCGAGAAGTTCGTGGTGCACTCGGTCGGCACTGACTTGTCGTTACCGGATTTTCGCAACTCCAACGTGACCTCGTCCGACTGGTTGTTGGGAATCTTGATCACATAGCCCACGCCTTCCCACGGAGGGCGGAGATCACCCTTGTATTTTAGTCGCATTTCGTCGCCCACGGCCAACTTGACGTCGCCCGACTCAATCTTTGGCAGAATGAAACTGGCCAGGTGCTTGTTGTTCAGCCCAAAATCCCAACGCACGTGCAGGTTGTCTTCGGACTGCGCCTCCTTGAGCTTCTTGTCGTAATCCGACTCCATTTTGACTAGGGGCCCAAAGATATTCTGGTAGTGGTACGGGTCGTCGTACTTGAGCAGGACGGGATGCGGGTCATCGTCGGCGCCAGCACCCTTTTCGAGGTCGGCAACAGTGGCGCCTGGAGTTTCCTTCCACATTTCCTCGAGTTTTGCAATCATGGGCGGCGTCAGGTGCCTGGCTCGAAGCTGCTCAGCGTCCGTCGGGGGTTGGACAAGCCAATTCAAAAAAGATCGGTCCTCAATAAGGGGTTGCCATCTCGTGATATCCCAGCTCATATCCTTGGATGATGTGTTGGCGGCGCAAGGCTGACGGCAAAGGAGGACGACCACAGTATCGGATTTAGCTGGAATAAAACCAAGCATGAAAACGTTCTTGGTCCCGCAGTTGTAGCATTCCAGGACGGTATCCCCGAGAGACGACTGTGGATGGAGCTGGACCTCCTTGTGTCGCGCCCGCACCAGATGGTTGACTATGTGGGAAGAGCTGGCGTTGCCCCGAGCGCTACAGAACCACTTGCTACACGCGAGACACTTGACAACACTGGCTGGCGAGTGGATGCCGCAGTACCTGTGAATATCAATTAGCAGGTGTCCCGGCATTGCGGGCTTAGTTCAATATCACTCACGCGCAAGCGTGGGCAGGCAGCTCCTTCTCCTCTTCTGGGGCATTCAACTTTAAAGCTTTCATGCCCTCGACAGGAACGCTAGCCAAGCTCTCCTCGTCATCGTCGTCAAAGACCTCGGTCTCATTGTCGTCGTCATCCTGGCGGCGTCTGGCATTGCCTAACCCTGTCCGAGCACCACGAGCGCTGTAAGCGTCGTACAGTAAGTTCTCGTCCGGGTCAATGGTTGACAGTTCGTCAGAGCCTCCAGCCTTAATGGCAGCGGCTGAGTCGGAAACGAGGTGGTTCCCGAGGTGGGTGAAAGCGGCATCCATGCTGTGCGTGTTGGAGAATGGACAACGGTTGTCTAGACAAGATCAGATGGTTAGTGGCGCGGCAACCCAGGCCCAAATTGCATTGCATCGCATCGACACGACATGAAATGTACATGAAGTCAAGAGAACGGGAATGATGACGTGCCCAGGTATGAGAGGGCTCACCTTGAGTCGGTCACCGCTGTCGAGAGTATCTGTAGATTCGAGCCGCCCGGAACTGCGGCTTTGTCGCAGTGAGTAGCCTGGGAAAGAGACAGGAGTAGTGTTGGGAAAGAACGGTCACATTATCGCTAGTAGCAGTCGGAGTACTGCAGGTTCGCAAAAGATTGCGAATACGTGCTTGTTGTAGGTCTCAGGTTTTGCGGCCGCTGTCGTTTGCGATTTTTGGTGACGGATCGGTGGAAATGGACGCAGCACTGAGCACTTTCGGCCCTCACCTCAGCGCAACACCAGAGTCGCCGACGAAAGTGGAAAGTGGCGGAGATGTACCGTGCCCGGCGGGCGAAAAAAGTTCGGCGCTGTGTGCTCCACCAAACCTTGCTCAACAGGTGAGCCCCGCTAGCGCTGAGCCCCCACACCTCAGCGCCCCGGCCTCACTACACAAGTGGAGTACAGCTCGGCTGCAACTCAAATTCCCGGCCTTATCTTATCTCCCGCCTGTAATTCAGCCTTGCAGGCGAATTTTCCGACTATGTTAAGTTTAACCATACCTTGCTTAACAGCTTCCAGGGTCTCACGGTCAATAGCACTACCGAGCTATCTTGACGTTCACTTTGCTGGGAGAAAAGATGATTGTATGCCATCTCTGCCCATTATTACAGGCATTGAGTTTACTGACGATCATCAGCGCAAACAAGCTCGCCAGAGGAGGGACTACCTCTACCGCCGAGCCCTGCTCTTGCGCGATGCCGAAGTCAGTGAAAAGCGAGCGAAACTGAGGGCCGCCCTGGCCTCGGGAAAGCCGTTAGATCCAGAGATCGCAAACGACAAGCAACTGCGAAAAGACTACGACTACGATGTCTCCCGAGATATCACTCAAGGCGACGCTGCGGATATAGACGACGAGTATTCGGAACTGTCGGGCGTTGTAGGTACGTATGCTCCAATCGCCCCTTACGGTGCCTGACTACGGTTACTGACTCTGCTCGCTCTAGATCCAAGAGTTCTGGTTACAACGTCACGAGATCCCAGTTCCAGGTTAATGTCCTTCTCCAAGGAGATTAGATTACTCTTCCCTACTGCCATCCGTCTCAATCGAGGAAACCTCGTGCTTCCAGAGTTAGTACGGTCGGCTCAGAGCGAGCGACTCAGTGACATTGTTCTCCTTCACGAACACCGGTTTGTCATCCCCATATTGAGCACGTCTGGTAAAGGCTCATAGTCTCTAACTCTGGCATTAGTGGCACACCAACAGCTATCACCGTCAGGTAAGTACCTTGGTTCGGCCAATTCATGAGAAATCTCTGACACTTTTGCAGCCATTTTCCTCACGGACCAACGCTCATGGCCTCGCTACATAATGTAGTGTTGCGCGCAGACATCCCCCGGTCGATCAAGGGGACAGTCAGTGAGAGTTACCCTCATCTAATATTTGAGAACTTCAAGACACCGCTCGGCCTCCGGGTAGTCAAGATCCTGAAGCATCTGTTCCCTCCCCGAGACCCTGCCGCCAGCAAGACAGCAGGCAACCGGGTCATTACATTCCTAAACCAGGATGATTGCATAGAAGTCCGTCACCACGTCTATGTCCGGACGAGCTATAACTCAGTTGAGCTGAGCGAGGTCGGGCCTCGCTTTACAATGCGGCCTTTCTCTATCACCATGGGCACCCTCGAAAATAAGGATGCCGACTTGGAATGGCATTTAAGCCAGTACACGCGCACAGGCAGGAAGAAGAACTACTTCTGAGAACTTCGCTATCTGTGGCAGACTGTATCAGTTGCATCGCCTGGGGCAGCCATGAATTGGCTGCTTATTGGCAGTATCTCCATCCGCTAAGCGGCACGAAACACCATACGGAAGGGAGGTTAACACCCACCAGAAGCCACGTCGAAACATCGAGTGCAGGCCCGAGGAGGAACGACCATTAAGTATCACATCAGATACGAGTTGTCAGAGTTGCATCAAGCGCGCAGCACCTGTCGGGTGGAGGTGATGGCAAAAGCCAAGTCGAGGCTCAGGTTGTTCCGGGGCATGTTCCTTGTGTTGGTGGTAAGCTACAGGGAAGGAGATGATGGCGAAAGCAAATTGAACGTGGAAGATGGCGCATGCGAGCAGGATCATATACTCGCTGCCAGTAATGGCTTATGGCTCGAAACAAACTGGGGATTGCTGCTTTGAGCCGAGCTAGGAGTCTTCAACTCATGAGGAAGAAAATGGGGAATAAACCCAGCTACGATACGCAATCCGTCAAATTGTCTTGGCATGATGTAGAATGCGTCGCTGATGAAGCCCACGCAAGCCGAGGCTGAGGCGGGCCCTGCAGGAGGGAGGAGACAGCCTGAGTGGACTGAGTGGAGAGAAAGCTGCAGATCCGCACCCCAGCCTCGTTCAGTGACGCCATCCCATCCCGCTCATCGTTGGCAACCTACACGTACAAGCACCAGCCGCAGTTGGGGGAGCTTTCACAGCCTTTCAGTGATGCAAGGACGTCGATTCCCATGACTGGCAGGACTTGACTATGTACTGTACGGTACACTCGACAAGGTTCCAGGTTGTGTACTCCCTGATTGGACTTCTCCAAGGCCTCTCGGGACTGCACCGTTTCCATGCCTTGCTTTACGAAGGTCAACGTTTGCTGAGCTGGCTGGACGAGTCTCTGTCCGACACACAGGGCAGGCTGTGATTTGTGAGACTACTACAAAGGTATCCGTAATTGTACCTATGTGACCGAAATTGTACCTATATGTGGCAGACCGATACGGATAGACCGTTGCTTGTTTGCACGCTTCCCAGTAAAGTCCACCAGGGCACACAGCTCGAAGCAGACCGCCGGATCATAATCTATGGTGGTGGACCAGAGGAAACAAGGTTAATAATTGACTGACAGGTCGCTGGCTTGAGCTTTGCGGACCGTTCAGGTCATCTGAGGCCCTTGCGGGCGCCAAGCACGCTAACTGACGCCCCTAGAGTAGCGTTAGGTAACCAGCCACAATCGCGTCACTCTCCAATGATCAGCACCACCTAGCAAGGTACAGAACTGCGAACACCAGACGGAGGATCCGGTTGCAAATTTCCCAACCTGCGCTTCTTCGCTCCTGCTAACGCGATTCTTACTTCGTTTGTCCATAGACAACGGAACAATTACTAAGTGCGACTGCGACGACCTCGAGACTTCTTGCATTCAGTGTCTTAACTTCTAGACAGTCATGTCCTACAATCCCTACAACCAGGGGCCCTCAGCCGAGTCCGGCTACGGTTATGGCCAGCCAGTGAGTATATTCCGAGTCGCCTTCGGTGTGCCGAGCCTCAGACAAATGCCCGTCCTCGGCGGGAGCAATCAGCTTTGCCGCGCATCGGGAACAATGCGTCTGCGTGAAGTCAATTGGATCCGACAAACTGACTCGGACCCCTCGGCAGGAGCAGCATGAGATGCAGCCGTACGGGCAGCCGTACGGACAGCCATACGGCCAGCACCAACAGCAATATGGGCAGCAAGGCCAATACTCGTCTTACCAACCGCAGAGAGACCAATACGGGTCGCCTTACGCGCAGCAACAGGAGTCACATGGCGCTCAGCAACAGCAGCAGGCGCCGGGCGGAAGCGTCCTTTCACAGACCGAGTTTCTGCAGCGGGTATCCGCCATACGCAAAGACATAGAGGGCCTCAAGACGAGCATCCAGAACGTTGCAACGCTGCACCAGGCCGCGCTTGCCAGCAGCGACAGCTCGGCGCAGCACCAGCTGGACGATCTGGTGCAGGCAACGCAGATTAAGAACACGTCTATCCGGAGCCAGATCCAGACGCTCAAGGCCGACACGGAGCGCACCAGGGACGGCACCTTTGCCATCAAGAAGCGCCAGTTTGAAAGCCTCAACGACGACTTCAAGGACGCCATCCAGAAGTTCCTGCAAGAGGAGCAACTGTACAGGGAGCGCTACCGCGAGCAGATCGCCCGGCAGTACCGCATCGTCAACCCGGACGCCTCCGAGGAGGAGGTTCGGCAAGCGGCCGACGCCGACTGGGGTGATGAGGGCATTTTTCAGACTGCGGTAAGTTTAACCTTCCTTACCGCACTACCCCCCCGTTCTGTCATCTCGGTACAAAAAAGATGGCAAATGAAAATCATACTAATCGTATAAAAAATAGCTACGCACCAACCGTTCGGGCCACGCGAACGCGGTGCTGGGCAACGTGCGGGCGCGGCACAATGACATGCTCAAGATTGAAAAGTCCATCACGGAGCTGCTCGAGCTGCTGCAGGTGCTCAACACGCTCATTGTCGAGCAGGGCGTCGTCATCGAGGACGTGGCCCAAAAGGCCGAGCAGACGCACGACAACCTGGGCACCGCAAACACCCAGATCACCCAGGCCGTCCACCACGCCCGCCGCAGCCGCCGCCTCAAGTGGTGGTGCTTCGGCATCGCCGTCCTCATCGCCATCGTCATTGCCCTCGGCGTCGGGCTCGGCCTCACCCTGACGCGCAACACGACGCAGAATGCTACCGGTGGTGGTGGTGGTGGTGGCGGTACGCAATGAATTGGGTTGGATTGAGTCCGCTGTGAAGGACCAATGGAAGGGGAGAGAGGAAGGGGGTTTCAATGGTGAGGAAGGAGCCGGTGGTTTATGACGACGTGATTTGTCTCCTCTATTTTCTCTTCACCGCTTGCACTCTCATTCTTTACAGGCGGCTGTCTACACAAGTCCCGTTTTCAGGCCGCGACATACCTGCAAACGAATGCAGTGGCAGCGCAGTCCATTTCACGCCCGTTGCTTACAAACTTCGGGCCATAATATGCATGACTTAAGGGTCTGGGGAAGGGGGTCGTTTGGGGATACAAAGTGTTTGGGCGCAAATGTACCGGATGTACGGATCTCCATGTAGTCTATGGACTCAGATATGACTGATACAGGCCGATATTCAGTACTCGGCATCCACATTCATGAAATTGATCTTGGTGACGGCATGAGCTCTAAAAAGCACCTATTTTCCTTGTCTTGAGCATCTCAAGCAGGCATTCTTAAGAGTTTTCTATTTATCACGATAACTGAGTCCAGTTCAGACCAAGAAGGTTAACATGCCAGCCGGAGTTAGAGCGAACGGACAGGGTGCGACTTGAGGGAAGTACAGTACTATTAGCCACTTGTATACAATACAGGCGCAGGACGCCTCAGTCTAGGATACCTGCGCAGATGTTATCCTTCCACATGACCCTGTCAATGCGAAAAAACTAGCCTAGCCCTTCGTCGAGGACCCGTTACACCGTCATAGAAGGTTCGCTCCTTACGAACCACCCATCTTCTCTACATGTTAGCGAGAAGAAAATCCCAAAGTCCCGCAAGACAAATTAGAACCAAATCTGTGCTGGCTCGGCAGCCCTCGCCGCGTATCTTTCATTTTACACGCCAACCCGGCGGCGCATTCGCCTCAATGGATGGCTGAGTTGGCTCTGCTCGCCCTTTCTCTCCGCGGTTACAACCGTTTACCGCATCATCCCTGGGCCCATGGCCTGCAACCTCCTCGCAAGGTCGGGGTACTTCTCCTGCACCTGAATCTGGGTTCTCGTAGCTTCGGCGTATTGGAGAACATTCACCAGTTCTCCTTCGGTCCTAGCTAGTTCGGCGGCCCGCTCAAAGTACTTGACGGCCTCGGCAACCTTGCCCTGCTGTAGGAGTAGCTGGGCCATGGTAGCTACAGCAATGTCGCACTCCGGGTCAACTACACGCTACGTCAGTATCTTGAACCAGTGTGATATATTACCGGAAATCAGGATCGCCTTACTAATGAGGGCCTTCTCGCAGAGCTTCTCTGCTTCTGAAGCGTCGCTCTTCCACTGGAAGAGAGCAAGAGATTTGTTAATGAGGGGAAGGACGTTCATGCAGGTTGGCTTGGTTTCCCTCTCCAGCTCGATGGCTCGGTCGAACTTCTCAATAGCCTCCTGGTACTTGCCCTGGTCCAGGAGTAGCTCGGCGTAGTAGTTGTAGACGTCGGGAGACTTCTCAAAATTCTTCATGCACCGGCGGAAGGTGGCCATGGAGGAAGCAATCGAGCCCATCTTGTACTGGGTCACACCAAGCTGGATGTGGGAGAAGATGAAATCGCGGTCCAAGTCGATCGACTTTTGGTAGTCCTTCTGGGCCTCTGCAAACTCGCCCTTAATGAAATGCAATTGCGCACGGTGGTAGTAGATGTCAGGGTCCTCGGCGTTCTTGGCGACAGCCACCTTGAAGTCCTCTTCAGCCTTTTCAGGTGAGCCTAGTCGCGGTTAGTAACCAAGAGGCCTGCCTTAGGATGAAGCAGTTCTTACCAAGTTCAAGGTTCATGCTCGCCCTCTTGATGTAGCTCTGTGTCATATCAGGGTCGAGCTCGATGCTCTTAGACAGGTCCGCTAAGGCCTCTTCGTGCTTGCCCTTAAGGCAGTTGAAGGTGCCGCGGAGGTTATACGCGTAGGCCTCATGCTCGCCGAGACCGCCCAGCTCCAAAGCCTTCTCAAAAGCCTCAGCAGCCTCCTCGTACCCGGGTCCGGTCTTGCTCTCCAAGGCTTTGAGACCCTTTTGCAACTGGCCTTTCCCGGTTTCCTCTGAAAGCTCTTCCGAATCCTCCAGGCCGGCCGGCCGAGGCTTGGCTCTGAAACTCTGGAGGTAGTTCCCGACGAACGTGGAACTCGGGAGCTTGGCGGGCTTCGTTTTCAACACGTCTTTGGCTTTCGTCTCGGCGGATTTCTTAAGCAAGCGCTCCAAGCCCTGTGCGGTCTGCTCGTTCTTGAACCCGTCGAGAATACAGCTCACGGTGAGGTCGAGGAGCGCGTCGCGATCCTGGCCTAAGTGCTCGTAGGCGTTCGCGCGGCGATTGAGCGCTTTGACGTACTCAGGATTGAGATTGAGAGCCGCAGTGCTATCCTCGACTCCCTTTTCCCACTTGCTGAGTGCGTTGTAGCATGCGGCCCTGTTTGAGAAGTAGACGGGGTCCGGTTTGCAGAGAATAGCCTTCGAGTAAAGATCGATAGCTTTCTCCAGGTCCTTCGCATTGTACGCTTTGTTGCCGGCCTCCTTCAACTTGGCAGCATACTCTTTCCGTTGAAGCGCGGACAGACGTTCGACTGTTGTTTCGTCAATCTCAGGTAGCTCGTCGGCAGCTTCGACAGCGGCAGCCTTGGGAGCCGAAGTGGCGGGCTCGGCTGGGCTTGTCGATGTGGTAGCCTTCTCAGCATCTCCTTCTCTCTCGGCTTGTTTCCGTTTCCGCCTCTCTTTTTTGCTGAGCTTGGGTGTTGTGTCCTTCGATTCCTAGGCGGGACCGACGTCAGTCTCGTGCTGCCCAGTGCTAGGCAGCGCCGATTTGAGAAAGGAATACTCACGGAACTGGGACTGCTCCGGATGTAATAGACCGCACCGGCGCCCGTGACGACAATAGCAACGCCAGCAATAGTGTACACGATTGCCTTGTTTTCTGATACCCAGGTCGAGATGCGATCCCACAGCGAGGAATCAGGCGACACGGGTGTCGAAGCGGCCCCGGCGGGACCCGCGGGCATCGGAGGAGGCATAGCTTTGTTAATTAGTGAGAAATGACAATTGGAATTAGAACAAAGAAAGAATGGTGATGCAGATGCGAAGGAAGGGGATCATGCACTGAGCCGACGCGATCTCGGCGAGGTTTGATGATGCTAGTGTGCACGCAGAGCTCTTGGGTGCGGGTAGTTGCTGAACCCAGCTGGAGCTTGCGAAACAAAAAAAATCGAGTCTTGACGCGCCCAATTGCAGCGACGTAAGATGGTGGATCCCTTGAGCACGCGGTTTTTCCGAGGCGCCCTGTTCCCTGATCCAAAACCTGGTCTGTTCGTAAAGTTCCACTACACGTGTATGAAGTAACTTAAGGTAAGCCAAGGTGAAGGAAAAGTCACACATTGAGATTCGCCCGTTTCGACGAAAGCCAGGTGACAACCTCTCAGCGGTGATATCCACCTAACATGGGGAGTAACCAACTGGAACACAGGCATTATGGAAGCTAGAGCAGGTTATTGCTTACACAGCCTTACTAGGATTCTAGGAAAGATGCATGAAGTCACGCTAATGTAGGCTATGTAGCAGTAAACAGAGTGTGTCTTGAAGGCTTTATGGAGCCCGCTTCCTTGCATCTATGACTCCGAGGGTAACCAGGAAAGAAGTCAGATAAGAAACAAGGGAACCGAAATAAGTCTGGAAGTGTGTGACAACGTTGACAACAAAGTGTCTGCACACAAGCAGGCTACGTACTCATGCAGATTCAGACTTGATCATCTATGCAATGGCCGACGATTTTCAACTTTTCTCCTCGCTTCGCTATGACCCAGCGCTCATCGAAGTTCCCACCAGCGCTCTTGACTATGCCGGCTGGAATTGGGCGAACGCCTCGCCGCTTTACATGCTTGACTACCATCGAGACCGGATGCTCCGGGCGGCAACTCACTGGGGCTGGGATGCGGCCATAGAGGCTCTCAGTGGTGAGGCAGGCCTCAAAAGGCTCGCACATGTCATAAACAGTGACCTTGGTGACGACCAAGACTCGGCGAAGAGAGTGAGGGTAGCAATCACGAAAGCAGGACAATTCAGTATAACTGCCGGCGCGGTCCCAGGAACGCCTCTTGCCAATCTTTTTCCAGAAAGGCTACCTTCCCCAGGAGAAGACTGGAGCAGTAAGCAGCATGGAGACATCCCCGGCAAGTCTCCGGTATACGAGGTGCTAGTCGACAGCCTGGGCACTCTCCGGTCAGAGTACACCCACTTCAAGACTACGAACCGGGCTGTTTATGACGAGGCCAGGCAGCGGGCTCAGATAGGTCTCCCCGACATGAAGGAAGTTCTCATCATCAACCAGGCAGACGGCACCGTCATGGAGGGATCGATGACGACGGTCTACCTGTGGCGGGATGGGAAGTGGGTGACGCCCCCGGTGAGCCGAGAATACAGCTTAGTCAAGGGAAGCGGTGGCCAGGACGGCACGACCAGGAGGTGGGCACTCGAAAGGTGCGCCTCACACTCTGTACTCACGCCGACAGCAACACAACTTTGCTGACAGGATGCAGGGGCATCGCCGTCGAGGGCACTATTCTGGCAGAGTCGCTGGTAGACGGTGAAGAATGCTGGCTGAGCAATGGAGTGAGGGGTTTCTTCTTTGGAAGAGTCAGGTTGAGCTGATCTCGCGTGGGGTTCATTGCCGGCCATATGGCTCACTTCTGTTGCTATCCTGAACAAGGAGTAGAAGCTGTCGGGCTCCGCTCCAAAGCATCCCGCCCTTCGCTGGGTAAATATGGGCGTCACTTCGTCTTCCGTCCGGGACGGACGTGAGCTGGCGACAGCTTCCCAACAAGCCCCTTGAAGGTCTATAAGCCAGAATATGGCCAACGAGAAAGGTTCATAAGGCACTTTGCATACCTGAATATTGTACGCGTATTGACCGAGATCCGGCGACGAGCAAACTTTGATGGCCAGACTTCGCTCAACATCTTGTGGATGCAGCCTTCCCCTTTAAGTTGGTGTTAGTTTAGAGTTCAACGCCCTGGAGAAATATCGAATGGCTCATACTTGCCCACAGGTTGTCAACTGCCACTGGCATGGATCTATACCACTCAGCTGACAGCTTTTCGTTTGCGCCTTCCCAATTCGTCGCTGTTGAGGGAATCATGGTGTGTTGGCACTCAGGGATCGAGCTTTCCCTCGGTTAACTTGAGGCAGGAACAACCGCACTACTGGGTTAGATCATGAGTGCTGTGACAGCTGTTTCTCTCTGGTTCATATCAACCTCTCTTGGGCAACGAGCCGTTTCATTATCAACCAAACATTCTTCGCTTCTTAACTACAGCAAACTCAAGACACCTGGCATCCCATTCAGCAGCAATCTTTTATCCGTCGCAAACTTATAGTGTGCTGGGAAAGTCTACAACATGCTTCGACGAAATCGAATTGTCGATATTGAGTCCATCTTGGAGGAACAGAAGAAATTACGAGCCAAGCTTGGTCTGCACAAGATTCCGGCCACTCCAAATCCCAACTACAAGCATAATGGCACCAGGTCCTACGTGTCGGCACTAAATCGGTACGGCTTCCAGCCAACCAAGCCTGGCCCCTACTTCCAAGCGTTTACTCGAGACACATCTCGGGCCTCGGGCAAGCCAGCACCAGGCTCACTGCCCGCTGTATGGACGGGCCTCTACAAGTCTGACAAAGACGGTAACGTGAGCAAAGTGTCAGCCGATGATCAGCAGAACGATGCCGAGTACCTCTGTAACTTGTCAATCGGCTCCGCTCCCCAGAAGCTCCTCCTGAATTTCGACACCGGCTCTGCCGATCTCTGGGTAGGCCACATTGTCCGTCGGACTAGGGCAGCATGTTCTGACGTCGATACACCGCAGGTAAAGCCGAGTGACTTCCAGCACACGAAGTCATCGACATTCAAGATTGCGAGTCACAAGACCTGGGAGATGTGGTACGGCGATGGCAGCTTGGTATCAGGCTTCGTCGGTACAGACATGGTCTCGATTGGTGGCCTCGTCGTCAGGAAACAGGCCGTAGAAGTGGCACAGAAGCTATCGCCGACATTGCTCCACAGCACCATGGCAGGTAGCCTTGGTATGGCATTCCGACAGCTCAACACGGTCAAGAAGGATGGGAAACCGGATCCCCAGCGCACTCTCCTCGACAACATGATCTCCCAGCGCCTGCTCCCTAAGCATTCTCAGCTGTTCACCTCTGCGTTATACAGGCTTCAAGACGGGGGGAAGCAGTCTTACTACACATTCGGGTGGATCGACCAGGACCTCGTGAAGGAATCAGGCGAGGACATCGCCTGGACTCGGGTCGATAAGTCCACCGGCTTCTGGATGTTTCCCAGCGAGAGCGCCATGGTCAACGGCCAGATTATTCCTTCGTCCGGCAACAAGGCGGTTGCTGACACGGGAACTGCGCTTGCCCTGGTTTCGGACGAGCTTTGCGATGCCTTGTACAGACAGATCCCGGGCGCTCTGTACAGCTACGAGTACCAGGGATACATCATCCCGCGACACATCAAGATTGACCAGCTGCCAAACTTCAGTCTAGCTGTCGGTGACAAGCAGTTTGTGATTCAGAAGCAGGACCTCCTCTTCGCCCTAGCCGATGCCAAATACTGGTACGGCAGTGTGCAGTCCCGGGGTCGGAATCCCTTCGACATTCTCGGAAGTACCTTCCTCAAGTCAATCTACGCAGTAAGTCCACCTCGGTTGCCCTGTGCTGAACTCGGGCTCATTGGACATAGATCTGGGACCAAGGCAACAGCCGCTTCGGGGCCGTCCCAAAAATTGAGGAGATGCAGGACTTTGACGCTCCTAGAACTCCGAGCCCCTGATTCACCCTTTACATCCGCAGCATACAAAGTCCCTAAGAGTCACTGGCATAATTCGATGGTCAACTCTCTGCACCGACGTGTAGTCATCGCTTGGCGTGTAGCGCGCCATGGCAAGTCTGGAGGTTATGGCGCTAGGGTGGGAGTCTTGACCGAGTTGATAGCTTTAGCCCTAGCATCAGTATTGAAAATGAAATAGACTATACGGAGGTATTGCATTTGCCGTTGCTGAGGTACTTCATGTAGACTGTGCTCCATCGCTCACATCTATCCAGGACATTGCGTAGTTAGGCTGGCTAGGGTTCAGGGCCACAGTACCATTCATCGATTTAACAGGGAAAGGAACAGAGCCTGGGAAAAGGTAAAAAGGGGAGTTATCGTTCATTCAACAACACCAAAAAATGAAAAATATCACGTGACAAGAGTGAGATTCGAACTCACGCCCCATTTCTGAGACCAGGAAGAACTCATTCAGGTGGACCTGAACCTGGCGCCTTGGACCGCTCGGCCATCTTGCCTTGTGGATGCTTTTGGGTGATGATTTTAAGTATCTGTGCTGGAGGTGCTTTGCTAGGGTGCGCACTGGGCATTCAGTGCATGTAAAAGCCTCCACACCCACTCAGGGGATAGAAGCCTTGATTGGCAGCGTTGCGGCTTCCGGTATCAGATACCGAAGTTGTAAGAAGTCCAGGCCGCGTCGACATCGGGCATGATACCTGTATAAGACACTCTAGGTAGGCGGCTTGACCGGTCGGTTGGGTAACACAACGCTATCGCAGCAGAAGGACGGGAGGGGATCGATCGCCTTTATTAAGTGCGTGGGGGTCAAGCAGCTCTATGCTCCCTTTCTCTGGTTCTGGTCCATGCCGTCGGTACTGTAAACATTGAACTGCAGTAAGTTAGGCAGAGTACATGCACCACGCTACATTATCTTACCTTCTAACTGCGGGCACTTGTTCCGGGCAGCCTGCTACTAGAAACGCCGGCAGTGTCCAATCTGACGTAGTGTCGGCCGGGACAAAATAAAGGAGGAGGGGTGTGGGGTATGGCGAGGAAATTCATGGAGGCACTTGGGAGCTGCTTGAGAGCGGCCAACCCATCTTCTGGTCTCTCCTAAATATCCAGCAGTTAGAAACTCCCGTCGTTGTTGACATTTGTGTAATCAGTGTTCAAAAAACGCCAATGAAAGGTGACAAGCTGCGTGAAGCCGAGACCGCAGTTATGCTCTGCAGCTTACCGTGTCTGCTTCCCACCAAGAAGGCGAATCAGACGCCGGGACCGAAACAGCATTAGAAACGGGTGCGTCAGGCACCTTCGACTCGTCTTTCCGACGTGCTACCAAAACCGTAGTAGGGCAGCACATACCGGTACGCTATCTTCCATAGGGTTAGGCAGGGCACCCAAAGCAAGCTTCAAGGGGCCTCGGTGACGAATCTACGGACTGTAGCCAGTGCTCGTCAGTTCAACAAGTGCCTATCGTCAGCCTCGCATCATCAGAACTTGGCCGTTGCTCGTAGAACTGGAGCCATGGCCACACGTCTCCCGCAGGCTTTTCTGCTTGCAAGCGACTAAAGATACCCTACCTTGGACGGGCCACCCCATATCACTCCCAGACTGTGTGTTAGGAGGGTGCGCGTGTCGATTGGTTGCGGCTGCCCAAGCTCAGTCGTCTGTCAACGTAGGTAGGTCAGGTAGCTTATCGCGCCGTCCTTTGTCCGCGACGGGATGCCCTGAACCGGCGCAAATGGCCTCTCGGTTTGCCAAGCTGCCATGGTCGCTGTGCATCAGCGCTCCTCCTCTGTCCGTTCGATGCGTGGCGGGTGCAGATGCCTAGACTACTACACCAAACTCAATCGCTGTTGGCCCGTCGTGCTGCACATAAACACTCTATAAAGCTCGCAGATGAGCGACTGGTTGGCCTGCCAATGATGAGCATGCGAGTCGTCATTTCTGGTGAAGGATGAATTAATCTCGAGGGATGACTCAGCTTGGAATTGACTTAGTTGTGTAGGTACGTACAGTATGTGATAGAACCAGAAGTTGATGGCTCTTGCGTGTTGCAGCAGAGCAGCTGTTGTTTTCAAAGAGGCTTGGATGGCGGCCCAGTTAGGAGCGGCTAAAAGAGGACTCTTGGCTTTAAGCAACTTTCTGCTGTGGCCTGGGGTTCCCCAATCCCCCGATTTCAACAGCCTCTTTTTCGCTAACGTGACGAGGCGGGGGAAGAAAAAAAAAATAAGGTAAAGAGAACGATCAACACCAGCTTTCCCCTTCAGCATCTTTGGCCCTCTACAGACCGCCCTAGCAACACAGGCCAACCCAATTCGCGTCGTTCTGGGCCCGCGCCGTCAGCAGTGTGTCAGACTCGCCACTTTCGCCTCTAATCATTCGTGCAGCAGGGAGCTCGGTCCTTTTCCAGAAACTCTACAGAGGCCTGCTTGCACTTGTGTCTACATACCCGGACAGTCGACAGGCTTGCGAAGCCAGGGTCTCCCGTCCGGATCGAAGCTGCTGCTTTGGCTGCTGTCCTCGAGCTTGCGTCTTTCATTCTTCGCCCTGCGTCGCTCTTCCCTCCGTCTTTGCCGTTTAGGTATCTTACTCGACTGGCTTCACCATCCGTTGATTCTGCACCGCAGGACGGTCCGGCCGCAAGGCATCTCTGGCTTTCGCTGCAGGAGCGATAGACGACCCAAAAATATACAGAGCCTCGAGATTCTCCGCACCACCACCGCATGATTGAGCGGCCTCGACGTCATTGCAGCTCCCTGCACCCCTTCGCCGAGCTGCATCCGTCAATCCCCCCGTCAACTCATCTCCGCGCCGGGCCCGCTTCAATACAATAATGGCCGGTATGGGCGTTCGACGCAGGAAGATCATCGGCCACCGTCGCCGCGTAGAGGACGAGGGCGAGGATGACGGTCCCGAGTTTATGGCAGATCTGGATGACGACTCCGTCACCGACGGCTCCATCGCCAGCGACGAACACGACGCGGCCGATGATAGCGACACTAGCAACATCGACGATGCGTCACCCACGTCTCCCAACGCTCGAAAATCATTAGGCAACGGCAACGGCAACGCAAAGACTGGCTTTCGCCGCCGCGCTGATGCCGCCTCGCCCAAAGGTCTGGCTGCGAAGCAGGGCCAGACCCCTATAGCCGATGCTGAGACCATGCTCAACCGTCTGTCGCTTGCCGAGAAGGACGACAAGGCAGAAGAGATGAATTTTGAAGATATCAAACCGGCGCCGCCGGCTAAGGATGCGGCCCCGATCGTAGTGAGCTCGAGCTCTGCCGTGCAGCAACAGCCGCGATTGCCCCAGCAGGAGTTAAAACGGCGGGAGCATGAGGAGTATAGGCGGAAGAGGGAGGAAGACCCAACTTTTGTCCCGAATAGGGGCGCTTTCTTTTTGCACGATCATCGGCACGCCGGTCCCGCTGCCAATGGCTTCCGGCCGTTCCCTCGGGGAGTCCGTGGCCGAGGGCGAGGAGCGTTTGGAAGCCACTTCGCCCCGATCAGGTATGGCGAGCTTGCCCTACTCGCGTGTCTCAATTGCCCCCCCTATGCTGACTGTTATGCTCCAGCCAAATGCACGGGGTCCCGGACCCGACGACGAATGGGGTGTGGAAACACGACATGCACGAAGTAGTCGCAGAGCCGCAGCCGCCACGGCAGGCCCGCTATCCCCAGAACAATGAAGGCCCAGCCAACGGCAACGGCTTCATTCCCACGGCAGCCACTAGCAAGACCATTATCAACCGAGCCATGTCGACAGAAAAGCACATTGGTAATGCGACGATCCGAGTGTTCATCCCGCCCATGAGCTCACCCAAGTTGTTCGCGGGTATTGCGTTGAAGCAGTATACGAAGCTGCCCGATCACCGCCCGCCCCTACGCCGTGACAAGCCCGTTCGGATTTCGCTGCCGTACCATAGCCCGCCCATCATGCCCCGATACATCTTTCCCGCGAGTGACAGATCCTTCATCTTTATTCCGCGAGCGCTTCGGCCTAACCAGCAACGGAGCCGGGGCAAGGGTCCTCGATCAATACTCGGCTCTGGAGCCTTCTCACGGGGTACGAGTGTTTGGAACGGGAGCGTCTATGGGAGCATCTACTCGCCCAGCATTGCACTCAGTCGCCGGTCATCGATCGCCCCTGACATTGGTCGCGAATTCATGCTCTCGCCGACGGGTTCCGCCATTTCGCGGCCTCCTCTCCCGCTAGATACTACCAGGCCCGTCGTCCGCCTGCCTCCGCTTGTTCAACCACCGGTAGCTACTATACCGGGTCCCGTCAAGCCAAGCATGTCCGAAAAGGCGGCACCTGCGGCCGAGACATCTCTCAGCGAGCTGCCGCAACCGCAAACACATCCTCTTCCACAAAAGCCCACTTTCCAAGAGAACCGACCAAACGCCATTCCCATGCATCAACCCCGACCTCAAAAGACGGTTTCGATCGAGAATATCGAGTCACCTGTTCAGCAGACCTCAAGCGGGCCCCCTCCATACCAGCAAGCCTTCCATCATCAGGTTCCACCAAATGTCCCCAGCAGCTTCACCCAGGATTCACACGCCCGCAATCCTTCTTACCAATCTCAGTTATCGTCTACACCTCTCTCACAGATTCCTGAGCGCGCCATCCATGCCGCCCCTTTCCAACCCAACACTTATGCTCAGCCGGGCTTTTATGGCCAGCCATACCCGGCTCCTACCATGCAAGCCCCTCAGGGCTTCTATTATTCCCAGGCATATGGAACCAATATGCCACCAAATGCAAACGCACCAGCCTTTGTCCCCGCCGCCCAGCAGGGACAGCCCGTCCCGTACGGCCAGCCGGCGCAGACGGAGGCAGCTCCCTCTCAAGGGCCCGGAGGACAAGCTCCGTCTTCCCAAAACCTGGTGGCCCAGGAGATGAACGGTATGGTCTACTACTACGATCCCTCTCAACTGCCTCCAATGGCGGGCTACCCCTCTTTCCCCGCGACCCAGCCGTACGCGCCGCCGCCGGGAATGGTGGGCATGGGCGCCATGATGGCGCCCAGCCCGGATGCGGCTTTTTATTACCAGCAGCCCGCACCGGGCATGGTCTACTATCCCCAGTAGCACCCGGGGGTGGTAGCAGCTCCAACTGGTTGGCTTTGGGTTCCTTGGTTTGATGATCGACTATATATCGCGCTTGAGCCTATACCGTGGCGGCGACATGTGTTATGTCTCCTGAAGGAGATGGGCGAGCAGTGGTGATATCCCCAGTTGGTGGGTTGGTTGGTTGGTTGATCAGTCATGGTTCGGGTGACGGGGTGGTGGACTCCTTCATGACGGTTGGTGCTGGACGAACGAGCAAGAGGAAGGATTTATTGACTGGTTGGGTAGTCAAGGATATGGAATTGTGGTTGTGCTGTCGTTTTAAGTCAGGAGAGGAGGAGGGAAACGCAAGGAAGTGGTGTAATGGGACGGGGTGGTAGAGTGGGATAGTTGTTGTTTTGTGCTGGCCTGCTGCTGGCTGGGGAATCTGGAGGAAACACACACACACGCACACGCACACAAACCAACAAGCCAACAAGCCAAGTCAAGTCAAGCCAAGCCAAGCAAGCCGACGAATTTACCCACCATTTTTATCATGCTAACTTGTTTTGTCCTAGCCGCTCCCTATATACGTTGGCGACTGGCGCTGTTGTGAGGTGATGGAAGATGAGGAGGTGAACATGATCATGACTGGCGGTGGATGGGCCGGTGGGATCTACCTCTTGTCTTGGAATCCCCAGTCTAAACGCTGGTTATATGTTTGGGAGCCTGTGTGGAGGTCTGCGTGTGGCAGCTATGCCCTTTTTTTGGGTGTGTGTGCGCGTTCGCTCTCTGTGTGACTCTCGTGTTGGTTTGTGGTTATTATGGAGGCAGCCGGGCGGTTCGCGGGTTCTACCCGATGGAAGGGGTTTCGCTGATGCCGTCGCCGTCGTCGTCGCTGTCATGGGGTGTCCTGGGCTATTGGGAAGCTTGCTTCGCTCGGTGAGGTTGGGAGGGTGAAAAAAGGGGCATTGTGATGATCCGATGGCATGCAATGCTGCATGTCGGTATGCGTTGCTGTGTGGCTAGGAGGAGATGGTGATGGTAAACGGGGTGGGGATTATAGCTCGCGGTTTCTCTCATCGTCTTGGACTCTCTCTTTGTTATTGCTGGGCTGGGCATGCTTGACGTTTCTTTCCCTTTCTCATTATTATCTATATCTTTTAAATGGCGGTTGGCTCTGCTTCTGGACGGTTTTTGCATGGCGTTTGGGAGTCGGGATGCCCTTTCTTGGTTGCTGTCTGGCCGGTGAATCCATTTCCCTCCCTCTTTCCTCTTTGCTGGGCCATGATTCTTAGGTCACCCAGGCATAGAGCATTGTTTCGGTAGGATCCCCATCCCGATCTCAGTGTTTTGTGTGGTGGTAGAAAACGTGGCAGGCGAGCTCAAGGATGGAAGTCAGCCTTGAGGGTCCCTTAGGTTACTTCTTTAGTTGGGTTAACCGGTCTGCCGGACCAAAGCAAATCATAGGTGGCGTTTTCTTTTGCCCTTTCCTGATGTTTCTGGTTTATGGGTCACTTGTTGTAATCAAAAGCGAGTTTCTATTCTGTGGTGATGTTTACGAATATGTTGTCTGTGGAGATCCACGACTGTAACAATTCCCTGCCTACTATGTATACATATAGGAGACTGCTCAGGGGTAAAGTTCTATATCGTACTAGTAGAAAGTCAACTGTCGACATACTGTGCTTCAAGAAACACGCTAATTTTAATGGTGTTTCTTCGTTTTATTATCTGTATACACTATATCTGAAGGCATTCACTTTGATCGCTCTTCACAATAGTAGACGGCTCTTCGGGAGCGCTCTCCGGCACAGCCTCATTTTAGGGGACTCGTGTAAGAGTTGCTGTGATGTTGTAAATCAATCTCCGTGGATTTGCCGATGACTCGTTCCTCCCACCGAACACCCTGGATTCCGCAATGTGGCCGTAACTTGGAAAATGAAATCCTTTGTTTCATGGACGACTTGGAGATCTAAATACGAAGTTGCCACGTTATCCTCAACGTTGAGGAGGATTGCGACTGAAGGGCCTGTGGGCCGCCTAACTGCCTACCTATAACCTAACGTTACAGGTAGACTTACACTAGACTCAGCGGGATTAGTAGCGCTAAAGCCCCTGACGGCGTGGGCGACGGAGCTACCTAAAACGGTCACTAGAAGGACACTGCCTGTGCGCACCTAGTCCCGTCGTGCCGTGATAGCTCACTGTTGCTCAGGGGCTCAACCGCGATCTGTCTATAATCTATATATACCCAAGACTATTTTCGATGTTTTATATCGTTCAGGTTTCTGGCCATATATTCCTTCCTTATAGTCTAATAGCCATTTGGTTGAGATCTGATTTTCCTTGATTCACGATGGCTCCAACTGTTGCTGATTCTGGCGCTAATGGCATCGCTGTATTTTCAGGAGGTATGTGCAAGCAGCGAAGCAATCACTCACTCACGAGACATTTGGGGAGCGCCTCCGCTAATGGATGGTCACAAGGCACTGCTGCAAACAGTCTTGTAGACGTGTTCAACAAGATTGCTGAGAAAAGACGGTGCAAGCTGAATTATGTTATTCCGATCAGCGATAATGGTGGCAGTTCATCGGAGCTGATCAGGTTCATTGGTGGGCCAAGTGAGTGATGTTTGTGTCGTTCAGGGATGAGGGAGGTATCGCTGGTTCAACTAACATATCTACCATTCTAGGCGTGGGCGATATAAGAAGTAAGTCTTGTTCAGGGACCAAACTGAACCGAGAGACATCCATCCCTCCGTTCTAACCAAGAGTCTCAAGGTCGACTTGTTAGGCTCATCCCCAACCACGGCGATGACAAGGAGAGGACAGCACTCAAGCTGCTTTTTGAGTACCGACTGGATTCAGACCCTCTGAAGGCACGAGCGGAATGGCTGGACATTGTCGAGTCGCAGTCTCTCCTCTGGGGATTTATCTCCAGCCCAAAGAGGGAGCTCATCCGCTCGGTCCTCAACACGGTCAATCTGGAGATCGTTAAGAGGGCCCGGCCCCCAAACGTTTACAACTTCGCCGGCGCGAGCATCGGCAACATGTTCCTGACCGGGTAGGTACAAGTACCGAGCGGGGCGTCAAGGCCAGATGCCGGCTGACTCGTTGCAGTGCTCGAATCTTCTCTGGCTCATACGAGTCGGCCATCTACCTCCTGTCCATGATCTGCTCGATCCCCCCTTGGGTCGAGGTCCTCCCGGCCATCAACTCCAACTTCACCCACCACATCTCGGCAGGCCTCAAGGACGGGTCGACAATCACGGGCCAGGTAGCCATCAGCCACCCGTCCGCGCCCACCGCCCTGCCCGACGACACCGAGGTGGCGCCGGCGCTGACGGCGGCCGATCACGACAAGCTAGAAGACGCCAACCTCCCGGGCAGCCTGCCGGCGCTCCGGCGGCCCAACATCGCCTTCAGCAAGGACGACGAGGAGGACCTGCCGGCGCGGATCGAGCGGGTGTGGTATATCAACCCGTACGGCCACGAGATCTCGCCCGTGGCGAACCCAAAGGTGGTGGAGGCGCTTGGGGCGACGCGCACCGTCATCTACAGCATCGGCAGCCTGTACACGAGCATCGTCCCGAGCCTGATCCTGCGTAAGGTCGGGCAGGCCCTGGGCGACGGGTCGCAGATACGGCACAAGATCCTGATCCTCAACAGCAAGCTGGACCGCGAGACGGGGCCCAGGACAGACCCCATGACGGCGAGGGACTTTGTCGCCGCCATTGCGCGGGCCTGCGTCGAGAGCCGGTCGCCCGAGTTGGTCGGCCGTGAAGATATTCTGAAGCGCTACGTCAGCCACCTGATTTACCTGGAAGGAGAGGGCACCCCCGCGGTAGATGTGCAAGAGCTCGAGCGGCTGGGCGTCAAGTGCATCAAGGTCCAGGGGAAGACGGTCGGTGCGGGGAGAAAGGCCATGATCAGATACGACGAGGCGGCGTTGGGCGAGGCTTTGGAAGCGATTATGGAATCTTGAGATCAGACATGCGGCGATGGGGTTCGTTGGACACGGCAACTTCCAACTGGAGCCATATATGTATTATACATATGTAAGGTTGCGTCGTTTTTCTGTCGGCATAGATCATGATAGCTTGCGTAGAATTGGGTATTGATGATCTGATTTCACTTTTGACAATCAATCATCAAGTATACAATGATAGAAGCAGCGGAGACACTCCCTTAGGAATCCTGGTTCCATCGTCATGCATACTAGTACGGTCGACACGCTACCGCAAGTCTACCGGGTATGTTTAGAGACCGTACGACAGTAGGTGCTGTACTCCGACCGACAAGGCTGGCAATGCACGACGCTGTTTTTGCGTAATTTGTCCCCTCAGCCGGACGCGATAGCATCACGCCGGAATTCGAGATTGCATCTCGAGTCACGAGTGAGAGTATTCGTACCTCGGGAGCAACGAGAGCAAAATATCCACTCATGTCCCTTGGATTCTTCTCCACACCGGTCGATCGGGAGAACAGGACCGGGGATCGGAGCGTTTCCCTACCGAAGCGGAAGGTTGTGCAAGGGAGGCCATGTAAGAAGCTGTAAGAAGCTGTAAGCAGGCTGATGCAATGCAGACGCAACTGTGGCCCGCTGATTCCCGCGAACAAGCGCGCCGTCATCTGACCGTCATTGTCACCAGGAGACGGAAATGCACAGCTGGATCGCGCCTGGGCCCTTTATTAACCTCGACCGGGCGATCTGGCCGAGATGCTTCCTGTGGGGACGGCGTCGGACGGCTGAACTTTTGATGTGTCTGATATTGCTCGCAGAAGTTGGAAGCTTTGGACGGTGGTAGGAATTGAAACCAACCAGACCAGCTACGTACAGTACGGAGGTACATAGTATCAATTTGAGACTTGCTGAAGCACGTCAAACAAGGAGTCAAGGACGTCCTCTTGCACGAGCAGGACCGTTTGGGTCTGTGGTTAGCAATGTGCGTTCGCAGTGACTCGGCTGCCTGCCTGGGCTGAGCTCCGGATCACACTAGAGTACAATACCAGGCAAAAGAAGACATGCCACCCTATTGTTAAATCTTCTCGCATACGCTACTGTTGTAGCCGTCGTCGTCGTCGTCCAGAGTTGACTACGTAATCCTGGCGCCTACTATCAAGCCCAGACCACGGTCCTGGCGTGCCTGGCTCGCCTTCACTTGAATGGAATGGAACGAAGACCACAGACTGGAGAACAAGAGCTTCTGCCGTTGACACTTGACAAGGAAAGCTGCATGGGGTCCTTTCCGCTTCAGCCAAGACCTGAGAGCAAATCCACTTGCCCCACGGTTTCTGTCCCACGTGAGGGGTCCACACTGGCTATCGAGCGCTAACAGCCGGGCGGTACCGCAGACCTCATGGTACATAATCTCCAAGATGGATCAGCGCGACTCCATCTGGCAGCGTCATTTACAACTCTACATCAAAGAAGAATTGAAGGCACATATCCAGGCCGGCCAGGAGGCCATATACACAGCGTAAACATACAGGAACCGTGCGTCTTCATTGTATGCAAGATTGAAATCTGTGTACTATCCAGGGAGGCAAGCCGGACTAATCGCCCGGTGAATAAGCAAAGAGCTTCAGCCTTCCAGTGACTTCTGGTTACTGACTGAGCATCGCCCGACGTTGGAGGACGCGTCGCGCAAGGTCAGCCTAGATAAGCCCGACTGGGTGGATAAGGTAAAGGAGGCGCTACAAATACCTCCCGTACACGAGCGAGCACAAAGGGCAATTGGTCAAAGTGACGAAATGTCAGGTGTAAAGAATGATGTCTCCATAATCACGATTGGTTCGTGGAGTTACCGCCAGGCTGTTAGCAAGACCGACCGCCTAATGCCCACCCCAGTCAGGCTCCGGTCTACGGATAACGCGGCCAAAGTATCGCTGACCGCCTTCTGTTAGTCCATTTCACCGCCAGCTCTCGCCTTCCCGCCCATTTGCCTCCTCCGATCACTTACGAGGCGCCCGTCTGCCTTACTGCATCCCTAGCAAATTCAAGTATTTCATACCTTTGACCGCCGCCGCGACCTGCACCGAAGAAACCACAGCCGGAACGTTCAATCCTTCGCCAGTCCAGGTTGCCTGAGGCCGTCATCAAGAGGGTTGTTGCCGCCCCCTCGTAAGCTCTGGCCATTCCGCCTCCTCGCCTCAAGTGATCCCTCCCTAGGCAACCCAAAACCTTCTCATCTTTCCGACACGCCAAACCATTCCCCCAAATCATCTCTCGCAACCCAGCGTCTTCCGCATCGTCCGAGCAACCAGTGAAACTGCAAACTCTCGAAAGAGAGCGAGAGGTCTCGGTAACGTAGCAGCAGAGCGAGTACGAGCATCGCTCTGACAAGCAGCACCAGTGAGTTGGTCGCCTTCAGCCTAGAAACGCCAATCAGCAGCTGCCCTCCTTGTGCCGCGTGTTCTCCGCACCCACCTTGTCCCAGCGTCATTGCTAGCATCATCAACTCCCCAACCTTTCCGCATCCCACCTGCTGACCAACACCTTTCCTTAACTCCCTTCATTCAGCTGCATTCAATCGTCAGACTTCAACTATGGCGACCGCCTCGCCAGTTACGCCCGAAACCCTCGTCACCCTCAAGGTGACTGTGGACGGCGTTCCTCGCCGGTTCAAGCTGCCCCTCCGCGATGTAGGCGTCAACGTGCTCGAGGGCAAGGTAGGCTCATTCTGCCCATATCTCGTAAGCTTTGTTCAACATGCAGCGACACTAACCGCTCTGTTGTCAGCTGCGAGCTATCCTCGAAATTCCCCACGACGCCGAAGCTGTCATCGAACGCTACTCCGACTCGGCCGCAGCTTACGTGGTCTTGGACCAAGCCAATTCAGCTGTCTACAAGCAACTTTACCGTGCCGCCAAGGCAAAGCAGAAGCTCAAGCTCCGTATCACCACCAACAAGAGCCCAGTCGAAGAGACTACAGGCCCCGAGCCGCCCTCGGTAGAGGGCGAGGCCAGCGATGCCAATGCCCCGGCCCTTGTGCCTACTGACAGTGAGCGGGAACCTGAGCCGCCCGTTACCAAGACCTCCGCCACTCCGCTTCCGGAGCAAGTACCCAGGGAAGCTGCTCATGCGACCTACACGCCTCTCGAAGACATTGCGGCTTTGGTTCCGAGAGAGCTCCGCCCTGCGACCAAGGAAGAGTGTCCCCGGCCGGCGCTCCAGAATACCTCACAGCAGACCGCATCGCCTTCGACTGTCCCTCGCTGCCCGGTTCTTCGGGGCAACTACGCCGTTTGCTGCAATAGCTGTGACCGGACCATCCCAGGGGCCCATTATCACTGCTCTACCTGCGACGACGGCGACTTTGATCTTTGCCAGGGGTGCGTCGACCGGGGTATCACATGCAAAGGTTCCAACCACTGGCTTATCAAGAGATACGTCATGAATGGTAGCATCGTCAACAGCACCACGGAGCGCCTCGCTCCTAAGCAGAAACAGAAGCCACAGCCTGTCGAGGCACCGGCTCCTGCACCTGAATCTGCACCTGCCCCTGCCCCGGCATCCCTTGCCCCCGAGAGGATCATCCCTGTCTTCAACGACTTCCTGTACTCGAGCATCCGCACATGCAACTGCTGTGTACAGGAGTTCCCCGAAGTAGAATTTGTTCACTGCACGACGTGCGAGGACTACGACCTCTGCAGGGCCTGCTTCGCCAAAAACCGTCACGGTCACCATCCCAGGCACGCCTTTGTGCCGGCTGTTGAGGGCACTAGGCTGGAGCCTGAGGTGGCTCGCCGCCTCGCAGCCGGCCGTGGCCAACCTCACCATGCCATCTGCGACGGCTGTGACAAGAACATTACCGGCATACGCCATAAGTGCCTGGATTGCCCTGATTGGGATTATTGCTCCGGCTGCGTGGTGAACGCCGCGCTCATCCACCCTAACCACCGCTTCGTCCCCATTTATGAGCCGCTGGAGTATAGCCAGAACGTTCGAATCCGGCTCGCGATGCGGCCCGTCCATCCCGGAATCTGCTGCGACGGTCCTCTATGCCGGAATTCCCGTGCCACGTCTACTTATATCGTTGGTGACCGCTACAAGTGTGCCGTGTGCAATGACACTGATTTCTGCGAGTCCTGTGAAGCGAGTCCTGTCAATACCCACAACCGCACTCATCCTCTCATCAAGTTCAAAACGCCCGTCCGCCACGTGAGCGTTACCACCACTGGCGAAAACGAAAAGGGCCGCCTACTGCCCACCATGGGTGACCGCGCTCGGCTTCGCCCGCCTGTCTCTGATTCCCAGCCTCTCAAGGCAGGCCTCTCGCCTGGTTTCCTCACCAATGTTCAGACCGTTGTCGACGTTAAGCCCTCAGAGCCATCTGTTCCGGTCAAGGCCGAACAGGACGAAGTTAAGGTGAAGCGGGAAGAGGTCGAAGAGAAGCTACTGGCTGCTGTAGGGCCCGTCGCTGCTAACAAGCTCGACGCCGCCTATGTGCGAGACACTGTAGCGGATGGCACGGTCTTTGGACCCGACCATATCTTTGAGCAGACCTGGACCCTTCGCAATAATGGCGAAGTCCCGTGGCCGGCGGGCTGCTCTGTCAAGTTCGTTGGCGGCGATTACATGGGACACCTCGACTCCAACCATCCTGCAGCCACCCGGGACGTTGAGTTCTCTTGCGAGTCCACCATCTGCTACTCGTCCGTGCTTCCTGGCGAGGAGTTTAACTTCACCGTCCTTCTCAGGACTCCCCACCGCAGCGGCCGATTTGTCTCAAACTGGCGGCTCACTACCAAGGACGGCAACAAGTTTGGCCATCGCCTCTGGTGCGATGTTGTCGTCGGGAAACCCAAGGTGGTCCTCCCCCCTCCTGTGGCTGCCGAGCCGGTGGAGCCGGCCGAGAAGGAAGAAGCTGCCAAGGCTGAACCGGAGGTTGAGCCTCAGCACAGCCAGATGATCTTCCCCAAGCTGGAGAAGGAATCGCCTGTTGCCAGTGTTCACGAGGAGAGCAAGGCTGAGTCCTCTACCCAGGATGAGAACTTCGAGGATTGCGAGGATGATGAGTGGAACGAGGATGACTCGGAGGAGGGCTTCTTGACGGATGAAGAGTACGACATCCTCGATGCCTCCGACGAGGAGTTCCTCCTCGAGGGCCGCCCCAAGCAAAAATGAGTAGACCTTCCTACCCTGAGATCTAAACCTTGGGCATCGGAAAGCAGGACTGAGGTTTGAGCGAGCTGGGGCGTTGATGAATACTCTGGGCCGATGGGCTGCTGTATTTCGATTGAGGGTTCTTTTCTTTTAGTTTTCTACTGGAATGGGTCGTGATTCCGCTCGCTGTTTATTTGATGTAACTGAGTCGTCCTTCCTTTATATGGTGGATTTATCTCTCTCTGCTATTGTCGTACTTTCCGCAGAACACATCTTGCCGAGCCAGTACTCGGGGACTACGATTGCTTTGTCTTATTGATCGGCCAGATGCCAAAGGCATGGTTGATATACCGAGACAAATTTACGAGGGACTTGCTTAAGAAATCATCAAGTGGGTCGGCTTACATGGCACTGTCCCTCCTTCGATTTTTTGCTACCTTCCACTGAGGTGGCGTTCTTTGCTGTGCTTGTTTGCGGTCTATACTTAGTTCTCATTGAAGGTTTGGTGGGTCAAATTGTCACTGTATGCTCCCTTCGTCCTCAGCTAGGTATTATGAAACGTAAGGGTTACCTAGCTTTCGCTGAGAGTCAGAAAATGGGGAGACTCGGCCTCTTTACTACCCGCCGGTTCCTTGCCTACCCATTGACCTATATGAGGAGCGTGATAACAGAGGACAGTAGTACCGTGGTAGCTTGGCAATTAGTGGACATTGCTATTATTCGGCATGCTGCTCTCTCGGATCATTTGTAATTACGTTTGGACAAGTTATGTACAGTACAACAGGATGTGCTATACAGCGAACACCCCCTGAAACGCTGTCAAGCAGCTAAGCGGACGTTGGTATCACGTAAGGCACTGCGCGCCAGATACGATGGACAGTGCAGAAGGTTCAGCATGGAAATCCATTACTCGACGACCAGCGCTAATCGTCAAAGGTCGTCTTCTTCCCTTGGGGTGCGACCACCGCGCCCGTGAGGCGAGCAACGCTGATGTCCGTGTGGTAATTCTTGATCTCCTTCTCCTTCTTCTGGGGCTTGGCCTTCTTGCCAGCGGTCTTGTCGTCTTCGTCGTCCCCGTCAGCATTGTTGTCATGGCTGCCGCCGCCGCCAGCGGTTTCTGTGTTATCAGAGCGTGAATTTTGCCTTTGTTTTGCTCCCTTCCCATACCGCTTCTTGTAGCGCGTCTGGTCGTCCTCGGCCAGCTCGATCTTGAGGTTCCGCCCTAGGAGCTGGTTGACCCACCACTTACGGGTCCTCGTCCGGGGTGGTTCTTGGGTTCTTCGGTTCTTCTTAGATCCCTTTTTGCCCTCGTCTCCTCCTTCACCCTTGTCGCCGTCACCCTCGGTATCGTCTTGAGCCTTTTTTGGTCCCTCCGCGGAAGGCTGGTCTCCTTCTTCTCCGTCCACCTCCATGAAATCCTCGACGGTCTCGACAGTCTCGCGCACCTTGACGAACCCTTTGACAGCCCACTGAGCCGCCTCGGGCTCCTCAAAGTTGACCCACCCGTAGCCTTTGCACTTTCCCGAGTCCTCGAATGTGGCAACTTTGATCCAGCGGATCTTGCCACACTTCTCAAAGTGGGCATGGAGATCGTCTTCGGTAGTGTTGAAGGACAAATTACCAACGAAGATCTTCGTGCTGCTGCCAGTCTTAGCCTTGGCCGCGTCCCCCGAAGTGATCTTGCCATTGCTCTTCCCAACGCCGGCGGCATCCGTCCCGGTCTCCACCTCCTCCTTCTTCGGCCGTCCCTCAAAGCTCTTGCTATCCTTAATCAGCAGCTTCCGGCCGTTCATCTCCGTCTCGGACAGCGCAATGGCTGCCACGTTGGCCTCGAACGAGGCAAAGTCGACGTAGGCGAAGCCGCGGTTCTCGGCCGTAGTCTTGTTGGGAGCCCCTGGGGCGGGCTTCTTGGTTGTCGGCATGTGCACGCGCGTAATGGCATTGTCGGTGATGGAACCGCCCGAGTTGTCCACGAGCCATTTTCGCAGTTCGGCCTTGGTTACGGTGAAGCGGAGGTTGCCAATCCAGACGCCGTGCGGGGAGCGCTCCTTCTTCTTGCCGGCCTTTGCCCCATCCTTTTTGGTCTCCCCTGCAGCATTTGAATCTCCTCCTTCTCCTTCATCGTCGCTCGAGGCCGGCTTTGCGGGCAATTGCTTGCCCTTCTTCAGGGCGCGGCGAGCCTTCTTGGACGGTGGCTCCGGAAGTGAGAGATCGACTTGGATTTCTGCGAGGGCAGACTTGCGTTTCTTTGAGGAAGAAGCGGCTTGTTGCTCCTCGGAAGCAGTCGGCTCAAGATCTTTAGTTGCCATGGTGGGATATGCCGAATTCGGGCGGTGTTGGTGGGAGTTTGCCTCGAGCTTCCACCCGATTTTCAAACCCTCTGCCACGAGTTTGGTTCGTACATTTTCCAACCGATAAGCGATAAGGATATATGGATGTGCCGTAATAATTACTGCGGGGCCACCCCGCGAGATATGTCTTACACATTACGATACGGACACACTACATATAGGACTATTAGGTAGGTACGCAGGTGCAAAACTTATCCCTAACTAGCCTCATTTGTCTGTCCTAAAATAAGAACTGTTCCTGATTGATGTCCGTCATCAAGCTGGGATAGTCTGCTGATATTATCTTACTCATATTGGAGCTCGGTAGCTCTCAATTGCAGCTACTAGGGTCAAGAAACGGGTTGAAAAAACTGAAGGCGAGTAATGTGATGTGCCAGCCCTGAAGCGTGTAAAGACTTGGACACGCGGCATGGTTTCGGCTTGTTCTAGGAATATCACTCTGCAGCTGGCCACTGCAATTTCGAGCGAACCGAGAAGAGATGGCCGAATCAATGAGCAAAGATCCAAACGACTTTGCTGTCAAGGCTAACTTCTCAGTGGAGCCATGTTACCTTTGTTGTCAACGCCCACAGCTCTGAAACTATGCGGTAAGGGTATGTACTCCGTACATTAGGTACCCAATCCTTTGTTCTTCGGACTATGATCTTAGCAAGCAAGCTCCTTTCTCTCCCCTGGCTGCTCGTGTACGGAATATTGACTTCGCCAAGGTTCGGTCGGAAAGCAAAGGCAGGTGGGTGCATAAGGTACTGCATATCCATATGTGTACGGAGTTACTGCAGAGTCCCCTGGAACAACCTGAAGTCGTTACACAGTACATACGAGCGTAACGTTAGGTACTTAGTGTAGTGTAGGTACAAGCACCCACGAATACCTAGGTACCTGCAAAACGCTAATGTTTCCCGGTGCAGCTAAAAGGCAAGGGCTCGGCAGCCTAATTTGGTTTAGCCTCCCTCAGCCCAAGAGCAACGCGGCAACCCAGCAGCGGGCAAATTCCTCGACACATTTCCCACCTGTGGTTTCCTTTCGTCTCCGGGACACACACCTTCACACCTGACTGGCCAGAGCTGGTGAGCCAGGGTCGCCTGGGATGATTCCTGGCTCTGCCGCACCTCCTCTTTTTTCCCACTCCACAGACTTGCGGCGTAACCCTTCCATTTCTTCTCTCCGAATCAAACAGCTGAAGGAGTCGTCGAGTTGTCAACCGTTTGCGTCGCCTGCCTGCTCGCAGTCTCCAGGCGTAAGAATTCGCTACTGAGGATGAACGTCCTTTTGTCGCCGCAACCTCCGATCCTTCCTCATCAATACGAAAACAGTCGGCTCCCACCGCCACTATCCGGTATGCTCAATCTCCTCTCCTTTCTCCGTCCTTGATGCTTTATTAGCATCGAACTGCTGGTGCCATCGGGAGGGGCAGATAAGAGCTCCTCTGCATGGCTGGAATTTCAAGTCAAGTTAACTGACATTATCGCAGCCGCAACCTGCAGCATGGCTTCCAGAAAGCGGAAGGCCGATGACGAAAACGATGAGATGTCGGTATCTCCGTCAAGCTCACCTGCGACGTCTTCGAGGCAACTTGCGAGACCAGCGAAAAAGGTTCGAGGCGGCAGCGACATGGCTGGGCGGCCATTATCTCTTCCCCGGCTCCTCGAGACTCTCGACAACACACAACTGCGGACCGTCCTCCAGAAAATTTGCGAGCGTCATCCGGACATTGGGCAGGAGGTTGTGACGAGTGCGCCGCGGCCATCAGTCGCTTCAGCACTTCAGGTTCTGGGCGAATACCAAGAAAAATTGCGTGCCGCCGTTCCCTTTGGCCACTCGAGTTCCGACTACACTTATTTCCGAGTTAAGCAACCGCTCATTGCACTCATTGACGCCCTTTCCGACTTCACGCCGCAGTTCCTCCCGCCAGTCGAACAGCAAGCAAACATATCCTTACAGTACCTAGATGCCGCGACCAAGGTTATCCATGAGTTGCCCGACTGGGAGAGCCAACAATATCGGCATCACAAGGACAATGCCTACGATGAGATTTCGGGAGCATGGGCGCTGGTGATCACTGAGGCAGCGAAAAGAGGAGGCGGTTTTGCTCTGCACACGGGCGGCTGGGAACAGAGGCTGGCCAAGCACAACCAACAGTCTGGAGGAAAACTGGAGCAAGGAATGAATGCCATGGCAAACGAGGTCGGGTGGATGCGCAACAACTCGAATGCCCCATCGTCAGGCTCCTCCAGCTTGTCTGACCAGAATTCGATTTTGAACCAGCTGGTCAACGGCACTTACGGCTCACCGGTCCGTGTCGGTCCTTGGTAGGAACGTACCCAGCATGGGTTGGTATATCGGACCTTCGGAAGCGATCATTGCCATTTCTTTTCCTTTGTTATTCTCTTGGCACGAGGCATCGGGCGGCTGGCATAGATTCTTGGGAGGTGCTGGGTTAACGGCGTTAATTTTTTTTTTTTCCTATTTCTGATATCCATCGCATTTTCTGTGCGCTCTCGAGACTGCATTATCCCTCCTGTTCCTTCTACAGCGGATGGGCTAGATGGTGATACAGTCTTATGTTAGCGGCTGGTTCTTGTCACGACTTTTGTCTTTGTCTTTCACACACACTCTCTCTCGCTTTGTCACGCCCACACATCCCCTCGTAAATTATCTTATAGCAGCCAGGGGTGGTGGTCTCTCAAGCCTCGGATGTGGTACATATACAGCGGGTGTCTTACTTGTATTCTGGCCTTGGATCGTCCAGCAATATGCTGATAACCGGCATCTCACCGTTAGCTTGTGATGTTATTACTTGTGGTTGTACGGCGTATTATGTCTCTTGTCAGGTGATGGAGGCGATGCACCAGTAATAGATTATAGTCGTCTTCCATCGTCGTTCTGCTACGGAGAATCATCACCACACAGCATCTCTGCAGCCTCGCTGGTGAGAAAATTTAGGTGGGCCTAAGTAGTGTCTAGCCATGCCAGGCTTTACAGCACCGGCTACCTGATTGTCAGTTGGCATTATCGCAGATATGTCTCGGTGTACCCAGCGTCTATTCGGGATTATCCACAGGAGAATTGTTAGAGAAGCTGTCCAAGTCTGTCGCTCAGGTTCGGATTTACCCGGTTTATCGGTAGGTTTGCCCTAATTATTTGTTTTTGGACCTATGACGACATAGTTTGTCTGTTGTCTGGGGTACTATTTTGTTCGAGACTGGAATGTTTCGACCTCAGCTCACATTACATGAACCAAAATGTTTTCTTACCAATTACAAGATAACAAAAGATCAAAGGATACCCGACGCATAGTGGCCGAACCATTGGGCCATTCCCAGTGTTGCTTGCCCAGCAGCACAAGTGACCACTAACGCAAGTGGGGTGAGGGGCAGGTCTCTAACTAAGCGTTTAGGGAAGAGAGGCAAGCGTGCACGTGCAATGAAGTATTACAGATTGAAATTACCGATCTGGTATTGTAAAGTACAACCCACGTGACACCCTGTTTCCGACGTGCCCCATCGCGTCTTAGACGCGCGTGTTACAGTACAGTTAATGAACATCGCATCCCTCCTGCTCGACCATTTCAGCTCCCAAGTTTTGGCAGGCAACTCCCTAAAAGAGCGCTTTGAATCCTCTCCAAGATTCCCCTCAAGCAAACCTATGCATGAGAGCCATAGTTTCCAAGGCTACTCAAGATGCCCGCGTATGTTTACCGAACCACGCGTTGAGCGTGTTTCCTCTAGACACAGACAACTAACCTGGTGACACCAGTCCTGGCGATCAACATACCAGAATTGCGAACCCATTTCAACCACCACAACAGCGCATCTCTGAATACACTGCGCAAGAAATTGCCACATTACAGAGCCGACTCGAGAAGCAACTCGGGCCCGAATACATCTCCTCCCGCGCCGGCCCGTCAGGGCAAAAGGTACACTACATCAGTGCCGAGAAATGCATCGCACTTGCCAACGAGGTTTTCGGCTTCAATGGATGGTCCTCAAGCATCCAGGACCTCCAGGTTGATTTCGTCGATGAAAATCCGCAGACGCTCAAGGTCAGCCTCGGCCTATCGGTCGTTGTCCGCGTCACCCTACGCGATGGGACGTATCATGAAGATCTGGGATACGGACACATTGAGAACTGCAAGGGCAAGGCTGCCGCGTTTGAGAAGGCGAAGAAGGAGGGGACTACCGATGCTCTGAAGCGCGCCCTGAGACACTTTGGCAATGTGCTCGGTAACTGCATCTATGACAAGTCGTATCTGGCCAAGGTCACCAAGATGAAGGTGGCACCGGCGAAATTTGATGAGAGCTGTCTGCATCGGCACCCTGATTTTGTGGTTAAGAAGGAGCCCCCAGAGGGCGATACGTCTACGGGCGAGATGAGCGCACCGCCGCCTCCTGAGCGTATGCTACCTCGAGATTATCCACAGAAATGATTGCTAACAAAGAACTAGTGCCGTCCGCAGAATCATTTGAGGACTTTCTAGGCGGTATGGACCATGGAACCCTGCCTGTTGGATCTGGCTAACAGCTTAGCCATAGAATTTGATGAAGCGGACTTCAATATATCCGAGGAGGGCCACCCTGACTATGTCGTCCTACCGAACTCAAATCATACAGACTCCGCCAAAAGTGACCAAACTGTACAAAACGGCAATACCTCTATGCAACCGCCAGCGAGACAGCTGGCCAGAGCCGGTTCCACCGGCAGCATAAACTCTAGACAGCCGCCACAAACACCAAATCAGCACTCAGGCCGGCCCAACGCAAACGCATTAGCTACTGCACAAAGCCGTGTGCCACCCGGCGGCACTCGCGCACCACCACAATTCAACCAAAACCGACCCCCAGGCCAGCCCAACAATATCAAGCCTGCCCTACAAACTCATATGACCCCTCCCCCTGCTGGGGCTGACAATGCTGTAGCGCCCACAGGCGGCGGCGAAGTTGTCGGCTTCTTCTCAGCACGGGCCGTAAACCAGTTGCCTGAAGAATCGCTTGCCAACGGCCAGGTAGCACCCAAAGCAGGTCTTGCTTTCAATCCCCGACTAGACAGCCCGTCAATCCGCAAGACGCCTGGAATAGATCACACGAAGTCAAAGCCCGTCGCCCGTAACGGACAGCACGTCCCTCCGGCGACAACGCACAATGCGGAGGAGACCAGCGGACTAGGTTCTGGTTCCAAGCCTGGGATGCCGCCCCCACCGTTAGCCCTTGGAGGCGGAGGAGGAGGGGGAGGAGGGGGAGGAGGGGGAGGAGGGGGAGGCGGAGGAACGGGGTCAGGAGCGAGGCCCGCGGGCCCGCCGCTGGCAAGGGCCAACGCAGTCGTTAACCCTGCCCTGGACCAGACCAGGCGCATCGGGGCCCCTGGTTCTTCGAGTCCACTAGCCAACAGGGGCTCGTATCGTCCACCTACTATAATGAAGAGGCCTGCTCCTGGGGCGGCGCCTGCGACGGCTGGGACAGGAGGGGGAGGTGGTGGGGGTGGTGATGGGGATATGAGGACCCCATTATCGGATACGTCGACTAATATGCCGGTTGGGAATGCTAATGGAAATGGAAGTGGGAATGGGAATGGGAATGAAACTGGGCCAGAGGTGAAAAGGCAGAGGGTTTCATGAAGGTGCGAGGGTTAGGGGTTGGTAGGATGGGAGTTTGCTTGGTTCAGCATCGTTTATCTGCTCGCCTGCTAGGCGTTCACTGGGTGGTTACTCGCATGACTGGTTGTCTAGCGGTTATAGGCGCCCCCGGGGGAGGTTCACATCCCTTTTGTTGCTACCAATTATCGGGTCCTTACTCAGGCAATTGCGTGGCGCGTATAGACTGTACGATGGATTACTGCTTGATTCCGAGTCAAGATGCTAATAAGCCTCTCACCAAAACACTTAGGATCTAGGAGAGAAGCTAGTCGACTTGGTGAAAACAGTCAACGTTCAGTGTAACCCATAAAAGCGGCATCCTGAAGACTGTCTTTCCCGCCAAACCTGAGGGTTGTTGGGTACTCCGCGATACTGATTAACATCATCTGAGCTCTGATTGGACAATAACGGTGTACGTTACTGTACCATCGGCAGGGGTTGGGAACCGCGGCTTGGATCCGCCATGTCACATCAAGGCACGTGCTGACATCTTACACCTCGTTGCTGCTGCACAGGATAGGAAACATATTGTTCCCAAGTATACCATGACTATATAGAATATGACAGTGAATATATAAACCATGCAATCTGGGATATATTCCAGTGGAGGGAAGTGTCGTGATACAAGCCAGAGGTACTTGCAGTGACAGTACATCCAGGCCGTGGGGCTCTGGGGTTCCCCAGATTTTTTTAACGGGCCGCAATCGGACCCTTGGAGAGTCGGGTGTGACAGTAATAAAACCGATATTTTTTCATCCAAGTACTTGTACGCCTCGACTCGCAAGTGAATCCGCCAGCAGCGACTCACTTGGCCAGAAACAAGGTAGCAGCCATGAGGCCAATTGAACTCGCTGCCCGGTCGGGCGCGGCTCTAAAGGTATTTTTGGCCTCAATTACACGTCCCTCCACTGCCAGAACATGTCCAAACTAATGCGACGTCGCAGAGGGCCTTGCAAGCCCAGCAGCTACGCCGTGCCGCAAGCACCAGCACGCGGCCCGACTCCAGCGCGCACCTACCCCCAACGTACGAGAGACTCTACAACAAGTACTCCGAGGTCCGCCGGGTGCTGGGCGCGCAGCGACTGACCCTCGCCGAAAAGATCCTCTACAGCCATCTCGACAATGTTGAGGAGTCGCTCCTCTCCAACACCAATGGCGGCCGCGACATCCGGGGCACGGCCAACCTCAAGCTCAGGCCCGATAGGGTGAACATGCAGGACGCCTCGGCGCAGATGGCCCTTCTGCAGTTCATGTCGTGCAACCTGCCTCGGACTGCCATTCCCGCGAGCATTCACTGCGACCACCTGATCGTTGGCGAGCGCGGTGCCGACGATGACCTGTCCGCGGGCATCAGGACAAACCACGAGGTCTTTGCCTTTCTCGAGTCCGCGGCAAAGAGATATGGGATAGATTTCTGGCCTCCCGGTGCCGGCATCATCCACCAGACCGTCCTGGAGAACTATGCTCTGCCGGGCCTCATGATGCTGGGCACAGACAGCCATTCGCCCAACGCCGGCGGTCTTTGCACCATCACTATCGGGGTGGGCGGTGCCGACGCCGTCGAGGCCCTTGTTGGCGCACCCTGGGAGCTGAAGGCGCCCAAGATCCTGGGTGTCGAGCTAACGGGCAAGCTCGGCGACTGGGCGTCTCCCAAAGACCTGATTCTCCATCTCGCCGGCCTTCTTACTGTGCGCGGCGGTACCGGTTATATTGTTGAGTACTTCGGTCCGGGTGTTGAGACGCTGAGCTTGACTGGCATGGCCACGGTATGCAACATGGGTGCTGAGATTGGCGCAACCACGTCCATCTTCCCCTTTACGGCAGCGTCAGCCCGGTATCTCGAGGCGACTCGGAGAGGCCGGGCAGCCCGGGACGTCGCGCTCTTCCAGGAATTGCAGGGTGCCGGCGCCGGCGAGGATGCTTTCTTCAAATTCAAGGCCGACCAAGGCGCGCAATACGACGAACTGATACAGATCGACCTTTCTAAACTCGAACCGCATATCAATGGCCCTTTCACCCCGGATCTCTCAACCCCGTTATCGCAGTTCAAGGCAACAGTCCAGGAGCAAAAGTGGCCTGACAAGCTCTCTGCGGGTCTTATCGGCAGCTGTACCAACAGCTCTTACGAGGACATGACGCGCGTCAAGAGCATTGTCCTCGAGGCCGAGAAGGCCGGTCTGAAACCCAAGGCTGATTTCTACATTACTCCTGGTAGCGAGCAGATTCGGGCGACGCTCGAGAGGGACGGAACACTCGAGTCGTTCACTGAGGCCGGCGGTATCGTACTATCCAACGCCTGCGGTCCGTGCATCGGCCAGTGGAAGCGCATTGACGGGGTAGAGAAGGGCACCCCCAACGCCATTCTCACCTCGTACAACCGCAACTTCCGCGGCCGCAATGACGGCAACCCCGAGACTATGAATTTCCTCGCGTCGCCCGAGATCGTGACGGCCATGGCTTACGCGGGATCCACCACCTTCAATCCCATGACCGACTCTCTCACCACCCCGGACGGCAAGGAATTCCGCTTCCCCCCGCCGCGGGGCTTAGAGGGGCCCGAGACGCCATTTGAGCAGGGCCGGGCAGTCTTTGGCGTCGCTTCACAGCCGCCCGATCCGTCGGTAAAAGTAGCCATCTCACCCAGCTCGGAGCGGCTCGCGCTGCTGGAGCCGTTCGACCCGTTCCCGGAGTCGGACCTCACTGGGCTGCGCGTGCTGGTTAAGGTGGCGGGCAAGTGCACGACCGACACCATCTCGGCGGCGGGGCCCTGGCTCAAGTACAAGGGCCACCTGCCCAACATCAGCGCCAACACGCTCAACACGGCCGTCAATGCCGAAACGGGCGAGGTCAACGCGGCGTACGACCTGGACGGGTCGCGGCACACCATCCCGGACCTGGCGCGCAAGTGGAAGGACGAGGGTAGGGCCTGGCTCGTTGTCGCCGAGCACAACTACGGCGAGGGTTCAGCCCGCGAGCACGCCGCCCTCCAGCCGAGGTACCTCGGGGCGAGGATCATTGTGTGCAAGAGCTTTGCGAGAATCCACGAGACTAACCTGAAGAAGCAAGGGGTGGTGCCACTCACGTTTGCCGACCAGGCCGACTACGACAGGATCGCGGCCGGCGACGAGGTGACCACCGTCGGGCTGTACGAGATGCTGAGGAACGGCGGCCAGGGCGAGGTCAGCTTGCGCGTCACCAAGAAAGGCACAGGCGAGGAGTTCGTCATCCCCGTGCGCCATGCCGTCAGCCAGGACCAGGCCAAGTTCATCCTTGCGGGGAGTGCGCTCAATCTGCTTGCGAGGGGGTGATAAGTTAAAGGGCTGGCTTTGGAGCAAAAAAACAGGGAGGGCATTTACAGGTGTCGCTAGGGGCTTGGCTTGTTCATTGTGAATTTGTTTTGGTCAATCGCAATCGCATGCAGGAGTCGGTTAGAGAAATATACACGCGCCATACCCACTACGACTTGAGGTGCAGTATACATGTGGTTGCTCTCTCAAAGATGGGGTGCGTGGGTTGGAAAGTGCGATGCGAGTCTAGAACTTTGGATAATGCATACCAAGAGTCGTAGCGCCGCACAACAGTCCGCAGGGGCTGCCATATATCACGTACCGGGCATTTCACATACCCGAACCAGAGGAATAAGGGAAGAGTAAGGAAAACAAGGCCGACGTCAAAAAAGTCAGAGAAAGTTATTGTCACCAAACCAATTCCACTGGTCCAATGCTATGAGCCTGGACTTGATGAGTCAAGGTACGCTTCGAAGCAGAAGGTCTTCGCAGTCTCTGAAGTCTCAACATACCTAGCGCTCACAACTTATGTCTCTTAAGACCCGTATGTATGTACCGGTATGGACAGTAGCGTATTAGTCATGCATCCAACGTCCCTTCAACTTAAGGTACAGTACATGCGACTCTGCGAAATACTCCGTCGACGAAGTTATCATGATTGCAGTAGTGATAGTGCCTACTGCCTAGCGCTCGGGGTATTTGTCTTCACTCATTCTTGACAGGCAGTCGTCACGCTGCCGAAAATGTCCTCTGGACTCGATTTGCTGTATGGGCAGTACTATTTTCTATATAAGACCTAGACCAGCACGTCCCCACACGACTTTGTATCGTAGGGCCTTTGGCCCCCTGGACGTTAAGCGTAAACAACAACATATTTGTCTTCACACTTGGTTTACCTAGATAGTTATGGCCTCGCCCATCAAGCAAATAATTAGGCATTCTTACCTGGTACCTAGTATACAGTGCCTAATCCTATCAGTATGGTTCAAAGGAACGAAAGCTGCTTCTGTGGAATGCCAGTTGGATTTTAAGACGACTGTCTTGCGATTGGAATCGTGACTTGTTTGCGGACTTGGGGTAGTCATTGAGAAGAGTATTGAAACAGGGACTAGCCGATATTGAACATTTGGTGAGACCGTCAGCCCAGTGCTATTATTGCTGCGGATAATCAAGCCCAACGATGGATCAGATCACGGTGGTAATAATAATGGCGCTGCCCCGTGTGTCAAGCTCGTCTGAGGGTCTCCCATGGGGGTGGATAGGAAAATAGTAAGGAGGTAAGCATAGCATGAAAGTCAGGCGTGGATTTGGATAGTGCTGCTATATACGGCTTGAAACGTATAAGTGTACTGTACTTGGTTTCTTCTCGCCACCGCCGCAGCCTGTAAGGGGATCTTCATTCTTCGGGTTTGGACCGCACTGCAGGCTTTCGGTCTCAGGTCAGACTCTGTGTCTTGTGGAGCGTATAGTGTCACTGGACGGTGAGTCGAATTGGTGCGCAACATATCTGGACGCCATGTTGTCCGATTTTTCAAAAAGCGCAGTATGTCGACACCCGTCAGTTCACAGTTGGCCAGGGGTGAATATGGCACCTGAGAAGCAAGCAAGCCTCCTGTCAACTCCAAAACTGTACTGATATGTCTAGTCCACGAACACACCTTGGGGCTTGTGAACTGAAACCCCTTCTTGCAACTCCCAAAGTTGCGTGGGAAGCCTGAAGAGAAGTCTCGCATGAGTGAGAGCCAACTTATTGCGGTCACACAAGCCTAAGGCCTATCATTATCTGCTTGTGGTTAGTATAGATGTCTTGGAATAGAGCGTCTGTATCAGCCAGTCTTCTCTCATCACCGCTTTCACCAGGCAGGATAATAACATCATCAGTACCTATCTAGCTGACAACGATGGACCGAATCAGCTTCATATGTACCTTATATATATATATAAGACTAAACCTCATCCAAGCTTGTACCTCGTGCCTCCTCTCAACCCTTGGACTGCTCGGCAGTGGGCACCAAGCCACCCAGCCATAGCCGCTCTTTCCCTCTCCCCCATTTCATCCCATCTCCAGCAGGCAGCAAGCCCTTGATATCCAAGTTCCAACACGGAACTCAGCGTGGTCGACTCCCCGGATTAGCCAAGTGGCTATGCAGGGTCGATGTCCCCTCAGCAGCCTTGTGTTCCTTGAGCAGGCCTCAAGTTCGAACCTGGCGCTGGGCCCGAAGCAAAAACCGTTCTGGCCTGCAGTCCGGTTTTTCGTAGCAGGGACACCTGCCTAACCAAGTGGTTAGGTGGCTGCCCTGTGAGCTTTTTGTTCTTTTTTCGAGATCTGGTCCTTTCAATCTCATGCTCCATTCTTCGATGTCAAATTCCAACATGAAGTCAGTATGGAATACAACTTGTACTCGAGATATACCGGTCAAGTATCAATTATCAACCTTCCACGACCACATCTATAGGGTCTAATGGTTTATACTGTAGGAGATTAAAAGTTGCTTGAACTTGCTTCGGCTGAAATGACACAGTGACAAAAATCAGAGCGCCTTTCAGTCATCTTCGTCGTGTATACACACACACTGGAGGTCATGAATATCGTCCAGATTCCCCCGCATCTCTTAAGAGTTACGAAAAGCAAGGTAGACTGGTAGAGTTGATTGGCATGCAGGGAAGCGTGCGAGAAGGCCGGGTCATCTCCTGAGTCGCAACACCGCAGCCCCGCGTGGACAGTACCCGTATCGAATGAAATCAGAAGCCAGGTGGCGGCCGTCCTTCCCTCTCTGGTGGATTCAACAGAGCTCTTGAGCTTCGAGATACAGTATTGCAGTATTGCTGCGGCCAGGACATTTAGACCGTGCATAACATTGGCCATTACCTACCTACAATCCAACATAGCTGAGAATAAGTAGATACAGCTGCCTTCAGGTGAGTCCCTCTTAATCTGATATGTATTGTACATTCCTTAAAGTCACCTAAGGAGTACGGAGTACTAGCAGTAACGGTAGGCCACAATGAAGCAGTGGAATTTGGGCAGCTACCTAAGGTACTCAGCGAGATTCTGAGGTCGTTCGCCATTTGCCAAGACGTGGTAACCGTATAGCTTTTGAGAGTATCGCAACTTCAATTGCCAACCCATGCAAAGAGTGTATGTTACATCGGCAACAGAAGCTGACCACCTGACTTCAGAAATGGCTGTAACAAAAAGCCAAATGCGTCTAACATGCTGCATGCAAAGCAAAAAGCGTCAAGCCCGTCCTCACAGCGGCAGATCCCCCCTCCAGTCCCTTTACGAGCCATCACCACCAGGCGGAGAACGCCTCGGCCTTGATCGTCCTCCAAGTCAGAGGAATGCATAACACAGCTCTGCAGTCAGCACAGTTTCCCACCTTCGTCCCAACCGGTTTATTGTCCACTTGCGCCCATAAGGTAGTTACGTAGATACACAGGAAGGGGCTTAGACAGAGAGGTGTCATGACCGAACACCTATCTTCCCTCCACGCCCCCTTCTTGGATTTGGGGCCGTCGCCCCGCTCACCCCCTCGCCGCCGCTCCCACTGGCATGCCCACCACCACCACCACCACCAGTCCCATTGACAACCCCATTCTCCACCGCATCATCCTCCCCATGTCCATTCCCATGATTCCCGTTAGCCCCCTTCAACCGCTTCAGCACCCTGACCCAGGCCGGATTCTCGGCCATCTTTTCGGGCAGGGTATCCTCGAACGCGGCAGCCGCTTCCGCTCTTTCCGCCCGCCGTAGCTGCGCCCGCAAGCTGTGTGCCGCTCGTCCAAAGTTGGCCTTTCTCCCCCCGCGGGCCTCGATCTCGGCTTGTTTGGCAGCCAGCCAGGCGGGTGAGTGGGACTGAGGCCAGTGGATGCGGGGGTCGATCCCAGCAAAGACAGGTTCGTCGGGGGGCAGTTTTTCTGCTTTTGTGGTATCATTTGATGCTGTCGCTGCTGCTTCTGTTGTTTCCGTCGCTGTAGGTATAGGCGGTTGTCCAGGGATGCCAGTACTGTCAATTTGCAGTCCCGGAGGAGGCGTTGAGGCCAAGGGTTGGGAGTAGATCAAGGCGTCAAAGATGGAGGCGTCCACTACCTTTGGTGTTGGGGGTGGCCGTCGCCTTTTGGTGGGAAGGGGTGCTGGAGATGGGAACTGGATAGTCTGGTATGTGGTTTGTGATTCTCTCCTCTTTTCGGGGGATGGACCTTTTGTTTGCCCGTTCAGGGGATCAGATATCCTCTGCGTGTGATGTGGCGAGCCAGAAAGGACTTCAGCTTGGACTCCTGATGGAATTGAGCTGTTAATCTTTCCCATCCAATAATCTTTGACGCCTTCATTAAGTGAGAAAGTCGATAATTTCTCTCTGCGATTCGTCCTTAGGATGCTTTCGGCAGAACCGTTTACATATGGACCTAGTAGATCGGAGGGCTCACTCGAGACGGGGTCTTGGGGGCTATCGATGAAGCGTAGAGTAGACAGCTGTGATGGCATTCTCCTCACAGCATTCTTGGAAGCCAGTTTCACAGTCGGCCTGGCTACTTTCTCTGGGGATTTGCTTAGCCGTTGAGAGGAATTGACGGATGCTCGGCGCTGAGGTTGCGGGACGGAGGGTCCGTCCGCCTTCTCCTCTGGTTCGGCCCCGGCTGTCGACGGCCTAGACGTCGCCCTCCCATTCATCTGCGATACTGGTGAATGCCCTGTGGAAGGAGATAACCGTTGCCTTTTCCTCGGGGACTCGCCATCTTGCGAAGGTCCCGGGCTGGCGGGCGGTGACCGAACAGACAAATTGGGTGCCACGGGTTCTGGCGAGGGCGGTGATAGGGTGGACTCCCCGCGGGATGGTGGCGTGCTAGGCTTCGGTGCGGGTTGCTGGGGGATGAAGGGCGGCGCTTTCACATTCTCGACACTGGCAGTTTTACGCATCACGATGGGATTTCGTAGCAACAGCAGCTTCTTGTGCTTTGACGTTGCAACGCCTTGGGAGAATGGTGAGGATTGCGAGAGACCGGTCGAATCACAATCACGCGGCTGGTGAGACGGGTTAGGGCTAGGTGCCGGCCCTGATGGCGCACGTGCGCCATTCGTTGAAGCAGCATCTCGGCTGCCGCTGGATTTTGTGAGGGTCCGCAGGTGCGCTTGACACAACGCTTCGTGGTGACCGTCGATTTTCTCCGAGCAACCCGGAAAGGGACAGTCAATGATAAGGCGCGCCGGTTCGAGACATTGACTCTTGAAGGAAGAGGTAGTGGTGCTGGAAGACACGGAAGCAAAGGATGTGACAATTGAGCCAGATGGAGCCATGGTAACGGAGAAGGATGCTTCCTCAGCCGAAGCGGCAGGTATGGGAGAAGTAGCCCGCAGTGACAACAGCGACTTGTTGTCATAGTAATAGCCTTGGCTTATCTGTCTGTGAGCAGCGAAGCAGCCTTTGCAAACCTGGATTGCCGCTGCCAGAATATGTTAGTGGATCCGCATCTCAACCAGAGCAAAGCCTCAAACTGGATCTTGTCTATACTATGGGATAAGAGGTGATGGTGAAATAACAGAACGAAAATAACGAGGACATGGTTGCGCGGGAATATAGGCTACAAAATGGACAGAGTGGGGGCTGCCATTTTGGGTTGGGCGTCTGGTGTGGCGGTTCGAGTCTAATTGCTTTGAATGTAACAGGGGGATAGGGAGGGAGTTGGGATAAGAGAGACAGTACTACTCGGATACGCAGTGCGGGGATGGATAACACATGTAATGTAAAGTACGGGTAGTGTAGGTATGGATAGGAACCTACATGAGCACCCTTGGAAGGGCCCGATAGCATGCCGAATGATGATGCCCGTCTCTCTCTCCTGAATACTCAAGGGAGTCAAGGCAGCCTCCTCCGCCTTGCATCTAGAAGAGCCCGCCCTGCGAGTGGTTTGTAACGGTTAGCATAGCTGCTACAGCCGGGATGGGCGGATAAGAATTCAAAATAGCATTCGTAATCAAACACGCCAATGTGTCTCAGGTCTTTTCAGTCCATTATTCGGTCGTCATCCAGCAGCGCAGCAACAACGGTTTCGTGGTTCCGACATGACGGGACGGACCACCTAGGGGACTAGGCGAGCAAGGTTTGGCACCGTCGGCGAGTGCGAGCCTTGTGCCATGATTGTCTGCCACAGCCTTTGGGTTCGGCTTCGTAAAATCAATGAAAACCAAACTCCGGGAAGTGGCAGCGCCGGAGACACGGGTCGCCAGCGTATTTTGATATATCCAACCGCCAAGCATCGTGCTGCCGGCTACCTTGGGGCAGCATGTGGAAGCCGAAGTCGACAGGGCAGTGGATGCGCTGTAGCGTCACAGCCGCGCCACTCAGAACCACAATACCAGAAGGGCGCAAGGCTGTCTGACCTTTTACCAGTTGCTCATCATCGACACCGAGAGGTATTGCTCTCGTAGCGTAGTAGGAACATATGATAAACGGGGAAAGGAGATATTGAAAAGTAGAAGACGATAGGTATGCTTACCTCGGTGAGACGGACAGGATCTTGGAGCTAGCCGTTGTTTACCTATCTTTACAAATTACGGCGTGAGCACCTAGCAGCAGCCAGCCGTCTCTCACTTGTCCACGGAATTGAAACGAGCCGCCCGCTTGAGGCTCGGGGATATAATTCCCTGCGAGTGTTGCTCACAAGGATTGGGTCATATGTTTCGTTGCTGGCAAAGTGCTCTGGCTTTGAGTTGTGAATGCGACACGATTAGCTTGATTATGGAGGGTGAGAGCGTTGGAGAAAGAGACAGATTGGACAGTCCTGATGGTTCTCAAGCACCACCTGCACCCTTTGCCTGCCTTCTGCTAGTAACTTAACGCTAGCGCTTGAGGTCCGTGCACATTGGCAGAATTCCTCACACTGCTTGTGAGCAAGTCTCTCCGCCTGCCATTCATAGCTTAGCGTGCCAAGCCTCGATTGATCTCGCGATACGGATAACGTTGACAGGTTGCAGCTTGTTGATAACGTTAGGCATCACTTTGTGCCATTCGAAGACGACGAGGCCTATTCAACAACCCAGAAACTCTTGTTATTAGGTTCAGCAGACCGAGACAACGACACTGCGAGTCGAACCTACTCCGTGATGGACTTCCTCAAGTCGGCCGTCGCCTCGGCGATGGCCAAGGGGCCCCCTTTCCCCTATACATTCGGCGACAAAGTCGATTCGGACCCCTCAATCTGGACACTCTACAATGGCACTCGTCGCGTGAGTTCTTGCCCGTCAGCAAGACATCTGCATACCTGACAATGAGCTAAGGGGACTGTTTTCGCTTCAGGAAGACGGCTCGAATTGCAGTATCTTTTCGTTCGACATCGCCGCCAACCGATCTGCCCTGCCGCTCGCCAAGAATGCCCTGAAGAAGCTACGGACGCTGCGGCACCCGGGTGTCATTAAGGTGCTCGATACCGCTGAAGTATGATGCTTGCCCAGTCGCTGTGGAATTCCGAGCCTGATGCATTTGAAAAGTCAGATTCCTACATCTACATTGCGACCGAGCGACTAGTACCCTTACGGTGGCATGTTAAACGAAGCAGTTTGAGTCCCGAGACGGTGAAATGGGGTCTTTATAACATTGCGGTCTGTCTCTCGAAGCACCAGGCGGTGTCATGAAGAGGATCAATACGGCTGACGCTGAATTGTAGAGGACCATCAAGTTCATCAACGACGAAGCATCATCAGTGCACGGCAGTCTAAAGGTTGCCTCAGTCTATACAACTGAAAGCGGCGAGTGGAAACTTGGTGGGTTTGAGGTCCTCAGCAACGTCAAGGACGACGATGCCGTTGTATACGTAGGCCACAGACCTTCTATCCGGTTCGGGACATTCAGGGGCTAACTGGGACTAGACATACGGCAGCCTTGTGCCGGATTCGGGACGGTATACGCCTCCCGAGCTAGCAAAGTCGGGCTGGGATGCCATCAAGCGTATCCCCCACTCGGCTGTAGATGCCTATGATTTCGGTGCTCTAATCTATGAGGTTTTCAATGGCACATTCAATGGCGGCGACCAGGCCGGCCAAACCAAGAATATTCCACCTAGTATGCACTCCAGCTACAAGCGTCTCACAAATGCCAACCCGAAGGCGAGGCTCAGCGTTGCCCATTTCCTTCAACAAGGCCTTCGGAGCGGCTCTTTCTTTGATACCCCCCTTATTAAACTAACCGACGGAGTTGAAAACCTGGGAGTCAAGACACCAGAAGAACGGGAAGCCTTTCTAGAGTACGTGTTTGATTTTTTTTTCTCTACGTCACCAGACTGCTCTGTGCTGACCGCGCTCAGTGATCTAGAGCAACTTACAGACGACTTTCCCGAAGACTTCTTCAAGATGAAAGTTCTGCCAGAGCTGTTGAAATCAGTCGAGTTTGGTGGTGGAGGCCCCAAAGCATTTGGTCTTGTTATGAAGATTGCCACGAAGCTTTCAGACGAGGACTTTGACGCCAAGGTCACTCCTGTTTTGATTCGACTGTTTGGCAACCCTGACAGAGCGATCAGGGTGTGTTTGCTGGACAACCTACCACTCATGATCAATCGGCTGTCTCAAAAAGTGGTGAACGATAAGATATTCCCACAAATAGTAGGTTGCGTCTCCTATTTCACTTTCGTCAGCTTGATGTTGATGTATCTAGGTTACCGGGTTCACGGACCTTGCTCCGGTTGTACGGGAACAAACGTTGAAGTCGGTCCTCACCCTAATCACAAAGCTCTCGGATCGAACTATCAACGGAGACTTGCTCAAATACCTCGCAAAGACGGCCAATGACGAGCAACCCGGAATTCGCACTAACACGACCATCTGTCTTGGGAAAATTGCGAAGCACCTTGGGTCCTCTTCAAGGGCCAAAGTCCTGATAGCCGCCTTCACCCGCTCGCTCAGGGACCCCTTCGTTCACGCCCGGAATGCCGCTCTGATGGCTCTCGCAGTGACAGTGGAGTACTTCTCCGAAGAGGACTGTGCCTTCCGCATCCTACCCGCTATCAGCCCCTCCCTCATAGACAAGGAGAAGCTCATCCGCGATCAGGCAAGCAAGACACTCGATATCTACCTCCAGAAAATTCGCAAACATGCCGCCAACATGCCGGATACCGCTTTACCGCCGGAAACCGTCGCCGCGGGAGGGGGCGGCCCAAGAATGAGTACTCCTCAGCCTACCGAATCGACAGCAGCCTCATGGGCAGGCTGGGCTATATCATCATTCACGAACAAGTTGTCAGCAGCAGCGGGCGAGATACAGTCCTCTGCCACCGCATCATCCGCGGGTACAACCGGCGCTACCGCGAACGGATCATTGTTGTCCCCTTCTACCCGCCCTACCATCTTTTCCACTTCATCCTCACCGGGGCCACAACGGCAGGGATTCAAGTCCCCTCCGCCGTCATCCGGCCGGCCCACGTCAGCGTCCGCCAACAGGGACGCCTCCTTCGTCCCGGGCAATGGTGAGGATAACGACGGGGACGACGCGGCCGACGCATGGGGCGACATGGACGACCTTGACGAAGGGCAAGACCCGCAACCAGAAGATTTCTTTAGCAGCAGTGCTGCCGAAGACAGCAAGTCCCAACAACAAAAGAAACCGGCTTCTGCCGCTACCGTCGTCACGCCGTTCAATGACGACGGTTCCGAGCCGGATTTCGCCGGCTGGCTGGCAGCCCAGGCCGAGAAGAAGAAGGCTACTAACAAGAATAAAATCCTTGGTGGTGGCAGCGGCGGTGGTGGTGGTGGTCTGCCGAAAGGGCTGGCCAAGAGTGGGGCGAGTGGGAGTGGGAGTGCTCCTTCGGCGATGAAAAAGGCGGCGCCGGCGTCTGCGTCTTCGTCCAAAGCAACTAAGGGCTCAGCGACGACGGCGGCGGGTGCGGCGGTCAAGAAAACAATTGATATGAAACCTAAGAACACAGATGACGATGATGGATGGGGAGGGTGGTAGGGTTGTTAGTTATTTTTTTGTTCTGGCGATATATATCATAGAGCGGGTATGGCTGGGGATTTGGGTACTGTACTGTGCAGATAAGGGGTTGAAGGTGCTTCGGCTCAGGGGTTGCATTTTGAGTTGGCAGGCGTGTGTTTGTAGATACTACTCGCAATGCGTGGCCTCATGCTCTGACTTGCCCGTAATTGACGTATTTGAAATCCTGCATTGGGAAGAGGAAAAGACGGGAAGAGAGAGTTAGCAGCTAAGTGTCCTAAAGCTTAGTGCGGAGGCGATTCCAGCCTGACAATTGATTCAAGGATCAAGATGAGTCCATTTGTTGCTACCTGAATTCATTATAGCGTACGAAAGGCCATAAACTCGCCGGTCATTAAGATGTACATAGAAGACAACCAATCCTTGTCCATGCCGGACATTCAGTCAGCTGGTATCATCAGACTAGCGGCTTAGCCAGTCGAAAACGCGAAGGAATAACCGTATCCTCATTTCTAGAGACAAACCCAATCTTGCTTCTTGCGCTTCGGCTTGGGAATGGGGATTGGTTCTGAACGTGGAACGGGGGAAAGCCTGATTTCGTTTCCCGTGCCTTCCGTTTCATCCAGTTCGTAGTCGGTGCTATCCTCAGAGCACGGACTACCGCCGGCTCTCTGCCCAGTCTGCTGGGTAACGATGGCTGATTTTGCGTTCTCTGCCTTCACCTCTTTCTCCTCAGGCACATATTTCACTTCTTGGGCCGTATTCGCCTTCGGCTTGTTTGCCTCAAGCGCCGGTTTCGATCTCGACCGTTTATGGAGCTTACCGGTTGGCGCCTTGCGCTGCTGCGGCGGCGGAGCCGGTAGGGGCAAGAAGCAGAACGGCTTGCGGGGAACTTGATTCGAGAACTCATCCTACCGAGCCTCGGAGTAGTCGTTAAGGGCCACGCAGACGGCGCCGCGATGATGGCCATTGTACTGCCGGATGATTTGCTGGCTGTGTAGCTCCCATAGGCGGGCGTAGTGGTCGCTGCAGGCGGTGACGAGGTAGGCACTGTCGGCGCTGAAAGCGCAATCCCATACCCATCGCTGATGGCCTGTGAGAGTGGCCTCGAGCGGGAACGCCCTAGGCTCTGAGTCAGGTCCAGCAGGCTCCATGTCACATTTTACCTCCCAGATCTTGGCGGTGTGGTCTGCACTGCAAGTTGCCAGCTTCTTCACGTCTGGCGAGAGAAGGATGCGCGTGATGTATTCCTTGTGGGCTGAAAAATGGGTCAGCGGGACCAGCTGGGTGCGCTCAAAGGCCTGGATGAGCTGCCACACGAAAACGTTGCCCTGAGGATGGTCAGCAGCTAGAAAAACAATGACGTCGGTAAGCGAGGGCATACCGCATTGTTGGCTGCGCAAAGAAGAGTGCCGTCACTTGCTACAGTGACACTGGACACAGAGACCTCCTCCTCGGGGATGAGCTGGTGCGCACAAGTATTCTCGGCCAGGTCCCAAAGCCTGATGCTGCCGCCACGGTCGCAGCTAATGATCTCGCCTTGGTTCGGATGGATCACGACATCGTTCACAGGGGAGCCATGGTTATAGCTTCGCTGGATCGTGCCAGTCCGTGTTTCCCATATCTTCACGGTGCCGTCCTCGGAGCTCGTGACCATCCATTTGCCCTCACAATGGAACGCTACGCCCGTGACGTTGCCGGTGTGACCCTCGAAGACCAGAAGTGGAGCAGGGTTCGTTGATCGTATATCGAACAACTTGACGGTGTGATGGCCGGCAGCGGCGAGGTAGCGCTTGTCGGGGGAAATGCAGAGCCGGTTCACCTGTGAGTCTGGATGCTGGATAGTTCGCGAGCAAATCCCAGAAAGGGCCTCCCAGAACCTGGAGAAATATATTAATAGTGAGCCCATTGAAATTGGGTTTCTGGCGGCCTCGTCAAGCGAGTTACGGCTCGAGTATGTACCTTATCGTGTGGTCGTAACCAGCTGGAAACAAACAGCGTTCAGTAATCCAATCCAAATTAAAGTGCCCATTCGAGAATCCTACCTGTGCAGAGAATGACCGACATTTTGGCGGCGGCTATGAGTCCATTATGAAAACCAGAGTCGCGCTGTCGTTAATGAGGGAATTGTCAGAAATGATGGGTTGTGCGACAGTTCGCCAATGCAAACCTGGAAGGTTCGGTCGCGTCGTGGGAAGCAGCCTTTACGATTCCCAAGCAACTGTGAAGTTACTTCCGTGTACGATATGGGTGGGGCCGGGTGAGCCCCACATTGCTTGGTGTGTGGGGCGCTGGTCAGGCGGGTCGAAGCTTCCACCGAACCACAATCTGGGGAGCTACCATCAGCTGTGAGGGTTCTTTGGGATGCTCTTCCTTCTTTAGAATAGGGGTCAGTTATTAGACCCCTTCTAGTAACTTTGACTTCTAGCTGGTCTTCCTTTTCTTCGAAAATTTAATTGGTGGCATCGAAATGAAACTGCGATTGGTCTTTTTCTCCTCAGCTGGTACGGAGTACTCCTAATCAACTTCAGACTCTGAAGTGGATTCTGTACTCAGCAGATTGTGAGCTGTCATTCCCTCTATTTTTGAACAATTTCTCATCTTCTCAGTAGCTGGAAACCCTTATTGTCTCCGTTTCCGCCAACTATAGGCCTACTGGAGAACAATCATAATCGAGCAAGGACGTTTCCTAGGCAAAGCGACCGATTCGCAGTCGACACTCCTCTTAGTGGTGATTCTCTGTTTTATTATAACTGTCATCTATACCTGTGCCGGCGCCACCGTGGTCTATTTGCTTGCTTGGGCAGATGGTTTCTCGAGGTCGATACCCTGAACTCTGATTGGAACCTTCCACTCCGGATACCGGCAACGGCATCAGCCCAGGTGGCGTTGGCGAGCTGCAAAGTACCCTTTGACGTTATAACTGGCTTTTCCTATCATCTTAGCTTTCCCTGAAACTGTGATTCCAGGTTCTGGCAGCAGACACTTCGACGACGGATGAACTTGAATGTTTGCAAGGCCATCCACCTACTTACTCAAATGTCAGGCTCTCGGCAGGAAACGCAACACCTGCTGTATGTTGTTGGTGCCCATATGAGAGGCCAATCGATCTAGCTGTTGACTAGTATTTCTCATGGTCTATCAGCCAACTTTCGCCCAGCCTTCGCTTCAAGTTGTTTCTGTGTTGACTGAACGATACTTTACACGCATTATATTGGAGCTATTCAAAGGTACGTGCTAGAAACCTTGTCCAACCGCGATCTGCGGAGATCAGACTCCTCACGGTAACCATCTGGATCCTTTCACAGAAGCCAAGCCGCGCAATGCAATTGATTCAATAACTCAGTCCCTTATCGCGCCTTCAACCCATGTGAGAAGTGACAGATGACAGAATGCCTCTGCAGGAAGGGCAAGAAAGGCGAAGAGAAACACCGCCAGCTTCCAACTTACTCATTCCCTTCGACAGCTCAGAAGCAAGCATATTGCCAAGATATCGCTAGTCACCGGGCATCGAACTACATCTTAAGCGCGCCCCTCCTCGATGCTCGACAGGTCCGTCTGAATGCTCGACGTCTTCGGATACAGCTAACACGCCGACACCGGCAACGCAAGGCAGGTTGGGAGTACCTCTAACCGGCCGTTAGTCCGTTACGAGGACCGGTAGAGGCTATGCGAGCAGGGTCGCCATGTATACCCCGTGCCCCGGCAATTATAGCAACCCCTAGGAGCATCAGCTTAGCTCGGAGTCGAGGAACGCAAGCGACAGGCATACCTTCGCATACTTGCTCCACACACGTCGCAGTTGACGGGCTCATACAGCGCCCCGCCAATCATACAGCATCCACAAGAGTCTGCTGCCTTGGGTGAGGTAGACATAGGCGGGCAATGATCTGGCCTGGACCAAGTGTCCTGGTGGAGAGAAGATGCGGGTGTTCAAGGATGCAGCACGGCCAAGCAGTAATGGTCACCGGGCATGCCGATGGGCATTGACGGGGTCGCAAGGGAAACAAAGCAGCCTTTTATGGGCGCCGGAGACTCGAGGTCTAAAGGGTTCACGTTGACGCCTAGCGTGCGCGAAACTCACCGCCAGAGGGTATTATTCTTCCAGTCCCTCTCGGGCAATGTCGGCCAGAGGTGGCACATGGCCTGCTGATCATGGTCTCTAGCCAAGAATGGCGACGCTGCCTTGACTGCCGCAGGGAGACCTGTGAGCAATATCTCTGTTCGCTGCGGTCATTTTGTGAGACCTTGAGAGTTGTCAAGGTGCTGCCGGCGAAGGTGAAGATTGAGGATCATCCCTGTTGAGAAGCTGATTCCTTCTGGTCACCTCACAAGGCAACTACTCTCTACCGGGCTACCTTATCTATGCGCTTACAGGTCTCAGAGATTCGGCCGGCCGTTAAATGGAAACGTACAATGGCATGATAAGGAGTAGCCTCAGATCATACCTATTCCTGCAACCATCCGTCGCGAGAACTCCGGGCATCGTCTTCATAGGGCGCCACTTTCTTGGCTACAACCAACGAACATATTCCGCCTTTCAGCAGGACTACGAATCACGCAGCGGCCACCATCCACATGTCTGCCTGATGAATAAAGTATCGCAGGTCAGGCTCGTGGTCGGATTGGAAGCAGTTTTCTTCGCCCTTGGATCTTGGAGCTACCGCGCAGTAACGCGGAAAGGGGCTTCGGATTGCCCACATCGGGCTGCCGTTCCTCCACCTTGCTGAGTACACTTTCAGGGCCCCCAGCAGCCCAAGACAAAGCTCGCTGACGTCACAAACTGCGCGATGTGCCGTTGAACTGGGAGCACCGTCGCGCGTTGTCCTGGTGGGGGTTGCGGTTGCTTTGGGGCACCCATGGGCAACATCAGCGGGGAACTGGTGGGCAACACGTGTGAGGACAGAAGGACCCAAAATCCCAAATCACGGCGGATTACTGGCGGCTTTCTTTGGTGTTCATCGTACGAGATTTAGTCCTGGTTTGGCTCTTCGTGCAGCTTTCGCGGGTCTCGATTCCGTCAAGGCGCCTCAGCCGCCGCAATGGACGGTAACAGGACCCGAGAAGGATCTGTGTTCTGCATAGGCAAGCTGTCATCTGTTATCAGCCCTGCCGCAGCGAGCACCCGCATTAGTTGGACTCAACTCGGCCAATAGGATACAGCACTTGGCACTCGCTCCTTCCCTATTGAGACAGCTTAGAGTAACGAGACATCCCTTAGTACTAATTATCCCCAGGCTTCATATGCGATCTACAAAAGCAAGGGACGATCCAGTACGCCGGAATCTCAGAAATCATGTTCGCTGCTGGAGTATTATCATAATACATACTCAAAAGAAGGAGCACCGCGGCGGGCACAGTTGAGAGATGCGCAAACCAAAAAAAAAAATAAATAAATAAATAAATAAATAAATAAATAAAAATAAAAATAAAAATAAAAAAATTCCAGGCACACGTAGCGAGGGCCTGTCACACCGGTCATCTCTTTCGAGACCAGATCAACAAAAGGAGGGTCGAAACGGCAGCGGAGTGGTGGAGGCAAATGTGGCTTGCTTCCAAACAGCGTCGGCAAGCCTAGCATCGAACTTTCACGTAGGTACGCCGTGTCCACTCTTCTCCCTTCCCTCAGAGGATTCGGCAATAGGCGGTGTTACGTCTTCCGGTTCTCTTACCACGACGTCCGGAGAGCAACCCCGACTCTGCAATATACATCCATGCCCAACACGTGGCTGCAAATTGGGCATCATCTTGACGTTTCGGCTCGTCCGAAATCCCCCACTTTACATGATCAAGACGTAACATCTCGATTACCATTCAATAGCCCAGGCCTTGTCCAGCAGCCATGGCTCTTCGGGACTGAACGCCTCAGCGTGGAGATGCGCAAGGCTATAGCATGTGAGCAAGATCCAGCATCGAAAATTATCTGACAAAAGTATCTGACTCAGCCACAGGCGTCATGTCATACCCAAAACCCAAGCACTCTTACAGGTAATCTGACTTTGGACTCGTGGTTGCGTTGGCACGAGTGAACAGTGCCGGTCCGGCACTACCAGTACAGCAGGAGTAAGACAAGTGGATGTTCTCCCAAAGGACCACAGAAATGAGAAGTGCAACACGTCGGGCAGCTACCAAACTAGTAGTACGTATGTAGTCTGAGCTCCTGCTGCAAACAAAAGTCCAGCCCTGATGCAGGGATCATGCCGTTCGGTGGTCGTACTGGCCTCTGTCTTGTCCGCCTCGCTTCTGTGGCTTTTGTAAGCTTATCGTCCTTCAACCGACCCGACTCAAACCGAGAGCATCACTAAAGCAACTTCATGACCTACCGAGTCCCTCAGATCGCAAGGTTGGGTAGCGTCCTGGAACCCTAAGCAACATAAACCTAGTGCAAGACCTTGGGAGATCCCAAGCCTGAACTATGGCGGCATCGTTAAGAGCACTGAGTGCGTGTAGAGGAAAGGGGGATTTGTGCATTACGCCTAAACCCCTCTTGTGCTACCCTCCTGCGTGCTAAGCACCTAGTGACCCAGCAGCCCAGGTAATTCTGGTGATCGAAGCTGGGGAGCAGATACTGGGGTTCAACTCCCCACATCCGCAACGGAAGGCCTGTTTTACTCAAGAATGCATAGAAGGTACCTTACCCGATCCCATGCACAGTACCTATGCAAGTAATGAACATACCTCGGCCCATGAGACAGCTGAGAACCGATTGGCCCTAGCTAAGTAAGTAAGGTAGCCAAGGTCTCTACTTACGTAGTAGTGGCCGGGCATCTGCCGTGGCCGTGGGACTTCCTGTCAAGCCCGACTTCGAGGCCCAGGAGATGACAAGACCGACGGGGAAAAGGGGTAACCAACGTTACAATGATAGGCAGGCAGGTAGGTATGGTAGGTAACAGGACCCTTCCAAGCCACGGCTTTAGACCGTGATTTGAGTGATCACCAGCCTGCACCAAACCCTCATCTTCCCCATGCCAGTCATATCACCGGTACTAATACTAGCCCTTAGCAAGCAGACAGAGATCTTACTGTTTACCTACTTACTTAGCTCCAACAGCCAGCCTTTGGTTCGTCTTCAAGTTTCCTTCAAACACAACTTCTAAGAACAGGCGGAGCTTTCTGTGAAGTAACGTAACGGAATCCCAAGGCGAGAGACCTAAGACCCGGATAGACACTACGTAAGGCTTAAGGGGGTACTGCGTTTAACGGCTTGTCTCTAAGCCCTCTATGATGAGAACTCGAAGCTTGCGGGATCGGCCTCGGCCACTTTGACATTGATGACAACGGCGAGGGGAACCTCGATATCATCCTCGGCAGCGGCCCTACCTGATCTTGCGGTGAACCTGGAAATCATCAGCGAGGTCGTTAAAGCACACATACGTACATACACGTAGATAGTCTTGATACTAACATCCGATGTCTTCCACCCTGTTTCCTCCCCGGGAAGAAGTCCTTGGGGTAGGGAAAGGGGGGAGCAACTTGAACTTTTGTCCCTCGCTCGTGATGGACGACGGATTGCATGGGCGAGGCAGAAAGTACTCATTCAACTGTGAGAAACTTCACCATGATCGCTCTGGATTTGCCTGTTCTATCCGAGCTATTCCTATCATTTTGCCCCGAGCCATGGCCATCATATCTTACTGCGAACCCCGTCTAGCCAGGTCTTGATTTGAACGGGACAAGGATCACGGTGTTGGGTCAAGTAAGGAAAGAGTCGGGAAGGAATCTCAAATAATCACAATCCTGCCTAGGTCCAGAACAGGCCATCATACTGCCATATCTTCTCTCCTCTTGGCAGCCCAGAAGAACGAGAAGAAAGGAAGGCCAGGAAAAAAAAAAAAACAGGCGGTCCAAATATCGAGAGAAGTGAGAGCATCCGGTTCATCACCATCCCCAACCAGTATCCGTCCCAGTCCCAATCCCAGTCCTAATCCCACCCCCGTGAGTAAAACCCCGTCTTTGTCCCTGACGTCCACTCATAAGAAAAGAGAGCGAACCCTGTTAGGACCGGGTCTCATGATATCATCCCCATCTGGGGAATACGACTATGCGATATAAATGACTACAGAAAACAATAATCCGAAACGCCTCCCTAAAACTTAGGTTCACTCCACCCCCTATCGGTGGACGGCGATGCCAAAACTGAATGGGGATGAGAGCGACAACTGGGGATCAAAAGAGAAAAGTGAACGAGACTTTGTCTGATGCCTGTAGAGTGCTTAGCTGAATGTGGGAGCTGTGTAGATAAGAGTGCCCATGATCATGGCGCCCGCGGTAACACCACCGAGCGCTGCGTATCCGACACGCTCTGCAATGCGTAGCAGGCGAACTCTCTTTGCAGGCCTCCCTGGCATGCGGGCCACAAGGGCATCGTTGCCTTCAACCTGTGGCAGCTCCGCATATGGCTGTTCAGCGCCCTTCAATTGTGCCGGCGGCAATGTTCGGAGGCATCTGCTCGGTAAAGCACCGGTGTTCGAAGTCAAATCCGAGGAAGAAGCCGTGATAACGGACTGCTTAGCCGCAGCCGCCCACAGTTCTTGTTCATCTGTGGAATCTGAGATATCCTCGGCTTTACGTTTCAGCTTTCCTGCCTCAGGAGCCTGCTGGCAGCTGTCGACAATGTCGGGAATTCCCACATGAGTCCGCCGAGAGCCGAGGTCTGGGATTCCGTCTGGGATAGGGGCCGAATCTGCGGAGGTTGGAAGCATGCAAGCTGTAGACTCTTGCATCGTCAAGCGGTCTTCAGCCCGGCCGAAGCCAAGCACAGAAGGCGGCGAGATCATCGCAGGTTGGACTGGAGCCGGCATGCCGCTTACTGGCTCTTCGCCGGCAGACTCTGCGATTGGCAAATCCAGAATGGGAGGCAGACTGATTGGCTTGGCAGCTTGTTCTCCCGCTGGACCGAACTTGTAATTGGGGGGCTCCTCGTCATTGCACAGAGCATGCACAGAGGAAAGAGGCCGTGTATTTGAGCCCCTCTGCGCGTCCAGAGCGAGTTTATTTCCTTCACGAGCTGCGAAGAATTCAGGCTTGCCGGTGCTAGCACCAAGAACTTCAGCTGTAATTTTGGGTGAACGGGTAGATGGAAATGAGTAAAAACTCTTAGAAGGACTCGAATCTCGAGGTTGAGGTTCAGTTGGTTTGGGGGTGTTCAGGAGTCTCTCGACTGCGATGGGAACAGGCTCCTGGGTGGCTTTATCGTTTGCTTTGGGAGCCACTGAGGCTCCAGCCGGGTGGGACACAGAGTCGCACAACGCCGAAACCTCAGGATACTCGGCAGCTGGGGAGGATTGCGACAAGTCGTCCCAGAAGACACTGATATGGTCTGGAACCGGTTAGCAACGAGAGAGGAGGGCCTGGAAAAGAAGTTGCTCACCATCGACGGGATAGTCAATGCTCATGCCGTCGTCATCTGACGTGTATTCTTCCTCGGATTCGATGGCCTCGAGCTCGCTCTCAACGTCTTCATCCCCAATTAACCCTCCAAGATCCTCGGATTCACTTTCCGAATAGTCCATAACGCTATCGCTATCATCCTGTTCGTCACTCTGGCCGCTCTCGCTATCTGTGCGATCTCCGTCGCTGGATGGCGCGGCTCCTTCCTGGTCTGCCAGTCGCAGAAGGCTTGACATGGTAGCAGTAGCGTCGGGGATCGGCGCCACGCGCTCTGGGCTTTTCGAAGAAGAGATGGGACGCTCGACAGTGACATCGCTCAGCACATGGCACTGGGCTCGGATGATACTGGGGGGATCGTCATCATCCACGGGTATCGGCGAGCCAGGGGGGGAAGAGAGATCAATGACGTCGTGTACTTCATTACAGATGACCGGCAGGTCATACTGCTTGTTGGTTAGATCAATAACATCTGGTGGGGAGGTAGGCGCCGAGGAAGGCTTGTTGGGAGCGCCAGGATTCTTTCCCTTATGACTACCGTCGCTCGAATAACCATTGATATCAGAGCTGTCGTCCTCGTCCTCGTCGTCAGAGCCGTCGGGTACCCGGAAGGTGCTGGTGCTGGGTTTTGCACTGAGAACGTAAATGTCAGTTTTGGCTGATTACGCGAGGGTGTGACGGGTCTCACTAGTTCGAATAAGAAAGGCCAACTGTAACGGTGGTGGGAGCAAACTGCTCGGCTCCTCTCGTGATAGGCACGCCAAAGGTAAGCCGGTCGCCGTCCTTGAGCTCCAGAAACTTCTTGTCGGGAATGCGGTTATCGCCGCCATTCAGGAAAGTTCCGTGAAGGGAACCTAGGTCTCTCACTTCCACCTTCTGGTTCGAGTGTTAGCCGGGGGCCACAAACGTTCGACTGCATGGCAACCCACCTTGCTTTCCATGTTGGCAACAATCTCAGCGTGTTGCCTTGACATAACTGGACTGTCAAACCAAGCGTTCTCCCGAGATGCAACGAATCCCTTCGAGGAGACTTTCGAGGCTCGTCCGATGGAAATCGAGCATCTCTCGCGGTTTAATGTGATACGGCGCTCGGGGAACAAGATGTTGGAGTCCAAGGACTGGTCAGCGGACAGGCTGAGCGCTACCGAAGCTAAGTGAGGTCAGTACAGTACCAGTGCGAGGCGGGGAAAGCTAAGAATAGCGTTGGGGCTCGAGGTGAAACAAACCGTAGCCTGCAGAGTCGACTTGGGTGGCCATTGTGAGATTGCGATCCAAATATCCTTGGACCGTAGGATAGGTGCCAGGCACAAGAAAAATGAGGGTGATGACTCAAAGGAGAACACCGCAAGAGAGTAAGATGCAAAGGAAGCCAAAGGGCGAGTCTATTTGCCTAGGAGCTCCCCACGTCAGACAAAGCTCGGGCCGGGCAGTGGTAGGGCAAGTTCCACTGTCGACAATGGAACTTACGGTGCAGACCCAGCAAAAGAGAAGCCCCTCTTGCAATCGGTGAGCGTGGGAATTGGCGTTTAGGTATCAGTTCACGGCTCTTTCCTGCCCGTTGCACACCGAGTAATCGAGGTACGCCAGGGTAGGTAGGCAGTCTTTGAGAAAGGAGGAAGGAGCAGTGGTTGGTCCAACAGGAAGCTGAGTGCTGAAAGTGAAGCCCGTCTTGTCTCGGAAAGTGGGGCTTGGTGAGCCCTTCACCGGATCAGGCAGACAAGGAGACGGATTGAATGATAAGCCCGGCAGGCTTGCCTTGACGTTACCCGCAGGTTGCCAGAGCGGTTCAGCTCGAGGCGAGCAATAATCACTCAGCGTCGAATCGCAATCAAAATGACAAACAGGCAATCGAGGTCGAATACGATAATTGCCGGTCCGGAATGCTGTGTTTCGTAAGCTCAATTCGAACCTGGTATGATGGTGGAAGTGGTCATGGGATGAGTCGAGGTCGGCGGGGTGCGGGGCTGATAGGCCCCAGATCAACGGCCTAGCTGCCTTTCCTCGAGCTTACCAAAGGTAGTAGGTAGGCAATTAACAGGACTCCGACAATGGGCATACCTTAGTAGAAGGGAATTGTTGATAATGGCAGACAAGAAATAACAACGGTATGTCCAGTGAGTCCTTTTCAAAGACATCATGTCAAGACCAGCCATCACTCGTTTTGGCCTTTCAGAACGAGCCATCGAGCGCCTACAATTGTTGACTGTCCAACTGCGGACTCGCTGCCACCTGGCGTTGCGATCTGGCCTTGCCCGAGGCAGCATTGAAGCCACGGCAGACACCTCTCTTTCGAGGCGCCCGAGACCAATACTGTACACTATTTATTGCCCAGTCGTGGCATGGGGCCTCGAAAGAAAGGTGTCCATCGTCGGGATGCCCGGAGCCCCAATCACAATGCCTGCAACACAGCCATACAGCCACTGCACCTTTGAAGACCTCATATTTGTCATAGGCACAAACCCTTTCCCTAATACTGCTCTTTTCGAGCCAGAGTTCGAGCTTCATTCAGGTCCCTTGCTGCGTGAAGCCTTAATGTCATTCCCCATGACACTGGGTGGGCCGACATGCCTTTTGGAGTACCCCTTACCGTTTTAGTATTGGTGCAATATGCAAGCACTTAAAACTTGTCAGGGATGGTCTGTGACCCGTTGCGAGCCCACTTGGAGTGCTGAAGTGGCCCCGCACGAACCTTGCCAGGGTGCAACAGTTGCTTGACCCCGCGGTCGGGTCGAGATTGCCCCTGTGGCGCGCCTCTCGTGCGTCACTGGCCACACCACCTTTGTCCGCAAGATCTGGGTCCGCAGACCGTTCTTGTTCCATCCGAGCCATCCAACCCCATTCCAAACCACGGCAACTCCGTGCAATTATAACACTCAGACTTCTCTCTTCGACCTCATTTATTCAAAATCTTCCCCCTTCCACTTCACTCTCCCCCAATCCATGGATCTCTTGTTGACAAGCTGTCACGTACAAGAGATTATTTGCTCCGAATTCTACTATAACGCGCCTTTGCCACCCCATTACTTCATCGCCGATCCGCAGTATATTGAAAACGAGACGAAGCAGGTTCCATTTCCACAGCTTCGTACTGCCTGTCAACTAGTTTCTCCGTGCAAGGACATCAAACATATCATACTGGAGGCTGTATCGAGACGCGACAGGCAACCATGTCAGAACTTCGGAGGCGAGCCCTCGGGGCGGGCAAGACGGTGTCGCGAAAGGCTCGGTCGAAGCCAGAATCGGGAGTCTCGTCTGCCAATCACTCACCAAATGGTTCACCGGGAAATTCGCGAGCGGGGTCCCGTGCCAATTCGCGGCCCGGTAGCCGCTACGCCTCAGAGGATGAGTTTGAGAGCGATTCCGAGTTCGACGACGTCATGACGATGAGCACAAACTCGGTTGCGTCAGGTGAAGACGAGCTGGGCACAAGCAACACTTGGGCGGAGCGGCTACAGGATCGCGTCGCCGAAATTCAGGACCGCAAGCGGAGCAGTGTGCAAGGGCGTGAAGCGACCCTCAGAGCATACACGCATCTTTTGCGGCACCACTTTGCGGAACGGCAGATCGCCCGGTCCGTCGCTGAGATCATGCCCATTTTTCTTAGGAGTATCAGGAGTGGTAACAGCGACGAGGAGCGTTTACTGGCACTCAAAGCCCTGACTCTCACCATCCTCACGTCCCCGACAGACACCATCTTCGAGGAGGCCCTGCCGACCCTGAAAGCGGTCTGTCAGGATGCAGAGGAAGAAGACATCAAGGTGGAAGCAATTTACGCGCTCTGTGTCGCCGTAACGTCCGGGGGAGGGTCGAGTACCGCCGCTGAGGAACTGCTCGATTTCTTCCTTGAGATTGTTGAAAGTGATGGTCAGTCGATCGACGCAAGGGATAGCGGTCCGGTAGTGTCGGCCGCGCTTCAAGCCTGGGCATATGTCGCCAGTCACATGGAGGATCTTACAGTGCAAAGCGAGCCGGCCATCGAAGCTTTCATGGATCAACTGGACAGCACAGACCCCGATGTTCAGACCAGCGCCGGGTCAAACATTGCGCTTCTTTTTGAGGCAGCGCGTGACTATGAAGAAGAAACTGGTGAAAGCTTCCATATGCAGTACAACCAGCACCGGATTATGACGCGAATGGCAGAGATCGTGCGTGATTCTTCAAAAACCGTCTCAAAAAAGGGTCGACGGCACCTCCGATCCAACTTTTCCAGCATAGTCACCTCGCTTGAACGGGGCAAAGGTCCAGGGTATTCAACGGCCGGCCGCTTGGGATCCAATCCGCATGTGGGCGGATCGAAGGTTGAAAACGAAGGCGATTTACAGGAGTTTGGCTATCGGGAGAAGATTCGCATACACAACCAGCAAGTGCTTATCGACACCTGGTCTCTCCACGTCAGAGCGGAGCTTCTCAAGATTCTCCTTGGCGGCGGATTCCCGATCCACTTTCTGGAGAATCCGATCGTCCATGGCATCCTGGACGGTGCGGAGGTGGAGTATCTTTCGAGCCCAGGGAAACGCAAGTAGATTAAAAGGAAGGAAGGGCGCTGTATGTATGGGTGATACGTATGGGTGATTCGTTTGAATATCGCTTTATTACTAGCTAGGTAGGGAGGTACTCAGTCTCCCTTGATATTAGTAGACGTAGGAGCTCTCGGGTGGTGCCGTTTCGCCTCGCATCATTTCACGCTCTTCAAGGCGAGAAGATTCAACAAATTTGATTGCCTTCCTGTGACAATGGACTACTATGTATCCGTACATACTCCGTATTTCTCTAGGTGGATGGATTGGTGTCTAGGCACAGCTGCCTAGCCGCTGGGACTCGAACTGGATGTAATCATGTAGTGCACCTGTTCTAGGGAAACATTGTCGCTCGTCTCATATCTGCGAGGGCCCCGTTTCTGACACTCCCACTCCTAAGGTGAGCGCGGTGCCCAGATGGAAAAATATGAGGCTGCGAAAAGGAACGCGTTTTGTCTTGGGAACTGGCTTCTCATAGCAAAATTCGCAAAGCGATGGGTGGTTGGTGACGTTTGGACGCTATTGGGTGACAGTGGCAGTGGTCGGCTGTCTTCGATAGCGGTCTGGCGACGTTAGCGTTGAACTTGAGAGTCTGACTGGAGCTGGAGGTGGTTCAAGTTCCCAAGAGATCGCCCAGTTGTGGGCCTCCGTCCGAGCAAGGCAACCTAGACACTGCGGTTACCTGGCCAGGGCCGGCCACCTGGAATGGTTTAGCCTGTCGGTTTCTTGGCAAGCGCTGAACACAATGTCAACAAACCGGTTCCCACAGTCCCGCACATCAGATTCCTTCCCGCCATCGGCTTGCCTGCCATCTGGTGTCGCGGAACGGGCCAAGTCTGCGTTGCTTTACCGATCCCGCCCGCCAGTCGCCGAGGGTGGTTCAACAAAAAAATCTGTGTCTAGAACGAAACCACACTTAAACATTCCGTATTTTACCTTCTCACTTTTAATCACCTCAGCTCTACTCGTACCAAGGTACGTAATTATCAAGCCGGCAGCCCCCATCATCCCGTCAGCAGCAACTAGCGACATTTGAGCCTCGTCCTTCCCATCTGCTCCGCCGTTTCCCTAGGTCGCTGCACGTTGCTGCACAAGAGACGCCAGGCTCCACGCGTAATTGGCGGCCCCATCAAGCACCGCCAGCACATCAAGCAATCCCGCCCGCTCCTGGCCACAACAAACCCTCCCATAGGTCTTTTTTTCCTGCACTTGGCCGCCTGAGAAAAGGTGATAGAAGGTGGAGAAGGGAGCCGTCAAAGAAACCGACGGAGAGAGTAGGACGGAGTTAGGAGTACGGATACAGCTCTTCGCCTCCGTTGCTTGACGCAACCTGGAAATCGAACAACTTGGGAGTTCTCAGGACAAACTTGTCCAACCTTTGATGCAACTCTCGATCGTCGGCCAAGCCATCACCAACAGCCTTTCAACCCCCGTCAAGCTGCAGCACAACCTCAGCAGCAGCCGAGCAAGCCAAGCACACATCGACGCTGCGATTGGGTGAAGCCCGCCAGCCCGCCACTCTGTCCTGCCCCCGCTGCTACCGGCGACCTTAGCCGTTAGGAGGTAGTTGCTCCCTCGACACTGGCCGACCACTTTGCGCCGCCTCTCACTTTTTTTATTCTTTTTGCTTTTTCTTTCCCCGAACAAGACAGCCCACCTGCTGGTTGCCGTGCACAGCATTGTCTTGCTCGCCCGCCGCCGTATCGACCATCAGCTCGCATTGTGCCGGTGCAGCGTCCAAACCTGCGCTGCCATTACTCTTACCGGCAACGCCTAGCTGTGAAACGGCTGATTGGCCTCACCCCTCGCGCTCTCGCCGCTGATAATCCCCCACTCACTGCCTTCTTGAGAACCCAATCGCTCCCGTACGGGCAGTTAGATTTCCCTTGCCAACCGTTCTTTCTCGTGGTTCCCATTTCCGCCCACCTACCGGGACGTCGGCGAAGAACCCCGTGAATTCGATTAATTGGACGAGGGAATTGAAAGCCCATCGATACCTGACCACCATAGCTGCCTGGTTCCCAGCACCACAATGGGTGTTGAGGGTAAAATGAGAGCTGCGCCTCCGCTACCTGCGCCTACCGAGACCAATTCAACCCTTACAAACGCCGCACCGAGTGATGTGAGGACCGATGTCTCTGGACCCAGTGACGAGGTATCCTCCTATTCGTTACCAGACGACGGCACGCCAGTTACAATCAAGACGGGCCACCGTGCCAGCAAGTCACAGACGTCGCTGCTTATAGAGTACTTCGAGGGTGGGAAAGCCAGCACCAGTTCTGTTTCAGGCGACCAGCGTAGGCCAAGCGTCCGAGTCCGCCTCACGCCGAGCAAACACCGTTCCAAGAGCGGCTCAGACCGTGACCGCATCGAAATAACGCAGACAAAATCCAGGAAAGCGAGTCTCAGCCGCCGTTCTGCTCCTACCAGTGCCTCTGCTCGCAGCGACCCTGAGGGGCTCTCGGCTCTCAGCCGGGACGGGGAGGACGCAAGCCCATATGCCTCGGCCACCGAGGAGAGCAACGTCAGCCGTAACCCGATCGACATCGAGATCGACCGGGGCACCCCCGCCCGACGTCGCCGCCCGGCGAGTCCCTTGATCCCGGCCGCCGACAGCAATAGGGCAAGCTACCAACAACCCAACATGAGTGAGATCTCAGCCATTCCGACCGACAGTTTCCTTGATGGATCGGGCCCGACCACCTCCTTTAGGTTGTCCGAAGTCAAGAGCCCTAGGAGTAGAAGCCCTTCCCGCACCGGCGATTATCTAGCTGGCGCTGCAGCTGGATTGGGCGCTGCAGTCGCCGCGGACAAATTGCGGAGCAAAAGCCGCGACGGCCGCGATAGAGAGAGGGTGACTGTGTCAAAGAACCGTGATAAGGATAAGGACCGCAAGCACAAATCGAGCAAAAGCCGGACTGCCAGCCTGTCCAAGGAGGAGAGGCACATAGAGCGTCCGAGCTCGCCTCGCAGGAGATCCAGCAAGAGCCATCCGGATTCCCTTGTCTCAGCAGCAGACTCCAGTGTTGTATCAGGCTTGTCACAGAGCCACCGATCCATGGATCAGCACTCAGTTCGATCGGGCACATCCAAGGCTTCATCGATCAATAACCCCAAGTTGTTGGAGACCGTTGAGGACGCCATTCGCCGTCTCATTCTACCTGAGCTCAATGCTCTGAAGAGGGAGCAGAGCAGACACAAGAGTCGGCGCGATTCGACCACATCGAGTACCACGACGGCTTCTCGGGAAGATTATGCGAGCGACAGGCGACGGTCCGCAGGCACGGACAAGAACATGATAACGCCCAGAGACAGCTTGAAGAGCAGAGAGAGCCGGGATCGTGAAGCTCGCAATGATTTCGATGACAGCAGTGCTCTCAGTCATGAATCTGTAGAAGACGAGGGTGATCTCACCGACACACCCATGCGCAGTACTGACCGCCTCAGGGCCGCCGCTGCTGGCGCTGCTTTGGGTGCGGCAGCTGTTGCCGTCCACGGGGCGATGGACTCTCCATCAGACGACAAGCAGCGCTCTAGGAGACGTCGCAGAGCCGAATTGAGGAGTCGCGCTTCGGACCACATGCCCGAGGATGAAGACTCCGAGCTTCTCGCGCCAGTCCCGCCGATGCCGTTGATGAGCGATGTCAACGCCTCGGACGTTACGAGAGCATCCATCATGTCTGCCGAAACGGACCGGCCCCACTCCGCGAGTGAAGAACTCACTCCTGCCCGTGACCTCCCCAACGAGTCGTCGTCCCCAGGGACACCAACCCCCACTAGGACCCCAATCACTTTGCAGGCCCTGGGAACACAACACGCTAACATATCACATGGCGACCTCAAGGCCTTGCCCCGTCAGCGAACTGGAGAATTGGATGAGTACGTCATTGATGACTACGGCAACAAGGTGCCCTCACGGACCTTCAGGCGATATCAGGAAGATGAAGAGTATGAAGAGGACTCTGGTTCAGCACCCGCATACGCGCCACAAAGCCCCTACGATTATTACAGCACACAGGACGTCCCTCCCCCACTCAAGTATGTCCCATATCAACCCGAACGACGCGGTCTAAGCCCGATTCCGAGTGTCTCGGGCTATACAGAGGCTGGGAGCGAAGCGCCAGCCCGCGATTCCGGCCCTACCCATCAGACCGCCGAGTCAATCTCATCAGCTGGCAAGTCGCCTCGGCACGATGGCTCGATGCGTTCCCGAGCGAGTCGAGAATCTGTAGACGACGACCGGAGCATGAGAAGCTCTAGACTTGACCAAGAAAATTCCGTGAGCGCAACCAACAGCGAACTCGAGCAAGTCACATCTGGGCAGGCCGTTCGCGCCGTGTCTCTGAACCCGGATTTCGTACATCCGCCTGGCATTGAATCAAACGTGGCTTCTCTCGTCGACGGATCAATGCTTGAGGGATCCGTCATGACAGGCAGCTCCATCGTGGCCGGAAACCAGCCCTATAATGCCCGTGGATCGATGGCCACGCTCGAGGAAGAACAGTCCCGGAATCCCGCAACCCCAACCAAGCGATCTGTGGAGAGCAACCGGGATTACGCCGAGGAACGCCCCGAGACGCCGGCATCCGGGAGCCAGCGATCCAATCAGTTTGTTGAATATGAGCTGGATGAGTATGGCCGTAAAGTACCGCAAACGTCCTACCGACAATCTCCAACCGTTTCCGAGGCGGCAATCGCAAGCGCAGCGGTCGGTGCCGCCGCGGCCGCCCTCAGGGCCCAACATGACAAGGCTCAGCAAGTTCTCGATGACGACAGTGTGGCTTTCCAACCAGCGGGGGTCCAACGGAACAAGTCGTTCAAGGAACGTACCAAGAACGGGCACCGCCCTGGTCTTGACACTTCCAGCGCGGAGAGGCTCAGCAACTCCAACGAACAGCCCAAGCTGGGTTTCAGTAGCATGCCCGACCCCAACGATCCGATGCCGGAAATAGGAGACTGGCACGACGTTGACATGCTGACGAACCCTTCACTTCTTGACGGTGAAGGAGGCCGCGATCACGAGGAGCAATGGAACGGCGACGTCACACCACGTCAACGTCCACAGCATCATGATGATAACGTCGAGTACCAACAGCTGGACGGTGCCCAGGCTTCTCCAGTTGCAGATGTGCACGGTAACGGCCACGACCAAGGTATGCCAGGCGCAGCGGCTGCCATGGCTGCTGCTCACGACCACAGCTACCAAGCGGGTGGGGAATATGAGGAATGGTACCGCAGCTCGGAGGACAAGAAACGTGACACGCTGGTAACCAACCCATATGAGGGATCTAGCCCCATTGCTAACCTTCCTGGTGTCAACGACGCGCTTCTTGGGACTGCCGGCTTTGATAACTCCGGCTTCAGCAATCTCTACGGCGTACGCAGCCCGCTTGGCCACAAGGTTGACGAGGGCTACATCTCCCAGGGACCCAACAAGACTCCAGACCTCCGGGATACCAAAGGCAAAGGTGTTGACTTTGAGATTGCGCCTGGTGCCACTGGTCCAGTCATGGATGATCCGTTCTTTTCTTCAAAGCATACCCGCCACCTCAGTGGCATGTCTCAAGGAATGGGCTCCCCGTTGTACGATGCTGCTACGGGTATGGGAATTGACCGGATCGAGTCCAAGGACATCATCGCTCTCATGCAACACGTGAGTTTTCCGGCCATTTATCTTCCTTACCAGATGCTAACCTCGAACTAGTTGATGGTTAGAGACGCTCAGCGAAGCGCACGGGACACGGAAATTCTGGTGACGCTCGTGCGTTCGGCAACCGAGATGCGGAATAACTTTGAAGATCTTAAACGGCTGCTCGCGGACACGGAGGACGTCATCATCACCGAGGTCAAAGAAAATACCGAGAAGACGGTCCAAAGGGCCATCAATGGCCCGCGACCCTACCCTGGCAGCGCTGCCCGCTCCATCCAGGGCGGATCACAAACCGGGACGATTAATGGCGACGACATCACCGCCAAAAAGCGGAGCATTTTCCGACGCGCGCTAAAGGGGTTGAGTGCTAAAGGAGCAAATGATCTCGGAAGAATCGAGGAGATGCTCATGCAGCTGCTGAATGAAGTTGACATTCTAAAGGCGCAAACCGCCCCGGGCAACATTCATGGGAGCCTAAGCACTCAAGGCGAGCAGCTGTACGACTCTGCTCAGCCAGAGATCCAGTACGAACAGGATAACGGTTATGAACCCGAGGGCAATGCTGGCACCTCGACCACAAGCCATCCATCTCAATCCGGACATCTCTCAATCCAGTCCCGCGGGACATCAGTCAAGCCCGGGTATGACCGCAAGGTTTCAGCGCACAGGATAAGTACGGTGCACGAAGACAATGAGGAAGATTACGACCATGGGCGCAGGAGCGAGGACATGCATCTGATGACGCCTTCCCGAGATCAGCGCGGCAGTTCTGCACCCTTGGCGACGCCGCCCGGGGCGATGCCACAGACGCAGCAGATGTCGATGAGCAATGAGAATACTCCCCGGACGGAAGAGAGCAAGAAGAAGTCAGGAAGGTCAAGCTGGTTCCGCATCCCCAGAATCTCGCGCTGGTCCGAGACAACAGCCTCCAGCGGTGTCCCAGAGTCCCGGCACAGCAAGCAATCCGTCAAAGACGAGGGCAGCAAATTCCCCTCGGGTGCATCGCGGTCAGGGTCCCTAGATCGCTACCCAGACAACTACCAATTCTCTTCCCCGCAGGCATTCCAAAGCGACAAGCTCCACACGGGGTTCTCAGAGCAGGACCTAAGTCATGGGATGCACAATGACAATGGCGATGCCATGTATGGGCACATGCAGGGACCTGGGCCGCAGGCAGGGCCCAATTGGACGACCATGACGCCCGAGGATCCCAAATACAAAGCTCACCGTGACTCACTGAACCTTCAGCATCCTCAGCCGCGACAAGGCCAGACGGAGCGCTTCAAGGCAGCGCTCGAATCTCAGGCGTTGGGATTTGATTCGCCCACAAGTCCGAAATCAGCCGACTGGGCCGGGTCAGCTACGAGCCTGAACAGACTCGCCCAACACCATGGCCATTCGCCCAGCAACGGGTCGGACCTTCACTACCAACAATACTGGACTTCATCCCCGCCGGAAGCCAATATGACGACCACAGCTGGCGGGCCCCCACCTCGGCCACCCAAGGAGTCCCTCGACCAGCAACAGGCGTCGAGCCCGGACATGGCGCGCGTGGCGTCGCCGCCGCAGAACAAGCGGCTCAGCAAGCTGCAGAAACAGCCACCTCAGGGCCACGGCAGTCCCCTGCCGCACCACAGCGTCGAGAGCGGCTACGGTACCATGACGCACGGCGTCCCCACCGCGAGCTACATCAGCCAGGGCGACAGGAGCAGCCCGAGGCTGGAGAACCGAAACCTGAGTGTGGCCTCGGCTGCCGGGGTGAGCAGGCGGCCCAGCGGCCCCCGTCCTATGACCCCTACCGGAAGGAGCGCGGGAAAGAGTGGGCTGAGCACTGCCAGCCCCGTGAGTGCCCTCAGCGAGGACGGGGATGGTGACGGCCAAGGTGGAAGGAGGAAGAGAGGTACGTTTCTGACTTGCTCGAAGAAAACGACGGGTTTTGCTAACTGAGGTTCGATTTTAGATACCTTTGGCACCATGGCATCACAGGATACGGATACTTTCTGAGAGACGGGGATTTTTACACTGGTGAAAGAGACCAACAGGGCTGTGAGCCGCAGGCTGCTGGTTGGCCTGGCTGCTGCTGCTGCCACGTTCATTTTAAACCGAGTTTGGAAGGAGCGGGTGTGCCATGATGAGGAGAGGGGAGACGGGGGCTTTTGCCTTGATAGCTAGAATCACAACCACGCGGGATGGGTGGCCGACCGAATCTTTGACTGGCCGTTAATCAAAAGGGGGCGGAAAGAGGGCGGTGAAACATATGCAAAACCCAAAGCTGGAGAGAGCAATCTATCGTCGTGGACCAGGCCTTGTGAGGAGTGTTTGGTTGGTTGGGTGTTTCTGTTGACGACCGATATGACGCAGGGTTGTTTTTGTTGCGTTGTTATGTTTTTGGATGCCCCCTTGGTTTCTTTTTGGCTTGGACTTGGCAAAGCTTGTTGGGTCTGGGCTGCAGAGGTTACGGTATGTCAATTGTGAGGGGGTTGAGGGATCTATAACCGGGCATGATGAGGCTGGAAATAGAGAGAGCGGGGTGAAATCTCCATGATTGATGCTGTTCTTGGGTTTGCGTTGTAGTTACGGATACATGGTTGTTTGATGCGATGGAAACGTAGACCATCACCTACCACGGTAATATAGAATGTGAAAGACTTCTGTCCAAAGTCAAAGGAGTACTGATAGACAGTGTCTTCAGAAATTGATCGGTGACACTTTCGGCTTCGGTGTCGGCCTGTTGAGCGGTATTCGAGGCACCATGCCTCGTACCGATGGGAGCCGCGGCCGGGGACTCGGGCTGGGCATGAAGCGAGAGTTTGCAGCGGGTGGGGCCGGCGCTGCATCCCCCAATACCCCCACTCCGTGATCGGTGACCGGGTCCAACAAAATTCCATATTAGTGCCACTACTGCACGGAACCACAGGACTCGATGAGAGGCTCCTTCCATGTTCTAATCGTTGATTTGTTTTCATGTCAGTTGGTCACTTTGCTTGACAATTCAAATTTGATTCATTTTATTTTAAATTTCCAGACGAGAATTCAAGAATATACTATACTGATCGGGTGCACAACACACGACGACGAGGTCCAAATCTGCAACCATGGCGCCAACAACATCAACAACCCCGTCGTCGTCACACGAGATCGAGTCGTTCGTGATCAAGACGCCGTGCTCGAGCGCCAACATTGGGCCCGGGTTCGACGTCATCGGCCTGGCGCTGTCCATGTACCTGGAGCTGCACGTCACCATCGACCGGAGCAAGGCTCATCATCAGTGTCAGTACCCGCTCAACTGCCGCATCACGTACGAGGGCGAAGGGGAGGGCACCGACGAGATCAGCCTCGACCCGGAGGTCAACCTGCTCACGCGCGTGGCCCTGTACGTGCTGCGCTGCCACGACCAGCGCAGTTTCCCCGCCGAAACGCACGTGCACATCAAGAACCCGATACCGCTCGGCCGCGGGTTGGGATCGAGCGGCGCCGCTGTTGTGGCGGGCGTCATGCTTGGTAAGGAGTGCGGTGGGTTGCATCATCTTACGGGGGAGAGGTTGTTTGATTTTTGTTTGATGATTGGTGAGTTTCTAAGTACCTTACCTTGTTGTGTTGGTTGAGTGGTTCAGGTTGGTTTTTAACGTTGATAAAAGAGCGTCACCCGGATAATGTCGGCGCGGCCCTCTTCGGCGGGTTCGTCGGCACCTACCTCAAGCCGCTCAAGCCCGAGGACGTGGCCCGCAAGGAAATCCCCCTGAGCGAGGTCCTCCCCGCGCCGGCAGGCGGTGTCGACACGGGCATCAAGCCGCCCGAGCCGCCCGTCGGCATCGGCCACCACATCAAGTTCCCCTGGGCGCCCGAGATCAAGGCCGTCGCAATCATCCCCGAGTTCGAGGTCCCTACGGCCAAAGCGCGCGAGGTCCTGCCGGCGCAGTATCCCCGTCCAGACGTGGTGAGTCTTTTCTTTACCCCCTTATAAGCACTCTTGTCTCTCTCTCATTTGCTGGGCTAAACAAGTCGTGAACTGTTGTTGGGTGAGGGGGCAGACCTTCAACCTGCAGAGAATAGCGCTGCTGCCCGTGGCGCTGGGCCAGTCCCCGCCCGACCCGGAGCTCATCTACCTGGCCATGCAGGACAAGCTGCACCAGCCGTACCGGCAGACGCTGATCCCGGGGCTGACCGAGATTGTCGAGTCCATGACCCCCACCACGCAACGCGGACTGCTGGGCGTGTGCCTGTCGGGCGCGGGGCCGACCATCCTCGCGCTCGCGACCAGCAATTTCGGCGAGATTGCCGACCGCATCATTGCAAAGTTTGCCGAGAACAGGATTGCGTGCAGCTGGAAGCTGCTGGAGCCGGCTGAGGGCACGACGGTGGTCAGGGTGTAGCGGATGGGTTACGAACACGAATAGAATAGTGATACCCGCTTTGCGTCGACGACCAACGTCGCCCATGTTGGAACCGGTTGTGAACTGTTGTTCAGTGTTCTCTTCATCTCTTGACAGTGGATGTACGAAGTACGAAGTGCGAGATCTGTGACACCTGTGAGATACAGGATCTGTCATGGTGTAACTCCAGCGGCATAGCCGGCTCCGGGCCTGTGGGAAGCCTCAAGATGGCGTCATGGCTATGTCTGCTGATTCCAGGGTTTCAACCCGGGAGCCTGGTTATGAGAGCGTCTCGATGGCAGCGGCCGAGCTGACGATTTGGTGTTTTGGACGTTTACGGAAACCCCAGAACAGGGGCCTGTCACTGATTGACATCCCCCTGTGACCAGGTCCACCAGCCAATGACAACCGTCCCACACTCGGAGAGAGCCGAGACAGCGGGCCGTCCACCAACGGACCCGAATCACACCATGTTCGTTCGTTACGGTAACCAAGCTCGTCCAAAATCGTGCCATCCTCCCACCACCGCGGGTGGTGCCTCTCGCTGCGCCTCAAGGCCATTGGTTGCCCGCCTGTTGGGATCTGATGCTTTAAAGTTGTTATGGCACCATTTTCTCCATTTTCTCTTCCATTTTCTGTTTCCCTCCCTAACTGACTTGGGAGCGTCACGAATAGTACCCGGCGGATAGAGAACCTGGTTTCCGGGTCTGATCGAATATGACACTATTTCGGATCTTGCATAGGAAAGGATGGCAGGAGACCTCGGTGCCGCCGTCCTGTTCCGGTGGTCTGGCGTGTTATAAGACTCGGGCAGCCCCGTTTGTTTATAGCTGCATGTATACTATAGATATTACTACCACAGCGTCGACGACGAGAACAAGAACACCAGTTCACTACTGGGCACTCCTCTCAGATCACTACTACCTATATCAATATTCTTCTTGCTAGACTTTATCCGCCCAGGGGTCCCCCTTCTCTGACAGCTACCACTTACCCCTGAGTTCCAACTACTACCACCACCCACTCAACACTTCAAGTTATCATCTCTACTCCTTCGAGCAACAAATACTCAACTCCAGTCTTGTCTACCTAAACTCAGCCCGAACTCTCCCATCCAACCAAGGACTCCGAATTTGGAGACAAACATGTCCCCTATTCCACGCACCGTCCTCCGCAGCGCGGGCCGGGCCCTCCCCAGATTCCAACAGACGACACTCGGGCAACCACAACAACAAAAACAAGCCTTCAGCATAATGTACTCGCTACGGACTTTTGCCCGCTCCTTTGAGCCGCACCCCTTCCAGCGGCTTCCCATCGCAAGCAAACCCGCGCCGGCCGACTGGGGGCGCATTGTCAGGCGTGTTGCTGGGCAGGCTGTTATGTACGTTGGCCTCCTTTTCTCTCTCTTCTTTTTCTTTTCTCCCATCCTACCCTCATGCTATATCCTGGTTTCTCTTCCTGTCTCGTCCCTTCCCTATGAGCAAACGAAGACAGACGGAAACACTGTTGTGTATGTCGATCAGTAGATGATGCTAACGAGGTTGGTTGGTTGGTTGGGTATAGATACTTTCCCGGTCTCTTCGTACTGCTTGGCTGGCCCTGGGCCGGGAAGTTGCTGCTGGACGGGAGGGTCTAATAGTCCTTGATATTACTACAACGGTACACAACGGGTATGGAGTGGAGGTGTCGTGGTTCTAAAGTTTCACGAGATAACTGATCGTGTATTGGTACCTACTACTTCGTACAAGTACATACTAGATTTCTCAACATTGTCCCTACTGTACAGGACTATATGTTGGGATTAGCGAGTGATCTCTCAGGGGGCATGTTATTGCTGTAGTGGCATACCTCATCGTCTGCGCCGCCGTCCAGCTCTGGGACCTGATCCTGGCCCGTTACCGATTGACTTGCCGTCTTGTAGCTAGGTTCTCGCAATGTCTTCCTTGCCGGCCCTTCCCGTTGAGGTCAGGGCCTTGATTTATGAAAGGTTTCCTCGCAAGAAGCATTGCAAGAAGTCCTTCGACATGCTTTTCCGAGTAATCTAGGGTTCCTAATTTGTAGGTACTTGAATGTTAGCTTATGCGGGAGGATCTGCATCTTCTCGCTGGACAGTATTGCTACGTATGGGACCCTTCAATGTCCCCCCAGCAGTCATAAGCTGTCAATAACAGTGAAGGCTCTATATCAGGATTAGGAAGCTTCACATGTGCTCCTCTCCTGCTGACATCCCCCGGCTCAGTGGTCGAGATCAGAGACAGCAGTTGATAGACCATGGGAAAGCCTTGGTCGCGCTGCGCCCCGAGACTTCGTCTACATTTACTGGGATGGTGAACCGTTGCATGAAGGATTCCCCCTCTCAATCTACACCGTATCACGAGACTGAGGTCGTTGTTCTTTCACACGCCTTAGCTCAGGGCCTACTCGCACCGTTAAATTATGGAAGATACAAGCGCGGCCCTCAAAGCTGCCGAGGACCTCGTCGAAGCCCTCAGGGCTTGTCCCCGACCTTCCAGTGCACAGCACCTAGCTCTGCTGGACCGCGTTGACAAGGTTCGTGGGCTTCTTGAGACGCCGTACGATGTGGCTGTGAGGCAGGAGGAAGTCATGTGCACGGCTGGCGTCATGTACACATTGATCAGAACCGGGGCCATCAAGAAGGTCCCGGACGAGGGCACAATCACGGCGGGGAGCTCGCCGCCGCTATCAACGCGGACGTGTCCGCAATTCAGCGCATGATGCGCATGGCCGTGGTCTCCGGCGTTCTTCACCGAAACGGCCTCGAACGCCTATGCCCACAACGCGCTCTCGAGGGCATACCAGGTAGAGGCGGTAGGCAGCTTCTTCCTTGTATGCTACGAGTCCAACAAGATGTTCAGTGCGCTGCCGGACTACTTCAAGACGCACAAGCCCGAGGACTCGCACGATCTGAGAAAGTCGTCCTTTGTCTTAAGCATCGGCAAGGAAGGCAAGACATACTATGAAGCGCTTGACGAGGACGTTGAGATGCGACCAATCTGGAACGCATGCCTCCAGGCGGCCGACAAGAACATGCCCATCAGCGGCATGTTCCCGTGGGCTTCGCTCAAGGAACAAGTTGAGTGACAGCCGTACCGGGCATTCTTTGTTGATATCGCTGGCGGTCGCGGACAGGCCATCCTGAAGCTCCAGGAGGAGATCCCGGGTACATTCGGCGGCAAGCTGATCTTGCAGGACCTGTCTGTTGTCATTGACTCCCTGAAGCCAAAGGAAATACCCGGCATCGAAGCCATTGCTTATGACATCTTCACCCCGCAACCGGTTAGAACGAGTTTCGCCCAAGACCGTAAAAAATGACAACCGGCTGGACTAACAATTGGAAGCAGACGCGCACGTCTACTTCATGCGGCGAATCCTGCACGATTTCTACCCGCCCGTCTGCATCGAAATCCTGAGAAACACAGTCTCGGCGATGGGCCCGGACTCAAAATTGATTGTGTGCGACATGCTGGTGCCGGACAGGGTCCAAGTAGGCGGGCTGAAGGAGTTGTACTGGCTGGATATGAATCTGATGTCCATGAGCGGGAAGGAGGAGACGTTAGAGGAGTTTCAGCAGATGTTTGACGCAGTGGGCCTTGAATTGGTCCAGATACGGCCATCGGCAATCGGAGCCACGGTTCAGCTCGAGACGCGCTTGAAGCGATCGTGAGCCTGGGATAAGGAATGATCGTGTCCGTAAGGCATAAAATACACATTAGATTGTTTCTTATGAGAGGATGTCAGTTGTGTTTTATCGCCCTCGACCTGGATCGATCTGAATTCCCAAGACTTAAGCAAATGTGGTGATCAAAGCGTACTGTGCAGGAGATATTAGGAAGTAGCATACATAGATTCATGGCTTCAGACAACAATTTGGGAAAGAATGCATCGCAGTGTCGAACTTCTCCTTATTAACGTCAGGGGGTGCCAACTTCTAAAGTGGCCTGTGCGGCAGCTACCCGCAGCACTGCGGGCCCTGCGGCCAATGGAAGCTTGGGCTGGACCAACCACCAATGATGCGCGGCCTGCAGGAACGCCCTTCGTCTGAAGATCGCGTCGTGGGTTTGCAGCTCCTGTCCATACCCTTCAACCAGCAGAGACGAACTAGCACGAACCCAGGAACACAAGTTGAATCGCGGCGTGCGGCCACACAGACGCTTCGGGTTGCATCTGCCTTTCGCTATTCATTCTCGGGCTAACAAGACGAGAGCTCCAGTCAGCGCTGCGTTCGACCATCAATCAACACCAGGACGGCTCCTATACCGCACAGCAGTCGGTGAGCGAGGCGAGACGAGCCGCTCGGTGCCAGTGCTGAGACATTGGCCGGTGAGAGCAATCCAATAGCGAGTGATAGACACCAATCGTCGAGCACTGCATGTCAAGACAACAATCTCCCTTGTGCCCCCAGCAAACATGACGGACGCGCTGCACAACGCGCCGATTGTGCTCGACAACGGATCTGGCACCATCCGGGCTGGCTTCGCCGGAGAAGATGTCCCCAAGTGCCACTTCCCCTCCTGGGTGGGGAGGCCAAAGCACCTGCGCGTGCTGGCCGGCGCCCTAGAAGGAGACGTCTTCATCGGCCAAAAGGCGGCTACCGAGCTAAGGGGTCTGCTCAAGATCCGCTATCCGCTAGAGCACGGCATCGTTACGGACTGGGACGACATGGAAAAGATCTGGGCCTATGTATACGACGAGGGACTCAAAACTCTGAGTGAAGATGTGAGCGGCCCCTTGATAGCCCGCTGTACAGACACAAAGCTGACCGCCGCCGCAGCATCCAATACTCCTCACCGAGCCGCCCCTCAATCCCCGCTCCAACCGCGACACAGCCGCCCAGATCCTCTTCGAGACCTTCAACGTACCCGCACTCTACACATCTATCCAGGCAGTTCTGTCCCTGTACGCCAGCGGGCGGACAACAGGCGTCGTGCTGGACGCGGGCGACGGCGTGTCGCACGCCGTGCCCGTGTACCAAGGCTTTACGGTACCCAACAGCATCAGGCGGATTGACGTGGCCGGCCGGGACGTGACGGAGCACCTGCAGACGCTGCTGCGCAAGAGCGGCTACGTCTTCCACACGAGCGCCGAGAAGGAGGTGGTGCGGTTGATAAAGGAGGCTGTCACCTACGTCGCCAAGGACCCGCGGAAGGAGGAGAGGGAGTGGGCGGCGGCCAAGGTGGACCAGTCCCGGATTGCCGAGTACGTGCTGCCGGACGGAAATAAGCTCAAGGTATGCATATCCTTGCTTTTGCGAGGATCCCTGGGTTACTGACGATTCTCCTTTTGTTTCCAGATCGGCGCAGAACGATTCCGTGCACCAGAAATCCTCTTCGACCCCGAGCTCATCGGCCTCGAGTACCCCGGCGTGCACCAAATAGTAGTCGATGCGATCAACAGGACCGACCTCGACCTGCGGAAAGACCTATACTCCAACATTGTGCTTTCGGGAGGCAGCACCCTTACCAAGGGGTTTGGCGACCGGCTGCTGGCCGAGATCCAACGGGTGGCCGTCAAGGATATGAGGATAAAGATTTTTGCGCCGCCTGAGCGCAAGTACTCTACCTGGATCGGCGGCAGTATTCTCGCTGGTCTCAGCACGTTTAGAAAGGTCTGTGCAAATTGTAACTTGACCTCTTGACGATTTACTGACCAGCTTCAACAGATGTGGGTCAGCATCGACGACTGGCATGAGAACCCCGACATTATCCACACCAAGTTTACATAAAGAGCTGCCTCTTGTCAGCAGCCTAGCCCATGACTAGTGTTGGCTTACTCGTGACATAAGAATCAGAAGCAGGCAAGGGAACTGTGAAGATACATATTGGCCACACGGTCGAAGGAATAATTGGTCTTGGACCTGAGGGGGTTGGATTGAGGGCATCAAGGATCACCCGAATGGGTGAAGTGTAGCAAGAGAAGCTGCTTGCCGCGCGAGCTGTTAGAGAAAACGAAATGATACCCAGATTTGATTCGCACCGCTCGAACACGGCAAGTCCTTGCATCGAACGGAGTAACGCCAATGGCACGTCACCCATTGTTCGACAGGAAGCATTAACGGCTTGAAGCGTGACAAAAATACGACGGTGGCCAGGGACACCAATCAGCAGAGAACTTTGCAACTTTTGCCGGAAACCATGGAATCTTGAAAGCCCGGCATGGCGATGTGACCAGCACGTGGAAAGCATCAGATGACGCCATTAGACAAGACCTGGCGCCCAACCAGGGGTAAGAAGTGGAATCGGGGAGGGGCAAGGTCGTCTGTTCTGTTAAGAGGGGTAGTCGAGAGAGCAAATTTTGTATGCAAAATTTGCTCCGCACTAACACAAGGTACTTGTACATTCATGTTACTGGTCTCTCAGGTTGCTGATGGCGCAGCTGTCTCTAAGAACGTGAACTGCCTCCGTAAGCCGCTCTGCTCTTCATTGTCTTCAAAGGTTGACGAGCGACTACGGACAGGCGCTCTGCCCTGAGCTCGACTCGGCGCAGCTCATTGAGATCAAACGGAGGTATGTACCTCGTACACAGCCAGATCGGGAGCTGAAATCCAGGGCTGGTGTTGCGTAGCAGACGCTCGCCTCCGTCTCGGCCGTCGTCAGCCGCCTTGGGCCGATGCCGTCGGGTACTGTAGCGACCGCCTGCAGCAGAAGCAGGCAGAACAACAACAGAGGCAAAGCATACAACACAACGGGGTTTCCGGTCCAGGAGGCCCGAACAGCGGGCTCCAGCGCGGCTTTGCGATTTCGCCTAACCTTATCCCTACATAACTGTATGTACAACAGATACGTAGTATGTACCTATGCTATGATAGTGGCCGGCGGGAAGCGCCGAGTACAGCTGACGGCGACCCCGTGGACAAGCCGCCGAGATGTCCTCCGACTTTTCCAACCAGTGAGCTGGCAAGCTGCCGACTTTGCCTCCGAGCACTTTCGACCTTCGCTCTCCGTTAGGTGCGATGGTGGATGTGATTTGCGATTTTGGCGTGTTCGGGGCCATGGTGAACGATACCGGTACAGCGCTACAAGGCGTCGGGTAGCCTTGTTAGGACAGCCCCATGATCCTTGAAAATCCGGGGTTGGCGCCATGGAAGCTTGCCGAGCCGGCCGGAATCCACATTTCGCCTTCGCCTGCGTCAGATTTTGGAGGAGTCAACAACAAGAGCGTTGCTCGCAGCTCACGGGGCCTGCAGAAAAAAATTTTTTTTCTCCTGAACAGGTCAATTGCCAACGCAAGCCGAGTAAAGCCAAGAAAGGAGCAGGCTCAGAAGATTCTACGATGCACAGCCAGCAGCCGCTTTCGACATCAGGCGTCACAATGGCGATCCCGGCGTCTCGTCGAATCGCGGTCAGGGGCAGAGCGCACCAGGACGTAGTCGAAATGTGACGTTAGACAATCGGCATCTGTACGTATCGATTGTAGGGCCAGCATTGCGGAAACAATTGCTCTTCTGGCGGCATGAACTTCGATCGCAAACACCGGGAAGGAATGCACAGAGTTGGCGGCACAAATTGTGAAAGAGCAGTCGTGTCACCAGCGCTTTCAATTACATGACGGAATGCATCGTACCGTGCCGCTGGAAAGTAGCAAAAGGCTGCAAACCACAGCAAAAGGGTACCTGGGCGGGGAAGAAACTATGGGATAATGATCGCGTAACAAATAAGACGGTGATGCGCCCCGTGACTGCTTCCCGAGTTTTCATCAGGTAAAGGAAAGCACCGCTTCACCTCTCGGCGCCAATTCAGCCCCATAACCGCTGGAGCACAGCACCTGATGCCATTGTCCTAGGCCTGTTTAGTGGAGCTGTTGGCCCCTGGCTAGCACCCGTTCCATCCACACAGAGTTGGAGGTTGGCCTCCGCTCTGGTCTCCTCCGGCCAGGCTCGCTTGCATCCAGAATCAAATTTTTACATCCATCCACACCTTGCACCGGGCCTTCAAGGTACGTATATACATACATAGCCGCTCTTGGAAGAGGCTATAGCGGAAAGTCAGCATGGTCATGCGGATTTCCTGCCGAGAGCTCGTGCCATTGTGCAAGAGCTTTGTTTGGTTGAGCGAAGTGCCCCTTACGTTGACGGACCTTCCGTGACGGCTCCGGAGTCCTGGGTATAAGACCCTTTGTCCTCTCGACCCCGTTCCACACCAAGGATGTGTACACTTGTATGACCACACTTCAGTAATACCTCAGCAACAACAGTGAGGAAACACAGACTAGAAATTTTCGTCCTACATCTCGGTGAAATAAGCCCTCGAGCCCTTCCACACTTTCTTCCCCTTAGTCGGCGGCTCATACCACAAACCATACCTGCCTAAACAACCACCACAAACCAACCGACCAAACCAAACCAACAAGAAAAGAAAAATGGCCGCGTACACAATCACCGAGCCGCACCCGACGGTGCCCAAGAACAGCTACACGCACTCCGGCCGGGGCGGGGCAGGCAACTTCTTCCGGGCACCAGCAACGACCTCTCCGTCGGGTGTACCGACACGCACCGTTTCCAACACCACCACCACCCCCGCCGCCGCCTCCAGCAGCAGCAGCAGCCGATTCTACTCCGGGCGGGGCGGCGCGGGCAACGCCCACCTTGCGGGCGAGCGGCCCGTGCTGTCGTTTGACGAGGAGTTCACGCGGGCCGAGGTGCGCGAGAAGACGGCCCGGCTTAGCCATGTTGGCCGGGGCGGGGCTGGCAATATCTTTAGTATCGGCAGTGGTACCAGCAGCAAGGCGACTGCGGAGAAGGAGCGCCGCGACTCGTCGTCGACTACGGATAGCACGCGGTCGTCGGCTGGTGGATTTTGGGGACGGATTAGCGGTCATTGAGCACTGCACTGGTCGCTAAGCTGGCGGGTGGCTATTTTCTGCCTGTTTCCTTCTCTGCCGGCTCTCTCTCTTGTGGATGGATGGATGGATGGATGGGTGTTACTGCTATGGCGAGCGCGGCGTTCCGGGAAACCTTTTTTACAGGGTCTATGGTTTTTTTCTTTGTGGTGGGCTCGCAGCAACTCTTCTCTCTCCTCTTTTCGGTTTTTACGAAGACGCTCAGGGTTCGGGCATATGGGTGATGACATGACATTATGGGAGGATCTCAAAAAAGTTTGTGTGTGCTTTTCTTTCTCGGCATGCGAAAGAGGACAGAGGTGGACGCATACCTAATGGGACTGCGGGATGATTTGGGGCCTCAGAGCAAACCAAAACAAGAAGTCGCGGATCCAGGGGACGATGATGATTTGGACATCATCCTTCGAGGGAAAAACAAGAAAAAAAAGAGAGGTTCCGCGGCGGTGGCAGGCGTTTGTTTCTGGTGAATTACGGTTTTTGATACCCCCCCAGAGCGAGGACGGACATGGCTGGTAATGGGCCGGCGGCTCGTTGTGTTGCTTTCAACATTGATCAGTGGAATTCAACTCGAAGTTTCGACTTTCGCCATTTGACTTTGGAATGACAAAATCTGACATGGTGCTCTGCTGCTGTGCTTGTTTATTGTTAGGCCGTCTGGCGTCATCCCCTGGATTCTTTGTGCATGTCAACAGCCAAGCCGCCAAGCTTGATTCAAGAAGTGCCTTTGAGGTGCACGTGGCTTGTGCCAGTCCAAGGCGGCTTTGCTCCAAGCCTCCAACGGATCTGTCTCCGACACGAGCAGCTGCTACACATTTCGATTGGATTCGAGGTGTGTACCGTACAGCAAGTGCATCGCCCACCATAGGCAGACTAACGGATCATGGATGGCCTAGAAGGGGGAAGATGGAGTCTTTTGCCCGCATAGACATTCAATAAGCTGGAGGAGGCGGAAGTTGATACCGTTTGTATTGTATGTACATACAATCTCGACCCTTGCTTTAGATACACCATACGAAGTTCATGCTGCGTCGTTCCCGCTCAACTGACTGGTCTCTGGCCAGCTCCTAGTCCAAGCACCTCACAATCCATATGCTGGCGAGGAACACGAAGCAGAGCGATGAATAGTCAGCGCAAAAAACCAAGGCTGCTAGGTATTGTTTACACTGATGGCCAGCTAGCTACCTGGTAGCTTGCACGCCCGCTCAACAAACCAAGGGGGTATTATTCTCTACACATATACAACCACACAAAGAAGCACACATGTGCTCTCTCTGTCTCTCTCGTCCCTCCCTCTCTCTTTGTGTAAGAAAAGGCATAAATCATCATCAAACCAACATGTACAGTACAAGCCCCATGTAAAAGTATCCTCGCCAATAGTTGCTCAAGGATGAAGAAGGCAAAGGTGCAAAGGGAGGACAAGATAGGTGACGGTAACCAGTCAAAACGCAATAAGAGGAGCAGTGCAACGAATAATAGCCGCCCCCGTTCCCCGCACAATCAGGATCAGGTGTTAAAACTCAAACCCCTCTAAACATCCTGACGACCAAGAACCACATGGCACCTAGGAATTTGAAGGCCGAGAGCGCCGCCACCGACCAGAGCACGACGCTGAGATAGATGCCGGCGCGGGCGTCCTTGACCTCCTCCTCGGTCTGGCCGTTGTTGGGTACGATGCGGTCGAGGCCGGCCGTGGAAAGGACGACGGCGCAGAGGGCAAAGTTCGAGATCATCCAGATGAGCACGACGACGGTGCGGACGCCCCTGTAGTAGTCCATCTGCTTCTCCTCAATCTGGGCTGGCGTGGGCGGCTTCTTCTCCTGGACGGGCTTTTGCGCAAAGACGCGCATCTCGCGCTCGTACTGGGCGTTGAGGTCGCCCTCGTCGGGCAGGTCCGTCTTGCCCTGCCCGTCCTTGGTGTTGACCGACGGCAGCTTGTCAGGCTTGTCGTCGCCCTTGGTGCCCCACGAGATATCGTGCGTGTTGCAAAAGGCGTACACGTTGAGCACGTTGGTGTATGTCGGACTGAGCAGCATGTACTGCACCAGCGACGTGAACATGTGCCAGGGGTCGAACATGAGCAGCGACGCAACCAGCCATATACCGTACGTCGACATGACCGACACGATGAGCGTGTAAAAGACCTGGTTCTTGAATAGCGAGTCGATCGAGAAGCCGTTTTTTTCCAGATCGGTTTGGATGGCCACGACCGCGATGTAGATTGCCGCAAACATTAGGTAACTAAAGCGGGAAGCGTTTGTTAGAATTCTCGTGGTCCGAGGAGGAAAAGGGTAGAAAAGGGAACATACATAAAGAGAATCGCCCAGAATATAATCATGGCCATGTAATATGGCCCTGATCCTGCCGGACGGTTGCCCATGGATAGGACGAAGCACGTCACCAACGAGACACCGTACAGCCAGGTAAATGCGACGCCCATAATCCTGCCCGGCTCACCCAGCAAATTATCGTCACCCAAGCTTGTCGTCAAAATTTTGAAGACGAGGAAGAAGTTGCCAATGGCAAACCACGCAAAGATCATGTTGACCGTGTTGAAGACGAACTCGATGAAGAAGGCCATTTTGCGGAGAAGGGAGTGGTCGGAGCGGAAGAACTGGTGGAAGTGCACGATGGCGTAAATGGCAGCGAAGAAGGACCCGTTCAGCCAGCGGCGACGCTGCAGAATGAGCTCGGTTGCCGTGTCCGGCACGTCAGTCTCGCCTGTCGCTGACTTGACGTACTGCAGGATCCAGTGGCAGTTGCGCTTGGTGACGAGCTCGAAGCAGAGGATACGATCTTCGGCGAGGTACATGTTGGCCGTAAAGATGCCGGCGTCGGCGCCATGCAGCTTCTCGCCGGCGAAGTACTTTTCCAACGGACCCTGGCCGTTTTTGTCGTTCTGGAGCGCAACATACCGATAGGCGGAGAAGGCGCCGGGCAGCACTGAAATGAAGCCAAAGGCCGACTCCAGCGGCTTGTCTAGGATGTTGCTCATCTTGTATTCGAAGTTTTGGGTCGCAACCAGCGGGTTGATGAGGTTTTTCCCGCCCGTCTATTAGTACCGTTAGTATCCATTGGAAAAGAGGAATGAGGGTTGAAATCCACGAACTCCAAGCATTGCCTTGATCTCTCCACAGGCACCAGCGCACATGGGCTCCAAGTCAAAGGCCTTCCACAGGTGGTAGATCGAGTTGCCGCCGGGCTTGGTACCGGCATCGATTAGCACACAAATGTTTGGGTCCAGGACCCGGCCAAAGGCCTGGAAGAACCAGCGGTGAGAGTTGATCTTCTTCTGGTTCTTCTCCTTTAGGCAGAATAGCATCTGGACAGGTTGCTGCTTGGGGATGAGCTGGACCACATCGTTCTTGATGGCCATGCCGACCTGGGTTGTATATTCGTAGATGTGTGCTGTGACATCCTTGCCGTTGACTTGCTGCTTGGCGATGCCCTCTTGGTAAACGCCCATACCGGCTAAGAGCGCCCTTGTCCGCGGGTTGATCTTGGCACGACCGTCGCTAACGACGCACACAACAATCTTCTTCCAAGCATCCTTGCCCCAGGTTTTGCTCTCGGCCCGCTTACACATGTACTCCACGTTCTTGAATACACCGATCATGGTGCGCGCAAAGAGAATCTCGTCTTCGTTGTACATAGTCACCACGATGAAGAGCTCGGTGTGCCGGGGCTTGCTGAAGAGCTTTTGCCGGAGAGTGAAGTTTTGTTCGTAGAATTCAGAAGGATCGCATGTAGCGGCCGTGTAGCGCATGTGGGTGAACTCATCACGTTCGCCGTGGGGCAACTGGTTCAGGAGTTTGGGCGGGATAGGGCAGTCCAGCACCAAGTTTCCACGGTATAATAGCACCTGTTTTACCGTCTTCCACCTCTTGATTGGGGCGTTGTTGGTCGGGGGCTGCGGGTCATCGTGGTAAGGGTCGCTTGCTCCCACTTGCGAATCGGTGTGCGTCAACATTGGCCGCCTGTCGTCTTCATAGTAACCTCCCTGGCCATGATCATACCCCTGGCCGTGGATCGGATTAGGCTCATAGGGCTGGTTGTAATATGCATCGTGATGCGCTTCGGGATTCACAGAGTAACTTCCCAGGTTGTCCACGGATTGCTTTAAGTTCCAAGTCAGCTCCAGTCGCAAAAGAAACTCCTTCCTTCACAAGGGGTGTGCTCACGGCTGTGTGGATGTCTAAGGCGTCGCCAGGGCTGTATCTACCAGGGCCGGCTGGTATATCCAGCTGCGAGTGGCCGTAAGGGTTGTCCTCGAGATGGTACCCATGCTGCAGCGGGTGGCCTGGCGACGGGGTCCTGTGCATCCGAGTGTCCATCGGGTGGCTCTCGTAATAGTCGTCGTCTGAACGGAAGAAAGTAGGTTAGCCTTATCTCCACTCGATACAAGTTTCGCGTTACTTGCAGGCCGAAATGCCAAGGACCTGCAATAAGCAGGCGTGGAGTTGGGGCTCCCAGAGAAGCGACCGCCTTGCGCCGAGTAGAGCCCAGTGTCCTCGCGCCGGGCAAGGACCAAAGATGCGGCACAACAACAGCTCAAGGAAACAACAGCTCCTGTCGCCAAAGGCAGGCCAAGGAGAAAGGGCGAACCGGCCGCTTGGGGTAGGTATGAAAGAATTATGACGGGGAAGGCGCGGGTTGCTAGACCACGAGGTTGAAAAGGGAAGGAAGCCAGAGCCCAGCCCGAGGCGACCTGGCGAAAGGGGAAACGTGTAGGACGAGATCGTGGGCAGGGTGCATGAACCGAAACTTGAACTTGCCTAATCGATTATACGACATGTTGAACTACCTTAGCCCGCCGTCACTGCGGGCTTTCAACACAAGAACGGGCCGGGTATCTACGCGGGACCTAAGTGCGCCAAACGCCCAAATGCAAATGCAAATGCTAATGCAGACGCAAAGGTGACCTCGAGGGCCCGTCAAGTGTCAGAATGCTTTGTCCCCCGCACTGGAATGTGCGTGTGCCTGCCGTTCGTCGCCGCTGCCGCGTGGTCGTCGATTGTCGAGCCCCGAGCAAATGGCCGATCGCGGTCGTGGGTTGTATTTCCTCTTGAGACGACCCCTTATTGCATGCAGCCGCCAGTTCGTTATCGAGACGCCAAAATATGCGCCGCCGAGTCCTAGAACTTTTCCCGTCGGTTCGGTACGCCGCAGGACTGGAGAAAGATGATCGGTGACCCTCTGCTGCTAAGCGCGGTGCTTGGGCGCTGTTCGCGGCGAGCGGGATTCAACGGCAGGACAAAGTCGCAGTTTCACCCTGACGAAGTTTCGTGCCAGGCGATGGGGGAGGTCAAATGGACGGTCGGCAGGGATGCCGAATCCAAGCAGTAATCAATGAAGGGGCTTAGCGTGCCAGGAAAATGCCGGGCATTGTGCAGTGTTTCAGTGCCCAACTAGGTAAAGTGTGACGTTGGGAGCCGCTTGAGGGCTGTTGATTGGGCCTGGAGTCCTGCTGCCCAGGGGGTGAGTAACGAGGGGACCACAACCTGTTCAGTGCTGTGGGGTTCCTGATTTTTGACACACAGCCTTGGCCAGGTACCCAGGAGGATGACGGGATTCCTGGGATACACCCCGCCAACATCAACCTAATTCCTATATTGAATCCAGGTTTCTTCTTCTCCTGACAGGATATCCGCAGACGAAATGCGGGTCAACAACCAAGGTCGAGTCACGAAGGTGCAAAGTGAGAGGCATCCAGCCCGCAAACAGCCTCTCTACAACGTACATACTCTACATAGTTAGGACGAAGCCGTGGCTGTGTGCCTCGGGAACCACAGCAGCCGGCTGCCGCTGGTGATCCTTGTCAAAGCTTCTTTCCCGCCCACATCAAATCACGTCGCTGGATGAATGAGTGTCTCCTCTCGCAACGCTGATGACCGCAAGACGGCCGCAGTGCTACTATGCTTATGTTGAGGAACCTGAGTCCTCAACCATTACCACACGTCACATTTGTAGGGATATAACCAGGGACTTGTCCTGCCAGCAAACAATCCATCCTAACCCAGGTAATGACTTTGGGCGACCCGTGATCACAGTTCTTTCAACTACGGAGTACAAGTAGATTGGTCCGTTGCCCAGTTACAACCCATGTCCGGGTTCGTGTTTGATGATGCGTATAACGGCAGTGCATAGATGTACTTGTACAGTACATACTTCATGTATGTACCGGTATCTGCAGCGCGGCCCTCGATGTATAAGCCACGCAGGCCTACGCAGCTTTCTGGCCACCACGCCGCTCAGTGACTCGCAAGGCACCTTCACCTTCATAAGTAGCAATGTCTTACGTTTGTCAATGTGGCTTTGGGAGTGCAGTTCCTGCTGTGTTCCGCACCCTCACTACGTAAGCTCCAGGGGAGCAAACTTGGACATGGCAGGTTGAAGACCGGCGTAACCAAAGGCTATTTGGCACTTGAAGCTACCGTGTATCTGTCCACGCATAATGAAAGATACAGTTGAAGAGGGTCTCGGCTTCGTTGCAGCCATATGCAGCCACAACGTGAACGAGGAACATCGCTAGTTTCACCGAACTTCAACCAGCAATGCCGCTTTTTCCGATCTGACTTCAGGGTCTTCACATGTTCTGTCACTGTCATATTGAACTAGGTCCGTCAGACACAGGCTTAAGCGCGCTTCGGCACTGTGTAAAGACCCAGGATCCAACCCCCCAATGACAGTTAACGGACGACAAAAAGAGGTGACAGACGGCTTGTCTAGCTGGCCCTAATCAAGACATTTCTCTGCCAAGCTTGTTAAGCTCCTCCCGAATGAACTGGCTCGCGTTCACCAGCTCGCTAGCCCCGTACACGACCCTCCTTTTGGCCCGGTCCCCTGCGGCCACGCGCGCCGCCCATTCTTGCAAGTTCCCGTATTCGTCCATTGAGCCGCCCCCCACCATGAATACCAAAGCCTCCGAGAAGCCCTGTCGCCGCTGCCCGAAGCTCGCCCCTGTTCCCGGGGCCTGTGCGCCAAGAGCCGAGCCCGGCAGCCCGCCCGGCGCCGAAGCCGCGCCCGCAGCCGCCCGCAGCTGCGACGGCTGCGGCATCGTCCCGCGCGCATTGGCGCTCCGCGGGTCAAAGTAGAGGTAGTTCTCCGTCTTGGCAATTGCCGACGAGCTTGCACTCGAAGGATCCATAATCGACTCTGTGATCTTGGTCACGGTCAGGTCCCTGTCCACTGGCAGAAAATTCTTGATCCCGCCTAGCAACGAGGCCACGTTGGACGACAGGGCGCTCGTCGGAACTCCGGTCTCCTTGAGCCGGTCCGTGAGACGGGTTGAGATAGCCGAGAAGCGATGGAAAAGGTCTGATGACCCGGATGGTTGCTGGCTGCTTGACCCTTGGTTGTTGACCGTGGTAAGCTGTGTCATTTTCGTGGTTGCCCGGACCCTATATTTGAGGATGTGATAAGCAAGTCATCTACAGAGTTGAATTGTAGAGCTACTCACTGTCGAATGTACGCCAGGCACGTCTTGTCGCACCCTGCCGACGTCAAGGCCTCCTCAAACTGAACCCATTCCTGCCGCGACACATCCTGCTCCGTGCTGAGGAACCAGATAATGAAGAGGCGCAACTTGTCTGTCGGTTGCCCCTTGTCTGCCGTCTTAATGAGCTCGAGCATCTGCGCCTTGGTTTGCTTCGCCACGTCCTCCTCCAGTTGGAAATAGTTGTCCAACTGCCGGTTTTGAATCTCTCCCAAGACGGCTGCAAGAATATTCATGTGCATGTCTAGTGTCGCCTTACGCTCCCGAAGCTCCGGAAGGAGTGTGATGGCAGCCTTAAGGTGTTGTGCGCTAGCACTCGTGTCGTTTTGGAGGTCGTCAAAATTGGTAACTCCGGTCTTCTTTGTGATGGCTTCCGCCTCCTCCTTGTATTTTGTAAGCTCGGCGTCTAGATACAGTCAGAATCAGTAGGCTCGCTGGCAGTCTCAGACTGAGCGGACGCAAGCTCTTACCGATGTCTTCAGCAACTTGGGGAAATGGCAAGCAAGCATTTTTGGCCCAAAAGAAGTCATTGGCGGCGAGGTCATAACTCTTCTTGGTTGTCCCCTTGGCTGGATTGTTGGAATCAACTGGGGTCTCGATAGTAATGCGGTTCAGTTCAGACTGCGAATTGGGTTAACAAGGCTGACATTTCTGCGATGGGATGGCCGGCAGCTACTTTGAATATGTCAAAACACAGGCTCTGATACGTCCAGGAATGGGACAACATGGGTATCAAGTCAACATTGCGGTCAAGTATAATTAAGACGGGTCTGGATGTCGGTGTTCCGGCGGCTGAGCCGGCAGGTCGTGCTTGCGAAGAAAAGAGGTTGTCTTTGGAGTTGAGAATGTGGTCGCGAAGCTTGCGGTCGAGTTTGGCGGCAATCATTTCGGCAGCGGCACCCCTTGGGCAGCGGATCTGTTTCAGGGTCTCGGTCAGTATCCGCAGGGAAAGGTCACAGGAGCGTGGACAGATGGCCGGACGGAAGTCTGCGGGGCCCTCTAAGCCGGACATACGATTGGTATCACTCCTAGGCGATGTTAGTATTCAGGAAACAAGAATCAGCAGCCGGCGGTTCCGTACCTGAAGTTACCACAACGCTGAACAGACCACTAACAATGCGGTCTATCACCCGATCTAGTTCCTCGTCTTTAGTCTTTGCGCTATTCAGCGCCCAGTAGGTGTGCTCCTTCTGCATGCCGAGACTGAACAGATCGGGCTCCGTGACGATGAAGTTCAGATACTGATCGTAGATTTGCGAGATCTGCTCCGATGTCCCGGCCGCAGCCGTCTGCGCAGCAAAATCTTCCAGCAGTGGTCTCGGTATGGAGGAGAGGAAATTTATATAGGCTGAACTGTACAACCCCTTTTGGAGGTCGTTTGTAATCGCGTGCAAGTTCGCGGGTGTTGGCTCGACCAGGTATATTGCTGGTACATCGGGGATAGCGGCCCTCTGAGACGATATATGCCTGCGGGTTTCAGCGACGGACTCGAGCACGCAGGAACAAGATGAGCAATTGCTCACATGTGCATCGTAACCCCCATTGACCGCAGGTCTGAGACCTGAAGTACCGGGCTAATAACATCGCGACCCAGATCCTAAACGACGGTGATTGTCAACGCTCTGCTGCTCCCATATCTGTTCAGGGTTCCGGGTTCAGGATAATAGCGTGATAGTTGCATACATCGAAAACTAGGATCTTCCAAATGGGCGTCCCATCCTTCAAGATAGGCGCGGAGGGCGAGATGAATCCATTGACATGGGAATCGTCGGTCTCGCTTGGTTCTATGGGTTCGTTCAAGTTGAGGATCTTCTTGATCGAGACTTATGCCTTTGTCAGTACAAAGGGGCCGAGGACAGGTGCCCGTAGACTCAGGGGTAGAAGGAGGGGCATACGGATCTGCTTGTCGCGCAGCGCATTTCCCCGGGCTGCCATGATTTGAAGCCTTGGCCGCTGTGGTTTTACGTGGTAGGATGGTGTTATCGAAGGGTGTCGAGCTTAGGTCGCTAAGAAGAGCTCGGCTGGTCCCGAAATGTGCAAGGCGCGAACTGCCTCGGGAAGGTGGCTTCCCTCAAGCTCGTTCAAGGCGAGTGCTGGCTGACCCAACGGCTGGGCTGGCTCCCTGAAAAGGATCTCAAACCAAGAATAAATCCAGGTGTATGATAACAGTCTCCAGGAAAAGGGGAGATAAGGTATACCTATTCAGTCGACTTCATCAAGCGTCACTCAACATGTCCGAAGCTTCCCCACGTGAATTCATGGACAACTGTCGTCCCCAGTATATGGAGTACCTGGGTACATGCACCCTGGCTGGTGGGGGCCTTGGGACTCAAACCAAGGAGTCAGCAGCGGCCTTGCCGTAAGGCAGGAGCTTCGCCACATGCACGGACCAGTGCATCAAGCCATCTTACAGCAGAGCCAGACGCTAGACAGGCAGTCTCCTTTAATGGCTGCCGCAGCTGATTTGCGAGACCCGTGCCAACTTTTCTCTTTCATCAACACAACGCGGTGACTCTTTGTGTCTATTCCTCCCAACCTTCGCGCACTCAGGACAACAGCTTGGATTGCCTCGCCGGGTCCTACACTCTGACGCGACAGTTCTCTAGTGCTCACTCATCATCCAAGCCCACTGGTATAGACAATTTAACCCAGAGCCATTTTCTCGATTGCTCGTCCTTGCACACCTACCATCGCCTGCCCTTTGGCCGGTCTGCAAATAGCACAACCTTGCTCTTGTCTAGATATACGGGGAAGATGGTGTAAGGAGCCGGTGGACGGCGATTTCAGTCTGCTTCCCACAGAGGGGGCAAATGCTGAGCCGAAGGAAGTGTGCACCTACAAACTGAAGCAACGACTGAAGGGTATGCATTGAATTCATCCCACCCCCCAGCTAAAGCTCCTAACAGCATGTGTGTTCTCATCCTCATTTAAAATGCATGTTCAATCGAACAGTCCAGACCTTGCAGCCTATCAGTTGCGAGCGAAAGGGCTGGGAGAGCGGCTGCGAAAATGGGTGAGGTGAGGAGGAGGAGAACAGCCATCCTCTGCAAAGTAACACATTTACCTTACCTAAGAATCCTGCTACGGGAATTCCTGTGGGCGGACAGCTAGGGGAGAGCACGGCAGCAGGAGACAGCCCATTGTGAGAGACGGCCAAAACGGCCAGCACAGCGCTCCAGGAGGATGAAACTCTGCCTGCAGCCACTGGCAATAATTTCCAATGCCACAGTCAGCCTTCGAGTCCAGCCTTCCAATCCTGGTTAATTGTCCCATCAAAATCCAGATTCCCTGGTTCAGGTGCCACCTGGGGAGACCAATTCTTGGTTGCTGCAGATAGGCGCCTGACGGTGGGTGCCGCTGGGCGACTCGGGCTGCAGACAGCACCTTTTCTATCGAAAAGGGGCTTGCTCCAGACCTCCCAGGGGAGCCTCCCACCTACCTTGGCCTCCGAAACTAGCCATTCTCTCAGCCCACAGGCAACCCGGAGTTGATCCTTGGGTAGAGCTGAGTGAATTGGTCGCAATGGAAGCTAGGGAACGACCAGAAATCGCAACACAAGGGGGGAAATGCCTAAATGCGGGACTGGCTTGGTCAAGGGCATTTCAGTCTGTCCAGGGGTTGTCCGCCCACACAGACGCAGATCACACCTCGAGAATCCCTAGCACACAAGCCGAACTCACTGGACCTTAATCCGACTGCTCTACCTACACGAGAAATCGCTTTCACCTTGCCCCGATGTTCGAGTGCGAATGCGAATGCGAGTGCACCCGGTTGTTGCACGCTTGAACCAACCTTTGCCGCTTGCCTCACAATGGCTAATCTTCTGCTGCCGGTTGTTCTCCCGGGATGAATGTGGGATGCGTGTGTTGGATGGCTGTCTCCTCCTTGTCTGTGTGGAAAATGGAATGGTCATGTGGAAGCGCGTTTTGTGTGCACCGAATCACTCGGGGTCTCTCTGTTTTGCGGGCTGACCATTTTCTGCTTTAGCTCGAGCACTAGTCCGAACTCGGCATTTTGCCCTAACCCCACTCCTACCAGTGCCTCGGTTAACTGCAAATCTTCTCGGTTAACTGCAAACTCGGATTCTTTCTTCCCTCTTTTTCAACAAACCGTCACCATCCAGATTTCACGTGACCCAGCTCGCTTAATCCATCAACCAACACTCGGTATGTGATGATTCCGATAAGTTGATGTGCAGTTATCCGTTATTGACATTCGCTAGGTGCACATTTGCCCCTTTTCAATCGCCGCTCGCCATGGATCAAGGCCATGGCGACGGCTGGGACCCCAGCAACTTTGCTGACGGTACCTGGAGCAATGAATACGGCGGCGCCTTTGAGCAAACCGATGGCTTGTATCGGCCCTTTGCCTTTTACGACTCGGGCGATGTCTGGTCGGGTCACGCCGAGGCCAGTCCCGCGCCGTATGGCTATGATCAAAGCTTTGGCAATGTCATGGTAAACGGTGCTGCGTCTACTCCGGATGGCTATCATCAGGGATCAGTCGCGCAGTGGCAGGGACAGGCTCAGCCTGCTTTCGCGCCACCAGCCCTCTCTGCTTCGACATCCGTAGACACACCTCCATCTTTCTTCTCCGGCAGCGGCTCAGAGGCGTCAATGCCCACGTACCAGGCGGAGCTGCATCAGCAAGGCCAAATGAATACACCCCAGATCCATGCCCAATTCGCGGCCGCTTTGAATGGGCAGCCACAGCATACCCGAGTAACAGCTGCTCAGACACCAGGCGTCATTTCTGACAGTATTCATGTCGGAGCCCAGCAGCCAGCTCAGCAGCCAACCCAGCAGCCAGCACAAAGGGTCCAAGTACTCCAGCAATCGGAGCGTCCTTTCCAACACTCCACTGCTCAGACATTCACCAGCCAGTCGGATTATCAATCCCAAGCGGCGCCATCGAACAATGCTGTTGCTGATTTGAAGCGCAGCGTTGCGCCCGACTCTCAGAATACGCCAGTTGTAGCCAAGAAGGCCAAGGTGGATGCGCCTGAAGGTGCCAACACCTATTCGGCACCGGGCAGCCCTCTGGCCGTTCTCCCGCCGCGCCCCGATGCCAGCACCATCCATGAAGACACCAGTCTCATGGCGGAAGCTCGCGGCCGCAATGGAGCGACCTGGGGAGGAGTACCAAACCTTGCCGTCGGCCCCGCTCCCGTGCAGCTCCAGCACAGCACACCGACGAAACGATATGTGACTCTGGCGACCAAAGGAGGCAGAGATCCTCTGTTCCCCATGTTATGGCGAGGCTGGACCCCTGCCGAGTGCCTCGGAAACCATGCCGATGCTTATCGGAAGGCAACGAGCCTCCTCGACCTGCAGCGGGCGAATGTGCGCCTTGACATTGAGATGGAGCGAGCAAATGCCAGTAAGTAACGCAGCTGTAGCTTGGATGTGCATGTCCGGTTGCTAATGTCTCTCTAGAAATTCCTGCCGACTGGCAGAAAAAGCTGCCGGAGACCCAATTCAACACAGGGGTATGACTCTATTCGCGCTGCTTCAGTATATAGCTAACCAGCGTGGCTCTAAAGGCTCCCAATAGTGACAATGGAGGCGTCGTGAAACCTGTGGAGCCAATTCTCAGCGGCATTGAAGCCGTCGAGACTCTTCGTCTCCATCCGGCACATCTTGCCAATTCTGACCTGGTGACAAGCGCTTGTGCCAAGTTTGCAAAGAAGTTGCTCGAAGCGGCCGACCCTCTGTTTGAAGCGCTCAAGTCGATACCCAAAGGCGATGGCAGCTCTGCGACGGCAGAACTCGGCTCACTGAGGGACAAACTTGTCCATGTGATCAATGAGGTCCTCAAGTCTGTGCCGAGCAGCTTGTTGGCAGATGTGGGCCAAATCAACAGATTCCCCGTGAGACTCAGAAACCTACTCATCCGACTGATCAATGCGGGTGAGGTGAATTCACCAGTGGTCAAAGCCATCTTCCACTTGTACACGCGATTCACCAAGGTCAAGTCGGAACAGCTTGAAGCTTGGGGTATGGGGAAGATCAGGGACAAGGTGAACAGTCAGGGTGACGACGAGGCCAAGGCACTGATAGCTCAGGTTTATGAAACGGCAGAGCGAAACAGCGGCGAAGGCGGCAGCAGCAACAGCGACACCCCTTCCACGGCCGAAAACGCGTCATCCAAAAAGAGGGCAACTCAGGCTGGCGCCCCTCCAAAAAGGGAAATTTCTGAGCGCGAAACCAAAAAGACAGCTCCAGCGAAACCCGCAACGGCCACTACAAACGGCAAAAAGTTTCCCACAACCACATCAACAACAGCAATGGCATCCGATAGTGAGCCCAAGAAGGTTGCTGGAAAGCCCGCCGCAAAAGTTGCACCTGCATCGACAGGAACTAAGCGGTCACGGGAAGACGATGCTGCCGCTGGCGAGCTGCCCTCATCCAAGAAGCCTGCCAACGACACTTTGACTCCCGCCTCAACCTTTGCAAATAGCGTCAAGTCAACTTCGGCCGCTACAAAAATTTCTTCCACCAAGTCACCGGCAGCCACACAACTTTCTTCCTCCACCAAGTCGTCTACAGGAGGAACACCGACGACTGCACAAACCAAACCTCGATCCGGGCTTTTGCTTCCTGGTAAGGCACGCCCAATTTCAAAGCCAACACCAAAAAGCGATCCCGCAAAGTTGGAACCTCCGAAAACTGGTGCGAAACCGGATTCGCCGCCCAAAACACAGCCCACAAAATCAGCGGTGCCTGGCTCTACAAAAGCTTCTAAACCAAAGCCTGCTGAATCGACCAAAGAGATGGCCCCCTCGGCCTTTTCCGCGTTGATGGCTGAGATTGACAACGGCGAAAAGGCCAACAAGCCAGAGCCATCGGCCAAAGCCGCGACGCCGGCGCAGCAACCCCCGCCGGCCGCCGAGGCGATCGAGACCCCCGAGCAGCGGGAGCGTCGCCTGCGTAAAGAGCAGCGCAGGGCGCTTAATCTCCGAGTCACTTTCAAGAGCGGCGAAGGATTGACTGAGATCAAAGAATTCACCCGTCATCCGGAAGAGATTGCTGAGCAACAGGGTCACATGGCTCGCAACGTCAAGACTGACGGCCGCATCAAGAACAGCGAGGAGAGCGAAATGATGAAGAAACTCCACAGCAACAAAGGTGTCAAGGCCGAAGATGTCAACGACAAGTGGACATGGAAGGGTCCCAAGACAATTGATTTCGCCAAGCGCATCCCGCAGGAGAAAAGAGAGCAGACCTACGACACTCGCGGTGGACTCAAGACTTTTGAAACCGAGGAGCAGAAGCTCATCAAGGAGCGAGAGTCGACGGAGCTCATGGCCGTTTACCACACCAAGGCCGATATACCCCCCAATCCGAGATCGCCACCCTACGAACCATCGCTCTCCGGCTCTGGTGATCCCAGGCTTGAAATTCGCCTGTCGCCTGGAACCCCCGAGTATCCAGAGATGATGCAGCGGACCGACGAATGCACTCGTTATGGCACATATTACGCCTCTCGCGCTGCGCAACAGCGCCTGGAAACCAAGGCCCGTCTCAACTATGCTTCGTACCACGGAGCAGCTGCGCGCCAGCCCGATGCTCCGGTTCAGGATGCTCGAACCTGGTATGATCCGGCGACGGCCTCGCGCCGTGACCAGCAGACTTACGAGCTTCTCACCTCGGATCGCGTCAAAAACTGGAAGGATCCCAATCCGTACGATGCAGCACGTCCGAAAACGGAGCAACATGACAAGCCGATGGATCCCAAGCTCCAGATGGCGCTTAACAGCATTGAGGCGGTGGTCCAATCGATGCAGCATGATCGGCAGAACGAGGTTGCTCAGGCCGCAGCTGCCCGCGCCGCCCAGCCAATTCTGCCCGAGGTGGCTCAGCCTGCCGTAATCCCCACCACACAGCCAGCCCAGGCCGCGGCGCCGGATTATTCGGCAGCTTGGGCTCAGTACTATGCGGCCCAACAGCAACACCAGCAGTCATGGTACGGTCAGCAGATTCCGTACGCGGCTTACCTTCAACAACCTGCGGGTACCCATAGCACTCAGCCGGCCAACAACCAGATCGCGAGCATCTTGGCGGCTCTTCAGACCCAGCAGCCTGCCCCGACCCAAGCGCAGTACCCCGCTGTCGATGCCAACCAAGTCCAGACCCTGTTGGCAGCCCTGGCTAATGGCAACCAAGCTCAGGCCGCAGCGCCAACCCAGGCCGACCCACAGAACCAATACCTGCTTGAGATAATGAAGCTGGCTTCGGCTGCACAAAACCAAGGCCAGGCCCAAAGCGGTCAGGGCGCCCACGGCATCCAGTACTACGGCCAGACTCAGGCATACCCCCCGGCCCACCAAGAGCACCCCGGCTACGGCCGACTTAACCAAGACAACTATGGAAGCGGTAGCCGCGATCCCAATCGCGGCTACCGACGAAATGATCGGGGCGGCGGTGCTCGCCGGTATAATGGCGAAAAGGAAGACGATGTCCCGGAGCACCTCCGAGGCATCAACCGTGCCTTGATCGGCACGAAGCAATGTGCGTTTTGGGCCCGAGGCCAGTGCGCCAAAGGTGACAAGTGCACCTTTCGGCACGACTGAGCCCGATGCCTGGGTGGCCGCTTTTTTTCCTTGTATGAGTAGACCCAATAACTAGCTAGTCCTGCTGGAGACCGTTCTCTTGAAAAAACCTGTATACTTATATGTGTTTGTATGAAGACGTGTGTGTGTGGGGGTGTGTGTCTCTCTGTATGTCTGCCTAACGTCCCGCGACACAGTTCATAAGTAGACAGGGCCAAACCAGACCAAGCCATGTATGGACATGCGAAGCTACATGTACGTCTTGTATACAAAATTGTAGTGTGCGTACTGCCACTCCAGTCAAGCCCAAAGGCCTGGAGGGTCTGTTCGATGACGCCTCCCCAACCGCCTTTATGGTTTCCGGACCGGAGAGATCCATCTACACCCCTCTCCTCCCTACCCGGCGGTCTAACGGTTGCTTAGGTCCGGACTGTAACTGATCCTCCTAGGCTCTGTATGTAGTCGGCTTGATTAAAATAGCAATAAAGCAAAGCAATCCTACTCCCTTAACTCTAATCAAGCATGGGATGACGGAGTTTGGACGGCGGAGATTTCATGACGAGAATGCCTAAATGGGTATACAGGTCACTTCCTCCTTCCTACTTTCACCCCCCACTGGGTAGGTGGTTAAATCGTCAAGAAGTACCATAGTAGTAGACTCCCAAACCCCAAGGCACCCAGTTCGACTCTTCCTAGAGTGCGCCTCCATGGCATCATATCGTGAGCCTCGTCCCACCAAGAGCACGGCGGCTACGGCCGATCCAACGACAACTACGGAAGCGGCAGCCGCGATTGGGACCGCGGTTACCGGCGGAATGATTGGGGCGGCGGTGCTCGGCGCCATAATGGCGAGCATGAGGAACATGCCCCGGAGCAGGCCAGTGTGCCAAGGGGGAGAAGTGCACATTCCGCCATGACTACCTAGGCGGCTGGCTGGGATGGCCAGTAGTGTGTGTAGTTATGATAATAACAGAACCTAGGACAGGTGGAAGGCCGGCATGGCGAACATTGTGTATATGGATAGCCCACCACCTACGACTCAATCAAGTTATTACAATCAATTCTCGTGTTTGTATGATTACATGTGTGTCACTGTTCCCCGTGATGGGTGAAGTCGGACAACTGCTACCACGTAGCGTCGAGTATGGACGTGCTTTGCCGTGACTGTCGCTTCCGTTTGTCTCGGAGTCTTGGTGAGCTTTATGTAGCCGTCATACTTCTGGTGAAATGAGCTTCGCATTTGGCACACAGGCCCTTGCGTAGGTAATGGTGGTATTGTTTTACACGAACCCTTGGACAGCAAACAAGCTTCAGTTCGCCTGTTGCTAGGTGTCCATTACAGGTGAGGCGGCTTAAAGAATGGTACTGCTACTTTCGAACGCCTTTTTGCTTCGAGGCTGTGAATTAATTGTGTGCTTGTGACTAGCTCGATTACCCAACTAGTCGTGACTCGCGAGCTGAAGAGCCAAGATCCAATCTCTGCTCTATGGCTTCGCAAATGGTAGGCACAGAAGCCATGGCGCCTGTTTTGCATTGTTGGCTCCGAGGTTAGCTACTTCATTTTCTGTTTACTTCTGACAAAGAGTTGCATTCAGGGCCGACTAACCATCTACCCACCAGGAGGGATTGTTAGCACGAACTCGGAACGTGGCAAGCAGATGAACCGCCCTTTCTGGAACGACTCACCTCCAGTATCGCCGCAGGCAAGCGTTCTGTTGTCAGAGAAACTTGGTCAGGCCGGATCTGGACAGTTGCTGAGGTAGGACGGAACGGGCTATATGAAGTACCTACTTGCTTATTGGCTTAGGCAAGCACAAAAAGGGGAAAAAAGTCAGTAATTGATCAGAGATGGGCTGAAGTTGGAGATGGCTCACCGTGAGAACTTGAAACCAGCCCGTAACCGGACGCACGCCGCCGGCCATGCCCAGGTCCTCCCTGACCCCCCAGTCTTCGGTAAGCACGCGTATCTGCTTGTCGGTGATGGGGTTTCTCCACATGGCCTGGACACCACGGCGGTAAGTAAGTCAGCGTTCTGCTCATCTGGTGTCTGTGGGAAAGAGATGGGGGAAGTAAGCGGTGAATGGGAAGGGTTCAAGGTTCGATTACGGAATTCATGGCCGGAGCAACGAGGATAATCTTCTTCTTCATGTCGATGCTGGCATCCGTGTCCCAGGCCCGGATGACCGAGGTAAGCAGGTTGTCAGCCATGCCATTGACCACCTAGGGTTTTGATCCGGTTTAGTTAGCTGATCATATCACTAGATATAAGTTCTGGCCGCATACCTTAGCCAGGGTGTTTGCGCTCAAGGCTGTTGTTGGTGGTAGGATGTGGTCAGCGCACTCGTCTCCTCAATCTCAGGGGCTATGGGATGAGGCTTGCGTGCTACCACGAGCATATCCGCCCCTATTTCTCGGAAGATAACTCATCCATCAGCAATCGCGCATGAACGGCCGGATGCGTTAAGACAAGCATACATCTTCGCAACCTGCCGCAGTCAAAAACCTCGGTCAATTAAACTTTCAGCCAGACGTAGCAGCAGGGGTACCAAGTCCCCTATGAGGAGAAATAAAACAGACTCACTCGATATGCAAGATACTCGCCCCCCGCCGCCAGGGCTGGGCCCACTCATCTTGGTCCCGGTAGACGGCGTCGACGTTGGGCAGGTTCAGCAATGAAGACACGGTAGGTTGCTCATCGCTCTGGCCGTTGAGAAACTGGCATGCCGACTCAGTCAGGACGATGCGGATCGAGAGCTCGCCCTCGTAGCGGGCAAGGGCCTGCACGATGACGGGGACTGTCCGGGCTTTAGTCCAGTCCTGACAACGTGGTGGTTGGTGGGAAAGGGGGAGGGACATGGGGAACTTGCTTTTAATGGTGGCTACGGAGCCGGAGGCCCTGGGATATACGTAAATTCGGGTGTTAGCTACAGACATCATACATTTCCATGGAATATCGAGTCAGAAGCAATGCGACGGGGGATGAACAGCATGAACCTACGCCAGAAGCAGGTGCCGTTTCCCGTCATCACGGGCGGCTACTAGAGACTCGATTGCTTGGGCCTGGCTGTGCAGGTAGTGGCTGTCGTGCTCGGAGTTGATGGGTTGCAGCATCTTTGGTCAGATGTTCGGCGATAGTGAGAGTGTAGGGTTGATGTGAGTTTGGCTTCAACTGCGAGCTTAGCTGATAGTAAGTGGTCCAGGACGGGCTATTATCACGAGCATTGCTGTTCAGTACGAATCCACTAAAACCACCGTTGTTGGAAAACACCGATTGGGCAATCAAATACCTAGCACTTAGATACAATCTAACAATCTTATGTTTCCAAGTTAGGTACTGTACAACCATCTACAGAAATCTTATTTGACACAGCTTTGATTTTAAGAACTACGTAGTACACTGGGCTGTCGTCCCGTTCGAGTTCCTCACAAGCAGTGCTTATATATTAGTGTAGCACTGTAGCTCCCTTACGGGGCGGTGACGTGCAGCGGGCTGTCTGCCCCTCATTTGCGATGATGGGTGAAGCCACAGCAGCTTGGTTTCTAGTTACGTCATCCGTAATCGCTCAGATTTACAGTATGCATTGTACATTTCTTCAGCGAAAGATCACTAAAAAAGCGGAACAAAAAAAGGGAAACGAGGCAAATAAAATGTTTTAGAAGCAAAAATATATAAACAGAAAGAGACAGACAAAAGATCCCCTTGGGAATCGAGAAAGAGCTCGGCTTATCCACACTCGAACACTTAACGCGTAACTAAGGTGACCTCATTGGGAGAGAACCAATGAGACGCGTCTGTGATGTGGGCTGACCTGCGCGTCAGAAGCTCTTTGCATCGCAGCTTCAAGTTTCCGACACCAACCAGCTCTCTTCTCACCGACGCCGCTGAACCAAATTGAATACCAGCCCTTACCTCCAAATTCAACCATCACATTCCCACCCAAAAAACAATATTGAAACCCATTGTCACCCGCCACGCAACTTGGCCCATAAACCTGGATATTAGCAGCAATGGCGACACCCACCCCGTCAACCGGTCCGGGGACTCCTCTCAATCTCGATCCAGAGCAGGCCGCGCTTAGCCTCAAGGTGTCGCTCGCCGATCTCTCGGCCAAGGCGACGGCGCTGTATGCTCACAAGCAGTATGAGGACGCCGCCGAAGTGTACGCCCAGGCCGCCGAGATGCAGGCAGAGATGAACGGCGAAATGAACCCCGAGAACGCCGAGATCCTGTTTCTTTACGGACGCGCTCTGTTCAAGGTCGGTCAGAGCAAGAGCGACGTGTTGGGCGGAAAGGCCCCCGAGGCGAAGAAACAGCCAAAGCCGAAAGCCGCCAAGAAGGAGAAAACTGCCAATGGGAGCAATGCCTCGACTGCGCAAGCTGGAAAGAACGGCGCGGAAGCAAGCGAGAGTTTGCCAGCTGCTGCGATCGCCGAGACAGAGACCAAGGTTGGCGAGGCCATTGCGGAGGCGGCGGCCAAGGAGATATTGAAGAAGGAGACGGATGCGCCCAGCGCCAAGCAGAAGACCCTGTTCCAATTCGAGGGGGACGAGAACTTTGTCAACTCGGAGGAAGAGGAGGAGGAGGGAGAGGAAGGCGAGGGCGAGGATGAAGAGGAGGACGACGATCTTGCCAATGCCTTCGAGATCCTTGACCTGGCCCGCGTGCTCTTCAACAAGCGGCTGGAGTCTGCACTGGCCGAGGAGGAAGCGCAACAAGGCAAAGGCAAAGAGGTTGCTGAAGGTGGAGGCGACTCGGCCATCATCAAGCACATCAAGGAGCGTCTGGCCGACACGCACGATCTCCTCGCAGAAATTTCGCTCGAAAACGAGAGGTATGTCGCTGCAGGGTCGTGAAGGCTACCGTCGCCCATCCTTCTCGATCACATGAAGCTGACATACCACCCCTTCTTTCTTTCCTCCCTCCCGTAAAACAGGTATCCCAACGCAATCACCGATTCCCGCGCCTCTCTCAAGTACAAGGAGGAGTTGTACCCGTTCGAGTCCGAGATCATCGCCGAAGCGCACTTCAAGCTCTCCCTAGCCCTCGAGTTCGCCTCCATGACCAAGTCCTCCGACGACTCAGCAGCAGACACAGCAGCAGCAGCAGCAGGAGGAGGAGGAGGAGGAGGAGAAACCATCGACCAATCCCTCCGCGACGAGGCCGCGGCCGAGCTCGAGGCGGCCATCAACAGCACCAAGCAGAAGCTGCACAACAAGGAGGTTGAGCTCGCCACGCTGCACGGCCCGCCCGAGGACACCGAGGCCACGCGCCAGCAGATTGCCGACGTCAAGGAGGTGCTCGCCGACATGGAGCATCGCCTCGTCGAGCTGCGCAAGCCGCCCCTTGATCTGAACTCGGCCCTGGGCATCCCAGCAGCAGCAGCCTCTGGCTCGTCCTTTGCTGGTGCTGGTGCTGGAGAGCCAGAGAAGAAGGCTAAAGATGCGACTGACCTCACGAACCTCGTCCGCAAGAAGCGCAAGGCTGAGGATGATAAGCCTGCTGGTGCCCCTGTCGTGGAGCCGAAGAAGGTGAGGGAAGAAGGGGAGGGTGCGGATGATCGCTAAACAGTTTACCCCTGGTCCATGATTGGGGTTAAGCCGGAGGGTTGTAAAAAAGCTGTGATATGGTGGTCAAAGGAAAAGGAAAGAAGGACGTTCCTCCGGGAGGATGGCGGCATGATAGGCATGCACGTGTTGTATGAATAGGCTTTCTTTCCTTGACCGTCTGTCTTCATTATCTTCTTGTAAGGGGCGGCGTACTGTTGTGGATCTGGATTGCGGTGTTTTCCTGCGGGCCAGCAGGAAACGAGCTTGTTTGCTCGACAAGATAAGGAAGTATGAATTTGGGACAAGAGTCAAAAGAACCTCCAATTGCTTTTGACATTCAAACGTCTGGGTATTAAATGCTATCCAGCTCTGTTGAGCTTTGCTGTATTTTTGTCACTATTGTCATGCCGAACCATGCCATGCACTCATTCACGCGCCTTTTCCTTCCCCTCCCAAGACACCATGCATCTAAATCAAAAAGGCGCTGAATAAGGGATATCCGCCTCTAACCCGATAGCCTGCTAGAGCTGAAAATTTGCGCTTGGCGTCCGTGGTTCTGGTCCCCGCAGGTGCGCCGACGAGCCCTTGAACAGGCTCTGCCAGATGTAGGCCTCACTAAGCAGCAGCTCAATGTCCTTCTCGGTCCAGTCGCGCGTCGGTAGCGACTGGAGGAACATCATGATTTCTTGAAAATCCATCTTCACCAGCTTGTCGGACCACTTTACCAGAAAGGCGGCGCACACGTAGAGGTGGAACTCTGAAAAGCCTTGCTCTTCGGCCTGATGATCAAATTCGTCAGCAGATGAAAAAGAGATGGATGATGGGGGGAATGTCTCAATACCATGTACGTATCCCACATCCTAATCGTGTTCTTGACGCTAATCTCGCGCATCAGGAGGCAGTTCATCCAGCGGAAGCTGAACTGGATGAACTCGACGTTCTCCTTTTCGAGGTGCTTGGCCAGGCCGGCGTCTATCCTGGCCGTGAGGTCGCGCAGCGCCGACACCTGCCGCTGGATCCCCGGCTGGGCGACAATGTAGTGGTCCTGGATCCCGTCCAGGAGCTTGGTCAGGCACCAGAACGAGTCGGCCTCGACCGCGTCCAGCACCGCCCTGGGCAGCTGGCCCGGGTCCATCCCCCGCTCAATGTCCGGGTCGGTGATGTAGGTGCCCAGAAACACCTGCCAAAAGGGCGTCACCAGGTCGTTGATGCCCTGCACGTACCCGCTCGCCGGGTGCCGCACCGCCCACACGTACAGGATGCGCTCGAGCGACCGCTGCGTCGCCTCGTACGTGTACAGCTCGATGTGCGGGTTCGTCCGCGGCACGTCGATGCTGATCTGGTGCCAGATGGCTTCATCCAGCCCGCGCCCGCTCCGCCCTGACGGTGTGGAGGGCCCGCCTCCCCGGTCAAAAGCCTGCCGGACGCCGTCGAGGTACTCTTTCCGCTTCCTTTCAAGTGTGGCGACCCTCCTCTCACTGCTGGTGGGTAGGTAACTGAGCAGGAGCTGCCATGTCATGGCGCGAACTTCCTCCGGTACGCCGGACCATGCTAGCGCGCGGAGGTCAGAGAGTGGTATTGTTGATGCTTGCAGCAGGCGCTTGAACTTGTTTATCCTTGTTATTCGCGAATTGATGGCGTCAATCTCCTTCGGAGTGGCATTAAGTGGTATGGATGGGTAGTTGATTAAGTGGAGCGCATTGGCTGGATCGCGTAGTATTTCTTTGTATTGCGGTCGTAATATTTTACCCTCACTTTTCTTGGGCATGGGGTATATTGACGCCGGCCGCTCGATGGCAATGTCGGCGCTGTCCGAGTTTCGTCGGGGACGCACGTCGTGGAAGCTGTCGTCATGGCCGAGCCCGTCGTCGGTCTGTGCCCGGCTTTGTTCCGCCTTCCGCCTTGTCCTCCGCTTCATGTTGGACAGACTCGGCAGGCCGAAATCGTCGCCGTCGTCCGACTCGTAGGCGTACATGTCCTCGGCATCGTCGGCAGTCCAGTCGTCGTTGGTGCTGGACAAAAAGTTTACGTACGACTTGATAGGCGGTGCTGAGACTCTCGAGCTCGCCTTTCTCGTTGGGGAGTTGGTCCCAGGCCGGTCAGACGATGACGATGGCGGGGTCTTTGGGCGCCCACCCGACCCCAAAGGGCTTCTGCTTTGTTGCAAGTCAGCGGGCGTTTCTCAAGAGACATAAAAAGGGGCTAACTTGAGCATGTCGGCATGGGAGTAGGCCGCACCGACTACCAGACTCGAGTCGCGTGTTGTCTTCTTCGGAGGCGGCATCTCCCGTGGAGGTACCCTCCAGAAAGGCGAGGCAGAGCTGCGAGACGAGGTCAATCTTTGGGAAAGGACAAAAGACAAACAAGAGTAGTGGGCACGCACTCGGATCTGTCTGTAGCGTCAATTCGCACACGAGCCTGGTTAGATGTGTTGCGAGATAGACAGACCCGGGATTATAGTCGGGCACATACCGACTTGCACCATCTCCTGCTGCCATTTGGTGTCAGTAAAGGCGCCCGCAGCAGCCCGACTCGGTCCTTACCTGGGGTGGGGCCTTCTTGCCGCCGGCCGAAGAAGAAAACATTATGAATTGCTCTCAACAGGGTCTCCCAGCAATTGCATGACTGCTCAGTGCCGGTTCTCCTCGATTGCTTTGGGTCTGTTGCTTCCGGTTGCTCTTGTGTCTAGTTAGGTGACCCGCTGGCACAAGCACCAGCTGATGCCGGCTTTGAGCAGCCGACGCCGCTGAAGGTTGGAATGTTCCCCACCTCCAGTGACTGAGAGTGCCCCACTTTGCACCTCCCAAGGGCGTTGACGCTCGGACGCGGTGAGGGTTGTGAGGCAGTTGCACATCCGGCTCTCACTCAGCAGATCCACTTTTCACGCTGACTGACAGGAAACTGCACCGTTCGGTAAGTTACATTCAGCGCCTTTTCCACGCAGTGCTGGTTCTCAACCCGTCAACAGTCAACAACGAACTACATCAATTGGAGTGTGTTGGCGTCTCCAACCCCGAACTGGTTACAACCTTCTAGCGCTCCCAAGTCGCGTTCTACCGCGAGAAGGCTCAGATTCGGAGACTCTACTGTCGCGTTCTTTCCATTTTCTTTTCTCTCTTTCTTGCCGCTTGTCTGCTTGACAGACTCAGCAGGCAACGATCGCGACGGCCTTTGCGTTTTGTCCTCCTCCCATTCTACCTGATAGTCTTGGACCATAACCAGAAAGCCGACATCATGACGGAGCCCGAGAATTTTGATGACGAGCTGTTTGCCGACCTGTAAGGTCGCAATCTGTCTACCCCAGCAACGAATATCTGCTGACACACAGCAGCTACAATGATGATGAACCTGCCTCCAAGCAAGCGGGCGCAGCGGCGCCGGATCAGTACGCGGCAGTGCAAGCCGCTGCCGCCGCCGAACCCGAAACTAAGAATGACCACATGGAAGACACAAGTCATTACTACCAAGGCAACACCAATGGGGGTGATGCATCACGGGAGGACGAAGTCGAGGAAGACGATGATGATGAAATTGACTTCAATCTTGGGAATGGACCGTCCACCACGGTAGCCCAGCACGACGAAAAGCCGACATCCAGTGCGCCGCCCCCGCCAGGACCCCCATCGAGGGGCCCAAATGCAAAGGAAGATGGGTAAGTCCTGCTTTTCTATTGCTGAATGACGCGATGCTCCATGCATCACTTAAACATCCTTGCCTGGGTTCTGCATGTGCAAATGACCATCCACGCATGATGAGCAATGCGCCACTGGACGCGCTGGCCTTTTGTGGACGGCAAGAGCGTATTGGGCAGCTCGGTGACAGTGGGTTCGGGGTGACTGGAGGGCAAAAGCTGGAATGGCTGGGCCGTGTCTTGGCATGAGGCTGTCGCAGCGCCTGTTGGAGGCGATTTGGTGTTTTGGGCCCGTCCCTGTCGGATCCAGTTCAGGAAATCCGGCATGGGGAATACACGGCGTGGAGACAAAGCAAACAACCAGAGCAAGAAACATTCACAAGGTGTGCGACGTGCGGTGTCGAGCTGGGGTAGGAGAGAAAGAGCAGGAACTGGACTCTGCCTGGACACACAGACAACCCGCACCCGGATAATGCAGCGCCGACACGATAGATCGGGAGATGTGCTCCTGTCTTCTGTTATAGGCCAGCCGCAGATAAGCTTAGAGCACCAAAGAGACCGCAGGTTCCGCCGCGGCCGGATGGCGGTGGCTCCGGTGTCTATGTCAAGATTTGGCAGCGAATAGCGCCGCACCCAGCAAGACAGCTAGCTTGACGATAGGCAAGAGCACGAGACAGGAACAAGAAGAACAGTTCGACAAAGAAATCATCACTGGCCCCCTGCGCTGCATCTTGCTTCTCACTTGTGGGAACTGCTGTAGCGTTTGCTTCACGAAAGGCACAGCCACAACCTCCTCGCCTCGTTCAGGAGTCACGTTCGGAAGCCGCCAGTATGCCTATCCAGTGTCAGCCATGGGACAGCGCCAGACCTGGTGAGCCATCGCCAATCGAGTCAGTCGACATCATTGTGGTTGAGCCCGACGACGACGACAATATACCAGAAACTAGGACGGCATCGTCAGCGCTCCCACATACAACCATCTTCCGCACCTCTCCACTATGATGAAAAATGGCAGCGACCACGACGCCGCCGTTCCCGTTGACTCGCCCGAAGACGAAGAGAATGGAATGTCGGGAAACTATGAATCTAGACGGCCGGGACCCTTACCGCGGTTTTCCCTTGCGACACCTTTTTTCCAGACCTGCCGATTTCCAGCTTGTCCATTCACCGCCGTAAATGGCAGGGTGATTTGCCCTGCTTATACGCGCCCCGCTGAGCTCTGCCATGTCCCTTTGCCCAAACCATGCTCAGCTTAATTCTCCGAATAGCGATGGGCCCTGCAGGCATTTTTTTCTGCATAGTTGAACAACGAGGCTAATGGTATCTGTGCTAACAGAAAGATGTTCATCGGAGGCCTTAACTGGGAAACCACGGACCGTAGGTCTCCTGTCTCAATTGCAGCGATTCCCACAATCCATATGCTGATTTGCTTCTAGAATCCCTTAGAGACTATTTCTCGCAATTTGGCGAAGTGGTAGAGTGCACAGTCATGAGAGACGGCGCAACGGGCCGCTCTCGTGGCTTTGGGTTCCTCACCTTCAAGGACCCCAAGACCGTGAATATTGTTATGGTCAAGGAGCACTACCTTGACGGCAAGATTGTAAGTGCCCGGTTCGCCTAACTTGACACGAAACAAAAGCTCTTTCGCTGACATCTTGTCTCAGATCGATCCGAAGCGAGCCATCCCCCGCGATGAGCAGGAAAAGACCTCCAAGATCTTTGTTGGTGGTGTCAGCCAGGAGACGACCGACCACGAGTTCCGCGAGTACTTTGCGCAGTTTGGCCGCGTCGTCGATGCGACTCTCATGATGGACAAGGACACCGGCCGTCCACGCGGGTTCGGATTTGTCACGTTTGAGAGCGAAGCCGGCGTCGAGGCGTGCCTGCAAGCCAATCTGGAGATTCACGGCAAACCAATCGAGGTCAAGAAGGCCCAGCCGCGGGGGAATCTCCGTGAGGAGGAAGATGCAGCGAGACGCGGAGGCAAGTTCGGGCGCAAGGGACAGGGCCCTGGCGGAAGCGGTATGGATGACGCCTCGGGCAACCAGGGAGCCATGGCGGGTATGGCGGGCATGGGTGGCGGCATGGCAGGCATGACGCCTCAAGTCATGGCGCAGTACCTGCAGCGCATGCAGCAAGCGTTCGCCTTGATGCAGCAGCAGATGCGGATGAACATGAACCCAGCCATGAACCCGTACATGATGCAGATGCAACAAATGCAGCAGATGCAGCAGATGATGGCTGCCCAGCAGGGGCGCGGCGGACCCGGCGCAGGCAACCCCATGGCTGCTGGTGGCATGCCCAATCTGAACCCGGCCCTAATGCAGCAGATGATGAACCAACAAGGAGGCGGCGGCGCCGCAGGCGGCATGGGCAACATGGGCAACATGAGCCCCGGCGGGACTCAGCAAGGTCCTGGCGGTAATGGGGCCAACCGGCCCGGCTACAACGCCTTTGAACAGCAGCAGTATGAGCAGCAGAAGTATGATCAACAACAGGGGCAGCAGCCTCGGCGCGGCAACCGCGACATGCAAGCCTACAACCAGGGTTACATGGGCGGACAGGGCGGCCCGACCAGCTGGGAGGGCATGTATGATGACGTTCCGCAGCCAATCATGAACCAGGCCGGCGGCGGTGGCTTCGGGGGTGGCGGCGGTGGAAGCGGAAGGGGTGGTTATCACAAGGGCCGAGGCGGTCATCACCAGCAGCAGCAGATGTCGACGCCGCAGAGCCCCATGGATCCGAACCATGCACCCCCTCCGAACGCACCCACTGGCCCGAAGAATGCCGGCAAACCAGGTGCGAACTATCGCGGTGGCGGACGCAGCGGGAATAGGGGCTTCCACCCTTATGCCAGGAGTTAGATGGCTCTCTGGCATGGCTACTACAACCAAATCACGGGGATCATTTCCAGCCGAGGTCACTATAAGCTTATACAAGCTTAGCTTTGTCCGCCGCGCAAGAAGCACGGTGGACTCTTCCTTTCCCCGGCAACTTCGTCCCTTTCTATATCTCTCTTGACCCGGGAGCTTGAAGCCTCCAGCTCTAACCTGGCTGCTCGTTCTTTTCGGACGGCAGCACACGAAAATCGGCTCAAAGTTGCCTTGGACAGCGATCCGCCTCTCACCGAATTCTTTCCCAGGACGAGCTGTTGCAGCTCGAGGGTTTTTTTTTTTTTGGCGCTCAGTTACCTCCTTCCGCAATCCATTTCTCGCACCAGGGTCTGGATGCTCAGGATTTCGGCAGTCTCTCGGTTCATCCCAGTTATACATCTCTCGAGAACTCCTGGTAGGTATGAAACAGGTCAGGCAGGGCGGGAAGACGGTCCCTGGGGGAGGGTTGCAATCTGGTCCGGGCTTTTCACCAATGACACGTAACAAATACTAGGGATTTTCTATCAAGGCTTGTTGTACTTGTATGATTAGGGCAGATCTGGTCTTCTGATGCACAAATTGATGATTTCTCTCTCACCATGTCCAGTCAATCGGGTCCCAAACTCCTGGCTATGAGGTCATGGTATATACTTAGGTCTTATGTCAGACTTGTCGAACGCTCATAGGATATTGTCACTATTCCTGCCCGGCATCTGCCGAGATATCAGATAAAGGGAGTTTCCTATCCCATGCCCTCCCTCAATCATACAGTTTCGTAAACCCTTCCGCCGGCGGCTGCAGCCAGTTCCTCTCATCATAGCGATACCCTTCAGCACCCTCGATAATGTGAAACGTATAAATGATCCTCCCCTTCTGGCTCGTATTCCTCTCACTCTTGTGCAGCAAATTCCCATGGATCAGCACCAGCGACCCGGCCTTGACCTCAGCGGGCACGTACTCGTCGTCGTCCCCCTTCCCCTCTCTTGCCGCCCTCATCCCCTCCGCGTACCCTTCACCCTTGGGGAACCTAGCTCCCCTGTTATCCACCATCTCGGTGCCTACCCCACCAGCCTTCCTAACCAGCCTCCGCTCCACGGGCGCCCAGCGGTGCGAACCGGGCAGGAAACTCAAACACCCATTCTCGAGCGTGGCATCCTCAAGCGCGTACCAGAACCCGACCGCGCTGGGCGGGTCCGTGTACAAAAAGGTACTGTCCTGGTGCGGCGGCACCGCGCCCCCAATCTCGGGCTGCTTGCAAATGACCATGCTCTGCAGACAGCGCGGGTCGGTGTAGCCCAGCGCGCGCGCCACGGCCGCGGGGCGGGCTTTCATCCCCGGCACGAACCCCCTTTTTCTTCCCTTCTTGTCATCGGAAGAAGAAGAGGGACTGTTGGATAGTAGCAGTGCTGCGAACGGCGGCGACAGGCCGTGCAGGTAGTGTCCGATTTTGTTGATGGCGCGGTGCTTGGGTTTGGTCAGGTTGCCGTGCTCATCAAAGGCGTCTTCCTCGAAAAAGAAGCGGATCTTGTCGCCCGACTCGAGGAAGTAGGCGTCGCCGACGTGGTCCTCGCCCGTGTCGCCGCCCGTGCGGAAGCGGGTTAGTGGGTGTGAGGACAGGTCGAGTTCCTCGTTGAGCAGGCGGTGGGTTTCGTCGAGCAGCGCGGTGACGGTGGTGGGTGGGAGGGCGTCTGGGATGACGAGGTAGCCGTCCCGGTGGAAGGACTCGAGCTGCGCCGGGGTGAGGCCGTCAAGGTTGTCGCTGTCTTCTGCTGAGGACATGGTGACGGGCGCTTGGTGTATGCGTTGGATCTTAACTAACAGGTCTTCTTGAATATGACGATGAGTGAATGACAGCAGCTGAGGTTTGAATAGGTACGCAGAGTTGGACATGTGATGTGTGGTGGGAGGAGAGCAACTACCCCGCCATCGGAGAGGCAAGCTAGAGATTATCAACGCTCTTATCATCAGAAGGCAGCTTGTTCCACGGCATCACTCAAGCGTGGACAAGTGAAATGCCAACGACGGCATGAATCATAAAACCACACAGGATCAGCTGTGTAACAGGCTGCGACGGGTGCTCTTGCCGTGTGTATGCAGTTCTCGAGCAACCAAGTATGAATATTGTTCCTGCTGTCTTCGCTCTATCCTTCAAGACGAGACTACTTGACGGCCAAACAAGAACATCTTGTATACGCCCTGCCCGCACCCAAGAAGATACCGACAGACACAAAAGAGTTACCACACCGAGTCAGCCATCCCGAAATGTACGCACAAGCCCGCCCGGATCATTCCCATCCGACCTCAGGGTTCGACTCAACTCCCGGTCCGTCGCCACGTAAACTGGAAGGAGATGCCAGAAAGAAAATCGGACTAAAATCGGACTACAAAATAGGGTAGGTATCAGGGTAACTCGAACAAGCGAAGTTCCGTGACGCCAGGGTAGAACGGTAAGTTGGAATCGAAGAAAACCGTGAGGACAATTGAAAGCAGGAAAAGGGGGTGAGGACAAAACAAAGCAACGGGATATTGTTCCCAAAACGCCCCGAACGCCACCACCAAACTCTTAACACAACCACCACACTCACCATTCCATTCCATCAACTCCTCATCCGAGAACCAACAAGGCCACGGCCCTGCAGGATGCCGTAGCTTGGCCCGTCGGTAACAAGAAGAGGAGAACAAATATATAAATAATCCAACCGCACCGCGCTGGATATCCCTTTCCCCCCTTCCCTTCAGGCCCCGTCTCGCCGTCCTTCCTCCCCCCACCCCCACCCCTCTCATTTCCTCAACACGGCATCGTACACAGCCGTCAACCCAGACACAGCCGTGCCCACCAGCACGCCCTGCCAGCCGCTATACAGAGCACCGTTGATGCGGCTCACCGACTCGGGGCTGATCAGCCCGCCAAACGTCACGCCCTGCGCGTACACGACGTACGTCATGAGGGCCTTGACAATGCTGAACATGAGCGGGTCGACGGCATACTCCTGATGATGATGGCCTGCGGCAACCGCACCACCCGGCTTGTTAACCGGCGGCCTCCCCCTGCCACGACCCGCACCAGCAGAACCAGCAGCACCATTGGGGCCTGTCCCATTGCCATTAGCAGCAGCCGCCGCAGCGCTGAGGTTAAAGAACCACCCGACCACACCGGGCACAATCAAACTAGTCAACGCCCAGGTCAGGGCAGGCGCCCAGAAATTGGCCGTGACCAGCGCGAACATGTCCGGGAGGTGGACGGGATAATCAGGCGTGCCGAGGGGCGCAATGGCGGGGATGGTGAAGGCGTAGCGGTCCGGGAGCAGCTCCTGGCGCAGGCGGAACAGCTCAAACAGGGCCACGGACGCGAGCACGGCGTGCACGGTGGAAAGCCACTCACGGGTCGCGTGCGTCGCCTCCACCAGGCCGGACTCGCGGTACAAGGACGCGGCGCGCGCGCGTACGGCAAGTGTTGCGCGGTCTGCGGCCTGAGCGACGTCGGCTGGTGAGGCGGGGAGTTGGATCCGCGATGCGGCGAGGGAGAGCGCGCGGCCTGGCGTGCGGACGAGCGCGTTGGTTGCGGTGGTTGTTGCGGGTTCGTCTTCTTCTTCTTCGTCGGCTTCGGGTTCTTCTTCTGCTTCCGGTTCCTCTTCCTCTTCCTCCTCCTCTTCTTCTTCCACTCTGTAGATTGCGCGGTTAGTGGTTGGGTTTGCAGGCTAGGCTTTCGCCTTTGTTTACATGCACGGCTGGATGCGCGCGGGGCGGAAAGATGAGGTGGCTTACTCGGCGGGGATGACTTCTTTGACTACCCTGCGCTTGGAGATCTTCATCTCCACGTGGGGTACAATCTCCTTCTTGATAGGTGAGCCGCCGGCGCGGGCGCGGCTCTTGAAGTAGTCATTGAGCTTGGGGTTTGACTGGTACAGCGGCGCGTTCCCGGACAGGAACTCGTCGATGGCGAGCTCAAGGTCGGTCTTGCGCAGTCCTTCGTAACTGTTGGAGAGAAGAAAAGAAAGCACATGTCAGTCGCTATTGCGGCATTGTTGAGGCGCGTAGGGTATGGGTATTCGAGATGCGAATGGGGATCATGATGGGCTCATGTTCTTAGTGTTGATGTCACGCGGCAGCTTGCGGGACAGGACCAGAGACGCGTGTAATCTGTCCTGTAAACAAGGGGGGGATTGCGTGCAAGTGCTGCAATGCATCGGAATGAGGAAACAAAAGAAACCAGGAGCTTCAGTCCTCTCGATGCGTCGACAGAGAACGAACGTTACGTGAAATCAGAACAATATCTGCGTGCAAGACGTACTCTTTTAGCCCAATCGTTTGTGCCAACTCAACGAGGTCCGACTTGCGCTGCCGCGCCAGCCAGCTGTTTCCGCCCGACATGGTTGTGTTATTTGATTTTGGGGCGAGACGTGGTTGATGTCGTCCGGGTCGCGTAAAGCAGGCGACTTTAATGCGATGGATTGCGATTCGAGGCAGCCAGGTCAAGTATGAGTTGCTGATGTGCAAGATAAAACCAAATTCCACGGAGGGGGAATTGCGAATTGCGATGTGGAGGGGGAGGGGGTGTGTGAGGTGAACTGTGCGTTGTTTATGTTTTTACCAATGTGTTGTGGTTAGGCGACCGGCAGAGAGCCAGCGCATGATGCATCAGCTTAGCAAAGAAGCTTGGATCACTTGTTGGGTGGGCAATTGTGAACTTGGGGTTCCGGCCAAAATGGGGTGGCTGGGGATTGGGCCAAGCTCACTCACACTGCTCAACTGCCCAGTGCCCACTCAAGTGAGGTCATGTCTGGGGCAGTCCCGTCCCCCACAGCAGCTACCCAATCACCACTGCGCCTAGCTAATACGGCACTTAACGTTACACAATACCGGTACAGCTCGCCATCGCCAAATCAATAATGAAGCATAGGTATCCAAGATGGAAACATCCAACTTTCCCTCAGCTTGAATAGTATAGCAAAACAGAAACCCACCATCATGACAGCTCCGGATCGCTTACAAACCTCTCGTGGCCCCTCTTGACAAACCTGACGGGCACAAACTTGCCGCCGTGCAGCTTGAGCGTCAGCAGCGAGTTTGCCTGCCTGATTGTCTCTCTGCTCTTGGCCTGCGCCTTGGCGTACAGGGCCCTCCGTTCGGCGGGGCCCATCCTTTCGACCTCGTCGTCGCTCGCCCACTCGTCCACAGCAAGCTCGATGCTATACCGCTGGAAAACAACCGCCAGCACCGCCGCCATCTCCACCATGGCGATCCGCCTCCCCAGACACGACCGCGGCCCGTCGCTGAAGGGAATGTAGCTGCCCCGGACGGGCCGGTACAGTGACGCGCTGACGTCGCTGCCCTGGAACCCGCCGTAATCCTCGCCGTCCTGATGATTGTCGTTCTCCTTGTCCGCACCACCACCCCCCGTGTTGTTGGAGCGGTACCACCTCTCGGGGACGAAGTCGTCCAGGTCGTGAACACCCCCCTTCCCCCCCGGCGGTTTCGGCCACCAGCGCGGGTTGCGCTGGGCGCTGACGGCCAGCAGGCTGCACGACAGGCCCGCGGGGAGCACGTGGGTGGCGCCGTCGATGGTGATGGACTGGTCGGCGTCGAGCGAGACGACTTTGGGGACGCCCGTCACGGGGGGCATCATGCGCAGCGTCTCGTTGACGCACGCGCCGATGTGGGATGCAAGCATGGCGTTGATGGATTTCTCGTAGTCCCACGAGCAAGGGTCGGCGCCGCCAAACAGGGCGTCGACGTCGCGCTGCAGCCGCCGTTGTGCGGAGGGTCTGCTGGCTAGCTCCACCAGGCAAAAGTGCAGCGTGTTGGCCGTCGTCTCGTGCCCGGCCACGATCATGATGAAGGCGTTGCCGATGATGTCGCTGTCCTGCAGCCCGCTCCCGCCGCCGCTGCTGCTGGCTTTTTGCCCGTACTTGGACTGCACCAGCTGGCCCATGATGTCCATCCCTTCCCTCCCGCTGCCGCCGCGCTGCGCTTCTTCCACCTTGTCGCGCAGGAACTCGTCCATGTACTGGAGATAATTGACCTTTGCTTCGTATGCCTGTCGGGCAAACTTGAACGGGAGGATGCCTGGGGAGAGGGGAAGGGGAAACGTGTCAGACGCTGCTGCCTTTGTGTTATTGGCCAAGGGAAAATGGAATGGGGGTTCACGCACGGAGTAACCAGTGGGGCCAAAGGAGGATGGCCACGATCCTCTCCAGGGTGCCGGCCAGGGAGTCGGCAAAGGTCATGGTGTGTCCCTCGGGCGGCTGTAGGCTGCCGTACTTGGCCATCTTGGGGTCGATGTCCTTGGGCAGCTCCTGGCCGGGCCAGATCAGGCGCAGGCCGAAGCCCACATAGCCGATGATGTTGAGCGCCCAGGTCATGGTGTCGTGCTCGAGCGTGGTGATGGTCTTGGTCGTGGTCGCCTGCTTGCCCTCGGGCTCCCAGTTGAAGTACATGGCGAGCAGACCCCTGGTCTGGGCGATGGCCTCGGCAAAGGTGTGGGCGGCATTCTTCTCGTTGAAGCTGGCGCTCGTAACCTTGCGGTGCACGCGCCAGATGGCGCCCTCAGTGGTGAGCACATTCTGGCCAAACATGCTGAGAATGCCGTAGCGGGCAATGTCCTTGGGGAAGGCCTCGCGGCGCTGCGTCATCTGGTGGATGACCTCGGGGTGCTGCGTGTACAGGAGCATTTCGCCGGGAGAAACGACCAAGAAGGTCTCGGTGCCCAGGCGCTCAAAGTATTCCTGGCCGGTGTGATAGGCCCAATCTGGGATCATGACACTGAAGGTTCGCTGCTGTCAGCCTCGACTCGAGTGCTGCTCCATGGACTGGACAGCCATAAAGCTTACAAGAGCCGGTCCTCCCATATTGCCTTGGGGAGCCGCTTGATCAGGGGCACCCATATCTTGAAAGTGAGCTGCCATACTAGGTTGACGGGAGACCAAGCTAGACGATGTTAGATGTTATGCCGGCTAGAAGCAAGTAATTACTGGTAATTTAGAGGCCGGCGAGATGAAATCCCAAGGAGCACTTACGGAGAACGAAATAGACGAGGCCCGTTTTGCGCGCTTTGAGGATATTCCTCCGCAGATTCGAGAAATATGTGTAAATGGCCACGCCGATGGCGGCGCAGACGGCAACGAGGACCGGCGACGCCATGACGTTCTATCAAGGTCGGCAGGCCACGTCTCTGCTCATTTAGGGACGGGCCGAGGCGCCAGGGCGGGAGACTCGGCAGTCGAGGTCCAGTAGATGTTTCAAGTTACAGCCAGGGATGAGAACAGGACGGTGTTCGGTTTGGCAAAAGGTAAGCAGCAGGGCAAGTCCACCTATCCCGATAGGGTTTCGACAAAGGTAGATGCCACGCAGTATACGATACTATGCCGACTATGTTGTAGGAAGAAGATGACCAAGGTGGACACTTCAAGCGTGCTGAAAATCTGGGTCCCCGGGATAACTATCTAAACATACATACATGACATGAAACGGATACGGATTATCGGACACACATGGCAAAAGCGTCCCGTTCCGTGGACCGGTGGCTGCGCAAGCCGGCGGCTCTGATCAAACGAGGATAGTCAACCGCTTGGGCAGCCAATGATACTCGCGACCAGGATATATGTGACGGTAAGTGTGATGGGTAGTATTCGTATTTGTGGGTGAGTTCGTGCCTGTATTAGTGGGTGTGTATGTACATACTCCGTACTCGTATTGTCAATCCATAATAAGCAGCCTGGATCCGAGAAGCAAGAGCGATTTGCTTGCTCGCATTGAACGTCGATCGCATATAACTCGTGATAGGTATGTACTGTACTTGTATGTATCCGGACAATAGTGATGTACATGTTCAAATATAAAAATTCCAGCCCTCATCCTTTGGGCCCATCGTTTGTGACAGGAAGAGGTCGAAGTGGTTTCCCAATCTTTGTGGTTGCCGATGCTTGGAACTTTGATGAAATCTGAAAATTCCCTTTCCCCACTGCAGCTGCTGTGTGTGTTTTTAAGCGAGGATGCCACCAAAAGGCGGGCACGCATGCACCAAAAGTTCCCGGCAAACTACCGGCTCCACGTGCTGAACTGCCTTCCCGAATACTGGTACCTTAAACTTCGTAAACTCTCACCATTTCATGTCCGAAGCAACATGTGGTTCGAAGCAAGAAAACTCGAGCTGCAGAGCAACTGAACACACACTTACGTACTCGGATGCATAAAGAGCAAAGGCTCCTTCAAAAACCTGTTTGACTCGATGCCTCATCAGCAGGTCAAATCCTGAGCAACCAAACAGGGCGCCTCCCTTCCCCTTCATTGGCCCATTCTGCTAGAACGCTGACCCAAGTTTTCAGCCTTAGACATGTTTCTCCTTGTTATAGGGTCCTGAGCTACCTCGCTTGCCTCGTACCCTACATTTACGTAAAGGACGAGTCACTAGATTTGGCGTGTCGACCTCAACCTTCGAATGAGGAACTGGTTCTGAGTCAAGAGGTAACACACAAGCTAACCATCAAAGGCAGGTTTCTATGCTTCAAACCCTGCATTATACCAGTCGGAGAATCTGAACAACCCAGCCTCCGGAGCTTTCCCGGATGCCCCCCTGGTCACGGTCTCCACCATCCCGTCCGCGTCCGGGTTACTCCGACCCCCGAAGCCCCGAAGCCCCGAAGCCCACCCGTCAAGCGGGGACGCAACTCGGGCCTCCGCCGGCGAGTCATGTCACGGCCCATTCCAGACAGGCAGATAAAGGAGCTTTGCCTCCGATCTGATCAAGATCCCTTTTATGGAGCCAGCGGCATTCTCCGTCGTCCAACCTATGCCCTGCAACACCCTGTGCCATCCAGATACACCCTGCCCGGTTGACGCCTTGTACCCCCAAAGTCCCCTTAAGACGATCTGGTTGATCCGTTCTCCCATCCCAAAAGCTGCACACCCAAGCACATGCTTCCCGCCGAAATTGCATCCTCTAGCTCACCATGACGTCTCCTCCTGGGCCCGGATTCCCATCTCGACCCGGAGCCCATCCCCATCCGATCAGTGCACACAGAATGGATGACTCTAAAGACGATCCCCCGTCTTGCTCCACCGCACCGCACAGTGCGCGCCTTCATTGCAGTCTCGGAGAGTTTGAGACGGGGATGATGCTTGCCGACTTGCATACGAACAAGAGCACCGTGCTTCGACTTCACGCTCGGAAGCTAGGACCAGACCGGATGGCAAGAGAGAAGGTTAACGTTGCGATCAATGCACAACTCACCATACCTCAAGTATCTGGATTCTGCCATCTTGACAAACGATTAACGGGCATAAGGTCGTGGCTGATACCGGGCAGATGATGCTGGTGGTAGGTAGAAAGGACACGACCGGTGTAAACGACCCCTCCTTGTGAAACCTGGAAATAAGGTCTTCCGTGAAACAGCTGAATCCCTAGAAAGGGCTCATTCAACTGTCTCTCGCCTGCATGTAGACGTAGAGTAACTAGACCCAACATCGCCGGAAGCACCACATCTTATCAATGCTCCAAGGGGAAGTTAGTAGACTCTGTAGATTAACTGCACTACCGGTACCAAATGTCTGGTTCTCATCTCTTTGGGGTACTGTACAACCCTCTGAATTAAGAGTCAAGTAAACCACCACCAGTATCGATTGCCAAACTCATGAAAACTCATCGCCCATTCATCAAGTACCACTCGTAGTCAGAGTAACTCAGTACCAAACCGAAGATATCACTCGTCTGTCTGCGGATGTGTGGCTTCATCACACACTCCTCCCCGTAATACCCACCACCACAGAGTGGTATGCATCCATACTTTTGTGATTCCACTGTACCGTGAAGCGCCGTCACCGGCCGAGGTTCCCGATCGATCTAGAAAGGAAAATCCACGACGTCGCCTCATCAAAGCACACAACAAAAACCACCGCATGCCGGCCGAGCCGCATAAGATATACGCCAGTCACCAAACCTGTCAAAGGCGGAAAGCAAAAAACACATCGCAACCACTCCCAAGAGAGAACGCAGGCGAAATGACACAAACCGATAGACTCAAAGAACAAACAGCAGCAGCAAAAGGAATCTCAAGAACGCATCGCGTGCGCATTTCTGTATGGCATGGCCTCAAAGTCTCAGCCTGAAGACAAACCCATGAACCCCAGAGCCCTTATAGAACCCCCCGATGATAACTCCCTCCGCCATGAAACCCCCAAAGACGAACTCCAACTCCGATCCCGCGCCTAGCAAAGGGCAAGTCTAAAGCTGAATAAAAAAGGGGGGTGTGGTAGTGCGAAGGGGAAGTGGGAGAAGGGCTTTTACACAAGTATGATACATGAACATTGAGAAAAGAAAGGACTTTCTCTGAGAGCGCGAGGAAAGGGGAAGAGGAAAAGGTGATGAAGAGAGAAGGGTAAAAGGGAAAAGGAGCCGATGCTGCAGACCAACCCAAACCAACCCGAACCGAATCTGCCTGCCTGCCATCCAGCCTGTCAACCCATCCCATCCCAACCCAGGTCTTATCGACCATACATCCACCTATCCATTCATCTTCCAAGCTCGCGCAAAGTCCCATCTTTTCCGTTTTTATGACATCCCTGAATTTCATTTGCCGAAAGAAAAGAAAAGGAAAAGAGGGGAGCAAGATACTGGAGCAAAGATAATGCCCCGCTCCCCTCTCCGTAGATAGTGTTATTGTCCCAGCTCAGATTCCTCTCTCTACTTCACAATGATCGATAGATCATGAACCCCTTTCCTTTCGGACGTTGCAGACGTGAATGATTCGAAGTGCAGAATGCAGATGGCAAACGCAGAAATCTTGTTAGTGTCGTCCATTCTTTTGTTTCTTTTTTGTGCGTGCTCAAGCCAGGCTACATCATCCGTCAACCTGTTTGTCGTACGGTTGATTGTATATCTCGTCAATGCCGGTCGAAAAGGAAGGGGAGAAAAGAGAGAGGCTGTAGAAGAGAGCTTAAGGGACGAGTGTAAGGTGATAAAGGTAGAAAAAGGTTTGATCGTGTCGCTCAATCCGCAGAATGCTTCGAAAAAGCATGGATGAATGAATCAATCAAGGAAAAACCGGCTTTCAGCTCCCGCTCATGATGAGAAACCGAAAGAAATCAAAGTATACATGAGTGTTCCTCAGCGGCAGATAAGGAGATCGCCGAGGATATATGACTCCGCTCCATGGTGAAGCAGAATCCAGTGAAGCCCGTCCTAACGACGAGCAGAGTAGGCCTGGTAGCCCTCACCGGTCATGTCGCCGGGGGCAGGGCCGCTCTCGCTCTCGTGGGGGAAGCGGGGCATGGCGTTGTTGTTGTCGCCGTACGGCTGGCGGCTAGGCTGGCCACCACCGTACATGGCATTCTGGCCGTAGCCGCCGGCTCCTGCTCCTCCAAACATGTCTGCGCCCGATCCCATCACGTGCATGGGCCGCGGCGGGCCGACCGGCGTGCTCTGGTGGCGCATGTGCTTAGCAGCGCTACTCGGAGGCATACCGCCGTAATACAGCTGCTGCTGCTGCTGGCCGTACGCAGCGGGTTGCTGCTGGGGCTGCCGGGGAGCGAACGAGTCGTAGTAATTGCCAAAGCCGTTCTGAGAGGGTCCAGGAGCAGCAGCAGCAGGGTAGGCGCCGCCGGGACGAGCCATGTAGTCACGGTTGCCATTGTAGGACGGGCCATTGTAGCTGTTGGTAGCCGGGGCCGGATAAGGAGTGAAACCACCGGGTCCGTTGGGCATGCCGTTGTATCCAGTTGGCGCCGAAGACTCCGGGTATATGGCAGACCAGTTAAATCCACCGACGTCGGAGAATGCACGCTGGTGAGTGGCGCGACCATGGTAGTCATCAAAGGTGCGGCCCGGGGGATCGTAGCTGTAGCTCGGACGAGGGGCAGGCAGGGGCCCAGTTTGCGGTCCGTAGTTGTACGGCATGGACGAAGAGGTGCGCTCGTCTCGAAACTGGCCGTTGACATCACGAAGCGGGCGGACATTGGGGACGGTGTAATCAGTCACACGAGGCGGGAAAGCAACGCCAGGACCATGGCCAGCATAAGGGTCTTCTCCCTCTCCAAGACGGGCGCGCTTGTTGAGGCTTCTGCCATCGCCGCCCCGGGTGTATTGGTTATCGGGAGGCAAAGTTGTCGGCTGTGCCAAACCCTCGCGGCTCGGGCCCACCATGGCGGTGCCCAGGGATTGAGCGCGGCGGTGACTGGCCGTGGCTTTCTTTGCCTTTGACTTGCCCTGGGGTTTTGCATTCTCGCCCGTGATGTTGGGCAGAATCTCAATGTCCGGGACCTGCGTGAGACGCGGGTTCTTACCCTGCATCTCGCGGCCGATCTGGGCCACAATTTGCTGGACTTCGTGTGTTGTATAGCCGGGGCGGCACTTTGCGCGAAGCCACTCCGGGACAGGCTGAGTATTAGTGTTGACATTGATAACCGGCATATCGTCCTCCTCAGGGCCGTCATTCCCCTCAGCATTGTCATCGTCCTCGCGCGGGCGCTTCTTGGACGACTGGTTCTCGCGATTCCTTTCGCGCTTCCGGACCTCAATTCTCCAGTCAACGACGATGCCGTTTTCCGGGTGTCCCGACCGCCGATTCTCGTTGCTCCAGGCCTCGAGACGCAAAATCTGTGTCTCAACCAGGTTGCAGAGACGCTTGTTGTACTCGATATGGTTGCGGTAGCGAGCGCGCTGGTAATGCTTGCGGCAAAGGCAGATCCAGACTTGGTCGGGGATGCTTCGAGTGCAGTTTTTGTTGCGCCCAAAGATGTGGGACATGGCCTTGCGCCAATTGGCCTCCTCGCCCGGAGCGGTCAGGGTGCAGACATCCATGAATTTGCAGACCCTTGGCAACGTGAAATCGATCTCCTTCATCAACTCATCGACCGTTGGGTACAGACGAGGGACCGAAGCGTCGACAAGAATGGGATCCAGATAGAGCCTGGAGTGGTATGCGCCACCTGGTGCAGACACTGTGGTCAAGGCCGAAGCTTGTCCCGAGGACACTGGCACCAAGGCCGAGGACTGAGATGTATCTCCATGCGGGGAGAGGTCAGGGGCAGATGTGGCACGGCGGTGACTGCTCGAAGGCGAATGCTCGCCGGACGTCGTCAGATCGACAGGACTGTTCGTCTCATTAGCTTGCTGATGCAGAAAACCACCATAAAATAGACGAAGCTGTGTTTGAGACGGTTGTTTTTGAAGCTCAGGAGTTGGGCCAAAGGAGGTCTTGGGTTCCTGAGGGGTAGGGGGTGGGTTGTGGCATGCTCAGGGAGCACGGGGGAGCAGGGGAAGAGGGAAGAAGCTCAAGGCTTTCGTGAGAACCTTATCAAACGGTTTCATCACTGCCATAGGAGGCTGTGACTGTTGAGAACCGTGGATTTCGGTCCAGACCGCTGCGACGACTCGGCGTCTTCAGATCTCGGCGTGATCCCACGATCCAGATCTCGGCGTGGTCCCACGATTCAGATCTCGGCGTGGTCCCACGATTCAGATCTCGGCGTAATCCTACGCTTCAGATCGCGACGCACCCCGGATCTTGGAGGGAGAGACTGGGGTATGCCCCGGCAATTCCCAGTTCAGATCGCGATGCGCCCCGGGAATAACGGTCCCTACACCCCGGAACTGTGCGGGCGAGTGCGGGCCGTCACGCATGCCAAGATATTGGATCGCGGGTTACAAATCCGGGGATCCGGGACCCGGGACCCGCATAGTGAAAGGGAACAGTGATGTGCAGAGTTCTGGAAGCTTGACAAGAGTGGTAACGATGGAGGGATGTGATGATGGGATGTGGCTACAAAGGCAACCAAGGGCAGGTAAACAAAGGCAAGGGAAATCTATGGGAGTGTTAATTAATGTGCTTACCTTTCAGTCTGTGACACAGCATTTGGACCATTCTGGCCACGTCTAATCAAGACAGCATCGGTCGGTGAATTCAGGTCTTCATCGCCATCGAGATTGATCGTAACTGGTCGGCCCATTGTCGCGACTTGCTGGTCGTCTGGGCACCGCGGGGCAGCTGGGCGGCGAGGGCCTGTGGAAGTTGTGGCTTCAGAATCGATCGATTTCTTTTTGGCAGGCATCGTATCGTTGTTTTCGGTGTTTTTGTTGCTTTCCAGTGAAATGTCGGTGATCAAGGTAGTAAGAGGCTGGAACTCGCTGACTGTTGAAAGGGAAGAGATTCTCGAGTGCGATCCAGAGTTGGTTGACGATGAAGAAGTGTATGATGAGGAGAGGGAGCTGCGAGAAGTGGAATACTTGTGAATAGGAGAATTAGGGCTGACTGAAATGTGGTCATCGGATGGCGATTCACTACAATACGTGCCCCGCCTTTGAGAAGGACTTGGGATGGATTTGGTATCTATTGTCAACGGGAGAGAATAGCCACCTGCATCCCAGGGTTTGCGGTTTCTGGCAGGTGACCCAGTCCCACCGATTCTTCGCGGGGGGGTTGCTCGCTCCGGTGACGGCGTGGGAACTGCTGTTGACGGGGCAGTTGTATCCCCCGTGGCAGAAGGTGCCGAACTTGCAACCGAGTCTCTCCGTTTCAACCCCGCCGACGACACATTCAACAGCGAAGTGACATCCATGGTGACTGTAGGTAGAGCCAGCCGGCTCAACTCCGTATTCGGTGACGCGGTGACCCAACAATAAGACCTCAGGCGTTTGCCAGTGACCAAGAGGGCCAAGTTCCCCTCTTTCAGAGCCCAACGGCGGCTCGGACGAAAATGCGTCCTATCTTTCTGACACTCTCAGAAGACACCAGTCCTGCGTAGAACTCCTCTTTCAGAGCCCAACGGTGGCTCGGACGAAAATGCGTCCTATCTTTCTGACACTCTCAGAAGACACCAGTCCTGCGTAGAACTTGGAAGTGGCGTGGCGTGAGCAAACGGGCTGCTTGAGGAGAACAGCTCATGAGGCCACCTGGCCTTCGTCGTTCCTGCCGCCCGATGATGATGTTTCCGGCCGTGGAGTTTGGAGTTGCTGTCCACTTCCGGTAGTACGACAGCACACCCAGATGTTTTCCCGAGAGCAACGCACAATTCGATGTCCCGGTTAGCCGTCTCGATTCTGGCGTGACTGACACCACCTTAATGCTTCCACTTTGCCACAGAAGTCAATCTTCTCCAAGTTGCAGAGGTCTTTCGAACTGGCGTCGTTTTTTTCGGTTCAAATTCCAGCTTTCGGTCGCCCAACTCTTCTCCCATCCAGAAACCTTCTAGTTCTCCTCAGCGTCCACCGTCAAAACCCAAGGAAACCAAGACCAGGTAGTTGATCCTCAGCCCTCTTGCTCTTAAGTGCCGTGAAGCAATCGTTGACCACAGAGTGGCAGAAGTCGTTGGCGGGGAACGCTCGCCTGCACGCCCGGGTGGTGATGCAGAGAGCAGTGGGCAGCGTTCGTGAGCAGCCCAAGCAAAACGATGTTTCGGGACGTCCCCCGACTTATGTGATCCACCAACTGACTGGGGAGATGCTCGCACAATGCGGGACGATCAAGCCCGTCAATGGGATCGTCGCTTGAAACCCGCACTGACAGTCCCACAGCCGGCTCGATGCCCCCCGGAGTACCGATGATCCAGAAACCGGAACGGTCGTATCCCCCTCTTGGCTGGCGTGGGGGAAGGAAACATCGAAGTGGAAAGCCCAGCCGATCAACTTCTAGCTGAGTATGAAACCCAAAGAAACAACAAACGGAGGCCTCGTCGATCGTCGGGACCTCTTGTCGATGGAAACATCAAGGCCGATGGCCAATCGGTGTTGTTGACGGACTCGGGGGCGAAGCTAGAAGCCGCCAAGTCGAGCCACCTGATAAGCTACTCGAACGGTATAGCAGGATGCAGGACTGGGTCGTCTCGATGCAAGGCAAGTTATCCAGTCCTCGGTAGCTTTAGCTATGAGGGCACAGAAAAGGGGCTGACTTCACCAGAAAACGTTTCACTGGCCTCCAAGCTGGCTCGGGAAATGCAGAACCGGCCAGAGCTCTATCCATTCAAGGGAGTAGAAACGGAAGATACATAGGATGATTTGAGGGGGGAGGACCCTCGACAAAAAGAGAAAGGAAGGATGATTAAGAGTCAGCACGTCCGATGTACAAGGGCGTACAAGGCCTGTTGGCTTGCGCATGAATCGACGACACAGTCCGGGGACAGTGTACGTTTGGACTCGATCAGAGGCGAAAGTATTAAGTCCACACTGAGAAGACCAAAAAGTACAATCAAAGGCATCACTTGCATGCCAGGGTCCCAGGGGTGGTCGTCTGTGCCGGACCGGGATCTGCCAAGAAGCCATGGATCGCAAATCCGGGGCGTGGTTGCGAGGGTAGTGTAAAGGTCTCAGGAACGGGTCCAGGAGTCAGATGGCTGTGCAAGGTCAGGATGGCAAGGATGTATTGCACGAACAAAGTTTCCATCAGCGGCGCGGTGGTCGAGGGACCCTCGCGTTCTGCCACTGGACGGTGATACCGTGGTGTATTGGTACGCAGTGGTCGACGTAGGGGCCGCTCCACAACCAGGTCTAAATGACGCACGGCTATCGGGCGGGCGCAGCCTCTCAAGGCCACACATCCCTACGGCATTGGTAGTTGATGTGGTTTGTGCGGTGCGGGAGATGCCCGCGTTAGAGCCCATCTCGGCCGTCAAAAACGGTGGAGGCGTACAACGTCCACGAGTCTTGGCTCTGTCCGATATGCCGGCGGTTCTCGACGCATACGCAGGACCACGCGTCAATAGGTCGGTCGAAAATGCCACGGCGTCAGATGCTCGTCTGGAAGCCATGAGCTCCTCGAAGGGCAACTGCGTGCTCAGCTTCCTCCAGAGTACGACTGGTGTACATGGCGCGCACAATTGGCAGTGTAACAGCAGGGTTACACTCACACAAGACAGGGAAGGGCCCGCTCTCGCAGCCCATCCACCGATCCTCCAGAAGGATGGAAAGTGGAGCAAGAGGGGCAGAGTGCTCAAAGAGGCTCAAGAGACCAGTGCATACATACAATTTCATGGTTGGACGTACCACCTGAGGAGGGTGCGGGTTGAGGCACAGCACATGCGAGATAGATCGGCTGGCTGAGACCCTGAGTGTTTGACCGAGGCGGCGAGAACAGATGCGGACTCACGGAGTCACGCTTGCAACCGACTTCAACAACATGGAAGAAATGCATTCGGAAAAAGCTTCTTGCTCGTGTGCTCGACGTCGTAATGCCCGCTGTAGCTCTCGGTTGGTTCGGAGGCGTCTAAGGTAGATCGGGCCTAAGGTAGCTAAGATGTGGTAGTTGTCGTCAAGCTGGCTGGGCCAAACCAAAAAGGGGTTGGGAAGACTGCATCTGATGCGCATTTGACCCGATCTCTACGTGCCTTGCTTGGCATCGCACACGTCCGATCTCCCCACCCAACACCAGCTTCGGTGGTTTTCAGATGTCAGCATAACCCGAGGTCTAGCGTCGGCATGAGATTTGGGACATGGGGTCAGCAGTCCAGATCGAAACGAGCCGCCGTCGCGGCTAGTTTTTGATTCGACGACGGCCGCGCAACACCCGGAACGTCACATGAAGTTGGCTAACAACAGGCGGTAACGTTATGATGTGGATGGTGGTCCGCTTGCTGCTCGAACTTTCGAAGTGCATCACATCACAAACTCCAACATCAAAGGACGCCGTGATATCTCCGGTTTGGACCAGCTTGCCGTTGGCCCCGCGAACTCTGCTCCGGCAACCCAGGTCGAGATGAGACGGGCATCGAACACGGTAGTTAGTGCACGCTGTGGGGAGGCTCGGGAGGGTAACGGCCTGCTCGAGCAGTGAGATCTGCGTCAGGAGCGGAACTTGTTGGCCTGATGAGACTTCTGCGGTGGATGAGACAAGTCCAGGTCGGAGGGAACCGACCACTGCGAGCCTCAAGATGCTTGCCTGTTTCAGCCTAACGGGGCTCGCGAGAACAATGCAACACGGACTCAACCTCACGTCGTTGTGTCCTATGCAAAGGGGATTCGAAATGGCACCATGAGCTAAGCCTCAGTCCTAGGGCAAAGCGGGCAAGAGTAGGATATTCTTGCCAGTTATTGCTGTTTGTTGGGACTTGGGATTCAACATCAAATGCAGCGGGAAAGCGCATGGAATGATGAAACCCCAGCACTTTGCCCCGTCTCCTTCCCATCCGTCTTAGCGGGGAATCTCGGGTTTGAAGCGCCCCACTTGGGTTGAACCAAGCTTGGCTAGATAAGCCAATCGCAGAGCTTCCAGGTACTTCCCAAAAAGGGTTAGTGTATGCAGCCTCAGAGAAACATCTTACTGTGGTAGGTGTTACTGGTATAATTTATACTAGTCCTCCACCGCTATTCACGGCTTTACCAGTTTCTATTGTTGGAAAATAAACAAGAAACGAAAAGAAAAGACATTAAGGTTTAAGGCCAGTGAGTTGATACGTGAACTTCGGATGTCACACCTGCCATCTCTTCACGGATAACCTTACAAAACCTTGCCTCTTACAAGCTCTCGTGGTCGGACAGCATCGGCACTTCCCTGTAAGCAAAGCTTGGTCTGCCTATAGAAATCAGGATTATCATGGACATCTATTCCGTCTTGTTTGCTAACTACAGGCCCAATGTCGATCTTGCGTCGCTACTCTAACGTTATGTTGGCCAGTGTTTGGTCTTACAAGAACCAAGAAATGGCGTGGGTCGAAAATAGCGTGTTCGATGGGGCATCACAAATCGCTTTGAAGTGAGTTTGTTACTGTACAGTACTCCGTACATACTCTCACTTACAGTGTCTTCCTATAAACTGTGATGGAATCACTGGCTAGCAGTCCTGGTTGCATCATCCCGCGTCAAGTCACGGTCCCATACATCACAAGCCATACAATCGAGGCCTCGAACAGAGGTCTCGAACATCAAGACCCGAAAACGACGAACGCCCCGCTGCCGCAGGGCTTGGCCATCTGCGTTGGGGATTCTGCCTTCATCCAGATTCTTGGAATCTCAAGTGGAGAAAATCACATCTTTAATCTACACCACCTATGAATAGCCGTGGGATTCAATTTGGGCAGTTTTCGGCGCCGCTGCTCCGGATTATCAGATGAACGGCGTCAACTCTGATCAAGATCGCATCCAACATCAGACGGGATGCCATCTCACAATTCAAACGGGATTCCACGCCACAAAGGAACAATAGGAAAAGTGAGCCAAGAATCAGGAGCCTCGACTGGCCCGCGTCGTACAGACGGTTCGGATCCGGGACCCGCTGTGCAACGGCGCAAGCCTTGGCTACCCAAATATAGCTCTCCGGCATCTTTGCAGATTATTTTCCCTTTCCAACTGCTCTGGCCCCAGTATGTAATGAGGATGGTGCAGCTCTTCTCGATGAAAGCAAGGCTCTTGAGTCACAAATCGTGGGTTTGGATCAAGGCATTCCCGCTGCTCTCCTGCTGGAACAGGTACATACGTCGGGTAGGTAGCCGTGCCTGATATTACGTATGGCTGAATGACCATTCTAACCTCCCCCATCGACTTCAGATTCCGACACCTCCCGCTCTGACTAGGAAACACATGTCCCGCAACCTGCAACTGTCTCCATGTCCTCTGCTACATATCGGACATCTCCGGCCAGGCCAGTCGCTACAACATGTGCTTGGTTTATTTATGTGTATGTATTGTATGTCCACTCACTTCCTCGCTGCAAGGGGGAGGTTAATCCTTGAGCCTATTGATCCTTTGGGCACTTTGTGGTTGGTTACCTTACCTACAGGAACCTACCGCGCCGCTGTCCCAGTAGCTCGGATTTTCTTAGGCACCTACTCCGTACATTGACCAACAATTTACCGTGCCGCATACCGAGTTGTATATCCGTACCTCATCTTCCTAGTTCCTACAACGGCGCAGGCGACTCCACCAGCAAGATCGGTGAATCTTACCATAATGGGCCAATTGGCCAGAGCTTGCGTTGAATACCTTAGCATGGTGGTGCAGACACTCGGTGGCTCTTAGGGTTCGGATCGTCAAAAGTATCGTCTGATGGCTTGACCTGCAGCAGTACTACCTGAGCACATACGACAAGGGCAAGGGCGAGTCCAGATGGCAGAACGAACGATACCTATCTTTGCGAGGCCGTCCCTCTTGAGAATAGTAGGGAGAAAGGGGGCTGGAGAAAAAGAGATGCAGGAAGTGGCACGGGGAATTTGTGTTCTTCAGCCAAGCCACTGCTCAGTGCTCGCTTGGCCGATGCGTCTTCACTAGATCCGGCACCGAGGATCTACTAATCGGCATCTCGTCCGTTGTCCAGTCTCAATCCCCCCTTATAAATGTTGAGGTCACTGCAGCATTTTCTGGTGGACATGCGGTCTGCTTGACGGGGTGGATGGACCACAACCCCATTGGATGCTTCTCGGTTCCCAAGTCGCATCCGGTATACAAGTAGGTTTATATCGAGTTGACACGCTGCCAAGTAAGGTAATCAGGCTGCCAGCGTCGTTTCATTTTCACTTGTCGTACAGACGTCTCGCAAGACGGTCGAGCCAGACTCATCGATTGCCACGTTGATGTGTACAGTACAAGATGCGTTACCGCCAAATGGAGACTTGAGAGTTTGAAATCGGACATTTCAGTTTGGCGCCGCGGACTCACAGGACACCAAAGAGCTTTGACATGTAGCACAGCTCACTTCTTGCCGCATGTAGGTAACTTGGGTTCTCACCGTGCCGGTTACACGTGCATGCAGCATCATCTGATGAAGAGACAGGATGGGGATGGCGGGAGGATCTGGCGGGAGCAGGGTACAGAATCCCGTCCGCGCCTGTGAAACATGAATATGTAGTGCTATTAGCACATGGGATATAAATATCCCTAAACCCCGTTGCCGTGTTAAACGGCAGGATGTACGAAGTAGGTGAGCATACAGTATCATTGTAACACCTACCAAGCGTGGGACGCGTGGCATGAAAATACGGGGCCTTGACTGTTGCTTCTAGTCTTTGGCTTAGAGCACGCGACATCTCTCTATCATTCAGTGAATGCGTAGGGACAGTGGCCAGTCAAGTTTCCACTTTAAATTGTTGATCAACTGGAAAAGAAGGCCGTGATTGCTGCTATGCCGCGCTCTACGTAATCTTCAGGGGGGAGGTAAACAAAGCGTTGGGAGCTGTATATGTATTCCGTGGTAGAACAGGGGAAAGAGGAAATACCAACCAAATCATCATAACAGAATAGACAGTGGTATCACGGTCTGAAGATAGCTTGGGAAACAGGGAGGTGAGTTAGTATGCCCATGGCGATGATAGCACAGCTATGCTTTGCTTGACCATTCTCTCACCCCGTATCACCCCCTTTACCAACCCTTAAGCAATCACCATACCGTGATGGAGGACAACAAGCCAACATAGCAGGACAGGATCCATCAGACTTGCCCAAATTCCAATTTGAGCACACAATACGCAGTTTTAGTGCAAGTCCAAACCCAAATGCTGCTCATACCAGCGGCCATACCCAAGAACACTACTAATATATACATATACAACTTTCACCCCTTGCCTAAGAGCAACTGGCCTAACAGCAACTGACCCCCTAAATCGAGTCCAATTCTACTCAGTCCGTCCCAGCGAATCCAACCAACTCACTTCATTCCCGCTACTCTCCGCCACTCAACAAAGCCAATCCACTCACCCCAAGAGAACACTAGACAATCAGTGAAACTGATCCTCCGTAACCCCCTTCCCCATAGCCGCCACACTCGAGACACCCCCCGTGACCATCTTCTGCAGCTCATCCACATACGCCGCGCCGCTCCACTTCTGGTGCTTGACCACATCAATACCCAAATCCATCTCGGGCTCCTGGACGAGCTCGCCGTAGGCGCGCATGCCCTGTTCCGCGTAGGCGCGCGCGAACCGGTCGCTGATGAGCGCCGTCGTGTGCAGGCCCGCCAAGGTAATGAACTGCCAGCAGTAGCCCAGCTTGGCCAGCCGGCGGATGTATGTTTCTTGCTCGTCGCGTGACATGGCGGTTTTCCAGTTGAAGGAGGGGGACAGGTTGTAGGCGAGTCTGTGGGGTTGGTTGGTGTTAGTTGAGTGTTTTGTGTAAAGGGTGGGGTGGGAACGGGGATGGTGAGGGGAGAAGGGGGTTTGAAAGCAAGGAAACAAAAGGAAGGAGAGGGAAGAACAAAAGGGGTAGGCGGGAACTGACTTCTGCTCTGGCCAGACGGCGTGCACGCCCTTGGCAAATTCTTCAGCCTGCTTGTAATCCGGCAGCTTGCTCTCCATCCAGATGGCGTCGCAGTAGGGGGCGTAGGCGATGGCCCGGTTGATGGAGCAATCGCAGCCTCCCTTGAGGCGGTAGTAGCCCTCCCTGGTGCGCGGCGCGTCCCAGTCAAAGTAAATGTCCTTGCCCAGGATGCCGCGGGCGACGGCGCGCGCCTCCGTGTTGGACAGCTGCTTGCCCTGGACGGCCTTCTTGTACTGCTCGGCGAGGCCCTTAGCGTTGGGATAGCCACCTTCGGCGATGGCGTCGAGCACGGCGTCGTCAAAGCGCTTGAGTTTGGCCTGCGCCAGCCACTCGTCCTCGATGGCCTGTAGCGCGTCACCCGACTTGCCCTCCTTCTCGGCGGCGAGCATCAGGTCGTTGAGTGGCTTCAGGTCGGGGTTGGTCGAGCCCAGGATGAAGGCGTGGTCGCGCGGGTCGATGGTCGTCGTGATGAGCGTTGCGGCCTCGGCGTCGGTGCGAGCGATGGCGATCAGGTCAGAGCCTGGACCGGTGGCACCATCAGTGTCTACAATCTTGATTCCGCTTTTGAAAGAAGAAGTTCTCACCCATTATGTCTGCCTGCGCGCGGATAGCAACCAAGCGGTTGATGTGCTCGCTGATGGGCACCAGCACCTTGCCAGCCATATGGCCGCACTTCTTGGTGCCAGGGGCCTGGTCTTCAATATGGATGCCAGCAGCACCCTTCTCGATGAAGAGCTTGGTCAACTTCATGACAGCCGTCAGACCGCCGTGGCCAGTATCGGCATCGGCAATGATGGGGCGGAGGTAGTCAATGTTGGCGAGCTTTGCGCGCTGGGCCTTGGGCACCGACAAGCGCTCTTGCCGTTGCTTGCGGTCGTGGAAGAGCTGAGCCATGAACAGGTGGCCGACCTTGTTAGGGACGGTGGTCTATTTCTCCCTGTTAACCTCGACTGCTGGATCCGAGTATGACAGGAGAACACTTACATAGGGGTAGTCGGCAAGATCTGGGCCGGGCTCGTCAGAGGAAGAGGCGGTCGACGACGACTGCCAGCCCGAAACGTAGACTGTGTCGAGGTACTTGGCCATCTGGGTGACCATTGTCGGCTCTAAGCAGCCATATGTGTAGCTGGCATCGCGGTTCTGACGAAAAGCATAAGGATTAGCTAGGTTGTCTTTGCTGAGATGGAGGTCGTCGTACCTGGAAGCGCTTTTCGAGAATCTGCCATAGCTTCTTGCTCTGGGCATTGCTGGCGTACTCAATCTTGAGGTTGCCCCTCTTGTTGACGATCTGCTCGGCCGTGAAGGGCCGCTTGGTGTGTCGCCATCTTGGTTCGCTCCACCACTTCTTGACCTCGGCAACCTCCTTGGCGAAGAGCTCGTCCTCGAGGTTGGGGTCCACGGCGGGATTGATCATGTTGTTGGAGGCCATGATGGGCGCTAGAATCTCCGGAAAGAGTAGCACCCAGATCTTAGTACAATAGATGACGGGGGTCTAAGGATGATAAGATGGGATGGGAGGGCAGACAGACACAGACAATGACACTAGAGATGTGGTAGGAAAAAAGGGTAAAAAGATGAGTAGAGAAAAATGCACAAGGATCAAATTACAAGTTAGTCAGAGTCAGTCATGAGCAGCATAACGGGCCAGAAACCAGGGAAGGGGACCCGGAACGGGGCTAGACCGGAGGAGCATCCGGCGTGTCGGACAAGGGGACTGGGCGTGGAGTCGAGGCTCGGGAGAGATCGGTCTAGCGGCTATCCCCTGTTCCCACGGGTATGTGGATATCCCCCAGTCACTTGAGTGTGTAGAGTACTCGGCAGGAGAATGACTCTTTGACGCATTGGCGATCTACCGCGGCATCTAGAGGGGCCGGCTTTGTCAAGTTGGACTCCGCTCGGACGCTAGAGATGCCTTCTCCCAAGACATTGAAGACATTTGATAGAATCCCAATCAAAGGAATCGAATCTTGTCATAGCTGAGTTAGCATTTCCTCGAACATGTACAGTAGCATACATAGACCTTGAGAAGTAGCAGCCAGCTCAAACACAACCAGGATCGAGAGACACGCGAGAATCCCTTTGAGCCGAGCCATTGACCAACTGACAACTGACCAGTCACCACCCAATGTCCGCCGTCCTCGGCGGCCCCACAGACTGCACCATCAATGACCGAATTGCCGAGTCGCAGCCGGGGCAAAAAAACGATCAATGTCTGTGGACTGTCATTGGTACAATTGTTGCCCCTCCCCCGCAAAGGAAGGAAGCTCGAAGATCTTATCGCTTGGAACAACGTCAGTCAAGACTTGTAAACGGTACAGAGATGTCGATGATTTGCAGTGGCCCAGCCTGGCAAATGGGATTCAGATTCTGGTCAGTTGGGATCAATTGCGTCGTCATATCTGGGCAAGATCAATATCATGCCCATTAGTTAAGACGGTCGTCTTCTGCGGGAAACGACTGGTTGCGGGCAAGGACCTCTCCTGCTGGCATGTGAAGGTGCGTCATAGCTGGGCAGCTGCTGCCGGCAGCCAGCTCTGGTTTGTTCCCACTTTTTTGAGCCCCGTGGAACCGCCTGTGATTGGCTACTCCTTTGACCTCGGTCAACTCCACGTCAGCTTGGCCGGGCTGTCAAGTGCCCGGGGCAGGTCGAGGCCATCGTCACATGCGAGAGCATTGTACACGTTGATGTCTTGTCTGAAAGAGATTTCGAGACATTCAGTGCTTGGAACCCCAATTCTAAGATACCAAAACACAAATCCCTGCGTGAACCGAAAAAGGGGTATCATCAGATGCTATAAACTTACACGTAACAAATCTCAAAGGTCATCGTCCTCATCGTCGTCAGACAAAAACACAATCGACGTCCTCTTTCCCGCCATCTCCGTCTTGACCGACACAGGATGTGATAGCCCGACACGGGGGGCCGTCTCTTGCTTAACAGAAACAACCTCCTCACGGCTCTCCGCCGTCGAGCCAGTCTCTACAGACTCACTTTTCACCTCCTTAATGGCCTTCTCCTCCTCCTTCTTTATCTTTGCCAGTTCCTTCTCCAGCAGCTTGACCTCCCTCAGCCGATAAAACGTATCTAGGCAGTTGCGCCGCTGTTCCTGCGTCCAACTCTCCACGACCAGGGCGAAATCGGTAGCGTTCTGAAACCCAAACTCCCTGGCCATCGAGCAGAACTGCCGCCGCAAGACATCCACAGGCGGATTGAACTTGTAGTGCATCCTCCACGGGTTCCCCTTCGCCGGCACGCTATTAGCTTGGCTATCGGCGAACAGGACGCTGTCGTCGCCCTCGGCATCCTGGCTGTCCGCGTTGGCTGCCAGTTCCGCCCTGCGCGACAGCTGTGCTTCGACGCGGCTCGTTCCAATGACTTCTGAGTTCTCGTGTGTATATTCAACGCCTGCCGAGGCAAGGATGCCGGCGATGACGTCGCTCTTGGGCTTGTTGGCCTTTCTCGCCTTGATGAGCTCCTCCTGGTTCTCGGCTGTCAGCAGTTTAGCTAGCTGGCTCAGGCCGCCGGTCTCCTCGTCGTCTTCTTGTTTGACAAAATTTAGCACTTCATCTTCATCCTTCATTTTATCCAGATCGACATCGGTGAGGTGGACTCCCGCTTTGGCCTCCGCGATGTTGGTCTTGTTCACAATCTCACGCAAGACGACCTGGTCGGGATGGTAGCTGAAGAGGTTTCTAAGCCCAAAGATTTCGCCTTTTCGGTTGCTGTCTCGCTGCACGCCCTTGAAATAACGGCGTTCATTCGAAGCGTTGTAGCCAATGTTGGCTTGCTGCTGCTTGTAGATCTGACGCGCGTAGACAATCTCTTCGATGGTCCCCGCCGACACCAGTCGGAACACGTCGACATCGCGCACCTGGCCAATTCTGTAGGCACGATCTTGTGCCTGCAAGTCGTAGGACGGGTTCCAATGCGGATCAAAGATGACAACTTTGTTGGCCGACGTGATGTTGAGGCCCACGCCTCCGGCTTTGGTCGAGATGAGGAACACAAACTGTGAAGGATCCGCGTTGAAATCGTCAACCACCCGCTGGCGATCCTCGTAGCTCAAGGACCCATCCAGAAAGCTGACGCTGTAGCTCGTGTTGTGGAACAGGTGCTGGAGGATGCGCAGGAGTCGGACGCTGTGCGAGAACACGAGGACCTTGTCTCCGTTCTCGTGCCACAAGCGGAGCAGCTTCTTCAGAATCTTCCATTTGCCGCAAAACTCCGGGTTAGCCAGGTTCATCATAGAATCTCGGTTTAGGTAAAGCTCTTTCCAGTCTTCAGGAACACAAGTCTGGAGCGTCTTAAGCTCCGACTGTTGTTTGTCATTGGGATCAGTGGCTGAAGGAATGAGGAGAGTAAGATGGTTCGACAGTTTCTGGAGTGTAATTATGGTGGGGAACACCAGGTCATTCCACCTCTTCCCATCCGGCAGGTACTTGAAGCAGCACCATCCTCTCTTGTGCCCGGAGTCACAGTCACAAGGGTCCGAGGCTGAGATCATAGTGGTAACCTGGTCTCCCTCCAGAAAGTTCTGGTAGGCCTCACGTTGAATGTCCGTCAGGGGACAGAAGACCACCTTGTCGCTCTTTTTTGGAAGCTGATGGGCAATCAGGGTCTTCATGCGACGCAAGAAGAATTCCGGGAGCAAATTCTGGACCAATTTTTTGGCCGTGGTCCTGGCAATGCTAAGCTGCTTGAGTGTGGCATCGTGCGACTGCCCGACCGTGAGAGGTTTGGTTATGGTTTGGGTCCACTCAGCAAGCGTCCCAAAATGGCCCGGGTTTGTCCAGTTCAGGAGCGTCCAGAGCTCGTCGTACTTGTTTTGGATGGCAGTGCCGGTCAAGCCAATCCTACAAAGGGAATTGACGCAATCCATAGCCCGGGTGGTCTCGGATCTGCGGTCCTTGAGCACATGGCATTCATCAGCCACCACGCAGTCCCATTCAACCTCATTGACTGCCTCGCGTCTCTTCTTGTACGTGACATAGGTCGTAATCATGATTTCAAGCCTCCCAGCCTTGGCTGTTTGAAGCACGTCTTCCTTGCCGGTGCCGTGGTAGACATCAACGTGCCACCAACCCCAACGATTGAGCTCGTTCTTCCAGTTTTGTATCAAAGAGCCGGGGCAGACGATCAGAACGCGTGGGTACCAGAGATTGCCGGCCCGGCGCATCTTTCTCATGCGCTTAGCGTCCCGCTCGTCGCCCGTCTTGCCAAAGGCAGCGGTAAGAAAGGCAGCGACTTGTACCGTCTTGCCGAGGCCCATGTCATCGCCGAGAATGCAGCCCTTTTGGTAGACGAACCGCTGATGCAAGAACTTGACTCCTGTGACCTGGTAGTCTCGCAGGTATTGGGCGATAGGGGCCGGAATGACTCCGGCGGAGTATTCCAGCTCGATATCCCGGTATGGGCGGCATGGCTTGATGCCGCTTTCCTTGTCGAACTTGGGGCGCGTCTCGAGGTTCGACAACAGCTCGTCGTCGGAAAAGTAGATGTCCGAGTAGTCGGGAGGAAGCTTCAGACCGGCATCCTTCAAAACCTCTCTATCCCGGTTGAAGCGCTTCTTTCGCTCCAGCAAGTAGTCGGGTACGGTGGCATCGGCACCCTTCCCTTGCACAATCGATTCATCGACATTGGTGTGTCCTTTTGCCGCCTTGGTTCCACGGCCGGTGCTCTTCCTGGCCGGTCTCTTGCCTTTTGAAATTGCCCTCCGCTTGACGGCTCTCTGCGGCTCAATCTTCTCCTTGTGGTCCGAATCCTCATCGGTCCAAGCGACTTTCTCCTCCAAATCAACGATTTGTTTGCGCTTTCCAAGGGAGTGTGAGGGTGCAGGAGACGGGGCCGCGACAGACGATGCGGTGCTGTCGTCATCCAATATCTCGATGGCGAGAGCCGACATCGTCAGGGAAGCTGGGCATCTCTGCAGGGGCAACCGGGAAAGGGGGTGTGAGGGGTGAATTTTGATGGAAGTTCAACGCGAGTTTCAGGTGGCACGAGATGGAAGGCGCGAACGAACAGCGAGAGCACGTGACACGGCGACAGTCTAATGACTCTAATCAAGAAATTGATGCGAGCTTCGATTACAGTAGGCAACTGCTACCTTACGAGCTTTGTGTAGCGGAACCTGGAATCCGCTGGTAATGGCTGCCTTCCTTGTAATTGATGCAAGGACAGTTCGCGTACAGCTTCCTGAGTTCCATCCTCGTCTTTTCACCCAAACACAGCATGACCGTAACCCTAAGACAGCCGAGTTTCTTGGCTTCCTCAACTCGAACGTGTGTGAACTGCCCCGGGAATGGTCCGGGAAAGCCAATGAGGGTGGGCGAGGCTTGGAGATTGCCCAGTCTGGACATGGTTGAGCCGAGGCTTGTCCTGATCGGGTCATCTTCCTGAGCAACATGCTCTGACATTCTTCCTTCATCATCTTCTATGAGATTGAGAATTAGCCCGTCACAGGCCGTCTCATGTATAAGTCACTGCCGAGTCCATCATGGAGCCCTCGAGTGCGAACACCGGCTTCATCCAGAAGCAGCCCGTAATCAGGAACCAGTTTCATGATGATGCGAGCTTGCAACGCATCACCAAACGTACGATCTAGGATCTCGGTACAACCTCGCCGCTCAAAGACACCCTCGCACTGACCGAACCAGTTTTCCTTCCCCAGTCGATCCTAAATCAAATTAGCCCAGAGGTCTCCAAACTGGGCGATGAGGTCCTTTCGCAGCAGATCTTTGACTGGGTGGTAGACGCTGAGAGGAACCAGCCATATATACGCGGAGACGGCCGCGATGCGTTCGGAAGGCCGACGAGTGAACTTGTCGTCGGCGAGGGCTGGCGGAAACTGCAGGAATTTGGGTTCAAAAAGGGGTTAGTTTCCTTGCTTTCTCCCTCTGATTCTCCTGTGACATGAAATATTTACAATGACCATAGAGTTGTCGCCCTCAACTACGACACAGACTATGGACCCTACACGCGTCTCGTCCAGTTCATCCGATGCCACCTCTGGGAGGCATCCTGCGCGAACACGCTCTGTCCAGCAGCCATGCAAGACGGGGCCGCCCGCCTTCTGGAGCGCCACCTGTACAAGAACACGGGCCTTTCCCCAACCGAGCGCCAGGTCTTCCAGAACGCCTACAACCACCTTACCTCACGCGACCCAGCCAAGGCCTGGACGAGCGGGCAATGGATGACGGAACGCACCGGCGGCAGCGACGTCTCGCGGACCGAAACCGTAGCCATCTACGATCCATACCCTGCATCATCCCCGCCGCCGCTGACCGACGTCGCCGAACAGATCCCCCTCGGCCCGTGGTCCATCTCAGGCTTCAAATGGTTCTCCTCGGCGACCGACTCGCAGATGACCATCCTCCTCGCCAAAACGGCGCCGGACAAGGGCCTGAGCTGCTTCCTCGCCCCAACACGGCGGCACAACCCCTCTTTGCCATCACCCACGGAAGGCTCGCCCGCAGGAGGTAGCGAGCTCAACGGGGTGACCATCTCGCGGCTGAAGCGCAAGTTCGGCACGCAATCGCTGCCCACGGCCGAGCTGGAGCTCAGGGGCATGCGCGGGTGGCTTGTCGGGGAGGAGGGCAAGGGGGTGCGCGAGATCAGCACCATCCTGACCATCACGCGGGTGCACACCAGCGTGTCGTGCATGGGCTACCTGGGCCGGTCGCTGGGCATCGCGCGCGCGTTTGCCCTCGTGCGCGAGGTATCCGGGGCCGGGGTGGCGGGCGGCGCGCAGGGGGGGAGGGTGGTTCTGTTGTTGGCGTCGCACCCGCTGCATATGCGCACTCTCGCGTCTGTTACGGTGGAGTATCATGCTCTGATGTTGTTGGTGTATTATACGCTGTTTGTTTTGGGTTTGGATGAACGGGGCCCTCCGCAGACTTCATCATCATCATCAAGAGAAGACAGAATCCCGCTTCGGCCCCCACCGCAGGAGCTGGTGTCCCCGCTCCTGCGGGTGCTCTCGTCGCTGCACAAGGCCTACACGTGCCACGCGACGCCGCCGCTCGTGCACGAGTGCATGGCGGCGCTGGGCGGCGTCGGGTACTTGATGAACGACGAGAGCCCGCAGATCGGCGTGGCGAGGCTGTTTCGGGATGCCTGCGTCGGCGCCATCTGGGAGGGCACCACGGACGTGTTGGCAGGGGACACGGTCCGCGCGCTGCTGAAGAAGAGGAATCCCGCCGGAAAACGGGAGAGTGAATGTCTGCAGGCGTTGGACTGGTTCGTTCAAACCTTCCTGGGCGATGTGTGTACCCCGGATACGGATATGGAGAAGGAACATGCTCTAGGGAGGATAAGGGCCGAGTGGGAGGGGTTGAAGAAGAGGATTGAGCTTGCCGGAACGGCAGAGCAATTGCTCCCCGAGGCGAGAGGCGTGGTGTTTCGCATTGCTGAGGTTTTGATGGCGGTGCTGTATGCGCTGGACGCGGCGAGGAATCCCGGGGCGGAGATTGAGGAGATGTGTAGAAGGTATTGGGCCAAGAAGGGGTTTTTCGAGGGTGGTGGCTGTAGCTGGCAGGCTCGGGGCGGGCTGGAGATGGACCAGGCGATTGTGTACGGGGCGGGGAACGTGACGGCGCCGGGTCAGGTCCGGGGTCAGGGGTTAAGGGGTTCGAAGCTTTAGGTTTATCAAATTGTAGTTCTGCTAGGTATTTACGTACCGCCCCTATATATGTAATTGTAGGAATAGTAGATGTTTATGTCGTCGGCGTGATACATACAGGAGATCTGCACGGCTTGCAGGCGCGCTGTTGATGACTGCCTCGTCTTCCCAAACAGGTATGCTCCCAACTCCATTGAAGGACAGATGGTAAAGTTTATAGTAATGTAGAAAGAAATTAGGCAGCCGTAAACGTAGATGAAAACGAAAATAAAAACTAAAACGGTGCTATAACGAAAGAAGCCCGTCATTAACAATTACCCTCTATGTCGCAAGTAATGACACCCCCCCCTTACCAAGTAAACATCATCAGCGCCGGATTCAACAGCACGGGCAGGGCAAAGTGACAGGCGGTGGTCATGGCCAGCGGGTAGATGCTGTAGAGCTCGTTGATGCGCCACTCGATGGGGAAAACCGTGTTGCCGCAGATCATGAGGGCGGTGCAGCCGAAGCAGTAGAGGAAGGTCCACTTGAAGCGGCGCACAATGTTGACCATCTCGGCGCCGAAATCGATGGTTCCGATCTCTTTCGCCGTGGCGCCCCAGACCATCTCGATCTCGAAGAAGTGGCACAGAATTGCCTGCGCCATGTGCAGCGAGATGCCGCCTAGGAAGATGGTGAACATGGGGATCCATTTGAGACATTCCCAGTCTGTCAACGATGAGTTAGTATGGATCACTATGTATGGGCGCACGGAAAGGGGAAAAGGGAAGGCGGGAGAGACGTACATGCGCTCAGCAGCGACTGCTCGCTCATGCGGTACCGCAGAACGGCCAGGGCGAGGTTACCCGCGCCGGTAAAGACGACGACAATGGAAATGTAAATGGCAAATGAGTCGAGGTAGTACTTGTCGTACAGGCCATAGTACCAGCCGGTAATAAAATAGTTGGCCAGCGTGATGCTCCACGCGGCCGCAATGGCATAGTAGGTGCCAATGTACGCGATAATGGTCAGCTTCTTGGGCAGGGGGATGCTGGACCCAATAAAACGGCGGAACAGCGGCGTGAAGGGCCCGCGGACCAGCCAGAAGCGGAGCGGGTGGAACAGCAGCTCGTTGCAGCCGTAGGCGTACTTTTCCCAGCGCGCCAGCTCGTCGTAGACGGTCAGGCTGACCCCTTCCTTGAAGCCGTCGCCCGTGTACGAGGCGTAGCGCAGCGTGTAGCCGGCGACTTGTAAACGCAAAGACATGTCAAAGTCCTCGGACACGTGCGACTCGGACCAGTACTTTTCGTAACCGTCCTCGTCGGTGTAGGCGGCCGCGTCCTGGAGGGCCGACCACCGCAGGATGGCGTTGTGCCCGACAAAGGGGCACGCGTCGCCCGAGGCCACGGCGAAGGTGATGCACGAGTAAATGAGTCGGGTGAACCATGTCACTCTGTAGCTGATGTTAGCGGTCCATGTTACCCCTATTAGGTATTGACTGTTGGATTGCTTACCCATTCTCAAAGAACGAGCTGGTCACGTTCATGACGCCCGACTGGTACTGCATGATGGCCACCTCGGGGCTCTGCTCCATCTCGCTGACGGCGTCCAGGAGACAGTCATGCGGCACGCGCGTGTCCGAGTCAATGAGCAGGATGTAGTCGCCGACGCGGATGTTGCCCTCGGCCATGGTGCGGCCTTCGTCTTCCCTCAGCACCTCCTCGAGACAGCGCTTGTAGGCGGCCGACTCGTCCTCATTGGTCCACTTTGGGTGACGCTGCACCGAGGCGGCGAGCTTGTCCTCGACACGGTTGCTGATGTGCAGCGCGTAGTTCATGTTGCTGGCCTTCTTGAACTTGCCGCGGCGCAGAAAGGGCTTCTCTCCGGACTCGGGATCGGGACGCGGGTTGTGGCGCGGGCGGGCGACCCAGCCGATGTTGTGCTCGTCGTAAAAGTCTCGACGGGCCTGGGCCTCGTCCTCGTCCATCAGCTGCATGCCGTCGTCGTTGACAAAGATGTTGGCCGTGCCCCCCTGCATCTCGTACGTGCTGATGGCCGCCTTGAGCGACATGACGGTCGGCTTGATGACGGCCGCCAGCCCTTCCTTGTACACGGGCATCTGGATGGTGACGTGAGGCAGCGCCTGCTGGTTGCGGTCGAGGCGGCGAGGGGGCTTGCCGCTGTAGTATTTGCTGTTGCTGGTCAGGGCCGAGATGGGGCCGAAGATCTGGAAGACGCTGGTGATCAAGGCTTGGAAGAAGAACTAATATGATGGTCGAATCATGTCAGTCAAATATCAAACATAGCACGGCTGTAAAGTGGAAAACGCAGCAACTCACCAAGCTGACAAACATCTGCACCGGACACGCCGCCAGGAGCGCAAACCTCAAATATGTCCCGTCGACGGCCGACTGATACGCCAACCACCTCCACCCAAAGCCGGGGCAGGCAATCCACAGAACCATGGTCAGCATCACCATAAAGGCACTCTCCAGCCGCACGGGGCGGTGTTCCTTGGCCAGGGCCTCCTCAAGCTGACTGGGATCGAGTTCCTCCACGCCCACGCCAACCCCAGCCCCTTTCTTCTCCCCCGCAGCAACAGCATCATCCTCATCGTCCTCCCGATCATCCCCATTACCCCAAATAATCTCAATAAACCTTTGCTCCAAATCCTGCACCCTCGCCAACAACTTATCCGCATCATCATCCCAAACCACCAACATCTTCACATCCTCAATAAACGCCGCAAAATGGTGCAACTGACACCTCGGCAAATCCGCCATGGTCCTTAGCACCTGCACCCTCAGCCCCTCCGGCAGGGGGACATAGTCCACCCCTTTCCCCATGAGCGAATCCACCAGCGCTCTCACGACCGGAGTCCGCACCGTCATGGCGCAGCGCACGTTCATGACGCTGACCATGGCGAACAGCGAGTCCGGGATGGCGGCCATCTGGGGCGGGCAGCACGTAAAATTGCCCCTGGCCTTCTTCAGCACAACCCCTTCGTACGGGTCGATCCCCGCATTGTACTGCTTGCGCAGCTGCTGCTCGTACAGCCAGTTGACCATCATGTCGTTGCGGATTTCGTTGATCGTGTCGGCGTCGCCGTTGCGCGCGTCGCCCGCGGGGAAGAACGAGTGCCGCGTCGATGTTGGTCGGGAGGACTGCGGGCTGTGGCTGTGGCTGTTGTGCTTGGGAGCAGGTCCCGACCGGATCGTCGACGCGTCCGAGCTGCCATGTTGATGTTGTTGCTGTGCTACGCCCGGGACCGAGAGCATGCTGGAAGGCGTGGCACGGCCGGAAGCTGGGACGGAGGGCCCCGGTGTTGAAGCGAGGGATGGTGCTGGTGCCGCTCCGGGTGATAATGAAGCCGAAGCGGTGCCCCTGTGTCGGACGGGTTGGAGTTGATGTGTCGATGCCTTGGACCCGGATCTCCTCTGCCGATTTCCTGCTGTCTTTGCTGTCCTGTCACTGCCCTGAGGCGCCTTCTTCGCCTCTTGACTCTGCTCTCCCCCTGTCCCCGTTGGGGTGAAGTAGGACTGGAACTTCTTCATCGTGGTCACACACCAACGGTAAACACGACTGGATCCAACAAGGGCCCACGCTGTCCGCCGTCAGTCACGACGACAGCCGTAGCAAGGATGAGTCCCAAACCAGCAAGATGATGCCGTCACCCGAAGACACGCTACACTGGAGATCGATCTGTATGTGGGGAGGCAAACTAGTGTGAGACCCAGGGAGCCGGATCAACGCGGGAACGAAGGGATGATCTACACTACACGACAGGTATGGAAGGAGAGGGAAAGGAGCAAAGAGCAAGGTAATGAGTGTAAGGCTGGTCCCTGGGTCGGGTATGTGCTGAACCCAGCCCTCAGTTACATTACACCGTGCCTTCACTAGTGCGAGAAAAACACAAGGGGGGCGAGGGGAGCGGAGGGGAGGAGGTTTGACAGCCCTCACAGCTCATCAGCTTCTGTTGGCGCTTGTTAGCATACTGTACATATCCGGTAGTCACGGTTCATATGCCGCCGCCAGAGACATGGGCCATGGACTAGCGTGTGATGTTTGCTACGTTACCCATGTTCAATCTCTGGAGGTCGACGTTACTTAGCCATGACGGCGTGGAAATATTAATCCCCCATGCAGAGACAAGAGGAGGCTGCATGGCTTGGAATGCAGATAGAGGAGCCACAGCACTCAGGTATGTATGTCCTAAGGATAGGTATTAGTGTGGTGCAAGTATGTAAGTGAGATAGATACATTACCAAGCAACAACACACTGGTCGAGGCCATGAGCAAAGTGAGGCTCCAATTCTCATGGGCACCATCGATCTTGGCAGGGGTGTGCTCTGACGTGAGTGATAGGGGAATCCATCCACGCCGTGGGTCAACCACGATCCCTGCCGTAGCCATGGAGGTGGAGTTGATCGACAATTCGCCGATCAACCTTTGCTAACAATATTTGGATCCCCGCTTGCTCTCCAGTTGTTCTTCTAGCCGATCTTATTAGACAGAAGAAGCTCTACACAATCAGTCAGTTTCTTTGGAGCAGGACTGGAGGATGATTCCCAAACAATTTTTCCCTGAGCAAACGGTTGCTCGACCAGAGCCTCGGCAACTCATTGCCGTAGTGCAAGGCTACCGCTTGATAGTTCTATTTAGTTGCTGCCCGATCAGGAATAGATAAGGGGCCAGATCACATTGCAGCGCAGCCGCCCGGGACAGGGCCCTGAGCGGCGAGAGCTGAAGAGAAGGGATTTCGTCGATCATCGAGGTCGAGATTGGCCTGATAACGATTCCCGAGCCGTGAGCTCCACTTGTGTTGAGCCTGGAAGCACTGTTCTCGTTCTCTTGCAAGCGAATTTTTGAGAACAGCCACGGCAGAACACCACCCTCCGGCAAAGCGAAGAGAAGCTAGCCTGCCAAGTCACAGGCAAGGGTCCATTGGGTTCCATCCAAGATCGATTGACAATCAGAGTGCATGCAGAAGTGGATACCGCTGGCACCCAACAACTCGCTTCCTCTGTCATCACTCGATGATAAGGTTCCATAGAGAGAAAAAAAAAGTCCAATAAACCTGGCGGTCAGCAGAGACAGCGCTGGCCATGAAGACGCCGAGGCGTGTTCCGTTTGGCGCCGTGTCTGTCCAGAATCGGAACCGGCGCCTTCGTCCGATCGAAAATGTGAATTTCTTGCCAAGGAGCAAGCCACTCAATCTAAAGCCTGCAGGCGGCCGCCTAGACTCCCATAGATTGTTGACCTACGGAACGTCCCGTTCATCAGCCTGCCCAGTTCCTGGATTGAGGCGCCTGCGAGGTCAAATTTTTATGTGCGCCATGCCGCAAGTAATTTTCGGCAAAAGGGGGCAGGTCTGGAGCCTTGTTTCTGTCAATCATTCCCATGAAAATAGGAATGGCCCTGGCCTATCAGTAATTTTCACGCCTTCTCGTTTTCGCGAACGGCTTCCGCAACGTTGAGGCGCATGCATCAGAGAGGAGAGAATTGGTATGGTGTGATCGGTAATGCACGCAGCCACGCCGGAATGCTCATCCAGATATTCGATCCTGCGGCTCTGAACCCCCCACGGACGCGCAGTTGCCAGCACGCGGTCGTACAGCAAAGCTGCATTGGGCGTAAAGACATTCGAGCTCAGCATGTTGTTGAGCCGGCTAGAGATAGTGCGAGCTACGGATGCTTCGGCTTGATAAAACTCGTAACGTTATCGGCCCTGCTGCAGTTCCGCCCCTGTCCAGCTGTCGGTCCAGCTGCGTGTAACTCTCGATCGCCCCTCCCTACATCTCGGAGGTGGACAAAGTAGGGAGATGATCGACATGCCGGGGGCTAAAGATAGCGTAGGGCAGGAGAGTGGCTACACTACGCTCTGTCATCCACCCAGCTCAGAGAACCAGTGGGCCGGCCCGATTCTGTTGCCCGTCTTTCCCTCTACACTACTAGTGTAAGCAACCGGCCTCGATGATAGTTAAGGAAGACAGGCCGCTCCTTCGTCGATGCGTCGCCTAACCTGCAGAACGCTGCTGCAAAGCTAGCTGCCTAGTGCAGAACTGCAGACCGCCCGGTCAAGCATTCGGCCTCTTGCTGGTCTGCAATTCTTCGACTCCGCCATCAACCCGGGAGCAACAAAGCGGAACAGATCAGGCGATGGCGGCTTTTTGCCGATATTATCGCCCAGCCTGAGCCACGGTCGACGCCATGTTGGATGTGTGTCGTACAATTTGCTGTGCCTAGCGGGGGCGTCGATAAACGGCCTCAACTCAACTCGCTGGTTGTTATCGCGTACAACCTATCTTACCCGGAAAACGCTCGTTGCTGTAGGAGCGCCGTCAGAAGTAGGCCCCGTGTGTATGGTCGATTGGCTATAGAATAGGTCTGAGGAAGTAACAACCAAAATGACGCTCCTCGGTACAGTACATACCGACGCGCAACTCTTCAAGCCGCCAGGCGCTCATATCTTAATGTTGATGAGCCAAGGCAGCGGTGGATGTTCCTACTGTGCAACAGTAGATTGTCTGTCGCACAACTAGCGAGATATAGCATCGCTGGCGGACGACTTATCCTAGGGGAACCGTCAAGGGGTGTTGATGAGGCTGACTGGTTCGAATAAGGCGAGTCGGATTGATGCATTTGGGCGAGCGAGGAATGCTGTGTAAAGACCAATGCCAGCAGTCTCCCAGGCAGTCGGCGAAGTATGCGCAGAGCTGCATTCCAGGCTCAGCAAGGGCTGTCATGTGATGAGGGAGTGTTGCACGTCTATGTGCGGCTGTTCGACCCGAGAACTTAGGCTCACCTTCAAATCCATAGTCGATTGTAGGTTGAAGTTCCAAAATGGTTAAGGGTATCAACAAGCGGACTGGAATCACTGGATGACAATCAGTTTGAAGGCGGGTTGCAACTGCCGTTGGGATCATGAACGGATATCCCACAGCAAAACTGACAGTGATGCACTTACATGCCCAATAATCCAATTACGTACATACCTATTCAAAGTGGAAAAGTCTTGAAAAGAGCGAAATACCTAGAACGCTAGGTTCGCTCACCGTCGTCAACAGATAGAATCCCGGAGGTATAGAAACGAGGACGTCACATGGCCATGTTCAAGGGGTTTGGGTGGGGCGTAAACGGTAGCAAGGTGATAGCGCCACCACTGTTTTCCAGGCCAGATTCTTAACAAGCGGGGCAGCTAACCCCCGCGATGACAAGCTCCCCAACAAGTGAGCTGAAGCAGCTGGACTACGAGTTAGCGTCTTGCTATAACCTTGAATCTCGTTGTTGCCGTGCACGTCAACCAGTCGTCAAACCACAGCTTCTTTTCTACTATGATGGCTTCTCGATTGCTCTCATCGATTTTATGACTTGCTGCTCTGCTGCTCCAATGACTCTTGTGTCTTTGTTCGTGAACCTGCACCTCGCTTGCCTCGAGCCTCTACACTGTTGTCCCCACTCGTTGTGACGTTGTTAGTGACCGCCTCACAACGCCTCTCCAGAAATTCCATCATCACGCATCGTGCCATTGAGCAAGATCCTAGCTTGATTGGCAGCCATGGCCGTGTTTGTGGACCTCGGCGAGGAGGAAAACGAACCTCCGCAGCGTGGACAGCCGCTCTTAAACGGTCAGGCTGAAAATGGGAGTGGCAACGACAACAAGGCCCGCAGTACCAGCATCAGCAGCGACATCGGCAATCGACGCGAGGAGGCTCACGAGCTCGCCGTCAAGGAGATCCCGAACCGGAACTCCATGACGCAGGCTTTGGGATGCTATCCGTAGGCCGACACCACCTTTTGTCGTCTCATCAAGACGTCTTGGCGACTCTTCCCCGCCAAGGGGGGAAAATGCTGACTGTCAACCAGTATTGTCATGTCCGTGGCCGCGCACATTGACTTGAACACGCTCGATAATCTGTCACGGACTTGCAAGCAGATTCGCGAGGGCCTGCTGCAGTACCGCAAGATGCTGCTCGTCTCGACGCTCCACTGCTCCAACGAGCACCTCCCTGTCGACCCAGAGGAGAGGCTGCGCTACCGCGCCCGCGCCGGAAACTGGCTCTACATGGACGATGTGGGCAGGTCCAACTACAGCAGTAAGTTGGGCCGGTGTGCTCGGGATCTGGTGGCCGAGTGCCGGCGGTGTGGCACCGTCGTCTGTCGGGTGAGTTCTCTGCCAGTGGGGAGTCAGAATCATAGTTCGACATATGCTTACCGGCGCCCAGAACTGTGCCTCCAAACCCCCGGCGTTGATCGTTGCGCGTGACCGGCACCGCCGGCTCTGCGAGGCGTGCGTGAGTGCGCCTCTGGGTTCACTACTCAGGCCTCCGCTCGGGCCCGAGTTTCGGATCGACTCGGAGGAAGTGGAGCGGGCGATTTGCAAGTGCGGCTCAGAAGGCGTATGGCTCTGCCAGCCGTGCGGCCGAACCATCCGGGGGGATGACTATGACTACCAGTGGTGAGTGGCAACGTACCTGTCTCCCAACCTACACGAACACCTTTTTCAGCAGCCATTTCTCACTCACCTTTTCACCTGTCCAGCATCTGGAAGTGGCGCAACCAATACACCGACGTCCTAGGCGGCCTTGGAACGGGCATTGGCGAGGGCGATCGCGGCGTCATATGCGGACGAGAGACGGAATGCTGTGCCGCGCGAGAGCGCGAGCAAGAGACCGACGGCGACGCGGAGGACGCGCGCGAGGCCGAACTTTACCAGCAGAAACAACAACAATCCGCGCGGGGAATGACCCCTTCAAGCAGCGCGAGCAGTAACAGCTCTAGCTCTCTTACCCCTGTCACAGCCGCCAACGGCTCTGCGGGTCTGGGCGGTGGCGCCTCCTCCTCCGCTGCCGCGGCGCTTGATCACAGGACGCCGAGCCCAGCTCTCAAACCTGGCTATGAGCGGCATGAGATTGAGGGGATTGGGGGTGTCATGAAGAAGAAGCTCGTCCGCATGGTCAAAGTGGGCGCCTGTGTCCCCGAATGGGACGACGAGCGGGTCAAGGGGGAGATTATGGGGCGCGAGGTGCGCGGGGAAAGGAGGAGCTGGTGTGGTTGGTGTTGGAGGGTAATTCCGTCCAAGAAGGACTATGAGATGGACAGGAAGAGACAGCAAACCGAAAAAGAAAAGGGAGGAAATGTGTGGTTAAGTCTCAACTAACTGAAGGGGGTTCCTGAGTCCGGATAAGGGGGGCCTTTGGCTCACCATGAGTCATTTGGTATTGGATTGGCCCTGGGATAGGCCTTGATATAATAAACGATGTGAAAATGCACGGTCATATGGGTCGCATTGGCGCCCGCAATCACCTGACAGTGGTGAGCTGTTATGTACAAAATATACTACAGGATTGCATTATACAGCGAGAGTAGGTAGAGACGACAGCCGCTTATATCGCTCCTGCTCGTTTTATGCGCCCTTCACCGCACCGTCTAGAGCTCGTACCACATCCTGAAGCGCCATATACCCCGTGCTATATCATACATTCGGGGACGTTCCGATCTCTCCCTCGTGTACCATAAACGTTGGCGTCCCATCAATCCCCTTGAAGCTGGAAGACCTCGGTCCATTACTTCGGCCAGTAAACCCCAACACATGGCTGCATCCTGGCCAGGTTCATCGCCCGAGCCACGAGCCGAAGGAGGTTTCTCACAACCCTGTGCCCCCATACCAACGGAATCAATCCTCCCATCACTCTTCCCCCCCAACCCCACAACCCGCAATTCATCCGCCTCAAATCTCGCCATTAGCAACCATCTCCCAGCGCCGGGCGCGCTCCTCCCTGGCGGCAGCGCGGCGCGGGCCCCAGCGGGCCTTGGCCGCCTCCTCGGCCGCCTTCATCCGGTCGCGGTGCTCGCGGGGCGACTGGCAGCACATCATGACGAACAGCTTGGAGCAGCCGAACCGCTCGGCCAGGGCCTGCACGCTGTTCTTTACGGGATCCTCGGCCCGCAGCGCCCGCATCTGCTCAATGTCTTCCTTGGTCAGGTGGTGCGTCGGCTTGCGCTCCTCCACCACCACGGGCAGGTCCTGCGGGGATAATGCCGGGAGCTGGGTTTGGGTTTTTTCGGAGTCGGATAGGGGGGGTGAGGATGATGATATGGGTGGGGAGGTTATGGCGTCCGTGTATTGTACTGTTGTGGACGAGGCAAAGAGGCCGGCGGCCAGGTTCGCCCGGCGGCGCGGGTCGGATTTCGGGAGGAACTTGAAGGGCGTGTGGTAGACGGACGCGGCGGACGAGGGCGGGTTGAAGACGATGCGGTCGGTTGAGGGGCGCGGGGAGCCGTCTGGGCTGCTGGTGATGAAAGAAGGGTGCGGCGGAATCCGGAGCGCGCGCCTAGTCCTCGCGGCACTTGACTTTTGGCGGGCGCCGGAGGGGATTGTTGTCGCTGGTCTGAGAAGCAGGCTGCTGTTGCTGGCTGTCCTCGAGCCGAGCACACGGCAGCAGCACGAGAGCGGCGCCGTCGGTCTTGTTACAATGGCTTCCATTGCGAGTCTTCTGTATGGAATGTATGGAAAGGCGAAAGATTGAAAGATTCGAATTGGAAAAGGAGAATTGAGAACTTGGGCTTTGTCGGATTGAAGTTTTGGTTAGATGCCAGGTGATGAAGCAATTGCAATGTCGCAATTGGCAACAACCACGCTTCGGTCGTGGGTCTTCAGGGCAGCCGTCCACCGTCCTTCACGATCGAGCAAGCTGGCACTGGTCCTCGAGTCGCGGTTCGAAATCAACTTTTTTCCCGGACCCCGAACGGTGAGGGTACTCGTCACGTGGTGGCCTGTGCTTGCTCTCCGGGCTAACGCGCTTGTAGTGGGGAATCACGGTCAATCACCGCTGCATCGGAAATCGTGCCCCACCTCTCCGGGACGACGGCATGAGTGGAGTCGGCAGGTCCGTTTGGTCGGCTGGCTCGGCAATTGCGGGAATTCAATGTAGCCCGGCCAGGGTCACCAGACCTACGGAGTACCGTCCATGCAGGTACGGTACAATACATGGCAGGGACTGGCGACCCTTCTGTTCTTCATACCTAAACAAAGAGGCATATGGTACTAACATACGCGGCCAGTCCAATGGACAATGCGACAGAATTCCACTCGACCACTTAGCAAAAAGGGCCTAGCTCCCTCGTTGGCGGTCGGTTGCTTATTGCATCCAGGCATCCGTGACCACGGAGTAGTGGAATTTCCACTTTCGTCATTCGTCACGGGGTCACAGAAAGGGGCTTGCTAAGCATCACAATGACCACACTGCTTCCATCACTGAGAGTCCTGAGTATGCCGAAAGTGGCCGATCAAGAGCCTAAAGGCTTCAGCTGGTCTTGTCTGCGATGCTGACACCAGAGTAGGTCCCATAGAAGGAATGATTCTGCATGCAGATACGTACACTAGGCTGCTAAGCACCAGCGACGAACAGACTGTTCCAGGTTGAGATTGACAGTGTGCCATGTTCAGGGGTGTCTCAGGCCAATGCGTTTCCAATTCATGAGTTGGAGTGATTTGTTCAAGTATTCGTAACTCCGTTACGTGTATCAATCAATATGCCATTCCTAGCAGCTCCTCAGGGGCAGTTCCGGCTCCTCAATCCTGGATACGGCCACGGATGACACAGGAATAAGTTTTTCTTCGCTCTTTCTGATGTTAACTAAGGGATGCCACGTTATAGATGTGCTGCATCTATTGTACACTGATTTACACATACGGAAAATATCCCTTATGTTAGCCTATGGAGCGCGTTAATTACTGTATGTAGCCTAAATTACCGTAACAGCAAAAGGGATAAGTTACACATTGCGTCAGGCGTTAGGAAGCCCTGAAAGAAGGGACCTTCGCTGAGGCGCAGCCAGGGGCATCTTCAATGCTGCTTACCTTTTTTGACATCAAAAGTTAAGGTTAATCAGTCTTATTGCTGCAGGTCCAGATCCCATCCGTCTCGGCATCTCCAGGAACAAAAAGGTGAATGGATTCAATGGAAGGTCCCCTTTTCCACAATTCCAGGTCCTGTACGAAGCAGTGAGCGTGTGGTCATTCTTGGCGGGCCCATTACGTCTTCAGAGTTTATGATTCTGGGGACTACATACGGACTACTCCGTAGCCCCTCCTCCTTTTAAAAGCTTCCGCGAGCTCCTTGCTTGGGCCCAGCGTCATTCCTTGTTGATCGCGATTTTGCGCACCTCGGTCACCCGATCACCCTCACCACCTCTCACTTCTCTCTCGATTCTCTCGCTCCTTCGAGAATCATAGTCAACCCGACAGCGAAAGATAAACATTTCCTCCACCGTTGCATCTACTAGCACCAGGTGCAAGAACGTTCCTTATCCCTTCTACTGCAAAAATCATCGATTCAAATTTCGGGGTCCAATAACCACCCGAAGAATCCGAGCTAGAACAAGACAGTGGAGTCGGGAGCGAAACATCTCGAATTGGATCCAGGAACCAACTGGAGAATAGCCGCCTGCTTTCACTGCGTCAGGCTCCTCCTCAACTGCAGCCGAGAAAGCTAGCCAACGTTATTACCGTTTGGTTGACCTCCAACCCGCTGTTCAGCAGTTTTCTGGTGTCGCACAAGGCCGGTCGAAAGTAAGGTATGATGGCATCCACATTGTGTTAATTGGTTCCAAACACCGAGGCCACTTTACAATCGATATATTCGCGGCGAATCGGGAAACCCGACGAGTCACACGCTACCCTTTTCTTTTCGTTGGGAGTCTAGCCCTTTTCTTCCCTACTGCCTGCTTTCTTTTTGGCGAGACTTTCGAATCTTGCAAGAGCCACGCATCCTGGCTAACAAGTTTTGTCCGGAGAAAGCGCCGACGAAGTAAAGGCTCGCCGCCATCTATATCCCTCGTTATCGACACTGCATCCCGACATCATGAGTCTGGCAAGTGCAGCGCCCGTTCAGCGCGTCCCAACCTTGGCTGAGCCCTCCGACTCCGAGCCAGGCACGGGCAACGCGACGCCACGTGCAGCAGCCGATGTAGACGAGAAGAAGCACAAGAAGCGCAGCCTGTTCAGCTTCGGGAAGAAGAAAGCCGCAGACGAGTTCTCGAAGCCGGTAAAATCGACCCCCAAGTCCGCCTCGCAGAACAGCAACATCACAGGCAGCAGCGACAAGAACATGTCACCTCCACGACGGACAACAACCGCGTCTCCCATCCAGACCGACCAGTCGCACTATGCACCCTCTTCCCCGGGGCGCTCCATCCCGTTTGCCTCGTCTCCGCGCCTGTCCTCACCCGCCGGCAGCCAGATTTTTGAACGCGACGTCCAAGAAAGCGCCTCAGGGCTGATTCCCAACTCGCCCGCCATCCCCTCGCACATCCAAACCGAAAACTACATCCCTCCCGTGCTGGACGCGTCGTCCGAAGCCATCACCGACGATCACCTCGACCCTGACAATGTCGAGATCATCACGCACACGTCGCACACGCCCGCGGCCGTGGCCGTGACGAGCGCCATCAGCAGCCACCACACGAGCCCGTACAACGAGCCGGCGTCGTCGTGGGCCGATGAGCTGGCCGCCTTTTCGGCCGAGCGAACGGGCCGGTTCGACCGCGCGGGCTTCGCCGGCGGCGACGGCGCCTCCAACTACGGCAGTTTCGACACGACCGACGTGCGCCGCCTGAGCTTCATCTCGTTTGCCGACGTCGTGCAAGCCGAGCAACACCAACAACAGCAACACGTCGCCGGCTCCCGCGATAGCATGCACCTCGCCGGCCTGACGTCGCTCACGCCCGCCGCCATGGGGATACACAACAACAACAACGCCGCGGGGATGAACCGGAACCGCTCGCCCAGCCCAATCCGCTCGCGCTCGCCCCCGGCTGCCGGCGCCCGCGGAACCGGAGTCGGAGCCGGAACCGTCCCCAGCCCGCCCACCAGCAAGTCAGGCTCGGTAAAGGGGCTGGACATGTCGGCCGGCTCGTCCTCGCCGGGCGGGTTTTCTTCTTCTGCTGCCAATGCCAACAACAAGGCTGGGGCTGGCCGCATGGGTAGTCCGAGCAGCCTCGGCCTGGTCGTGCCGGGATCCCCCGCCATGACATCGCCGGGCGGCCTGTCGCCGACGGTCAGCGGGGAGATTGCCATTGAGACCATGAGCCAGGCGCTCAGACGCACGGGGAGTGGTGAGCTGGATCATGGGCATGCCGCCCATGCGGCGCCGCTTGGAGGGTTTGGGAATGGGAATGTGAATGTGAGGAGTTTGCCGGCGAGTCCGATCTGATTTCTTTCGCCTCTCTTCAAAAGAGAAGAACGTTATACAAGAGATATGGGGTTGTGGATCTGAGTCGGTGCTTAGAAGGGCCCAGCTGTATCTGGGCTTTACTCCGGACCGGTCGTTGGGGATGCAGAGAGAGTGGTGGTTGAGGGTGGGCGCGGTGTTGTACACCGTGATGCCCCTGGGATGGGATACCCAGTTTGAGAAGGGATTTGACAGAAGCAATTATTAGATAATTGCGAGGATGTGATCGCCTGGGGTTTGGTTTGATTGTGTCCGATTTGTTTGGGCTTGGGTTCAAGTGGGTTGGTCAACAGCTTGGGGCGGAAGGGGTTTTCAGGGTTTGGTTTATTTTCGAGAACTGGCAGAACTGGAGTTTGGTCTTTGATTTTTCTTGCGATTTTGTTTTGCTCTTGCTTCCTGCCGTTTTGTTTCGTGTTTCTATTCGTTTGAGTGATTCCGCTATATCCCCTAACTGTTTCTGGCAAGCACTACTACTACAAGTAGTCCTTGATCTACGTTGCGTCTGAATAGTATACCATACCATACCCGCGGGATTTGTCCTGGAATTTGATTCACCTTACTTAAGTAAGAGGGTGGCTTTGCCTATTCGTCTTTGGCTATCTTACCTTCAAGAGGATGTTGAGTTCAGCTGAGAGGTGTTTGTCGAAAGCTAGGGCAATGTTCATAGAGGTCTCTTTGATATCTAAGTCATAGTTCCTCCGTTACTGTTGGTGAAACTGGGGCCGAGTTCGGACCGTTGTGACCTCTCACTGTCGAGAGACAGGTATGCTATAGCAGTGCCCGTGATGTTGAGCTACACTACTATACAACAAATTGGCTTCTTCTTGGTCATTCATAGACCTATCAAGCCAAGGGGCTCAACGTAGTACAGTGAGGAATCAGCCCAGTCTCGATGCTGGCTACTTGTCTAACTCGATAAACGACTGACCGTCGTCAGCCTTCAGGGTAAAAGATGTCAACCAAGTCAGGGTGAATCCCCTCATGATAGCGGTGGTGTCACGCAGATAGATGCTGCAGGCCATACGTCATTAATAAGTAAATATGTAAATTAGACTCCCCTCCGTCTCTTGATGTTCCCTCACTACACGCCTCCTACCAGCAACTTCCGGCTTTCCCCAGATGCGGACAGCATTTAACCGAAGACGAGCGAGGTGCATGATCCCACGTCGGGTTCTACTACGAGTATCATGATGTGATTCATCAGAATTTGCACGGCTACGACTTGGATCCTTGCTTAAGTACGTAGATAGGTTGGGCCGTCTTTTGATAGATGGAGTCGGGGTGATGCCATATACAACTTGAAGCTACTGCTGGGCAGGATATGTGAAAAGTGAGGGACGTTGGGACATGTCGAGAAGGAGGACAATCATCAAGGCGGAGATCTGGCGGGTTACCAGCAGTGCTCACGGACAAAACACCACGGGGAGACAGACCAACACCTTGATAAAGCGGGAGCTGGATGAGTAGGCGGTAGATATATATATTTCACTATATGTACCTTACCACCTCTCTTTACTAGCCTAGTGATCAACACCTCACCACGGGTGAGGGGTTTTTGGTATCAAGCTAAAAAACAGAACCCGTCCAGATCATTCCATGCCATGAATAAAGTCAACCGACACACATGCCTCATGCTCTTATGCCTCACACGAGGGTGCACCCATTCTCATTACCAGTATACACACACGCGCCGCACGCGCATTTAGACGTCGGCTTTCTCGTGAGCGTCCTTGTGAGACGACTCCTCGCTGGCAAACTCGCCCTTGGGGAGCATGTTGAGCTTGTCCTCCTCCTTGTCGAGGTGGCGGAACTGAATCCAAAAGAGGGTGCCGCCGATGGTGGCGGCGATGGCGACGACGGCGTAGTTCCAGATGAGGAGCGGGTCGTCGGCGAGCGGGACGAGGGCGAAGCCGATGGCGGACGAGATGGCGTTCATGAAGAGCGCAATCGACTGCACCATGGAACGCATGTTGGCCGGGGCCTTGGAATGGGCATACTCCAAGCTGGTGATGGACGCGAAGATCTCGGCCAGGGAGACGAGCACGTACGAGCCCGTCTGGGCCCACATGTTGATGTCGGCGTTGGGGCAGTCGTGCTCGGTGCCGTCGGGGAAAATCCCGTTGGCATAATAGCCGCACTCGCTGCGCTGGTAGATGTAGTACTGGATAACGGCCGCCCAGACCATGGCGGCTGCGCCTACAAAGTAACCGCAAGCGATGCGCTTAAGCGGCGTGAAGTTGATGCGCATCTTGCGCAGGGCTGGGTAGACGAAGATGTCGAGGAGGGGAATCAAGATGACCAGCGCGAAGGGGTTCAGGTTGTTCAACACGTCGTTGGGAACACCAGCGATTTTCATGGTGGCAGCTTGCGAGACCAGGTTGTTGTTGACTAAAAAGCAAA